ACCCTAACCCTAACCCTAACCCTAACCCTAACCCTAACCCTAACCCTAACCCTAACCCTAACCCTAACCCTAACCCTAACCCTAACCCTAACCCTAACCCTTGTAACCCTAACCCTAAGCAAAGTGTGCACTGCTCTCGATCGAGCTCCTCTAGATTGTGCTGCTGCAGCAGAGTGAGCGCTCCAGTCGATTGAGCTCCTGTCGATTGTGCTCTTGTCGAATGAGCTCCTGTCGATTGCACTCTTTTTTGCGCTCCTCCAGCATAGTGTTCGCTGCTTCGAATTGCGCTCCTCTCATTTGCGCTCCTGTCAATTGTGCTGCTCCAGCAGAGCGAGCACTCCTCTCGTTTGCGCTCCTCTCTCTTGCACTCCTCTTCGTTGAGCTCCTGTTGATTGAGCTCCTGTCATTTTCACTCCTCTTGATTGCGCTTCTGTTGATTGCGCTCCTCTCCAATGAGCTCCTGTCGATTGCACTTCTCTCTGCTGCTCTTCTCTCGATTGCTCTCCTGTCGATCGAGCTCCTCTTGATTGAGCTCCTGTCGATTGCGCTCCTGTCGATTGCACTCCTGTCGATTGCGCTCCTCACTCCTGCTCATCTCTCGATTGCGCTCCTCTTCATTGCGCTCCTCTTCATTGCACTCCTCTTAATTGCGCTCCTCTCAATTGCACTCCTGTCGATTGAGCTCCTCTGAATTGTGCTGCTCCAGCAGTGGAGCGCTCCTCTCTCCTTCTCTGCTCTCGATTGCGCTCCTCTCTACAGCGCTCCTGTCGATTGTTCTGCTTTCGATTGTGCTACTGTCGATTGCTCTTCTCTTGATAGCGCTCCTCTTGATTGCGCTCCTCTTAATTGTGATCCTCTTGATTGCGCTCCTCTTGATTGCGCTCCTCTCTGCTGCTCTTCACTCGATTGCGCTCCTGTCAATTGCGCTCCTCTCCAATGAGATCCTGTCGATTGCGCTCCTCTTGATTGCGCTCCTGTAGATTGCGCTCCTGTCGATTGCTCTGCTCTCGATTGCGCTCCTGTCCATTGTGCTGCTCTTGATTGAGCTCCGTGCTGTTATCAATTGCGCTCCTCTCTCTTCCTATGCTCTCGAGTGAGCTCCTGTCGATTGCACTCCTCTCGATTGCGCTCCTCTCGATTGCACTCCTCTCAATTGCGCTCCTCTCTCTCGCTCTGCTCTCTCTTGCGCTACTGTCGATTGTGCTCCTCTCTCCTGCTCTGCTCGTGAGTGCGCTCCTCTCGATTGCGCTGCTGCAGCAGAGTGCTCGCTCCTGTCGCTTGCACTCCTCTTGATTGTGCTCCTGTCGATTGAGCTGCTGTTGATTGCACTTTTGTCGATTGCGCTCCTGTCAATTGCGTTCGTCTTGATTGCGCTCATGTTGATTGTGCTGCTCCAGCAGAGTGAGCGCTCCTCTCGATTGCGCTCCTCTCGATTGCGCTCCTCTCGATTGCGCTGCTCTCAATTGCGCTGCTCTCAATTGTGCTGCTCTCAATTGTGTTGCTCCAACAGAGTGTGCGCTGTCCAGCAGTTCGCTGATGAGATTGCGCTTCTCAGATTGCGTTGCTCCAGCTGTGCGTTGCTCTTGAGCTGTGTGTTGCTCTTGAGCTGTGCGTTGCTCTCGAACAGTGCGTTGCTCTCGAGCTGTGCGCTGCTCAGATTGCGTTGCTCCAGCAGAGTGTGCGTTGCTCCAGCTGTGCGTTGCTCAATTTGCGCTGCTCCAGCGAAAATAAATTTGTTTGCGTTGCAGCACTTGAGCAGTGTAAATTTCGAGTGCGTTGGGGGTCAACGCAGTCGCGTGAATTTCGAATTTGGCGGAGCGCAATTGTGCGTTGCCCGCAAGCAAGACACACCGGCTAGGGCTAGGGCTAGGGCATGAGCTGAGGTCGCAGCACGCTCGGCAGCTGACGTGTCAACATAACGCCAGAAGCAGTCGCTGCGCCAGTGGCCCAGGCCCTGGATTGTGCTGGAGTCAATCCCGTTGGCGGCAGCCCAAGTGGCGGCACCATGCTGGAAGGAGTGGCCAGAGTAGCCCTTGGGAGGGATGCCACACATCCGGAGGCAGCGATGGATGGTGGTGATGAAAGACTTGCAGTCAAAAGGCATGCCGCTGTCGAGAGCAAAGAGGGGCTCGGGGGCCAGATGGTGCCGACAAATGACTTGGAGGGCTTTGACTGCACATGTTGGGAGAGGGACCGCTGGCACGGTGAGCATGACACCAGTACCGAAGGGGTCCGTCTTACTGGAGGGGAGAAGGATCATGGCATAGGACCCATCCTCAGCAAATGCAACTGAGCCAATGGTGAGGAGGGGTGGGGAAGATGATGTTTCCCAAGTAAACTCGCCAGAGCGGAGGAGGCAGGCAAAGGCCAGGCAGAAGGCCACATGAAACATGCGGCGGTTATGCTTGGATGGGCAGACAGAGGGCAGGGAGTCGACAAGTCGGTGGAGGAGAGGGAGCGTAATAGGCAGCTTGGCGGTTGGAGCTGGGTCGCCAGTGGAACACCTGAAGCCTCGGATGGCCCTGGCGAGGCGGTCGGAGCTGAAGGCCAAGGTGGAGAGGCCAAGGTCGACGTGCCAGGACCTGAGTACTGCGATACTGCGCTGGACTGCTTGATATGTCCTTGCATGCCGGTGGTAGTGCGCCACCCATTCGATGAGAGCTGGGGCTGTCGCTGGGAAGGGTTGTGTGGTGTGAAACAGGGTGGAAGCAAGGGTGGCGAAATCCAAGCAGAGCTTGGTGGAGCGGGAGCGAGTAGTGGGTGCAAGGCCATTCCAGAGGAGGAAGGCCGCTTGTTCAGATAGCTTGGTGGTGATAACAAAGCTGCAGGGGGGCTTGGTGGTGTTGCCCTGCTGTTGAACTGAAGGAGGGAGAAGGCTCGAGGATACTCCTGTTGAATGAGAACAAAGCGGCGGCGGGAGAGAGCATCAGCGAGGGTGTTAGCTGCTGAGCGAACACTGGTTACCTGGAGGTTGATGTGCCGCTGCAGGCACAAGGCAAATATCTCTCTGAAGAGGACCTGGGTCATGGGGTTGCGAATGGAACCTTTTTGGAGGCCATGTTCAACATTCTCATTGTCAACATAGAGGATTACCCGACGAGGTCCAGGCCAGGCTGGTGAGAACAGCCGAAGTGCCTCGAGCACCGCCAAGGCTTCCAGAAAGCGAATGTCCTTTTGGCAATGGCACCGAGACAACTCCCAGGAGAAAACAGCGGTGGGGTGCTCCATGTGACCGCAGTGACTGCCGATGGAGCATTTTGAGGCATCTGTCCACACATGCTCAATGATGAGGGGTGAAGGCTGGAGAAGGGACATGCCATCCCACGCGGACAGCATGGAGGTCCACCAGATCAGTTCATCACGAGTGGCTCTGCTGATGCGGCGACCAAAGGGAGCCCTGCGATGTGATGTGACTGCATCATAGATGCGGCGAAGGAAGGCGCGGCCGTGAGGAGCCACCCTTGTGACAAATTGCAAATGACCTGTGATCTGCTGGAGTTCAAGCAGGGAGGCCCATCCCTGATCAATGATTCGTTGACAGAGCCCGAGGATATGCTGGTGGTGTTGGTCGGTGATGGAGGCCATCTGAGCAACAGAGTCAAGCTCGATACCCAAAATCTCGAGGTGAGTGGTGCTCCACACTGTCTTTTTATGACTGAGGCGGAAACCCAGCACAGCTGCCACGATGCTGAGGGCCTGAATCGGGGTGGATGCATTGGAGGTGGGGTCGGAAGCCCCAAAAAAATTGTCAAGATAGTGAGAAACCTCTGAGTGTGAGGTGGGAGAAGGCGAGGCTGATTGCAGGGCAAAGGACGTTACCCAGTGCAGAAACTTGGCGAAGAGGTTGAAGAGGAATGGTGAGGAGCGGCCACCGAAAGCAAGGGCACATTCTTGGTAGTACCGGCCATCAAAATGGAAACCCAAGAGCCTAGCATCATTCTCTGCTATGATGATGTGTCGAAAGGCATCTTCGAGGTCGGCCTTCCAGAGAGAGGCACCTTGGTGATCGCGAACAAAGTCAATGATGGTGTCGAGGGTCTCGTAACGAATGCTGACGAAGGAGGGATGGATGCCATCATTGACAGATGGCAAGCGCATGCCCGGCTGGCGGGGGTGGGAAAGGTGGTATATGGTGTGGCATTTGTCGCTATGGGGCTTTGGAACGACTCCCACTGGGGAGCAGACCAAACGAGCAGCACCTGGATCATCAACCAGTTGGAGGTGGCCCTCAAGCACCCGTGATGCGATTTCACGATGCAAGTGAAGTGTGTCCTCCAGGTCCATAGGCAGGTTAGAACCCACTAGCCTCGCATGGTCGTGGAGGGGGCCAGAATAGCCAAGCAGCGTGCCATGGGAGAGGGCACCCCACAGCTGGTCAGCAAATCCTTGATCTGGGTAAAGGTTGAGGAAGGGGGCCCAGCATTCGAGCTTGAGAGAGCCAACGGTGGCAGGAGTGTCAGAATAGTCAAATATGGGAAGCTCACAGGTGGTGTTAGGGCGAGCTGGCGGGGCCGGGCCTGTGAGCAGGGAAACGAGGAGGGTGGAAGCCAAGTCAGATGACATGTTGGCAATGCCCTGAGGTGCAAAGAATTCCAAGGAGGGGGCAAGCACAGTGCTGCATGTGGAAGGAGGACAGGAAGTGCTGGGGAGGGAGGTGGAAAACCGCTGATCCCCCAGGCCAGAGCCTAGAGGTGTGGCAGGAGACTCACTACCCACGAGGCCAGAGCCAAAGGAAGAGGAGGTGGGCCACAGCAGGGCCACCAGGCCAGAGCCAGAAGAGGAGGGGGCAACCAACAACATGTTTGCCAGGCCAGGGCCAGTAGAAAGGGAGGCAGGCAACAACATGTCTACCAAGCCGGGGTTGGAAGGAGAGGAGGCAGAATGCAACGGGTCCACCAGGCAGGAGCCGGGAGAAGAGGGGGCGGGTAGCAATGTAGCCGCTGGGCCAGGGCCAGTGGTGGCAGGAGACATTGCTCTGTCCACCAGGGAGGCATGGTGGAGGGCAGTGCGAGCCACAGGTCGGTGAGGAAAGTCATCTGAGTGAGGGGGTGGGCTCACCATTATGCACCCTTCAGGGTGGTGTTGGTGTGGGTCGACTTGAACTCATTGCCAGTGCGGCAGGATTGGACAGGATGTTTTTCGTAACAGTTAGCACAAATGTGAGGTCGATTGCAACCAGAGCAGCCCCAACTCGAGTTGAAACGCATGCAGATCTCAACAGGAGGAGGGTTGGTGGTGGTGCGGCCGGGTCGAGATGACTTCGCGCCAAGCTTGGAGCCAGGAGGGCCAGAGGAAGGTGCAGTTGGGGTCCTGATGTTGGTCAAGAGGGTGTGGCCCTGTAAGGTGGTGTCGGAGTGAGCCCACTCGTGCGTCACACCCGTACCAAAACGTTGGCAGCAGATGGCGAGGTGGTACTCAGTGACTCCCTTCCACAAGTAGATTTGGTCAAACTCAATGAGGATCTCAAGATAAGCCAGCAGGGCATTGCTGAGATTGAGATCTTGAGTGGATCAGACCTGGATGGCAGTGTAGACGAGCCAGACCTGGGCCAGCGCTCGAATGTTGGGGATCGCTTTAGCAAAGCTGGAGCTGCGCTGCTCAGAAGACTCCTCGGCGATCCTGACTTGGCTGTCCGCGAAGACAAGACCAGCCTGAGCAGGTGTCTCTTTAGAAATGCGATACTCAGGGTTGCAGAGTAAAATGAGGCGTTCCGGCTTCAAGGTGTCGTTTGCGACCTGGGAGATGACCTCCTGCAGGACCCAGGGGAAAATGCAGAGGGAAGAGGGAGGGACTGACTCACCAGGGGGGGTAGGTCAGCTAGGGACAGTGGCTGGAGCGCTGGAGGACTGCAGGGAGGCAATACGGGTGAGGATGGTGGCGAAGCTTGAGTGGATGGTGCCCTCCAGTCTGCTGATGCGGGAGTCAATGCCGTTGATGCGAGCACTCAGGGTGATGACAGAGGCAGTAGGGGCAAAAGCAGGACCTGCACGGATGGTGTCAGCAGAAGAGGAGAAGGAAGGGCAGGGAGAGCAAGCGGCCAGGGTTGAAGAGGATCGGTCGATGGCGCCTGGAGAGCGAGAGCAGGACCTAGTAGAGGGGATGGTAGGGATAGGGCAGGCAGATCGGCTGCTGACGGTGTGGTGGGAGGCTACGTTCCTGCAGGAGGAGCAGGTCTTGACAGGCCTCCCGTTCTTCCCAACAAAAGAGTCAGGGCCACGAGAGTGTTTGCACCTCAGGCACTGTCTCTGATTGGGCATAAGCAAAACCCCAGCCCTGCAGCCAAGGCTTGTGGGAGGCAGAGAATGGCAGTGGCAGCAAAGTGAGGGGTCATGGTGGTGGGGATGACTATGATGCTGTTCCAGACAGTCAGGAGGCTGAAGGAGGTCGAGAGGGGAAGGGAGGGTGAACATGATGAAGTGTAGCCAGGAGAAAGCTTGTGCAAGAGGAGAGAAGATGATGGAGAAGAAGCAAATGAGAGAGACGGGAGATGTGATGAGCGATATGAAGTGACACGACTCAGGTCACGTGTCTTTTCCCACCATTGAAACAAGCACATGTTCCATTCGCACGACTCCTCCTGTCAATTGCGCTCCTCTTAATTGCGCTCGATTTGCGCTCCTGTCAATTGCGCTGCTCTAGCAGAGTGTTTGCTCCTTCGATTGTGCTTCTCCAGCAGAGTGAGCCCTCCTGTCGATTGCGATCCTCTTAATTGCACTCGCTTTGATTGCGCTCCTGTCGATTGCACTCCTGTTCATTGCGCTGCTGCAGCAGAGTGAGCACTCCTGTCAATTGCGCTCCTCACTGCTGTTTGTCTCTCGATTGCGCTCCTCTTAATTGCGCTCCTCTCAATTGCGCTCCTGTCGATTGAGCTCCTCTGAATTGTGCTGCTCCAGCAGTGGAGCGCTCCTCTCTCCTCCTCTGCTCTCGATTGCGCTCCTCTCTACGGCACTCCTGTCGATTGTTCTGCTTTCGATTGCGCTACTGTCGATTGCTCTTCTCTTGATAGCACTCCTCTTGATTGCGCTCCTCTTGATTGTGATCCTCTTGATTGCGCTCCTCTTGATTGCGCTCCTCTCTGCTGCTCTTCACTCGATTGCGCTCCTGTCAATTGCGCTCCTCTTGATTGCGCTCCTGTCGATTGCACTCCTCTCGATTGCGCTCCTGTAGATTGCTCTCCTGTCGATATAGCTCCTCTCTCCTGCTCTCCTCTCGATTGCGCTCCTGTCGATTGAGCTCCTCTCTGCTGCTCTTCTCTTGATTGCGCTCCTCTCCATTATGCTCCTCTCCAATGTGCTCCTGTTGATTGCGCTCCTCTTGATAGAGTTCCTTTCGATTGCGCTGCTCTTGATTGTTCTGCTCCAGCAGAGTGAGCGCTCCTCTCGAATGCTCTGATCTCAGTTGCGCTCCTGTCAATTGCGCTCCTGTCAATTACGCTCCTCTTGATTGCCCTCTTTTCGATTGCACTCCTCTCTCTTGCTCTGCTCTCGATTGTGCTCCTGTCGATTGTGCTGCTCCAGCAGAGTGAGCGCTCCTGTCGAATGCTCTGCTCTCGAAAGCGTCCCTCCAGATTGTGCTGCTCCAGCAGAGTATGAGCTCCTCTCAATTGTACTCCTCTCAATTGTGCTGCTCTCGATTGCGCTCCTTTCGATTGTTCTACTCTCTCTTGCGATCCTTTTGAATGCACTACTCTCTCTTGCTCTGCTCGTGATTGCGCTCCTCTCTGCTGCTCTTCACTCGATTGCGCTCCTGTCCATTGCGCTCCTCTCCAATGAGCTCCTGTCAATTGCGCTCCTCTTGATTGCGCTCCTGTCGATTGCTCTGCTCTCGATTGCGCTCCTGTCCATTGTGCTGCTATTGATTGAGCTCTGTGCTGTTATCAATTGCGCTCCTCTCTCTTCCTATGCTCTCGAGTGAGCTCCTGTCAATTGCGCTCCTGTCGAATGTGCTCCTGTTGATTGCACTCCTGTCAATTGCACTCCTGTCAATTGCACTCCTGTCAATTGCACTCCTGTCAATTGCGCTCCTCTTGATTGCGCTCCTCTTTGCTGCTCTTCACTCGATTGCGCTCCTGTCAATTGCGCTCCTCTCCAATGAGCTCCTGTTGATAAAGCTCCTGTCGATAAAGTTCCTGTCGATTGTGCTCCTCTCTCTTGCGTTCCTCTCTCTTGCTCTGCTGTCGATTGCGCTCCTCTCGAGTGAGCTCCTCTCTCTTGCTCGGCTCTCGATTGAGCTCCTCTCGATTTCACTCCTCTTAATGGCACTCCTCCTGATTGTGCTCCTGTCGATTCCGCTCCTGTCGATAGACCTCCTCTCTCCTGCTCTGCTCTCGATTGCGTTCCTGTAGATTGCGCTCCTGTCGATTGTGCTCCTGTCGATTGTGCTCCTGTTGATTGTGCTCCTGTTGATTGTGCTCCTGTCGATTGTGCTCCTGTCGATTGTGCTCCTGTCGATTGTGCTCCTGTTGATTGTGCTCCTGTTGATTGTGCTCCTGTCGATTGTGCTCCTGTCGAATGCGCTGCTCTCTCCTGCTCTGCTCTCGAGTGAGCTCCTGTCGATTGTGGTCCTCTTGGTTGCGCTCCTCTTGGTTGCGCTCCTCTCGATTGCGCTGCTGCAGCAGAGTGAGCGCTCCTCTTGATTGCGCTCCTCTCTGCTGCTCTGCTCCCGATTGCGCTCCTCTCTGCTGCTCTGCTCCCGATTGCGCTCCTCTCGGTTGCTCTCCTCTCGATTGCACTCCTCTCAATTGCGCTCCTCTCTCTCGCTCTGCTCTCTCTTGCGCTACTGTCGATTGTGCTCCTCTCTCCTGCTCTGCTCGTGATTGCGCTCCTCTCGATTGCGCTCCTCTCAATTGCGCTGCTCTCAATTGTGCTGCTCCGACAGAGTGTGCGCTGTCCAGCAGTTCGCTGATGAGATTGCGCTTCTCAGATTGCGTTGCTCCAGCTGTGCATTGCTCTTGAGCTGTGTGTTGCTCTTGAGCTGTGCGCTGCTCAGATTGCGTTGCTCCAGCAGAGTGTGCGTTGCTCCAGCTGTGAGTGCGTTGCTCCAGCTGTGCGTTGCTCAATTTGCGCTGCTCCAGCAAAAATAAATTTGTTTGCGTTGCGGCACTTGAGCAGTGTAAATTTCGAGTGCGTTGGGGGTCAACGCAGTCGCGTGAATTTCGAATTTGGCGGAGCGCAATTGTGCGTTGCCCGCAAGCAAGACACACCGGCTAGGGCTAGGGGTCTCGCGCCTGAAACCCAGGTCGGTCTGTTGAGATACTCGGTGACTATCAAACTGTGTGACAGCTATTGTCTTGGTATCTGTCTTGGCGAGCTACATCACTCAGCAACTATCAAGTTGTGTGATGACAGTGGGTGGCATTCGTTGTATATACAATCATAGGTTTCAGCGGACCTCTGTGGACACTCCATTCAGGGGTAGCTTGGCACGATCAATATCAATGCATAGGTTATGATGACACCAAGGTCTGGTGTGAGTGTTGATGATGATGAGGTTGATGGTGTTGGTGATAAGGTTGGTGGCATCAACACAAGTGTCCAGTGTGTTGACTGATGCTTGAGGTGATCCCTGGACCACAGTGGACTACTGCCTTCAGTTCTATCTATATCCAGACAGCTGACCTGCTATGGGCTGCCTTCAGATGTCAGGTAGTGGTGATACAACACATGCACTACAATGAGGAGCAACCTTGATAGATTACTACTATGCTGACTGAAACTAATGTATACTTATGCTGAAGTGATAACTAGTTATGATGTGTGTGTAGAGTGGATGAGGATCCACTTGACCTTTGATGATGAGAAAGTATGGTTATATACCTCTTCACAGTGTCGCCAGCAACACTGCTCCTGCTCTCTCTCCAGAGAGTACCTTCTTCATCGAGTACTGAACAGGGGACCTCTCTAGCACCACTCCTGTCCTCCTTGAGCTATCTGCACCCCTGTGCCTCTTGAGTGGTGTCAACTCCTTCAACGCTGCTCCTCCTCCTCAGGACCTGCTTGCCAGTTTCCTATACACTGCTCCTTCTCCTTTGACTGGTGATGGTTCCTTTGACTCTTGTCTCTTGAGCCCCTGGGTGGTAACCATCTGCATGCTCTTTGAGCTTGGTCCTCTTTGTGGCTGTGCCTGCTCCTCCTCACATATGGGCCCAGTCCTCCTTTGCATGTGAGTCTGTAGGAGTCCATGGTCTCCCTGGAGACTGCACTATGACCATGTTCTCTACTGTTATTGACTAGATCTCTGATACCTGTGCTCCTTCCATATGAACCAGTGACCCTCCTGCTTCTTGAGCATTCAGGCCCATGACAGCGGCCTTGTTCCTACTGATCTCAAGGAGTTCTGTCATAGAGCCATTGGTCCTACCAATCTCACTTAACTCTGTCAGAACTCTCCTTTTGCCCGATCCATGATTATCGCGCAAGGCCTCTTCATATGAATCCACTTGCTGTGCATCCATCCAGTCCTATGACAGGATGGTTCTTCTCGTGACAAGTTTGGTGAGATCTACTGCATGATCTTATTCTGGTTGATATCGCTAAAATCAACTGAACACCCTGGATCCCAATCTATCCCATCAATACCAAAGGCAGTCTCGGTGGTGCGGCCCTCTCGATCTCACACTTAAGGCAGTTGTCCACTGTGGTCTGCTTACCGATCCATCGAATCACTTGTGCGACGGTCGAGATTACACCCATGTCAAGACAGATGCTGTTGCACCATTGTTTGGCGTAGCTTGACAAGTCTATTAGGACTTTGATTGTGCTACCACTGGATAGAGTGTCTGCAGCAGTTAGTTGGAATTGGTTCAAAGTTGGGGTTGCAATCTATACCAGCAAGAGAGGTTATAAAGAGAGGTCATACGATGGATCTCATCAAGACGGATCCTAGTCGGCTTTTACAGTAGGGGTTAGGGTTGCTGCTGGATGGAGCGTTCAGGGTAAGTTGGCTTTCTGAGACTCGTCATTGGGGCAGTTTGGAAGGAGCATGGTTGGTTGCTTTTGCTAAAGTCAATCCGAACTAAGTGTGCATGTGAGACTAGGTAAGAAGGGATGGGGTTAGACAAGCTCCATGTACCTTTGCATCTCCCAATTGGTGACGGATTGGTTGAACAAGTGTACCTCGTGCAGTCTAGTTGCGCCGAAGTGGTCGACAAGTGTATCGCCTAGCACTTTTCGTGCGAGACTCTCTTTGGCCATGAACCGTTGTGTCGCTGACTGCAAGCATGTTGGTAGGTAAACCAGCTTTTGCTCCTTAGCTTCCAGTGTGGTGTCCAGAGGTGCGAAGGGCAGATGAAGCTTTTGCGAGATACCGTAGAGTCCGAGGGCGAAGATGGCTGCGAATGCGTACGGGGCGTTTAGGTCGGCTCCTGGTACACGCACTTCGAAGCGTGTTGCGTAGTCTGGCACGTCTGGGGGACTCAGGATCCTCACTGAAGCCAGCCGGGAGTCGTAGGCATAGGAAGAGATGTTGGGAGCCCAGTAGGCTTGGCCTGTAGTTAGCCTCTTGTACGAGTTGATCGTTGGGCACAGTAGGGGCATGATGTCCGGCAAGCCGGTCATGACTCCAGCGAGAAACCACTCGGCCTGTTGACTAAGGTATTTGACATCCTCGTACTTGGCTTCCTTCCTGCCTTGTTGTGCAATCTGCTCCTCCTTGCTTAGCGCAAACATGTTCCTGCCCGTCTTGGGATCGCAGAGGGATACATGGATATGCCCAGAACATCCAGCATGGTTCGCATGCGGTTTAGCCATGAAGGTTGGTACAATGCCATGCTTGATGGCTACGGATTTGGCGAGGAGCTTGTAGAGGACCGCCATATCGGCCATGCGCGTCACTTCGGTGTAGGCCAATGCAGTCTCGTACACACCTGGACCAGTCTCGGTATGATGCCCCTCGACATCGATTCTGAAAGCTTGAGCGGCATCAAAGAGCTCGAGGAAGTAGTCCTTGTTGAGAGTGGTGCGGAGCATGGAATAGCCATGATTGCCTGGTGTAAGCGTGTTAAGATTGACGAAAGCTTTCTCAGCTAGTGACTGGGCAGTCTCTTTAAACTGAAAGTACTCGAATTCAGCTCCGGCCATGCACCTCCATCCCGTCTGCTCCTCCACTCTGCTCGCCACTGAGCGCAACAAGTTTCGTGGACAAACGGCAAGCGGTGTTCCATCGGCATTGAAGAATCGGATAAGGAAGAAAGGCACGTTGTTCTCCCACGGAATGCGTCGGTAGGTGTCCAGATCGATCCTCGCCGAAAGATCGCGATAGCCGTTTGCTTTGTTCGAGACGAGAAGTTCGGTCGGGTAGACAAGATCGTGCATATCCCAACCAAAGATCACAGAGCAAAAGCCGAAATCAGAGGTAGGCTTAGCCGCCGAAAGGAACTTTGATTTCGAAACGTACTTGCCTCGGACGATGCCATCTACGTCCAAGCCTGGAGGATGTTGTAGGTGTGCAAGATATGGCAAGGCAGAAAGTCAGCCATCCATCCTGATACTGCAGTGATGCGGGGGACCTCGAGACTTACCAGCGAGCTTGACCTTGTTGTCATCTTTGAGAAGCTCTTCGAGGTCTTGGTATTCGATCCTGCTTGGTTTCGACATGCTTGCGCCCGGTGAAAATGAGAAAGCAGAGAAGGAGGAGGACAAGAAGAACGACAAGAAGAACGACAAGGAGGACGAGGCTGAAGAAATCTCGTGACCTCTTCTTGTTTGGAGATGGTCCGTGCACCGGCCTTCACTTTCTCGTGCGTATCGCGCGTATCGCGCGTATCGTGCTTATCGCGGCTAATGTGCTGCGTGCGGTCGAATTCGCTTGTCCTTCCCACCACCATCATATCTATCCCTCGTCCACCATCGATATACACACACACACACTCTCTCTCTCTCTCTCTCTCTTTACGATGGCGGTGCAAACTACCATCGCACCTTACGATCAGAGCGTGGTGTGCGAAAAGCAGCTGCTCTCTCCATCGGAACTCGACAAGGCCATCGATACTGCAGCTGCAGCTCAAAAGTCGTGGGCCAAGAGTGGTGTGGAAGAGCGTGTTGCTATCATCGCCAAGTGGATGGGCATCCTCGATGCGGAGAAGGAAGAGCTGGGGAAAGAGCTTTCTGCTCAGATGGGTCGGCCGGTGGGTCAGTGCGCCGGAGAGATCAGGGGAGCGTTGGAGAGGTGTCGATTCCTGTGTAAGGTGGCAAAAGATGCTTTGGCCGATAAGCCTCAGACCGAGGGGGAAGCTGGCAATCTGAAGCTCAGCATTCGACGGGATCCTTTGGGGGTGGTTGCGATGGTGACGCCTTGGAACTACCCTTATCTCACCACGGTTAACGGCCTGGTGGCTGCTTTGCTTGCTGGAAACGGCGTGGTGCTCAAGCCTTCGCCTCAGACACCTTTGACAGCAGAGAGTTTGCAGCGGACACTCGAGGCGGCTGGATTGCCCAAGGGCTTGCTTGAGGTGGTACACTTGGACTTTGAGAGCACTGCCAAGCTCGCAGCGGACGCACGGGTCAAGTTTCTCGTCTTTACTGGTTCTGTCGCTGGTGGCAAAGCGCTTGGAAAAGCTGCTGCCGATGGACCTGGTTTCAAGGGTGTTGCCCTCGAGCTCGGCGGTAAGGACCCGGCCTACGTTCGTCCAGACGCGGACATCAAATGGGCCGCAGAGGAGTTGGTGGATGGTGCAATGTTCAATTCGGGACAGTCGTGCTGTTCGGTGGAACGCATCTACGTGCACGCCTCGGTATTCGACGAGTTTGTGCAAGAGTTTGTAGCACTTGCTAAGGCCTACAAGCTCGGAGACCCTAGGCAAGCAGAGACAACTCTGGGGCCCGTAGTCAGCGTTGCTTCTGCCGAACGGATGCGTAGGCAGATTGAGGATGCGCTCAGCAAGGGAGCCAAGAACCTCATCCGCGCCGACCTCTTCCCCGAAGCCAAGGCTGGTACGGCGCTCGTCGCACCCACCGTCCTCGTCAACGTCGACCACAGGATGGAGATTATGAGGGAGGAAACGTTCGGCCCAGCTATCGGCATCCAGAAGGTCGCATCCGACGAGGAAGCACTGCAACTCATGAACGATTCGCACTACGGCCTCACCGCTTCCATCTGGACCGACATCCAGACTAGAGGCTCGGCAGAAGCGTTTGATAAGCTAGCCACCGAGCTCGAGACGGGTACGGTTTATCTGAACAGGGCGGATGTCTTGCACCCTGCTCTCCCCTGGAGCGGTGTCAAGGATAGCGGAAGGGGTGTCAGTTTGAGCACCTTGGCCTTCGATCAGTTGACTCAGCCCAAGAGTATCCATATGCGTTTGCGTAAGGCTTGAGATGCATGCCCGCCTCGGAAGATATACGTTGTGGTACGATTGCAATCCATGTTTCCATTCGAATGATCCGTGATCGACTCGACGAGCTTCTTGGCTGTGCGAGTGGCAGCAGCAGCGCGTATCGCATGACGTGAAAGGGGGGGGGGGCGCGTATCGCAGCCGCGCATTACAGTTGTCGGCCGAGTGTGTTGAGATGAGCCGCGGCAAGGCTAGATAAGACCGGATAAGACCGGGTAAGACCGGATCAGACCGTGTCAGGGGCTTGCCTCTCGACCACCACCATCTTGACAGGCTCGCTTGGATAAGCATCTACCACAATGCCTGGTTTGCGTCTTGCCCATCGCGTAAGTCATCCCCGTTGCCGCTTGAACGCGCGGAATACGCAGGCTGGCGCTAACAGTGTTTGCCTTGGCCGCGTTGGTTGGTATCGCAGGTGGCTGTCATCACCGGCGGCGGTTCGTAAGTATACCTCTTGCTCGCCACGTTGAAGCTCACTCTGCTTAGCCTTGCCTCTCTCTCTCTCTCTCTTTCTCTCTCGCTCCGACTACGACAGCGGTATTGGCCGAGAATGTGCGCTTCTGTTCGCCTCGGAAGGAGCCTCGGTGGTGCTCGCGGACATCAACCTGGACGGATGCCAGAAAACGGCGGATCTGGTCGAGCAGCGTTTCTCGCACTGTACGCCGGCGGTCAAAGCGGTTGCTGTCAAGTGCGATGTTAGCAAGGAAGACGAGGTGGCGGCAGTGGTCCAGCGCGCTGTTGATGAATTCGGTCGGCTGGATGTCATGTTTAACAACGCCGGCATCATGCACCCTTGCGACGACAACGCTTTGAACACGGAAGAAAACATCTGGGACCTCACCCAGGCGATCAACGTCAAAGGCGTTTGGTATGGCTGCAAACATGCGATCATGGCTATGCGCAACAACGCAACGGATGAGAGCAAGAATCTGCACGTTGGTGGCTCGATCATCAACACAGCTTCCTTCGTAGCGGTCATGGGTGCAGCTACTCCTCAGATCGCCTACACTGCCTCCAAGGGAGCCGTACTGGCTATGTCGAGAGAGTTGGCCATCGTCCATGCCAGGGAAGGCATCAGAGTCAATTCTCTCTGTCCGTAAGTTTCGACTGTTTGGGCTGTGATTGTGAGAGCTGTAGGCCTGAAGATGCTGACATCTCTCTCGATCGGCTTTGTGATCTTTGTTGCTACTGGGCGGTGCATGGAACAGCGGACCACTGCAAACACCTTTGCTGATGGACTTTCTCGATACACCCGAAAAACTCGCCCGTCGTATGACCCACCTTCCAATGGGAAGATTCGGAGAGGCGGTTGAACAGGCTAAAGCTGTCCTTTTCCGTGCGTTGCCACCCGCTCCTCCTCCTCCTCGTTGTTGTTGTTGTTGCGAGTTTGGAGACACTGACATCTCTTTCTTCTGCATTCGCACCGGTTTGGTGCCGGCAGTGGCTACGGATGAATCGAGCTATGTGGTTGGGCATGATCTTTTGGTCGATGGAGGCCTCTCCCGTGCTTACGTCGTAAGTGTCCCGCTTGTCTTTGAAAGGGTAGTCGTAGATGCAGTACAGTTGGCTGATGCTCTTTGCATCTCATATCTTGTTTCCCATCCTCGTGCCGCGCGGTTGATAGACGGCAGAAGGGGAGGCAGTGTTGCCTCCTCCAAAGAGTCTTGTCTGAACATGCTCTCTCCACTGTCTCGGCTTGTTTTGTTAAAGCATACTTGGGTAGGATTGCAATGCAACTCTTCAGCCGAGTTTGAGAATTAGGCTACGGAGGCGATCATTTTAGTGAGCTTCTTCCTCCTCACCCCCTTGCCCAGCAGAGCGTAGAGGCTGCCGGAGATGGGTGCGACGACGGTTGCGGCAGGAGCAGATAGCAGCAACTTGGAGGCTCCTTGTATCGTTGCATTGCTTTGCAATGTCAATCTGAGCTGGCAGAATGGCAGGATGCATTCAAACTTGCCCAGCGGAACCGAGGGTGGGTGTGAATGCAATACCACCGTTGCTTGGACCACGATGGCCTCATTTGCACAACACCAGCACAATGCGTTGTGCGGACTAAACAAGTCCAAGGGTCGATTGCCACCTCGCTCCACACTTGCACCCACACTCGCAACAGAAGAGCTCAACAGACGTGCGAGGGCAAGGTTGTTGGAAAGGCCATTTGGCAAGAAAACGAGATACAAGCAAAGTGGAGCGATGCGATCCATGCTGTGTTTATGCACCGGTAGCGATTGCAGTCGAACTAGGCCCAGGAGCAGCAGTAGCAGCAGCAGTAGCAGCAGCAGCAGCAGTAGTAGTAGTAGTAGTAGTAGTAGTAGTAGTAGTAGTAGTAGTAGTAGTAGTAGTAGTAGCAGACGAGCAAGGGTCGACGCTTTCTCGAATGTGTTTCTTCATATCATACGTGTTCATCTCGTTGACTGTCAGCTTGTTCTCCTTTGCTGCCAAAGCAGCATGTGGGGCGCTCAAGGATGAGAAGCCAATCCTTTCGTTCAGATTCTCCAAGGCACGGGCGGAAGCGTACTGCACTCGAGTAGCCCTGGGCTTACGAATGTGCTGGTAGAGCTGCAAACCAGCCTCGATGTTGCTGGTAAAGTTGTACTCGCTGCTGAAAATGATGCCGAGCGCAGCAGCGTCTTCGATTGCTTGGCAGGCGCCTTGGGATTGGTGGGGCATCATGGGATGGGCAGCATCGCCGAGGATGCAGGTCTGCTTCTTGTACCAGTGCGAGTAAGGTTGGTGGAGGTAAAGACGCCAGGGCTTGCGTTCCACCGAGTTCTGGATCAGCTTGACACACAGCGGGTCCAATTGGCAGTAGTCGCCAGCAAGGATCTCTTCGGGGGCGACCTGTTCAAAGACAAAGCCTTCGGAACGGTGCTTGGTGAGTTGGGTGGGCATGAAGCAGTAGAACGAGACAATGTCGCCGGCGGCGCATGGGCTCATGACGATCTTGTAGTACTGGTTGAGATGCTCCTTCGGATAGCCGCCCCAGAACTGGATGGCAGGATCGGCAGCCCAGGTAAGGCCAAGACGTTGGACCTGCTCCTTGGTGACGTTGCATCGGTAACAAGTCTGAGGCGCCGACTCGATCTCTGGCGTGACACCAATCGCTGCACACGTCTTGGATCGAATACCATCCGAACCGACGATCAGGTCGGCAGCGACGCGGATGCCGTTACGGAAAGTGACGACGCTCGTCTCGGTGTCGACGTGGTCTGCAATGTGGTCCATGACAATCTCGACGGGGATCCCCTTGCCGGATGTAGAGAGGGCGGCGTCGAGGAGCATCCTGTGCATGTCTTGACGGTGGAACATGTTGTAGACGTTCCCCCACGTCTCCTCGTAGTCGTCGAGGTGGTACTGGTTGAGGATTTGGCCGGTTTGCCAATCGCGCATGGTGAGCTCCATCAAGACGACAGGACGACCGCACTGAACATCGACCTGCCACTCGTGAAGCCATTGTGTGCCATTGGCGGCGCAAGAGATGGAAGCACCCACCTCGACGTCAAAGCCTCGTCGTTCGTATACGGTACACCTGTGGCCTGCGCGACGAAGGGCAATGGCGCTTGCAAAGCCACCGATGCCACCACCGAGGATGGCGACGTCGAGCTGCTTGAAAGAGGAACCAGCTTTGCCCATTTGCACTCTTGTCTGCTGCGGAGATGAGCAGCTAACCCTAACGGGCAGTCTTGATTCGGGAGGCTTGCTTCTCTATATAGCATCGACCCTCTCTCCCTCTCTTCCTCTCTCCCTCGCTCTGACTGACTGACTGACTGACTCGATGCTCCGCCACCCAAGACTCCGCCACCCAAGGCTGAGTTTTCAGTTGGCTGGCATTTCCACAGGCAAAGTGCCGTAGTCGTCGGGAGGGCCGCGAGGATCGAGACAAGCCACCGTGCTCGGTGCTCCGACGATCGTGATCACTGAGGCACGAGAGCAGTCAACGCCCACAAAAGCGACACTCCGAGGCGCCACTCGATCACATCAGGCACTTTGGCACTCTATCAGCCAGATACGGCCAAGTCAGTGATCCATGTATATAAACAAGCCGAGTTAGTTAGCCTACCCACCCCCCCCCCCCGTTTCATCCATCCCAGCAAGTTTGGATATACTCGTCAACGTCGACCATCGTTCGAACTGCATTGATACCCCCCCCCCCCGCCGCCGCAATGGGTCCGTGCATCTAGTCCCTAGGCCTCGGCAAGGCTGATGATACTCGAGCCTCGAACTGTTCAAGGTTGCATTCATTGCCATTTCTTTGTTGTTCGTCGTTTCGTCGTTTCGTCGTTTCGTCGATCTTGTCGACGTCGACCAACACTGGTCCCTGCATATCCGATCGGCCGTCTACTCGATCGACCCGCTACCTCACCATCTATCGCTAGCTTGAAGACTGCCATCTCGTTGCTCTCCAACGCTGCACGGCGAAGCGAAGCAGCACGCAACTCACGCCGCATCCTCACAGTGCTTCTCAGTGCCCAGCACCACCTTGAGCAGCAAGCGCAAGCGAGCAAGCAATCCTCCTTCTGCGCAGCACACGGCGCAATTGGCAGGCAAATCAGTCGCTCTTTCCTTCTCTGGATAGTATTCTTTCGGGTGCCTAGTCCCTCAATCAATCGCTCGGCTCTTTATATGCCTTTGATCATCTCTAAGAGCCTTGTACACTTGTTAGCCCTGCAAGCCCTGCAAGCCATAGAATTGAGGTGGTGGATCAAGCTTTGACGACGTTGCTCTCGGCGATTGCAATGAATTCGCGTCCGACGGCGATCTGCAAACCACTGGGATCGGTAAAGCTTCCTGCATCAGGACCGAGGATCTTTGCCGTTTCTTCGTCGTGAAAAAACGCCTGTGCCTGTTGGATCGAAGGAAAGACGAAGGAAGAGCAAGCATCGTAGGGCATGACATGCAACGCGTTTCCTGGCTCTACAGCCTCTCGACCAAAGATAGTTGTCACTGCCTCCTTCGTTGCACTCTGACAACAGTGGAACTATACACAGGTACACGAACCATCCAAAACCTAGAAAGCCTGTCAGCAGTCATAACGACATCTGGCATGAATAGAAGAAGCAACTTTACCTGAGTGTAAGAAATGCATGCATGTCGAACGAGCGCAGGAAGCGCTAAGCGCGCATGTGTCTCGCTGTAGTACCTAACAAACTCGCCATCCGACATATCCTTCTTCTTGACAAGGTAGATGCAAATCTTAATGCCCTCCTGCAATCTTCCCACCGCAGACGACATTCTTGGTGGCAATAATGGTGGCAATGATAGTGGTGATGGCGGTAATAGTGGTGATAGTGGTGATAGTGGTGATGGTGGTGATGGGAAAAAGGTGAGCTAAGGCTGCCAAGGCAGTGTCCGCGGGCGTGCGCAGAAGATCCAGTACCCAGAGTAAATATGCAGGGCACACAAGCATCTCAACACAGTCGAGCCACAAGACTCGAACAAGTTTCATCAGGACAGAAAGAGCTCGCCTCTCGAATCAAGTCGGGGAGACCACTACCCACAATCAAGTTGGCAGAAGAGCATTGTCACTCCTGCAATGAAGAATGGAAGGGCCTCGATGGAATGATGGACATGAGGGGTCCCAGTACTCCAATGGAGTGGATGCATCATCCTCACTCTCGCTTGGAGGCAAGGAGCATGAGGAACAGGAGCAAGGGTACAACAGGATGCATATGAGACAAGGAGCAGGAGCAGTAGGAGCAGTGTTGAAAGGAACCTACACCTTGTCATAGGACCGGATGCACAGGAGCATCTGCAATCATATGAGCAGTGGCGCAGGAATCACAGGATTGGGAAAAACAAGGGTTTACAGCAGAGTCCATCAAGATCAGTAGTAGAGAGGCTCTACAACAGGTCTCACTCAAATTGGTACAAGTGGGATCTTACAGCAAAGCCCACTGGAATCTGTAGTCCACCACTCCAATGAAGCAGGGGGCCTGCTTGGTGATCAACTCAGGGCAGGAGGATGGGTGAGATGAAAAAAAGGGGGGGGGGGGGGGGGTGAGTCACCACTCAGATCAAGTGGGAGTGGCCCCTATCAATGATGAAGCTACACGAGGACCTTGTCATGGGACAGGATGCACAGGAAGTAAGAAGATCCAAAGTCATATGAAGAGGAGCACAGAAATCACAGGATTGGGCTAAGCAAGAGCTTAAGGCAGAGCTTGTGGAGATCAGTAGTAGAAATGGCTCTATGGCAGAACTCATCAGGATCAGTAGGAACAACATTGTTACTGCAAAGCTCAGTGGGAATGGTAATATCATGCTTGTACAACAGACCTCATGAGAATCAGTTTGAGAGGCACCCCCAACACTGATATGGCAAGAGGAGGATACCAGGTGAGGGGGAGGAGACCACTGAATGAAGAAGGGACCTTGCATGATGATGAAGCTGACACCAGCAGGTGGGTGCCAAAGACAAGCAAGTGATGAAAGGGTGCAAGTCACCACCCAGATCAAGTGGGACTGGCCCCTGATGGAGATGAGGAAGCAAGGGGCCCATCCATCCACAGGAGATGAGGGGGTGGTGTCCACAAGTAACATTACAAGGTGGATGGGGAGTATAGGAGGAACAAAGGGGGGGGGGGGGGGGGGAGCAGTGTTGCAGGCAACACTGCAAGACAGGTATATAACCATGTTCCCCATCATAGCAAGTGAGTGGATCACCATCCACTCTACACCATACACTACTAGTTATAGCTTTCACATAAAGTATACATTAGTATTTAGTCAAGCAGTAGCAATCATAAGACATTGCTCCTATTGTAGCATGTGTGTTGCATCACTGCTCATTGACATTGATCAACATCAGAAGGCAGTTCATCCAGTGGTCCAGTTCTCTCAATCATCAGAACCAAAGGCAGTTGTCCACTGTGGCCCAGGGATCACCTCAAGCACTCAGTTGACACACTGGACACTTGTGTCAGCACTGTCAGGGGTCTCGTGCCTGAAACCCAGGTTGGTCTGTTGAGATACTTGGTGACTATCAAACTGTGCAACAGCTATTGTCTTGGTATTGGTCTCAACAAGCTAGTTTCTCGGCAACTATCAAGTTGTGCAATGACAGCAGGTGGCATTCATTGTATATACTGTCGTAGGTTTCGGCTGACCTCTGTGGACACTCCGTTCCAGGGTAGCTTGGCATGATCAATATCAATATGTAGGTTATGATGACACCAAGGTCTGGTGTGAGTGTTGATGATGATGGGGTTGATGGTGTTGGTGATAAGGTTGGTGGCATCAACACAAGTGTCCAGTGTGTTGACTTGATGCTTGAAGTGATCCCCAGACTGCATTGGACTACTGCCTTCAGTTCTATCTATATCCAGACTGCTGGTTTGCTATGAACTGCCTTTGGACATCAGGTAGTGGTGATACAACACACACACTACAATGAGGAGCAACCTTGATAGATTACTACTATGCTGACTGAAACTAATGTATACTTATGCTGAAGTGATAACTAGTTATGATGGTTGTGTAGAGTGGATGAGGATCCACTCGACCTTTGATGATGAGAAAGTATGGTTATATACCTCTTCACAGCATCACCAGCAACACCACTCCTGCTCTCTCTCCAGAGAGTACCTTCTTCATCGAGTACTTGTACAGGGGGCCCCTCTAGCACCACTCCTGTCCTCCTTGAGCTATCTGCACCCCTGTGCCTCTTGAGTGGTGTCAACTCCTTCAACACTGCTCCTCCTCCTCAGGACCTGCTTGCCAGTTTCCTATACACTGCTCCTTCTCCTTTGACTGGTGATGGTTCCTTTGACTCTTGTCTCTTGAGCCCCTGGGTGGTAACCATCTGCATGCTCCTTGAGCTTGGTCCTCTTTGTGGCTGTGCCTGGCCCTCCTTGCATATGGGCCCAGTCCTCCTTTGCATGTGAGTCTGTAGGAGTCCATGGTCTCCATGGAGACTGCACTATGACCATGCCCTCTACTGGTATCGACTAGATCTCTGATACCTGTGCTCCTTCCATATGCACCAGTGACCCTCCTGCTTCTTGAGCATTCAGGCCCATGACACTCCCTTATGAAGTAATGTTCAGAAGATTGCCAAAACAGCTCATACGACTCCTCTACATCTTCGGATATCTCGCTTGGGTAAACATCCCAACGGTTAAGCGAGACAATAAGACGTTAGACCAGCGAGCAGTTGCAGCCATATGTCACAGGGTCTGCACAGATAGACCCTGGACAAGAATTGGGTGTGTCATGCATGCAAATTGTGAAATCAACTGCATCATGGGTTTCTGGTTGATCTCACTGAAATTGACCTGAACCAACCCATTTGGTAGATTTCACCAGATACACTGCGAGAAGCTCCCATTGGTGTGTACCAGCTTGGACACTCACAAGAGAAGGATGGGAAAGTTGGAGGAGGAGTACTCCATTGTGGAAACAGGGAAGAGACAGGCAGGAGGTGGTCACATGCAAGGAAGGGGATCAAGCTCAGGACCACACATATGGTTACCACAGGGGGAGATGGTTTCACACATGTTGAGGAGGTGACTGCATGGAGTGGGAGGATGGACATAGGGGTGACCACATGGTCAAGAGCAGGACAATAAGGTTAACCATGTGGTCAAGGAGATTCACAGGATAAAGGTCAGGTTTGGAGAATGGCCACACCGGTTAGGAGGAAGGAGAACTGTGCTGAGGAGACCAGCAAGTAGGACAAGAGGAGGAGGAGCAGTGTTGAAGGACTTGATAACACTCCTCAGGAGGAGCAGGAGCGGTGTCACAGGCGACATTGTACAAACACATAATTACTCTCATTTCACCATAGTATACAAGTGGATCCTCATCCACTCTACTCTTTACCTGTCTTACTCTTTACTTAGTTTCATATCATTGCAATAGCAGGGCTTTGCAAAGTTATCTCAAGCAAGTGTGTTGTATCACCGCTAGATGACAACTGTAGGCAGTGTTCAACACCTGTAGTCCAGTACCTCTCTCATCTGCAGGCAATAACCTTATTGCAGTCCAGATAATATCAAATACCATCAAGCAACAAGCAGCACTACAAACACTCATGCTGTTACAGGAGGCTGCATCTTATAGCATTCCAAATCTAGTTCTACAAGACATGCTGCATAGCCTCTGAATGGAGTGTTCAAGGCAGTTAGTCAAAACCTACTATCACACAGCCTTACCACATATCCCATGGAGATCAGCTGTAAGGAAAACTTTTCTGCACCTTTTGGGGAAATCAGTTATATTAGGTTCTTATAACAGTTTTCAGGTTTCTGGCACACGACCGCTTACACCATATTCATAGGGTACAGCCTGGAGAGAAAGGGTTGGCTGTTCTATAGTCTGTCAGAGGACATGTGCCCAAAACCTGTTATCTGTAATAGAATTGTGTCTATTATGAATCCTGTCAAAATATGTGACAATGCTAGTGGTATTACAATTCTTGGTGAGATATGTAGTAGAGACATCTCTATCACTTTTCTCACTCAAAGATGCAATAATAGTTTTGCTATTGCAGGTTTCAACTAACCACTGTGGACACTCTGTCCAGAGGTAGCTCAGCACAATCAATAACTTGAATGTATTGCATGACACCAAAGGTCTGGTGTGAGTGATATGATTGGTAGTGCCAACACAAGTACCCAGTGTGTCAACTGAATGCTTGAGGTGATCCCCAGACTGCAGTGGACAACTGCCTTCAGTTCTATCATTATCCAGACTGCAGGTTTCTATGAACTGCCTTTGGAAATCAGAGAGCAGTGATACAACACACATGCTGCAATGGATGCAATCTATTGAGATTGCAACTTGCTGACTGAATACTAATTGTATACTTATGTGTAAAGCTATAACTAGTAGTGTATGGTGTAGAGTGGATGCCAATCCACTCACTTACTATGACAGGGAGCATGGTTATATACCTTTCTTGTGGTGTTGCCTGTGACACTGCTCCTCCTCCTCCTTCCTGCTACTCCCCCCATCCATCCTTGTGCTGCTACTTGTTGGCACTGCTTCCCTAGCCTCCTGCAGGTGGATGGGCCTCTTGCTGCCTTCATCTTCATTAGGGGCCAGCCCCACTTCATCTGAGTGGCAACTCACACCCCCTCTCATCCTTATGTCATTGGCGCCCACCTGCTGGCCCTGACCTCATCATCATGTCAGACCCCTGCTTCATCCAGTGGTGTCCTCCTCTTGTACAGTGTCCCCCCCTCATTGTATCAGCAATGGGGTGCCTCTCTGATCGATCCTCATGAGATCTGCAGTACCCAGCATGATATTACGATTCCCACTGAACTCTGTAGTAACGACATTGTTCCCACAGATCCTGCTGAGTTATGCCATAGGATTGTTTCTACTGCTGATCTCAGTGAACTCTTCCTTAAGCTCTTGTTTAGCCCGATCCTGCAATTTCTGCACTCCTTCATATGACTTCAACTTCTTCCTGTCTCCTGCGCATCCGGCTCCCATGACATAGTCCTGACTACAGACCAAATGTCTTCTGGAGCAACTCGGCAAAGTTTCTAGAATACAGACACTGGACAGATCACACCAAGTGGCAACTAGTGAGCATTTGACCTCAACAAGCAAAGAAGATCCCAAAGACTTGGGTTACTCAGAGGAACATTTATTTTATGAGAAAGACCAGGAACCACTGGACAGACACATAGACATGGAGTCAGCCATAGATACAAATGAGCATCAAGACCCCAAACCTTTGACCAACAACTGGACTTTTGGACTTGCAGCCACACACATTGAGAAAGGAGTAAACCTGGATCCAACCATCCACAAAGCGCTGGTTGGTCAAGATAGAAGACTATGGGAAGAAGCAATGCAAAAGGAACTGGACAGATTGGAAGCAATGGGGATGTTGGAGATCACAGATCTTCCACCTGGTATGAGCACTGTCAACACTTGCTGCATACTTAAAATCAAAACAGATGTGGAGCTAGTGCCAACAAAGTTCAAAGCTAGACTTGTAGTGTGAGGCTTCACTCAGAGAGAAGGTGTTGACTATACTGAAATTATCGCACCAGTCGTGCCAATCCAGTCCATCTGCAGAGTACTAGCCTTTGCAGCAGTCCAAGACTGGAAGGTGGACTCAATCAACATGAAACAAGCATACCTCAACTCAAACCTGTATCATGACATTTACCTAAGATCCCCAGGAAAGGTGCTGAAGCTTGGGAAAGGGTTATACAGCTTGAAGCAATCGGGCCAAGAATGGAATGTCAAATTAGACTCACACCTTTGAAAGATTGGTGTCACAGGGCCAGCGCAGAGATCATAAGCAGCCATGCTGTGCAGCCACCGAAATGAGCTCAGTGCACCAGAAGCAGAACTGGTTGAGACCCAGGGGCTCCAACCAATCTCACCAAGAATGGTCAGACAGTGAGCTGGGGGGAAACCTCATTGAGAATGGTTGAGATGGTGGGTACTGGGAAGTTTCACCAAGACTGGCCCAAGATGAAGTGGATCAACCAGCCCCATGATGAGATGAGGGTGCCCCACTGAGATTGAAGGGGCAGCCACTGAGAGCAGGGAATGAGAGACCTTGCCACCTGATGAGGTGGGAGGAGACCCCTTGAGCATGATGAAGTTGGTGTAGGAGGATTGTCACCTCAGCAAGGGGAGTAAGGATAGGAAGGGCAGGATAGTAGTAGGAGCCAGATAGAACAGGATGGACAGGGAGGCCATACCCTGTAAGGAAGGGGGGCCACAGTGAGGTAGACACCATGGCAAGAGGAGATAAATACACCCTGCTGCCATAGTGAATGAGTGGATCCAGCATCCACTCTATTCTTAACTAAAACTATACTCTACTGTAACATATACTTAGTTGTTCTGTCACATAGTGCAATCACAGGCCATTGCTACTAATCCAAGCAGGTGTGTCATATCACCTCACACTGATGTTGTCTGTAGGCAGTAGTTACTGCAGTCCAGATAAGCACTTCTCTGAAGGCAGTACTCATACTGTGGTCCAGGTTTCTTTCACCAAGTCACCATTTGCCCATTGACATCTCAAACACTCATGTTGGGGCAATGGATCACCATCCTGTCTATTAAGTGTTCTGCAACAAGCAGGAGCTGACTGTGCTGCATTACCACTGAACTGGGTGTTCACAGCAGTTAGCTGAAACTCGTCAAACAAACAACTCTTCAAGCAGTCTCAGTGAAAGTGGCTGACAGGTGCATACTCAAGAGCACTCACTGAAACTGGTTGAGATCACCCAAACTGGTAGCTTTCGGGTTCCAGGCACACGACTGCTGACAATTGGTTTCCATTGCTTGCTGAGTGCACCCTGTCTATACACAAGAGAAATGGACAACGGAATCACAGTCATCACCATGTATGTAGATGATATGCTGATAGTGTCTCCAAGCTGTGAGGAAGTGGATTGCCCAAGAATGAAATCTTGAAAAAGTGGAGAACAGAGGACAATGGACTGATCAAGGAGTTCCTCAGCATCAAGATCTACTTGGACCAGGACTCAAAGAAGCATATCCCTCAATGTGATGGCATACATAAAAGCAATGGTGAGCAAGTGGTTGGAAAGAACAACCAAGAAATCCTGGGTCCTGATGCAGAGCATAACAGGAGGTGCTAAAGGAAACAGATGCTTGCCATTGCAAAGCAAAGAGTACCAAGAGCTGGTGGGGCAACTCTTATGGGTATCAAATACAGTGTGACCAGACTTCTCATTCACAGTAGGAACTTTGGCACGCTACATGTCAACCCCAATCGAAGGATGATGTCTACTGATGTGAACTGGGCATCGGACCCTACAAATGGCAGGAGAAGTACATTGAAGGTGATCACATACTTATACAGATGTCCAGTGAGCTGGTGATTGCATGTACAGAAATGTGTGGCACTCTCAGCAGTGGAGGCAGAGTTTGTCACTGCATCCAAAGCAACACAAGAAACTCTCTTCTTCTCATACCTGCTGAGAGACTTAGGGGTTGGCAACACCAAGCCAGTACTCTGTACCAGCAGTCAAGGATGCATACAGGTGAGTAAAGATCCAGCCAAACATTGGAAACTCAAGCACATTGACACTTGATACTACTTTGTCAGGGATCATGTGCAGGAAGGTGATATAACCATTGAATATGTTGGAATGGCCAATAACATAGCAGACATCCTCACAAAACCAATGAAGGGGGTAGAAACATCTTGACCAGCTCAAGCAATGGGATTAGAGATACTGATGGGGGGGGGGGGGGGGGGAGTTGAAGTTACACTGGAATAACCAATATGCAGGAAGGCCAAGCTGCCAACAGGCCAAGGATTGTGCATGCATGGTTGATCATGTGGCAACCAATCAGGAGACATTTATGAAAGAGAATGCCAAGGCTCAAAGAAGACAACACCAAGGCTCCTCATGATACATCCAGTTCACTGGGTGATGATAGATGTTCTCATGGACAAAACAAAGGTATATATACACATGGTCCTGTAGCTTTAGTTCATGATGATTTCAAGCATTGCATCTATCATACACCTGTGCGAAAGGAGCTAGAACGTAGCCCGGACAAAGCGGTGTCTTGCATAACTTCAACTGATCCCACCGAGAAGCTCAGAGCTGTCAGGTATCGCAATTGGATCATCGAGGGCCCGCTCTGTGATGCCATGGCTGCTGACACTTCAGAGACATCAGTCGTCCAAGCGGATGGAAGGTGAAGGGACTGTACAGTATCTATCACTCTAACTAGACCGAGAGCCTGTTCAAGGTGTCTCTAGCTCTAACTTGGCAAGGTTTTACGGATGCAGAACCGCTTTCGATTGACACTAGCTTAGCCCTTAGCAAGGAGGAAGGTCTCGCTTGCATCTCGGCCATCGCCTAAACCGGATTCTTGCACAACCTTGCATGATGCGCATATGAACAAGATGCGATGCGCTTTGGTGTGTTTCCCCGGCCGGTCAGCGTTTGACCAGCTGGATGCGCCTAGGATGAGGTCGGCGATCTATGTTGATCGCATGGAAGCAAGATGCGCTGCTGCTGGCGTCCTTCTGCCGGGGCAGCTTCATTCTCAGTTGCCCCGGCAAGGAAAGAGGGAGTCTCTCTATGCAGAACCTTGTTCCGGCCTTTCATTATAGCTCTGTCTTGTTTGAGGATCCGTAGTCGACGGTCCGGTTGAGCCTCCTGCTGCTTGGCTAGAAGATCACGCGGACGGAGCTAGTTCATCTGCTTTGAATGGCTTCCAGATCGACATTCCTATAAAGCCAGCATCGTCGGCAGCTGTTACCCCCCCAAGCCCTATCCTCCTCGCCTCCTTCGCCATGAGATCATCCACTCTTCTCCCCGGCGTGGCCTTGCTGACCACTTTGGCCTCAACCACTTTGGCCTCTCACATCTCCCCCGCTCCCTTCGCCGACCTGCTGGCTAAGCGCGAACACACCAAGAATGGCAACGACCCCCTCATGGTAGACCTTGGCTACTCGCAGTACCGCGGCACGTTCAACTCTTCCACCAACATTGACTCTTGGAAGGGCATCCGCTTCGCCGCTGCCCCCACTGGGGATCTTCGTTGGCAATCTCCTCAGCCTCCTGCACTTGACCGAAGTCAGGTTATGGAGGCTAACCGGTATGGCTCGCAGTGTCCGCAGAGCCCCTTTGGTAATCCGCAGTTCGAGACGAGTGAAGAGTATGCAGGTGACGATGAGGATGAGGATTGTTTGTTCCTCAACGTTTTTGCGCCTCACAATGCTAGCAATCTGCCGGACATGGTTTGGATCCATGGGTAAGTCTAGCTAACGCCTCAAGGCGGATCACCTTGGATGTCTTGATATACTGACGCTTGCCTGTACTCTTGCTCCTATCCTCGCTTTTGCCCGCCACAGCGGTGGATACGGAGCAGGCAACGGCCAATACGACTTTACCTCGATCATCACGGCCAACAAGAACAACTTTATCGGTGTTGCAATCCAATACCGTCTGGGAGCATTCGGCTTCCTTGCTTCCGACCAACTCAACCGCAAAGGTGTCGTCAATGCCGGCATTCTCGATCAGAACTTGGCACTGCACTGGGTTCAAGCTTACATCTCCCAGTTCGGTGGTGATCCTCGCAAGGTGACGCTTGCTGGTGAATCTGCCGGTGGTGGTTCTGCGATGATCCATGCGCTTGCCCAACGTGGTTCGATGGGAACCTCGCTGTTTAACAACATCATTGCTGCTAGTCCCTACCTCCCCTTCCAGTACGGGTTTAGCGACTTTGAACCTTCGCAGTCCTACTACGCCTTTGCTGCTCAAGCAGGTTGCTTTGATGGTGTTGCGTACGGCAAGACAAACCAGAGCATCTTCGAATGCTTGTTGACGAAGGATTCCAAGACACTGCAGGAGGCGAATGTCAAGACTTCAGCAAGTGCTTTCTTTGCCACTTGGCCCTTCCTCCCTGTGACGGATGGCAAGTATATCGTTGATGTTCCTTCAGCACAGCTGAACAAACGCAAGCTCAACGGAAAGCGTCTTCTTGTTGGTAACAACGGTGCCGAAGGCGCAGTGTTCGTGATGCGAGACAAGGATACGGAAGGCAAAGTTCGTCAGTGGCTCACCACGCTCCTTCCCCTAGCAACTGAACAAGACATTGCAAAGATCCTTCTCCAGTATCCCGTCGACACCAACGTCGCCACGCATTACGCCACTAACGGATTGGATCAGCCCAACGCAAACAGCGTCAACCCCGTAGCCCACGGCCAGCAAGCAAGAGCAGACAACATCTATGGAGAACTAACCTTCGTCTGCCCGTCCTACTGGATGTCGGAAGCCTACTCCGGTTCAGGTCGGCAATCCTATCGATACCAGTACTCGGTCGTTCCGGCTCTGCATGGAAACGATGTTGTAGCATACTTCGGTCCTCCTTCGGCGGTCCAGTCTGCTCAATTCGTTAAGGCCTTCCAGAACATCTATGGCAACTTCGTTACGAAAGATAACCCTTCCATCAGCTCCTCTCTCATCGATAACTCCTCCAACCCCAACCCGGCAAACAACTGGCCCCAATACTCGGCGGAAACGCCTTACCAGATCAACCTCAACCAAACAGGAGGAACACCAGAACAGATGCCCTTCCTAGGAACGCAGCTTACCACCTTGACAGGCCAAGGCCTGAGCAACCATTTCACAAAGGTCAATGCCCATACTTGGGAAGGTGGCAGGGCAAGCAGGTGCGATTTTTGGAGATCCATTGCCAACATCCTACCCAGTTAGTTTGCTTCGAGACTAGCTCTACTGTATATATATCAAGCGAAGAGCTCCAGTCTACTCCACCCTTCTGTCGAGGTCAATAGAGTATAGTGTTTCTGCCCCAATAGCAGCAGGACTGTGCTTTTGTTGGAGGTAGGCCCGACCTCGTATCGGTGGCGCCATGCCGATATCGCTGATAAAGGGGTCAAGGAGCTGGACCTCCTTGCTTGGAGCACCCCTGCATTGTGCATAGGGGTTGAGGAGCTTGGGGCCCCTTGAAAGACCTGTCCTGCCTTGTCTTGTTTCACTTAAATAGTCACATCTGTTGCTGTAGATAGTTTGCAATACTACCTCTCCTTATATTGTCTACAAACCTAAAACCAGCCTGTCCAAACCATTGCTATGCAAGGCAACATATCTTCCAACAGATTATGAGACCTAGCTGGTTCTAGCCCTTGCATAGACCACACAAAGTATCTTGATTGCCTCCTGTAGTGATGACTTCAGCTAGTCATGGATCAATACTTTGGTCCTCCTTTTCAAAACTCCTTTGATTGCAGCAAGCCCAGCTGGCCTCCAATACCATGCATCATTGACACTTGTCTGTGGGCTTGAGTGAGCCCCCCTTTTCCAAAACAATGGATGTCTCCATGTCTGCCACCACTATGCCTATCCTGAAGGGTAGTACCAACTACCATTCTTGGGAAAGCATTTCAAGAGATATGTTGAAGGTATCAATCCCATCATGTGGGATCACATTATGGACACTGTGGTCCCTATCTTGTCAATCAAGGACAAGAAACTTTGACATCTCCACCTGACTGCCTCCAGGAAAGCTGTGACTGCTATCCTCAATGCCATCACTCCCAATGTCACAGCTAGCATCAATGATGATGAGGAGAGATCTGCCCATCAGATATGGAAGCTGCTGGAGGACTGCTACTCAAAGGGAATGGTAATCCTGCCATACATTCTCCTCACTGAGCTTGTGCAGCTCTCCCAGATTGGTGGGGTTGGTGAGTTCATTTCCAACATTGAGCACATCTTGACTGAATTGAGCCTGATGGGAAAACCCATCAGACCCAATATCAAGCTCAGATGTTTGCTTTGCAGCATTCAGCCCCACCTTTGACCATACACTGCTGCCTATGAGGCCAAGTGGGAGTTGACTGAGAAGGAAGCCTTGGACAAGAAAGTGCAGACTGACAAGAAGAACATTGAGACTCAGTTACATCACCTGTTCCACTGCATGGCAATGAACCTCTGTAACCATGAGTCATCTGCACAGCTCAAAGAGTGGGACCTTGATGCATTGGCTCTCATTATGACCCAAGGGCAAGGAGGGCAAGGGACAAGGAGAAGTGAAGCTCCCCACCCCATGCAGCCCAACCAAGGGCCTGTATGCTGGCACTGTCACAAGTCCAGCCATATCTCACCAGAATGCCCTAATTGGCAGGGCAACACAGTCAGGTGCAAGCATGGGGGTTGAGGCAATGCCCCCAGAAGAGGAGGAGGTAGCACCCCCAATGCTGGCATGGCCGGTTGAGCCCTTGCCATCATGATGATGGGAATCACAATGGACCCAACCCATGACAGATGGATCTGGGACACTGGTGCTGATGTCCACATCTGCAAAGACAAGTTGATCATGACCGACTTATCCAAGACCACAGGCACCATAAGTCAAGCTCAAGGCCCACCAATCTGATACAACACCACAGGCAATGTTGACCTCAAGCTCTGCACCAATCAAGGCGTGCATGACTCTGACAACTCATCGCTCACCTCTGCTCCATCGACTGCTTCCCTCCCCATGGAGGAGGATGCTCTGAGCGATTTCCAAGTGGAGTATCTCACCACTGCGAAGATACTCACCTCCCTGACACCAGTGAAGGGCATGATCTTGACACCGACATCACCACCAAGCATGGTGTTGTGCTGCCCAATCTAGCACTCAGCATCATCCAACCACCACTGACAGCCAATTGGATGGCATGCGACCTTGTTTCTCTTGTTGGAATCGACCCTCAGACCTCAATTGATGATCTGACCACTGTCCCACAGGCACAGGCATCTCTTTATTGGCCCAAGTGGGAGGAGGCTATCAACATCAAACTCAACTCGCTCATCAACACTGGCACTTGGACCATTGTCAACCTACCTCAAGGCTGCAAACCCATATTGGCAAGATGGGTCTTCAAGATGAAACATGATGCTGACAACAACATCAGCAAATTCAAGGCTCAATTGGTTGCCTGTGGCTACTCCCAGGTTCACAGCATTGACTACCACAACACATACTCTCCAGTAGTCAGTATGACTTGCCTTCAAATGGTTATGTGCTACAGCATCAAGCACAGCTACAGGATCTGCCAGCTCAACTTTGTTGCCACCTACCTCAACAGCAAACTCAAGGATGTGGACATCTACATGGTCTTACTGCCAGGTTTCAAGGACCACTTCAAGCAATCACTGCACTCAGTATGCAACCTCAAGAAGGCCCTATATGGACTCAAACAGTCCAGCTGAGAGTGGTACTCCAAACTCAATCATTGCCTGACAGTGATGGGGTTTGCTCAACTTGGATGAGGTATGGCTATGTACAAGATAGGATCAGTTGTTGTTGCAGTATATGTAGATGACCTCATCATTGTCAGCATTGATAGCAATGTGGACCACATGATTGCCACAATCCATGCACAGTTCAAGATCATGGGTGGCAATGATGCTGAATGGTGTCTCAGAGTTCACATCAAACAGTCACAGGACTGAACCACAGTGTCACTTGGTCAAGCATCTTACATTGACATCATACTCAAGTGCTTCAGTATGGAGAAGGCCAACCCTGTCAAGACACCATTGGATCCATCAGCAGTCAATCTCAGCCCCAAGGATGCAAGCCACAAAACACTGAACAAGGCTCAGACAACAATCTATCAACAGATGATTGGGTCCATCATGTACCTCATGACATCAACTTGTCTGGACCTTGCATTTGCAGTCAGAAACCTTGCCAAGTATCTCTCTTTTCCAATGACAGTGCACCTCAACCAAGCCTGCCATCTCCTTCACTACATATCATACATGTGCAACAGCAGGCTAACATACCTTGTTGACAACAACAGCAGGGTGCTGCTTGCTTACTTGGATGTGGATCACACTGGGAGCTGGAAGGAGAACCCATACTGCATGTTGGGTTTCATGCTGATGTTGTTTTGAGGTGCTATAGCTTGGAGGAGTTGCTGGCAAAGGATCATATTGACTTTGACTGCCAAAGCAGAAGTGGTGGCCCTCAGTGATGCATGCCATGACATTGATTGGATCATCAACATTGTCAAGGGTCTCAACCTTGTCATCAACAGCAATGCAGGAGTTGTACTTCACACCGATAACCAGGCTGCACAGCGAGTTACCTCCTTGGATGGGCCACAACAAAACAAGGCACTCACACATCGCATGGCATACATCAAGGATGCAGTCAAAAAGGGGCTCATCATCATCAAATGGATTCCAGGTGAGTTACAAATTGTGGATGGTCTTACTAAGTTGCTCAATGCTAGAGGGAGTAACAAATCATGTGAAGACTTGGGTGTACTCACCAAGTAGATTGGCCACTGATAGGAGGAGTGTTAGAGGTAGGCCTGACCTTGTATCAGTGGCACCATGCCAATATTGCCAATAAAGGGGTCAAGGAGCTGGACCTCCTCACTTGGAGTGCCCCTGCATCATGCATAGGGGTTGAGGAGCTTGGGGCCCCTTGAGCAACCTGTCCTGCCTTGTCTTGTTTCACTTAAATAGTTGCATCCATTGCTGTAGATAGTTTGCAATACTACCTCTCCTTATACTGTCTATGAACCTAAAACCAGCCCATCCAAACCATAGCTACGCAAGGCGACATAAATTCCAACAGCTTTGACTCTGACCGCACATTGAGTGTCGCCAACTGTCTGTCAAGAATCGAGAACCTCACCGCTCGCCTTCGAGACATGCTACAAGGCCGCTTTCGTAGGGTGATCAATAACCAGACCTACGCTATACCCAAAGAACCAAAGCATCAACTAGACTTTGACTACACACACACAACCAAACCCAAGCAAGTTGCAACACCTCTTGCAATCATGATAGAGTGCCCCAGTGAGATCTACTTTGCAAGCCATGGCCTGGGTGTCAGAGGTCTCGAGCCTCAAACCCGGAATCTGTCAGAAGAGCTGGTTCAGGCAGGTTTCGGATGTCCACTGTCAACACTCCATCCAGAGGTAGCACAGCACATTCAGAGTACTCGGATTGCCAAAGTACAATAGGATAAGATATAGTATGATATGATACGCCTTTCGTCGCACAAGTGTTCGTAATGCAGACAGTTGTATGTGAAGGAAGTTGAAGTAGATAAAGCCGCACAAAGCATGGAGACAGTGAAGGTAGTGCTTACAGCTGAGTAAAAGGCCTGAACATCTTAGCACGGACCACATGTGTCACAACCTACTCAAGGCAAATGCTTTGTTATGCTCCGCAGTCAATGCGGCTCTCCGCCGCTCTTCTTTTGTATATATAGACTCCCAGCTCTCTCGCTCTCTCTCTCTCCCCTACTACCATCATCAACAAAGACACCTCAACCCCAACCACTGACGAATGACTCCAACACGCTGATGAATGACTTCAACTGATTAAGAGTCTGACACTCAACACAATGCCGCCATCGACAAGAGCTGGACAGACGGGAAGGGGCGATGATGATCAAACGACCACAAGCAATGGACAGGAGGAAGGATGGCTCACGCAGGTAGTCAGGATCCTCCAGCTGGCGAACCCGGCACTATCGGCAGAGGAAGCAATAGTACGGGCCATGGGTCTGGTCAACATTAGCAACCAAGCTCCACGCAGGGAGACCGAAAAGATCCCCAAGGACGTATCGAGCTCCATTGCTCACATCAAGAAGCTCAGCGATAGCAATTGGCACACCTGGGAACCCACCTTTATCGACTGCCTTCAGAGAGTGCACAACGCGAAGGAAATCCTGTATGGTACCGTTGTACCCGGGAGCGAGGAATACGATGAAGACCTAGACAAGGCACTCGTGGGCCTCATCCACGCCTGCTGCGATAACAGCCCGGATAGCCGCATCGACACCTACACCGTCAGAGGGGTGGATGAAGAAGTTCAACTTGGTAGCACACTCTATGCCAAACTCAAGAAGGCACTAACACTAAACGACGCTGTAAAGCGAGCAGGACTGCAGGATCGTATCCACACAGTGCGCTTGCACGATCGAGACATTGTCAGACTAGGCAAGGAACTTGATTCGATCTGGAATGATGTGGCATGCCTCAGAAAGCGTTTCGACGAGGACCTCAAGAAATCAACTCTCTATCGCTGCACGGCTCAAGATTGGTTCTACGCCAACACCGTCGATGCACTGAAAATGGCCAGACCAGACTGCAAGTATGACGAAGCCTACCATGCACTGGCCAAGAAACAGCAGGATGGTGAGATCACTGGTTGTATTAGAGGAGCAGCAAGGGTTGCCACAAACGCGGAACAGGGGAGTGCCAACCAGGCGGAGCAAGGACCCAGGGGGAGGCGCGATCCTCGCAATCCCTTGGCCCCTCCAAAGTGCTACGCTTGCGGAGGACCAAATCACATTGCTCGAAATTGCACAAATGCACGAGGCACAAGCGAACCTGTCGCTCGTACGACACAAGAGGTGAACCACTAGGAACTCGGGTGCACCTTTCTAGCAGTCGACAGGGGTGAGCGATCAGCATGCGACACCTGGATCATCGATTCAGGTGCAACCCATCATATGGTAAATGATGAGAGAATGCTGCTCACCTCAACGAACAAGGTTGGCCAAATCAGTATGGCAGGGGACGAAAAGCTTCAGGTGAAGGCTATAGGAGATGCCTCCCTTCAGGTTGGTGAGGCCACCATCCAACTATTGGATGTGCTTTATGTACCGAAACTGAATGCTAACTTATTGTCCGTACAAGGCTTGATCGAGAATGGTGCATGAGTAATCTTTGATGAGTTTGGAACTACCATAAAGCAGAACGATGGTACCCAAGTACAATTCAAAAGGGACAGAAGACAGGGCCACTTCAAAGTGCGAGGACAAGCACTGGCTTTGGAACTGGAGGAAACACGAGATGGCGTCCCAGAGGACAACCAGAACACAGGAAAACTAGATAATGCCCCGGAGGGCAATAAGGACACGAAGCATCGAGACAGCTACCTATGGCATGAGAGGTTCGGACACCCAGGACGAGACAAAACGAGACAAATCTGGGCCCATTACCTAGGTACCGACGAGGAAATGGAACATGAGTCGAAGCACTGCAACGTGTGCAGTCAAGGAAAACAGACTCGAGCACGGATGAGCCAATCAGAGTCGGAAAGAATGGAGGCACCATTAGAGCTGGTACATGTAGACCTGATGACAGATTTCAAAGGACATGCCAACTACCACTACGCACTAGTTGCTGTGGACAACTTCTCCTCTCTGATCTATGTGGAACCACTCTGCACAAAGAGTGCCGCACTCACGGCGCTGAGAAGGTGGATAGCCAGGATGGAACGGGCAATGGACAGGAAACTCAAAACACTCTGCAGCGACAATGGAGGAGAATGGTGCAGCATAGCAGCCGAAGACTGGCAAACTCAAGAGGGTTTTAAGTGGCAAAAGAACGTCCCGGGGATCAGCATCCAAAATGGACGGGCGGAGAGAGCAATCAGATCGGTCCAAGAAAAGATGCGCTCGATGCTGATTGGTCAAGCTTGCTCTAGAGAGTTGTGGCTGTACGCAATCACAGCAGCAGCACACGTGATGAACCTTACCCCGTCAGCCACCAAAACCATTCCCCACGAGGCCTTTTATGGAACCACCGTGCACAAGCTGGCCCAGCAACTGCGAGTCTTCGGATGCTTGGCATGGGTTCATGTTCAACAGAAGGACCAGCAAGGCAAGCACGGAGCTAGAGCAAAGCCAGCCATCATGATTGGGTATGACGACGAACACAAAGCATGGAAGTTTTGCAACCCGGACCAGCCTGCGTCAATTCAATGGAGCAACTCAGCAATGTTCCATGAGGACAAAGGATGGAGTGATCGCCAACAAGAGGCAGTCAGGCCCGTGGTGACCATGGAGGTCGAGGAGGAGGGTGTCATGCCAGCCATAGTAGAGGAGGAGACCAGATCAGAGGCCGCAGTGGAGGATCTCCCACCAGCCATAGACAGCACAGTGGGTGCCGCCAACACAGCAATACTGAACCTGGACCCAACGCTTGGGGAAGCAATGAATGGTGAGGACGCCCAGCTCTGGAAGGAGGCAATACGAAAGGAGCTAGAAGGACTTGAGGCAATGGGGACTTGGGAGGTGGTGCACCAACCACCAGGAGTACCACTTGTGGACTCTAAGGTTGTGCTTCGGCTGAAGCTTGACGCTGATGGTGTACCTGTTAAGCACAAAGCGCGACTGGTTGCAAGGGGCTTCACACAGAGAGAGGGGATCGACTACCAAGAAACCTTCTCTCCAGTAGCACCCCTCGGAGCGATCAGAGCCATCTTAGCACTAGCAGTGCAGAACAACTGGGAGGTACATGCTCTGGACATCACTATGGCTTACTTGAACTCCACGTTAAAGGAAGCAATCTACATGAAGCCGCCAGAAGGATCAGGAGTAGCACCCGGCAAGGTGTACAAGGTAGTCAAGGGCCTATATGGCCTAAAGCAGTCTGGGTGAGAATGGAATCAGGAGTTCGACAGGTCTTTGCGATGCATGGGATTCTTCCAGGTAGAGTGCGCTCCCTGCATCTACACCAAGGGACAGGGTGAAGATATGGCCATTGTGGTCATCTACGTCGATGATACATTAGTCATAGCACCACGGCTGGAAACGGTCCTAAAGGTTAAGAAGCAGATTGGTCAGAGATGGAAGATGGAAGATAGTGGTGAGGTCTCTCACTTCTTGGGCATCAAAATCAGTCGAGACCGTGCAATGCGCACCATGACGATTGGTCAGTCAGGGTACATTGACCAAGTGCTGGCAAAGCACTTAGACAAACGCACGAAGCTGACCATGGTTCCAATGCAGAGCATACCGGAGGGAACCCTTGTCGCAAGCGCAGCACAACAGAAGGAGTATCTGGTGATTGTTGGCAAGCTGCTCTGGGTTGCCAACAGCACCCGGCCCGACCTTAGTCTCACCGTGGGTGTTCTCGCTAGGCACATGCGTGAACCATTGCAGGAGCATTATCAGGCAGCACAAAGGGTCTTACGCTACCTCGAAAGCACAAGGCAGGTTGGATTGGTTTATAGGGCAAGTGAGTCGCAAGAGCCACTGGTTGCACACAGCGATGCAAACTGGGCAAGCAATGCCACCATACAGAGAAGAAGCACATCGGGGTCAGTGGCGTTAGTGTACAGGAACCCAGTAGCCTGGAAGTCAGCGACACAAAAATGCATGTCATTGTCCGCTGTCGAGGCAGAGTTCATTGCAGCCACGGAAGCAACACGTGAGGTGCTCTTCCTCAAGCAGCTGCTACGCTCAATTGGCATTGCCACAGGCACACCGACGGTCTACTCGGACAACACTGGTTGCATACAGGTTAGTAAGGACCCAGCACAGCACTGGAAGCTTAAGCACATCGACACCAAGTATCACTTCGTCCATAACAACGTACAAGAGGGAAGGGTGCAGATCAAGTACGTAGACACCACAAGAAACTTGGCAGACGTACTCACGAAGCCCATTGGGAGGCAGGCAATGCAGCAAGCAAGATCTGGGCTACATCTGCAAATACCGGCAGCAGTGTACGGAACGGGGTCCCCGAGCTATGCGACAGTGTTGAAGAATGGAGGTCACACCTTGAAGCAACAGCATAATGAACAGGGTACATATGCTGTTGAGGGGGGGAGTTGAAGTAGATAAAGCCGCACAAAGCATGGAGACAGTGAAGGTAGTGCTTACGGCCGAGTAAAAGGCCTGAACATCTTAGCACGGACCACATGTGTCACAACCTACTCAAGGCAAATGCTTTGTTATGCTCCGCAGTCAATGCGGCTCTCCGCCGCTCTTCTTTTGTATATATAGACTCCCAGCTCTCTCACTCTCTCTCTCTCCCCTACTACCATCATCAACAAAGACACCTCAACCCCAACCACTGACGAATGACTCCAACACGCTGACGAATGACTTCAACTAAGGAGGGGTATCGACTTACACCGGAGGTCCGATGAGGTCATCTGTTTTAGTCGGAATGGCTGACGAAAGTTCGCATGATGATAAGCTTTCGTCGGGATCTCTGTCGGGAAGTCCTCATTGAAGTGATTGGTGCATCTGATGGAACAGCTGACAAATCTTCTCAGGATGATAAGCTTTTGTCGGCTCCTCTGTCAGGTAGCCTCTGTCAGGGTGATCAGCACATCCGACAAGGCGGTCAACAGGTCTCTCCTTCAAGGTAAGTTTTTCCATTGTCACCTTTTGCCAAGGTGGCAAACTCCCTCAAAAGAAATGGTCTCCTCAACAAGGGGCTCTCATGCCCAGCCCCTCATGCTTTGCCCCTTATCCTTGTGCCGGTGTCAAAATGCATATATAGTCCTCGAGTTAGTTAGTTCGTCTGAATCACTTGTATCCATCCCATTGTACTTACTCACCAACGTCGAGTGCTCAATACAGCCGTGTCCTGCCACAGTCCACTATCCTTTCAACAGTATGATGGTACTGGTTGTGGTGCCTGGACCGCAGTGTAGGTGCTGCCTATGGTTGAGGTTCCATAGCGTTGATGGTGGTGTCGACAAAGTCAAGTAGCGGTGATACAACACACACATAGAGCAATTGCAATGCCCTGCAATTGCAACTGTCGATGATACTAAAAAGAGAGACTGAGAAGCTATACTGAGCATGCGATAAGCAAAGTGTAGAGTGGATGGGAATCCACTTGTCTACTGTGACAAAGAGAATATGTGTATATATAAATGTATACAGTGTCGCCTGTGACACTGCTCCTGCTCTTTCTAAGGAAAGTATAGCCTCCGCGACACTGCTCTTACTCCTCCTGATCCTCCTGTCTCGTATGGGCGCTGTCTTTACACTGCTCCTGCTCCTCCTGCCCCTCCTGAGTTGTGTGGACACCCCCTCAGCCCACGGGCTTCTGTTTCACCGTGTGGACAACTCTATTGCCCCACTCCCATTCCATGTGGACATCCACTTGGTCCTACCCCCGTGTGGCAACCCAACCACATGTGTCAGCGGTTGTGCACCTGGAACCCGAAATCTATTGTAAAAGCTGACTAGAATTGACCTTCGCAAAATCTATTGTAAAAGCCTTCTATGATCTTTCTCACTGGAATAGATTGTAACTATGATTTAGAACAGATTCTGACTAACTGCTGTGGACACTCAGTCCAGTGGTAGCACAGAATGATCAAAGTCCTAAGGGGCTTGCTGATGCTACACCAGGGTGTGGTGCAACAATGTCTGTCTTAACATGAGCATCTGTAATGTCAACAGTTGCACAATTGAGTTGGGTTGATTGTTATCTGGACTGCAGTGGATGACTGCCTTCAGTATGAGATTGAGAGAGCTGGACTGCAGTATGAGACTGCCTTTGGTATTGATCAATATCCAGACTGCAGTAGAGTACTACCTACAGATGACATCAAGTAGTGGTAATATGACACATGTGCTGTAGTAGAAGCAATGTCCTGCAATTGCAACTGTTTGACAGAACCACTAAGTATATGATATGGTAAAAATGTAGCTAGTTATGTGTAGAGTGGATGGAGATCCACTCATCCACTATGGTGAAATGAGTATGTATATATAGGTTGGTACAGTGTCGCCTGCAACACTGCTCTTGCTCCTCCTAGGGGTGTCCAACCCTCCAGCTACTGCTTTACCCCACATGTGTCCTGTCCTGTCCTCACTCCTGCTCCTTGTGGTTGAGGATGACTAGTGCAAGTTTATTGTCAACAGGGGTCACTCCCACTTCATCTGGGTGATGGGGCACATCCTCCTACGTTTTGTCCCCTTGTGTTTCCGCACCCTTCTCAGATGATTGTCCCACAATTGCTCCAATCTGTCAGCGGTCGCACGCCTGAAACCTGCGATCGGTAGTAGTATCGATGCTATTACCGAATCTGTCGAGTTATGTGACAATGCTAGTGGTATTTCGATTCTTAGTGAAATATGCGATAGAGCCATCTCTATCACTTTTCTCATTCGAATCTGTAGTTGTAGTAATGCTATTGCAGATTTCAACTAACTGCTGTGGACACTCTGTCCAGAGGTGGCTCAGCATGATCAATAATGATATGATGTTGGATGAACTTGATGATGACACCAAAGGTCTGGTGTGAGTATGATACTGGTGGCATCGACACAAGTGTCCAGTGTGTCGACTATCACTTGAGGTGATCCCTGGACCACAGTGGACAACTGCCTTTGGTTCTATCTAATCTGGACTGCTGGTTTACTATGAACTGCCTTCAGACGTCAGTGAGCAGTGATACAACACACATGCTACAATGAGAGGCAATCTATTTGATTGCAACTATGCTGACTGAAACTAATGAGTACTTATGCTTCTGAAGTAATACTAGTTATATGGTGTAGAGTGGATGGGGATCCACTCGACCATTTGCGATGAGAAGGTATGGTTATATACCTCTTCGCAGTGTTGCCAGTGACACTGCTCCCACTCTCTCTCTCCAGAGAGTACCCTCTTTGTCGAGTACTGTACAGGAGTCTCCAATGAGACTCCTCCTCCTCATTGAGCCTTGTTGCTCCTGTCCTTCCTGAGCTGTGTTGACTCCATTGACACTGCTCCTCCTCCTCATGACCTGTTTGCCAGTGTCTGTCACACAGCTCTTCTTCCTTCAACTGGCAACATTTCTCTTATCCACTATCTCCTAAGCCCCTGAGCAGTAACCTGTCTGCATGTCGCTGAGCTCAGTCCCCATCTTGGCAAGGCTTGGTCCTCGGCCTGGTGGAGCTTGGTCCCCTTCATATGTGAGCTTGGTCTGTCCTGCATGTGAATCGTTGTATGAACATCCTTGTCACTGATCTCCATGGAATCTGCCACACAATCATGCTTGCTGCAGATTCTGGTGGGATTTGTGATATCAATGATGCTCATGCTGATTTTGCTGAGATCTGTCATAGAGCTGATTCTACTGCCGATCTCAGTGAACTCTGCTGCAAATCCTACAATCTGCCCGATCCCTCGATTCCTGCGCTGCCTTCATATGAACTTCGGTTCTTCCTTCTTTCTGCGTATCCAGGCCCATGACACAATCCAAAGCAGCAAGAACCTCACAGACATCCTGACTAAACCACTTGCAGCACCAACACTCTCACACCTTTAACAACGGTTTGGTCTGATGGTATTGAAGGTGTATACTGGATTGAAGGGGGGTGCTCAAGGATATGATCCAACAAGATGTTGACAGAGACATGAGCCAATTGTCAGGGGTCTCGCGCCTGAAACCTGATATCTGTAATAGAACCAAGTCTATTACAGGTCCTGTCGAGATATGTGGTAGTGTGCTGTGTATTATTCTTCTTGTCAAGATATGTCATAGAAAAGCCTCTATGACTTTTCTCACTCAAAGATGTAGTAGTGTGTTTGCTATTACAGGTTTCGACTGACCACTGTGAACACTCCATCCAGAGGTAGCTCGGTGTCAGGGGTCTCGCGCCTGAAACCCAGGTCAGTCTGTCGAGATACTCGGTGACTATCAAACTGTGCGACAGCTATTGTCTCAGTATCAGTCTTGATGAGCTTATCGCTTGGCAACTATCAAGTTGTGTGATGGGTGGTGTTCATGTATATACTATTGTAGGTTTTGGCTGACCTCTGTGGACACTCCATTCAGGGGTAGCTCGGCACAATCAATATCAATGCTTAGATTATGATGACACCAAGGTCTGGTGTGAGTGTTGATGATGATGAGGTTGATGGGGTTGGTGATAAGGTTGGTGAATGTCGATGATAATGAGGTTGGGTTGGTGATAAGGTTGGTGGCATCAACATGAGTGTCCAGTGTGCTGACTGATGCTTGAGGTGATCCCCGGACCGCAGTGGACTACTGCCTGCAGTTCTATCTATATCTGGACTGCTAACCTGCTATGGGGCGCCTTCGGACGTCAGGTAGTGGTGATACAACACACACACTATGATGAGGAGCAACCTTGATAGCTTGCTGCTATGCTGACTGTAACTAATGAGTACTTATGTTTCTAAAGTATTGACTAGTTGTATGGTGAGTAGAGTGGATGGGGATCCACTCGACCTTTGATGATGAGAAAGCATGGTTATATACCTCTTCACAGCGTCGCCAGCGACGCTGCTCCTGCTCTCTCTCTCCAGAGAGTACCTTCTTCATCGAGTACTGTTCAGGAGGCCTCTCCTCTTGCTTGGCACCCCTGTGTCTCTTGAGCTGTGTCGACTCCTTCGACACTGCTCCTCCTCCTTGCTATCCTGCTGCTTGTTTGGCACCCCTGTGCCTCCTGAGTGGTGTCGACTCCTTCGACACTGCTCCTCCTCCTCAGGACCTGCTTGCCGGTGTCCTATACACTGCTCCTTCTCCTTTGACTGGTGACAGTTCCTTTGACTCTTGTCTCTCGAGCCCCTGAGTGGTAACCATCTGCATGCTCCTTGAGCTTGGTCCCCTTCATGGCTGTGCCTGCTCCTTGAGCTTGGTCCTCCTCGTGGCTGTGCCTGGCCTTCCTCGCATATGGCTCAGTGCTCCTTTGCATGTGAGTCCATAGGAGTCCATGGTCTCCATGGAGACTGCACTACGACCATGCTCTCTACTGGTATCGACTAGATCTTCGATACCTGTGCTCCTTCCATATGAACCAGTGACCCTCCTGCTTCTTGAGCATTCAGGCCCATGACAATGACGTCCAAAAACATTATCAACAGTACTACAAACACTTGTACTGTAGGAGAGGGTGAATCACCCACTCACCAATGAACAATGTTCGTGCCACACAACCTCTGAACAGAGTCTTCAAGGCAGTCAGTCAAGACTTACCAGGCAGTGATGCTTGGTTACATTTAGGCAAAACATATCGAGTAGACCTTACTCAATCAAACTCAATAGCACCCCAAAACTAAGTCTCTGGCGCACAACCGCTTACATATATCTTATCATAATGTATACTTAGTAGTTCCATCAACAATTGCAATTGCAGGGCATTGCTTCTAAACTAATGTGTGTGTTGTATCACCATTATTTGACACCACCTGAAGGCAGTACTTTATTGTGGTCTGGATATCGATTGACACCAAAGGTGGTCTCATACTGCAGCCCAGCTCTCTTGATCTCACCCTGAAGGCAGTACTCCACTGTGGCCCAGGTACCACTCAATTCAACCAACTGTTGACACTCTGGATGCTTGTGTCAAGATAAACATATTCACACCATACTTTGGTATTGTCCAAGGAGTCCATCTGGACATTGATTGTGCCATGCTACCTCTGGACAGAGTGTCCACAGTGGTTAGTCAAAATCTGTGATAACCCTTAGGTACCATCTATCTGAGCAAGAAAGATTCTAAAGAGCTTCTACAACAGATTCCAGTGAGAAAATAATAGAAGGCTTCTACAATAGATTTTGCTAAGGTTGATTTTAATCGACCTTTACAATAGATTTCGGGTTTCAGGTGCACGACTGCTGATAGGTGGGAACATCACGCAGGATCCAATACACGCCGACATGCCAATGCTCGAGACACCTCGAAGCAACGCAACAGCAGATGTGTATGACGATGTCTCAGTACTCGAGTTCAGTTGCACAGGATTGTCAGACCACTTGGACCTGCTTGGATACACAGCCTTTGCCACAATTTGCTCTAGCACTCAAGCACTCATGGTCAGCAGCCATCATCTCAACTGCATGGCCTTTGCAGTCACAGTGATGAATGGTGTTGCACTCATTGTGAGCAGTCAACAACTACATAGCACTGACGGGATTCTACTGGAACCCCTGTTGCTCAACAAAGCCAAGACTTGCAATGACTGGCACAAGTGGCAGGAGGCAATGGTGGGTGAAATGACAAGCATGGACAAAATGAACATCTTTGAGCTCGCCAACATCCTAACATATGGCAAGCTCATTGGCATTTGATGGGTGTACAAACTCAAGCTCGATGCCCAATGCCAAGCTACACTGTATAAAGCTTGCCTAGTTGCACAAGGATACACTCAACCCTAGACTACAATCAGACTTTTAGCCCAGTTGTATGTTTACAAACTGTCTGAATGCTACTTGCCCTCACCTGCCAATACAGTCTGCACATCACACAGCTCAATATCAGTACTGCATTCTTGAACAGGAAGTTTGACAAGGATGTTTATGTCTGAATCCTGCCAACATTTGAGACAAAGGAGACTGAAGGCAAGTGTTACAGGTTGAAGAAAGCACTGTACAGTCTCAAGCAAGCTGGATGCCTGTGGAATGCTGCCCTTGACAAACAGCTTCAAGCTTTTGGTTTCAAGCATTGTCAAGCTGAGCCATGCATATACATGCGCAGCTCCAGCAACACAATGGTGCCCCTTGCAGTCTATGTTGATGACCTGCTTGTCATCAGAGCGACCATCCCACAAGTTCAATCAGTGTGACAAGTTCAATCAGTGTGACAACAGCTCTCAAGTATTTTCAGCATCACATATCAGGGTAGCATGTCACATATCATTGGTCTAAATGTACACTACAACCACAAAGCTTGTACCCTCTCAATAGACCAGAGTGGGTACATCAAAGGCATCCTAACAAAGTTTGGAATGGACCAGGCCTGGGCAGCATTGACCCCAGTGACCAAAACCATCAACACTCTCAAGCCACAAGAAGGAGACACTGCAAGTGCCAAAGAGGTATGCCACTACACATTGATCATGGGATCATTGCTATGGATCACACAGGGAAGTAGACCAGACATTGCCTTTGCAGTTGGACAATGCGCTTGGTTTGTCACAAACCCATTGGGAGAACACTGTCAGAGGTCTCGCACCTAAAACCTGATATCTGTAGTAGGAATGTGTCTATTATGATTCCTGTTGAGTTATGTGACAACATGTTGTGTATTACTGTTCTTGTTGAGATATGTAGTAGAGAAGCCTCTATGACTTTTCTTGCCCAAAGATGTAGTAGTGTGTTTGCTATTGCAGGTTTTGACTGACTGCTGTGGACACTCCATCCAGAGGTAGCTTGGCATGATCAATAACTTATATGAACTTTGCACTGACACCAAGATCTGGCATGAGTATGATTACTGGTGGCACTGACACAAGTGTCCAGTGTGTCAACTGAGCGCTTGAGGTGATCCCCAGACTGCAGTGGACAACTGCCTTTGGTTCTAGATTGTGAGCCAGTCTGCAGGTTGCTATGAACTGCCTTCAGTGTCAATCATTATCCAGACTGCTGGTTCTATGAACTGCCTTTGGATGTCAGTGAGTGGTGATATGACACACATGCTACAATGGAAGCAATCTACTTGTGATTGCAACTTTGCTGACTGAAAACTAATGTATACTTATGTTGAAGTGATAACTAGTTTATATGGTGTAGAGTGGATGGAGATCCACTTGACCACTTATGACGAGAAGGTATGGTTATATACATCTTTGCAGTGTTGCCTGCAACTCTGCTCTGGCTCTCTCTCCAGAGAGTGCCCTCTTCATTGAGCACTGTGGTAGAGGTCTCTACCAAGGTGGCTCCCCCTTGTCAGGACTTGCTTGTTCTGTGACTTCACCCTTTGATGCTGTTTCCTGTTCATCCAGCAGATGGAAAAGGTCCTCGTGTTGCTTCATCCTTGATAGGGGCCTTTCCCACTTCATCTGAGTGGTGACTCACACTCCCTTCCTCTCATCTTCCTCCTAACTCCAGTGCCCACCTTCTTATGCTGGTTTCATCATCGTGTAAGGCCCCTACTTCATCCAATGGTGTCCTCTCCTTGTTTGGTAACCTCTTCTTGCCATATCAGTGATAGAGGTGTCTCCTCAAACTGATCCTTGTAAGATCTGTCATACCTAGCATGGTATTACCTTTCCCACTGCATTCTGTGATACCGACCTTGTTCCTGCTAATCCTGGCAGGTTATGCTATAGAGTTGTTTCTACTACTGATCTCAGTGAACTCTGCCTTAAGCTCTCGTGTAGCCCAATCCTTCGATTTCTGTGCTCCTCTTCATATGACTTCAATCTTCTTGCTTCCTGCGCCGCCGGTCCCATGACAAACACCTTGCAGCCGCCAAGTGTATCCTGCAATATTTAAAGGGGACCATAGGGGTAAGCCTCTCAACAAAGGAATCCATCGGTGGACAGATACTCACAGGATGGGCAGACAGCGACTGGGCCGGCTCACGCGATTGCAGGAGGTCGACTTCCGGATATGTCTTTGCTATCGACAGACTCGTATGCAGCTGGTCCTCACGACTGGCTTCAATGTTCCTACAGGAGCTAGAACAGCCCACCCTAAAGACAGCCGGAATCCACATAAGCACTGGGACCTCTACCCTCCATTCCCACAAGGGTGAACTTGTCTACAAACAAAATGTACCAGTCCTGCAGAGCAATTCCTCTGGAGCCCATGCTATTGCAAGTGATCCACAACACTTCAAGAGGACAAAACACATTGACATTGCCCACTTCTTCTTACAAGACAAAATTGCAAGTCAATGGCTTACAATTGCTCCAGTCCAGAGCAGCGAAAATCTGGCTGACATCCTCACTAAGCCACTTGCAGCACCTATGCTCTCACACCTTTGTCAAATGTTTGGATTATTAACATTAGAAGTGCATACTGGATCAATAGGGGGTATTAAAAATGACAATCCAATATGATGATGTTGGTTGATGTAAGCAGATACAAAAGGGATTGGGCAAAGGAAAATCTGATCGGAGATCAAGGATCGGGTACAACCTAGTCCCGTGTCAGCGGTCGCATGCCTGAAACCCGAAATCTGTAGTAAAAGGAAGTTACAATTAATCTCAGCAAGATCTGTAGTAAAGGTCTCCTAATATTGTTAGTGCTTGAATCTGTCATAGAAGCCTCCTATGACTGTTCTTGCTTGGATGTGTTGTAACTTGAAAAGTATTGCAGGTTTCAACTTACCACTGGGGACACTCTGTCCAGAGGTAGCTTGGCATGATCAATAACCAATAGATATGTTGAGGTGACACCAAGGTCTGGTGTGAGTGTGCTTGCACTGACACGAGTGTCCAGTGTGGCAACTGACTGATTGAATGATACCCAGACCACAGTGGATGACTGCCTTCAGTTTCTAATGATTGAGAGAGCTGGACCACAGTGTGAACCACCTTTGGTATTGATCGTGATCTGGACTGCAGTATGAACTGCCTTTAGATGTCATCAAGAAGTGGTGATACAACACATGCGCTATGTAGATGCAATGCTCTGTAATTGCAACTGTTGATGGAACTACTAATGTATACTTATGTGAAGTTATAACTAGTAAGATAAGGTGTAGAGTGGATGGGGATCCACTCAACTACTATGATGAGGAGCATGGTTATATAGCCATTCCCTCAATGTCACCTGCAACACTTGCTCCTACTCTGGGAGGCCTCCTCCAACACTGCTCCTCCTCCTCCCCCTGTCCTTCCTATTGGTCCTGTCTTCCTTACAATGCTACACATTGGCACTGCTTCCCTTGCTTCCTGCAGATGGGCAGTCTTCATGCTGCTTCATAATCATCAGGGGCCATTCCCACTTCATCTGAGTGGTGACTTGTACCCCTTGTTCATCTCACCCATCCTCCTAATCCAAGTTCATTGTTGAGTTGGCCCCCTGCTTAATTGGAGTAGCAAACCCAGTGTTCTCAACATCTGTCTTGCTGTGGGATCTGTGAAATCAGTGTCCTTTTGCCAGCTTCCACAAGATCTATCATATGATCATGATACTACAGATTCTGGTGGGATTCGTTGTACCATCCCACTTGTGCTGATTTGGACAAGATCTGTTGTAGAGCTCCTCTACTACAGATCTCAATGAACTCTGTTGTAAATCTCTGTTTTGCCTGATCCTGCAATTCCTGCACTCCTCCTCATATGACTTCTATTCTTCCTGCTTCTGCGCATCCGGCCCTATGACATCCCGCTCATTGTCAGACCTCATCATTAAGTAGGATGTACCCACATTTGGCAAGTGCCACTCACTTTGTATATATATCAAGTGGGGAGCTCAAGGCTCCCACCACATTCTTTCCTTAGTCAATTGAGCATACATGTTTCTGTCCTAAAACAGCAGTGACATTGTGCTCCGACTCTTGCCGATCGCCAGTCATTGGGACCCGTGCGATCCACATTTTCTCAGGCTTATGTCCTCCCAAGCAAACTGCTGGATCGTAACCTTCAGGAATAGCAGCAGTACTTGCTGAAGATTACGATCCACTGCGACGCTAAAGAATGACGCAGAGCCGATCTGATTGGAGATCAGGTAGAGCCGATCCCGATCTGATCAGAGATCGAGCCCAGCCAATATCACCAGAGATCAGGTACAACATAGTCCCGCTCATTGTCAAGCTAGGTCATGAAGTAGGATGCTCCCACACTCGGCATGTGCCACCACGATGTATATATATCAAGCTGAGGGCACTAGGCTCTCACCATGTTCTTTTAGTCAATTGAGTGTATTTGTTTCTGTCTATAACTAGCAGTGACATCGTACTGAGACTCTACCCGATCGCCAGTTATCGGGACCAAACTTCAACAGTACTGTGCTGCTGTAGATTACGTGATAAAAAACTAAAAGAGGACAGGTGTCGATACTCAGCGATCGACGTCAATCAGAGCACAGTACTGCTGCTATTAGGGCAGGAACACTATACTCAATTGACTGGTGGAACGTGGTGAGAGCCTAGAGCTCTCAGCTTGATATATATACATCTTCGTGACATGTGCTGAGTATGGGAGTATCCTAATTAATGATGAAGCGTGACAACCAGCGGGACTAAGTTGTACCCGATCTCTTCCGTATCGGCTTACGTCAATTTGCATCGTCATATTGGAGTGTTTCCTTCAGCATTACGATCCAGTCCGATGCTAAAGGATGACAAAGATCCGATTTGATAGGGAATTGGGTGGAGCCGATAAAGTAGGAGATCGGGTACTGCTTAGTCCTGCCCGTTGTCATACTTGGTCATTAAGGGGAATGCTCCCACATTTGGCATGTGCCCCCACCACATTCTTTCTCTAGGTCAATATATTATAGTGTTTTTGCTCAATAGCTTGAATACTGTGCTTAGACTGTTGTCGACCGCTGAGTGTCGACACCTGTATTCTTTTATTCTTTCAACATGTGCTTCGACTGATATCGCTTGTTAAGCGTCGCCAACTGTCTTATTATCTTAAGTGAGCAGAGCCCACGCAGTCCTGGCTGTCGACCGACTAGCAGCCAAATTGTTAAGTGCGCAATTGGCATCGGTGCTTGGTTGTCATCGCAGACACCAAATACGAAGGGACAAGATGGGGTCAATAAAAACAAAACATGCTTGAGTTCCATCTAAAGCCAAATATATCATGCATCTCCAAGTTCCCTCTTGGGTGAATTTCGTCTGACGTTACGACTGCTTCAAAAGTCGCTGTTTTTGTCATGTGTTTATTGCTTGGCGAAGGTCCCTCTTCTTTTCTTCTCGTCAGTGTTTTTGAATAAGTCTCAAATGACATTCTTAGAGCTCCGAAATACGCTCTTGTTGAAGATGATAAAAGGACAATGGTTGTCGACGCTTGCTGAAGGTAACGATCCAGCAAAACATTGAAGATCGGACAAAATCAATCTGACCGGGGATCAGGTACTACTGGGTCCCACTCGTTGTCGTACCTCATCATTAAGGATGATGCTCCCACAGGTGGGATGTGCCCATACTTTGTATATATATCAAGCGGAGAGCTCGAGGCTCTCACCTTGTTCTTTTCTCATGTCAATATAGTATAGTGTTTTGCTCAATAGCTTGAACACTGTACTTAGACTGATATCTCCCGATCAGCGTCGCTAAGTGTCACTTCTTTCATCATCCTTTTCAATGATGTAGTGTGACAACAAGCGGGACGAAGCAGTACCCGATCTCTTACTATATCGGCTCTGCCCAATCTCTTCCGTATCGGCTTATGTCAACTTTTAACATCGTACTGGATCTTTACCTTTAGCAAAAGCGGGACCAGTCATAAAATTTGGCGTTGGAATTGTAATTCTACAATAATGCTAAGTGTTGGGCGTGTGTGCCTATAAATACGACAGATTGCGTTCCGGATATTTCCAAAAAAGGCTCTTAACAAAGCTTTTGGTTCTATTGAAAGCCGTTCGTTGAAGTATCAGAATCCGCCTTGCACTGATGTGGCGGCATACTTTTGCTAAGTTGGAACATCCAACATGATCATTGCTTTGCTGAAGGGCGATCCAGCACGACTCTGAAAGAGCGGGTGGAACAGATCCAATCGAGGACCGGGTAGAGCGGATTTGAGTGAGGGATCGGATACTACTGGGTCCCGCACTATGTTGTACTTTGTCATTAAGGATGATACTCTCACATATGGGGCCTTCTTTTCTCATGTCAATATATAGTATAGTGTTTTGCTCTTTAGCTTGAACACCGTACTTAGAATTATTTCTCCCGATCTTCTTCGCTAAGTGTCACTCTCCTTTTATCAACGATAAGCTCTGCCGCTAAGTGACACTCTTCTTTCGTTATGCTTGAGACGCTAATGGGTCAGCTGCATTTGTCAGGCTAAAACTTGGTGGGCGACGAACAAATTTTCATTTGTCATCTTCGTCAATATGTGAGGCAAAAAAAAAAAACGGCCATCTGTCATTCTGTCATCGAGTTCGCTTGAGACAAATCGAAGAAGAAAAAATTTCTAGTGATTACATGCAATATTCATCAAGCTGCCTTTTTCATAACTTGTGCCATCAGTTCGAAGTCTGCAACCTCAGCTCTGACCGATGTGATAAAAGAAGAGTGACACTTAGCGATGACGAAGATCGGGAGATATCAGTCTGAGTACGGTGTTCAAGCTAAAGAGCAAAATACTATAATATATTGACATCTCCCGATCTTTGTCATCGCTAAGTGTCACTCTCCTTTTATCAGGTTATGAGCCCAAACAGCCGATTTACTATCAACATGTCGAACCACGATTACTCAGCGTACGAAGACTTCGTTCAGGATGCCGAAGACATCATCCATCATCTCCCCCCCAAACTTCAAGGTTGTTTTCACAGGATGATCACTAACAAGGCCTACGGCATGCCAGAGGAGCTGAAGGACAGAGTGGAAAGGACCAATCTTCGACTACTGCAATGGGACAAACAGCAAGCAGGTAGTGACACCACTCACTATCTTGATCAAGTGTGCTAGTCACCTCTATTTTGCAACCCACAAACTGGGCCTGTTCCACAATCACTTCAACCTTGGAAAGCAGATGAGGGCACACATCAACTTCTTCATCACAAACAAAGATAGTGACACCTCCCAAATCCTGGACCTCAAGATCAAAGGTAACAAACTCAATACCCTGCTTGATGTAGACAATGTACCTTACTATTGTGTGACAGATGATGGTCAGCATAGCACTTGAAATGCTACACTGGCAGGCAGCAAGGCCCAATGCTCTGAAATGTCTGACAAACCCCTTCACAGCTGAGAAGCTACTCCCACCGCAATGCTGGAGCCGACACAACTAACAAACCACCATCTCAAGGTGTTGTCAGCACTCAATGACAAGCTAAGGTGGGACAAGAAGGACCTACTCAACTGCAAGAAAGTTTCAGTTCATGCTTAGTGACAATGATTGTGTGAGAAGCTGTCAGTTATCCCATTCACATGCAATGTGCTTGACCACAAGACAACAACATTTACCAATGCAGATTCCCTACTCTGCTCCATCATCATGAACAGTGTCATGGGCCTGAATGCTCAAGAAGCAGGAGGGTCACTGGTTCATATGGAAGGGGCACAGGTATTGGAGATCTAGTCAATACCAGTAGAGAGCATGGTCGTAGTGCAGTCTCCATGGAGACCATGGACTCCTGTGGATTCACATGCAAAGGAGGACCGGGCCCATATGCGAGGAGGGCCAGGCACAGCCACAAAGAGGACCAAGCTCAAAGAGCATGCAGATGGTTACCATTCAGGGGCTTGAGAGACAAGAGTCAAAGGAACCATCACCAGTCAAAGGAGAAGGAGCAGTGTATAGGGAACCAGCAAGCAGGTCCTGAGGAGGAGGAGCAGTGTCAAAGGAGTTGACACCACTCAGGAGACACAGGGGTGCCAAACAAGCAGGATAGCAAGGAGGAGGAGCAGTGTTGAAGGAGTCTACACAGCTCAAGAGGCACAGGGGTGCCAAGCAAGCAGGATAGCTCAAGGAGGACAGGAGTGGTGCTAGAGGGGCCCCCTGTACAGTACTCGATGAAGAAGGTACTCTCTGGAGAGAGAGAGCAGGAGCAGCATCACTGGCGATGCTGTGAAGAGGTATATAACCATACTTTCTCATCATCAAAGGTCGAGTGGATCCTCATCCACTCTACACATACACCATAACTAGTTATCACTTCAGCATAAGTATATATTAGTTCCAGTCAGCATAGTAGCAATCTATCAAGGTTGCTCCTCATTGTAGTGTGTGTGTTGTATCACCACTACCTGATGTCCGAAGGCAGCCCATAGCAGGTCAGCAGTCTGGATATAGATAGAACCGAAGGCAGTAGTCCACTGTGGTCCAGGGATCACCTCCAGCATCAGTCAACACACTGGACACTCGTGTTGACACCACCAACCTTATCACCAACACCACCAACCTTATCACCAACACCATCAACCTTATCACCAACACCATCAACCTCATCATCATCAACACTCACATCAGACCTTGGTGTCATCATAACCTATGCATTGATATTGATCATGCCAAGCTACCCCTGAACAGAGTGTCCACAGAGGTCAGCTGAAACCTATGATAGTATATACAATGAATGCCACCCATTGTCACTGTGCAACTTGATAGTTGCTGAGCGATGCAGCTCGTTGAGACTGATACTGAGACAATAGCTGTCACACAGTTTGATAGTCACCGAGTATCTCGACAGACCGACCTGGGTTTCAGGCGCGAGACCCCTGACAAACAGCTTCTCCCCACAGTTGCAAACTGAGTACTTCTCTGAGTGTGGAGACAGGCCCATCGAGATTGCAGTCAACCTCTTTGACTGGGTCATTGTGAAATGCATGGTGCACTTGGACTCAAAAGAGTATGAACTCCTCAAAGCAACATATGCCCTCAAGTGGGACCAAGTGGGAAGCCACACATACAACTTCCTTACCAAGTGGGAATCACATGTCTCCAAGCTCCACACTTACTTGACAGAACCCTGGATGCCAACACATTGGTACAAGACCTTGAAGTGCACCCTCCCCAGCAACAAGAATGCTCTGTTCAACTCCATTTCTGTACTTTACAAAACATTAATCAAAGAGCATACAAACTTGAGTGTTGCCAACATTTTACACAAGTGCTACAAGTTAGCAGCTGACAGTACCCCAGTTTGTGTTGTGGACACTATTGACAACAGCAACTTGAGTGCCCTACATGCTGCCACACTCATAAATTGTTGGGCATGTGGTGACAATGGACACCCTGCTAATTGTTGCCCCAATGAGAGTGCATATAACAAGTGGAAGGAAAATAGAGTGAAGGTGCCTCTGAAATCCCAGGCAAACACCTGTATTGTACTATCACTCAACAACCCTCAAGACACATAGGATAAGGCACCAGACCTTGCTTTCTTTACCAGTCTCAAGCCAGCACCCCCATATGTACCACCTGGCTTGATACCATTTGTATTTGACTCTGGCACATCATGTGTTATGGTCAACTCTGAGCAACATGGAAAAGGCTGGTGCAATGCCAATGATTCAGTCACTATCACCACTGCCAACAGCAGCAAGCTCCCAGTACCAAAAATAGGAGGTACCATCAGCTTACTCAGCCTCAGCCCAACGACAAAGCAATGGGAATGGATGACCTACAATGACTGCCTCCTAGTTCCTGGATTGGTGACCAACCTCATCGGCACCAAGACAGTCACACAAGCAAAAGGAAAAGTAACCTTTGAGGATGAGCTAGTTACAGTCCAAGACCACCATGGCCACACTATAGGAGTCCCAATCAGCAGCAATGGATACCTGGTGTCAGGGGTCTCGTGCCTGAAACCCAGGTCGGTCTGTCGAGATACTCAGTGACTATCAAACTGTGTGACAGCTGTTGTCTCAGTATCGGTGACTATCAAGTTGTGCAGTGACAGCAGGTGGCGTTCGTTGTATATACTATCGTAGGTTTCGGCTGACCTCTGTGGACACTCCGTTCAGGGGTAGCTCGGCACAATCAATATCAATGTTATGATGACACCAAGGTCTGGTGTGAGTGTTGATGATGATGAGGTTGATGGTGTTGGTGATAAGGTTGGTGGTGTCAACACGAGTGTCCAGTGTGTTGACTTGATGCTTGAAGTGATCCCCAGACCGCAGTGGACTACTGCCTTCGGTTCTATCTTGATCCAGACCGCTAACCTGCTATGGGTGCCTTCGGACGTCAGGTAGTGGTGATACAACACACACACTATGATGAGGAGCAACCTTGATAGATTGCTGCTATGCTGACTGAAACTAATGTATACTTATGCTGAAGTGATAACTAGTTATATGGTGAGTAGAGTGGATGAGGATCCACTCAACCTATGATGATGAGAAAGCATGGTTATATACCTCTACTCAGCATCGCCAGTGATGCTGCTCCTGCTCTCTCTCTCCAGAGAGTACCTTCTTCATCAAGTACTGCTCAGGGGCCTCTCCTGCTTGGCACCCCTGTGCCTCTTGAGCTGTGTCAACTCCTTCGACACTGCTCCTCCTCCTCATGACCTGATGTCAACTCCTTCAACACTGCTCCTCCTCCTCATGACCTGGTGTCGACTCCTTTGACACTGCTCCTCCTCCTCATGACCTGGTGTCGACTCCTTTGACACTGCTCCTCCTCCTCATGACCTGGTGTCGACTCCTTCGACACTGCTCCTCCTCCTTTGATCAGTGACAGTTCCTTTGGCTCTTGTCTCTCGAGCCCCTGAGTGGTAACCATCTGCATGCTCCTTGAGCTTGGTCCTCTTCTGTGCCTGCTCCTTGAGCTTGGTCCTCCTCGTGGCTGTGCTTGGCCCTCCTTTGCATGTGAGTCCATAGGAGTCCATGGTCTCCATGGAGACTGCACTACGACCATGCTCTCTACTGATCTCGACTAGATCTTCGATACCTGTGCTCCTTCCATATGAACCCGTGACCCTCCTGCTTCTTGAGCATCCAGGCCCATGACACTACCCCCCTCTTAAGAGCCGAGCTCTGTCGAGGCATGCTCTGGTCTGGTCCATGCTGACTCCTCCTCCTCCTCCTCAACAACATCGCCAACATCATCCTTCCTCCTTCTCTCAATGTCATCCTCCTTCCTCTTCCTCTCTCTACTCCTCCTGTTCTCTCCTCCTTTCTCTACTTTGTCTACTCACTCGTCCCCCCTCCGACACCTCATACTCCTGGATGAGGTCGGGACAGTTGAGGTTCTCTACTGGTTCCCATGAAGCAGCTTCCTCTGAGTACCCTCTCCACAACACCTTGTACTCTGTAGTCCCATTGTGTGAACGCTTGTCGATGAGTGCTTCGACTTCGAAGTCGAGGTCCTCATCTGGAAGTGATGGTATGGTGGGCTGTTCAGCACGTTGAGGAAGAGAACTTGTTCTTGCTGGCTCGAGCATGGAGACATGGAACACATCATGCACCCTAAGGTTTGCTGGCAATGTGATTCGATAAGCTTGGCATCCTACCCATTCCTGAACTGGGTAGGGTCCTGCAAACTGGGTATCTAACTTGGGTGTGGGTCTCTGTGTCTTCCAGTTTCGACAGTTGATATAGACCATATCACCCACCTTAAACTCGATGTCCTTGTGCTTCCTGTTATACTGGTCTACTGATCTCCGTTGTGCCTCTCTGATCTGCTCCTGGAGGTACTTGCAACACTCCTTTCCATCCATGAGGTACTCGAAGCGACCTGGATCATTGACTCCTAGTCGTCGAGGGATGTCAGGATGAGCTTTGGGGTTCCATCCATAGCATGCAAAGAATGGTGAGACACCAATGCTGTTGTGGACCGTGTTGTTGTACACAAAGGCTGCAGTGTCCAGCAGGTTGACCCAGTCATCCTGCTCATAGTTGCAGTACATCCTGAGGTATTGCTCTATGACCTGATTGACCCTCTCTGTCTGACCATTGGTTTGAGGATGGTAAGCCGTGCTAAGTGAGTGCTTCACACCCATTTGCTCTGCAAATGCCTTCCATGCTCCTGATATGAACTGCCTGCCTCGGTCTGATACCATGTGATCTGGATATCCAAAGAGTCTAACCATGTGTCCATATAGCAATACTGCAGTCTGTTTGGCCGTGACTGTCTTATGGGTTGGAGCTAGTATGGCAAACTTGGTTAACCTGTCGACAATGACTAAGATAGAGTCATAGGTCTTGGAGTCATACTTCTTCGATGGTGGTAGTCCTTCGATGAAGTCGAGGGATATGGAGCCCCAGGGCCTGTCTGGTGTTGCTAGTGGCTGTAGCAAACCATATGGATGATGACGAGGAGCTTTGTACCTAGCACATACAGGACAACTTGCTACATAGTCTGCAATCCAAGCTGTCATGTTTGGCCACCAGTAATGTCATTGAGCTGCCTTGATGGTAGCATCTCTTCCTACATGTCCAGCAGTAATACCATCATGGCATTGGGTCATCACCATGAATCGCAGATGCTCTACAGAGAGAGACTGTCCATCTACCTCTTTGGCACTCCTTGAGTGTCGGTTGTTGGTCCTCCCTGGCATGATCACTTTGGGGATAACCAACCTTCCTCCACTGTACCATAGGTCATCCCTGACCTCGAAGGGCTTCTTCCTATGTATCTCCTGTAGCTCTTGGTCTAAGGGCTGGAAGATCTTGACCAGGTCTCTGAGACCTTTTGATGCTATGGACTCCATCGAGATCATGGGGGCCACTAGGAGCGAGTCATGGTCTGCTGTCTCCTTGAACACTCGAGGAGGCAGTAGTTGCCTCACATTGTGATCCTGCTCTTCACCAGCTGGTTGCATGTCTGTCCTTCTGGTGAGAGCATCGGGTTCACCACCTTTGTCTCCTGGTCGATACTGCAATATGAAGTCGAAGTCTGCTAGTAGTATTGCCCATTGAGCCTGTCGACCTGTGATGCGTCTCTGTGACTTGAAGTACTTGAGGGCTTCATGGTCAGTGAGGATGACCAGTTGGCTCGGTAGTCCAGCTAGCATGTGTCGCCACTGAGTGAGGCAGGCGACCACAGCTAGGAGCTCCTTGTCATGGATCTCATAGTTCTTCTCAGCAGAAGACATCTTCCTAGAGTAGAAAGCCACTGGATGCCATCATCCTTCATGCTCCTGCTTGAGTACTCCTGCTATAGCAAAGTCACTTGCATCAGTCTCCAACCTTGTTGGAAGGTGGTAGTCGAAGTGCTGAAGCACTCCTGCTGATGTGAAGGCCTGGATGAGCTTGTGGAAGGCCTGTTGGGCCTCCTCTGGTAGCTCGAACTTCTTGAACTGTTCTATAGGCTTTACCAGTGCTGTCAAGGGCTTGGCTATGCGAGCAAAGTGGGCTATGAACCTTCGATAGAAGTTGGCAAAACCCAGAAACCTCTGGATGTCATGGATTGACTCCGGCATTGGCCACTCCTTGACAGTGCACACCTTTTCTGGGTCCATCTCTATGCCCGTTGGCTTGATGATGTACCCCAGGAACTCGACTGTCTTGGTGTGGAACTCACACTTCAACAGCTTAGCAAAGAGCCTGTTGCTCCTTAAGCGAGTGAGGACCTCAGTGACATGCTTCACATGTGCCTCTTCAGTGTCACTGAAGATCAGGAAGTCATCTAGGTATACTACCACATATATCCCAATGATGTCTCGGAAGATGTCATTGATGAATGACTGGAAGTGAGCCAGAGCATTGGCTAGGCCAAAAGGCATCACTAGGTACTCATAGAGTCCCAACTGAGTGCCAAAAGCTGTCTTCCATTCATCTCCTTTAGCAATCCGGATGAGGTTGTATGCTGCTCTAAGGTCTAGCTTGGTATAGATCCTTGCCTTCCTGAGTAAGAACAGCTGCTCCTCGATGAGGGGCAATGGTGCCCTGTTCTTGACAGTGATCTCGTTGAGACCTCTGTAGTCCACACAGAGTCTGAGACCTCCATCCTTCTTTGGTACAAAGAGCACTGGTGATCATGCCGGGCTCTTCGATGGTCTTATGAACCCCTTCTCGAGGTTCTCATCCAAGTACCTCCTCAACTCGGACATCTCCTTGGGTCCCTTAAGGTATAGGGGCCCTTGAGGTGGCTTACCTCCTTCTATCAACTCGAGATGGAGATCATGCTTGGTATGATGGGGCAGCTTGTCTGCTTCCACCTCATCAAACACATCTCACAGGTGTTGGTATGGCTTTGGTATGTCTGCAGCCGTCACCACCTTGTCTACCTCCACCTCCATCTCGACTCCTTTGTCTGCGCCTGTAGGTACAAAACCAAAGACTGGGAGTGATGATGGTGGCTCCTCCAACAGCATGAACCCTATGGGTCCATCTTCCAGAGCTGCTCGTAGTATGCGCTCTGCTGAGACAAACTCGTTACCATGAAGGGTTGGTCTCCTCATGGTTAGGTCCCCTGCTCTTGCTGCCTCAGGGGGTCTCCTTGGGGGTCGGTCCTGCTCCTGAGTCTTGAACTCCAGCTGGCCCGTATCCCATTGTATGGTGGGTTTGAGCTTCCGTAGCTCAGTGAACCCCAGGATGAGGTCATAGTCAGCAGTGTCGGCCACTGAAGCTTCGACCACACCCAGATTGTGTGTACCAATAGATACCTGCATGCTCACAGAACTATTGATGGAGAGTTGGTGCCTGGTGACACCATGGATCGATCTTGTTTTTATGGGTTTTGTGGGTATTTGGTACTTACTAATGAAAGAATCTGAGACTATGGACAAACCAGCACCGGTATCAGCTAGTATCCAAGCAGGATGGTCTTGAACCATTCCAGAGAGCTCCAGTACTGCTTTGCCTCCACTGGTAGAGAAACATACTTGACAATCTTGATATATACAGAGTGATGGCGAGGAGGTTTGTAGAGCAATGCATGCCATCAGTGCATCACCCCACTGACGTTTCCCTCATCGTCATCATCATCATGCTCCTCCTCCTCATGGTCGAGGTCCATGGGTTGCTGGTATGAGCTGAGGTCCATGGCCTCGGAGTCACCCATCTCAGTACTGCCTGTGTGGCCATCTCCTGAGTCGGTGGCCTCCTCAAAGGGGTCTGCTGTGGTGACCATAACCTTTGGTCCCATGGGTCGAGAGCTAAGAGGGTCTACCCTCCTGCTGGGGCAGTCTCTGGCCCAATGGCCGATACCCTTGCATACATGACAGGTGTTGATACCTGATGGAGCAGGGCTTCCTTGCTTCGAGGGTTGGGTGGGATGATGAGGAAGGGGTCGGTTTAGGTTTTGTATAGTTGCTTGTGTAGTTGCTTGTGATGGTGATCGAGCTGGATAAGGTTGAGTGGGTTGTCGGATGGGGATCGAACTTTGATTTGGCCGAGACCCAGTTCTTAGTGGAGGTGATGTGGCATTTGGGAGTGAGTGTCTAGCCAAGGACTGCTGTAGTAGCATCCTCTGTCGATCGATCTCCTCAACCTCTCGGTACCACTCCCATCTCTTCCCAGGTGGATTCCTCTCGAACTTCTCCTGTATGCTGCGAGTGAGACTTCCTCTGAAGAGATCAATTACTAGCTCGTTGTCATCTAGGTTGACCTGTCCCTCCAAGTCTCTGAACCGCTCTACATGATGTGTGGCGGCACCAGGAGCATCACTTGTGAGTCTGAGAGCCAACAGCTTGTTGTATGCCTCCATCCTAGCATTGCGTGGGTTGAACTGTTCTGACAGTAGCTCTGTGAAGTAGTGCCAATCATTGAACAACCTTCCTTCTCTAGCTCTATCAATACGGAGCTTGGAGGTCCACCACTCTCTTGCTGTCCCTTCCAGTTGAGCACCCATGTGGTTGATCATCCTAGTCTGCTCATACACCTGGTTGAACTTAAACCATGCTTCGGCTTCTAGAATGAAGATCTCCATGTCTTGGGGATTGAACTTTGGGAAGGGGGTGGCGATGGGCTTTGACTGGTTAAGCTCTGCCATGATGCTGGTGTCCTCCTCATGGTCCAGGGGGTAAGGGTCTGTCCTAGTCCTGCTGTAGGGGTCCACCTTAGTCTTGACATATCTTGGCCCAGTAGGTGAAGCATACTTCTCATAGTTGATGTCCTCCTGCTCATCTAGGTTGAATGAGACTGATCGTCTTGGTCGTGGAGCCGGAGTAGGAGTATGTGGGTCTCCTATCAAAGACTCATCTCCTCCTCCTGCTTGGTCTTCTGAGTGAGAGAGGTCCATTGTCTCCTCCCTGCTCAGTTGAGCTCGTTGTAATCGTTCCTCTCGATGACCCTGTCTGGTAAGCTCTAGCTGTGCTTCCAATAGAGTGAGTAGTCTATCGAGCTTATTGTTGAGGTCTGGGTCTGTCATGGTGATCGTGAGGAGCTGCTTGAACGATCCACTCTAATGTCAGGGGTCTCGCGCCTGAAACCCAGGTTGGTCTGTCGAGATACTCAGTGACTATCAAACTGTGCGACAGCTGTTGTCTCGGTATTGGTGACTATCAAGTTGTGCAGTGACAGCAGGTGGCGTTCGTTGTATATACTATCGTAGGTTTCGGCTGACCTCTGTGGACACTCCGTTCAGGGGTAGCTCGGCACAATCAATATCAATGTTATGATGACACCAAGGTCTGGTGTGAGTGTTGATGATGATGAGGTTGATGGTGTTGGTGATAAGGTTGGTGGCGTCAACACAAGTGTCCAGTGTGTTGACTTGATGCTTGAAGTGATCCCCAGACCGCAGTGGACTACTGCCTTCGGTTCTATCTTGATCCAGACCGCTAACCTGCTATGGGCACCTTTGGACATCAGGTAGTGGTGATACAACACACACACTATGATGAGGAGCAACCTTGATAGATTGCTGCTATGCTGACTGAAACTAATGTATACTTATGCTGAAGTGATAACTAGTTATATGGTGAGTAGAGTGGATGAGGATCCACTCAACCTATGATGATGAGAAAGCATGGTTATATACCTCTACTCAGCATCGCCAGTGATGCTGCTCCTGCTCTCTCTCTCCAGAGAGTACCTTCTTCATCAAGTACTGCTCAGGGGCCTCTCCTGCTTGGCACCCCTGTGCCTCTTGAGCTGTGTCAACTCCTTCGACACTGCTCCTCCTCCTCATGACCTGATGTCAACTCCTTCAACACTGCTCCTCCTCCTCATGACCTGGTGTCGACTCCTTTGACACTGCTCCTCCTCCTCATGACCTGGTGTCGACTCCTTCGACACTGCTCCTCCTCCTTTGATCAGTGACAGTTCCTTTGGCTCTTGTCTCTCGAGCCCCTGAGTGGTAACCATCTGCATGCTCCTTGAGCTTGGTCCTCTTCTGTGCCTGCTCCTTGAGCTTGGTCCTCCTCGTGGCTGTGCTTGGCCCTCCTTTGCATGTGAGTCCATAGGAGTCCATGGTCTCCATGGAGACTGCACTACGACCATGCTCTCTACTGATCTCGACTAGATCTTCGATACCTGTGCTCCTTCCATATGAACCCGTGACCCTCCTGCTTCTTGAGCATCCAGGCCCATGACACCTGGCTGCTGGAATGATCCTTTGGGATGACAATATGCCCAAACCTGAAGTGTTGCTGGCCTTCACAGGAATGCAGCAGCAGAAGACACAATCATGCAAAGATGACACCAAATCTAACCTCTGGCACTGTTGCCTTGGCCACCCAGGACATGACACCATCCTATGCACATGATCCTCAACCACTGCTCACAAAATCCCCTTGGCACAAGTGACACAACACAAAGCACTCTGCAACACATGCATACACAGCAAGGTGATGGCCAGAACTCAACCACACCCCCACAATGTTGAGCACCCACTTGAACTTGTGTCCATGGACATTATGGGACCACTGCACAAGAACCCCCAGTTTTCCTATGTCCTCACCATTCATGACATATTCTCCAGGATGATGTGGGATCAGGGACTACACCACAAGGCTCAGGCAGCCACAGAGGCATTGTACTGGGTCTCTAAGACTCATCAACTCCCTCAATGCCAATCCACCAACATGGCAAGAAAATGTGACATCAAAGAGATCCAGGTTGACCAAGGTGAACTCTGGACAACATCCTTCCGAAACCTCTGCTCGTCCTCCGGCATCAAGATAATGTAAGCGGTCATGCACCAGAAACCTGAAAACTACTATAGAAATCTACTATGACAGATTTCTGTGAGAATCGTGATAGTGTTCCCTTACATGGAATCTGCTATAGAGGTCTGTTACAATAGATTTCTATGAAATATGCAGTAACAATTTCTTATGCCATAATTCCACGAAATATGCCATAAGAGTGATTAGGAGTAGGTCTCGACTAACCACCTTGAACGCTCTGTCCAAAGGCTATGTGGTGTCATAGGAGTCGGATGCGCAGGAAGCAGGAGAAGTTGAAGTCATATGAAGAGGAGCACAGAGATCACAGGATTGGGCTAAACGAGAGCTTAAGGAAGAGTTCACTGAGATCAGTAGTAGAAACAAACCTATGGAATAACTTGTCAGGATCAGCAGGAATGAGTTCATTACTACAGAGTTCAGTGGGAATAGTAGTATCATGCTCACTACAGAAGATCTCACAGGAATCAGTTTGAGAGAGGCCTCTATCACTGATAGGGCAGGGAGGACAACCAACAAGGGAGAGGTAGCCACCAGATGAAGTAGTGGCCCAGCATGATGATGAAGTTGGTGCAAGCAAATGGGTGCTGATGACAGGAGGGAGATGAAGGGGTGCAAGTTGCCACCCAGATGAAGTGGGAATGGCTCCTGGTTATGATGAAGTGGGAATGGCTCCTGGTTATGATGAAGTGTCATGAGGACTGGCCACCCACAGGGCATGAGGGAAGAGGAGCCAGAGAGCAGCATCACACAGAGGATGGGAAGGATAGGAAGGATGGGTAGGAGGAGCAGAGTTGAGGAGACCCCTGATGAGGAGCAGTGTCGAGGAGGCCTCTCAGAGTAGGAGCAGCATTGCAGGCGACATTGCAGGAGTAGGTATATAGCCATGCCCCTCGGCATAACAAGTGAGTGGATCGGCATCCACTCTACACTGTCAGCGGTCGTGCGCCTGAAACCTGAGATCTGTAGTAGTGTCGATACTATTACCGATCCTGTCGAGTTATGCAACAACACTAGTGGTATTGTGATTCTTGGTGAAATATGCAATAGAGCCATCTCTATCACTTTTCTCACTCAAATCTGTAGTTGTAGTAATGCTATTGCAGATTTCGACTAACTGCTGTGGACACTCTGTCCAGAGGTAGCTCAGCACAATCAATATCAATACATGAGTGTGGTAACACCAAGGTCTGGTGTGAGTATCTTGTTGGTGATGTGATTGGTGGCATCGACATGAGTGTCCAGTGTGTTGACTATCATTTGAGGTGATCCCTGGACTGCAGTGGACTACTGCCTTTGGTTCTATCTTTATCTGGACCACTGGTTTGCTATGAACTGCCTTCGGACATCAGTGAGCAGTGATACAACACACATGCTACAATGAGAAGTAACCTATTGATTACTACTATGCTGACTGAAACTAATGAGTACTTATATGCTGAAATAATACTAGTTTATATGGTGTGTAGAGTGGATGAGGATCCACTCGACCACTTATGGTGAGAAGGTATGGTTATATATACCTCTTTGCAGCATTGCCAGCAATGCTGCTCTGGCTCTCTCTCCAGAGAGTACCTTCTTCGCTGAGTACTGTGCAGGGATCCCTGATGAGATGCCTCGTCCTCATCAAGCCCTGCTTGCCTGTTCTCCTGTCTGTCCTTCTGGAGCTGTGTGCTGACTCCTTTGACACTGTTCCTCCTCCTCATGGCCTGTTTACCAGTGTCCTTGACACAGCTCTTCTTCCTTCAACTGGTGACAGTTCCCTTGACTCCTATCTTGTGAACCCCTGAGTGGTAACCATCTGCATGCTCCTTGAGCTTGGTCCCCTTCTTGGCAGTGCCTGATCATCCTTGCATGCAAGCTTGGTCCTCCTCACATGTGAATCATTGTACGAACATCCTTATCACTGATCTCCACAGAATCTGCCATATGATCATGCTTACTACAGATTCTGGTGGGATTTGTGATATCGACTTTGTTTGTGCAGATCTTGTTGAGATCTGTCATAGAACTGTGTCTACTACCAATCTCACTGAATTCTTCTGTAATTCCCATGTTCTGCCTGATCCCTCGATTCCTGCGCTCCCTTCATATGAACTATGGGTCTTCCTACTTCCTGCGCATCCAGGCCCATGACATACACCATACATAACTAGTTATCACTTCACATAAGTATACATTAGTTTCCAGTCAGCAAAGTCGCAATCCAGTAGATTGCTTCCATTGTAGCACATGTGTTGTATCACTGCTCACTGACATCCAAAGGTGGTTCATAGCAAACCAGCAGTCTGGATAATGATAGTACCAAAGGCAGTCATCCACTGCAGTCCAGGGATCACCTCAAGCACTCAGTCAACACACTGGACACTTGTGTCAATGACAGCAATCACAATCACACCAGACCTTGGTGTTAATATCAGTTCCTAGCAGTTATTGATCATGCCGAGCTACCTCTGGATGAAGTGTCCACAGCAGTTAGTCAAAACCTGCAATAGCAAAATCATTACTACATCTTCAGGTGAGAAAAGTAATAGAGATGTCTTTACTACATATCTCAACAAGAATTGTAATACTTCAAGCATTGTTGCATATCTTGACAGGATTCATAATAGATGCGTTTCTATTACAGATATCAGGTTTTGGGCGCACGACCGCTGACATTCACATCAATGAGATAATGTTCTTGTGAGGTTATGCTATGGGTGTGATGTTGATGACAGCAGAGACACAAGCATTTGTAGTGTTTGCCGATTGCTTGACAATGTGGTGGTGTCTGGAACACAATACAGTATTGCCTATGGATGGTTTTCAAGCTGGACCACAGTGGAGAACACTGCCTTCAGATGATGTCCCAAGGGTGATACAACACATGCACTTGAGATAACCTGCAATGCTCTGCAATTGCATGGTAAGGAACAGAGTAAAGAGTGCAATAAGTAGTAGATAGAGTGGATAGGGATCCACCCATATGCTATGATGGAATGAACATATATATGTGTTTGTGCAGTGTCGCAGGCGACACTGCTCCTGCTCCTCCTAGAGGTGTAAACACTTTCATTGTGAGGCTGCTTCTTCTCCTTAGAACGGTGTCGATCCCTTTGACACTGCTCCTCTTTCTCCTGCACGATGTGGCGGTCCTTGTCTTGTGAATGCCACTGTTCATGTGGATGCTCCTATTGTTCCCTTCCCTTCCTCATGAGCTTGTCCATTGTTCTCCTCCCCATCCAGTATGCTACCATTTCCCCATGTGGTAACTTTCCACATGCTCCTATGCTCAGACCTCCTATGCTTGGAGCTCCTATGCTTGGAGCTCCTATGTGCTTCCAAGCCCCTTATTGCAGTTCACATGACTAAACAGTTGAACTAGCTCGCTATGACCATTTTTACTGAAAATGATTGTAACTAAGCAATCCAACTGTTTTCGCATTTTCGTGCACACACTGCACATCCATGCATGTACAGGGTTTTCTGCGCAGACCCTGTGACAGATCACTGCCTCTCCAACGCAACAACACGCCGACAATGCATTTGCAGAGTGTGCTATCCAAACCTTACAGAAGATCGCACACTGCATGCTGTTTGACACCAACATTGAAGAAAGATGGTGGCCATACACTGTCTCACAGGTGGCTTACATCCACAATTGCTTTGCTGGAACAACACAAGGTGGCAAGATGCCATATGAGATCTTTTATGCCAAGGTCCCAAGCCTTTGCCATATGTGTTGCTTTGGCTGTGCTATGTATGTTGTCTTATGTGGCAACACAAGAACCACATGGCTCCATGACAACTCCATTGTGAATAAGCACCTATGCCCATGGGCCCTCCATGGGACATACCTCAGCTACTCTAATGCAACCTGCACCATTAAAGGACACTGCGCCTGGCTCCCAGCACTCAATCGAACCGTCATAGTCAAGGACATATGTGTCACAGGGTCTGCGCAGAAGGTCCTGCGCAGAAAGAATCTGAAAGCAAGCATTTGGTGTTGACAATCTGATTGGACTAGCTGTGTGCATAATTCACAAGATCAACCACAACCTAGGGTTTTGATTAATCTCACTGGGATTGACCAGAACAAACCTAGCCAGTATGTTTCACCAAAATGTGCTGACCAAAGCCATCAGTACAGAATGGGTCATGTGTCATGATGAAGTAATGGGAGGATTGGAAGAAGGGGTCCCTGGCATCAGAAGGATAGGGAAGCATACAGGAATGATCACATGTGAGGAAGTGGACTGAGCTCAGTATCACATGAATGGTTACCACTCAGGGGTACATGCTCACCACCACATAGAGCCAGCCACAGGGGTGACCACATGATCAGGAAGCATGACAATAGGGTTCAGCACACAATCAAGGGATTCACAAGATAAGGGATGAAAAGACAGTCACCAATTAGGAGAGGGAGAGCTGTGTTAAGGAGACCGGGGATTATCCATAGGGAGGAGGAGCATGTCAGAGGTCTCGCGCCTGAAACCTGATATCTGTAGTAGAACCACTTCTATTACAGATCCTGGCGAGATATGTGGTAAAGTACCATGTAATATTATTTGGGTCAAGATCTGTCATAGAAGGGCTCTATGACTTTTCTTGCTCAAATATGTGATAGATTGATTGCTATTGCAGGTTTCAGCTGACTGCTGTGGACACTCCATCCAGAGGTAGCTTGGCATGATCAATAATGATAGATGTATTGTGATGACACCAAGGTCTGGTGTGAGTAATGCTGTGGGCACCAACATGAGTGTTCAGTGTGTCAACTGAGTGCTTGAAGTGATCCCCAGACCACAGTGGACGACTGCCTTCGGTTCTATGATCGAGAGAGCTGGACTGCAGTGTGAACCGCCTGTCAGAGGTCTTGCGCCTAAAACCTGATATGTGTGATAGGAATGCATCTATTAAGATTCCTGTCAAGATATGTGGTAACATGTTGTGTATTATGATTTCTATCAAGGTATGTTGTAGAGAAGCCTCTATGGCTTTTCTCACCTGAAGATGTAGTAGTGTGTTTGCTATTGCAGGTTTCGACTGACCACTGTGGACACTCTGTCCAGAGGTAGCTCAGCATGATCAATAACTGATGTGAACTGGTACTGACACCAAGGTCTGGTGTGACTGAGATTGTTGGTGGCACCAACATGAGTGTCCAGTGTGCTGACTGAGTGCTTGAGGTGATCCCTGGACTGCAGTGGACAACTGCCTTCAGTTCTATGATTGCGAGCCAGACCACAGGTTGCTATGAACCACCTTCAGTGTCAATCATTATCCAGACTGCTGGTTCTATGAACCACCTTTGGATGTCAGTGAGTGGTGATATGACACATGTGCTACAATGGAAGCAATCTATTATGATTGCAACTTGCTGATGGAAAACTAATGTATACTTGTGTTGAAGTGATAACTAGTTATGGTGTAGAGTGGATGGAGATCCACTCAACTACTATGATGAGGAGCAAGTGTGATTATATAGATGTCTTTGCAGTGTTGCCAGCGATTCTGCTCCTACCCTACATGGTCTCCTTCTACACTGCTCCTCCTCCTCTCTGCTCCTCCAAACAGGCCTTCCAGCCTTATGCTGCTGCTCACCAGCACAGCTCCCCCTTGTTTCCTGCAGATGGCAGGTCCTTGTCAGCTTCATAATCGACAGGGGCCATTCCCTCTTCATCTGGGTGGCAACACACATTCCTACTCATCTCGCCCACCTGTCTGTCTTCAGTTCATCATCTGGTCAGGCCCCCTCTTCATCCAGTGGCAACCTATCTTTGAATGTTGTTGCTGTCTTGTCCTATTGGCAATAGAGGCCTCTCTCGAACTGGTTCCTGTGAGGTCTGTCATACTTAGCATGGTATTACGATTCCCACTGAGTTCTGTAGTAACAACCTCATTCCTACTGATCTGGACAAGTTATGCCATAGAGTTGTTTCTACTACAGATCTCAGTGGACTCTGCCTTAAGCTCTCGCTTTGCCCAATTCCTCGATTCCTGCACTCCTCTTCATATGACTTCAACCCTTCTTGTCTCTTGTGCATCCAGTCCCATGACACCGCCTTCGGTGTCGATTGTTATCCAGACCGCAGAAGAGACTGCCTTTGGATGGTGTCAATGAGCGGTGATACAACACATGCGCTACGATAGAAGCAATGCTCTGCAATTGCAACTGTTGATGGAATACTAAGTATACTTATGTGAAGCTATAACTAGTAATGTAAGGTGTAGAGTGGATGGAGATCCACTCGACTATCACAACTGGAATGCATGTCTTATATCAGCACCTCTCACAGAGTCACCTGCAATGCTGCTCCTGCTGTACCAGGAGGTGTACCTCCTCCTCGAGCACTGCTTCTCCTGCTTCTTGTGGATGAGGAGACTATCTCAGTGCCCCTTCATCATTTGATAGGGGTTATCCCCACTTCATCCCAGTGGTAGTGCCCCTCCCCCTTATTCATCTCAGCCCCTTGATGATGGCACCCACCTCCTCACACCCATTTCATCGTCATGTAGGGCCCCTACCTCATCAGGTGGCGACCTGCTCCTTGGCAGATCTCAACAAGTTCTGCCATAGAGCCTTTGATCATACCAATCTCACTGAGCTCTGCCAGAAACCTCTCGTAGCCTGATCCATGATTGTTGTGCATGGTCACTTCATCTGACTCCAGTTCTTCCTGCGCATCCATCCGGTCCTATGACACCGAAGAGGTCGACATGTATCACCAGGCGTAGAGGAGCATGGAGGCAAGGGGGCAGTGTCAAACAAACCAACACACTGTCCAGGCAGTAGAAGAGCAGCATTGAAAGAGTCAACACACAGCTCAAGGAAAAGAGGAGTAGTGTTGGAAGGAGGCAATAACCCTTTCTGAAGGAGCAGGAGAGGTGTCACAAGTGACACTAAACAAACACATAAATACTCTTATTTCACCATAGCATACAAGTGGATCCTCATCCACTCTACTCTATATCTTACTTACTCTTTACTTGACTCTTAGTTATGTATCATTGCAATAGCAGGGGTTTGGAATGACATCTTGAATGTGTGTGTTGTATAACTGTCAGATGTCAACTGTAGGCAGTGTTCCTCAACACTTGTGGTCCAGTCTCTCACTGTAGGCAGTGTTGCTCAACACCTGCAGTCCAGTTCAATTACTGAAGGTGGTGTCTAAACACCTGTGGTCCAGTACCTCCCATCATCTGTAGGCAAAAGTCTTATTGCAGTCCAGATGATGTCAAGAGCATCAAGCAGCAGCACTACAAACACTCATGCTGTAGTAGGAGAGTTGTATCTGATACCACTCCCACATCAACATGTTATGGACATGCCACATAGCCTCTGAATGGAGTGTTCAAGGCAGTCAGCCGAAACCTACCAGAACTCAACCATCTGGTTACTCTCAATTGAAACATACTGAATAGATCATACTCAGTTGATCTCACCAAAATCAACTGGAAGCACCCAATCTGGTTTCAGGTGTGCGACCACTTACAATGTCCTCATCACCCACAACACATTCTCGGAGATGATATGGGTTCGAGGATTATCCAACAAGGCGCAAGCAGCCACAGAAGCATCATGCTGGATTTTGGAGACCAGCCAATCTACTATGCACCAACCCACTGATGCGACGACTGCACATCACATCAAGAAGATTTGAGTCGATCAGGGCGAACTCTGGACAACACACTTCCACAACATCTGTTCATCCTCCAGCATCAAGATCACCACCTCCTCAACTCAACAGCACACAGACAACACATTCGTGGAGCATGCCATCCAAACGGTTCAAAAGATTGCCCATTGCATGCTGTTTGACACCAACATTGGCAAACATTGGTGGCCCTATGCAATCTCACAAGTGGCCTATGTCCACAACTGCCTCACTGGGACAGCACAAGGTGGTAAGACACCATTTGAAACCTTCTATGGTAAGGTACCAGAGCTTCAACATGTGTGTTGCTTTGGTTGTGCCACATATGTCATTCTGCAGGGTAACACAAGGACCATGTGGTTGCACAACAACCCAGTGATTAGCAAACACCTATGTCCACATGCACTCTGCAGTACCTACCTTGGTTACTCAAATGCAACTCACACCATCAAAGGGCAACATGTCTGGCTCCTGGAACTCGACTGTATCATTGTGGTCAAAGATGTCTGCTTCTCAGAACTTGAGCACCCAAGTGAGAACCCTCCTCCCCCACATGTACTGGTCCTATCTGGTGAGAATGAGCTACTGAAATTGTATAGCTGGCTACCCTCAGGCAACACTTCAGTCAACTCAGATGTTGAGAATGACACCACTCCTTCCCTGCAGCACTTCTCTCAGCAGCAAGAGGCAAACCCTCTGGATGACAGCACTGGTGATCCAAACCCTTATCCAGAATGTGATCATACAATGTCCAAAATTCGTGATGCTGGCAAAATTGTCATTGATATGGATGCCATCCATGCAGATCTTAATGGCCAACTAGATGATGCAATGCCCTGTTGAAGTCGTTTGTCAGAAGTCGATGATCACTTGTGTAGATTGCAATGATGAATCATTCCTAAGTACATGATGAGATGAACATTTATATATGTGTTGATGTTCTCTAGATGTGTGTGTGATTCTAGGAGCTGATTGGGCAGGAGCATGGATGAGTAACTAAGGGGTAGAGGAATGCACCAGCTGCCTGATGACTGGCATCTTGAGGTTTGGCAGTTGGCCTGGGCAATGCACTAAGTCTGAGTTGAGTGAAGTTGGTGATTGGATGTGGGTTTGGTGAGGGCTGCATTTGCATGCTTTGATTGCCAAGACACCACATGCTTCAACTCCCCCCCTCACCAACTGAGCAACTGATCTGCCCAACATCAATCATTCCAAGTCGTTTTTGTGTTCGGGCCAAGAGTTCTTGAGGAACAGGTTTAGTCAGAAAGTCAGCAATGTTTTTGCCCATGTTAACATATTTGATATTGATATTGCCTTCTTGCACATGGTCATGGATTAGATGGTACATGGTGTTGACATGTTTCAGCTTGGAGTGCATGGCTGGGTCCTTTGCCACTTGAATGCAACCAGTGTTATCTGTTAGCACAATTGGGGTATGCTTGCCAAAACTGAGACTTTGAAGGAGCTGCTTGTGGAACAGAGCCTCCCTGGCAGCAGCTGAAGCCACAATATACTCTGCCTCCACTGCAGAGCTGGTGACACATTTCTGGATGTGGGAATTCCAGGTGACAATGCTGCTGAATAGTTTGATGATTGATCCTGAAGTACTTTTCCAAACCAAGTTTGGATTGGATGCCCAGTTGGCATCAGTGTATGTTTCAATGGCATTTTCCCCTGTTTGTTGGTCACCAATTCATAGCACTTCATTGCATGTTTGATTCAGGTACTTGACGACATGTAGTGCTGCTTGCATTGCCTCTTCCATTGGTCTGGACATATGCTGTGCAAGGGTGTTGACAGCATAGCAAATGTCAGGTTGGACCATGTTTGATACCCAAAGTACTTTGCCCACCAGTATGGGATATTTGCATATGGTATCTTCAGGAGTAATTGTATTGGCAGGTGCTTTAGTGGGCATCATAGTCATTGGGGTCCATGTCTTCTCATTTGGTCAAATCCACTCATTGATGATTTCCTTAATGTAAGCTTGTTGATCCAGGTCAATTGTTTGATCCTTCCAATTGCATGTGATCTTGATCTTTAAGAATTCCATTACCAGGCCATTGTCTTTGATTTGCCATTTCTTGATGATTGCTTGTTTCACTGCATTGATTTGATGTTGCCTTGGTGCTGCAATAAGCATGTCATTGATGTATATGGTGATTATTACTTGATTGTCACCTGTTCCCTTGAGGTATATGCAAGGTACTGCTTGAGAAGGGAAGAAACCTAAGTACCAGAGGTGCAAGTCTAGCTCCTTGTGCCATTTGCACCCAGACTGCTTTAGTCCATACAGGCTCTTGAGTAGCTTGTATGCCTTGCCTGGTGCCATGTTCACACCCTCCAGGGGCTTGAGGTAGATGTTGTGGTTGAGGCTTGCATTTAAGTAAGCCTGTTTGATGTTGATGGAATCAACCTCCCAATCAAACTTGGTGGCAATCACGAGTACTGCACAGTGAGAAGCATCATGTGCAGAATCAGGCCTTGAACCTGTAGGGGACTCCATTGGCATCCATCTTGACATTGAGAACTAGTTTCAAGTCCACCAAGTGTGTGTTTGTTGGTGTGTTGACTACTTTCCATATATTCATACTTTTTAATCCTTCCATCTCAGTGTGAATAGCCTCACACCAGTGAGTTTGATCTGGTCCATTTGAGGCTTCTCTTACTGTTGGTTTGAGATTGCTGATGGTGATCATGTTTGTGCTTGCATCCTTTTGAGGTGGTGGTGGGGGGGGGGGGGGGGGGGGGGGGTTGTGTGAACCTCCTGTCATGGGCCTGAATGCTCAAGAAGCAGGAGGGTCACTGGTGTCATGGGCCTGGATGCTCAAGAAGCAGGAGGGTCATGGGTTCATATGGAAGGAGCACAGGTATCGAAGACCTAGTCGACACCAGTAGAGAGCATGGTCGTAGTGCAGTCTCCATGGAGACCATGGACTCCTATGGACTCACATGCAGAGGAGGACCAAGCTCAAGGAGCAGGCACAGCCACGAGGAGGACCAAGCTCAAGGAGCAGGCACAGCCACGAAGAGGACCAAGCTCAAGGAGCATGCAGATGGTTACCACTCAGGGGCTCGAGAGACAAGAGCCAAAGGAACTGTCACTGATCAAAGGAGGAGGAGCAGTGTCGAAGGAGTCGACACCAGGTCATGAGGAGGAGGAGCAGTGTCGACAAGAGGCACAGGGGTGCCAAGCAGGAGAGGCCCCTGAGCAGTACTCGATGAAGAAGGTACTCTCTGGAGAGAGAGCAGGAGCAGCATCGCTGGCAATGCTGTGAAGAGGTATATAACCATGCTTTCTCATCATCATAGGTCGAGTGGAGCCCCATCCACTCTACTCACCATAACTAGTTATCACTTCAGCATAAGTATACATTAGTTTCAGTCAGCATAGCAGCAATCTATCAAGGTTGCTCCTCATCGTAGTGTGTGTGTTGTATCACCACTACCTGACGTCCGAAGGCGCCCATAGCAGGTTAGCGGTCCGGATATAGATAGAACCGAAGGCAGTAGTCCACTGCGGTCCGGGGATCACTTCAAGCATCAAGTCAACACACTGGACACTCGTGTTGACGCCACCAACCTTATCACCAACACCATCAACCTCATTATCATCGACGCCACCAACCTTATCATCAACACCATCAACCTCATTATCATCGACATCACCAATCTCATCACCAACACCATCAACCTCATCATCATCAACACCCACACCAGACCTTGGTGTCATCATAACATTGATATTGATCGTGCCGAGCTACCCCTGAACGGAGTGTCCACAGAGGTCAGCCGAAACCTACGATAGTATATACAACGAACGCCACCTGTTGTCACTGCACAACTTGATAGTCACCGATACCGAGACAATAGCTGTCACACAGTTTAATAGTCACCGAGTATCTCGACAGACCGACCTGGGTTTCAGGCGCGAGACCCCTGACATTAGAGTGGATCGTTCAAGCAGCTCCTCACGATCACCATGACGGACCCAGACCTCAACAATAAGCTCGATAGACTACTCACTCTATTGGAAGCTCAGCTAGAGCTTACTAGGCAGGGTCATCGAGAGGAACGACTACAACGAGCTCAGCTGGGTAGGGAGGAGACAATGGACCTCTCTCACTCGGAAGACCAAGCAGGAGGAGGAGATGAGTCTATGATAGGAGACCCACATACTCCTACTCCGGCTCCACGACCAAGACGATCAGTCTCATTCAACCTGGATGAGCAGGAGGACATCAACTACGAGAAGTATGCTTCACCTACTGGGCCAAGATATGTCAAGACTAAGCTGGACCCCTACAGCAGGACTAGGACGGATCCTTACCCCCTGGACCACGAGGAGGATACCAGCATCATGGCAGAGCTTAACCGGTCAAAGCCCATTGCCACCCCCTTTCCAAAGTTCAATCCCCGAGACATGGAGATCTTCATTCTAGAAGCCGAAGCATGGTTTAAGTTCAACCAGGTGTATGAGCAGTCTAGGATGATCAATCACATGGGTGCTCAACTGGAAGGGACAGCAAGAGAGTGGTGGACCTCCAAGCTCCGCATTGATAGAGCTAGAGAAGGAAGGTTGTTCAATGATTGGCACTACTTCACAGAGCGACTGTCAGAGCAGTTCAACCCACGCAATGCTAGGATGGAGGCATACAACAAGCTGTTGGCTCTCAGACTCACAAGTGATGTTCCTGGTGCCGCCACACGTCATGTAGAGCGGTTCAGAGACTTGGAGGGACAGGTCAACCTAGATGACAACGAGCTAGTGATTGATCTCTTCAGAGGAAGTCTCACTTGCAGCATACAGAAGAAGTTCGAGAGGAACCCACCTGGGAAGAGATGGGAGTGGTACCAAGAGGTTGAGGAGATTGATTGACAGAGGATGCTACTACAGCAGTCCTTGGCTAGACACTCACTCCCAAATGCCACGTCACCTCCACTAAGAACTGGGTCTCGGCCAATTCAAAGTTCAATCCCCATACATCAACCCACTCAACCTTATCCAGCTCGATCACCAGCACAAGCAACTACACAAGCAACTATGCTAAATCGACCAACTAATCGACCCCTTCCTCATCAACCCACCCAGACCTCGAAGCAAGGAAGCCCTGCTCCATCAGGTATCAACACCTGTCATGTATGCAAGGGTATTGGCCATTGGGCCAGAGACTGCCCCAGCAGGAGGGTAGACCCTCTTAGCTCTCGACCCATGGGTCCAAAGGTCATGGTCACCACAGCAGACCCCTTCGAAGAAGCCACTGACTCAGGAGATGGCCACACAGGCAGCACCGAGATGGGTGACCCTGCGGCCATGGACCTCAGCCCATACCAGCAATCCATGGACCCCGATCATGAGGAGGAGGAGCATGATGATGACGATGATGAGGGAAACGTCAGTGGGGTGATGCACTGATGGCATGCATTGCTCTACAAACCTCCTTGCCATCACTCTGTATATATCAAGATTGTCAAGTATGTTTCTCTACCAGTGGAGGCAAAGCAGTACTGGAGCTCTCTGGAATGGTTCAAGACCATCCTGCTCAGATACTAGCTGATACCAGTGCTGGTTTGTCCATAGTCTCAGATTCTTTCATTAGTAAGTACCAAATACCCACAAAACCCATAAAAACAAGATCGATCCATGGTGTCACCGGGCACCAACTCTCCATCAATAGTTCTGCGAGCATGCAGGTATCTATTGGTACACACAATCTGGGTGTGGTCGAAGCTTCAGTGGCCGACACTGCGGACTATGACCTCATCCTGGGGTTCACTGAGCTACGGAGGCTCAAACCCACCATACAATGGGATACGGGCCAGCTGGAGTTCAAGACTCAGGAGCAGGACCGACCCCCTAGGAGACCCCCTGAATCAGCAAGAGCAGGGGACCTAACCATGAGGAGACCAACCCTTCATGGTAACGAGTTTGTCTCAGCAGAGCGCATACTACGAGCAGCTCTGGAAGATGGACCCATAGGGTTCATGCTGTTAGAGGAGCCACCATCATCACTCCCAGCCTTTGGTTTTGTACCTACAGGCGCAGACAAAGGGGTCGAGATGGAGGTGGAGGTAGATAAGGTGGTGACGGCTGCAGACATACCAAAGCCATACCAACACCTGCGAGATGTGTTTGATGAGGTGGAAGCAGACAAGCTGCCCCATCATACCGAGCATGATCTCCACCTCGAGTTGATAGAAGGAGGGAAGCCACCTCAAGGGCCCCTATACCTTAAGGGACCCAAGGAGATGTCCGAGTTGAGGAGGTACTTGGATGAGAACCTCGAGAAGGGGTTCATAAGACCATCGAAGAGCCCGGCACGATCACCGGTGCTCTTCGTACCAAAGAAGGATGGAGGTCTCAGACTCTGTGTGGACTACAGAGGTCTCAACGAGATCACTGTCAAGAACAGGGCACCATTGCCCCTCATCGAGGAGCAGCTGTTCTTACTCAGGAAGGCAAGGATCTATACCAAGCTAGACCTTAGAGCAGCATACAACCTCATCCGGATTGCTAAAGGAGATGAATGGAAGACAGCTTTTGGCACTCAGTTGGGACTCTATGAGTACCTAGTGATGCCCTTTGGCCTAGCCAATGCTCCGGCTCACTTCCAGTCATTCATCAATGACATCTTCCGAGACATCATTGGGATATATGTGGTAGTATACCTAGATGACTTCCTGATCTTCAGTGACACTGAAGAAGCACATGTGAAGCATGTCACTGAGGTCCTCACTCGCTTAAGGAGCAACAGGCTCTTTGCTAAGCTGTCAAAGTGTGAGTTCCACACCAAGACAGTTGAGTTCCTGGGGTACATCATCAAGCCAACGGGCATAGAGATGGACCCAGAAAAGGTGCGCACTGTCAAGGAGTGGCCAATGCCGGAGTCAATCCATGACATCCAGAGGTTCCTGGGTTTTGCCAACTTCTATCGAAGGTTCATAGCCCACTTTGCTCGCATAGCCAAGCCCTTGACAGCACTGGTAAAGCCTATAGAACGGTTCAAGAAGTTTGAGCTACCAGAGGAGGCCCAACAGGCCTTCCACAAGCTCATCCAGGCCTTCACATCAGCAGGAGTGCTTCAGCACTTCGACTACCACCTTCCAACAAGGTTGGAGACTGATGCAAGTGACTTTGCTATAGCAGGAGTACTCAAGCAGGAGCATGAAGGACGATGGCATCCAGTGGCCTTCTACTCTAGGAAGATGTCTTCTGCCGAGAAGAACTATGAGATCCATGATAAGGAGCTCCTAGCTGTGGTCGCCTGCCTCACTCAGTGGCGACACATGTTAGCTGGACTACCGAACCAACTGGTCATCCTCACTGACCATGAAGCCCTCAAGTACTTCAAGTCACAGAGACGCATCACAGGTCGACAAGCTCGATGGGCAATACTACTAGCAGACTTCGACTTCATATTGCAGTATCGACCAGGAGACAAAGGTGGTGAACCCGATGCTCTCACCAGAAGGACAGACATGCAACCAGCCGGTGAAGAGCAGGATCACAATGTGAGGCAACTACTGCCTCCTCGAGTGTTCAAGGAGACAGCAGACCATGACTCGCTCCTAGTGGCCCCCATGATCTCGATGGAGTCCATAGCATCAAAAGGTCTCAAAGACCTGGTCAAGATCTTCCAGCCTTTAGACCAAGAGCTACAGGAGATACATAGGAAGAAGCCTTTCGAACTCAAGGATGACCTATGGTACAGTGGAGGAAGGTTGGTTATCCCCAAGGTGATCATGCCAGGGAGGACCAACAACCGACACTCAAGGAGTGCCAAAGAGGTAGATGGACAGTCTCTCTCTGTAGAGCATCTGCGATTCATGGTGATGACCCAATGCCATGATGGTATCACTGCTGGACACGTAGGAAGAGATGCTACCATCAAGGCAGCTCAACGACATTACTGGTGGCCAAACATGACAGCTTGGATTGCAGACTATGTAGCAAGTTGTCCTGTATGTGCTAGGTACAAAGCTCCTCGTCATCGTCCATATGGTTTGCTACAGCCACTAGCAACCCCAGACAGGCCCTGGGGCTCCATATCCCTCGACTTCATTGAAGGACTACCACCATCAAAGAAGTATGACTCCAAGACCTATGACTCTATCCTAGTCATCGTCGACAGGTTAACCAAGTTTGCCATACTAGCTCCAACCCATAAGACAGTCACAGCCAAACAGACTGCAGTATTGCTATATGGACACATGGTTAGACTCTTCGGATATCCAGATCACATGGTCTCGGACCGAGGCAGGCAGTTCATATCAGGAGCATGGAAGGCATTTGCAGAGCAAATGGGTGTGAAGCACTCACTTAGCACGGCCTACCATCCTCAAACTGATGGTCAGACAGAGAGAGTCAATCAGGTCATAGAGCAATATCTCAGGATGTACTGCAACTATGAGCAGAATGACTGGGCCAACCTGCTGGACACTGCGGCCTTTGTATACAACAACACGGTCCACAACAGCATTGGTGTCTCACCATTCTTTGCATGCTATGGATGGAACCCCAAAGCTCATCCTGACATCCCTCAACGACTAGGAGTCAATGATCCAGGTCGCTTCGAGTACCTCATGGATGGAAAGGAGCGTTGCAAGTACCTCCAGGAGCAGATCAGAGAGGCACAACGTAGATCAGTAAACCAGTATAACAGGAAGCACAAGGACATCGAGTTTAAGGTGGGTGATATGGTCTATATCAACCGACGAAACTGGAAGACAAGGAGACCCACACCCAAGTTAGACACCCGGTTCGCAGGACCCTACCCAGTTCAGGAACGGGTAGGACGCCGAGCTTATCGAATCACATTGCCAGCAAACCTTAGGGTGCATGATGTGTTCCATGTCTCCATGCTCGAGCCAGCAAGAACAAGTTCTCTTCCTCAACGTGCTGAACAGCCCACCATACCATCACTTCCAGATGAGGACCTCGATTTCGAAGTCGAAGCACTCATCGACAAGCGTTCACACAATGGGACTACGGAGTACAAGGTGTTGTGGAGAGGGTACTCAGAGGAAGCTGCTTCATGGGAACCAGTAGAGAACCTCAACTGTCCCGACCTCATCCAGGAGTATGAGGTGTCGGAGGGGGGACGAGTGAGTAGACAGAGTGGAGAGAGGAGGAGAGAACAGGAGGAGTAGAGAGAGGAAGAGGAAGGAGGATGACGTTGAGAGAAGGAGGAAGGATGATGTTGGCGATGTTGTCAAGGAGGAGGAGTCAGCATGAACCAGACCAGAGCATGCCTCGACGGAGCTCGGCTCTTAAGAGGGGGGTAGTGTCATGGGCCTGGATGCTCAAGAAGCAGGAGGGTCATGGGTTCATATGGAAGGAGCACAGGTATCGAAGACCTAGTCGACACCAGTAGAGAGCATGGTCGTAGTGCAGTCTCCATGGAGACCATGGACTCCTATGGACTCACATGCAAAGGAGGGCCAAGCACAGCCACGAGGAGGACCAAGCTCAAGGAGCAGGCACAGCCACGAGGAGGACCAAGCTCAAGGAGCAGGCACAGCCACGAAGAGGACCAAGCTCAAGGAGCATGCAGATGGTTACCACTCAGGGGCTCGAGAGACAAGAGCCAAAGGAACTGTCACTGATCAAAGGAGGAGGAGCAGTGTCGAAGGAGTCGACACCAGGTCATGAGGAGGAGGAGCAGTGTCGACAAGAGGCACAGGGGTGCCAAGCAGGAGAGGCCCCTGAGCAGTACTCGATGAAGAAGGTACTCTCTGGAGAGAGAGCAGGAGCAGCATCGCTGGCAATGCTGTGAAGAGGTATATAACCATGCTTTCTCATCATCATAGGTCGAGTGGAGCCCCATCCACTCTACTCACCATAACTAGTTATCACTTCAGCATAAGTATACATTAGTTTCAGTCAGCATAGCAGCAATCTATCAAGGTTGCTCCTCATCGTAGTGTGTGTGTTGTATCACCACTACCTGACGTCCGAAGGCGCCCATAGCAGGTTAGCGGTCCGGATATAGATAGAACCGAAGGCAGTAGTCCACTGCGGTCCGGGGATCACTTCAAGCATCAAGTCAACACACTGGACACTCGTGTTGACGCCACCAACCTTATCACCAACACCATCAACCTCATTATCATCGACGCCACCAACCTTATCATCAACACCATCAACCTCATTATCATCGACATCACCAATCTCATCACCAACACCATCAACCTCATCATCATCAACACCCACACCAGACCTTGGTGTCATCATAACATTGATATTGATCGTGCCGAGCTACCCCTGAATGGAGTGTCCACAGAGGTCAGCCGAAACCTACGATAGTATATACAACGAACGCCACCTGTTGTCACTGCACAACTTGATAGTCACCGATACCGAGACAATAGCTGTCACACAGTTTAATAGTCACCGAGTATCTCGACAGACCGACCTGGGTTTCAGGCGCGAGACCCCTGACAACTGGTTCATATGGAAGGAGCACAAGTATCGAAGATCTAGTCGATACCATTAGAGAGCATGGTCGTAGTGCAGTCTCCATGGAGACCATGGACTCCTATGGACTCACATGCAAAGGAGGACCGAGCCCATATGCGAGGAGGGCCAGGCACAGCCACGAAGAGGACCAAGCTCAAGGAGCATGCAGATGGTTACCACTCAGGGGCGAGAGAGAGCAGTAGGAGTCGACACCAGGTCCTGAGGAGGAGGAGCAGTGTCGAAGGAGTTGACACCACTCAGGAGGCACAAGGGTGCCAAACAAGCAGGATAGCAAGGAGGAGGAGCAGTGTCGAAGGAGTCGACACAGCTCAAGAGGCACAGGGGTGCCAAGCAAGCAGGAGAGGCCCCCTGAACAGTACTCGATGAAGAAGGTACTCTCTGGAGAGAGAGCAGGAGCAGCGTCGCTGGCGATGCTGTGAAGAGGTATATAACCATGCTTTCTCATCATCAAAGGTCGAGTGGATCCTCATCCACTCTACACACACCCATCATAACTAGTTATCACTTCAGCATAAGTATATATTAGTTTCAGTCAGCATAGCAGCAATCTATCAAGGTTGCTCCTCATCGTAGTGTGTGTGTTGTATCACCACTACCTGACATCTGAAGGTGACCCATAGCAGGTCAGCGGTCTGGATATAGATAGAACCGAAGGCAGTAGTCCACTGCAGTCTGGGGATCACTTCAAGCATCAAGTCAACACACTGGACACTCATGTTGATGCCACCAACCTTATCACCAACACCATCAACCTCATTATCATCAACACTCACCAACCTTATCACCGACACCATCAACCTCATCATCAGCAACACTCACACCAGACCTTGGTGTCATCATAACCTATGCATTGATATTGATCGTGCCGAGCTACCCCTGAATGGAGTGTCCACAGAGGTCAGCCGAAACCTATGATAGTATATACCCAAACACCACCCATCGCGCAACTTGATAGTCGCCGAGTGACTAGCTCGTCAAGACCGATACCGAGACAATAGCTGTCGCACAGTTTGATAGTCACCAAGTATCTTGACAGACCGACCTGGGTTTCAGGCGCGAGACCCCTGACACCTCCCTTGGCAGTGGAGTTTTTCTTGAAACCTGTATAGCACCCCAGATTAGGGTAGTTGTTTGTTGTAGATCTGCAATGACTCAGTGATCATCATGGGGTGCAATCCTGGGTTTGATTTCTGGATCCTTGCAATTTCAATGTTGTCTTCATTGGTCTTATCCATTGTGAGGGTGGTTTGTGATTCATCATTGTCTGAGCTATGAGTGATATCATCTCCCTCAGACCCTGTGTCCTGCTCCTCACATGGTCGATATGCATCATCAATTGCTTCTTGAAGGTCTTCATCATGGATGTCCTCATCTGTGTAACCCAGGTGTTTGATGTCAGACAGGTCTTCATACTGTATCTTGTCCATATCTCAGGTTGGGGTCATGTCTGTTTGATCATTCCAGGACTGGTGTTCTAGGAATCTTGCTGCATTCTACCAAAAGATTGCTGGGTTATGGTTCAGTGAGATGAACTTCCATCCCTTGTGTTCCTCATTGTACCTGATGAAGATTGCTGGGATGGCAGCATTGTCTAGCTTCCTCCTCTTCACCTTGGGTATGTGTACCCAAGCAAGGCATCCAAAGGTTTGGAGTAGGTCAAATGGCTTTTGTGGGTCTTGTCCATGGAACACATTGTAAGGGATTTGTTTGTAAACATTTGGCAGGATGTTTTTGGTGAATGCTGCTGCTTCAGCAGCAAATGGCCAGAAAGTTTGTGGTAGGTTATGTGTTTGCAACATTGTCATGATCATGTTCTTGATGGTCCTAATGGTTCATTCAGCCTTTCCATTCTGCTCACTGTTATATGCCAATGTTTTCTGCCACTGGAATCTGGTGTCATTTTGCCATGCAGTTGCTGCAGCAGAGGTCCATTCCCCACCATTATCCAACTGGAGTGTTTTCAGTTTATGGCCAGTCTGAGTCTTGGCATAGTTCACCCACTCCTGTAGTATATGTGGGGCATCTGATTTCACTTGCATTGGTTTAACATATGTGAAACTTTGATGCATTGTCCACCACTACCAGTAAACATGAGAATTCCATTGTTGTTGAGAAGTGGGTGGCCAAGTTGACATGCACTAGTTTGAGGGGCAATCTGGCACATTCCCTACTACCTCATTTCATTATGGCTTTCATTGACTTGCTTGCAATACAATCTTGGCATTTGCAAGGCTTGATCTGGATCTTGTAGATCTTCTCAATGGTTCAGGTCTTGTCTCACCCAGGATGGCCACATTGTTCATGAATGAAGTTGTTGCTAAACTTGCATGGCTTTGGCTCCATTTTGGGGGTCAAATTGACCTGGTAAGTTGGCGATCTCATCATCAATCATCATTGTGAGAGCTGCTGACTTGTCTGGGATGACTTCCCAATGCCTGGTGTGGGGGTTGGCATACCCAGATATGCAGCTGTTGGGCCATTCAATACATGCTTTGTCAGATTTAAAAGTCACACATGTGCTGTTGTTTGCTAGGCCCATACTGACATCAGGTTTATATTGGCATCTGGAACATAGAGTACATTTGACAAATGCACCTCACATCCATCAACATTGATACTAACATGACCTCTTGCTGCAATATGAATCATTGTCCCACTGGCAGTCTTCACAAAGCCAATGCATGGGATAGGGGAAATGGGAATTGCATTATCATTTGTTATGTGGTCAGTTGCACCTGAGTCTACAATCCACACATTGGATTGTTCATCTAGTGATGGGCAATAAGCAGAAGCAACAGTGCACCTAACATCCTAGGTGGATGTTGGATTGCTGTTGGTGGCAATAGTGGGATTGGCATCATTGGATGGTAGGGGCTCACTATTAGGATTCTTGGGGCAGAATTGGCTGATATGGTTTTCCCCCCTGGCAGTAATAGCATCTTCTGCATCCATCAGGGCCAGGCTTCCCCATGCTATAAGCATCTTGGTTCATGAATTGGCTGCTGGCAGCAAAGGCTTGAGGGGCTTTATTGCTGTCTGCCCTGTGGCTGGGTTTCATGATCATGTCATCTTGGCATTTGAAGAGGGCTGCACAGAGTGCTTCATAGTCTGTGGCTCAGCCATTGTCCTGGAGGTTTGTGTTGCAATTTTGGTATGTTCCGATGAATTTTCTTTGGTCAATGAGTGTCTTGATCTTGAGGACCCAGGTTAGGTTATACCCCATTGATTTGGCTTTGGCCCAATGTTCATTGATATCTGTGACAAGCTTGTGGATGTCCACATTGAACATCTGGATCCTACCAGCTTCATTGAGGAGGGTTGATTCAGTGATATGCTCCATCTTGGTAAGGTCTTTCTTGAGGAAAGTGTATAGTTTGTGTAGCTTCCAGGGTTCAGCCTTTGCAGGTTGGATGAAGAGATAGTTGATGTTGTTGGTCCCTGTGAGTTTGGCATGGCTTTGGAGGATTGTGCAGAGGTTTTTGTCTAGTTTTTGATTGAACTTTTTATCTCCTGGCTTGGTGATACCATTGAGGTGCTTTAGGGCAGGTGGCCAGTTGGATAGGTTGTTTTGGAGGCAAGGGTTCCAAGCATACCAGTTCTTTGTGGTTAGCTTGGGTGTTTCCTTCATGGTGTCATTGATGTGGGAAAGCTCATGATGGAAGGTGGGGTGGTGAGAGGGCTTCTTGTAAGATGTGGACATTTCAGCTCATTTATGGAGAGTGAGTTCTATAAGCTTGTTTCGAAGAGTGGTGACATTCAGCTTATTGATGTCATTGAGATTGAGTAGGGGTTCACTTGGTTCATTTTCGTTGCTATCTGATTCATTGGAGGAGATAGTGTCATGCTTGGTTATTGTCTGGTGTCCATGTAGTGCAGGGATTGTTTTGGCCTGGTTGTCAGATGACTCTTCAGGCAATGGGTCATTTGGATGTGAAGGCATGGTGTCATATTCAAAGTGGTGATGGTGTTGGTCCTGTGGCAAGAGCATTCAGACTCTTAATCTGTTGAAGTCATTTGTCAGAAGTCAATGATCACTTGTGTAGATTGCAATGATGAATCATTCCTAAGTACATGATGAGACAAACATTTATATATGTGTTGATGTTCTCTAGATGCATGTGTGATTCTAGGAGCTGATTGGGAAGGAGCATGGATGAGTAACTATGGGGTAGAGGAATGCACTGGCTGCCTGATGACCAGCATCTTGAGGTTTGGCAGTTGGCCTGGGCAATGCACTAAGTCTGAGTTGAGCAAAGTTGGTGATTGGATGTGGGTTCGGTGAGGGCTGCATTTGCATGCTTCGATTGCCGAGACACCACATGCTTCAACTTGGCCGAGGGGGGCACTGATGCTTACCCAGAGGTCTTCACCAACACTTCTCAACTGAAGTCTCCCCAATTCAGCCCATACATACAAGTACACACTGTCAATGCCTGAGTCACCTAGCAGTGAGACTTCTGACCCTCTAGGCATGCTCAGCTTTACAGCCTTTGCCATGAGTTGTGCCACCAAGCCAGCAATGAAACCCCTTGGACACTATCTCAATCAAATAGCTTTTGCAACTGTTGTGATGAACAGAGTAGCTCTAGTTGCTAGTGGTCAACAACTCCACAGTGCTGATGGCATCCTACTTGAACCATCATCACTGTCAGAGGCACAGAAGCAAGACAATTGGACAAGAGGCTATGAATGTCTAAATGGACAACATGCAGAAGATGGATGTTTTTGAACTAGTAGACCTCCCTATGGATGGAATGCTCATTGGTGTATGATGGGTATACAAGTTGAAGCTTGATGCTCAACAGCACACCACACAATACAAAGCAAGACTCATAGCTCAAGGATACACACAAAGACCTGGCCTAGACTATGACCAGACATTCAGTCCAGTTGTCTGTCTCCAGACCATGCACATCCTCCTTGCCCTAGCCCACTGATATAGGTTACACATCACTCAGCTGGACATGAGCACCACATTTCTAAATGGGAAGATTGACAAAGTTGTTCATGTACAGATTCCCCCTACATTTGAGACACCTGAGAACAACAGAAAGTACTACCACCTCAAGAAAGCACTATATGGACTTAAACAAGCAGGTTGCCTCTGGCACACAGCACCCAACAAGCAGCTAAAGGCATTTGGCTTCAAACACTGCTGTGCAGAGCCATGCATCTATGTGCGAGGGATCAAGGATGCCATGATAATACTTGCAGTATACATGGACGACCTACTTGTTATCGGAGCGAGGTGGGGCACACTTGTATATATATCTAGCAGGGAGCTCGAGGCTCGCGCCACATTCCTTTCGCATGTCAATTTAGTATAGTGTTTTGCTCTTTAGCTCGAACACCGTACTTGGACTGATATCTCCCGATCTCTGTCGCCAAGTGTCACTCTTGTTTCAGCATTGTAGGCATTTTGCTGTGACGTTACACTTGAAAACGTGCCTTGGCACCGTCGGAGGAAGGGGAAGATTTGATGTGCGTCTTTGGACAAACTGCACCATGTCTTAGAGATAGGAAACAGCAAGCGGATCAAAAAGCAGAAAGCTGCGCTTATTGACGGGCAGCCAGCTGAAACCTACGCCGACTGACGGGCAACACATTCTTTCATCCCACTTGCTTGCTCTCTCACTCTGCTCTTCTGCGGGCGGGGTGACTTAGGGTCATGATCAAGTTCACAGCCTTCTTACTTGAACAGTGCTCGATGAAGATAGTTGTACCATGTCTCGTGTATTGAATTGGCAAGAGAATAGACTAGTTTTCTTTTTAATTGATAGCTCTGAGAGACTTCTTGAGATCGACGTTCTTGGCGTTGGGCGACTTTGGAAGGTAAGAGCGCATGAAGAAGTTGAAGAAGAGCATAAGCAGAGGCTGTGGATTGAGAGCGGTGTACAGATCAAGGATCAGTTTCTGCCCTTCTGCTGAATGAATTCGGTGATGGGCTGGGTTAGTGATGCTTACGAACATGTACATGGTGTTGAGGTGAAGAGCGATTTCGGCGCCGGTAGTTTGCATGCAAGTTGTTGGTTCAGATGAGGCAGCGCGGGATAGAGCGTGGATGAAGACTAACTGGTCATGGGTGACGACAGGTTGAAACCAGGAAGAGACCTTGTTGGTCTTGTAGGCGTTGAGGACTGCGGTAGGATCGAGCTTGATGAGTAGGTAGAGGTTGGTGAGTAAGGTACCGGAAGCGATTTGAGCGATTTGCATGGTTGTGAGATTGCGCTTCACTGCTCGAGGGAAGGGCCATCGCATGGCAGCGCAGAAGTAGTAGGTGTACATGCAGGTGTGGACAAAGCTGTTGAAGAGACAGAAGACTAAATGGATACATGCAAGAGAGCAAGAGATTCAGTAGGTGCCAAACAGCCTGTAAGCAGAGGCAGCAAGAGAAGCAGCCACTTACCCCAAACTGCTTGACTCTGGTATCGATAGGCAATCCACATGCAGATGATGGCACCGGCGTGATGGTAGGACTGCAAGTTGGACACTCTCTTGCCCTTCAAGAGAAGAATGAGTGAGTCAAAGACTTCGTAGTATTTGCTGAGGTAGAAGATGTAAGCGTACTTGCCCAGATGTGGGCAGTTGGTAGGCATGGAGCAGAGAGCGAGCTTGACACCATCCATTCGAGCAGCCCTCCATCCTTGAATGAAAAAGTCGACGACATAGGGGAACATCATAGCCCATGTCCATCCACTGTAGAGAGCAAGAGCGGCGTTGTGAATGAGGATCAAGAAGCGCAGCACCTTGGCTAGCAGACCAGGGGCTTTTGTGTAGTCCTTGTTGCCGTCGCTTCTGACGATAGCGTTTGCTGCATGAGCTACAAAGTAGTAGGCCAGGGAGAAGCCGAGTGGTAGCCAGGGAGTGAGCGTGGCATTGTAGACGCTTGGTGGCAAGGCCTTGCGGAAGAGCTTGTCGTCGTTCGGGTATCTTGGGTAAGGAGCCGATAAAGTCTCCCATGCAGTGCTACCTGGAGAAGCGGGGTCGAGTGGATACCGCTTGGCCTTGAGGCCGAACAAGGTCGACATTGTCGCAGCCCTGTTGCTCGGAGCAATGCTATGCGAGATGGCCGTAGAAGGTAAGAGGCTGATAAGGCGGAGCAAGAGCAACGAGAAGCACCGCTTCATTAACGGGAACGCAATGCGGGAAGCGAGCTGTCGAACTCTTTGTTCATATGGTGCTTTCATTTGGCATTGCGATTGTTTCCCATAGTGTCTGGCTTGTGTGAGTAGTGTGTTCGAGGGTCCTCTCTTGTTGTTGTTGTTGTTGTTCTTCCTCCTCCTATTGAACCGCGGAAGAGACATTAGCCGGCATGTTTGTGCTTTATGCAACACAAGCCGAGATTAGCTCATATCTCTCTGTGCGGCCCTTGCACACGACACACACTCAATCACAAACACCACACCGTATGGCGCATTGCCGGTTCATCTCACTGATGCTGAGCTTGTTGAGGGATGGAATAGTGGTATGACTTTACAGCTTGGATCTGATCAAGCCGTCAGGACGATCGGGCCCATCGATCGCCTCGCTCTGATAGAGCTGAATACGCTTTTGAGGATCACTAACACCCAGCTCGAGCAAGATATCATCCGTGTGTTCACCAGGGGTCAAGAACATTTCGGCGCTCTCTTCTTGCCACTCTCCGCCTGGACTGCCCGAAGGTGGCTTGGCTGGTGTACGGGAGAGCTTTGGTGCTGGCGATGGGATGATCGGCTTGCCATCTGCGACATGGTTCGGGTTGGCAGCTGGCAAGACTCCCGCAATCGCTGCTTGGTCTCGGGTCAGCACTGGCACAGTGCAAGCGTCGGTGCGGATAAAGTGTCGTTCCCATTCCGAGCGAGGTAGCTGGGCAAAGCAAGCTGTCAAGTAGCGTTGCAGTTCAGGCCAGCTATCACGATCGTGTTGCGTGCTGGCCGATGGATGCTGGGTGCCTTGCGGTGCCTTAGGGAGCACCTTGCGCAAAATCTGCAGAAGCTCTTGGTAGAAGTGTCGCTCGATCGCACCGACGCTCATGTAGCCGCCATCTTTGCATGCGTAGACACGGTACCATGGTGCACCGCCGTCCAAGGTGTTGCGTCCTCGTGTCTCGTCCAGACCATCACTGTGGATCGCGCCCCAGCTTGGGTGGGAGAGATAGCTGGAGAGCAAGATAAAGGTTGACACGTATCGTGCACCTGTCACCATGTCTGCCTCCACGATCTGACCCTGCGAGGAGCGCGCTCGCTCCACCAATGCGAGCAGGATACCGAGCAAGCAAATCATCGATCCACCGGCAAAGTCTCCGAGCAGGTTCGATGGTGGCTGTGGCTTTCCCCCTGCGTTTCCGAGCATGGATAGAAGACCGCTGAGGGCAATGTAGTTGATGTCGTGTCCTGCCATGTTGGAATATGGTCCTGTTCGCTGGAAGCCCGTCAATCGTGCAAAGATCAGACCTTTGCCGATCTGCTTTTCAAAGTTTTGCGGGCCTAGGCCGAGTCGTTCAAGCACACCAGGTCGAAAGGGGTCGATGACGATATCTGCCGACTTGATCAGCTGCGTGATCAGAGCCTGTCCCTCGGCGCTCTTGGGCGATACTGCAAACGAGCGCTTGCCGCGACACAGGCTGTCTGGGTTCAGTCCGCTCTTGGTCTTGTCGATTCGAATCACGTCTGCGCCAAAGTCGGCAAGCACCATGCCGACAAAAGGACCAGGTGCTAGTCCAGAGAACTATCGAACATGATCAAAGAGACAAGTAAGTAGGTGGATGCCTCAGCTTCGTCTATCCCCTTGCCGCACACATTGGCTCCTATGCACTTACCTCGATGACCTTGATGCCTGCGAGCGGTAGATTCGGGTTTGCTAGCGGTTTCGGTGGCATCCCCCCGCCGTTATTGAACGACATCTTGTGCAGCGATTCCAGATATGAAGCTCGGATCGAGTGGCCTTCTTGATGAAGATGATGGTGTGGTGAAAGCAAGCAAGCAAGCAAGCAAGCAAGCAAGCAAGCACCGGTCTCTTTACCGGCCCCTTCTGACGATTTTTAGCGAGCTTTATTATCCGATTTCAACGGCATTTCACACTGATTTCCTGTTGTAATAAAGGAGACACTCGTCTCAGTTGGAGTCATTTGTCAGTAGTTGGAGTTGAGGCGTTTTGTTGATGATGATGGTAAGAGAGAGAGAGAGCGAGAGAGCGAGGAGTCTATATATATACAAAAGAAGAGCGGCAGAGAGCCGCATTGACTGCGGAACATAACAAAGCATTTGTCTTGAGTAGGTTGTGACACATGTGGTCCGTGCTAAGATGCTCAGGCCTTTTACTCGGCCGTAAGCACTACCTTCACTGTCTCTACGCTTTGTGTAGCTTTATCTACTTCAACTGTCTCTACCTGATCACCAACTGAATCTGCTCTGCCTGATCCTCTACAGATCTGATCTACATTATTCCTAGATGGGACTAGATCACAATCTCCAACAAGTTCCTGTTGTAGGCTGTGTGACAAATAGCATTGATGACAAGTATCAATTGCAATGAGGACCATAATGCAAGTACAACATGGTTCAAATGCATATCTAACTCCTCCAGCATTCTGTGTATACATGTAAGATACAAGGATGATAAGGCTGAAATGTGATGGGGAAAAGGTATGTTGGATGTCTGATAGCCGGTATGCCTGTACATGATTGCAAATGAGGTGTTACTTGTTGTCAACATGTTTGAGCTTTGAGTGCTTGGTGGGATCTTTTGCTGCCTGAATGCAACCTGTATTGCTGGCAAACACTATGGGTGTATGGTCTGCAAATCTGAGGCCACAGAGAAGATGTCTATGCCGAAATCTGCTGGAAAAGCTGGTTCTGACTGATTTCGGTGAGATGTCTGTTGTTGCACAAGTTACTGCCCTTTGGGTGATGTGAGGCTGTGGTGATACAAGACACATGTGTAGAGTAGTAGCAATGCCCTGCAATTGCAACTGTTGACAAGATACTAAGTGTATGATATGGTAAAGATATAGCTAGTTAAGAGTAGAGTGGATGAGGCTCCACTTGACTACTATGGCAAAGAGAATGTGTGTATATATAGATGTATGCAGTGTTGCAGGAGACACTGCTCTTGCTCCTTCTGGGAGAGCTTGTCCTGCTCCTGCTCCTGCTCCTGCTCCTGCTCCTGCTCCTGCTCCTGCTCCTCCTGTTCTGTAGGAGCTCCTCCTTGACACAGTTCCTGCTCCTCCAGCTCTTTGTTGTCAGGTGAGGGTGAGTGCAACCTCATCCTTGCCTAGGCTTCTCTCCTTGTGGCCTCTGCTCTCTGTCTGCAGTAGTGATGACACTCATGCTGCACCAGGGGCGTTTTTGGCAAAGAGGAACTGCTGAATGCTTAGCTACAATGCAATCTTTTGAGAGAGGGGAGAAGAGGATTGGAGGCTGTGGGTGTGTTTACATTTTAATTGTGTTGAGAAAGTAAGAGTAAGTGTGGCTCGAGAAAAGCAGCCATGTAAAGTTGGCGCAGAAATTCATCTCCATATTCCTACAGCGAAGAGGGAGGCTTGTTTGCTTGTAAGCAAACCACCATTCGTCGACACCTGCTGAAAGGGAAATCAAGTGTAGCGCACAACTCTAAGCATTCGTTCCCATCACAGCGCCAAATGGAAGGAGGGATCAAAGCATTGACGCACAGCTGCTGAATCTTGCGCATTCGTGGATTGCGCGGTCGAGGAACAAGGATGCCAGATAAGAGGGAGCTCGACGCTTGCCCTACCGACCAACCTCGAAGCAAGAGGCTTACTCAAACAGTCGAGGGAGGCAGAATGTCGGAGGGCGGTAGCTTGGCGATTCTCAAGCATCCTAGGCTGACTGGGCAAGGATTCTCTGTACCACCACTGTTTCAACAACCGACGCGGTTGTGTTCCTTTTCATTCGACGAAAAGCGAAAGCTGTGGCAAGACGATCGATGCAAACGCTTCTACAGAGGACCACCGCCGTACAACAATGCGCATCCGCAACAGTCGCGCGCAAGAATGGCTGGCAATCGAAGGATCTTTGGAGCCGATCTGAACTATGGCATTGAAGGATTCGTCCAACGAGACGAATGTGTTGGCGAGCATTTGGATGCACTGCTTGCCGCATTGCAGCACCGAACTACCTCAACAGCCTCGGGATTGGAAAGCAAGGAACGAGATCAAGAGCGCAGGCGCGCCGATATAGTGACGTGGCGAGGCATCATTACCAAGATCTGCACAGCCTACGATCAGAAAGCTACAGCGAGATTCAACGAGGCATTCGAGCTGAACGCTATGATCCTCGATGGCACACTATATCTGGAGGAGTACGTTTGCGCAAGCGAACGAGCTAAAAAACAAGAAAAGGAGAGAGATCCTCGATGGCACAGGTTTAGCTACTACGGCTACTCGTTTGAAAGCTACTGCACGGTGGAAACCGAGGCTGAGACCAAGGAGGCATTTGGTGGAGTAGTAGCATTTCCGGGGAGCGCCAGGCGAGATCCGCCAGGTTGGTCGGGCGATGTGAATACGAATGTACAATGGTGCCAGGTGGTCAAGACCAAGTTGGGCGGCAACCGTTTGATTCTCGGAGGCGAAGTGGATGCTGTCCAACGCGACCAAAGGACGGGCAGAGAGGAGATGGTTGAGCTCAAGACCTCGAAAGAGATGAGATGCTTTCCTCACGATCCTCAGAGAGGAGCATCTGATCAGGAGGTTTTTGAAGGGAAGCTGTTAAAGTATTTCTTGCAAAGCTATCTCCTTGGAATCGGCAAGATTGTCGTCGGCTTTCGCGATCCTGCTGGATTGCTGACGAGGCATGAGCACTTTGAGACCTTAAAACTCCCACGGATCGTCAGAGCGGGAGAGGAGATTGCAGGCAGATTCGACAATGCTGGCAGAGCAGCAGTGAGGCAAGATTCGGTTTGGCAGCCAAAGGATAGTTTGGGATTTGGCGATCAGATCTTGTCCTTTATCCGCGACACTGTCCTGGCGCATACCACCAAGCGTGGTGCTGAGCGAAGCACTGGCCATCCAGTCTTTCGAGTCTCCTTCAAAGCGCCCTTCGAAGAGGTTCAGATCCGAGAGCTCAGCGAAGAGCAAGTCTACCAACAGGCTCAAGATCGCGGTACTTCAGGCGAAAGAGTTGCATTCCTCCCCAAGAGTTTTTACGATTTTGTTCAGTCTCAAGCCAGTGCTCATCCACATCCTTAAGCCAGTAGCCAGTAGCCAGTAGCCAGTAGCCAGTAGTCAGCGGCACACTGTCAATATGAAACCATACTGATTTCGGCCGAGCCGAGAAAGACGGAACATTGCGAGAAAGAGACAGAGAAAGACTGCGGAAATGCCGATCAGATGGAACTAGACAAGACGTTTAAAGAGGAGCAGAGCGACAAGTAGGCCTAGTGCTTTAATGCAGTTATCGATGAGACTGAGTTTCTGTTCGGTGGCTGAGATTCGAGTTGCGTTTGTGGTCGTGGGAACATTGTGGCGCTCCTCGAGTTGCTGCGGCGGTGTGATGGATGTGATGATAGGAGCAGCAACAGAGGGACCAGAACAGGTCGGATTGGCCGATGAGGTCGGAGTGGCCGATGAGATGCTGCTCTCTTCTCCGTTGGCTAGTTGTGGTGTTGGAATCGGTTGCGCAACTGCCTCTTCCATTGAGGTTGCTGGAGCATCGGGCCTCTCCTCTGGTGTGGTGGATGAGCGAGCAGCAGCAGCAGCATCCTTCTCCGCCTGCTGCTTGCGAGTCTCAGCATGGAAATCCACGTTCAAGCCATCCGGCAGCGCCTCTTGCTCCCTCTTCTCGCCTTGCTCCGGATCGGGATCGGGCAACAACTCCAACGTCGATTTCCCACAAACCTCACACTTCCACTCTCTACTTTGCCTCGCCAACCTCTGCCTCGCCTGAAGAGGATAATCCAGGGCACCTACCCCCGCCGCCGCTTCCGCCTTTGCCGTCATAAACGTCTGCAGCCCCAGCAGTGCCGTTCTTATCCCCCATGCTGGCTGCCACATTTCCTCATGAAAGCCTGTAAACGTCAAGCAGATCTTTTTGTTGGGTTCCCATCGACCATTCGGGGTGAGGAGCATCAGGTTCGGTGGCCGCATAGGGTATTCCGCCGGTAAGAGGATTCGACCATGGTAAAGACCCGAAGCGAATTCCGTGTTGGCTGGTCCACGGAGGGTAAAGTGCCATTCGAAGATGTTGTCTTCCAGAGGTGAGGCCGTGTAGAGATCCGAATCGTCCCAGCCGAGTTCGCGTGCTTCAGAGAGGATACGCTTGACCGCCGATGATTTCTTGTTGTGTGATGTCGCGCTTGCCATCTCGAACAGCAAGTCTAGGGCAGTATGAGCGGAAAAAGTGTCGTCTAGTGCGCTTATCACAGATCCCCACTGGACCTGATAGGTGACCAAGCAGGATCGGAAGAGCCGTCTATAGTAACTATGTCGGCAGTCGTGAGAAAAGAAGCCCAGATGTGCCTGTTGTGTGCGTGTGCTGTTCTCTGTCGCTCTGTTTCTTGGCTCTTTCTGCCGGGCGGGACAAGTGCGATTTCGTGATTTCCTCTGCAAATCTCCACAGAACTTCACATCGGGGCAGTTCCGAAGATGCTGCCGATGCCATGTTTTTGGAAATGACAGAAAGACACACACCAAAACAACCTCGGCTGTGGCGCCAAAAAGTTGCCAACACTTTTACTTTCATCATCTCTTCACACTGTCACACTGTCACACTGTCACACCCCTCACACCCTCACACTGTCACACCGATCACCAATCACCATCGCCACCATCGCCACCATCGCCACCATCGCCACCGATCACCACCGTCACCGGCCAAGTGACTCAGCTTCGATCGACAACGATGAATGCTGCGCTTTCGAGTGTAAGATCGCGAGCATTGGAAGCTGTTTCTTCCCTCTCATCCTTCTCTACCTCATCATCCAGCTCCTCACTACCACTAGCTACCGCATCATCATGGCAAACCAACAAACCCAAACGCAGCTTCGACCGTCCACGCCTATTCGCTCGCAATCGATCCGATCTCCATACCCAAACCACCACCACCACCACCACTGCTAGCCACCATAGCCGATCGCTATCATGGGAAAAGACAGGAGCGGCTCCCTCCCGCTCGACCTTGATCTTGGTTTTGGGCTGTCTGGCCTGGTATACCTCCTCTTCTCTCTCCTCCAACACTTCCAAAGCTCTGCTTTCCAAACCACGCATCGACAGCCATGATGCCAATTCCAGTGCTTCACCCCCACCACCCGCATTCCCCTACCCAGTCACCCTAACGCTCATCCACTTTGCATTTGTCAATGTCTGCTGCTTTATCTCTGCCTCGCCGAGGATACTCGGTTCTGGTGCGCTTACGCGTTTGGTCAAACCCTCTTTCTCCCGCGTAGCAGAGGTGGCCCAGCTCGCGTTTTTTAACGTTCTCGGTCAGGCTCTTTCTTCGCTCGCGATCAGTAGAGTTCCCGTGTCGACGGTGCATACGATCAAAGCGCTCTCGCCTCTCTTTACGGTGTTATGCTATACATATTTGTTCAACGTAACCTATCGCTCCAAGACATATCTCTCGCTCTTTCCCTTGACAGCCGGGGTGATGATGGCCTGTACAGGCTTTGCCTTTGATGCCGACGACCTTGTCGGATTCGGTGCGGCGCTAGCTTCGACCTTTGTATTTGTTGCGCAGAATATATACTCGAAGAAACTGCTAAGGAAAGGGGAGAAGGATGCAGGCATTCCAGGAACGGATAGCGAGAAGATGGATAAACTCAACATTCTCTTCTATTCTTCCGCTTGTAGTATCGTCCTTATGATCCCTATGGCCATGTATTACGATGGCTCAGCATTGCTCTTCAACCCTTCCTGGACCGCTAACGAGTTTTACCCGGACGGAAGGGGCGGCTTAGTGCTATGGCTGTTACTATGCAACGGAATAGTGCACTTTGCACAGAACATGCTCGCATTCAACATCCTATCCATCGTCTCGCCGGTCACCTACTCGATCGCATCGCTGCTCAAACGAGTATTTGTGATTGTGTTGGCAATCATTTGGTTCCGACAACAAGTGACACTTCTCCAGTGGTTCGGAATTGCGCTCACCTTCTACGGCCTGTGGATGTACAACGACAGCAAAACAAAGAACGACGTCTGTCAGGTGGAGAACAAGGTTTCTCGTAAACAAGACGGCCTTGCGGATGCAATTCTACCACTTACCTCATCAGCCCAAGCAAGGGCGCAGTGGCCAGTCTCTGCTCCAGCAGCGGCGAACTACACTTTTGCAGCTCAACAACAATCGCAGCAAAGGCAGCAGCAGGCGCATCTTGCACTGAGCCATGCTGGCGGATACAAGGATATTCCAGAACCGATGCTTGTTGGTGGCAATAAGAGCTACATTAAGGATCCGACCAAGTCCTTGCCTAGTCCTCCTGATAGCGATAAGGGGGCCTGAAACGGCCATATCCACCGATGGTTTCCTTTTCATAGATCTTGGTTCATATGGACAATGCGATCATAGAAAAGTATTCCTCTCTTGCCAGTAGAAGAGTGGCAGAGTGTGCGCTGAGGCTAGGCCAAAGCGGCAATGTTTTCGATCCAAAGAAACTGTATTAACGGGTTAAGTGGAAAAGAAAGGCGACTAGGTGATGGCAGAAGTTACAATAAGGAGGATGAAGGGGTATCTTTGCTTCACTTGCTGTGTTGTGGATTGCGTGTTCAGACAAGAACATTACTCGCTCCGATCATCGAGGCAGCTAGAAGAGCGACGGTTGCCAAGCAGATTGCTCTGCTATCAGCAGGCATCGACACTGCGTTGTTTGTTGATCCAAGTGCCAAGCTGGGCAAACGATTGGTAGCAGTAGCCACTTGTGTTGCACGCCAACTGCCCGTGTTTGGAGGCATTGCAAGAGTTGTAGTGGGTGCTGTGGCAGTTACTACTACTGTTCCTCCTCCTGCACTTTCACCACCTAAACCACCTGAACCACCTGAACCACCTGAACCACCTGAACCACCTGAAGCGGCGGTTGCTACAGGACCAACTTGAAACGTACTCGTCTGCGACAAGGTTTGAAACTGATAACTTGTCGATATAGCAAGCGGAGAGACGTTGAAAGTTCCAGCAGCATTAGTTGTGCCGCCCTGCTTGGTGATTGCGGGATCAAACTGCGTTGTGGATAGCATGATTCTCGACCCATCCCTCCTGTCCAACTCTTCTGCTGGGACGAGCAAGGGTAGTGCTGAGACGAGCGCAAGGGCGTGAATGAATTTCATCTCGGCTTCCAATGCTTGTCCCTGCAAATCAAAAGCACCAACCTCGTTGTTTTTTTTTTTTTTTTCTTTGACAGAGAAGCGTCGATGATGTGCGTCGATGGAGGTGGGCAGCAAGTTGGATATGATGTACAAGTTCCGCCAGAATCAGGCAAAACAGACACAAGAGAACAGAAGCAACCCAACCTCCAAATGCGGGGCAATTCGAAATGCGTGTGGAACCGATCCCGATCCCGATCCCGATCCCGATCCCGATCCCGATCCCGATCCCGATCCCGATCCCGATCCCGATCCCGATCTGCTCTACTCTGCCTCAATCACCGATATCGCTGAAGGAGGTCGATGGAGTAACCGACGTTTTCGACAGGTTGACCCTGACAGAACGGCCAACAAGTTTTCCCACGTTAATAAGCCTTCGTCGGGTTCTCCGTCGGGCAGTCTCCGACGAGGCGGTGGACTGCTGAAATTGGTGATCCAATGATGATGCTGAAGAGCAACGCAACGTCGACCAGATCGGAGATCAGACAGAGCCAATCTAATGAGGTGGCAGATTTGACTGGAGATCAAGGATAACCAATCTCGCCAGAGATTGGGGACAACAAAGTCTCACTCATTGTTAGGCTGGATCATTAAGCATAGCAACTCCCACATCTGGCATGTGCCACTCACTTGTATATATATCTCACAGAGAGCACTAGGCTCTTGCTGCATTCCTTTAGTCAATTGAGTATATTTGTTTCTGTCTAAAACTAGCAGTGACATTGTACTTAGACTCTACCTGATCACCAGTATCAGGACCAAAATGACTTCAGTTTCTAACAGGTTATGAGCCCAAAACCCAGCCCTACCTCATCCTCAAACTCACCTTCAACAATGTCTGAGATAGACTACTTGACATATGACAACTTTGTCGACTCCATGCAGGATCTCCTTCCACACCTGCCAATGATAGTCCAAAACTGCTTCAACTGGGTTATGACCAATGAAGTCTATGGCATGCCAAATGCCCCAAAGACCAGTCGACTCCTGAAGTATGTGATGGATGATGATGACAAAGAGCAGGTAGTCTCACCATTGTCCATCATGATTGAATGTATTGGTATCCTCTACAAAGCAATGCACAATCTTGGCCCATTTGCCAACCAAACCAAGCTAGGTAGAGCAATGCAAACCAGAGTGACTCTCTTCCTAGTGAATGAGGAGTGGGATGTGACTCACATCCTTGATCTCAAGATCGAGGGTCTGATCAAACATGCATGCCTCCCCATTAAGGTTGAGAGCCCTATGTTGGGTCAGAGCAACACCCTGGCCTTCAAAATGAGCAACTCCAATCGCTGTCTGAATGGCCATGAAGCTACACCATGTCCTACCCCTGAACTCAGTGCAATCACAAATCACCATCTAAAGGTGCTTTCTGGTCTAAACAATAAGATGAAATGGGAGGAACAGGACCTACTGGACCCCAGGTCAGTCTCAGTGCATGCATGGCAACACAAGATGCTCACAATGCTGTCAGTCATTCCATTTGCATGAAACATTCTTGACTGAAAGGCAATGACTTTCAAAGATGCCAACTCCATGCTCAGTTCCATCATCATGCATAGTTTCTCAAACAAGTTACATACTGAGTACTTTGCAGAGCATGGAAATCAACCAATGCTGATTGCTGTAGATCTGTTTGAGTGGGCAATAAATAAGTGCACAGTACACTCCACTGCCAAGGAGTATGAGCTTCTCACAGCCACCTATGACTTGCATTGGGACCAAGTTGGAAGCAGAGCATATGACTTCCTTACTAAATGGGAAGCTCATGTATCCAAATTGCATGCCTACTTGAAGGTCCCCTGGACTCCAGATCACCATTACTGGACACTCAAGCATGCACTACCTTCAGACAGAAATGTGCTATTTAACTCAGTGTCTGTCCTGCATGAGAAACTTCATGGGAAGGAGCAAACAGCTGAAAGTGTAGCTAACATACTTTGTGAATGCTATGAACTTGCAGCCAAAAGCACCCCTGTACACCTTCCTCCCATGACTGAAGCATTGGAACTGATCACATTGCATGCTGCCATGCTCATCAATTGCTGGGCCTGTGGTGAACTCAGTCACACTGCCAATCATTGCCCAGACAATGCCACTCATGCCAAGTGGAAACAAGGAAAGATTAAAATGTCTCCTAAGGGTCATGCCAATGCATGTGTCATACTACCTCTCAAAGACACCCAGGAGGACTAGGATATGGTGCTGGTCTTGGCATTCACCACAGAAGTCAAGCTGGCACCCATTGACCTTCCACCCCAGTTTGTGCCATTCATGTTCGATTCTGGGGTGTCCTGTGTCATGGTAAACTTGTCTCAGCTTGGAAAGGGTTGGCAGGACATGGACACATCTGTGAACATCACCACAGCCAATGGAGGAGGACTTGTTGCCACCAAGATGGGGGGGAACTGTTAGCCTCCTGAGCTTCAGCCCCCAACTGCACCAATGGGAGCAAATGACATATCAAAACTGTCTGTTGGTTCCCAACCTTGTGACCAACCTCATTGGTACCAAGTCTGTCACACATGCATGAGGCAGAGTGACCTTTGAGAATGAGCTTGTCACAATTCAGGATAAGCATGGACATGCAATTTGAGTGCCAACAGGCCAGGATGGTTACCCCACTGCTGCTATGATCATATGGAATGACAATATGCCTGAGCCAGCCATCTCCCTAGCTTTTGCTGCAACAACAACAGTAACTAACATGGAGCATCCCCACAGGTTCAGCAGCAAGGCAAGCATCTAGCACCAAAGATTGGGGCATGCCAGTCACAATGTGATCCTATGGACAAGAGTGGCTACTACCCTCCATGACATACCCTTGACCCCAGCAATCCTTCCTGGCAACCTGTGTGACATCTGCACATGAAGTAAGGCAATCACATGGACTATTGCTCATCCTTGGCAGGTCAGTGAACTGCTTGAATTGGTGTCGATGGATGTCATGGGTCCACTGCATGGTGCCACTCAGTATTCATATGTGCTCATCATTCATGATGCTCATTCTGGTATGATTTGGGTGCAAGGGCTAGCACACAAAGGAGCTGCATCTCAGGAAGCAGCTTGGTGGTTGTCCAAAATTCATGTTGCCAAGAATCAGAGACCATCTGAGGTGACCCTGGATCATGGAATCAAAGAGATCCAGGTGGACCAGGGTGAACTTTGGTCTGCCACCTTCTGTGAGCTGTGTTCTTTGATGGGCATGAAGATCTCCACCTCACCCACTCAACAACACACTGACAATGCATTTGCTGAATGGGCAATCCAGACGATCCAGAAGATTGCCTGGAGCCTTATCTATGACTCAGGTATGGATGAACAATGGTGGCCACATGCCATACTCCAGGCAGCATTCATCCACAATCGACTTGCAGGTATGACACATGGAAGCATTACACCCCTCAAACTCTTCTTCAGTCATCACCCTGAGCTATGCCACATCTGACAGTTCAGGTGTGTAGCCTATGTCATACTTCGAGGAAGCACATGCTCAACATGGTTGTGAAACCACCTGATGGTTAGTAAACACCTTCAGCCATGCACTCTTCAGGGCACATATTTGGGTTTCTCAGACAAACCATGTGTGGTCAAAGGCCACAAGGTCTGGCTTCCAGAGCTTGACCATGTGGTTGTTGCAAAAGACATTCAATTCTTGGAACTTGAGCAGCTGGGTGTGGATCCTCATCCTTTCCACAGGTGTGTCCTTGCTGGCGATCATGAGCTTTTACACTCCTACACCTGGTTCCCTCAGGATGAAGTGACAGATGAAACAGAAGCAGATGATGTGACTCACTCATTGCTACCAATGTACTCTTGTCAGTGTACCATCGATTCCAATTCAAGCCCTTCAGATGTCTCAAGTTTCAGCCATGAATGGGACTGAATGATGGTGGACATTGAGGAGGCTGGTGAGATCATTATGGACATAGATGCAATTGCTGCTGACCTTGGAGCAGAGCTCGATGCAGTGCAGCCCGAAAGGGGGAATACAATACTAGGTCTGCCACATGCTGAGGCTCATGAGAATGTGTCCCTGCTTGACACACTGCAGAGTGATGTGACAGCAGATGTGTATGATGGCATCTCTGTACTTGACTTCACCCACACAGAGTCACTGGATCCATCAAACACACTCAGATACATGGCTTTCACTACAATGTGCTCACTCACACCAAACCCTGACACCCAGATACCTGTGGTCAGCAGCCACCATCTGGATTGCATGGCTTTTGCAGCTACAGTAATGGATGGTACAGCATTGATTGCTAGTGGTCAACAATTTTGAAGTGCTGATGGCATCCTGCTGGAACCATTGTCCCTCAATGAAGCTAAAGTGTGCAATGATTGGCCAAAATGGTGAGAGGCAATGGTGAGTGAAATGGATAGCATGCATAAGATGAATGTTTTTGACCTGGTGGATGTACCAGCAGATGGCAGACTCATTGGCATTCACTGGGTATACAAGCTCAAGCTTGACACCCAATGCTGCACCACACAATACAAAGTGCACTTGGTTGCACAGGGATATGCTCAGCACCAGGGGCTAGACTACAACCAGACTTTCAGTCTGGTAATTTGCCTACAGATGGTATGAATCCTACTTGCTGTTGCTTGTTGTTACAGGCTGCATGCCATTCAACTCGATGTCAATACAGTGTTCTTGAATGGAAAGATTGACAAGGATGTGTACATATGGATCCTGCCAACATTTAAAACAGAAGTGACTGAGAACAAGTGCTACAGGCTGAAGAAGGCTCTCTATGGGCTCAAACAGGCTGGAAGATTGTGGCATGCAGCACTTGGTGAGCAACTTCAAGCATTTGGTTTCAAGCACTGCTGGGCTGAACTGTGTGTATACATGCATGGTTCAGACAATGTGATGGTACTGCTCACAGTCTATGTCAACAACCTCCTAGTCATCAGGGCAACTGAATCACATGTCAAATCCACAAGGCAGCAGCTTGCAAGCACCTTCAGTATCACAGACCAAGGCAATGTGTCACACATCATCAGTTTGAATGTGGATTACAATAGAGAGGCCTGCATGCTATCAATAAATCATAGTGGATATATTGAGGGAATACTAATGAAGTTTGGAATGGACAGAGCCTGGGCAGCATCAACACCAGCTACTGAGGCCATCAATACTCTTGGACCATGAGAAGGCAACTCAGCTAGTACTGAAGAAATCTGTCACTATGCATCACTTGTGGGATCATTATTGTGGATTGCTCAAGGCAGCTGACCTGATATTGCATTTGCTGTCAGCCACTGTGCCTGGTTCATCATGAACCCTTCCAGTGAGCACCTCACCACTGCTAAGTGCATACTATGATACCTCAAGGGAACAATAGGAATCAGCCTCTCAGCAGGAACACACACTGGTGGGCAAACACTTGCTGGATGGGCTGATAGTGACTGGGCAGGATCATGCAGTTGCAGAAGGTTGACATCAGGGTATGCCTTCATTGTCGACAGATTAGTGTGCAGTTGGTCTTCACACCTCCAACCAACAGTAGCAAATAGCTGAGTAGAAGCTGAATATGTAGCTCTAGTGGGAGCCACTAGAGAATTACTATGGACATTGATGTTTTTACATGAGCTACAACAGCAAGCACCACAGATGACTGGAATCCACATAAGTGCTGGGACTACAATTACCCACTTGCAAGATGGTGAGCTAGCTTTCAATCGAGATGTTCTGGTCCTATACAGCAATTTGTCAGGAGTGTGTGCCATTGCAAGCAACCCTCAACACTTCAAGAGGACAAAGCACATTGATATCACTCACTTCTTCCTGTGAGATGAAGTTGCAAGTCAGCAACTTATGATTGCTCCAGTCCAGAGTTGCAAGAACATTGCCAATATATTGACAAAGCCACTCATGATGCTGACACTCATGCACATACAGGAGCTATTCAGTCTGACAGTGTCAAAGGAGCCCACTGGATCGAGAGGGGGTGCTGAAATTGGTGATCCAATGATGATGCTGAAGAGCGACACAACATCAACCAGATCAGAGATCAGACAGAGCCAATCTAATGAGGTGGCAGATTTGACTGGAGATCAAGGATAACTGATCTTGCCAGAGATTGGTGACAACAAAGTCCCACTCATTGTCAGACTGGATCATTAAGCATAGCAACTCCCACATCTGGCATGTGCCACTCACTTGTATATATATCTCACAGAGAGCACTAGGCTCTTGCTGCATTCCTTTAGTCAATTAAGTATATTTGTTTCTGTCTAAAACTAGCAGTGACATCGTACTTAGACTCTACCCGATCGCCAGTATCGGGACCGAAACGACTTCAGTTTCTAACATGGACAAGTCTCTCCTTCAAAAGCTAAGCTCTGGTCGGCACTTTTGGTGAGGGTGGCAAACTCGCTCAAGAGAAAAGGGTCTCCTTCAAGGGGCTCTCGTGCTCTGCCTCTCATGCTTCGGTCGTTGCTTGCTATCTTTGTGTTGGTGTCAAGATGTATATAGATAGTCCTCAAGTCAGTTAGTTTGCCCTGATCACGCAATACAACCGTGTCCTGCCAAAAAGAGTCCACTATCACTTGAACAATCGCATTACACTTTGTTCAATCAAGAGAGCAATCCGATGGTATTCCGAACAGACATACATCCCAAACAACAACAACAACAACAACAACAACAACAACACCACCACCAACAACAAACAATGCAGAGAGCAAAGAGTGAGAAGAAGCAAAGCAAGCAATCTCGCTGCTACTCGCCTTGCAAACAAAGACGACAGGAGCGCTCCTTACTGTCCGAAAAGGTAAACAAAGCTACCTCTAGGACGCTCTGTAATGGGCATCAATTCGTACCGCAATGCTTCCAACTGAACAAAGAAGCCACTGCGAATGAAGGGCGAGCAGAAAAGTGGTACGACGGAAAGGAAGAATGCGTGAAGCATCAACACGGATAACCACGTTGGGATCTGTTCGTTCAGATGAGGATAGGTGCGTTTGAACCAAGCCGCAGCGACGGTGGCGAAGCCGTTTAAGAGGAAAAAGAGGAAGTTTTCACCATTGGCAAAGCCAAGCGTGAAATAGGTAATGTGTTCATGGAAGAGACCAGACATGGCGAAAGTTAGGATTGCTGCCGCTGCTTTGGGTAGGAAAGGTGATTTCTTTGCCGGTGTGCCAGCAGCAAGGTTGCCGTTAGCTTTGATAGCAGTGCGCTTTCGTAGTTCCCAATCAGCCTTGCCGTTGGAAATGTGAGAGAGCGATTTCAGAGCTCTAGCCGCCCCAGCACCATGATCGTTCGAGGTGGAGCAAGACGAGTGGTAATGTTGGTCTTCACCTGAAGTGTGACCTACGTCGGTTTCAGACATACCGTCCATGTGCGAGAAGCGTTTCTTAGCAGCCGCTGCTTCAGCTTTCCTTGTTGGGATCAATGTTTTCTTCTTTCGACCGCCAAAGATGACTCGGTGGAAGACAGCGGCGATGGCTCGATTCCAGTGACTCCAGAAGAGACGAATGTTGGTGGTACCCAAAGGATTTTCAAACATATCTGCCATCTCGACGTTGATAAGGATGCCAAGTGCCTTGAGCAAACCATCACCAAAGAGAGCCAAAGCCATCAGAATGCAGATACCGAGCATGTCGCAGTAAAAATGGTAAGCCAACTGACTCATCTTCCTAGTCAACTCGTAAGGCGGAATAAAGTAAAGAGTTCCGAACATGGCAACGGCTTCGACGGCGACCCGAGGCATTCCCTTGAGGTTTTCCATCCGTGCGTTTCGTTGGTAACCTTGCTCGGCAGTACGTTCTGCGATCTCGTCGAGTTCCTTGGGGAAAGTCCAAAGTTGAGCAAAGAAGCGAACAAAAGACCAACTGCTTACTTGATGGTAAGTACGGATATGGAAGATATCCCAAACCAGCAAGCAAGAACGGAAACCAAGTGCGGGACGCCAGAAATCAAGAAGCATCACTCCCGATCGACCTGTAACCAAAGGCCAGGCGAGAAGCGAGACAATGAGGCTCACCATGGAAACCCATTTTCCCACCCGAGACTTGACTGCGACCTTGTGGTAGAGCAGGTAAGCAACGATGGAAGAAGCGACGAGGAAGCCCAACATGCGAACCGCGATCAAGCCAGCCGTGTAGAGCGGGTAAGGTGGAATGTCATATTCGACCACCTTGTAGCCTAGTTTGCGAAAAGTGTCCAGCACGGGGTCCGAAGGGAGAAGCTTGAATCCCAGTTTCGAGTAGGTGCTTTTGCCAGCTAGAGAGGCGAAAAAGGCGGATGTCCTGTCTTGTAGCGACATCATGGCGGCAACAATGTCGTAGGAAACGGTCGATGTCCGCACGATTTGGATGATCATCGCCAGACTTATATATAAAGCAAACACAAAGGCAGATTCCAGTGGACAGCAGCCACAAGAACGCAAGCAACTTGTCCACAAAAAGCGCAATCCATGAATGCCCTCTCGTCATTCCAAGTGGCGACCACTTTGGCTCCCAGCCTATCAAGTCACTCGCTTCAAACAGGTCCGTCCATCTTTCAAGCGTGAAAGCTGGGCTGAAACCGTCTCGCTTGGAGCCAATTGCAGATGACCTCTCTCCCAGTCATCTCTTCAGCTCGCATTTCCCCGCTTATGTCTCGCTTAGCTCTTCGAAGCGTCATAGCATTCGTGCCTGGCCACATTCCTTTCGCCGGAATACAAGGCTTACCCTGGCAGCTCACAAGACAGGATCCCAACAAGGCCTCCGAGCGGCAGGTGGTAACTTGTGATAGTGGTAGCCACCGGATCCATGGTGACACGAGGATCAACTCTCTGTAGGTGGATGCACAGATCGGGTGATTGCTTTTCCCCGATCAACACCAGAACACCAGATCGCAGATCTGAAATCTCACCTGTTGGTATCGGGCAGATGGTTGAAGCGTTTCGATTGCCGATTTGGTTGCCGATTTGGTTGCCGATTTGGTTGCCGATTTGGTTGCCGAGAACTTCCAACGTCAAAAGCTCCTCCTTGGACACGATCTCAACCGCGTTCTTGCAATCCACAGGAACACCGTCACATCATAGGCTCGACCAAGATGCGCTCAATACCGGCTTCACTACGAGTTGGATCTGGTACAATCTCACCAACGAGCATCTCCACGACCCTCCCTGCCTCCACCCTCATCCGCATCTTGCCCTCCAACACCCGCTTCTCCTCCACCAACACTCGATCACCACGACCACGACCACCCCTCCTCAAGCTCTGCAACGCACATCTAAAAACACTCCCCTCTACCCGCACTTTAGACTGGACCATCAACGATCACGCCGCAGAGGAATGCTGGGCGATCATCGCGCCAGCCTCCGAACAAGGTGGCTGCGTGCGTCGTGAACTTGTCGATATCCTTTCCGCTCGTATTCCTCCTCGCCTTTCTCCTTGCAATCTCCGACACCCACCCGCTCATCCATTTCTTTTACATCCATCGCAACCAGATGCACCTCCCCGCGCTGCAAGTCAGCTGATCAAGCTTGTTTCCTTCGCAACCAAGATCCGCCGGCCATCTTGTGGGTCTGGCGAATCTACCAACTACTTGGCGCGCTATGGTGCGATTCGCGATCAAGATCGAACTACCTTGTATGAGAGATTGATGGATTCCTTGGATTGTCCTCTGGGGTTGGTTGCACGCCAGAGGTTTCTGCCGGATCCATTTGCAACTGCTTCCACCGAGGAGGTGGCGTTGTTCAAGTACAAGTCCTGCTGGGAGAGAGAAAAGGCGTTGGACAAGGCAAAGGAGGCGGATAGGATGATTAGAAAGATGGCACCACTTTTGCTTATTACAGATGAGTTGCTTGATAGTCCTGTCATTGCGCTTTCCAATGGACAAACCAGGCGGGCGAGGATTTTGAGTAGTTTGATTGTAGGCGCAGAGGTGGTTGTGTTGGAAGAACCTTTTTCGGGAATCGATGCGGATACGAGGCTCAAGTTGAGTGAGTTGTTTAGGCAATTGCATGCTGCTAGGAGTCCAAGGTTGGTTTTGGTGCTGAGAGAGCAGGATGCCATTCCGGATCTTGTAACGCATGTTCTGAGAGTGAATGATCAAGGCGAGATTACTTACCTCGGTCCCCGTAACAACACCTGCGAACCGAGTCGAGCGGAGAAGGCGGGAGCAAAGCAACCAGGTCCAACCCAAATCCGCAACAACGCTGCACTCAACATTGGGAGAGGAAACACCTCTCTCCCCGCCATCATATCCCTTTCCTCTGTGTCGATCCAGTACGGCCAAAAGGTGATCCTTGACAATGTCTCTCTAAACATACATCCCTCAACGCGACTCATCCTAGCCGGAGACAACGGGTCCGGGAAAACCACTCTTCTGGCCCTCCTCCTCGGTGACCATGCGAAATCATTCTCCTTCCCCTCCGCCTCTCTATCCCTCTTCTCGCACGCACGAGACCATCCTTCGAACGCGCGCAGCCTACTTAATCGACGTACAGGCCATCTTTCACCCGAGCTGTTCAACGCATTCCCGCGCAAAGCGCTCTCAACAGGAGGCCTTACTGTCGGACAAGTGGTCGCATCTGGTTTCGAAAATCTTTTCTCTCCCCGCAAGTATACCCAATCGCAAAAAGAAAGAGTTGACGCTCTCCTCCACCTATTCGCTGATCTCATCAAACCCACTCGAGATGCAACAGTCTCATCGCAGACCGAGCAAGTGCAAGAATGCTCGGCTAGACCGTTTAACGAATTGACTCATTCCTCTCAAGCACTCGTTCTATTTCTGAGAGCTGTAGTTGCAAATCCGCAGCTGTTAGTTCTCGATGAACCTTTCCAAGGAATGGACAAGTATCAGGTTGAACGCATTCGTCGGTTTATTGATGAACCGGAAAACTTGCCCATTGGTGCAACACCCGAGCTTGTCGCTGAGGATCTGAGAGAAAGGAGACAAATGGCAATAGTTCTGGTGAGCCATTACCAATCCGAATGGCCTCTTACTTTCGGCTCCCTGTTGCGTCTCAATGAAGGTCGTGTTGTAGAGCAGATCTGAGCTCACCTGCGCTTGCAATCTCGACTTGATCGCACATCACAGCTGCTTGCCAACAGACACTATATGTGCAAGATGTATAGACACTTGTACCTCAATGCATTAAAATAGAGACAGGGTTAAGCATCTTGGTCAAGTTGAAGAGCCCAAATGCGTAGGGCAGCATCAGCACCAGCACTAGCGACGGTATCATGGCCTAGCCAAGCAACAGCCTGTACACCATTCGCATGGGCGTTTTTAATTGCGATATTCTTGGCTGGTTTCTTTACGCTCCAAACGTACACATGTGTATCCAGACTTGCCGAGACTGCGTGGGTGCCGTCGGGGGAGAATTTGATATCGTTGATCCTAGCAGAGTGGAAAACCCAGTGTGCGATCTTGAGGGATTTGCTGTCGAGATCGTAAACCTGGATTTTACCGTTGCATTCTCCAGCAGCGAGCAGAGAGAGTTGTCCGTCAAAGCAGAGCGCGGTGACGGCTGAACGGTTGTTGCTGAACACATGCGTCTCTTTGAGTTCGTAGGAGCAGGAGCAGGAGCAGGAGCAGGAGCAGGAGCAGGAGGAAGAGAGGGTGTAGAGGTGCACTTTTCCGTCTTCGGCACCGATAGCGACGAGGGAGGCATCGGCGGAAATGGCGGCCGAGGATGGGCTGTAGGTGGTGCGGTGGTTGCTTTTGGTGATGCCGTTGGAGATGATATCGATTCCGTTGGCGCCAGCTATGACGACGGTGCCGCTGGTTGAGGCGGCTGATCCTTTGGGCTGGCTTGAGAGCGAGACGGCTGTGTTGGAAGTGTACTTGTTTTCAGTGGGCGAGATCTTGCGTACAGAATCGTCCATACTGACAATAAATGCGCCATCGTGAGTCGTGTGTACACCTAACACTGCCGCACTTGTCCCCTCGGCGCCTGTAACACGCTTACACACCCCATCAGCCGTCCAAGTCAAAACCCTTCCGTCGTAAGTACCGCCGACCAAAATCTTTCCATCTTCGGCTACATCCAGTGATCGCACGCCGAAACTCTTGCAAGCTCCGTACAACTTGTTCACCTTGCCGCCCTCTTCAATCACATTAAGATCACCACTGAAGCTGAGCGAGACAATACGATCTCCAGCCCAAACAATCCCCACCTGCTGATCATCCACCTTCTGACTGCTCTGTCCGTTGAAATCGTGCCAAGCTTTCACCTTCTCGCCTGCAATATCCCACACCTTGACAAAGCCATCCGCACCAGCAGTAGCGATCTTCTTGCTATCCGGTGAAAAGTCCACGGCGAAGATCGTGCCTGTATGTCCACCTGATGCTTTGGCGGAAAGCTCGACGAGAGTGTCACCTGTCTTGCCGTCATAGAGCAAGACCTTGCTGTCCGAACCAACGGAAACAAAGTGCTCGCCATTCGGCGCATAGGCCACATCCTGCACGAAACGAGAGTGAGTGTTGATCGTCTTGTTGTACTTGTACGGTGCTCCGTGGTAGAGGACGAGATTGTTGTCATCACCAGCAGTGACAGCGCGGAAAGGACGATCTTTTCGAATCGCAACCGCGTTGATCTGTCGACTGTGACCCGTCACCTCACCTACACTCGAACCTGTATCAAAGCTGAATGCGTGTCCAAAACGTTCCCTTCCATCACCGACGGCAATGATACGCTTCGACTCGCCATCCCATGCCAGATCGTTGATGCGACCAGCAATGACTTTGACTTGACTCTTGATGATCTGTTCCTCTCCGACCAAGTCCCATACTCGAACGTTGCCGGCTTGGTCAGCAGAGGCACAGTAGTAGCCGGTTGGCGAGATGCGTGCTACAGTCGTCGGCTGAGTGTGCTGCGAGTAAGCGAGAGCAGGTTTGCAAGCGTCGCTAATCGATCGAACAAAGACGGTACGGTTTTGGCAGTAGACGACTTTTTCGCCCTTGGGATCAGCAGAGATCTTGGTCGATTGTCCTCGAACCGTGGCAGGATTGCCCGCGTATACGCTTTTCAGTGTCGCCGACATGGTTCTAGCAGGGATGAGGGGTCGTGATGGTGGTGATGATGGTGGTGGTGGTGACGATGATGAGGGCAATGACAGGCACAGCTCCTGAAAGCGTGAGTGCTTACAGTGGAAGAAAGTGCAACACAAACGGGTCCGTGCGAGGAATTTTCAGTAGATGTGAGATCGTATCCTTTCCACAAGTCAATTAAAAAAAATCGCGAATCGATGCTCAATTGTCCTCTCGAGAAAGCGTGGGAGTGACCGCCATTTCCATTGTTCTTGAGCCAGCCATCACCACTTGTCGCCACCATTTCATCGGTCTTTTTGCTCTCTCTTCGGGACTCAACCAACGAGTTGAAGGTGAAGCTTGGTCCTCATCTGAACCATGCCGAAAGGTGGCTCTACCGAGGTCCGCAATAAAGTGCCTCGAGTCGATCTTCGAACACACCTGCGTTTGGCCAGGTCTGTTCAGGCCGCGACGCATGTCCATGATCTCTGCGGGTATCGTCTTCGCTCTCGTTCGTCATCCTAACCTATGGCTTTGGGGGGCGTGAGAATGAGTGACACAAATGAGAGATAAATCTTGGAAATGAAATGTTGCCTCAAAACAACTGCCTTCCCAGTTTCATGTTGCCAGACCCACACTTAATTTGGTGGTGGTGTCTGCTGCCCTCACATCGAAGCACATCATAGTGTCCAAGAGCAATAATTGAGCTGGGCGCATACACCTTCTGCCTGGCCTTGTGTATCTCTCCCACCCTCTCTGAGCTTGTGCATTGCTGCTCAATCTTTGTCTTCTTTCCACCACCAACTCGAACACCGCTTCCATAGTATCAAACCGATTCAACTATATCGACAAGCATCATCACTTACTACACACGTAGCGGCTAGCTAGCTGGACCGCATTGCAATCATGCGAACCCTCTACTTCTTCGCTATGGCCTACATCCTCATGGCCGCCGTAGCCTGTCAGCCTCTTCGAGAAGCTAAAGCTGAGCTCGAAGTCAGCAGAAAGGCTTATCGCAAGCCTCGTCAACCTCCCAAACTGCCCAGACCCGCCACTCCTAAGGTCAAACGTGTAAGCACCCTCTCAACGCTCTTAAATCACTGTACTCCGTGGACGTCTTGCTGAACCATCGTTCCACCTCGCTGGTCTTTTCTTCAATAGAGAATCAAGATTGTTTCGGAATTTTTATCCCACTTCACTAACCGTGAACGTGCTGCATCAGTAGCAGCTCAAACCGATATCAAACCTCAAGAGTTCACCGCCTATACTCGATTCCAGCAGAGCCCAACAGCCAAGTTCGACGGAATTGCCAATCCTGCTCGCCCTGAATCTTTGTTCAAGCCCAGAAAGAAGCCTTTCCGCTTCGGTGGTGACGAAGGTGGTTATGTTGCTGATGTCGATCATGCTGGTCATAACGCAAAGCTCAACAACAGACCTCCTTTGTCTACCAAGCTTGGCATTGGAGCAGACGCTTCTGGTGCTCGAGTTGAAGAAGATCGCCTTCGTCTATCCGCACAAGTTAAAGCGATAGCACATGCCAAACGTAATACTGCGACCAAACGTGCTGTGATCATGAACGTGGTCTTATTAATCACGTCTGGGCTGATGCTTTTGTTTAGGAGTAAGGTAGCTAACGCGGGCGATGCTAACAATCAAGCCATGGCACACGCTTCAGAGAGTCAACAAGCCGCGATGCAGCAAGCTGCTGCCGAAAGCGCTGCTCTTCGGGCTTCTGGCTCTGGTGGCAGCAAAATTCAGCTTCGAAGTCTATCCTCTGAGGACGTGGCAGCTCACGATGCTTCTGTCCGAACCTCCCAACCGAAAGATGATAGGTCGCTACCCAAGCAGTCCGTTGTTCCGATCATCAAGTCCGAGAAAGCTGCTGACAAGGAAGATCAGTCCAAGACACTTACAAAACGATTCAATCCCCTCGAGATCATTGAGAATGCACTTCAAAAGTACACCCAAGATAGTCGACGTCTTGTTGGTCCCGTTGTTGCATGTATCGTGAGCATTCTCGGTCTGATTGGCGCAGTCGTCTACTACGAGACGAAGAGTCAGAAGCCCGGTAAAGATCATTATGGCAACAACACTGAGCGGGCTGAACCTACACCTTCACCACCGGCGCTACGCCTGAAGGATGTTGACAACCGAGACGACTCGGCTTTCATTCAAATTTCGAAGGACGAAAAACTGCATCACACCGAGCTTCGAAAGCGCTGGGACCCAGTCGCTGCCATGATAGACTGTTGGCATGGAAGAGTCGAAGACAGTGGCCGCGTTGCAGTTGCTGTAATGGAGAATGCTCCTTCAGGTCCAAGATTGCTACTCGTCAAATTGTTCACAGGTGCCGCTGCTCTTCTTGGTGTCTCTGGTGCTATAATTTGGTATGGCTATAGACGTCAATCTGACTCGACGCCCAAGCCTCAAGAGTCGAAGCAGCCAGAGACAGCTTCTGTCCCTGCACCCAATCGACAGCTCTTTGCCGAAGTCCGCCATACGATGCTCAAGAAGCGCTCTCTTGACGTCGAGCCGGCTGCTCACGTTGACCTTCTATCCGTCGAGCAAGGTAGACCTGCCCTGTTGAAACGCGAAGTCACCAACGAGAAGATCAAACGGCTTTTGGTGCGAGGCAAGAAGGCCTACGAACTGGCTCCACGAGCATTGCAGGCCGCCGAAGCTGGAGCTGCCAGCGACGTGCCAGTATCTGAAGCCGGCCATGTCGCCCCTGGAATAGCATCCAAGCTCGATTCTACCAGAGCTGGTCTTTTTAAAGAATCGCCCGCGTTGCACAACCTGCCTAGTCACTTGCAAGTCAGCAAGTCTACCGCGGATGCATCGGAAAGCCTACGTATCCAGAAGCCGTTGGTGCCCTTGGGATTGGAACATTATCAGACACCTCCATCCCCATCTATCCCCTCGCCTGCGATTGATCGCGTAGAGGCCTTGGAAGAAGCACACACCGGCAAACAAACAGCTATCGCTATTGCACTCATAGCCTCTTTATTTGAAACCTTTAGCGTTCTTGCCTGGCAATATCTTCGTCACCCCCATGATGAGCACACTCCATTTTATCACCCCCATGATGAGAACAGTCGATTTCATCTCTGGAAGCATCCTACGACGGTCAACAAACGAAGGTCTCTGCGCAGAGGTGACGAACATCTCGAAACTCTGCAGCTCAAAGATGGACACCTTGTCAAGCGGGCAATCGGCGCTATGGAGGTAGAAGGTCCAGCCGAGGAGACTCTCAGGCTGCTCGATGGTGCGGAGAGAGAAATGGAAAGACTTAGGTTTAGGAACGAGCTGCAACGGAGGCGGAGGCGAGAAGCCTTTCGAAAGGCACTTCGATCTAAGCGAATCTTAGGTGGCGGCATCTTTGCTACTTTGTCTCTTGCGTCCTTGGCCACGCTTCACCAGAAGCTGGACGCAGCTAGAAAGCGAGAGCAAGCTGCGAAAAGCAAAGCTCGAGGGGCCACCATCTATCCGGTACGAGGGACTCCTCACAAGCGTGACATAAAATCTGTTGTGGTCGAACGTTTCGGCGGAGAAGGCGCTCGATTGCTCGACCATCCTGTGGGAGCCGAGTTTCCAAGAACCGATGTGGCAGTTAGACGGCATCCAGCGTTCTCGCCACGATATCGCAACATTGTGATTGGCTCAGCCATCACGCTCGCTGCTGCGATCCAAGGAACTTTCTTATGGTTGGCAATTCGAGCGCTGAAGAAGCAAACGCCATCCCAGAGAGCTGCGAAACAGCAAGCAGAAGAAGAAAGACTACAGGCCGGATTCAAACGCTCACGTCGGCCAGGTCAATTGTCGAAGCGCATGATCTCGCGCGCTGCGATCAGCCTCATGGTTCAAGACTTCAAGAGCTTGGCCAACAAGGCACCGCTGACACCAGCCGAAAAGCTTGCCAGGGCAAAGAGGCTGCGCAAGTATGCTCGGGTCGGAGCAGGCCTTGCAGCGGTCAAAGGCGTCGAGTCCTTCGTCGTTTATGAGGTTCTCAAAAGCTACAAGGAGAACAAGCGAGTTAAGCAGCAGCTGCAAGAGATCAAACAGCAGCAGCAGCAGCAGCAGACTTCTGGCTATGTTGTCAACTCCTACTATGCGCCGAGTCACATTCTCTCCAAAAGGTTTAAGATCTACCCTGTCGAACCACACGTACTAGCCCATACCCAGGAGAATGCAGGCCCCCGGACAAACGAGGTCTGGAGGGAGGACCTGTTCCTCCGTTTCATAGACTGGAAATGGACCCGCCGTGTCGCGAAGGTAGGAGAAGTCGTAGCCTTCTTGGGCACTGCCATTGGCCTTACTTATGCCGAGGAGGCGCTCGAGAAAAAGCTCTCCGGCAAGAAGGAAGACCCGAACGACGGTGCTTCTGTTGGCTCCTCCCACAAACGTGATCTGTCGTCGCAGGCACAAAAGGAGGAGTCTCATGAGCTTGCCAAGCGGGAGCCTGCTCGTGATGGCCTTGTCGAGGCTGGCATACCGAAGACGGTGCCACACAACCCTGCCTCAGGTCGTCAGGCCGAGTTTTCTCAAGCTGCTTCTTCAACCCGTCTCTGCTCTAAGAACCCGGTGAACAGACTCAAGCTCGAGAAGACCAAGTCGGCGGTTGATCTGGTTACGGAGCGATCCGAAGGACGACACAATCTGAGGAAGCGTTCGATGTCTCCAACAAACGACGGTGTACCAGCGGGAGCACGCTCACGTCAGCCAGGTCAATTGTCGAAGCGCATGATCTCGCGCGCTGCGATCAGCCTCATGGTTCAAGACTTCAAGAGCTTGGCCAACAAGGCACCGCTGACACCAGCCGAAAAGCTTGCCAGGGCAAAGAGGCTGCGCAAGTATGCTCGGGTCGGAGCAGGCCTTGCAGCGGTCAAAGGCGTCGAGTCCTTCGTCGTTTATGAGGTTCTCAAAAGCTACAAGGAGAACAAGCGAGTTAAGCAGCAGCTGCAAGAGATCAAACAGCAGCAGCAGCAGCAGCAGACTTCTGGCTATGTTGTCAACTCCTACTATGCGCCGAGTCACATTCTCTCCAAAAGGTTTAAGATCTACCCTGTCGAACCACACGTACTAGCCCATACCCAGGAGAATGCAGGCCCCCTGACAAACGAGGTCTGGAGGGAGGACCTGTTCCTCCGTTTCATAGACTGGAAATGGACCCGCCGTGTCGCGAAGGTAGGAGAAGTCGTAGCCTTCTTGGGCACTGCCATTGGCCTTTTTTATGCCGAGGATGCGCTCGTGAAAAAGCTCTCCGGCAAGAAGGAAGACCCGAACGACGGTGCTTCTGTTGGCTCCTCCCACAAACGTGATCTGTCGTCGCAGGCACAAAAGGAGGAGTCTCATGAGCTTGCCAAGCGGGAGCCTGCTCGTGATGTCGTCGTCGAGGCTGCGCCGAGTGACATCCTCTCGAAAAGGGCTATCATCCGCCCTGTCGGCGCAGCTGAAATAACGGCTGCGGAGGAGCATGCAGGCAACCCACTATACGAGGCCTGGAAGCAGAAAACGATCTACCGTCTCAAGATAGCCGGCTATGTAGTAGCAGCATTCGTAAGCGCCGTGGCCGCTGCCTTTGGCTTAAGATATATCGCTCGCAAGCTCGAAGGCAAGAAGGAAAACCCGAACGACGGTGCTGTTGTTGATCCCTTCCACAAACGTGATCTGTCGTCGCAGGCACAAAAGGAGGAGTCTCATGAGCTTGCCAAGCGGGAGCCTGCTCGTGATGGCCTTGTCGAGGCTGACTTACCGAAGACGGCGCAGGTGAACTGGCTCAAGCTCGAAAAGACCAAGTCGGCGGTTGATCTGGTTACGGAGCGATCCGAAGGACGACACAATCTGAGGAAGCGTTCGATGCCTCCAGCAAGCGATGGTGTACCAGCGGGAGCAGCCTTGATACGGATCTTGCGTCAAGTTGCCATTGGATCTCGACAAAAAGGTCTTATCAATCCCGATCCGCACCAGTTTCAGTCCTCGTCGGACGACTCGAAATCTCGTAACAAACACACAGCCTCTGCAGTGCCGTTGTTTCTGATCGCTGAAGTTGCCAAGAGTTCCGCCTGGCGGGAAAAGATCCGCAAGCTCCAGCGAAAGTATGCAGAAGACGCAGATGACGATAAGCGGCAGGAGTACCACAGCAGCCACCATGGATCGTTGATGAAGCGCATGGAGCAGTCATACCTCTCTGGCGTTTTTCTTGCTACTTTGGCAGCCATGACAGGTCACAAGGCCAAGGACGACGTTGATCAGCATGCTCCATCAAACGCTGTTGCAGGTCAGAGACGAGAGCAGCAGCAATCGCTTAATAAGCGTTCCACCTCATCAGGCTCGAAACTGTATGTTTCATTTTTCGGTGGATTCCTCTTACTGAAAGGCATTAATGCTGCCGAAGCTATCAAGGAGCATAATCGGAAAAACAAGCATGATGAAAGCCCGTATTATTCGACTTATCCTGCTCCTCGACCTCTCTATCAAAACACACCTCGTTCTGAGTACACACAATCTTTCTGATATTTCTTCACTACACACACTTGTTCTCATATCTTGCACTTTCTTTCTTCTTCGAGCTGATGGCCGCTGTTTGTGACATGGTGCGATTTCTGTTGGCTTGTTTCTGTTCTGTGCAGCGAGAATACTGTTGAGCAATGCACAGTCAGGAGTAATAAAGCAAGCGGCGGTGACACGTATCACTGCCTGCCCTTGTCGAATGAGATAGGGGTCGTTGTTGGTGGGAGCTGACGGATGGCGACGGTGAGCCAAGTTGGCGGACGTGTCAGGGAGTAAGTAACGCGGTCATGTGATTTTACTGTTCGGACGGGAAGGCGATCTCGGGCGGAGACAGCTGTCAAATTTGGCGGCATCGCAAACTCGCCCGAGAATCCGAATCGCAGATCGATATCTCCAACCGAGCGTCTTTTGCTATCTCTGTTCTTCTCCACCACCACTACCATCCTCTACTTGCGACTCATCTTCTGCCATGCCAACCGGGACGTTGCGATCGGAAGTGGCGATCTACGTGGTAAACCCGAACAGTTGCGCGCTTATAACCAGCGCGCTTTCCGTCAGCCTCTCGCCCCACACGCCTCCAGGTTGCAGCTCGCACTTCATAACCGGACCACCCTCGGCACCGGTGAGCATTCAAACACTCCCCGAATCGATCGCATCTGCTTCGGAAACTTTCGCATCTCTCGTAGCTTGTTCGGCTAACGGCGAACTGGCTCTGCATCCTGCTGATGCGTTTTTAGTGGCCTGCTTCTCCGATCACCCGCTAGTGGGGATGTTGCGTTCTGCTGCGCCGGGTAAACCAGCAATGCATTTGTTGGAAGCAGCACTTCTGCACGCCCTTTGTGTAGGGCGCAAATTCGGTATCTTGACCACGGGAAAGAGTGTTGTTCCCGATGTAGAAGCCGGAGTGAGCAGGGTGTTGGGGGGAAATAGCGATAGATATGTCGCAACCGTGGCGACTGGACTGGGCGTGGTCGAACTGAAAGATGGATGTAGGGAAAAAGTGGAGGGGAGGATTAAGCAAGGGGCGAAAGAGTTGGTTGGCAAGGGGGCAGATGTGGTCATTTTGGGCTGTGCTGGCATGACTGGGATGGAAGCAGTCGTGCAAGAAGCGTGTAAAGAGATAGGGGTAGAGGCAATCAAGGTGGTTGATGGCGCTCTGGCTGGGATGCAACTGCTTGCTGGATTAGCGAGGCTCAAGTATCTTTCGTAACACACTCTACACCGTTGCAATGAAACATGTTTAATACCAAGAAAGCGGTTATGCATTAGTGATCGATTGAGGGAACCAAAACATGCCTTCAGGATCCAATCTGCTTTTCAACCGCTTAAGTCTCTCCACTCCCACCCCGTAGTACTCCTTACCCCAATCTTTGAGTCGGCTATCGACGTAGTTGACGTAGGAAGCCCACTCGACCCCTTTCGCAGTGGCACTTTGCTTGGCGGTATCCACCAATTCATCAAACGCCTTATACACCTCTTGCTGTGCTTTTTTCTTGTCGTTGGAAGGGAAACCGTAGGAGTAGAATTGATACAGAAATCCAGCCTTCCTCGCATTGAAAACCGCCTCGCCCGTCACTCTTTCCGCTTGGGAGGAAGGGTAGGAAAGTGGACCTAGAAAGTCGAGTTGTATCGTGTTGCCCGTTGCTTGTAGACCAGCGTAGTTATCCAGTTTGGCTACGAGGGCAAGGGCAGAGGTGTAGGTGTAGGTGGGAATGGGGGGTTGGATTAGAGATTTTGCATAGAATTGTTCGTGGTCGCTTTCTGGGCTACGGTGATTGATGTCGAGTGAGCCCATAATGTCCTCTAAGGCTTTGGCCCACTTAGTAAACGGTTTAATAGATACTTGCGTGGGTGATATTCCAGCGAGAGTGTGAAAGCGAGCGATGATAGAATCGTGGTGTGAGCGGGACGAGTGGAGATGTTGACCGTAAAGTTGGCATGCGTTGTTGTTGAAATCACCAGCTCTTTTGCCCGCTAGGAGTAGTCTTCCTCCCAAGTCCGGCTCCAGTCCTGTAAGTGGCGTAGGAGAGAGAGTAAGGGTCTGCAGTGCGATGATTGCTTTAGCGCAATCTTCATTGCTCCTATAGCTATACACATAGTTGAGAACTTGACTTGGTGCGGTTTCGAGAGAAAAGGTGAATTGTGTAACAATCCCAAACTGGTTCGCCCCGCCTCCTCTCAAACCCCACCACAATTCACGCTCCTCCTCCCCCTTACTATCCTTATTAACCACCCTAACCACACCCTGAGCATCCACGATCCGCATCTCGGTTATTCTATCCAACAAGAAACCCCATGCTCGGGTTGTAAAGCCAAATCCACCTCCAAGTGCATGTCCTCCAATACCTACCATTGGGCACAAACCATGGGGTAGCGCAAATCCGGCTTCATCGAGGGTAAGAGCGAGAGTGCCCAGTCGTACGCCAGTTCCCACCGAGACTTGTTTTTTCTCATGGTCGATGCGAATCTTGGATAGATGGGAGAGGTCGATGATTACAGAGCCGTCCGATCCACCAAGTGAATAGGATGTGTACGAATGACCGCCTGATCGAGGCGAAAGCTTATAAGAGCCATGATGGGAAGATGTGCAGCGGATAATGGAGGTGAGTTGAGCTTCGGTGCTGGGAAGGGCGATGAGGAGGGGTGAGTATGGGAAGAGGGGGTTATAGGATAATGAGAGGCCACGAAAGGTGGGGGAGGACGGGTATGAGATTTGTGGAGAGCCAGGGATGTTGGAGAGGCATGATTGGAGCTGGTGGAGAGAGGTGGTGTTTGTGTCCCGAGGCAGGAGAAGTGTCGAGTCGAAGGAGGTCAGGGGGAAGGCAGAGATGAAGGATACTGTTGCGAATAGTGCCATGAGGAGAAAGGGTAGGGATGGCTGAACGAACATTTTTGTTGTTCGCCATGCAGTGGTTGGGGGTATAAGCGAGGGGTATGCGAAGGAGGAGGTAGGAGGGTGTTATATGCTTCTTCCTAACCCCATCTTCCCAACCCCATCTTCCCAACCCCATCTTCGTGGGGCTCCTTGAGAGCGGTGGGAAAGGAGCTTTCTGTCCCACACAGCCCACCGAAAGACAACCCCACTCCTCCTCCTCATTATTCATTGCTGCAATCGACCGCTCGACCAACAGCTGCTCTCAATGACACTTCTCAACCAGTTGAAGATAGGTCGGCATTCCAATCAGACTTAAAACGTTTACCCGAGACGCCGACACGGCGAGGTCGTGAATAAAGAAGATACAGTAAAAACGCATGACTGCTTAGTCATGCGTTTTCCGCAAACCTCGCTCCATGTCGCCACCTGTCAACTTCCACCAATGCTCAATGCCACCCACCAACACTATCCATCCCACTCAATAACAGCACGCAGCCACACATGCCACATCACCCATTCACATGCACAGAGACCGATGTAGAAGCATATATAGTTCATGATATCACCTTGTACTTAGCCTCATGTTTATAATAACGATTTTGACTGCTTGCTATCTTGAATCAGCTGTGTTTCTCAACAGATTAAGAGTCTGAACGCCCTAACTGATTGAGCCCTGCCCCACTTTGCCACACTGTCTGACCCATATCCTTGCCTGCCCCCACTGCCCGAAGAAAGGGCTCACCTCCACCAGATTCATCAAACCAACATGCCTCCATGCATCTGTGACTCCAACGCTGAGAGCAGCAACCTATCTGACAGACTGCCCCCTACTGCACCATGCAAGCAAATACTGATTGACACAGAAACTCCCACATGCTACAACTCCAACAATGATGACAACAATGAAGGAGATGAAATGCACTACGACATCGACACTATCTCAAATCTCAACCCCAAAGTGCTTAAGGGCATGCTTATTGGGCTCACCAAGCACAACAAGGCAAAGGACACTGATGCATACAAGAAACCTTCACACTGCTCCAATTTCCACCAAAGACTTTCACACACCCATGATGCCCTCAAGGAGGCTCCAAAACTTACAACCAAGAATTGGTATGCCTGGAACCCCCAATTCAGAGGCATCCTATCCAACTGGCCAGCAGCCATGAAGCACCTCGATGGCATTGTGGCTCCTGGAGACAAAAAGCATGATCACACCCTCAACAGCGAGTTATGCACTATCCTCCAAAGCAGTGCCCAACTTGCTGGAAATGACAATGTAAACTACCTTTTTGTATGACCCACCAACTCAGAGCCATGGAGCCTATACAACCTCTATGGCCAGCTGAAGAAAGATCTCACAAAGATGGAGAAAATTGCTGAGTCAACCTTACTTAACAAAGTTGGGAAGATCTGTATGTTCCAGGCAGACATCTGTAAACTCATTGCAGACATCAACAAACACTGGGCCAAGGCAGAATCAATGGGCCATGCACTCCCAGAAATCTTAAAAATCAAGACACTCATCAACCAGGCCAAGTATGTCACCCCATACCATCACTGTGTCATCACACTTGAGGATATGGGAATGGCATCAGACTATGAGATACTTTGTGCTGCATTATGCAAAAGATAGGACAGCATGACTGCTTGGACAGATCATAGGACTGGTAATGCCAAGATAGCCCAAGTGAACCTAGCCAGCAGACAGGTCCAAAACAAGGAGGTATACTGCCAAGGCAAACCTGGGCCTGATGGAGTTTGATGTTGCTACCACTGCAACACTGAGAACCACATATCCAGGTATTGCCTGAAGAAGACCCAAGAAGGAACATCCACAATGGGTCCTACCTCAACCCAAACACCAGCATAGGACAACTGGTGTGCCATCGCATCTGCTTACCATATCTCCCTAGATCACCAATCCACCAGTTGGATTATAGACTCAGGAGCCACCAATCATGTTATGAACAATAAATCAAATCTCATCTCCTCTACTCCCTGCACCAGTTATGTGAAGACTGCCAGTGGAATGAGAATTCATATCATAGCAATTGGACAAGTCATGCTAAATATGAACAGCTATGAAGTATCATTAAACAATGTACTCTACATTCTGGACTCAAATGCAAACTTGATATTGGTAAAAGCATTAATGAATGATGGTGCATGGTGTCAGGGGTCTCGCGCCTGAAAACCAGGTCGGTCTGTCGAGATACTCGGTGACTATCAAACTGTGTGACAGCTATTGTCTCAGTGTCGGTCTCGATGAGCTAGTTGCTCAGCAACTATCAAGTTGCACAATGACAGCAGGTGGCGTTCATTGTATATACTATTGTAGGTTTTGGCTGACCTCTGTGGACACTCTGTTCAGGGGTAGCTCAGCACAATCAATATCAATGCATAGGTTATGATGACACCAAGGTCTGGTGTGAGTGTTGCTGATGATGAGGTTGATGGTGTTGGTGATAAGGTTGGTGAATGTCGATGATAATGATGTTGATGGTGTTGGTGATGAGGTTGGTGGCATCAACACGAGTGTCCAGTGTGTTGACTGATGCTTGAGGTGATCCCCAGACTGCAGTGGACTACTGCCTTTGGTTCTATCTATATCCGGACTGCTGACCTGCTATGGGCCACCTTTGGATGTCAGGTAGTGGTGATACAACACACACACTACGATGAGGAGCAACCTTGATAGATTGCTGCTATGCTGACTGAAACTAATATATACTTATGCTGAAGTGATAACTAGTTATGATGATGTGTAGTGTGGATGAGGATCCACTTGACCTTTGATGATGAGAAAGCATGGTTATATACCTCTGCATAGCATCGCCAGCGATGCTGCTTCTGCTCTCTCTCCAGAGAGTACCTTCTTCATCGAGTACTGTTCAGGAGGCCTCTCCTGCTTGCTTGGCACCCCTTTGCCTCTTGAGCTGTGTCGACTCCTTCGACACTGCTCCTCCTCCTCAGGACCTGCTTGCTGGTTTCCTATACACTGCTCCTTCTCCCTTGACCGGTGACAGTTCCTTTGACTCTTGTCTCTCGAGCCCCTGAGTGGTAACCATCTGAGCTTGGTCCTCTTCGTGGCTGTGCCTGCTCCTTGAGCTTGGTCCTCCTCGTGGCTGTGCCTGGCCCTCCTCGCATATGGCTTGGTCCTCCTTTGCATGTGAGTCTGTAGGAGTCCATGGTCTCCATGGAGACTGCACTACAACCATGCTTTCTACTGGTATCGACTAGATCTTCGATACCTGTGCTCCTTCTGTATGAACCAGTGACCCTCCTGCTTCTTGAGCATCCAGGCCCATGACAGTGGGTACATTTTGCTGAGACACAAACAGGCCATCGACTCAAAACCCTCCACTCAGACAATGGCAGCAAATGGACCTCTGCAGTGGCTACCAGCTGGCAGAACAAAGCAGGTTTCCACTGGCAGAAGACCTCAGCATATACCAGTAAACTGGATGGCAAAGCAGAGCATACCATCTGAACAATCTGTGAAATGATGATCACAATGATGTGTACTCATCGTTTGCCACAGACATTCTGGCCTTTTGCCACTGAGGCAGCCATGTTCATGAAGAACTTAATGCCAAATGTGAACAACCAAATCCTGTACCATGTTTTCTATGGCAGAGACCCACAAAAGCCCTTTGCACTACTCTGGACCTTTGGGTGCCTAACCTGGGTCAATATACCAAAAACAAAATGCAAGAAACTGGATGAACCAGCCATCCCTGCCATCTTCATCAGATACAACAAAGAACACAAAGGTTGGAAGTTCCTTGCCCCTGGACACAACCCACCGATTTTTTGGTCCAATTCAGCACATTTCCTACAAGACAAATTATGGTGTGATTGCAAGGATACAGCCCAAATTCAAGATACCAATGCATTGCATTATAAGGACATGACCAACATTGAGGACATAGGCTATGATGACATTGATGAGCATGATGAGGAGCTCCAGCAGCCTCTCGATGACATATACTGGCCCCTTCCAGTATCCGACACGACGTTTGAGGGGGGTGTCGTAGCCCCAGGATCTGCAGACCCAGTTGTCAAATACTCTGCTGATGTTAACAACACCCTTGAGCCAAACTTGCCACCAGCATCATCCACACAAGCTTCTGATGGCTCTACACCCAATGGAAGCCAACCCACCACACCACCAGGTTTGCCACTTCAACTGAAGGACCTCAACAAGAACATCCGAGACCACACCTTCTCAGAGTATCTCTTGATACAGAAGGCTCAATACTATCACAACAAGTTTGCAGCAACATGCGAGATGTATCCATGGCTACATCCTACAACCATCACTGAGTTACTCCAAATCTATCTGAGAATGTTCCCACCTGCAGCAGAGATCCATCATTTCCAGGAAAAACTCCATTGCAATGGCAGGTTGGTGGACATAGGACCCCTCCTGACTTATGATGCTGAGGCATATATAATGATTGCCACAAATCTCAAACCATCAGTCAAAGAAGCACTGACAGGACCCAACCAAATCCACTGGTGGGAGGCGATCAAGGCTGAAATGGATGGCTTAGAGAGCATGCAAGTCTGGGAAACTGTGGACAGGCTGGAAGGAACAACTCTTGTAGATTCAAAGCTAGTATTACAGGTAAAAACAGATGCTGATAATGTTCCATACAAGTTCAAGGCCAGGTTCTGTGCACATGGTTTCTCCCAAAAGGCAGGGATTGACTATGATGAGATTTTCACCCCAGTCATCCCAAAGGATGCAATTCGAACATTGCTCACTATTGCTGCCTGATTTGACTGGGAGATCGACTCAATTGACATCACCCAGGCATATCTGAATGCCAACCTACACCACCACATATACCTCAAACCACTGGAGGGTGCAGAGGTCCCAGCTGGAAAGGTATACAAGCTTGTCAAGAGCTTGTATGGACTCAAACAATCAGGCAGAGAATGGCATCAAGCACTGGATGCACATCTATGACACCTGGGTTTCTTCCCACTCCCCAATGTCCCATGCATGTACTTGCAGGGCTCAGGCAAAACACAGGCAATCATTGTGGTATATGTCGATGATATGCTTATTATCTCTCTGCACAAGTCCCAGGTTGACCACATCAAAGAGGCAATTGTCAGGAAGTGGAAAATCACAGACAATGGCCCAGTGACAGAATTCCTCAAGATTAAGATCACTTGGGATCAAGCAAAGAGGACTATTGATTTAGATCAATGAGGGTACATTAGAGAGATCATCAAAGAGTGGATCCCACTGCAAGAGAAAACATGGACACCCATGGTTCACACACCCCTGAACACCTCCTCCAGACCACATGAGTGATGGTGACATCAAGACTCAATATCCAATCCTCATTGGCAAACTGTTATGGGTAGCAACCACTGTTCAGCCAGATCTATCTTTCACCATCAACACCCTGACATGGCATATGTCCAAGCTGACTGAGAGTGTGATGCAAGCAGCCCTCTGGGTCATGAAGTACCTCAACCAGACATGCAATGAGGTCTTGTGGCTTGGGGGCAAAGGGAAAGACAAACTGGTCATTGCAGCATACACAGACACAAATTGGGCCTCTGACCCCAATACCAACTGGCAGAGCACATCTGGCTCAGTGGTTCAGGTTTTTGGCAGTTTGGTGACCTGGAACTCACATGTTCAGAAGTGTGTGTTGAACTTGGTGGTTGAAGCTGAGTATGTCACTGGCTCAGTGGCAGCATGCAAAGCCCTTTTCCACTGACATCTGCTGTGGGGCCTCAGCTTTGGGGACCACACACTGGTGATCCTCACAGACAATACAGGATGTATTCAGATTGCAAAGGACCAAGCTCTTCACTCAAAGCTCAAGCATATTGACATGAAGTACCATCTCATCCGACACCATGTATTAGAGGGCAACATAGTGATGCAATACATTCAAACAGATGACAACATCACAGACTACCTCACGAAACTGGTATCTCAACAGTTGCTTAAGTGCACTCGACAACATCTTGGCATGGCCAACCTTGACTCCTCACACCACTCAGTTTGCGAGGAGGAGAGTAAAAATGCATGACTGCTTAGTCATGCATTTTCTGCAAACCTCGCTCCACATCACCACCTGTCAACTCCCACCAATGCTCAATGCCACCCACCAATGCTATCCATCCCACTCAATAACAGCATGCAGCCACACAGGCCACGTCACCCATTCACATGCACAGAGACTGACATAAAAGCATATATAGTTCACGATATCACCTTGTACTTAGCCTCATGTTTATAATAACGATTTTGACCGCTCGCTATCTCGAATCGGCTGTGTTTCTCAACAAAGAAGTCATACATCTGTGGTAACTCAAGAGAGCGTATTATACCTTGTTATCCTGAATTCAACTGCATGATCAGTGCCCTACGTTAGCGCCGGATCGCAACGTCACCTTAGGCAAGCTGGATTGAGGATACCTGACGACAGGCGAATATGCCTTTTTCTTTTTCTTTTTCTTTTTCTTTTTCTTTTTCTTTTTCTTTTTCTTTTTCTTTTTCTTTTTTTATTTGGTTCAAAGAGAATGTTACGCCGTAATAAAGTGACAGCTGCCTGGTTCGGGCGGGAAATCTCGTCCGAAAGAAAGAAAGCGTTCTTGGACTGACTGACAAATAGCTTTTTGGATTCTTTCAAGACTTCTCCTCGAACCATCTCTGCTTTTGGTGACACTGGACACGGTTTGCTTCTTGATGTCTGGTCTATACCTCTTCACTCACGCAAAGCACGAATAGTAGCGACAACGATACACACTTGTACCCTCACGAGAAGGAGAGGAGGAGAAGGATGTGGTTGAGATCAATCACAAACCCAACCATCCGCACCCGTCGTATAGCAACATCCTCCTTTTTCATCGCCACTTTCGCAGCATCAATCCTAACCGTTTCCCTCTCAGCATCATCCATTTTACCCTGTCCCGCCAATAGAGCACCTAGAGGAACCAGCGCACAAGCTCAAGTCGAAAATGAATATATCGCAAGAGAGGCTACAGGAGTGGAAGAGGAAACAATACCAACTGGACAAAAGGTGCTACTAACGAGCAAGCGAGGTTGGATCCAGATTGAACAGCCCATACCAAGTAAAAGGCTCCAGGTGCAAGCGGTTGGGGACAAGGCATAGTCATATATGCATCCGCCTTACACCGAAGAGCAAAGAGCAAAGAGCAAAGAGCAAAGCAAGAAGGACAAGACTCGAACAAGTCATCATCTGTATTAGTATTTCAGCATAGCAAGCTAGCATATCACCACTTCAGACCACAATCTCCTCCCCAGCAGCAAGCCCGACAAAGACTGTGCATCCATCAGGAATCACCTTCATTCAGGGGGATGCGGAGGACAAGAACGACAAGCAGCAAACCAAGGAGTGTAATGCATCAACATTGCAAAACTATCCATCCCGCAAAGTTATGTCGCCCCAGGAGGAGCATCCACCCAACTCGCATTCCTCAAAACCGCCTTTGCAGCCCGAGTAAAATCCCCTGCACTACCCTGCGAACTAAAAGCAATCCTCAAATAATGCGCAACATGCACAATCGTGCCGTTACTAACACCTTCCCCCACCTTTTGATCGTTATCCACCCTCTCCTGCTCCAAGAGATGCAACAAACTCGTAATGTTGTAGGTGGTAGCCTTACCCGAATACCGCAAAACATCGTCCACTAGCAATTCGTATCCGTCCCACTCTGTCACTTGCTCTGCCGGGATCGGGTTCCACGAAACCACGCCATCAGCGGCGGCAAAGGTGGTCGAAGTGGTATTAAAAGTCGGTCTAGCAGTCCCACCCGTCGCATCGCCTTGCACTACAGCATTATCTTCAAGTAAGCCATCAAAACCCCACCTAGCTATTCCATTAGTGAACATGCCCAGTAAAAACGCAACATACACCAACCCCAACCGCGTCGGGAACGCACAAGCAGGTAACAACACCAACGCGATTATATAGTGGTGCAACCTCAACGTCTCGCCCGGAACAGCTGCTGCTAGACCCACCAATACCCCTGCCACCACATAAAGCGAGATATACTTTGGGAGCAATCCAGTCTTCCACATCACCCTAATCTGGTTGATCGCTACCAGTAGCACGATGACAGCAACGACGATGACTGCGACGATTCCACCAGGTTGCTGCCTAATATCGTTCCCCACTAACCTCTGGATCGGGACCTTGCCGAATACAAGATTTAGTAGGACACCTAACCACCAAAATCCAAGTGTCCAAAAGGTGCTTTCTACGGGCAAGTGCGTGAATGCAGGCCAAACGAATCGAAACGCCAACCTCCAAATCGCATAGCAGGTGAACAGGAAAGGTAAGAAATCCCCAAAAGCTGCTCCGATCGGTGGAGGATAATCCCTCTGATACGAGACAAGGTTGATATGCCAATATCCGACACAAGCTAGTGTCCAGAACCAAACGATTCGCTTGGGACGCAGAACGAAGCCTACGACGGCAGAAAGAATCGCGTTTAGTAGGTAGCCTTCCCATCGTCGGTCGGTACACTGACCTTCGCCTTGAGTCTGTTCGAATTGGTAGCCGATCGGGAAAGTGGAATCGAAGCTGATCGAGTCGATCCCGTTGGCGTCGCTGCCTTGGAATCCAGCGTAAGACCCAATAAGCCTCACTGATCCGCATCCGCCTTTTGAATTTTTGATCACTCCGGCGTGAATGGCAGCAGCGCAGATGAAAGAGTCGCCACGATAGGTGTGGTTTGCATCACCACCTCCCACGACTAGCGGCTGGTAGTTGACAAGCTGATCTCCGACCGCACGAGGGTTGAGAAGTGTCACATCGATGCAGTTGGCCGGACATCGGAACGCTTGTCCCGCTTCGCCAGGGGGAGTGTAGAAGGGTGTGCAATCTTGACCATCTAACCCACATCCACCGTTTCGAAGCCAGTAGGTCGACGTGCATGACAAGAAAGCGGGCGATCGAGAGGCTCCATCGATACCGACAACCGCAGATTCGTACCAAAGCGATTTAGCAAGATATGCAAAGCCAAGAACCCATCCAATATAGACCAAGGAAAGCACCAGCCAATGCAGCTTGTTGAGCTTAAAGTCGGCTGTGATGCCTTTCCACCATGCTAGGCCAGGCTGCACGTCGTCCTCGTAGTGTCGGTCGTCGAGGTTGTGGTGAGAATCAGAGTGGCGGTGATCATTGTTGTACAGTCCGTTGCGGTCTTGCGGCTCCTTCCAAGCGAAAGGATCTGTCAACCGTATCCAAGCTCGCTCTAAGCGTGCCAAGGACCACCAACGGTAGTGTCGTATGCTGAGTTGAGCTGGCGGTTTGGGTCCTAGTAGCATTCGTCGTGCTCGGCTAGGACCGCCTCTGCGTGGCTGGGGAGCCGTTGTTGCTGTCGCTGCTTGTTTGTCGTTGTGAGCATAGTAGATGGGCTCGACTTGCAACTGCAAGCCGAGCGGCGTCAAAGGCGTCTGACTGGACTTTTTCATCATCGAGTCCGCGGCTGTTCTTTCTCCAACGCTGTCGCTACGAGAAGAGGAGCCAGGCATGATGCTACTGTCATGCGTCTCGATTTTGTCCTGCTGCTGTTGCTGCCTTGCTGCGGCGATCGGATCGACCGAGTACAAGATGCGGCCTTGCGATGATGTGATATGGTCGTCGGCGTCATTAGTGACTCCGTCATCGATTGTGTAGGCCTGAATCTCCCCTGAATGCTTTGCTGGCACTGTCGCCGCTAAATGTGCGTTTGATGTTGCATGCCCATTCGCCTCTTTGGAAGACACAGGAGGCACAAGTCGACCAGGATAGCCCTCCAACACCTCGCTCCACGCCGGCGCCTTGGTCGTCACCCTCATCTGCTCGCTCAGCGATCTCGGATGCAACACTATAAAGCAAGAGTAGAATGGATCTCTCTGCAACCTCAAGCGCTCCAGCTCCTCCTCACTAGCATCTTGGAGGATTTTTTTTGTTTGCTCCGAGTACGGCCGACGGCTCATCTCCTTGAGCAACCACTGTATGCTATCCATGTTGCTCGTCAAGGTCGTCATGCCGTACCTTGCACAAGCATGCATGGACCGCAACGTAGTGTAGGTCTGACCACCGGCTTGATGCACCGTACCTTGACGAAGCTTCTTGTACTTGCTTCTCGGCAAATCCTCGGAGATGTCACACCAGTCAGGACCCCACAGCTGGCTGAGACAGCTTTCGAGCATGTCGACCATGTGCGAGATGAAGTGAGCTCGCGGTAGATCCGGATAGACCTCTTTGAGGCGGGTGAGCGATTCAAAGCCTCCCGGGCCCAAGTCTTGGAGTGGCTTGATGGGTAGTAGAAGGCATCTGCGCAGTTCTGCATGCTCTGGCGTGTTCCATTTGGAGTTTGTCCAGAAGTCTTGCGGATCGACACCTTGCTCACCGAGCAGCGCTCTGACTCTGCGTTTCTCGTTGGATCCGCCGACAGTGGAGCTGACGCGACGGAGGCGGTCGAATGCGCCGACGGTAGCAAAGAGTTGGACAGGTGTGCCATCGGCTGGTTTGAGGGATCCTTGGCCACTTTCACCACCCCAAATGGGACCAAGGATTGCATCGAATAGCGTTTCAATTGTCATCTCTCGCTCTAACTGCATCGCCAACGCACGACCCTCCTTGGCTGCTGCATTGTCCAATGCCCTTGATGCCTGATCCTGCTGATCATCTTGCAAGGAGAGCTCGGCCGCTCTGGCTTCCAAGGCCTCTTTGCGAATGGAAAAGGTACGAAAGTGATGTTGGTATAGAGCGCCCGATCCGTGCTCGCCATCTTGGATCTTGGGATGCCTCTTTGACTCGTCGACAGCTGGGGTCTGCGCGCTGCTTTCTCGGAACTTGCTATGCGTGGTGTCGCTGACAAGCGCGATCATGGCTGTGACATCCAGATTGATCTCTTTCGTTGTGCGCCATTGTGGCCTGGTTGGCGCTGCTGGGATGTTTGGAAGGCCCATGGGCTTTGCGTTGGCTGCATCGTCGAACAAGCCAAGGCTGGGAGGCTGAATGTTGTCCAGTAGGCTGTCAGGTAGGGTGCGATAGCCAAAGATCATGTCGACGTTGTGCCTTTGCGCTTCCTGTGCGATGGCTGCAAGTCGGTGGTTGAAGCGGTCCCACTCTGACATCTGATAAAAGTGCGAGAGTGCTGTTTGCCTTCCAAGCTCTTGGACAGAGGGAAGCGGCTCAGAAGGCGATTGAAGCTGCATGCGCGTCACGACAATCTCGACATGAATGGGCATGAAGGCAAGCTGCCTGCCGTGCTCTTGAGATGTTTGTACACGTGCTTTCGCTTCGGTCTCTGCCGCAGCGCCAAGTTCGTGAATGAGCTTGACGAGAGAGCTCTTGCGAGCGGCAACATCGAAGGCGATCGAATCGACAGACCCTAGGCGGTTTGCATTCAAGCTTGACTGTTCTGTGGATGATGTGCCGTTTTGCCTGTTGACGCGATTCAAACACTGGGGCGTGTGTTGATGTTCGTGGAAGGATTCGCCTGCTGCTGCAAGATGGTTCTGGCTATGAGTAAGTTGCGCTTCATCATGGGAGCCTGCGCAATCACTAGAATCGTCTTGCTCGTCGACCATGTAGCTTTCTGCCTCTCTGAATTCCTGACGCAAGCTCTCGGGTTTGATGATGTAGAGACGTGTCCATCGATGACCATTTTGGGAAACGATATCGACTTTGACGCTTCGACTGTTGACATTCTCTCCTCGCAGCTTGCGCATCTTGTTCCTCCGACGCAATGCAGCTGACATGCTGAACGTAAAACGATCCTGTATCGACAAGACTGGACCGAAAGCGAAAGCGAGATACAGCAACTCTTGCCAGAATCGGATGTGATGTGTGCCGTTCGAGTAGGGATGAGGTTGCTGCCAGCTTCCCTTTTCAGCTGCTATCCGCTGCAGAGCTGCGAGTTCAGCTTCGACCTGACTACGAACAAGGGTGAGACCTTTGAGTGATGTGGAAGCGATGATGCGTTCGCGGTGCTCGTCCCATCTAGGGCCGGCTATTGGGCAGTAAGCTCGGGCTAGGGTCTCTGCGTTTGGCTGATGTTCCATTGCCACTGTTGAGGATGATGATGAGGATGAGGATGATGACGCCAATGGTTCGTGCATGTGTTGGTTGCTGGAAGAGGGGGAGGAGAGGATGAGCGCAGGAGCATAGCTGTAGGCAGGTGCAAGGGTGAGCCAGGTGCGATAAGTGTTGGCCAGATGGTGTATTGATTGATGAACGACCTGGAGGCCATCACGGATGCGAGAGGCTGGTATCGATGGTGTTGGCATGGTGGCGAGAGAGAGAGAGTGTGTGTGGGCTCTATCTCTCTTCTACCGCCTTTGCTGGTCTCGACTGAGCGCGCGCCATTCGATCGTGTCGGAGCAGCCGTCGAAGCTGAGTGATGATTGCAGCCGTGTTAGTGAGCAAAGCGGAGGGCCCGACGAGGCGTGGGTGTTGCAATCACTATCGTATGTCGGAGAAGCCGTTTTCTTTGGCAAAAGTCACACAACAAGCACAAGAGCAGCCAAAAGAAACCAGAGAAAGCGAAAGCACCCTACAGTCACACAGAGTCACACAGAGTCACGCCTGTCCGTGGGAATATGGCGTGGGAATATGGCGTGGGAATATGGCGTGGGAATATTGCACGCTAACTTTAACTAACCAAGCGCCACTTTGCTCTTACTCACTTTCGGAAGCACGCCGATGGCAACACTTGCTCGCTGTCAGCATACACAGCACCGCTAGCCACCTTAGCGGCCCCACGGATAGTAGACGCTAGACGGTTGCAATGCAGATCCTTGAGAGACAGGTGGTCATAGTACAAAAGTGCGAGCAAGCGGTATCATGATGAGACGAGGCAAAGATATCAGAGGTTGGCGCTGTTGACCTTGTTGGTTTGCGAAACAGCGACGAAACGGTATCGGACGTCACCCTTCTTCAATCGCTCTACAGCTGCGTTGATAGCCTCCTCAGTCATGGCGACTTCCTCGATGATCGGCTTGATACCGTGGCGAGCGGCGAACTCGAGCATCTTTCCGTGCACCTCACGAGTGGCAACGAGCGAGCCCTGGATCTTGAGCTGCTTGCCAATGATGGGCAAGTAAGGAAAGACAAAGTCGCCCATGTCGACAGAGAGGGGAATGATGGTCGCATCCTTCTCGAGAACATTGAGGTAGGTCTTCCAATCAGGCTGAGCACTGGTGGTGACAATGAGGAAGTCGACTGGCTTGACACCTTCCAGCTTGGGGTTCTTCTTGGCAGCAACAAACTCGTGAGCGCCGAGCTGGATCGCTTCCTCTTTCTTATTTTCCGAGCCGGAGAAGACGACGACTTGGCAACCCATCTTGTTGAGGAACTGGATCGCAAGGTGACCCAGACCACCGATACCGATCACACCAACACGGTCATTCGAGGTAACACCGGCATCGTGCATCGCACCAAACACGGTCGCACCGCCACACTGGAGAGGAGCAGCGTGCTTGAGCTCAAGACCATCGGGGATCTTGTGGCAGAACTCTTCGGTGATGACAAACTTGTCGCCGAACGAAGCCTGATCGAGGTCGGCATTGGCGTACATCTTGTTGCTGTAGCAGTTGGTGTCACGACCCTTCTTGCAGAACTTGCACGTTCCGCAAGAATCGTGGTTGTAACCCCAACCAACACGATCACCCGTCTTGAAGTCCTTCACCTCCGGGCCAACCTGCGAAACGAGACCGACACCTTCGTGACCAAGAACCATGTCCTTCTCGAGGTAGTGGATGTCGGTGTAGCAGAGACCGGAGTGAGTGATGTCAATGACGACATCGCGAGCGTTGATGGTGCGGTCGGCACCCTGTCCCTTGACGACCTTGCCGGACGAGGAGCCCTTGAAGACGGTACCCAGGTTAACTGTCGACATTTTTGTTGTGCGAGTTGTGTGGATGATGGATGGAGCGTGTTGACGGCGGATGGGTGCAAGCTACTTATATCTTGTCTTGGATGCAACTCAGCTTGGTCAAGAATGAAATTATTGGCCGACTGTTGTGTCACTCGACAAGATTCCTGTCCCTTGTTCTCAAAGAAGAAGGTGACGATCGCGCGTATGCGAAATGCGGCAATGCATCCTTGCTCACAGAGCTCGTGCGACATGTTCTCCTTCACCACAGCGCCGTCCTCGTTAAGACCGAGGCAGAAGAAGCAGAGAGAGATGGTTTCGATTGACGGTCCTTGTGTGCATCGTAATGCCGCATCTCGTCGCATGGCCGGAAACTTTTCGTGACGCATCTCGACAGCAAACGCTAAACAGCAAGGAAGAGGAATGATGGCATACGACATCAGATTTGCAAATCCCTCGGATTTTTGCCCTCCCGCCGGCCTTCTCATGGCATACATGAAGAAAAAACCGATTCGGATCGCCGAATCTGATCTCCGACTCTGATCACCGATCCCGATCTGTTCCTCAATAACGCGGTAAAGTCCGAGTGTCAGACAGAAACCTGCGCATCTTGCCGCAGGTCATCGTTCATGCGAGTGCCCAGGTGGCTTCGGATCGCGGCTTTGCAACAGTGACTTTCTCCTCCATCGCAACAAAGAAAAGTATGGTGCTTAAAAACGCAAGCTTTCAGCTCTGTCCGTTGCACAACTAATCACCGAGCTGCTGTCACCACGGCAAATGATTCGACGTCCGGCAATACATTCGCTATCTTGACTATCCTTTCGAACAAAGCCACGGACGACGTTAGATGGGATGTGGAGTGGAAGAGGTCTTCTGTCGTTAGGAGCGGTTGTGGTGTTGCTCGGGTGCAGCAGTAACATGGTGACGAGCAGCTAGCTGAATCGACAATCTTGAGTTGTTGCACGATTCGACTCGCAACCGCGTCAGATCACCGATTTTCACAACTTTTGAAACGGATCGGCAGATTTTCACCTTGGTCGGACACCCGCGGCTATTCTCCTCTAGACAAGCAGGGTCTCGTGCGGTCTTTTCATTGCTGGAAAGGAGCCTGGCTTGGAGCGGGGGAAGCAGCTGTCAATCTTCTTCTTCTTCTCAAGGTCGGCTTCATTTCGGCGACTTTCCGGCCAAACCTTTTTCCTCTTGAGTCACACGCTCTTTGTAACATCACAACCACACAACCTCACTAGCACACAGCCACGATCCCACAGCCACGATCACATCAGCAACGATCCCACCAGCTACGATCCCACCAGCCAATCGACGTCGGCTGCTTTCCGACACGGTCACAGTGACGGACTGAGCTTTTGTATTCACTGAGCCTGCGAAAGCGTACATAAGAACTGCCCCTGCCTTTCGGTATCGGATGGCGACATCTCTCTAATCCCATCACGCCATCACGCCATCACGCCATCACGCCATCACGCCATCACGCCATCCTCTCATCCTCTCACACTGACAAGCTGCAGATACAAACTTGGCCCTTGATTGAAGCCAGCCCACCTCTCACTATATAATGGACAAGGCCGAGCTCGCGGCCCATGCCAAAGAAATCGATCAGCACTTTCATCAACAACACCAGCATAACTCCCCCTCCTCACCACATCTCGAGAAGAGTCAAGATGGCGAGGCGAACAAGCACCGCGCCGACGCCAACAGGGACAAGGATGTAGAAAAAGATGCTGCCGTCCACAAGGCCGATACCAACGATCAATCGCGGCCCCGGAACAGCACCTCTGCTCGATCTCAACAACCCACAGGCGATGCTTCTGCTCCCTCCGAACAAGCCGACGATGAGGCCATCAAAGACCGCGGCTGGGCAGCATGGAAGTTCATCCTCGCCTCCGCCGCAACCGAGTTTATGATCTGGGGTGCATCCTACGGGTACGGCTCGTTCCAAGATTACCATCAACACGATCATCGTTCTCCCTTCCATCAATCCTCGCTCACCGCCACCTCCTCGGTCGGCACCACCCTCCTAGCTGGGCAGCACTTTATCCCACTCTTGACCTTTGGTCTCTACTCGATGTTTCCTTGCCTGATTTCTCGCTTCACTTATGTCTGTGTGGTTGCTTCTTCGCTCTCGCTCCTGATCGCTAGTTTCGCCAACTCGGTAGCTTTACTGATCCTTTTCCAAGGTCTCTTGCTTGGTATTTTCGGTGGCAACCTCTTCACAACTGTCATCTTGTGGTTGCCTGATTGGTGGGATAGGAGACGCGGCTTCGCAATAGCACTCATCTTTGCCGGTTCTGCGATCGGAGGCATTCTCTGGCCTATCATCTTCACCCAGCTTCTCGAACGGATTGGCTTTCGATGGACACTACGCACATGCGCACTCATCCAACTCATCGTTTCAGGTTCGGCAGTAATGTGTCTTGCCCCGCGTCGAAAGGCGGTTCGCATTTCGAAAGCGATGAGATGGAAAGCTGTCATCCCTGCCTTCCCGCGCTCGCTACTCTCCACCTTGACCTTGCTCAACGTAGTAGCACTGGTCACGCAGACAACCGCATGGTACTCGGTCTCACTCAACATTTCCAACTATGCTTCTTCGATGGGCTTCTCCAGCTCCACCTCGACAGGTATGCTGTCTGCGTTTAACGCTTCTGCTGCGGTCACGTATTTCGTCCTGGGTTACCTGGTGGACAGGTTCCCCTACCCGTTGATTATGGCTACCTCGACTTTGCTCAGTTTGGTGTTTACCGTTCTTGTCTTTGGGTTCGCGCGGGGTTCATTGGCCAAGATTATACTTTATGTTGTCTTCTTCGGTATGTCCGGTGGTGGCTTTGCCAGCTTCTTGACGCCGGTATCGAGGGATATACCGGACAAAACCAAGTCTGCCGAGTTTTCGCTACGATTCCTCTATCTAGTCGCCGCAAGGGGATTAGCAGCAATGCTGGGACCGATCATTGCAGTTCAGTTCTACCCAGACCATCTCGGTCCCAAGTCAGCATATGGAAGCTTTGGCTTTACAGGGTTCATCGCATTCATCTCAGGCACACTGGCTCTCTCGACGCTGGCATCCTTGACCATCTTTGCTTACAAACGCCATGTAGAGGCGAAGCGGGTGCAAGAAAGGTGTAAGCATTCTTCACCTAGTCCTTCTCCCGAGTGCGCTCGACGGGTGGAATTGGTGGAAGAGCGGGCTGCTTGAATTTTCGCTGTGTATATCTGTATTATGCTTCGGTTTCTTGGGGTTCGACAGTCATCGGTGTCATTTGCAATTGCATTTCCACAAACATGCGTCTTATCTGGAGTGTCCAGCTTTTGCATTTCTAGACATTCCGGGGAGGGGGTTTGGGGGGTTTGGGGGGTTTGGGCTTTGGTGTTGTTGGTAGTCTATACCTGGCTGGATGCATGTTGATAAATCATAAAGGGCCATTCTACATAACCTTTCTTAGCATTCTTGTGGTTCAATCTATCGAAACCTAGTATTCTAAATCCGGCTTTGAGATAGGTTGTTTTTCCCATTGGGCTACTTTCCAAATAGGCGTCTACTTTTTCTGTTTCTGCTCTTTGCAATCCGTATCTTAGCAGCTTTGTGCCATGACCTTGTCTCTGGTACTGTGGCGAGACAGCTAGTAGTTTTAAAAACCAATAAGTCTTTCCAAGCATTGTAACTTCTCTAGTTCGGTTCATCTGGGCAAAGAAACGGTTGTGTAGTGTTGGTTCTAGTCGTTCCTTTCTATCTGTTTCCATCGAGTCGGGCGGAGTGCAGCTGGTGATTCTTCGCCAAACTGCAAACCCAATCAACTCTTCTCTTGAATCCTCTGAAGCTTCTGAAGAGGGAGAAGAACGATATATTCCAATCAAAGTATATGCCCGTGTTGCATCAAACAGTTCTCGCTGTCGTTCCATCGTCTTCTCTATCCTCTCCTCCCTAGTGAGAACAGAGGATAGTGTAGACTGGGCACCTGCAATTTCCGCTTCGATCAACTCGGATATTTCATCGACCGTAGTATTGTTGGCATTGTTGAATGAGTCGTATTGGATCCTCGCCATTGCAAGCGCGTCTGAAGGTGGCACGGCTTTTATCATGTATTCTTCCCTCATCTTTTTGTGCTTTGCTTCTATCGAATGATGGATTTAGATTGCGTTTCTGGACAAGGGAGTGAAGAGTTCGGAGTGTGAGGTTGAGGTCGAGTGGAGAAGGGATGTGTGAGGTTGAGCAGAAGTAAGGTGGTAGGACCGAGTTATAGCACGAGCGTTTTGCGAGATAATGCAGGTCGATCGCCCGTTCAGTGAAATCACATGACTGCTTAGTGATATTCCGACAATTCCGCATAACCTCGCTCAGCGTCGCCACATGTCAACTCCCACCAACACGCATCGCCCTTCATCGCTTCTTCTTCCTCATCTTCTCACACAATCCCCAAGAAGGATGGAGAGGAAGAAGAGGAGGAGGAGGAGGAGGAGGAGGAGGAGGAGAGAGAGGACCTTCAATCACTGACCCTATCATCCGAACGTTTCAGCATTCTGGAAAACCTGTTCAACCCTTCCGCCCTCTCTCTCGATCAAAAGCCCCTTCCCTGAACTCATTCTCGACTCCATTACCTCCCTGCCCGCCTCTATGGCTAGTGCAGGGGATATGATGTGGAGCAACATAGTTCTCACCGGCGGTCTATCGAACGCAGTAGGCATGAAAACAAGGTTAGAGAAGGATCTTCGACCGCTAGCACCTAGTGATGTGCCCGTGCGCATCCTTCCAGATCCTAGAGAGGATAGAAGTTTGTTACCGATCCAAGCTGGGGTGCTGTGGGCGGTGGAACTAAGCGCAAGAGAGGCGTTGAGGCGAGATAGGAGAGGAGAACAGAAAGAATCAGCGGGGAAGAAAGGAGCGAGGAAAGGAAAAGGTAGAGGTGGCGGGAGGAAGAGTGTAAGTCTTGCCCCTGCCGACCGAGAGGATGAGGAGGAGGAAAGAGGGGAGAAGGGGAGATGGATGACATATGCTCAATGGTCTAATCCTCCGACCGTCGGAGGCGCTGCGGCAGGCGAGGTTGATATTGTTAAGGCTGCTAACTCTGTGTTCTACCCTGCAACACCCGCATTTGCACTCGGCACAAAGAACAGTAGAGCATAAGTACGAAAGGGAATGTAGTTGTATCGATACCAAATTCATTAACGAAAGTGGACGTTCTAGAAGAAACGAAAGTGTACAGCGACGAAAAGAAAGACGTTCAACGTCGAATAGGCCTCGCAACTTCCCTAGCACCACTAACAACAGCTGAAGGATTACCTCCCTTAAACAACCCCCTCACCTTTTCTCCTAAGTTGCTGCTAGCAGTTTGCATCTTACCCCAAGCACTTCCAACCCTATTACCCAATCTATTCCATCTACCAGCTACAGGATTCTGATCTATCTGCTGCTGGTTAGGGCCTACAGGCCTCACCATCGCCGTCAACCGGTTAGCCTTCGTCCTTAGCCTCGTCGGCCACTGGTTAACCTCCGTCCTTACCTTCGTCGGCCACTGCTTAACCTCCGTCCTTACCCTCGTCGGCCACTGGTTAACCTCCGTCCTTACCCTCGTCGACAACTGGTTAACCTGCGTCCTTACCTTCGTCGGCCACTGGTTAACCTCCGTCCTTACCTTCGTCGGCCACTGGTTAACCTGCGTCCTTACCTTCGTCGGCCACTGGTTAACCTCCGTCCTTACCTTCGTCGGCCACTGCTTAACCTTCGTCGGCCACTGCTTAACCTCCGTCCTTACCCTCGTCGGCCACTGCTTAACCTCCGTCCTTACCCTCGTCGGCAACTGGTTAACCTTCGTCCTCAGCCTCGTCGGCCACCTTTCCGGAACTCTGTACAAGAAAGTGCCTTCATGAGCAACTCCAAACGTCGACATCGTATCCCGCACTCCCTCCGGCCTCCAAGCTTTCGGCCACGGCAGAGCTTTATTCTCGGGAACCACGGACGTTCCGAACATCTCTGGTGGAGCAAGGCCTCCACCAGGGGATTGACCGGTATACACCACCCGCACTTGATTCTTGTAATTCTTTGGATCGTAAAATACCCTTGCTTCTCCAAAAGTCTGCGCTGCATCCCGAGCTTGGTATGGGATTGTTCTATCTGATGCGGTCTCACCGAATTCGTGGACGGCTGGTTTGCCACCGGTGGTGTAGTAGTTTACTATTCTGGGGTTTTTGGCTATTGCGATATGGTCTTTAAGGTCCGCCAGATGAATTCTCATCTTTTCCTGGACAGGAGCGAAGCGTGACGAGATGCTATCTTTCACCTTTGCGAGTCTCGACGAAAACGCGGAACGGGGAGTGGAAAACTTCTCTGCATTCTCTGGTTCCCCAATCATATTATTTTTTAAATTAAACCCAACCTTTTTCTTCGCCAAGTTTTGATCGGAGGGATACGTCTCTTTAATCTCGGCCTCTGCCTTCTTCGCATCGTGCAATATGGGTGGAACATAGCCAACACTTTCCCTGTACACATCATGATTGGGTTTGTTGTAGAACCGGTAAACTTGTGCTCCGCCGGGTGCGGTTGGGTCGGAGTATGAGACGAGTTGATATGCGTCTGTCGTTTGGGGTAGTTGGGAGATGGCTTCTTTTATGTGTGAGTTGGCGGGGTTGGTGAGATATTTGTCGAGGGCTCCGCTGGGAAGAGGCTCGGCGGCAAGAGCGATGTTTTTCCCTTTCCCTGCCTCTTGCCTAGCATCACTAACAGCAGCTGAAGGATTACCTCCCTTAAACAACCCCCTCACATTTTCTCCAATGTTGCTGCTAGCAGTTTTCATCCTACCCCAAGCACTTCCAACCCTATCACCCAATCTATTCCGTCTACCAGCTACAGGATTCTGATCCATCTGCTGCTGGTTAGGGCCTACAGGCCTCGCCATCGCCGTCCACCAGTTAAGCTTCGTCCTTAGCCTCGTCGGCCACCTTTCCGGAACATTTTTGAAGAAACTGTCTGGATTACCATTTTCCGATTTCACCTTTGCGAGTCTCGACGAAAACGTAATTGCAGAAGGTTTTAAATTCGACCACCTAACCTTTTGCCTCGATATCGGCGCCAAGTTTTGATCGGAGGGATACGTCTCTTTAATCTCGGCCTCAGGCACATCAGCCGGAAGAGATTGTTCATCTCTAGCGTTAGGACTTAGGAGATCAGCTGACCATTCTGCGGTGTCAAGGGCGGGTTTGTAGCTTGACAATGGGGAAAAATTGTTCGGCAAGCTAGAAGATCGACGAAAACCGGTGGACAGATCGGGACGGCTGGAGACATCGGTGGAAGGTGGAGGGGAGGGGATGAAAGGGGAGGAGGAGGATGGTCGAACGGGTTGGGGCGCCGTTACGCTTTGCTCTTCGCCTCTTCGGTTGAGATGGCCCCGCTTGGAGCCCGGGTTGAAGGCCAGGGAAAGAGTGGCGAGGAAGAAAGAGATGAGGAGAACGCGAGGGAAAGGATTGGGTATCATCTTGATGACGTTTCTACCAGAGAAACGAACGAAGGACTGACTGAATGAATGTGATGGTTCGAAAAGAGAAGGCAGACAATCGAAAAAAGGGGGGAGGGAGGGAAAGATGTGCTTCATCGAAAAATCACTCTTTCTTATAAGTAGGAGGGATGAGAGTGTTGATCGCAGTCTTGTGGGTCATGGAGATGAAGTGAGGAGGTTGCCACATTGATGCCGTGATTAGTAGCTGGCAGTGGTTGCGAACAATGATCGGTACTTTGGTGGGCGGATACAACGAGCAATGGTAAGCCCCAGACGTCTCGGTTCCTTACAACAAGGGGGTGTTGAGAGTGTTGTGGACTCTCCAATCACCAGTGTCGTTCAATGGAGGGGTGTGGCAACGGTTGAGTGGGTCGTTTGATGCCAAATGAGGCCGCCATCGCGCGACGAGTGGCTCGACCAGCATGTTCAGCAACCGCAGGGAAATCGGTCAAGCTCGGCAAGACCTTGCGAACGTTTGTCAACACGTGTCGCCGGGCCGGAAGTGCCTCAAGATTGTTGATGTTGACTCAACACAAGCGGAGAGATCATCGAGGGTGGGACAATGGCGAGCTCAGTGGTGGAATTGAAGTCTTACGTCATCGTTCTGTGCTCAGATCAGTCACAAACTCTTCACAGCCTCAACTCATAGCGCACTTGAGAGGGAGAAGGAACGATGCGATTGCCAGCAAAAATAGCATCAACTCGATACAAACAAGGGAGGAAATAAAGCAGGAAGAAAGGGGGACGCAAAACGGGAAGAAAGGAACATTAGCTGCGTGTCACGCCTGGGCACCTCTCGTGCGAATACTAGCCGTACGAGAAAGCTCGATCGATATCTTCTCGCGCAAGCACACGTCGCACTGAGAGTTCGATAGAAAGTTCGAAACTATCTGCAAATCTTTGATCATACTTGCTTGCCTGTACAGAAGCAGGTACTTAAACTGGCTTCCATCTAGATCTCCTTCTTCCGGCAATCCATCTAGTTACACCATTACACCGCGCATACAGCTTGCGCACGTAATAACGTAACACTGCGATACCAATTCGCTGCTTCTGTTGGAGGTGGAGTCGCCTTGCGTAGCTATGTTTGGACAGGCTGGTTTTAGGTTTTTGGACAACAAGAAGATGATACATTGCAGCAAGAACTTGGTCGACTTTGCACACTATATATACATGTCTCGACACTGACAGGAAGTAGGAGAGAGGCCTGGAGCATGAAGGGCATCAGAGCCCTCAAGGAGAGTCCCGTCAGATGCATTGATCTGATTGTCAGGGACCACCCAACAGTTTTTCCAACAACTCTTATCAGGCATGGGAAAACGCCGTCGGCCATTCCGTTGGTTACACCAATGATTGCAACTCACACTGGGAGACTGATGATCAGCGCAATGGTCCGACGCTGCCGATACAAGGTCACGTGGACCTCCAACACTCCTCCTATCGGTGGCTGCCCTATCTAGCGAGCACGCCTAAGTCCTTGCATGACCTTTTGCTTCCTCTTGCATTGAGGAGTTTAGTGAGCCCATCTGCAATCTGTAATTCACCTGGGACCCACTTAATGATGACAAGCCCCTTCTTCATTGAGTCTTTGATGTATGCTGCATGGAGTGTGAGTGCCTTGTTTCATTGAGGCCCATCTGAAGTTGTGACCTGTTGTGCTGCCTGGTTATCGGTGTGGAGCACAACCCCTGTGTCACTATCACTGACTAGTTTGAGACCCTTGACAATGTTGATGAGCCGATCAATGTCATGGCATGCATTGCTAAGAGCTACCACTTCTGCCTTGGCAGTCAATATCGATATAATCCCCTGCCAACAACTCCTCCAAGCAATGGCTCCTCCAAACAACATAAGCATGAACCTGGATGTGGAATATTGGTTCTCCTTCCAACTCCCAGCATGGTTGGAATCCAAGTAGGCTAGTGGCACCTTGTTGTCACCATTGGGAAGGTATGTCAACCTGCTATTTCACATATACAAAATGTAGCAAAGGAGGTGCCAGGCTTGATTGAGGTGCACTGCTGTTGGTAAGGAGAGGTACTTAGCAAGGTTCCTGACCGCAAATGCAAGGTCAGGTCGAGTTGACATCATGAGGTACATGATCGACCCGATCATCTGCTGATATGTTGTTACCTGGTGTCATGGACCTGAATGCGCAGGAAGCAGGAAGGCCGTTGGTTCATATGGAGGGAGCACAGGTATCAGGGGATCAGGCCGATCTACAGAAGGGTCGGCTATAGCATGGTCATAGTACAGTCTCCATGGAGACCATGGGCAAGGAGGCCCGTACAACGGATTCACATGCAAAGGAGGACCAGGCCCATGTCAGCGGTCATGTACCTGGAACCCGAGAACTACCGGTCTGGGTGATTTCAGCCAATTTCAGTGAGCATGCTTGGGAATGCACCTGCCAGCCACTTTCACTGAAACTGCTTGAAGGGTTGGTGGTTCAACGAGTTTCAGCTAACTGCTGTGAACACTCCATTCAGTGGTAATGCAGCACAGTCAGGTCCAGCTTGCTGCAGAACCCTTAGTATAGGAATGTGGTTGGTCCTCTTCGACACAAGTGTTCAAGGTGTCGGTGACCAGCCAGTGAACCAATAAGAGAAGCCCAGACTGCAATATATATATATATATATACTGCCTTTGGTGAGGTAGTATCTGGACTGCAGTATTACTGCCTACAGATGACATCAAGGAGAGGTGATACGACACACCCACTTGGTTTAGTAGCAATGGCCTGGAATTGCACTATTATGATGGAAAACAACTAAGTATACATTACAGTAGAGTATAGTTTAGTTAAGAGTAGAGTGGATGCTGGATCCACTCATTCACTATGGCAGTGGGGTGTATTTATCTCCTCTCACCATGGTGTCTTCACCACGATGACCCCTCCCCCTCCTCCACACAGGGTGTCCCCATCCATTGGGTATGGCCTCCCCGTCTCCCCTGTTCTATCTGCCGTTCGCAGCTATACTGCCCTTCCTATCCTTCCTATCCTTCCTATCCCTTCTTCCTGTTGAGGCATCAATCCTCCTTCATCGACTTCATCATGCTCAGGGGTCTCCTCCCACCTCATCTGATGGCGAGGTCCCTGTTCCCCCTTTCTCAATAGCCATTCCTCCGAACTTGGTGGGGCACCTTCATCTGGTCATGGGCTGGTTGATCTGCTTCATCTTGGGCCAGTCTCGGTGAAACCTCTTTGTACCCAGCATCCTGACCAATCTCGATGAAGTTTCTCTTCCTCCTTGCTTTCCAGCCGTTATCGGCAAGACTGGTTGGACCCCTGGGTATCGACTGGTTCCGCTGCTGGTGCGCTGAGCTCATTTCGGCGGCTGCGCAGCACGGCTGCTTATGACCTCTGCGCGGGCCCTGTGACATGTGCTTGAGGATGCACCTGTTGGCCAATTTCACTGAAACTGCTTGAAGGCTGTTTGTTCAGTGAGTTTCGGCTAACTGCTGTGAACACTCCATTCAGTGGTAGCACAGCACAGTCAGTTCCAGCTTGTTGCAGAACCCTTAGTGTAGGAATGAGGTTTGTCCACTTTGACACAAGTGTTCTTGGTGTCAATGATCAAATGGCAAATCAATAAGAGAAGCCTGGACCACAGTATGTATACTGCCTTCAGAGAGGCAATTATCTGGACCACAGTAATGACTGCCTACAGACAATGTCAATGAGAGGTGATATGACACACCTACTTGGATTAGTAGCAATGGCCTGCAATTGCACTATATGACAGAAACAACTAAGTATATGTTACAGTAGAGTATAGTTTTAGTTAAGAATAGAGTGGATGCTGGATCCACTCATTCACTATGGCAGCAGGGTGTATTTATCTCCTCTTGCCATGGTGTCTACATCACTGTGGCCCCTCCCCTCCCCTCCTCACAGGGTATGGCATCCCTGTCCATTGGGTATGGCCTCCCTGTCTCTCCTGTTCTACCTGACTCCCACAGCTATCCTGCCCCTCCTATCCCTACTTCCTGTTGAGGCGACAATCCTACTTTGTCGACTTCATCCTGCTCAGGGGTCTCCTACCACTTTGTCATGGGCCTGAAGGCTCAAGAAGCAGGAGGGTCACTGGTTCATATGGAAGGAGCACAGGTATCGGAGATCTAGTCGATACCAGTGGTGAGCATGGTCATAGTGCAGTCTCCATGGAGACCATGGACTCCTATGGACTCACATGCAAAAGAGGACTGGGCCCATATGTGAGGAGGGCCAGGCACAGCCACAAAGAGGACCAAGCTCAAGGAGCATGCAGATGGTTACCACTCAGGGGCTCGAGAGACAAGAGTCAAAGGAATCGTCACCAGTTAAAGGAGAAGGAGCAGTGTATAGGAAACCAGCAAGCAGGTCCTGAGGAGGAGGAGCAGTGTCGAAGGAGTCGACACCAGGTCATGAGGAGGAGGAGCAGTGTTGAAGGAGTCAACACCACTCAGGAGGCACAGGGGTGCCAAACAAGCAGCAGGATAGCAAGGAGGAGGAGCAGTGTCGAAGGAGTCGACACAGCTCAAGAGGCACAGGGGTGCCAAGCAGGAGAGACCCCTGAACAGTACTCGATGAAGAAGGTACTCTCTGGAGAGAGAGCAGGAGCAGCATCGCTGGCAATGCTGTGAAGAGGTATATAACCATGCTTTCTCATCATCATAGGTCGAGTGGATCCTCATCCACTCTACTCACCATACAACTAGTCAATACTTTAGAAACATAAGTACTCATTAGTTTTCAGTCACCATAGCAGCAATCTATCAAGGTTGCTCCTCATCATAGTGTGTGTGTTGTATCACCACTACCTGACATCCAAAGGTGGCCCATAGCAGGTCAGTGGTCCAGATATAGATAGAACCAAAGGCAGTAGTCCACTGCAGTCTGGGGATCACCTCAAGCATCAGTCAACACACTGGACACTTGTGTTGATGCCACCAACCTTATCACCAACACCATCAACCTCATCATCATCAACACTCACACCAGACCTTGGTGTCATCATAACCTACACATTGATATTGATTGTGCTGAGCTACCCCTGAACAGAGTGTCCACAGAGGTCAGCCAAAACCTACAATAGTATATACAACAAATGCCACCTGCTGTCATCACGCAACTTGATAGTCACCAAGTGATGTAGCCTGTCGAGACCGATACTGAGACAATAGCTGTTGCACAGTTTGATAGTCACTGAGTATCTCAACAGACCGACCTGGGTTTCAGGCGCGAGACCCCTGACAACCGGCAAGCAGGTCCTGAGGTGGAGGAGGAGCAGTGTCGAAGGAGGCGACACATAGCTCAAGGAGGACAGGAGCAGTGCTAGAGGGACCCCCTGTACAGTACTCGACGAAGAGGGTACTCTCTGGAGAGAGAGCAGGAGCAGTGTTGCTGGCGACGCTGTGAAGAGGTATATAACCATACCTTCTTGTCATCAGTGGTCGAGTGGATCCTCATCCACTCTACACACCATAACTAGTTATCACTTCAACATAAGTATACATTAGTTATTGTAAGCATAGTAGCAATCTATCAAGGTTGCTCCTCATTGTAGTGCATGTGTTGTATCACTGCTTCCTGATGTCCGAAGGTGGTTCTTAGCAAACCAGCAGTCTGGATTAAGATAGAACCAAAGTCAGTAGTCCACTGCAGTCCAGGGATCACCTCAAGCACTAGTCGACACACTGGACACTTGTGTTGACGCCACCAACCTTATCATCAATGCCACTGACCTCATCATCAACAAGAACACTCACACCAGACCTTGGTGTCACCATAACCTTTGTATTGATATTGATCATGCCAAGCTACCCCTGAACGGAGTGTCCACAGAGGTCAGCCGAAACCTGCAATAGCATACATACATATCGAATGCCACCCGCTGTCGTTGCACAACTCGATAGTTGCCGAGCGGCGACCCAGGTTTCAGGCGCGAGACTCCTGACATCAAGCACTCCCGTTGCATACTCTGACACTGATCACGCTGGCAGCTGGAAAGAAAATCTGTACTCAACATCCGGGTTTGTCCTTACCCTGTTCGGAGGAGCGGTCACCTGGAGGAGCAGGAGGCAGAGAGTTATATCAACATAGACAGCGGAGGCTGAAGTAGTCACCCTTAGTGATGCATGCCATGATGTCACCTGGGTCTTGGATGTGCTCATTGGTCTTGGCATCACACCTCCTAATACTCCTGTGGTGCTTCTGACCAATAAGCAAGCTGCAGAACAAATCATATCTGCAGATGGGCCCAGGTGAAACAAATCACTCATGCCCAGAAGCACTTTCACAAAAGACACAATTAAGAAGGGCACCACAGTCATCAGGTGGATTACTGGAGAACTACAGGTTGCTGATGGACTAACAAAGTTGCTCAATGCAAGGGGAAGCTCAAGATCTTGAGAGGTCCTTGGAGTCAAAGACGACCTGGTGGTTTGTCGCTAGGAGGAGTGAAGGAGGAGGGTATTGACTCACACTGGGAGTCTGATGATCAGCACATCCAACAGGATGGCCAACGGTGTTTTCCCACACCCAATAAGAGTTGTTGGAAAAACTGTCAGGTGGTCGCCAATGATCAGATTGGTGCATCCGACGAGGCAGAGGACAACCTTCCATCTGATGATAAGCCTCTGTCAAGACCCCCCTTGAAGACTCTAATGCCTTCATGCTCCAGACCTCTCTCCTACCTTTGTCAGTGTCGAGATGTGTATATATAGTGTCCGAAGTCGGCCAGTTTGTTTGTACCACATCATCCTCTTGTACTTACTCCTCAACGTCGAGTGCTCAATACAAACCGTGTCCTGCCACAGTCCACTAGCTATTCAACATACCAAAGCAACAAAGGATCAATCCCATTAGCATAAGGAGCGTCGAACAAAGTCATATGAGCGCCAATCCTACTCCTCCAACCAGGCGCTCTTTCCAAAGCCTCCTGACCACGATAGATTGATAGACGTCTCGATTAGGTTCGAGATGGATATCCAAGAAGAGCACACTTGCGTTTAGTGAGTGCGAGATAAGATCGCGCTTAACCGCATACCGATATCGCCGTTGCCTCTGTCCACCTTTTGCTAGTGCTAGCCTTCACGCCTTGACAATGCATCCGAGGTTGCGAGATTGACAAGAACAGATGGATGCTGGAAATCTTGTCTGTGGGGTGGATTAGAGTTAGCATCTGCTAGTGTACAAACTTTGACCCAACTCAATCAACGTAAAAAGTATAGCTCTTCAACATCTTCTGTGCCACGGCCAAAAACTCTTCCGCCACCTGCCATGTCCCTGCGGCCCCCTTAAGGCGGTTGCCCATATCCTGCAACACCAACGGCCAATCCTGAATTGGCTGACCCAACAGCATTGCTCCTTCCTCCAGAGTGCCGTGTTGCAACCAGCAATCGTTGCTCGAATCGAACTTAATCTCTGCCATTTCCTCCACCTTGTCCCCTGGACTGCGTCTCTCGGCATCCAAATGCAGACATTGATCGGAGATCAGTTCGATCGGTGCCTCTCGCACTTCAGCGGAGCATTTGCAGCAAGTGCGTCGACGTTGAGCTGGTGAACGCTCTAGACGGCAGAGAAGGACGAGAATGCCGAATGCTTGTCCGAGACCTTCCAGGATGGTTGGGTTGAGAATGGAGAGGCGAGGCATAGACATGAAGTTGCCAATCACTGCTCCGGCGTGGACTGCTGCCCAGCGTTGCAGGCGGGTGTTGCGGTAGGGGCATGAGTCCGGGTCGAGGCAGCTTTGGCAGCAAAGTGGAACGTGGGCTTGGACGCCAGTAGGTGCTGTGGTGTTGCTATTGTTAATGGCGCCCTTGGCTGCATTGAACGTGGATGAAGAGGCTGATTCGCTCTTGTCGCCACATGTGGCAACGAGTGCATGCACGACGTGATGCGCGTCGAAGAGGACAGAGAGCTGGATGACATGATAGCGGAAATGCAGCTGAAAGCGGTCGTTGCTAGGTCCGAGATTGGGAGCACGTGTACTGCCGGGACGTGTTGCAGGCTTGCCGTTCGCCTCTGGTCGACCAAGACCGGTCGAGCTGGTCATCACATTGGGCATAAAGGATTGATGGTAGAGTCGCATCCATCTTGAGAGGGCGGTCAACATCTTTTCGTCGTGCAACACATTGATCTTGTGGTATGCAGTGCCACCTTTGAGGCAGAAGACAGACTCTAGACCGGCTCCAAACGAGGACTGAGTTGGGCTGAAGTCGGCAGCATAGGATGTACCCGTGCGGAAAGGTGGTGTGTGTCGAGCGATCCACAGCAAATGCAATCCTTCGAGCAAACTGTAAAGAACAAAGTGCTCCTTGACTGTGAAGCAGAGACCTCTTTGCAAGTCATCCTTGGCTTTGTCTTTGTCGCGCTGAGCGCCATGCTGGCTGCTTTGTTGGCTCTTTTCAGTTGCAGCTGATGGTGCATCGATGTCGAAGAGGGCATCCAAGATAGGACCTAGCTGCCTCTTTCCTGAACAGAGTGGTCGATCGTGGCTTTCACGCGTCGCTTTATGCTCGAGCACCAAATTGGCCCATTCGATTGCGTCCTTGGCATCCCATACATCGTCGGCACAAGGAACGAGGGCCTGACAAGCGATCCTCCCCATCCCGCGCATTTGACTGTAGCTCGAGAGGAACTCGGAGTGATGCGACTCGGTGACACTGTGCAAGATCATGTTACGATTGACCTCTTCTGCGTCGGACCACTGCTTCCACAGACTGTGCAAACGATCGAGCAGACTCTTCTGATCGGCTGAGAGCTTATTGGCGTTCTGATCTCGAGTGAGAATTTGCAGCTCCACCAGTGCCATTTGCAGATTTGGACCAAGTAGTCGCTGTAATGACTCTTCCCATGGCCCGACAAGAAACCAAATGCCTTGACGCCAACCATACTCTCGAGTAAGAGAGCTGCCGGTGTAGGTGGAATGAATCGACTTACGACGAATGCCTTGGTCAGGGCAGAGGAATGCGTAGAGATGGGTGAAGGCCATCACGGCGGTGGCTTCGCGCATGAGTTGAGGCTGATCAAGGTAGAAGACAGCGCCAGCCCAGATACTGCGGAAGATGAGTTGCCAGAGTTCGGCTCCATAGGCTTTGACATGGGCATCTGGCTGCCAGAGCGTGCCAATGGCGAGTAAGGAGATGAAGACGTAGGGTCGTTCGGCGGCCAGGCGACGATAATCAAGGAGCCAGTAAGAGGGTAAGAGAGGCAGCATGGAGCGTGTATGGCGAGTTGCAGCACTGAAGAGAGATGCAGCAGTGAGACGTGGCGGCTTCTTGGGAATGTTGACGCCGTGCAAGATGAGATCACAAGTGCGTGCGCCAACGCTGGTAGCTGCTTGATCGCCTACCTTTTCGACGAGGCGTGTCATCTCGTCTGTATCTTCCATGTTGCCGTTGGTGGGTGGATGTCGGGACGTGGCTGGAGTCGACCTTCCGGAGTTGTGTGCTGATTCGGTGAAGGTGGCAAAGGGCATCAGGTTGGCAAGCGGTTGCGGGACAGGATGTGACGATGATGAAGCTGGTGGTGGTTGCGTGTCTTGTGGTTGTGTGTCTTGTGGCTGCGTGTCTTGTGGCTGCGACGACTGCTGTTGCTGGTTTGGAAATGCTGAAGCTGGCTGCGATACTGATTGCTGCTGCTGTTGAATGGGATGCATGTGTTGGTTTTGCTGCTGGGATTGAATTGGCTGATTGGAAGGCGGAGGGTGGCTGTTCTGTTGAGCCAAGGCAAAGACCTCATTAGGCATATTGCTAGTGGCCATACTTTGGTGGAAGTCGGATGGTAGGGCGATGGTCTCGTGAGGAACGAAGCTGGAAATGGAATCCATGAGGATGGACTGAAGAATGTCGTCGAAGAAGTTGTGCGCTTCCGTATCCGAATTGGAGCTTGACCACCACGATGGAGAGGCTTGAGTGAGTGAAGCTATCGAGAGTGGAGCGGCCTGATCTGAAGCCTGTTGACCGTAGCCTGGGCCTGAGGGAGCAAGCCCTGAAGAGACGAGGCTGCCGTAGTCATGATACGAGATTGGTGCGCTATATAGATTGGCGTAGTTGGCAGTGTTGTTGTTGTCATAAAGCTGAGATGGACCGTTCTGCGTCTGCCATGGACCTTGAGCGATATTGGATGTGTCGCTCGCTGGCGGTTGCGGTTGCGGTTGCGGTTGCGGTTGCGGTTGCGGTTGCGGTTGTTGCTGCTGCTGTGGGGATGTTGTGGGCTGGGAGCCAGCGTGGTTGCGCAGATATGGATGATAGTGCTGCGGCCTATGGCAAGCCGAGTTGGGAGAAGAAGCAGCGGGTCGTGAGGAAGCTGGGGAAGAGGAAGCGCCACCACAGGACGAGGCTGATGGACGAAGCGCCTGCTGTGGAATAGCGGCATTGGAGGAAAGGTGTAGGCCATGCCTACGGTCGTCGAGGTGGTCATCGTCTTCGGACTCGATGCTGCTATCCGCGGCAGGATCAGCAGCGATCTTGAGAGCGATCAGATTGGGCTGATCGGGATGGATGCGTTTCTTGTGGCGCTGGAAGCTGTCGATACGTTTGAAGTCCTGATCGCAATCGGGACATTTCCACACGGCTTTGTCCGAATGGGAAAGGAGATGACGACGAAGATGCACTGGTTTGCCAAACAGATAGCCGCATCCAGCGTGCGGACAAGAGATCGATTTCGGCATCCTGGCAGCCGTCCGAAGCGAAAGCCAAACGCGAGCTTGACCGCCGAGAAATGCTTTACCCTCTCATCTTGCAAAGGCGCAGCGAAAGTAGACAAGATAAGTTGCGGTGGTGGGAAGTTGCGACGACAGAAAGTTGCGATGACAGAAAGTCAAGATGGCGGAAAGTTAAGATTGCGGGAAAGTTAAGATTCAGGGAAAGTTAAGATTCAGGGAAAGTTAAGATTGCGGAAAGTATGACTGTGATGTCGGATCGATGGCCGACGAGCCTGAGTATAGGGAAAAGAACCCGAGTCGGATGGACCGAGTGACAGTTGCAGCGCGATGCGAGATGGAGGAGCGCCCATGTCTCAACCCAACCCTCGAGGCGGAAAGACGCAAAGGGTTGAGGTGAAGCTCTGGTGAAAGCTCAAGTCTTGTGTGTGAAATGTCGTTGTTGCTTCGGAGCATTTCCCAAGCCGCACAAAGTTGAGCAGCAGCAAAACCCTTGTCTCTCTCCCTACAATCATATTCCCCCACAACCTCTCGGCTTGTCCGGCGTGGCAAGTCGTTTAAGCTCACATCACCGAGGTGCCCAAGAGAAATGTCAGCCGCCATTGTTCCTCCCTACCGTCACAATCACAAATCACATTCACACACATTCACACACATTCACACGCCTTGTCGGAACATCCGCATGCTGAGTCATGCTTCGATTTGGCCGACGCCAAGCTGAGCTTTGAGGCCTTTCAGACGTTGCCAAGGCTGGTTGGGTGGAGAGTGTATATAAATCGCTTTCCCGGCGAGCGCCGCTCACGCTCTTCCCTCGCTCGGATGTGTGGGCAAATCGCTCACAATTCCAGGCCTTACGACAGCCTCCAGCACACGGACACGACTCTCTCTCAGCTTTCACTTTTCTTGCTTTTTCCAAATGCGGCGGTAACCCTTCTTTTTTTTTTTTTTTTTTTTTTTTTTTTCCTTTTTCACGACTATCGGCCAAAGCCCTCTCTTTCTAACCGACCGGGGTCTGAGTGCTCGCTAACTTGACACCGTGCTTCCAACGCCCAGATGGCGCTCTTTATGGTCCATCCGCGGAGGTTCAGCCAAGCAAACCCTTCTCAACCCAGTGAAGCAAATCGTCGGAGGTTCAGGCAAGCAAACCGTTCTTGCTGCCAATGCCGAATGCGCCGCTTTCTCACGTCTACGGTGTCCGGTGACCATGTGACGATGCAATGGTCGGAGTGTCACACCTCAATCTCGTTTCCCCTTATAATAAGGTCTCCTCCTTCCACGCTTCAGTCCGCTACAAGCCACATCACCCAGCAACCACAAACAGATCCTTCGTCTTCAAGGCCTTTACAGATAGCTCGATAGAGCTCCCCAACACAATGAGCAACCTCACCCTCAGCTCTCTCGCCGAGCGTATCAATCGCTACTACACTCGGCTCACCTCCACCAAAGCCGGAACCGCAGCTCTTGCCCTCTTCGCCCTCTATGCCGTGCGCAAGTATTTCCAACGTCGCAAGAGCATCGCAGCTCGCAAAGCCTGGTCCAACCCGACTCGCGAAGTCGCAGTGATCACCGGTGGTTCCGGTGGTATCGGTATCCAAGTCGCAAAGTTCCTCGCTGCAAAAGGTGTCCAGGTTGCAATCCTCGACATTGTCGAACCCAAAGCCGCTATCCTCTCCAACACCGTTCGCTTCTACAAGACCGATATCACCGACTACGACAGCATCCTCCAAGCCTCCAAGGCCATTGAGAAGGATCTCGGCACCGTCAGCATTCTTATCAACAACGCTGGTGTCGCAAACCCTGGCCCAAGCGTCTTTGAGTTTGACCCAAAAAAGACCAAACTCACCATCGAGGTCAATCTGCTTTCTCACTTTTATACTCTCAGCATCTTTGGACCCATTTTCCTAAACGCGGGCCGCGGCCACATTTTGTCTGTGGCTAGTGCAGGTTCTTTCCTCATGCCCGCCGGTGGCGCCGATTATGGTGCAACCAAAGCTGGTCTCCTGGCACTTCATGAGACGCTTCAGATCGAGCTCGAGGTCCTCTATCAACGCAAAGGCATCCTATGCAGTATCGCGCATCCTTTTTGGTGCCGCTCTCCCTTAACAGAGCGTATCTTTACCCCCGAGTTCCATCAGAAGATGATAGATCCGGCTTTGGTGGGACAAAAGATAGCTGATCAGGTGCTTGGCGGACAAGGGGGAAGTGTTTACGTTCCAGGCTGGATAGGAAACATGCCTTGGATCCGAGTTCTTCCGCACAGTCTCCAACACAAGATCCGAGTCAAGGCAACTTTGGATCTTCAGAGGAGCAAGCGAGAGGATCGTGCCGGTGCTTTGCTTTCGTGATAGCGCATCGCCACGGCGGCGACCGTGTGGTGCAAGTGATCTACCTCTTTCTCCATTTCCTATTGTTCATATCCAACTTGTAGGCGCGACAAGGAATCTTAATCTTATCGTAAAGCTCATCTACATGAGCTGTGTCAGTCAAGGCCGGGTAGAGACTCTAAGCAAGCTATTCTGGGCCAGACCGCCTTGTCAATATTCCTTGCTTGACCAAGTTCGATCTTGGTGATTAACGCAGAATAGTTTTCTGGGATTGCTGCTTCAGAGGTGTTTTCTTGTGTTGCTGTGTTTCAACCCTTTTTTATTTTATTTTTTATTTTATTTTTTATTTTATTTTTTTCTTTTCATTTTGAAGCTTGGTCTACTTGGAATCAAAGTGATGCTCAAGCCTCGTGTGTTGTGCGATGCTGGTCTTGAGGTGAGTGATGATCTCTGTTCTGCTGCGGGGTTTGTATATGTTTCGATGCTTCTATGCTGGTTTGTGTACTGTTGGAGGCTTACAGAGAGATGCGTTGGTGTACCGGCTTGTGTCAGACCTGTCATCTGGTGAGGCACGGGCATACCGGCAACTTGAATATCCGAAGAGAAAGAGGTAGTTTCCCTGCTTGCTTCATTTGTGGATATATAAAATGCAACATGTTACACAGACTGCATAGAAGACCCTGGACAAGCATTGGGTGCATTGTTACAGTTGAAGATTACTAAGCTGGTACACTGTTCTGAGCTACTATCAAGCTCATATCCACAGACATATGTAGCTTCTGGAATGCTTGTCATTTCAATGGTGGTTTGCAACTTCAGTGAACATATATATATCTTATCACCATTCCTGATTGTGCCCAAGTGACATGTGCCATCTACTTATGACTCCTGAGTTGCTGCCTTCTGCAGTGCTCCTGAGCTGTTACCATGGCAGCCCTCATGTGCCCTATTGTCCTCATTGCTCATGCATATTCTCAGCCCTTTGGTGTCTTGGCTAATGCCTTTGCATCCAGGTTGGAATGCCAGTGCATCTTCAACCCCCCCCCCCCTCGACAGCATCTCCAGCCCTACCAACCAAGCCAGGCAGGCTGTTGTGGCCCCCTTCAGTGGGTTTGTTAGGATATCTGCCACATTATTTGCTGTCCCAACAAATGCAATTGTCACATCACCCTCTTGAACATGATCCTGGACAAAGTGATATTGGGTGTTGATGTGTTTTAACTTTCAATGTTTGGCTGAGTCCTTACTCACCTGGATGCACCCTGACTGTCTGTGAGGAGTATTGTGTCAGGGGTCTCGCACCTGAAACCCAGGTTGATCTGTCGAGGTACTTGGTGACTATCAAACTGTGTGACAACTATTGTCTCGGTATCAGTCTCGACGAGTTAGTTGCTCGGCGACTATCAAGTTGTGCAATGACAGCAGGTGGCATTCATTGTATATACTATCATAGGTTTTGGCTGACCTCTGTGGACACTCCATTCAGGGGTAGCTCGGCATGATCAATATCAATGCATAGGTTATGATGACACCAAGGTCTGGTGTGAGTGTTGATGATGATGAGGTTGATGGTGTTGGTGATAAGGTTGGTGGCATCAACACGAGTGTCCAGTGTGTTGACTGATGCTTGAGGTGATCCCTGGACCACAGTGGACTACTGCCTTCGGTTCTATCTTAATCTGGACTGCTGACCTGCTATGGGTCACCTTTGGATGTCAGGTAGTGGTGATACAACACACACACTACAATGAGGAGCAACCTTGATAGATTGCTGCTATGCTGACTGAAACTAATATATACTTATGCTGAAGTGATAACTAGTTATGATGTGTGTAGAGTGGATGAGGATCCACTCGACCTTTGATGATGAGAAAGTATGGTTATATACCTCTTCACAGTGTTGCCAGTGACACTGCTCCTGCTCTCTCTCCAGAGAGTACCTTCTTCATCGAGTACTGTACAGGGGGCCCTTCTGGCACCACTCCTGTCCTCCTTGAGCTATTGACTCCTTCGACACTGCTCCTCCTCCTTGCTATCCTGCTTGGTTGGCACCCCTGTGCCTCCTGAGTGGTGTCGACTCCTTCGACACTGCTCCTCCTCCTCAGGACCTGCTTGCCAGTTACCTATACACTGCTCCTTCTCCCTTGACCAGTGACAGTTCCTTTGACTCTTGTCTCTCAAGCCCCTGAGTGGTAACCATCTGCATGCTCCTTGAGCTTGGTCCTCCTCGTGGCTGTGCCTGGCCTTCCTCACATATGGCTCAATGCTCCTTTGCATGTGAGTCCATAGGAGTCCATGGTCTCCATGGAGACTGCACTACGACCATGCTCTCTACTGGTGTCAACTAGATCTCTGATACCTGTGCTCCTTCCATATGAACCAGTGGCCCTCCTGCTTCTTGAGCTTTCAGGCCCATGACATATTGGCTGTATGTCCAAAATCTCCAGGTCTTGGAGCAAGTATGAGAAGAATAGTGCTTCTTGAACCACCTTGGAGGCTGCAATGAACTCTGCCTCTACTGCCAAAAGTGCCATGCACTTTTGCATGTGTGATTTCCAACTGACCAGGCATCTGTATGCATATGTTATTGCCCCTGATGTGCTCCTCCATCTGTTTGTGGGGTCTGAAACCCAGCTTGCATTGGTATATGTCACCACTGGCTGATTTGCATGCCTGCTGGGTCCACCTCCAAGTTGCAGTTCATATGTGCTTGTCTGATTTAGGTACTTGACCATGTGGATGGCTGCCTTCCATGCACTGTCAGTAGGATTGGACATGTGTCATGCTAGTGTTCCCAAGGCAAAGGAGATATCCAGTCATACAGTGCTAGACACCCACAATAGTTGGCTGACCAACTCCTGATACTGTTTTGCTCATGAAGGAACACACCTGTCACTTCTGGCAGCATCTGTTATGCCTTGCATAGGTATCCAGGATTTATCATCTGCTGTTCCTAGCCATTTGCCTACCATTGCTCTAATGTATGCTGTCAAATCCAAGGAAAGTCTTCCATGCACTCTTTCTTGAGTGATCTTGATCCCTAAGAACTCTGTGACTTCTCCATTGTCTTTCATTCCCCATTTGGCCATTATCTCTGTCTTAGTATGATCCACTTCATTGTGGCTGGGTGACACAATCAGCATGTTGTCCACATATGCTGTGATGACTGTGATTTGGCTCCCCATTCCCCTTGAGTACAAACATGGTGCACTCAGCATGCAGTGGAATCTGATCACCCAGAGGTGTGAGTCCAGTTCCACATTCCACTCACAGCCCAATTGTTTCAGGCCATATAGTCCTTTAACTAACTTCAGGGCCTTTCCCAACAGTGTCACAGGTGTCATGGGCCTGGATGCTCAAGAAGCAGGAGGGTCATGGGTTCATATGGAAGGAGCACAGGTATCGAAGACCTAGTCGACACCAGTAGAGAGCATGGTCGTAGTGCAGTCTCCATGGAGACCATGGACTCCTATGGACTCACATGCAAAGGAGGGCCAAGCACAGCCACGAGGAGGACCAAGCTCAAGGAGCAGGCACAGCCACGAGGAGGACCAAGCTCAAGGAGCAGGCACAGCCACGAAGAGGACCAAGCTCAAGGAGCATGCAGATGGTTACCACTCAGGGGCTCGAGAGACAAGAGCCAAAGGAACTGTCACTGATCAAAGGAGGAGGAGCAGTGTCGAAGGAGTCGACACCAGGTCATGAGGAGGAGGAGCAGTGTCGAAGGAGTCGACACAGCTCAAGAGGCACAGGGGTGCCAAGCAGGAGAGGCCCCTGAGCAGTACTCAATGAAGAAGGTACTCTCTGGAGAGAGAGCAGGAGCAGCATCGCTGGCGATGCTGAGAAGAGGTATATAACCATGCTTTCTCATCAATAGGTCGAGTGGATCCTCATCCACTCTACTCACCATACAACTAGTCAATACTTTAGAAACACAAGTACTCATTAGTTACAGTCAGCATAGCAGCAATCTATCAAGGTTGCTCCTCATCGTAGTGTGTGTGTTGTATCACCACTACCTGACGTCCGAAGGCGCCCATAGCAGGTTAGCGGTCCGGATATAGATAGAACCGAAGGCAGTAGTCCACTGCGGTCCGGGGATCACTTCAAGCATCAAGTCAACACACTGGACACTCGTGTTGACGCCACCAACCTTATCACCAACACCATCAACCTCATTATCATCGACATCACCAATCTCATCACCAACACCATCAACCTCATCATCATCAACACTCACACCAGACCTTGGTGTCATCATAACATTGATATTGATCGTGCCGAGCTACCCCTGAACGGAGTGTCCACAGAGGTCAGCCGAAACCTACGATAGTATATACAACAAACGCCACCTGCTGTCACTGCACAACTTGATAGTCACCGAGTATCTCGAGACAATAGCTGTCGCACAGTTTGATAGTCACCGAGTATCTCGACAGACCGACCTGGGTTTCAGGCGCGAGACCCCTGACACTTGGCACCCCTGTGCCTCTTGAGTGGTGTCGACTCCTTCGACACTGCTCCTCCTCCTCATGACCTGCCTGCTAGTGTCCTATACACTGCTCCTTCTCCCTTGACCAGTGACAGTTCCTTTGACTCTTGTCTCTCGAGCCCCTGAGTGGTAACCATCTGAGCTTGGTCCTCTTTGTGGCTGTGCCTGCTCCTTGAGCTTGGTCCTCCTCATGGCTGTGCCTGGCCCTCCTCGCATGTGGCCCGTGTCCTCCTTTGCATGTGAGTCCATAGGAGTCCATGGTCTCCATGGAGACTGCACTACGACCATGCTCTCTCCTGGTATCGACTAGATCTTCAATACCTGTGCTCCTTCCATATGAACCAGTGACCCTCCTGCTTCTTGAGCATCCAGGCCCATGACATATACATTAGTTTCAGTCAGCAAAGTTGCAATCACAAGTAGATTGCTTCCATTGTAGCATGTGTGTTGTATCACCACTCACTGACATCCAAAGGCAGTTCATAGTACCCAGCAGTCTGGATAACAATTAGAACCGAAGGCAGTTGTCCACTGCGGTCCGGGGATCACTGTCACAGGATCAGCAGATCAGCATATGAAGTGTGTGCCAAATTCTGCAGCAATCATCAGGAATCGACAATCTAATCGGGTTGGTAGCATATATGACTTGCAAGATCAACTGAACTCCAGGATCCTGGTTAATCTCACAAGGATCGATCAGAATCAGCCTGATTGGCATGTTCTCAGCAAGTCGGCTGTCACAAGCAAGCATTGGGAGATTCAGGAAGGAGGATACTGGCATTAGGAGGAGAAGCACACAGGGATAACCACTTGCAGGAGTGGGGACTGAGCTCAGCATCATGCAGATGGTTACCACTCAAGGGGTATGTGCATACAGCCACATAGGACCAAGCACAGGGGCAACCACATGATCAAGGGGCTTGGCGACAGGGCCCGACATGTGGTTAAAGGATTCACAAGATAAGGTTGAGAAGATGGTCACCAGTGAAGAGAGAAGGAGCTGTGTCAAGAAGACCAGGGATTGTCTATGAGGAGGAGGAGCTGTGTCGAAGGGGTCATCACACATCACCAGGCAAAGAAGAGCATGGAGGCAAAGGGGCAGTATCACACAGACCAATACACTGTGCAAGCAGTAGAGGCACAGCATCAAAGGGATTGACACCAGCAGGAGAGAATGTGTCAAAAGGAGGCAAAGGCCTCTCAGGAGGAGCAGGAGAGGTGTCACAGGTGACACCAAGCAAATGCATAAATACTCTCATTCTACCATAGCATATGAGTGGATCCTCATCCACTCTATACTTTACATACTCTTTACTTGACTCATAGTTACATATCATTGCAATAGCAGAGCTTTGCAATGACACCTCAAACATGTGTGTTGTATCACCATTAGGCATCAACTGTAGGCAGTGTTACTCAACACCTGCAGTCCAGTCCCTTACTGTAGGCAGTGTTTGCTCGACATCTGTGGTCCAGTCAGTTACTGTAGGCAGTGTCCAACACCTGTGGTCCAGTAACTCCTGTCCTCTGTAGGCAATAAGCATATCATGGCCCAGACAACATTAGAGAGCATTAGCAACAGTACTATGAACACTTGTACTGTAAAAGAGGGTGTATTACTCTCCCTCCAAAGAATAATGGATGTGCTGTGCAACCTCTGAACAGAGTGTTCAAGGTGGTCAGCCAAGACCTACCAGTATGAAGCTGTCTGGTTACATTTAGTTGAAACATCCCAAGTAGATCTTACTCGATTGTCCTCACTGATACCAATTGGAAACACCCAATCTGGTTTCTGGTGCGCGACCGCTTACAATCACCTCAAGCACTTAGTTGACACATGGGACAATCGTGTCGGCGCCACCAGCAATCACATTCACACCAGACCTTGGTGTCAGTACAAGTTCATATAGCTATTGATTGTGCCAAGCTACCTCTGGACAGATTGTCCACAGCAGTCAGTCAAAACCTGCAATAGCAAACATGCTACTACATATTAGGGCAAGAAAAGTCATAGAGGACTTTCTACAACATAACTCATCAAGAATAATAATACACAACATGTTATCACATATCTCAACAGGATTTGTAATAGACATGTTTCTACTACAGATGTCAGGTTTCAGGCGCGAGACCTCTGACATCCATCTAACTCCGTTCGCATTGCCTCCTCCCAGTGTCTTCTGTCTTCGCCAGCGAGTGCTTCATGAACAGTTGGGTCCAGATTCCTTTTCCTTTTGGTGTTTGCTGCTGTGAGTGCAAGCAGCTTGTCATCGATCCATGTCTTGGCATTTGAATCATATTTTATTGGCTCCACCATGTCTTCATTTGGGGTTTCCTCCTCATTTGTCTCTGGGGTTGATTGCATGTTCATGTACTCCTTCAGTGGTTCTCCATCTTTTTCATTGAATAGATTCTCCTTGGTGTATCCTAGATCATCAAAATCTTCTTCAGTCATCATTGCAGGAAGTGGCTGTATGTCTTTTGGTTGCCACTCAGTCCAGTCAGACCAGCACTTTGACTCCATGAACTTTGCTGAGTTACTCCAAAACACATTTGGGTTGTATTCTGGACTATAGAACAACCATCCCTTTCTCTTCAGGCTATATCCAATGAATATGGGTGCAATGGCTTGCTGATCCAGCTTTTGGTTGTCTCACTTGACCTTAGGCACATTCACCCATGCTAAGCACCCAAAAACATGTATGAGGCCTATGAGTCTTTCCAGCAATCTTCTGAACATGGCCTCATATGGGAACTCATTGTCAACGCTTGGGTTAAGATTCATCTTAAATGCTGCAGCCCAGATGGCATATGGCCAGAATCTCTTTGGCAGCCTCCTTTGCATAAGCAGTGTTTGCATTTTCTCACCCAGACTTCAGTTCAACCTTTCCACCCATCCATTCTGTTGGCTGTTGTACCCTACTGTCATTTGCCACTCAATGCCTCTGTCATATGTCCATTTGGCAACTTCATTGCTTCTCCACTCAGTCCCCTGGTCAGATCATATTGCTTTTAGCCTTCTTCCTGTCTGTTTTTCAAGGAACAATACCATCTTCTTGAGCTGGACAAATGCATGGCTCTTTCACAGCAATGGCTGCACATATGTACTTGCTATGGTCATCAACCAAAAACAATATGTGCATATGCTTGGTTGTGTGTGAGGAGTCAATTATCAAATCAATGTGGATGAGGTCAAGTGGTGAGGGAGCCCTATGTCTGTCACCTTGTCCCATCCAGGCTACCATACTCTTGGACCAGATGCACTGTTTGCACATCAGCACTGTATCTGGGTCCAGATCTACTATATGTTTGCCCTTTAGCTTATTGATGATGGCCCTTGTCTTGTCTTGGCCTGGATGCCCTAGATGCTCATGCCATAATTGTTGTTTTGACACTTCTGCCTTGCTCTCTATTTGCACAAGCTCATCACCAACACCTTCAAGTAATGGTGTTGTTGTGATCATCATGCTTTCTTGCCACATCTTGCCTTGAAACTCTAAAAGTCCCCACTCACAATCTTTGGCTATCTTGAGAAGCATGCCATTTGCCAAATGAATCTGTCTGCCAACAATGTCTAGTGTCACTTGTGCTCCTTCATCCATTAGGAAGTTGGTTGACAAGAGGTTGACATTAAGGTGCCTAACATACAATGCATTCTGGAGAAACACATCTCCATAATACATTGATATGTTAACATCCCTTATAGCCATTGCCTCCAGGACCTTGCTTCCAGCAGTAAACACATGCTTTTGGCAAGGTCTCAGGCAAATGAGCATACTATAGTTATTAACCATATGATAACTGGCCCCTGAATCCAAGAACCAATGAGATGTCTCCTTTGGATCCAGTGGCCTCTTCCAACTTGGTGTGAAAGAGCACCAGACTTCCTAAACTGATTTATCAAGAGGAGAGTCCTTGGGAATGGCAACCAAAGCATCACAATGCCTAGCTCCATGTCCAGATCACTTGCATATCCAGCATTAGATCTTCCTGGGTCTGGCTGCAACCTTTGCACTCATGCAATCATCATCCTTCTTGTCCTTCTCATCTGTTTTGGTTGATTTGTCCTGATTGTTGCCAGCAATCCTAGCACTAGCTTGGCAGGGATCAATCTTCAGGGTGGGATTGCTTTTGATTGCTGACTGACATGTGGTCAAGGCAGTGGCAAGGGCATTAAAGTTGAGCTGGTTGATTGTGGTGACTGTCTCCTTATACATGGGGTGGTGAATGGTACATTTCTGTAGGCTCAAGAACAGGGTATTGTTGGCAAATGGCTTTCCAAGGTGACTGCTCTCCATCTGGATAGATCTGATTTCTTGGATGAGTTTTTGTGCATTGGAGTTGAACATCTTGACATCACCTAGTTGAGCAATAAGTGTGAGTCAGTGTGAGGTTGCCATAGCTTTGTTAGTCAGACCATTCTCAATCTTCTTCCAGACTTGATAGAATGTGTGATATTCTCTAATGATGCCAAGGATCAAGTAGTTCACATTGTATTTGCCAGTGGTGTCACTAGTGCCATGTAGGGCATTGGTTAGAGCATCATCAAGCATTTGGTTCCACTTAGGGTGCTTCTTGTCATATGCTCCCTTGAGGTGTTTCATAGCATGTGGAATGGATTGGAGGAATGTCTTGATGTGAGCACATCAGCTGTAGTAACTGTGTGACATAAGCTTGGGCACTGGCTCAAGGTGTTTTGCCAAGGTGTGGAAGTTGTATTGCTTGCTACCATTGTTGAGGTTGGAGTCAGTGTCAGTCTCTTTGGTGGCATCATTGTCAGGTGCCTTGGATTCTGTTTTGTTGGTGGCCTTGTTATCAGCTTGTGATTGGGCAGCCTTGCCTCTTCTTCCTCCTTTGGCCCTGCTTCTGCTGGCTTGGGTTTTGATCTCCTCCACTATAGTTGTTGGTGGGTTCCTTAGCTTGGTTGGTGGAGTCTCAGACTCTTAATCAGTTGAAGATTACTAAGCTGGTACACTGTTCTGAGCTACTATCAAGCTCATATCCACAGACATATGTAGCTTCTGGAATGCTTGTCATTTCAATGGTGGTTTGCAACTTCAGTGAACATATATATATATCTTATCACCATCCCTGATTGTGCCCAAGTGACATGTGCCATCTACTTTATGACTCCTGAGTTGCTGCCTTCTGCAGTGCTCCTGAGCTGTTACCATGGCAACCCTCATGTGCCCTATTGTCCTCATTGCTCATGCATATTCTCAGCCCTTTGGTGTCTCAGCTAATGCTTTTGCATCCAGGTTGGAATGCTGGTGCATCTTCAACTGTTACAACTGATTTCAGTGAGAACAGTCATAACGAGCTCATTTGGCAGATTTCGTCATATGCGCCGCAAGAAGGGCTCAGCGGTACATAGTGGGTTGAGCGACATCATAAGAGCAATGGGGTAACTACAGGGGGCCTGTTGCCGTTGTCATTAGCAAGCAGAAACTTATGGCAGGAGGACATGTGCACAGAAGGGGTCTGAGCATAGGAGCATGTCGTGAGGTTATCACACAGGGAGATGGTCATATGCAAGTCAAGGCGGTATCCATATGGAATGGGACAAGGACAATAGCGGTACTCACATGGAGTGGGAGTAGGACACTAGAAGTGTCCATAAGATCAGGAGGGGTCACAAGACAGGGGTAGGGTCAAGAAGGTTTTCACTCTGGTCAGAAGGAAGGGGAGCAGTGTCAATGAGATCTATACACCGCTCATGAAGGGGAGGAGCAGTGTTGCTCAAACACGTATATACTTTCACTTCACTACAGTATTTGAGTGGATCCTTATCCACTCTATCTACTACTTATCTAACGCTTTACTTGCTCATGCTAGGTTGATCAGTGCAGTCAGAAGGGTTCGGCTGTGGTTATACATCAAAGTGGCATTTTCTTAACCATGACAAAACACAAGGGCCATCGCAAATGCAACCTTTGCACCTCTTTCCCACCATTGGCTCTCTCGACCTCCTTCTTTAGCTTTTCAAGAAACCTATCCACCACGTCCTTTCCCGCGTGTTCCTCCTTATCTCCTTTGTGCTCGGTTAGGTAGGTATGGGTTGCCGACCAAGTTCTGAGATAGCTTCCCAGTTGGTCCCACGTGAGATGTTTATCCATTGTTGCTTCCTTCTGCTCTCCTTCGAACGCTTTCCTGACCTCTTGGGTCAAACCATCAGCGTTGAGTGGCGAGGTAGTTAGGGGCGGCCAAGAGGACCAGATTTGGTCCCGGGTTAAACCTGCTGTAGAGAAAGTTCTTTTCAAGGCGGTGGAGCTATCCCATTGCGGGGCGATATCGGGGTAGCTATGCGGGAAAGGGATTGGTTCCAGACCTTGGTTGACAATACTGCGGCCGGGTTGTTCCCAGTATTCTCCAATACCATCTATTTTCTCGTCAGCAGGGTAGGTGGGAGAGAGTTTTGGACTCCCTGGTCCCCGACCATCTTTGAGCGCAAACCGATTCAACAAGCTCCGAGTTGAAGGAAAATCAGGAAGGAAAAAGTCTGGGTAGCCATACAGACAAACGCTACCACCCGGTTTTACAATCCTAGTCAACTCTTTCCAAAATCTAGGATAGTCGAACCAATGTGCTGCCTGTCCACTCGTAACCAGATCTACACTTTCATCGGAGAGCAAGCTGAGCTCTTCCGAGTAGCCCTGTTTGTATTCGACTGTTCCAAGTTTTCCTTTGATCCCATCGGAAGCAGAGGGGACGAGGTGTCGCGGAAGGTTGGGAGTGACGGGTGTGATGGCTGCATCAACCATTTTTGACGACGGATCGAGACCGATGACCCGATCGAAATGCGCAAGGAGCGAGAGAGTCGAGATTCCTGGTCCACAGCCCAAGTCGAGAGCGAGTGAGGACCCAACAGAAGAGGAGGAAGGAGAGGGAGAGCAAGAGGGATGACGGCCGAAATGATAGGTCAGAAGCTTATCAGAGACCCATTTAGGATAGGAAGGTCGAAAAGCAAGGTATGCTGCCGCATCGAAAGTCGTTTTCGAGAATGTGGCCATGATTGCATAGCAAGCCGAGCGAGTCCAACGAATGTAGCAGATGTGCTGGTGGAAGGAGGTTGAGATGACGAAGCGTGCCTAGGGGCTGCGAAGAGAGCTGTAGCTCTTGCTGTTCGATCTGTTGAAGCTTGATGATGCCTTGTAAGGCCCTACGGAGGCAGCCAAGCGAGCACCTTGTATGTTTGTCTTTGAGATGAGATGGTGGTGGTGGTGGTGAAGAAGCGCTTTTCGACGCAACTATATGCGCACAGAATCGAAGGAAGGCGTTCAAGCTCAACGTGCGGGAAAAGGAAAAGAGGGGGTCCGTGCGTTCCGCCAATTACTGCCGTTTTTTACCGCCGGAAAAAGCCTTCCCAGACCGCGGCGGCTTGAGCGGCCAACCCGGTCGTTGCCATTCCGCGCAATCCATGCCCAGGGTTTGACGGATATCTCACACAACAACAAACAGATACGCTTGCAGAGGTAAAGACGGAATTGCGATTGCGAACAAGAATGGGAATGCTATGCAAGAATGCTGATGCTACAAGTGCCAAGAAGTATGCTGAATGAGGAATGCATTGCGAGAAAAGAGGGCGTTCTATGGAAGTGTGCGGTTGAGAGGTGTAGTCTAACGAATAGATCTAGCATGCGCCTGAATGCAACAAGGTTGGCCCTCATCATGGTTGGGATTATCAATAGCCATCTCAGTCAGGTCCTCTTCCATCTCTGGCTCGGTCTGACGCCATGTCGGCTTCAACCTGGGACTGTCAGTGGGCGATGGGGTATGACTCCTCGCAAACTGTTCTGAAAGCTTACGAAGCAGGCTAGGTCGGTCAGAACCTGCCTTCTTGAGCGTGGCAGCGTTGCCTCTTGCACGACCCAGGGTGAAGGGCGAATCGACTGAGACGCTTTCCGACTGAGCAGTAGGTGCGTTCGGTTCGTCGAGACGACCGAGAGCGGAGACGCTTTGCACACGAGCTTCAGACAGACCGGCTGTTGAGGCTGAGCGGATGCGCGAGGGGCGAGCGGGTGGAGGGAGGGGAGAGTGACCTGGAGGTGCTGACTGTGTCAACGACTCGATGGGAGGATTTTTGGGTGATGTTGGGCTCGTTGGTCGTGCCAATGACCTGCTAGTGGTACGAGTGGGTGGACTTGAGCCATGGTCAAAGGTGTGTTGCAAGGCTCGCTCCACCGACTGTGAGAGGCGGTTTGCCGCTGGCAATTGCGCCATCGGATGTGCGTTGCTATCCGCAGATGAACGAGATCTCGACCAACCAGGAGTGCAACCAAATGCGCTTTCTTGGCTGCTGACGCTCCAGATGCTGGTGGATAAGGGTGCGGCTTGACTGTGCTGACTGCGCTCGCTTGCCAAGGCCTGCCAACGCTCGCCATTTGGATCCGAGTTGAGAGGAACGAGGCTGTCAGTCTCCCTATCATCAGCAGCAGAGCGACCTGTTTGAGGAGCAGCAGCACCCTGAATATCGATTCCGAGGCCGTCGCGGGCTGAAGCATCCACCAGTCGCATGCCGGACAGCGAGTTGCCAGCTGACTTGACCTCGTGATGCAGCTGCAGCCAATCCTCTTCTGGTCCGCTGTAAGGAGAGAAGCGCTGAGCGCCTTGACCCGGTGTCTCTACCTGATCGACGAGCTTCTCGCCAGAGTCAAGCGCACGAGCTCCAAAGACGAGTCGGATGGTCTTGTGAAGATAGATCCTTGGCGACTTGGCTTGCTTACTACTGCCCTTCTTCGACTTTCCTTGGCCACGTGGACGGTACCGAAGAGCCTCTGAACCATCAAAGCCAGCTTGATTATCGTCGTGATGCGGTTTGACCGGTGGACAACAGAACTGAAGATGTATGGCGAATCGAAGAGTCTCCTTTGCCGGAGCACCGAGGTTGCTGGGCGAGGATCGAGCGGAGGATGCTTGGTCGGTGGTGCATGTACCTTTGCTTTCTGGCCGAACCATGGTCTTCTGACGAACAAAAGTCTTGGTGCCGGGCTGCATATCGGTCAAGTCGTACGGCACGAGGAAGAGCTTGATCGCGTTGAGGTCAGGATACTTGACGATCAGCTGCACTTGCCCTTTGGGCGGAAGAGCGTAGCCGGGGATCGAGGGCGTCTCGACAGATTCAGCGTCGCCTGATGAGGACAAGCTGGATGATGGGATCGAGTCGGTACCGAGTGTGGAGAGCCGCCTAGAAAGGAGCAGATTGTGATAGTGGGCTTCTAGGTCGATCGTCCCAACGTAGGGGCTACCAAGTGCGGCGGTGGAGCCAAGACTGGAAGCTGAGGGAGGCGCATCGATAGCGTGAAAGTCGTAAAAGTGGGCAGGAAACTTGACGTGAAGATGAGGCGGGCAGCGCAGAGAGGGCTTGCAACGGCCCATCCCAAGCACACCGATCTCTGCATCAAAGATAAGTGGCTTGGAAGCGGGCATCGACATGCGACCGCGCAAGAGCGATTCCTGGAAGGAGCCGACTAGGCTGCCAAAGTTGGGCGTCGGACTGGAAGCAGAGATGCTGTAGCCGGAAGAGCGACGGCGTGTATTGACGGATCTTGTGAAGCTGGAGGAGGGTAACGGAGGAGAGACGGCGTAGCTGTCATCGACAGGAACGTTGGAGACTGTTGATGACCATGCAAAACCGAATGGACTGCGCATCAGGCGAGCAGGGCCGCTGACATGACGAGAGGAAGGAGCGGCAGAGAAGACCGAAGAGCTTGAGGCGAGAGGGCTTAGACCCATTCGCGCTGGACTTTGCGCGTCGACGTCAACGATGGCCTGATATCTTGCCTGACGAGAAGGTTCAGGGGATGTGTTCGAGGCAATGTTGCCGTAGGTCTTGGCAGGCTTGAACAACGGTCGCGATTCGTTGGCCGGTGGCGCAGTCCGTTCAGACGCCAGCGCAGAGCGACTGAGCGGACTACTCGGGAAGGCGCTTTCGAATGACATCGTTGCGAGGATGGAATGAGGCTCAAATCGACAGCGTGGGACGCCAATGAGACGGAGGATGGGGCGGAGGAGTCGCCATAGCTGTTTGATCAAGCGGTATTAGTGCATACTAGAGACACAAGCAACGGCGAGAGGTCAAAGTTGTGATTCAGATGTGCCGAGCTAGAATCGCTGTTGATGTTTGCTGATACGGTCGACGCTGCCTCGAAAAGACTGTTTGCTCTGAGTTGCGCTACTTGAGATGGTGTAGGAAAGAGGGCTGATGATGATGATGGTAAGAAGGGGAGAAGCGACTCGTCACTGTGCACACCGGCTATAGTCAGAGCCCAAATCAAATTTTGGATCTCCGGCTGCAAGTTAAATGCAGCCTTTGCTAAAGATAACATTCCAGCAGCAAGCTAAAGTGACCAAGGATCGGGCAAAATCAATCTGGAATGCAATCAGGGAAAGCAGATCTGATTGTAGATCAGGCAGAGCCGATATAGCAGGAATTGGGGACAACTGGCTCCCGCTTGTTGACACACTTTGACATTAGATGGTATCCTCCCACCTGAGTTCATGTTGCAATACTGTATATAGACATTTAGCAGAGAGCTCAAGGCTACCACTATGTTCTCTCTTCATGTCAATATAGTATTGTGATTAGCTTAATAGCCTGGACACTGTGCTTGAATTGACATTGCCTGATAATTGTTGATAAGAGTCCAATCTTTCAACAGCCTTGGCCTAAAAGAAATCAACCTTCACTTGGCTCAAAGCTGTTTGTGTGCTCGGCTGCTGAATGCTCATCAGAATCCATCAGCATCACATCCCAGCTCGCTTGTTCCAAATACAATTTCATCGCCTTTGCCTTATCTTTTGGACCCACACCATTAGCATTGAGGCTGACCATCATCTTCATCACAGACTTTGTGTTGAAGGGTGTGCGAGCATGCAACAAACAGTGTTGATCACAAGTGTCAATTGCGATCAAGATCATAAGCTAAGTACAAGATGATTCAATTGTATATGTGTGCCTTCCAACATTCCATGTATATGTGTATGATACAAGGACAATGAGACTGAAACATAACAGAGAAACTATGTTGTCTATCTGTTAACCAGCATGCTGATGCCAGTCACAATAGTCATTCTGGGTAATGTAATATATACCTGAGTGAGCAAAGTTGGTGTTAGTGTAAGATCAGAGTAGAGGTTACATACTTTCACTGTCCCCCTCATCAACTGAGTGATTGAGCAGTCCAATGTTGGTCATACCTAATCAATGTCGAGTGTGAGCTAAGAGGCTCTGGGAGACTGGTATCAGTGGTCACATGCCTGAAACCCGAAATCTATGGTAAAGGTCGATTAAAATCAACCTCGGCGAAATCTATCATAGAAGCTGTCAGAGGTCATGCACCTGAAACCCGAAATCTGTAGTAGAAAGGCAACTACTACTGATCTTAGCAAGATCTGTGATAGAGGCTCTCTATTATTGTTCTTGTTGGAATCTGTCATAGAAATCTTCTATGACTGTTTTCACTCAAATATGTTGTAACTGGTATCTATTGTGGATTTCGACTGACCACTGGGGACACTTGGTCCAGAGGTAGCTGTCAGTGGTCACATGCCTGAAACCTGAAATCTGTAATAGAGTCTCATCTATTACAGATCCTGTCAAGTTATGCGACAACACTTGTGGTATTGCGATTCTCATCAAGTTATGTCATAGCAATGTCCCTATGACTTTACTCACTCGAATCTGTGATTGGAGTAATGCTATTGCAGAGGTTGTGGTAACACCAAGGTCTGGTGTGAGTATATTGTTGGGTGGTGTCAACACGAGTGTCCAGTGTGTTGACTATTGCTTGAGGTGATCCCTGGACCACAGTGGACTACTGCCTTCAGTTCTATCTTTATCTGGACTGCTGGTTTGCTATGAACTGCCTTCAGACATCAGTGAGTGGTGATACAACACACATGCTACAATGAGAAGAAATCTATTTGATTGCAACTATGCTGACTGAAACTAATGAGTACTTATGCTTCTGAAGTAATACTAGTTATATGGTGTAGAGTGGATGAGGATCCACTCATCCACCTATGACAAGAAGGTATGCTTATATACATCTTTTGCAGTGTCGCCTGTGACACTGCTCTGGCTCTCTCTCCAGAGAGTAGCCTCTTCGTTGAGTACTATACAGGGGTCCCTGTAGCACTGCTCCTGTCCTTCTTGAGCTGTGTGTCGACCTCCTTGACACAGTTCTTCCTCCTCATGAACTATATGCCAGTGTCAGTGACACAGCTCTCCTTCCTCTTAACTGGCGACTGTTCTCTTGGCTCCTATCTTGTGAACCCCTGAGTGGTAACTGTCTGCATGCTTCTGAGCTTGGTCCCCTTCTTGGCAATGCTTGGTCCTCCTTTGCATGTGAAGTCTGCTGTATGACTGTCTTTGCCACTGATCTCCATGGAATCTGCTGTCAGGGGTCTCGCGCCTGAAACCCAGGTCGGTCTGTCGAGATACTCGGTGACTATCAAACTGTGCGACAGCTATTGTCTCGGTATCGGTGACTATCAAGTTGTGCAGTGACAGCAGGTGGCATTTGTTGTATATACTATCATAGGTTTCGGCTGACCTCTGTGGACACTCTGTTCAGGGGTAGCTCGGCACGATCAATATCGATGTTATGATGACACCAAGGTCTGGTGTGAGTGTTGATGATGATGAGGTTGATGGTGTTGGTGATGAGATTGGTGATGTCGATGATAATGAGGTTGATGGTGTTGGTGATAAGGTTGGTGGCGTCAACACGAGTGTCCAGTGTGTTGACTTGATGCTTGAAGTGATCCCCGGACCGCAGTGGACTACTGCCTTCGGTTCTATCTTGATCCGGACTGCTAACCTGCTATGGGCGCCTTCGGATGTCAGGTAGTGGTGATACAACACACACACTACGATGAGGAGCAACCTTGATAGATTGCTGCTATGCTGACTGAAACTAATGTATACTTATGCTGAAGTGATAACTAGTTATATGGTGAGTAGAGTGGATGAGGATCCACTCGACCTATGATGATGAGAAAGCATGGTTATATACCTCTACTCAGCATTGCCAGTGATGCTGCTCCTGCTCTCTCTCTCCAGAGAGTACCTTCTTCATCGAGTACTGCTCAGGGGCCTCTCCTGCTTGACACCCCTGTGCCTCTTGAGCTGTGTCGACTCCTTCGACACTGCTCCTCCTCCTCATGACCTGATGTCAACTCCTTCGACACTGGTCCTCCTCCTCATGACCTGGTGTCGACTCCTTCGACACTGGTCCTCCTCCTCATGACCTGGTGTCGACTCCTTTGACACTGCTCCTCCTCCTTTGATCAGTGACAGTTCCTTTGGCTCTTGTCTCTCGAGCCCCTGAGTGGTAACCATCTGCATGCTCCTTGAGCTTGGTCCTCTTCGTGGCTGTGCCTGCTCCTTGAGCTTGGTCCTCCTCGTGGCTGTGCTTGGCCCTCCTTTGCATGTGAGTCCATAGGAGTCCATGGTCTCCATGGAGACTGCACTACGACCATGCTCTCTACTGATCTCGACTAGATCTTCGATACCTGTGCTCCTTCCATATGAACCCATGACCCTCCTGCTTCTTGAGCATCCAGGCCCATGACATCTGCCATATGATCTTGCTTACTGTGGATTCTGGCAGGATTCGTGATATCAACTTCGCTTGTGCCAATCTAAGTGAGATCTGTAATAGTGCTGTCTCTACTACAGATCTCAGTGAACTCTGCTGCAAATCCTACGATCTGCCTGATTCCTAGATTCCTGTGCTCCCTTCATATGAGTTGATGGATTTTCCTGCTTCCTGCGCATCCAGCTCCATGACAGTAGCTTGGCATGATCAAAGTCCAATAGTTACTTTGTCTGAAGTGGCACCAAGGTATGGTGCTAATGAAGCTGGTGTCAACACAAGTGTCCAGTGTGTCGACTGAATGATTGAGTGATCCCCAGACCACAGTGGATGACTGCCTTTGGTTCTAATGATTGAGAGAGCCAGACTGCAGTATGAACCACCTTCGGTGTTAATCAATATCTGGACCACAGAATGAACTGCCTTTGGATGGTGTCAAGTGGTGATACAACACACACACACTAAGATAGTAGCAATTCTCTGCAATTGCCACTGATGACAAATCTACTAAATATATGTCAGAGGTCACGCACCCAAAACCTGATATCTGTAATAGAACCGCATCTATTACAAATCCTGTCGAGATATGCAACAACACTTGTGGTATTATGATTCTTGGTGAGAAATGTAGTAGAGATGTCTCTATCACTTTTCTCACTCAAAGATGCAGTAATGGGTTTGCTATTGCAGGTTTCAACTAACCACTGTGGACACTCCATCCAGAGGTAGCTCGGCATGATCAATAACTGATATGAACTGGTACCAACACCAAGGTCTGGTGCAATTGAGGTTGTTGTTGTTGCCAACATGAGTGTCCAGTGTGTCGACTGGATGCTTGAGGTGATCCCTGGACTGCAGTGGACAACTGCCTTCAGTTCTATCTTTATCCAGACTGCAGGTTTCTATGAACTGCCTTTGGATGTCAGTGAGTGGTGATACAACACACACACTACAATGCATGCAATCTATTGAGATTGCAACTTGCTGACTGAATACTAATGTATACTTATGTGTAAAGCTATAACTAGTAATGTATGGTGTAGAGTGGATGGTGATCCACTCACTTGCTATGATGAGGAGCATGGTGTCAGGGGTCTCGCGCCTGAAACCCAGGTCGGTCTGTCGAGATACTTGGTGACTATCAAACTGTGTGACAGCTATTGTCTCGGTATCGGTATTGACGAGCTAGTTGCTTGGCAACTATCAAGTTGCACAATGACAGCAGGTGGCATTTGTTGTATAACTACTGCCTTCGGTTCTATCTATATCTGGACCACTGGTTTGCTATGAACTGCCTTTGGACATCAGGTAGTGGTGATACAACACATGCACTACAATGAGGAGCAACCTTGATAGATTGCTACTATGCTGACTGAAACTAATATATACTTATGCTGAAGTGATAACTAGTTATGATGTGTGTAGAGTGGATGAGGATCCACTCAACCTTTGATGATGAAAAGGTATGGTTATATACTTCTTCACAGCATTGCCAGTGACACTGCTCCTGCTCTCTCTCTCCAGAGGGTACCTTCTTCATCGAGTACTGTTCAGGGGGCCTCTTCTGCTTGCTTGGCACCCCTGTGCCTCTTGAGCTGTGTCGACTCCTTCGACACTGCTCCTTCTCCTTGCTATCCTGCTTGTTTGGCACCCCTGTGCCTCCTGAGTGGTGTCGACTCCTTCGACACTGCTCCTCCTCCTCAGGACCTGCTTGCTGGTTTCCTATACACTGCTCCTTCTCCTTTGACTGGTGATGGTTCCTTTGACTCTTGTCTCTCGAGCCCCTGAGTGGTAACCATCTGCATGCTCCTTGAGCTTGGTCCTCTTCATGGCTGTGCCTGGCCCTCCTTGCATATGGCTCAATGCTCCTTTGCATGTGAGTCTGTAGGAGTCCATGGTCTCCATGGAGACTGCACTATGACCATGCTCTCTACTGGTATCGACTAGATCTCCGATACCTGTGCTCCTTCCATATGAACCAGTGGCCCTCCTGCTTCTTGAGCATTCAGGCCCATGACACAGAACAGGTAAGACTGCTAGGTGGAAGAGTTGAGGGGAGGAGGAGCAGTGTAGGAGGAGACCACAAGGGATACAAGTGGTGTCACTGGCAATATGGCAAGGACATCCATATAATACACACTTGCTCCTCATTGCAGTAGTTGAGTGGTTCCCCATCCACTCCACACCATATCTTACTAGTTATAACTTTCACATAAGTATACTTAGTAGTTTGTCAACAGTAGCAATTGCAGGACATTGCTTCTATTGTAGCACATGTGTTGTATCACCACTCATTGGCATTTTCCAAAGGCAGTATTAACTGTGGTCTGGATATTGATTGACACTGAAGGTGGTTCATACTGTGGTCCAGCTCTCTCAATCATTAGAAACTGAAGGCAGTCATCCACTGTGGTCCAGGGATCATCAAGTACTCAGTTGACACACTGGACACTTGTGTTGGCACAAACATATTCACACCAGACCTTGGTGTCATCACAAAGTATCTCTTGGTTATTGATTGTGCCAAGCTACCTCTGGACAGAGTGTCCACAGCAGTTAGTTGAAACCTACAATAACTTTCAAGCTACCACATATTCAAGTGAGAAAAGTCATAGAGGAGTTCTATGACTGATTTCAGCAAGAATAATAATAAAGGCCTTTTTACCACAGATCTCAATAAAATTGGTAGTAGTTCTAATTCTACTACAGATTTCAGGTTTCTGGCACATGACCCCTGGCAACACTGCTCTTGCTCATCTCGGGAGGTGTAGGTTCTCCTTTGGCACTGCTCCTCCTTCTCCTGCTCCTTTTCTTGTCTGCTTCCTGTCTTGTCTTTGCTCCTGTTCCTTGTACTCCTTGTCTCTGAGCTGGAGTGAGGGTGTCATGGGCCTGGATGCTCAAGAAGCAGGAGGGTCACTGGTTCATATGGAAGGAGCACAGGTATCGAAGATCTAGTCGATACCAGTAGAGAGCATGGTCGTAGTGCAGTCTCCATGGAGACCATGGACTCCTATGGACTCACATGCAAAGGAGCACTGAGCCATATGTGAGGAAGGCCAGGCACAGCCATGAGGAGGACCAAGCTCAAGGAGCAGGCACAGCCACGAAGGGGACCAAGCTCAAGGAGCATGCAGATGGTTACCACTCAGGGGCTCAAGAGACAAGAGTCAAAGGAACTGTCACTGGTCAAAGGAGAAGGAGCAGTGTATAGGACACTGGCAAGCAGGTCCTGAGGAGGAGGAGCAGTGTCGAAGGAGTCGACACCAGGTCATGAGGAGGAGGAGCAGTGTCGAAGGAGTCGACACCACTCAGGAGGCACAGGGGTGCCAAACAAGCAGCAGGATAGCAAGGAGGAGGAGCAGTGTCAAAGGAGTCGACACAGCTCAAGAGGCACAGGGGTGCCAAGCAGGAGAGGCCCCTGAACAGTACTCGATGAAGAAGATACTCTCTGGAGAGAGAGCAGGAGCAGCATCACTGGCGAAGCTGTGAAGAGGTATATAACCATGCTTTCTCATCATCAAAGGTCAAGTGGATCCTCATCCACTCTACTCACCATACAACTAGTCAATACTTTAGAAACACAAGTACTCATTAGTTTTCAGTCAGCGTAGCAGCAATCTATCAAGGTTGCTCCTCATCGTAGTGTGTGTGTTGTATCACCACTACCTGACGTCCGAAGGTGCCCCATAGCAGGTTAGCAGTCTGGATATAGATAGAACTGAAGGCAGTAGTCCACTGTGGTCCGGGGATCACCTCAAGCATCAGTCAACACACTGGACACTCATGTTGACACCACCAACCTTATCACCAATGCCACCAACCTTATCACCAACACCATCAACCTCATCATCATCACCACTCACACCAGACCTTGGTGTCATCACAACCTACGCATTGATATTGATTGTGCTGAGCTACCCCTGAACAGAGTGTCCACAGAGGTCAGCTGAAACCTACAATAGTATATACAATGAACGCCACCTGCTGTCACTGTGCAACTTGATAGTCGCTGAATGACTAGCTTGTCAAGACAGATACTGAGACAATAGCTGTCGCACAGTTTGATAGTCACTGAGTATCTCGACAGGCCGACCTGGGTTTCAGGCGCGAGACCCCTGACAGAGGGCAAGCAACCTCATTATGTCCTAGGGGTCTCACCCACTCCATTGGAGTGCTGGGACCCCTTGGGTCCATTGTTCCATCCAGATCCTCCCACTCTTCATTGCTGGCATGACAACCCTCTTACACCAATGTCCTTGTTGTATAGGGGCCTCTCCCACCTCATCTGAGTGGTGGGCACTACCTTTGCATGCCCCCTTGTGAGGTCAGTGGGAGCAGCACCCTCTAACTGGTTTCATCAAGATCTGTTGTAAGGTTATGATTCTACTGATCCCAACAAATTCTGTTGTATGATCTTGCTCCTACCAATCCCAATGAATTCTGTCATAGGACCTAGATCCTACCAATCTCAACAAACTCTGTTGGAAGCCATCAATTGCCTGATCCTGCAATTCCTGTGCATGGTCTCTCCTCATACAAATCCAGTTCTTCTGTGCATCTGGTCCTATGACCTATAGATGTATACAGTGTTGCCTGCGACACTGTCCCTCCTCCTCATGAGTGGTGTGGAGACTTCTCTGACACTGCTCATGTTCCTCCTGCTTTCCTTGGCCTCCTGTGGGGCTATACCCAAGTGAGCAAAGTTTGAGTTAGTGTGAGATCGGAGTAGAACTTACAGGAGACAGAAATCCAAAATGCAAAATGCAAAATCTAAAATCTAACAGTGGGTGTTGGACGAGCTCAAGTTGACTCTCTACCAAAACAAGACTTGGCTGCTTTGACAAAAGATGGCCCTGCTGAAAATAACGATCCAGTGGAGAGCAAAAGCGACGAAGAATCGGGCCAGATTGATCTAGAGTACAATCGGGAAAAGAGATCTGATCATGAATCAAGCGGGACCGATACAAGGAGAGATCGGATAGAACACAGTCCCACTCATTGTTAGGCTAGATCATGAAAGAGCATACTCGCACGATAGGTATCAGCCTCATGGATGTATATATATCTCACAGAGAGCAATAGGCTCTCGCCACATTCCTTAAGTCAATTGAGTATATATGTTTCTGTCTTTTAGTAGCAGTGACATCGTGTTTAGACTATCCCCGATCACCAGTATCGGGACCTAAAACTTTTCATATGTTTCTGCCTTAACGGAGTAGTGAGATCGTACTTAGACTATCCCCGATCGCCAGCTATCGGGACCCAAAACGTCTTTACTTTCAACAGGCCCCTGATCAGCTAACTGCTCTGCCAACTGTACCATTTGGTGCTTTAGCTTGGCACATCCCTTGTCCTCATCTTTCATCCTTCCGAACAGCACATGGCATCCTTTGCTACAATCATCATCCACAACGAACAAGGCTCACATACACACCTCGATCGGCGCAGGATCACTTGTACCATGGACCAGCGCTAGAGAACACTTACGATAGGCAAGACGATCGGAATCCGCTTGAATGGTTCACTCGGGCGGATGGGTATAGCATTGGAACAGCCGAGGAGCGGATAGACACTGGACACGCTCTCGAACGCACCCACACCCCCGCCCCGCCCTCGATGCCAAGGGGAAGAGCATAGCCTTGAACTCAGCAACCATGTCAGAGTTTGCCTTGCACAACGGATCACGCGCCAATGGTACCAAGCAAGTCGCTTTCGATTACAAATGCCAGGTCATTCCAGAAGGCGACTGCGCAGAGCTACGCAAACTGCTCAGCCTCTGCCCGCCCCCTTGTTTCAGAGCACAGAGCGCACCGATCGCTGGTCCAACAGCGCGTCCAGGCAGCTGGATTGGTCGCGCCATCTCTCCGCAGCTTGGTCGCGCCAAATCGCCACAAGCCTCAAAGAAGCCAAGTGGTCTCGGCCATGCTCCGTCTACCAACACATCCACATCCTGGAGGACACGCTTGGCTAGTTGGGGCAGCAACACCGACACGAGTCCACATGTTAGCAACGTAGCCACTGCACCCTCGTCACCTACTCGCAGTGCGGGGCTTCGCCTGGTAGCGCCCGTTCCAGCCAGAGGCGCAGCAACTCGCATGATCCCATCCATCGACGACCAAGAAGAGTGCGTCGAAGCTTCTCCTTCCAATGAAAGCGTCGATTTTGACGATATCAACGCAGAGTTCCAGAATGCAGCATTCAGAGTTGCCATGAACCAACATCTTCTCCAAGTCGAATCACTGCGAGCTGCCAGCCCAGCTTTCCTACCAACACGAACCCCTAGTCCCTTGGCACCATACAAGAGCATCAACAACCCGAAGAACCAGGCAAATGATCGCTCGAACCCTTGCAATCGACCCAGGAGCTGCTTGGTCGTCCGATCCAAGACTCCGCAAGCACCAGGACCACCACCATTGACATGCGATGGCATGACAGCGCTTCGAGCAACACGCTCCAACGATCGAGATGTCTGCTTGACGCGACGCAGGAGAGCCCAAGGTGTCCCCGTCATCTGCCCTTCTCGCCTCAGTTCGCCCGGAAAGGAGCGAGGCCGGAATGGATGGGAAGAAGATCAGATCGGAAAGAGTCATAAGCCAGCGGTAGCTGCTGCTGCGCCAACTGGGAAGCAGTCCAAGCTGTCACGCTGGAGGCGCTTCCGTCGAGCTGCGTCCGAGGAAGCTCATCACGTCGAGCCAAGCAGCTCTCGACATACTTTGATCGATGCACGCATGGACCAAGCTGCCATCAGGCGCGAGATCCAGGCAGGACGTTGGCCGTTTGAAGCTCCATTGAATGCCGAGTGCAGTTGCAAGAACTGTCAAGGCAAGATCGAAGTGGGATTGTCATCCGACTACGAACCCAAATGGACACGAGCTGCACGCATTCGATGGCTTGAAGCGCAGGAGGATATGGCAGCAAAGTCTCGTGCCGGAATTTTGAACGTTGCTTCCTCAACGAGCCGTACGGCAATCCAGGCTGACGAGGTGGCTCAACTGCACAACGAGACGGTGCATCCCATGACAGCAGCCGAGTTGGCAGCAGAGCCCACCTCACCGGTCTCAGAACAAGGCGAGGCTGGTGCCAGCTGCACAGCATATGCGCTTGCGACGGCTGCAGTTACCACCAAGCCACCCAATCCTACTGGGCTCGAAGAAGGTGACGAGACATTGCGAACAGAGATCCTCGCACGTCGACAAAAGATGGCTAGACAGAATCGCGTGCCTCGACATGGAGCCCGGAGCATGATGCGTCAAATAGAAGAGGCGGAGCGCAGAGAGAAGGAAGCAGCACAGCAAAGGCCACAGAGTCGAGGCTTGCAACTGTCATGTATGAATGTGCATGGAAGCGCAACAGGGCCTCGACGCTCTTGCTCTGCATCGCCATCTTTGCCGTCAAGGCGCGATTCGGTCTCGACCAATACCACGCCACAGGAACGACAAACAGCCGATGGTCAGACGGCGAATGCGTCTTATTTCGCGCTGAATGCACCACCGGAGCGAGTGCGGTCGCCGTTGATTCCGGCTGATGCGGCTGGCAGCAAACTTGGTCAAGCGAGGCCCGTTGCTACCGTTGCAACCGACTCGACGGCACTTTGTCTGGCCAGCGTAGCAAAGACATTGCAAGTTTTAACCTCGCCTGCTGGTTCGCCTGCCTCTAGCTCGCCGTCGGGAAGCCCAGAGTCGGAAAGGCGATAGCCTTTGACATACACGCACAAACGATGCTGCAACTCTTACAGCGCATCTACCTACATTTTGGCATTCATTGCCATGAAAGATAGCCAGCAACCAATCCCTCTGTTCGACTTGGACTCGATCCATGTTCCGTGTCGTCTGCGCCGCACTTGGCGCATGGACAGCCATAGTGCAGGCTCTGGGTCTGGCTGCTAATGCCTTGTCTCGCTATGAAAGGTGAAGGCAAGTGCGCCAAGTGTACGGGCGAGGCTGGGAATGAAAGAATATATAACTCGAGACAACACGATCTCAGATCTAGGCTCTTTGTCGCACGATAGCCCTCGCCCTCGAATTGCAATGTTATGTTGGTCAGTGTAACAATACAAAAATGCCCGCTACAGTGTCCAGTCGAATTTGTGTTAGCGGGCGTTGCTTGTATCGGCTTGTATCGGCTCGTATCAGGCCGATCGTCGGGATGGCCGATGTTCATGGCAAGAAGGAGCTGCTTCGGCTTCCCCGACGATCGTATCGTGCCGAACACCTCGGCTCTCCGACGACTGTATCGGTGAGAGGTGAAAGTTAGGAGGAGAAAGGCACCTGGGCTCTGTCATTGAATGACCTTTTGCACTGCCTCGTCATGCTCAGACTCCTCCTTTGCTCCAACGTGCCACTGTAATCGTCCACAACCTAAGATGTATAAAACCACCCGAGTTAGTCAGTTCGCTCTCCATCGTCCATCCATCCATTTTGTACATACTGTTCAACGTCGACACACGTAATACGACCGCATCCTGCCACCACATTTCAACATGTCGCTCGTCAAGTTCCAAGTCGATTGCGTGCTACGAGTCATCAGCCTCGGCGATTGCAGTGCTGTTCTGTGCGACTGGGACAAGGCACAGATATCTCTAGACTCTAGACCTGCTGCTGCAATTCAAGCCGCTGCAACTCGACGTCAAGGCGCCTTGGCAGCTGGAGCAACGTCGTGAATGGTTGCGACGCTGGACGGCCGCTTGGAGAAATTGCTGCCCATTCACTGCTCAGGTGCCTGGGTCGCGCGGAATTTTCACTTGTCGTGACTGTTAACTTATCGTTCCAGAGGTCCCACAGCGTTCTCGCAACGAGAAGCGAGAGAGAGAGAGAGAGCGCCAAATCCCTCACGTCGGTTTCTGCCGCATTTCTTCCTGAAATCTCGCCTGTCAGGCATTGACTGACAGCTGCTGATTTAGAAATTTCTCCGTTCGATGTCGCAATCCTATGCTCGTCTTCCGTCACACTTGCATCCTGTTGCTGCTGCAACATGGCCCTCCGCAATGGTCCTCCCTTTCCTCTTCTGCCCACCTTGCTCGATCAAGATTGGCATGGTAAAGCCAGAGCAACCTGCCTGAACGCCGACTCTTGCTCTCCCTGTAGCCATCTCTCAAGGCGCTCGCTGTTCATCTTGTCCTTGCGCCATCAACACCATTATCGCTTCCCACCCAAAGTGTTCGATTGGACACCCCAACTTCGAGCCCAGACCCTCGACGCCATCCTTCATTCCACCTTCGCCATCCTCTAAAAAGCGCCTCGTCCCGTTCTGCTTGGCCTCTTACCATTGTCGCCGCAACCTCGTTTCCACAGCATCTGCGGACAAGGCTTTTCATCTTCTTTTCGCCCTTTAAGCTTCCTTGCTATTGACCTTTCTTCTACTAGTCTCAGCCTTCCTCTCAATTGCCGCCTGGCTCTCGCTTTTCCTCGCTTGTCATAGACTGCATCCGATCGCAGCAAAGTCTACCATCCTTTTCTGGCTTCTATCTCGCTACCAAAGCCCTACTTCCCCCGCTCAGAGGCCGGCACCCACCTCAAATTTCTTCTCTCTCAGCCTTGGCACGCGATTCCTCCTTTGCTGCATTTCTCTTTCGACTCGGATCGAATTTGAAACCTGTCATCCATCCTTGTGCAACTCATCACCAGAGCTATATAGACTTGCTTCCGATCCTCCTTTCCCATCTTATCTTTATCTCAAACACCTTTTCCCCCCTTTCCTCCCCCTTTCCTCCCCCTTTCCTCCCCCTTTCCTCTCCCTCTCGACCTTGCCTCCTGTGGTGTCCCTTTTGCTTCTCGCCACAACATCTCAAGGTCAACGTCATGGCCTCACAACCTCATTTCGAGGAGAAGCCTCCGCTTCGCCAGCGAGGCTCCAATGCCGTCAAGTGGGCTCTTGGATACAACAACACCGAAGCAAACCGTCTCGGCATTCCCATGGTCAGCAGTCGTGATTGGCTCCGCGGCATTTTTGGTCACCCTGGCAGCAAGACCGCCGACTACTTTGACAGCCTCTTCCCCTTCCGAAAGTGGATTGGCTCTTACAATTCTCAATGGCTCATTGGTGATCTTATTGCCGGCATCACCGTAGCTCTTGTCGTCGTTCCTCAGTCCATGTCTTATGCCAAGCTTGCCGGTCTCAAACCCGAGTTCGGTCTCTACTCTTCCTTCGTCGGTGTCATGATCTACGCCATCTTCGCCACCTCCAAGGATGTCACCATTGGTCCCGTCGCTGTCATGTCTCTTCAAACCTTCAACGTTATTCACCACGTCATGCGTCAAACCAACGAATGGAGCGCCGAAGTGATCGCCAGCGCACTTGCCTTCTTGTGCGGTGTCATCTGTCTTGCTATTGGTCTTCTTCGTCTTGGTTTCATCATCGAGTTCATTCCTGCTCCTGCCGTTGCTGGTTTCATGACGGGCTCCGCTATTCAGATCGCCGCAGGTCAGGTGCCAAAGTTGCTTGGTCTCAACAGCGTCAACACCAACGGAAACGCTGCCTACCAAGTCATCATCGACACTCTCAAGGCATTGCCCAAGACAAACATCAATGCAGCTTTCGGTTTGCCTGCCCTTGTCTTCCTCTACTGGATCAAGTGGTTCTGTGGCTGGCTTCCCGCTCGTTACCCTCGCACCGCCCGAACCATGTTCTTCGTCTCGGTGCTGCGTAACGCCTTTGTCATCATTGTCTTCACCGCCGCTTCCAGGATCTGGCTCGGCAACTACAGCGATCCTAAAAAGTACCCCATCAGCGTCCTCCTCACCGTTCCTCGTGGTTTCAAGCACATCGGTCAGCCCATCCTCAACACCAAGCTTCTATCCGACTTGGCTCCTCAGCTTCCAGTCTCGGTCGTCATCTTGCTTCTAGAGCACATCGCCATCGCCAAATCGTTCGGTCGTCTTAACAACTACAAGATCAACCCTAACCAGGAGCTTGTTGCTATTGGCGTTACTAACTTGATCGGTCCTTGCTTTGGCGCTTACGCTGCTACCGGTTCCTTCTCGCGTACTGCTATCAAGTCCAAGTCAGGTGTACGCACTCCCTTGGCTGGTTGGTTCACCGGTATCCTTGTCTTGATTGCTATCTACGCTCTCAGTGGTACCTTCTACTGGATTCCCAACGCAGTTTTGTCCGCTGTCATCATCCACGCTGTTACCGACCTGGTCGTTCCCTTCTCCGTCTCGTACAAGTTCTGGCAGATCAGCCCCTTCGAACTCTTCATCTTCCTCGGTGCCGTCTTTGCCACCGTCTTCTCCAACACTGAGAACGGCGTCTATGTCTCGGTCGCTGCTTCCTTGGTTCTCTTGCTGATCCGCATTGCTCGTCCTCGTGGTCGATGGCTCGGTCTTGTTCGCATCCACCACGGTAACAGCACTGGTCCCAGCGAGTCCACCATCACACTTTCGCACCGTGACGTTTTCGTCCCCCTCGAGAACAAGGATGGCATGCGCGACCCTTCCATCCACGTCGAACCTCCCCCGCCTGGTGTTCTCATCTACCGATTCGAAGAGGCCTTCACCTACCCCAACGCTTCCGCTATCGCCGACTTGCTCATCGAGAAGGTCAAGAAAGAGACACGTCCAGGCAAGCCTGCTTCCGACAAATTCGGTGACCGTCCTTGGAACGACCCTGGTCCGCCCAACCCTCACCTTGTCAAGGCTGCTCGTGCTCTCGCCTGCCGCGGTCGCAAGGCTGCTAACAACAAAGGCCTTCACGATGGTTCCCTTGTCGACCGCCGCCCCACCCTTCGAGCATTGATCTTTGATTTCAGCTCGGTCGCTCACGTCGATACCACTTCCGTTCAGACCCTTGTTGACGTTCGAACTGCAGTGGAGAGGTATGCTGATGCCAAGGTGGAGTTCCACTTTGCCAACATCTTGTCTCCTTGGATTCGACGTGGTTTGCTCGCTGGTGGATTCGGTATTGGTTTCCCATCCAAGCGCATCACCGAGATCGCACCTGTCGTCTCCCAGCCCCAAAACATTACCCTCTCCGCAAGCGAGTTGCAAGCACGAGAGCAAGCCGAAGCTGAACGGCGCGCTAAAGCCATCGAACGTATGAGCCATAAGAGCAACAACGATGGTCCTGCATACCCCTTCTCCGGTCGTCCCAGGAAACCCATGACCGAACTCGAAGCTGGTCTTGCTGGCGATGGTGCAGCTGCCAGTCGAAGTCGGGTTGATCTGCATGAGGATATTGACGAGACTGATCCTGACCGTATCACACGGAAAGTTAAAATCGGTGATGCTCTCTACGACGTCCATACTCTTGATCAGGACGAACCCAACAAGGCTTCCAGCAGCAACACTCCTTCGAGGGATAGCATGGAGAAGAGTCTCGAAGAAGGTCACCAGCAGGAACACGCAGATGACCGTCCTCCTTCCAGTATCTCAATCCCAGTTATCTGGAATAACGACTTGACTCCTTTCTTCCACCTCGACCTGTCCGCCGCTCTTGCTGCTGCTTCCGAAGGCTTGGGTGAAGACTCGCAGCTTTCGTCAAGAATTGACCAGAACAACTAAAATAACAGCTCACCTTTTTTCGGGGCGACCCAAAAATTTGATTCGCACTAGTGCCCTTAGATTCACACACATGTCACCGGGTTCTTTTGCTTTTGGATTTCTCTCTCTCTCTCTCTGTCTCTCTCTCTCTCTCTTTCTTTCTCTCACACACACTCACATTGTTAATTTGTTTGCCTCACATGCCTGTATTTGTAAATGGTAGAATCATCGCAACACTGAACATGGTCTGATATCGTCTGCCTATGCTTGAGCTCGTCTGCTTAATTGGAGTTCAACTCTCTGCCTTTGCCAACCTGCTTTGGCGTGTTGAGGAATGAGTGAAAATACATGACTGCTCAAGGTATTTGCGACTTCCGCAAACCTCGCTCCACGTCGCCACCCGTCAACTCCCACCAACGCACGTAGTCGCCCACCAACACTTGCATCTCATTCAATCACGTCATGCGATCATACGTGGCAGTTGGCCAGTACACACAGGCCGCAGAAGCATATATACTCTGACATTATTGTATCTAGTTCTCATTGAATAGCTAACGATTTCGCTGCTTGCTTGTCCGTCCCGACTGTGTTTCCTCAACAGAATGCACCAGTGTTGGTGGGTGATGATGAGTGGCGACGGTGAGCGAGGTTTGCGGATATGTTAGAGCGAAGAAAGGAGGTCATGTGATTTCACTTGGGGCACGAAGCTTTCTCTGTCGTCACTTGACTTTGATCCATCTTTCACCTCTTCGGACCATCTTCCTTGACGCTTGTATTCTGATGTTGGCGAAAATCATCAACTCAATCCCCTCTTTATGCTGCAGCATATCAATATGCAATGACTTGATCGCGGTATTTCCATTCATATATTTCTCACGTTTCCAGAAGAGGATGGCAACTCTTGCTCTTCCTTCTCTGTTCTGTTGGAGGGCGAGCTTCTACGATACATCCACTGTTCGCCACCAGATGAAGAGATAAACAAAGCCATAGTTGTTGCAACAATTCATCTTGCCACGTTTTTGTACCACGGTCTTGCAAAGAGAAACTCGTATTTTGCAAGCACAAAAGCGGCACAATCACGAGTTAGGGCTTGAGCAAGTACTGTACTGTATTGCACAAATGTTTGGGAACAGAGGCACGAAGGTGCAGAAGGAGAACAAGGGATGTGTGGAAAGGTGATATGTTGGAGTGGGGAGAAAGAGGCTGGCTGAGTCTCGTGAGAGAGGGGCCTATGTATGAGGGATGCTGGCAGGGAAGGACAATTTGTCAACCCATGTGATTGTGCCTAACGTAAAGAGTTGCAGTGATGTCCTTTCCGAGGTCAGATCATTAGTGCACAAGCCGCAGTGCTTCTTCGAAAGGCTGCATCTTCCATTTGAAGTTGGGGTTGTATTGTTTTTCTATGATGGTGGGCTGGACTCTTGCGACAGAAACGATATCAATTTTGTTGTCGTTCGGGTTGTATTCCCATAGGACGCTGGAGTATGCGTGCTTGCCAAGACTTTTGAGGTTCAATTCTTTGCCCAGATTGGTTTTGGGTTCGATGATGCTATAAAAGTAAAGATACCGGTCACGTGAATCAACATACTTGACCCCATTCTTCTTAGCATGTTCGAGAGCTGGTTGAAAGTATTTTTCGGGTAAATTAACGTCTTCGTCGTTCCGCTTGTAGTACAAACCGCCTCTTTCAAGATGTAATGCTTGTTCTCGTGATACTTTTGCAAGCACATCGTTTTGTATATTTCTTAATCCTTGGTCTTTGCTAGCCGCGTAGGGGCCCCAGTTCGAGAGAACTCCTACTGCATGGATGGCCAGCAGGAGGAGTAGGGAGACAATACGGGTGTAACTGGGAGCCATGTTGCAGAGGTGAAATGTTTGCGGATGCAAGAGTGGCGATGTTTACGGTTGTAAGAGACGGAAAGGTAAGAAGAGGCTACTCGACTGTATTTAAGCGCTGCCACGGCTGCTGCTCACCCTCGATAAAAAATTTGCTCACAGTGCTTCTTGGTCTTGCCACAGAGCATCCATCCCACTTCGCACTTGCCTCTCGTCGCAAAACACTATCGCTAGACCTAGCATTGTCCCACCGTCTGCAATCAGGATTGAAACAGCATCTTTCATCACGTAGCACCAAAACTGATCAACTGGTGGGGGCACAACTTGTTGATATTCGAAGAGGCCGCTCGGCTATACTCATTGTTGCGATGTGGGTAATAAGGCACGTTCGGTGGTAACCTTGAGGACTTCATGACCTAGTGAGATAGTTGAAGATTGCAAGTACAATGCGCTGCCTGGAGCTACTAGCAAGCTCTTGTTCACAGACGTATGACTTCTTGAATGCTTGTATTACTATGGATGGATACGGTCATGCGAATGTATATATGGATCTTAGCGCTACCTTTGAGCGCTCTATGCTGAAATGAGTCAACTCCTGAGTTTAGCTTCCTGTGTCGCTCCAGACTCGTTGCTATGGCAACGCTCATGTATCCCACATGCATATCGCTTATGCATGACTTGGCCGTATCGTCAATCGTTTAGACCCCGTGAACCACATTGAAATGCCGACGAATCTTCAACTGAGATCAACCTAAATGATTCCAGTTGGAGGCGTCGGAAAAGAGTCCCACCTTGCTCATTTGTTTTTACTTGATGCTTTCTTTTCAGACCTGGTACTGATGTCGATGAGATGGAAGGCACTTTCTCCCACAACGATGAAGGTTTCTACAATAGAGACAAGCCCAAGAGCTTGATGAGCTTCATCCCACCAACGCGCCACTAAGGCCTGATCGAAGAGCAAGCACCAGTGAGTATCACAGCAAACACACAGCAAGCATGTGAAGACGAAGAGGGTTCAGCAGTTCTGCATACAAGCAGGCTTCACGACAACAGCTGAGATTTCGTCTCCTGGACGGTTGTTGCTCGATGTCTGTATTGTTGCCAGGCTCTGATTGGAGTCGAAGGTGGCCGCAGCACGGTGGCGCACAGTTTGATTTTATGCACTCGGCTTTGGAAAGCGGGGTTGCGTCTTGTGCTGCTCTCTTCTCGTCATCATTCCATCAAGCAGAAGGGCGCCACATTCTCTAAACGACGAGTCAACTGCCGCATTGCACTCGAAAGAGCTGTTGTGGTACACACGCATCATATCCATGTTGTCTTACAATATTCACTGTGCCGTTTGGATCTTGTGAGTTTTTGCTGCGCCTTTCCTGCTCTGCTATTTGATCTGAGAACTGGCCTGAGGTCTGAAAACAATGATACCTTCAACAGGAGCGGTAAGCGTGGTGGCATGCTTGAGGTCCAAGGTCAACCTCTCGGCCACAGAGTGGCATCTGACCTTTGCACTCCACCCAGCCATAGGCATGAACGTGGCGGTGCCCTTGCCATGTTTCCTGGACTTAACTTGCAGACACAAAGTACCAAAAGAAAGGCTAAACTTGTAGCCCACCAAGGTAAGGTAATCTAGAGTGCCCAAGGCTGACACTGCTTTATTACACGCTGCTGCGTTGCCTCATGTGGGTCAATCAGTTGCAAACCTTTGTCGAAAGTGAGGACGAATCATGAATAGCATTTGCTCTCACATCCTATTGTCAGCGAGACAATACTCGCTGGGATGCAATGAGACGACATCTGGTTGAGTCAATCACCGCAGTATACAAAAGGTGAAACCTTAATCTGCGTTGTTCTGCCGCCTGGCTCAATTGATGCCACCAAAAGAGACATCCTCCGCCCCACCGACCAGCTCCGCGTCCGAGTGTTCGGACAAGGTGGTGTGATCCACATACGCCCATCTCTGGTTCTGCTGGCTCGCCTACGCAAGACCGTGCTGCTGCGTTGGCTCTTGCTCGTTCAACAGATGCAGCTCACCGGCTCATAAGCAAATGACTGGAGTTGACTGAACCGGGTCTTGCTCCAAGACACGCTGTAGGTTACCAGCCCAATCTACTAGGGTTACAGACCTGGACTGAATCGGTGCTGGATTACGCGTAGCTACATTGAGGTTCCGATACTAAGAGAGTGAGACAGGTCTGAATCATTGCATCGCCATTAGATGACAAGACGATTAATGTGAAGAAAAGCAACAGAGTTCGGTTGGTGATGACGACCTTCTTGAGACTTGTTGACGTCAAAGAAGTTGAACAGCGAGCCAATTCTTGCCCAAGGCTTTGCGAGTCGGTTTTCATGAAGATCCTCAGCTTTAAATAGCTTTCGGCAACAGAACAAATGCACGACATCCCACCAAGCTTTGATTGACCGATTCGCAGGAAGCGGTAACAGCCTAAGTTAATCGAGTTTCTCACAACCCCCATTCTCAGGCCTAGTGAGATTAACGTAAATGAATCCAGTTGGAGGCGTCGGAAAGAAGTCCCACCTTGCTCACTTGTTTTCACTTGATGCTTTCTTTTCAGACCTCACCTCTCCGTCTGGCAGAGCTCTCATTATGATTTTCCTTTCTTTGTTCACATCTCACCTCCTTTGACAGGGTAGTTTGCTTCCCAGTCAGCATGGACGCACAAGATTGTCTGGATGAGGCAAGGGAGGTTCGATTCAGGCTACACCAAGCTCAATGCGTTCCCAGTTCGTTTATGGGAGAGGCCAATTCAGCGCAGCACTGCTTCCAGAGCTCGGACCGTCTAATCAACGTCCTCGCTGGTCACTTGACTGATACACAATGTCAGAGATGGGAAAGAGAATTGATTGCCTAACTCGGGTGAGTCGCTTGCGAGCTCCCAGCCGTGGCCGTAAGGGCCACAGATGCTCGAGCGTCGTGTGAGAGCGAGGCGGAACGCGCGTGAGAACTAAGTAACAAAGAAAGTGGGTGGGTGTGGTGGGTGAGACAAAAAGCGTAGCCTGTGGCCAGCGCCAAGAGAGATGATGGTCGTAAAGGAAGAGAGATGTTGAGCGAGCGCTCGCTAAAGTTGCGCTCCCGGGTGACACGTGTACCGATCACGTGCCTGATCGCGAATGCATTGAAGTCAGTGTCCGAGACCCGACACTATATCATGAGTTACCAGTGGCGGGATAGGATCTCTTGCAGCGGCTCTAAAACCCAATTTATGGGCTGTCGTTTGATCTTGTCCATACTTAGGATATGCACGCCGTGTGTTTGATCATGTTTCCAATGCACGGTGGCCACGTTGTCGGATTCGAGATGCATTTCTCTCCCAAGAGAATCCTCGGGCTGGATTAGACTGTAGAAGAAAACTTCCTTTTTGGCTGGAACGGTCCTGAAAAGACCCCTAGGGCCTGACCTAGGTATATAATGCCCAACCTCGTACGAACCACCCTCCGCAAGCCTTAAGGCTTTTGGCACAAAATCGGGGACGTCTGCCCAAAAGTTACGAGCCGTGATTTCGAACGGTTTATCTTGGGCCTCATGGCGCCTCAGTTGGTTAATTTCGGCCTCGTAATGCATTTGTTCCTCAAAAACCGGAGGAGCAGCGTGCACGGCGACCGAAAATATTGCCAGGACGGTAAATAGCGACAGAACTTGTTGAATGATGGCGACCATGTTGGTACTGATATCGATGAGTTGGAAGGGCCTTTCGGGAGTTAGTTTTCTGACGGACATATTCCAAGCTCCCTTCTAATCTCAATGGACTATATACGAAAGCATCAGCACAGGTCAAGACTGGAACAAGCACTTGAACGCAGTATCGCTCACTCTATCCAACAAATCCCGCTTACTCTCGAGGGCTGACGCCAACACAAGAAGTGTGCCAAGCTGTGTGTTGTCAAGGCAACATTTATGTAATCGTTGTCATGGCAACATTTATGAAATCGTTGTCATGGCAACATTTATGTAATCGTTGTCATGGCAACATTTATGTAATCGTTGTCATGGCAACATTTATGAAATCGTTGTCATGGCAACATTTATGAAATCGTTGTCATGGCAACATTTATGAAATCGTTGCCACCGGTCAGACAGTTGGGGTTATATAGGAGAAATACTAGACTCACCTGACGCAACTCGACGTTGTCAGTGATGGTGTTAAGGTATATATATTCTCATGTTTTCGTAGCCCCAATTCTTTGGTAATAAGCAAGCTTTTTACCAATAAAAGATGAGGAGGACGGGTCCCGATGATCAACAATCGGTGATAGTCGGAGCACAGTATCGCTGCTGTTTTAGGACAGAAACGCATATACCCAATTGACTAAAGAACGTGGTGAGAGCCTAGTGCTCTCAACTTGATATATATACATCGAGGTGCGTGCCGAATGTGGGAGTATCCTACTTAATGATCGAGCTTGACAACGAGCGGGACTGTATTGTACCCGATCTCTGGTCTGATCGTCTCCGCCAGATCTCCGATTAGATTGACCTTGTCTGATCTTCTCCATATCGGCTGATGTCAACTTTCATCATCATATTGAATCGTTTTCTTGGGCATGTTGTTCCTTCACACCTGTGCGAAGGGAGCCCGATGGAGGACCCGACGAAGTGGTGTCTTTACTTTCAACTTGGTTGCATTCGGATACATGGCATCGGCCAACGCTTCATTCAGGCTGTAGCAAGACGACAGCATGCTCATACCAGAGCTGAGAGCCAGAGAAAAAGTCGAGTGACGTCCAATGAGAAAGTTCGCAAAGCGTTAGGTAAAGAAGACGCCACTGAATCGTCAGTGTCGAGCTCCGAGCAGGTCATCGTCTGATGAAGGCCAGCAGCGAGGGACGGCCTATAAAAGAAGCACCTGGCTAGTCGCCAGTGGGTTAGGGGGGAAAGTAGGTTGACATTACATAGGGATTGACGGATCCATGTGATGTGCCCTCTTGACTGTATACGAAAAAGACTCTGGACTTCTATCTTCATCAGAACTCGAGCCAGGCGAGATGAGACTTTGGTCACTAGGGATGTGCTTCCTTCTTCTCCAGTTGGAAATACGTTGGGATCTCAAGAAGAATGCACGAGACGCAGCCGAGACACCGAGGGACCAGATGCATGCATAAGCAATGAAAACAATGAAGTACATGGAGGTTGGCATGACAACAACTCAGGGGCATTGCAGAAAACAACAACTCAGGAGACCACAGAAGAGGTGACTCATCAGATTTGGACATGACTAAAAGGTAGCAACAAAGTATATATATGTGTCTGTCATTGTGATCCATACAGTAGTACTACTAAGCATTACAAAAGACATACAACTGTGGTAAGGGAGCCTGATTGTGGCCCCAATAACAGCATATACTAATTGTTATCTTCAACTGATTAAGAGTCTGAAGAAGCTACCAATCAAGCTAATTGAAGCCCATCAACAATCATGGTAGAAGACACTGAAACCCAAGTCAGTGCCAGCATGAGGACCAAAGGAGGCAGGAAAGGCAAGATGACCCAGGTGCAAGCTGACAATGATGCCACCAACAAGAATGAGCTGGAGATCATCAATAACAAAGCTGATGAAGAGGCCAACTCTGACTTGGATTTTGACAGTGGTGACAAGCAATACAACTTCTGCACCCTAGCAAAGCTCCTCGAGCCTGTGCCAAAGCTCACATCATGCAGCTACTACAGCTGGAGCACACACATAAAGTCATTCCTTCAGTCCATACCCCATGCAATGAAACACCTTGAGGGAGTGTATGACAAGAAGCACCTGAAATGGAGCCACACCCTTGATGATGCTTTGACCAATGCTCTCTGTGGAATGATTGACACTACCAGGGAGCACAACATCAACTATCTTGTCCTAGATGTAATCAGAGAGTACCTCACCTTTCATCAAGTGTGGAGAAAGATTGAAAATGGACTGACAAACAATGCCACCAAGACATCCCACAGGCTTGCACTCATCTCACAGCTTGGCAACATAAAGATGTTCCATTTGGATGCAAGGAAGCTAATCCAAGAAATCTGGTCTATCCAGACCAAAAGTAGTTTACTTGGGAAGCCATTTGCCAATGACACATTGTTCTCAGCTTTGCAGAAATGCATGATCTGGCATCTGGTGTATAAAGAGATGGTCACCACCATTCATCAAATTGATTTCAATACCCTTGCCACTGCATTGAGCATCTGTCAGACCACCATTGAGAGCATCCCCACACAGAAGATTGACCCTCGACAGGCTAGTGCCAGGACCACCAGCAATGATGATCAAGATGACTGTCAGGGGTCTCGCGCCTGAAACCCAGGTCGGTCCGTCGAGATACTCGGTGACTATCAAACTGTGTGACAGCTATTGTCTCGGTATCGGTGACTATCAAGTTGTGCAGTGACAGCAGGTGGCGTTCGTTGTATATACTATCGTAGGTTTCGGCTGACCTCTGTGGACACTCCGTTCAGGGGTAGCTCGGCACGATCGATATCAATGTTATGATGACACCAAGGTCTGGTGTGAGTGTTGATGATGATGAGGTTGATGGTGTTGGTGATGGGATTGGTGATGTCGATGATAATGAGGTTGATGGTGTTGGTGATAAGGTTGGTGGCGTCAACACGAGTGTCCAGTGTGTTGACTTGATGCTTTGAAGTGATCCCCGGACCGCAGTGGACTACTGCCTTTGGTTCTATCTATATCCGGACCGCTAACCTGCTATGGGCGCCTTCGGACGTCAGGTAGTGGTGATACAACACACACACTACGATGAGGAGCAACCTTGATAGATTGCTGCTATGCTGACTGTAACTAATGAGTACTTGTGTTTCTAAAGTATTGACTAGTTGTATGGTGAGTAGAGTGGATGGGGATCCACTCGACCTATGATGATGAGAAAGCATGGTTATATACCTCTTCACAGCATTGCCAGCGATGCTGCTCCTGCTCTCTCTCCAGAGAGTACCTTCTTCATCGAGTATTGCTCAGGGGCATCTCCTGCTTAGCACCCCTGTGCCTCTTGTCGACACTGCTCCTCCTCCTCATGACCTGGTGTCGACTCCTTCGACACTGCTCCTCCTCCTTTGCTCAGTGACAGTTCCTTTGGCTCTTGTCTCTCGAGCCCCTGAATGGTAACCATCTGCATGCTCCTTGAGCTTGGTCCTCTTCGTGGCTTGTGCTTGGCCCTCCTTTGCATGTGAGTCCATAGGAGTCCATGGTCTCCATGGAGACTGCACTACGACCATGCTCTCTACTGGTGTCGACTAGGTCTTCGATACCTGTGCTCCTTCCATATGAACCCATGACCCTCCTGCTTCTTGAGCATCCAGGCCCATGACAATGACCAAGCCAGGGAGATCAAATCCAACAATGGCAAGATGAACCTGAAGAACACAAGCAAACCACAATGAATCTGATGCTGGATATGCAAACAGACAGGACATAGAATCAGCCAGTGTGATGCCATGGTCACCATTCCCAAGGACTCCTCCCTCACTAAACCCAAATAGGAAGCATGGTGCTCCCTCACCCTTACACCAAATTGGCAGGAACCCCCAAACCCAAAAGAAACGGCTCACTGGATTTTGGACTTGGGGACGAGTTACTGTCACAGGGTCGGCTGGCCAGAGCAAGAGAGTGTGCCAATTGATCAAGCGGCAGTCATGGTAATGTTGTGTAACGGAGCAGTATATGAAGGGTGCACAGAAGATCAACATATGAAGGGTGTGCCAGATTGATCAGAGCCAAAAACCATTGGGGATCAATGAGATTAATTGGGTTGGCAGCACATATGAATTACAAGAATGATCAAACTCCAGGAATCCAGATCAATCTCACAGGATTGGTCAGGATCAGTTGGATCAGCATGCCTCAACTAGTCAGCCGATACAAGCAAGTACTTGGAGTTGTGCCGACATGACCACATGACCAAGGGGTTTGGTCACAAGGTTCAACAAGTGGCTTAAGGGATTCACAAGATAAAGTCAAGAGGGAGCTGTGTCGAAAGGGGGCATCACACATCATCAGGCAGAAGGAGAGCATGAAGGCGAAAGGGCAGTGTTGCATAACCCTTATGCTGTGCAAATGGTAGGAGTGCAGTATCAATGGGATTGATGCCAGCAGGACAAGACAGTGCAAAACAGGGGACTAAGGCCCCTCAAGAGGAGCAGGATAGGTGTCATGGGCTATGCCAACCAAACACATATATACTCTCATTCTACCATAGCATATGAGTGGACCCCCATCCACTCTTTTTATTGATACTTTACTTATTACTTACTTGGTTATGTGCCATCACAATAGCAGTGCTCTTGCAATGACTCTCAACATGTGTGTCATATCACCATTAGTTGACAACTGTAGGCAGTGTTCTTCACACTAGCAGTCCAGTTCCTTACTGTAGGTGGTGTTCTTCAACACCTGTGGTCCAGTCCCTCACTGTAGGCAGTGTTGCTCGACACCAGTGGTCCAGTCAGTTATTGTAGGCAGTGATTCACACCTGTGGTCCAGTAACTCCCATCCTCTGTAGGCAATTGGCATATCACAGTCCAGACAACATCCAAGAGCATTACCAACAGTACTATGAACACTTGTACTGTAGGAGAGGGTGTATCACCCACTCACCAACAAACAAGCATTCATGCCACACAACCTCTGAACAGAGTGTTCAAGGCAGTCAGTCGAGACTTACCAGGCAGTGATGCTTGGTTATGTTTAGGCGAAACATATCAAGTAGACCTTACTCAATCAAACTCAATATAACCCCCAATCCTAAGTCTCTGGCGCGCGACCGCTTACAGTTACCATATGGTGAACACCTATGGCATGCTCACCCACCCAAGAACCTGTTGAAAGTGTATAATCACTGCTGGAAATGAGGTTCTGGAGGCAACAGCCATAGGAGATGTTAGCATATCAACAGATTATGGGGATATCTCCCTACAAAATGTATTATATGTCAAGCATCTCAATGTTAACCTCCTGTCAATGAACTCATTAATGGATGATGGAGCACGAGTGATATTGGATAGTACTGGTGGACAAATCTATTTGATAAATGGCATGACACTTAAGATTGCAAAGAATCATGAGCAAGGACTTTTGGAGTTCCAAGGTGACACATGGCAAGAAAGCATGATGACTGCATCAACACTATTGTTTGAAGGTGTTGATGAGGAGTTCGAGCATATTGAGAATGAGCCAAAGATTTCAAAACAATGATTATGGCATGAATGCCTTGGACACCCAGGTTGAGACAAGTCAAAGGCAATCATGAACAAACTGAAGGGCAAGCACATCATAGAATTGGATCCAGACACCACTCTGACATGTGAGCAGTGCATACAATCCAAAAGTACAAGTGCACATATGGGGCAAGGTAGTGACAAAAAAGCTGCTAGACCCCTGGATCTCATACATATTGACTTGATCATCAATTCCTCTCATGTGACAGAGTATACATGCACCCTAGTGCTTGTGGATGATCACAGCAAGTATGTATGTGTACAACCCCTGCTAAAGAAAAGCCATGCATTCAGTCAACTCAGGAAGATAGTCACTGTCATGGGCCTGGATGCTCAAGAAGCAGGAGGGTCACTGGTTCATATGGAAGGAGCACAGGTATCGAAGATCTAGTCGATACCAGTAGAGAGCATGGTCGTAGTGCAGTCTCCATGGAGACCATGGACTCCTATGGACTCACATGCAAAGGAGGACCAAGCTCAAGGAGCAGGCACAGCCACGAAGAGGACCAAGCTCAAGGAGCATGCAGACGGTTACCACTCAGGGGCTCGAGAGACAAGAGTCAAAAGAACTGTCACCAGTCAAAGGAGAAGGAGCAGTGTATAGGGAACTGGCAAGCAGGTTCTGAGGAGGAGGAGCAGTGTCGAAGGAGTTGACACCAGGTCCTGAGGAGGAGGAGCAGTGTCAAAGGAGTTGACACCACTCAGGAGGCACAAGGGTGCCAAACAAGCAGGATAGCAAGGAGGAGGAGCAGTGTCGAAGGATTCGACACAGCTCAAGAGACACAGGGGTGCCAAGCAAGCAGGAGAGGCCCCCTGAACAGTGTCAGGGGTCTCGCGCCTGAAACCCAGGTCGGTCTGTCGAGATACTCGGTGACTATCAAACTGTGTGACAGCTATTGTCTCGGTATCAGTGACTTATCAAGTTGTGCAGTGACAGCAGGTGGCATTCATTGTATATACTATCATAGGTTTCGGCTGACCTCTGTGGACACTCCATTCAGGGGTAGCTTGGCACAATCAATATCAATGCTTCAGTTATGATGACACCAAGGTCTGGTGTGAGTGTTGATGATGATGAGGTTGATGACATTGGTGATAAGGTTGGTGAGTGTTGATGATAATGAGGTTGATGGTGTTGGTGATAAGGTTGGTGGCATCAACACGAGTGTCCAGTGTGTTGACTTTGACGCTTGAAGTGATCCCCGGACTGCAGTGGACTACTGCCTTTGGTTCTATCTATATCTGGACCACTAACCTGCTATGGGGTGCCTACGGACGTCAGGTAGTGGTGATACAACACACACACTATGATGAGGAGCAACCTTGATAGATTGCTGCTATGCTGACTGTAACTAATGAGTACTTGTGTTTCTAAAGTATTGACTAGTTGTATGGTGAGTAGAGTGGATGAGGATCCACTCGACCTTTGATGATGAGAAAGCATGGTTATATACCTCTTCACAGCATCGCCAGCGATGCTGCTCCTGCTCTCTCTCCAGAGAGTACCTTCTTCATCAAGTACTGCTCAGGGGCCTCTCCTGCTTGGCACCCCTGTGCCTCTTGAGTGGTGTCGACTCCTTCGACACTGCTCCTCCTCCTCATGACCTGTGACAGTTCCTTTGACTCTTGTCTCTCGAGCCCCTGAGTGGTAACCATCTGAGCTTGGTCCTCTTCGTGGCTGTGCCTGCTCCTTGAGCTTGGTCCTCCTCATGGCTGTGCCTGGTCCTCCTCACATGTGGCTCGTGTCCTCCTTTGCATGTGAGTCCATAGGAGTCCATGGTCTCCATGGAGACTGCACTACGACCATGCTCTCTACTGGTATCGACTAGATCTTCGATACCTGTGCTCCTTCCATATGAACCCATGACCCTCCTGCTTCTTGAGCATCCAGGCCCATGACAGTAACCATCTGCATGATGCTGAGCTTGGTCCCCACTCCTACATGTGGTTATCTCTGTATGCTTCTCCTTCTAATGCCAGTATCCTCCTTCCTGAATCTCCTGATGCTTGCTCATGTCAGCTGACTTGCTGAGACATGCTGATCAGGCTGATCCCAATCAATCCTTGTGAAATTAACCTGGGCCCCAGAGTTCAGTTGGTCTTGTAAATCATATGTGCTACCAACCTGATTAGCTTCATTGATTCCTGATGATTTGCTGCTGATCAATTTGGTGCACCCTTCATTCATTGATCCACTGATCCTGTGACATCCAGCATTGGCCATTCCTTGATGGTTCGCACCTTCTCTGGGTCCATCTCTATTCCAGTGGGTTTGATGATGTACCCTAAAAACTCAACTGTAGTGGTGTGAAACTTGCACTTGGACAGTTTGGCAAACAGTTGATTGCTTCTCAAGTGGGTGAGGACCTCAGTGACATGCCATATGTGTGCCTCTTCATTGTCACTGAAGATCAGGAAGTCATCCAAATACACCACTACATACACTCTGATGATGTCTCGGAAGATATCATTGATGAATGATTGGAAGTGGGCCGGCGCATTTGCCAGGCCGAACGGCATCACCAGGTACTCATAGAGTCCCAACTGTGGATACGGGCTGCGAATGAAGCAGGAATTGTTGTATCTCTGCCTTCGTAATGAAGGAGGGGGTATCGACTCACACCGGGAGTCCGATGAACGGTTTTTCACGGGACGGCCGACGAAGGTTCGCACGATGATAAGCTTCAACGGGTTCTCCGTCGAGTAGTGCCTGTTGAAGTGATCGGCACATCCGACAGTTCTTCTCACGATGATAAGACTTGTCGGGCTCTCCGTCGGGTGATCTCCGACGATCAGTCGGCGCATCCGACGAGGCGGTGGACAAGTCTCCTTCAGATGATAAGCCTTTGTCGATACTCTCCCTTCACGGTGGCAAAAGTTCCTCAGAGAAAAGGGACCTCTCCTTCAAGGGCTCTCATGTCCTTCATGCTTCAGACCTTTCTGCTGCCTTTTGTGTCAGTGTCGAGGTGTATATATATGGTGCTCGAAGCCGGCTAGTTTGTTGCTTGATATTTCATCCCATTGTACTTACTCTCCAACGTCGAGCACTCAATACAAAACCGTGTTCTGCCAGAGTCCACTAGCCTTTCAACACAGTAAAGCGCAGAAGCTGGCATTTCTCGGAGCTACATTTCTTCCAAGGACAGCCAAAGGTGTCCTGCTCGAGTCTCAGACAATTAGACCTGCCTTTGAAGTGACGCGTCTCATGTGAGATGGATTTGTCAAGCAGTTGACTCGCGCGAGAAGCATTGAGCTAGTCGATTATTGCTCATTGTTTCGTCTTCCACGCAAACAAGCCGTCGTTTGGGATCTCTTTAGCAATATACTGTATAGTATCCTCCAGTGCGGAAAGTAGCAATCCATTATGATGATGTAAGCTGACATCAGACGATACGGGAGAGATCGGGTAGAAGACAGTCCCACTCGTTGTCAGACTTGGTCATTAAGTAGAGTTGCCACATTTGGCATGTGCCACCCAGATGTATATTATACAAGCCGAGAGCACTAGGCCCTCATCACGTTCCTTCAGTCAATTGAGTATATACCTTTCTGTCCTAAAACAGCGGCGATATTGTGCTGAGACTATCACTGATCGTTGATCATCGGGACACGTCTTGCTCATCTTTTATCATCCTGCCCTCCTCCTTTTCAAACTTTTGAAGAGAGTATTCCTATAGCTGTGAGTGAAGTGTCTTCGGACTTGTGGAAAGCATTCATAAGCAACCGCTGCATTCAAAAACAATCCGATCGCATCCCTTATCTTTGCGAAGAGGACGTTGAGTCAGAAGCAGAAGCGGGCCAAGTAGGGCCATCTCGTGCGACTGCATGCCGTTGCCGCATTTTAAGCTCGAAAGCACCCGAGCTCCTCACTTCATACAGGCGAGCTGCGTAATTACACACCAATCCTGGCATTGACACTGCATATGTTGGTGCGGGCAGTGGATTCACACATGAAACTGGAAGATGGCTGCAACAACATTCGCATGCGTGCCGCGACCCACACGATGGGACCGGCGGGGTACGGTCGTCTGCCTCCACTTGCTCGCCCTACCAGAAGGGCGAGCAAAGAGAGGCGGAGAGGTGTCTGCGGTGGTCTCTAGCTTAGTGCTAGCCAGCTGAGGAGCGCACATAGCATGATGTGGGAAAGGCATAAAAGGGAGACACACGATTGCTCTTTGCATCTTCTTTGTCTCTCAAGCTTACCTCCTCAATCGACCTTCTCCCTCCGCAATGCTCTCCACAAAAATCATTGGGCTTTGCATCACGGCGCTGGCGACAGTGCAAGTTCACGCTGTCAATAATGGAGAGCCAAGCGCACGAGTCCAGATTCCTGAGAGATTGCTCCTGCCTGTCGGCGATCAAAATCTCGCTAGGGAAGGAGTATTTCAACCGGTTCCATCTTGGCTTCGGTATACACCGCAATATGAGTGGCCGACTGATTTGCCTGCTGCCCAGCCTGGACCCGTGGGGGCCGGCGAAGCAAGAGCCAGCTCAAGCCGACAGCCTGAGGAAGACGAAGTATCTAGTCAGCCCAGCCGAGTGCCATCCAACCCCTCATTGTCACTTGGAAAGAACTGGTTCAGTATGCAGTCGTATACCCTCGACATGCCCGAGCTTCAAAGTTTTTATCACGGCGACAACTTCGAGCCTGTCAACTTTGAGGATTTGTACACGAATGGTCGCGTTCATACATCGGGCGCAATCTATCGACCCGATCCTCAAGTCCTGCGTGCAATTCAAGGTCAAATCTGGCCAGTGTTGAAAGTGGAGGGCCTCATACAGAACAAAGTTTCTCCCAAATACAATCTTAAGCACGGTGAGTATCTCTGGCCACCCTTCCAACCGGGACCCAGCGGTGTCACAAGTCTGGATCTTCGGCCGAAACTGGCGGAGGAACTCCGCCTTCGTATCACCAACCGAATGAAACAGCACAAGCAAGACACGCCGAACATGTATCAGATGCAAGTGAACGTGGGCAGAAACACGCATCACGTTCTCATGCTAACCGGTAGGAGCAACGATTACTTCGATGAGGAAGTGCATCTTCCACAATCAGAGCTTTGGCTCTTCTATGAAAGTGGAAAAGTAAACGGAGAGCAAAAACCGAAGGTTGCTTTCTTGGGCGCTTCATTCCTACCTTTGGGAGCAAAAGATCTGCTGGTAGGAAAAAAAGTGGCCTGGATTGCTAAAATTGGACATGCGGCCTAACCGCACTAGACCACATTGTGTTATTCTATTGCCAGCCTTCGCTTTGGGTGTGATGGTGTCGTCAGCGTGAGCTTTGTTACGCGCCTTATCTTGCCAACCTTATAAATGAAGGAGGCCTGTGTCTGTATCGAATCGCATCAGGACAGTCGTCCGGAGGGCCAAACACCTCGGCTCTCCATCGACCGTATCAGCGAGAGATAAGGGTCAGGAGGAGATAAGCATCTGGGCTCTATCGCTCTATGGTCTTTTGCACTGCCTCGTTATGTTCAGACTCCACCACTCCAACATGTCACTCTATCGTCCATAAGCTAAGACGTATAAAAGCACCCGAGTCAGTTAGTTCGCTCTCCGTCAAATGATCCATCTGTTTGTATATACAGTTCACCGTCGACATAAGTAATACTACCGCGACCTACCATTCGAGTCTATCATTCGCTCCAACAGCATTGGCTTCCGTTTCGTCATGTAGTCACTTTTCTGCCTCTCTTCAAACAGATTCCTCTCCCTCTGCTTTACTGAAAGGAACGATCCAGTGAAATGATACGAGGTGACATAAGCAAGTACAAGATGAATCGGGTGAGGGACGATGCGATCGGGTACAACCTACACCCACTCGTTGCCATACCTCGTCATTAAGTAGGATGTACCCACGCCTGGCGTATGCCACCCAGCTTGTATATATATCACGCGGGGAGCTTGAGGCTCCCGCCACACTCCTTTCTCTTCAGTCAATTGAGTATATTTGTTTCTGTCTATAAACTAGCAGTGACATCGTGCTTAGACTATCCCCGATCACCAGTATCGGGACCTAAAACTTTTCATGCTTGCATTCGACCTGTGTTACTTTGAAGAGCTTAATCATGACGTTGTTGTAATTGCTTCCGTCGATCTTAGAAAGGGCACCGATGACGTCGCTAAAGCTTGGTTCTCACGCCGACATGAAGTTCTGCCGGCACTGGATGAGTTCATGAGAACAACGTGCATAGCACGTAAAGCTACAGCAACGAGTTGCACCGAAATGAGTCCGAAAGCAACGGTCGATCCACATGGTCCCGCTCTATGAACAAGTAAGTTGAGCCCAACTTTCTTTTGCTGTTCAGCAAGACGTCAAAGACATTTAAGACCCTCTTCGCGTACGTTGTTCAGATCTACACATCTACACATCTCCACAAATTACCGGTACGATGAATGTCTTTCTCATTGTTGCCGTGATAACTGCCGTCGTAGCCTTTGCAAGTGATCATCCGCCGGCTAGAATGGTCATGATTCCTTTGGAACAAGCCCTTCCTGTGTCAGAGCGGTTTGGTGTTCACAATGTTGGCGATGGTAGAACTGTCCCTGCTTTAACATGGGCTCCTCCAGCAGCAGCTCAACGCACGGACAGCTCCAGCGAAGCATCTAGCCAGTCGGCTCAGGAAGCAGCCGCAAGTCGCTACTTAGCCAGCTTGGCCCCTGCGCCACCTGCTGAGCCTGGGAACCGCCGTCCGGCGTTCCAGATCCTCGATGGCGAGCCTCTCCGGTGGATTTTTGATACTTCTGCTGCCAGCTCAAGCACAGAACCACCAGGAACCAGACAGATCATTCCCCAGTTCGTCCAAGTCGAGGGCTCCAGCGAAGCAGCTAGCCGTTCGGCTCAGGAAGCAGCCGCAAGTCGCCACTTAGCCAGCTTGGCCCCTGCGCCACCTGAGCCTGGGAACCGCCGTCCGGCGTTCCAGACCCCCGATGGCAAGCCTCTCCGGTGGATTTCTGATACTTCTGCTGCCAGCTCAAGCACAGGACCACCAGGAACCAGAAAGATCATTCCCCAGTTCCTCCATGTCGAGTCGGGTCGAGTTTGGGGTCCGCTACCCATTGGGGACGAAAAGTTCTCCATGAAATCTTACCCTCTCGACATTGGGTTTTTTCATCACCTATATGGAGATACCCTCGCCGTCCCTGCCGACTTCGAAGGCTTCGTCACCGACAGGCCCATCCATCCTAGCTACCGAGACACTGATACCTTCCCCAACCAGCCCGCCGCTCCTGTACAAAAACGGATTGATGCAAGCGGAACGTCTTACAGACCAGAACCTGCGGTGCTTCAAGCTGTGCACGACGCTATTTGGCAGCCTCTAGGCCAATCTGGAATTCGGCCTGGGAAATTGCCTCAATCAGATGTGTTTGAAGGTGAATATCTCTGGCCGCCAGTTGAAGCACACAGCGACAGCCAGCACTTATTCCCGATGTCGACGCTCCTGCAGCGCATTCGAGCTATTATATCGACGAAGTTTCGGAGTGCATTGTCGGGAGATCCCAGCTTGTTTCACCTGAACGTCGACGTCAACGGACAGATCAGACATATCCTGATGTTCCCTACTGTTAGTGGGTATTATGTGAAACATACGAATACGCCGCTCACGTCGACGCTTTGGCTTCTGTACGAAGGTATGACCGTTTCATCAGACGGGGGGCGATGGGGTCGGCGGCAATTATCGTTGCTAGGGGCGACGTACTTGCCTAAGGAAGTAGTACCTGACTATCTCCAGGATATCGATGTCCTGACAGTTGCCTTTGGGAAGCACATGAATGTTCTTCACTAGTCGACCTACGCAATGTTTTGCAATGACAGGGAACCAAAATCAGATCCCCTCCACCGCCTGCAGTAACTCAGTATATGCCATGATTCGAAAACTCGCTCTCATCTTGTCGCTTCGGGCGAAAAGGGCGAAATGGTCAACATATCACTCTGTTCGCACCTGTAGGTTCAATTCTCAAAGTCATCTTCATTACATATGCTTAGCGCCTGTCGATCTTCTGAAGTATTCCCCAGCCTGTACTTCTCTTCTCAATCTTTGTTCGCCTTTGCTTCCAAAAGGACCTCTGGACTGCGAATTGGAAGCATCGTGAGCGTTTCAGACATCACCAAATTAGCTTTGTGACCAATCCGAGCAATGAGTGCGAATTCCACCAAAATCTCACTGCTTATTGGTGGGACGCTTCATACCAAGCAAATATAATCATATACGCCCTGCTTCGTTGTGCGTTGTCTCACGAGCGTGTATGTTCCAATGGGATACGGGGAGCAACCTGTACCACCTTTTTTTTTTTTTTTTTTTTTTTTTTTTTTTTTGGAAGTCTGTTGTTTCTGCAGCATGATGGGCTTGAGAGGGACGCTGGTGGAGGGTCGTCGAAATCTTAGGGTGGGACTGGGTCCTCATTTTGCTCACAGGGGCCAACTAGTGTTGGAGCGAACAATGTGCTCGCTTGTCACTTGCGACACAGACTTGGATGGCAGGACGCAGTTTTATTACGTGTGGCGACAACGAACGGTATGTAGAGACAGTGGATGAATGTGGTACTGATGAAGCACACAGTTGTCTGGTTGCAAGGTCAGCTCAGATGGTGGCCGCTTGGTGGGTGATAGACGCCGTTAATACGCTTCAAGTCCCGGTATGCGGTATGAAATGCACGCTTGGCTGTAGGGCACTCCTTGATCGTCACGATGACGGGCATGACGTTGGTCAGAACGAAGGTGGGTTCACTGTGGGCAACAGACCTCCTTCCTTGACGGCTAAGAGATATAAGCAGCCTCCCACGAGCAACTCTCCCCCTCAATACTCAAGCTTCTACCTCTCTTTAGCCCTTTGCAGGTCTTCGAAGATGTTACTCACTCGACCGCTCACCATCCTATCCATCGCCCTCCTCTTCTTCGCACCTGTAGATGCGGTTTTTGGGTTTCGAAGCTACGCCTCTGTCGTCAAAGGACCTTCTCGTCACCCTTCCCCCTCAGACCCTCTCGACGCTCTTCCATCAAACTCTGAATTCGAAAACGCGCTACTCACCAGACCGCCTTCTCCAAGGTCCCCCTCCAACCCACTCTGGGTTCCCTCACCCAACCCCGATCCCTTTTCAACCGCGAAGCACTACATGATACCCAAAATCACCACGTATTACGGTCGAACATTCGGTCCGCTCCCCATCGGCAGATCAAAGTTTCATCCTACACCATATCCTTTTACCATCCCGCATTTCCAAAATACATACACTCGGCAAGCATTGTGGCCGGTTGACTTTGATGTTGCTCATGTCCGGCAGCTTTTGGATGGAGAGAAAATGTATCGTCCTGAACCGCACATCTTGAAAAATGTGAGGAAGGCTGTTCATACTCCGTTGAGGCTTCATGGATGGGAGCCTGGGGTTAAGGGGCAGGGGGAGTTTCTATGGCCACCAACAATAATCCATCCTACCAAAGCAATTTCTGGATTAGAAATGCCAGTAAAAACAAGATTGGAATTGCATAGTGAATTGATGAGTAATTTTAAGGATCATTCTCAGATTGATTCTAAGATGTGGCATCTAACAGTGGAGACTAGAGAGGGGAAGAGGAATGTTTTGATGTCCAAAGCAAACGCAGAGAGGTTTGTGGACGGAGCGGAAGGGGAAAAGAACGATCACGACTTCTGGATGTTTCACGAAGCGTTCCGAAAGCCTCATCTGCAGAAGGAAGTAGGGGCGCCAGGGCTGGCGTTCTTGGGAGGAATGTATCTGCCGAAAGATGCTATCAAAAAGTTGGAAGAAGCAGGGAGTGTCAGGCCTGCTTTTCAAAGCGTTATTGGTCACCTTCATTAGATTGACGCATTCGTTTTTCGTTTTCGTACTTTGATATAGAATAGATGTTGGTTTTGTTGATTGCCGTGTGTGTCGACAGGCGTGATCCAGATGGGAGCAATGCTGGCGGTGATGTTGAGCATGTCCATTAAATGGGCCCTTTTTTGAGTGTGAAAAACGTGCCGCCGGAGGAATTTCTCGGCTGCACAATTCTGCAACCGCGCGCGTTTGTGTTCCGATTTCCGATTTCCGGTTTTCAAATTCCGATTTCCGATTTCACCCTGCATTTACGCCAAACCGGTGCGAGCCTCTATCTTTCTCTCCATGACATTATCATCACGCCTACCACTTGAGCCCTAACACCTCTTCCGACTTCACAAACCACCGCAGCAATGTTGACAGCGCCTGCATTTATGCCAACGCTACTATTATAGCAGCTCTTGCGCTCCGTCCCACCGTCGTGGCGTGCATACACCAGCACCTCTCTCCGCCAAGATGGACGACGAGAAGGCCGCAGGAGAGCAGCTGCCACCCAGCGCGACATCCACAGCATCCAGCTCATCTCACCAGCCCGCATCGCACTCAGCTCGCAGTTGCAAAGCCTCCCAAGGAGGAGGACTAGAAAAATCAACAACAATTCAAACGTTCCTAACTGTGAGCGACAACGATGTCTACCATCCCGCGCACCATTCCTTATTCGTCGCTCATCCTAGCTCTAGCCATGCATTTCGAGTCCGCAAAACTCCCATCTTCTCTGGCCTACTCGCTCCATTCTCCATCGTTCTCGAAGTGCCCGGTCTCACATCCAAATGGTATGCTGACATCAACCCAGAAGGTCAAGTAATCCGTTTCATTCCCAACCCAACCATCCTCACCGTCGGTCTATCCATCTCTCTCACTTCCGCCGTCATCGCCAATTTCGCCATCATCCTTCGATTTCTTGAAATACTTGGTCCGCGACAATCCATCGCACTTGCTATCGCTTCTCTTGCTCTACATGATATAATCAATGTGGTAGCGCTGGCTGTATTTGGTGGGATATATGGGCCGAAGAATGATGGGTTGAGTCTAAGTGCTAGCTATTGGATGGTTTGTGCGAGTACGATTACCTCAACCTTAGTGACGGCGAGTTTGGTGATGGATTATGTGAGGACGAAAGACTTCAAGCATGCAGGGAGCGGATTGACGCAGTTGCAAAAGGGGTTGGTGTTGGCGGGGATGGGGTTGTTGTTGTATCTGAGTTTGGGGAGTTTGATATTTGTCTTTGTGATAGAAGTGGATTTTATTACTGCGTTGTACTTTTCAACGGCGACCGTGTTGACGGTGGGGTTTGGAGATGTGGTGCCGGGAAGTGCAGGAGGGAAAGTGCTTGTGGTATTGTATGCTCCGACGGGGATAGTACTTGTAGCCTTGGTGGTAAGTGCTGCGAGAAGCGCGATGTTGGAGACGTTCCAGGCTACACTGCTAGAAAGGACGAAGGAGAGGCGGAGGAGGATAAGAGAGCGAAAGGAAAGACTGAAGGAGGAGAAGAGAGAGGAGAGGGCATTGAAGAAAGCTCTACCACGAACATTCACTCTCAGTGCTTCGGAAGGTAATGGCTTCGCTGAAGCGCTAGCTCGGATGGAACAAGATGCTTCTTCCCACCCACTCTCCTCACTCTCCATCACCGCCACCACGATCGCCACTCCGCCACCAGCAACAGCAGGCGATCCAATCCTCCAATCCCAGATCGCCTGTCTCTCGCATCAACTCCTCCTCGCAAAAGCTCGCACAGAGTCAGACTTCCGCACATACGAATCCCACATGAGACGAGAAGCCATCACAGCAGCCCGCATAAAGCTCCTCCTCGCATTCAGCGTCACCCTCGCCTTCTGGCTTCTCGGCGCAGTAGCGTTCACATATGCGGAAAGATGGAGCTATGGAGGAGCAATGTGGTTTTGTTTCATAGCAATGATTACAATTGGATACGGAGATTATCATCCGAGTACGCAATTGGGAATGGCGATCTTTGTGATTTGGGGATTGATGGGGGTTGCGGTATTGACAATTTTGTTGGCGGTGGTTCAGGATGCGTTTGGAAGTATTTTTGCGAGGGTGCTGACGAATAGTGCGCAGAGGTTGTTCAGTCGGGGTGAGAAGCGGATGAGGAGGAGGAGGAGTAGGGAGAGAATGGAGGGAGGGGGGAATTTTGAGGCGCAAACACAAGCAAGGAGCAGGAATAGGAGGGGAGGGAGGAAGAGTGAAGGTGATTTACCCCGACCCAAACTCTCTGCTAGGACTGGAGAAGGGAGGAAGAGTGCTGATGGATGTATAGAGAAATCTACCACTGCTGTTCGCACCAGTACACCTGAACCGATCGAGTCGAAAGAAGGTAGTGGGGTTAAGTTCACCATCCCGTCTGCCCCACTCACCAGCGATGAAATAGCTGGAGTGAAACTACCAGCAACTACAGAAGCTCGAATGGAAGAAACTCTCGTCTCTACTCCTCAGAAACTCGCCCTTGCCGCTCTCCAAACTTTCCAACATTCCGTCCGTCTCCTGCAGCTGCACGACCACACAATCTCGCAAGCCATGTGTGAAATTCCGGCGCTTCGACACTACTACAACTCTCGCCAAAAGCCCGGCACAAACGCTTCTCTAGAACAGGATCAACAGGATAGAGAGGCGCTACGAAAGCTGGAAGAAGCAATCAAACAAAACGCGAAACCAGAATACGAGAAAGTCTGCAAACTCGTCGTTGCCAATCTCGAGTTCGAGCAGCACCTGCGTATTCTCCTCGGCGGATTTCAGGGCTTAAAAGATAGAGTTGAAGGCTTTAAACATCAACTTCATCAACCATCGTCACAGACGTCGGAATTGGAAGGAAAGGAAGGATGATGTTTTTGTACCTTAACTTACATTGTATTTGTATATTATGCGGTTTTGAGGGACGGAAATCTAGATTGAACAATCTTGTACAGGTGTGGCCAGATCTGATTCGATTCGTCTCCTCGTAAGTTTACGAACAGCTCGTCTCCTTTTGTTGAGGCAAGGGCTGTGGAAGGGTCCGTGTTGGTTCGACAATCGATATCGGTGATGGAGGATGATTTGGAACGGTAGTGTTGGAGCATGGGTTCGGTTTGTGCGTGGAATGATCTTAAACGTTTACCGAAAGTTTCGACGTTGTCGTCTTCCCTCTTGCTGAGCAGCTCTCCGGTGATATCATCTTTGCCTTGAACCTTTGGTGGGTTGTAGCTGAGGTTGTAAACACGGCCTGAAGGAAGGTGCGTCCATCGCTGGAGAATCCTATCGAGAATAACACTTTCCGGCACGTCTAGATTCACCACCAACTTCAGCGGCTTTCCTTCTTTCTCCAGCATAGCATCCAGCATTTCCGCCTGTCCCAAAGTCCGTGGGAATCCATCCAAAAGCCAATCTTTGGAAGCGAGAGAAGAGACTTCAGAACCGATCAAATCCATCATTACTTGATCTGGCATCAGTCCCCCTTGCTTGATGACGGATTCTGCACGTTGGCCGATGGGGGTGGCTCGTCGGATGTGCGATCGAAGAACGTCACCTGCGGACAGAACTGTGAAGGAGTGATGTTTGAGTAAGCGTGCTGATTGGGTGCCTTTGCCGGAACCGGGGGAACCGACGATTAGCATTCGCATTTGGCTGTCATTCTGGGCTGTGCAGGTGGTGGAAAGGCTGCGAAGGGTGAGGCGCGTTGTTGGGGTTAGGCGGAGGGTGCGCAGGGTGGAAGTGGTGATAATTGTAGTGGACATGTTTGATGATTTTTGGTTGCTGTTGTTGACAGCGATGGCGGATGATGATGACGAGGTGATGAATTTAAGGCTTCTGATGGTGGTCCAAGCGCTTTCAGAAACGGGCAAAGAAGACGCACTTTTTCTAGCCGGAACACATGTGGAGATCTCACATTCTCGCTCATTTTCTTTGCCCCGCAACCGGCTATCACCCTTCCTCACCTCTCGCACACATCGATGAAACCATAGTCTCTCCCTTCTCACACACCCGAACACACTCACACAAGGCTGTCCATGTTGTCTCCTTTACGGCAGTGTTGGGGATGCGAGCCTCTGTATTCGAAGCAACATGTGTGTACAAGCAAAGATACTGAAAAGGAAGTCATTTAGCGGCCCATCCAACCACCATCAACAACCAGCATTTCACCACTAACATACTGGCTTGCACCACTAGCCAAGAACAGCAGCGGACCCTTGAAATCCGCTGGCTCACCCCACCTTCCCGCCGGAATCCTTTCACTGATCTGCCTCAATCTCGTCTCGTCCGCCAGCAATTTCTCGTTCATATCCGTCGCAATGTAACCCGGAGCAATACCATTCACCTGAACATTGTGTTTTGCCCATTCATTGCTCAACGCCTTGGTCAACTGACCCACTGCACCCTTTGCACTGGCATAAGCAGGTACCGTGAGACCACCTTGGAACGTGAGGAGGGAACCAAAGTTAATAATCTTGCCCGAACGACGAGGGATCATGTGTCGACCCGCAGCTTGCGAGAGAAGCCATACGGATTTGAGGTTGACGTTGAGAACTTCATCCCAATCGGATTCGGGGAAGTCGGTGGATGGGTGTCGACGTTGGATTCCACCGCAGTTGATGAGGATGTCGATGGCACCAGTGGCAGAGAGAGGGAGGGATCGGTCGAAGAGGGATTTGACGGAGGAGAGGTCTGCCAGGTCGGCTTCGACGGTAGAATGTTTTTGGCAAGAGGATTGGTTGGGGACGGAGGTGAGAGGTAGAAGAGCGGGGTGAGGGGAGGCAGCGTTGCCAGGTCGAACGGCAAGGATGACAGATGCTCCGGCTTCGACCAGTGCGACGGCACAGGCTTGACCAATACCACGCGTTCCACCGGTGAGGAGGGCCGTCTTGCCGGAAAGGTCAAAGAGTCCGACGGAGGACGCGGAGGAGGTCTTTTCGCAGGCTACGTTGGAGGTCGACATTGCGAAGAAGCCTTGTAGGGGATGGTGTCCGTGGTGGGTGGTGGTGGGTGGTGGTGGGTGGCGGTAAGAATAGGGAAAGACCGGCGGTGTTAGCTTCCTTATATGAGGCTAATGGCGGTAAGCAGATCTTCGTAGAAGCATGTCTGATGCGGGAGAAAGGAGGAGAAGTGTCGTACATTGCAACAGAGGCACAAGAGAGAGAGGGTCCGTGCGCTTTCTCAAAAACCGGACGCGGCCGGACCGTTGTTCCGGTCAGAGATTCCACAACCCGATTTCGCTTGCGATTTTGCTCCCGATTTTGCCTGCGATTTCGGCGATGTGAGGAAGCCAAAAATAGACCGTGGTTGTTGTTACACAGGATCAAACACTGCCGACAAAGACGGCCAGCATCGATGTCGCATTGACGACGTTGTCCCATGTTTTCCTTGGAGGGGCAAAGTCACCGATCAAAACAATGAAATCCATGAGGATGCCGACAAGCTTGATCCCACATGGCGGTGAGGCAATTCAATGGGGCTCAAGGATGCCACAGCGAGATACCGCTGACAGCAATCAACGCTGTCACAACGAGGTCTGGACCTTCAGGGATGAAGTTTCCGATGGTGTTGTAAGCTTTGTTGCCAGAGAGCAACACGGGGTTAGATACAGTAGCAAGACTTATGGTGATACAAACAGATCGACCCACCATGACCACCTCATTCAGCAATGAAAAGGGCGGCCCTCACCCACTCTCAAGCACAGCCTGACGCCATGTCACGACCATGGCATCAGCTCGTTGGCAACCAGCATCCTTGACCTACAGGAACCCGGCACGGCTTAGCACCTTGTTGTTCGAATTCCCTTGAAAGGGATATAGACACCATCTCCATCAATGCGAACTACTTCGCTTTCCCACTGCTCTTCCAACCGCCAAACTATTCAAACATGAAGCGCGTTCTAACTCTCATCCTCGTCTTTCTCCTTCTTTTCGCCCTCACCCTTGCTCTCCCACCACGCCACGCTCGCCTGCACAAATTCAAACACAAGCGACAATTGGAAGAAGAGTTGCTCGTTGGAGCCGAAGACTCCGTTGAACTATTTGATCATCCCCGAATCCACGATACGTCTGAAAAGATACACGAGGCTGCTGAACAGAAGAATATCACCGTTCAGCATCTTGAAGAAATAAAGAGGAAAAAATTGAGGAAACTGCAGATTTTGATGTTGGACAGGAAGAAGTTTGAACAAGAGAACGTATCGGAGAGGCGAAGATTGAAGGTTGAAAGAGGCGGAGAGGGGGGTTGAAACCCGAAAGCTATGATGGTTACAGCTGGCGTCGTTGAACAATCGATCCTGTTCTTCTTCCCTTTCGCGTTCTGTGGGTGATTGGATGTGTAGAGTAAGTGAGTGAGGATGTTCGGGAGGCACTTTTGAGCGGTGACCATTTCGCCGAGACAATGGCTTCATTTGGAGGATCATGGCAACCAAAAAAGTGGGTTGGGGCAAAAAGGGGGTGTGGTGCTGTGTCTTGTGTTGGTGGAATCCGAGTGGGTGTGAGGTTGGTTTCATGTCGCTTGCTTCCTTTGGCCCTCTGACCCTCTCTCATCCTCGAAGATTGCGCTCGACTGTCTGTTCGTATGAGCTTTTCCTACGATGCCCTTGTTCTTCTTGCTTCTCCCTCCGCTCTTCCCTTCCTTGCCACCTCTTGCGCCTCCCTAAAGGCTCGATCATGCTTTCACTAGCATCGCCAAGAGCAATCGCCCTGCTCAGCTTCCTCTCTCTTACCATTTCCTCACATATCCATGCGGATACTGTGGTACAAGACCCAATGCAAGCATCCGCAAACTCGTTCGGCTGGCTCGCAATCCGCAACTTCACCTACTGCCTCTCTGACCGCCCTGACCCACCTGACAAACCTCGAGGAGTTCAACCGAAAACCAACACTACCCCCTCTCTCTCTGGCTCCACTGCACAGACGCAACGACTCACTGGGATGGGAGATAGCGTTGTCGTGCTGTACCATCCAGAACAGACGAATAAGGCGATTGCATGGTGTAATACACTGGTGGCGATGCAGAGTGGAAAGAATGTAAAATGTCATATTGCTCTACCTACTTGTCAGAGGTGCGATGCTGTGCGCTCTCCTACCACCGCCCCGCTCAAGCCGCAAGAAGAGAGGGAGATGGGGAGTAAAGCTCCTAGTGGGAGGTTGGGAGAGAAACGTACCGCAGCTTCACCCCTCGTACCCGCCGGAGGGGCGGCAGACAAGCAATTGGTTGCACTCCGAAGAAGAGCTTCGACAGGAAAGACTGACCCGAACGATCCTTCAATTCCTCCTCCCCAAAGTTACGAGAAAACAATAGGAAAGCCTTTCGGAAGGGGTGACGAGTACCCGTTCGATCCAGAACTCGAACCAGCGATCGCAGAGTTTCAAGATTACTGCGAAAACAAGCTGACCCTCGCAGTGAGGGCAGATTGTCCTTTTCATCTGGTCAAAGGATGGTCGGATGAGCCACCATTTGATCTGCATAGGTTTTGTATGAGCTTGATGGGTAATGACGGCCATACACTGCACACGGAAGGAGGAGGGGGAAAACCGGCGCCACTAAAGGTAATTGGGGAAGGAGGGATATTGGATCCAAATGATCCAATTGTGCCATCTCATGACGAATCACCCGCTCCTCTGCAGCAGGGTCAGTAGCAGCAGCCAAGGCCAGTGGAACCGGCGGGAGTATGGTCGACATGATGAGGGCTGCTCTTCTCTTTGTTGTTCTATAGATTCTCCTGTTCTCTTTCTATCATGGCTTTTTTTGGGTCGCATTCAATACGCAACATTTCTCTCGTTTTCCTTTTGGACTGCTCATTCTCTCTGTGTGGCATGTATGAATGGCCTCGACTGAAAAGAGAGCGTCGTGCTGGTGCAAATGTTCGACCATCGCAAAACAGCGTCGGCGGGGGGAAAGCATTCAAAGTGGTTGGAAAGCGTTCAAGGATGGGCACGGCAAGCGGCAAGGATGATTAGCAACGCATGCATGTCCTTCGACCATTCAGGGTCCAACTATGTCCGATCTTGAGAAGCGTTGCGCATTGTCCAGCTTTGGCTTTCCACCTCGTTCTTCTCTGTGCTCAGTCATCCTTCCTGCTCCTCTTGCTCCTCACCACGACTACTTGCAAGCTCATCACTTGGGCACCATTCTTCATCTCACTCCAACTCTCCTGCGCAAAGTTGCACCAGGATCGATTAGGATGGCTACGAAACTTAGCTTGCAGTCCAAGTACGCTGTTGGCGAAGGAGCTGACATGCCCCTACTCGGTTTTGGAGTGTACAAGTCTCGCGCAGATGTTACGGAGCAATCGGTGACTACAGCGTTGAAGACGGGTTATCGTCACATTGATTCTGCTCAGTACTATGAGAATGAGCGAGAGTAAGTAGCACTCTTTTTGCTTTTAATGATATAGGGAATAGGCAGAGTGCTGACATGCTGTCTTGTACGAGCAGGGTAGGAAACGCAGTGCGAGCTTGGTGTCAAGAGACCCAAACTTCTCGCCGAGAAGTGTTTGTCACCACGAAAATCATCGCTCCGGCCAAAAGTAAGGACAAGACTCTGGAGAGCATGCGAGAGTCGGTTAGCAAGATCAATCTTGATGGTATGTTGCCCTTGCCCTCTTTTCCCGCCTTCTGCACAGAAGCCGAATCAGGATGACTGACCCAGAGGAATGCGATTACTTTATATGACTGGGTAGGATACGTGGATTGCTTCCTCATCCATACCCCGACTTCGGGCCCCGAAGGACGCAAGCATCTCTGGGAAGCGCTGAAAGAACTTAGGTCCGAAGGCAAAGTTGTCACGATCGGTGTTAGCAACTATGGTCTCAAGCATCTCCAAGAGTTGATCGATCGTAAGGAAACGCCTGCTGTCAACCAAATCGAACTTCACCCTTGGTGTCAACAAAAAGCTATTGTTGAGCTTTGCAAGAAGCATAACATTGTGCTCCAGGCTTATTGCGTAAGTCGCCTGGATCCCCCTCTTTGTTTCTTCTTTCGACCTGGATACTGACATGAATTGCATCTGGGCATGTGACGGTGATGGTAGCCCATTGTGAGAGGAGAACACGCCGATGATGAAGAGGTGCTAGAGATTGCCGAGAAGCACAAAGTAGATTGGTCTCAGGTGTTGTTGCGTTGGTCGTTGCAGAAAGGGTTTGTGCCTCTGCCCAAGTCGGACACTGGTTCTCGTATTGCTTCGAATGCTGATCTGTTCGGGTTCGAGTTGGATGAGGAGGATATGGCCAAGTTGGATGCGAAGGATTTGGGTGCCAAGGGGGCTGTTGCGCCTAATCCTGTTGATGCTCCCTAACCCGATGCTGCCCTATCCGATGCTACCCTATCCGATGCTGACTAACCCGCTTTTGATGAATCGGTGATGCGGAAAGCGGGAGGATAGATGATGGGATACAATGACAGGCCAAGGCGATGCTTGCCAGCTCAACACACTCGTCGATTTCATGCGCTCGATCCTTTGTTCATTTCACCAATGTCGCAGTGATACTACAAAGCGTGGTTGTGGGAGTGAGCTCGATTGTGATGATATGTGTGTGAGTGAAATGGAGTGACGGTGATGATGACGGTGATGATGACGGTGATGATGACGATGATGATCAAGGTTGTACAACCCAACGCGGCTCGGCGTGGTGGCGAGCATGGGATTTGACAGTCAATCTGCGCTGTGCTGAGTGTTGTTGTCAACGGCATTTCAATGCCGACTGCTGACTGTCGACTGGAGAGAAAGAGCTCGTCCTTGTGTGTTGATCTGTCACAGGAGAGAAAGCTTCTGTTCCTGACAAGAAGCCGCTCCTTGCTCTATTGTTCTCTTTCCACCACCATCCCAAGGAACCCAAGGAGACAGCACAGAAATGAAGTCATCAACGACAACAACAGCAGCAGCAGCTTTAGCTTTAGCTTTGGCACTAATCGCCTCCAATGCTGTTGCTGAACTGACCTCTCACGCCTCCAACTCTAACCTCCGCTGACGTCAGACACGCACCGCAACAAGTGGCAGTGCTGCCTCGCAAGGATCCATCTATCAGCAAGCCTTCATGGACCCAGTTGCAGCAGCGCAAGCCGTTAACGCGCTCCCCTTTATAGCTCTGGTCAATATGCAACCGGTCAACTCTGGCGGTACAATCTCGCTGAGGATGCTGGTCAACTTCCATGGAACTCCAACGTCCCCTTCATCGCAGAAGCAGCCGTTAACGGGAGTGTCAAAGGTGGTTGGGAAGCGCTACCCGAGATCCAAGGGATGGATTTCAACCGAACTTTCGCTGTTGCTCCGGGTGCTGTCATGCCTTTCTATCAGACTCGAGCTTACGATGCGAGCAAGGTGAAAGGCGCGATCATGGTCATGCCTGGTAAACCTAGGGACTGCTGGAAGTATACCTCGCTCGTCCAAAACGCACTTGACGTTTACACCACCAACCCGCAGAGTGTGAGCAGTAACCCAGATGGTTCCGCCAGCAACGGTGCTAGGACCAGCGCAGATCAAGTGTTGATCATGGGTCCATGTTGGATGAACGCAGACGATCATCAAGCCGGAGCTATCCTCCAAGGTGAACTCTACTGGCTCCGAACGCAGTGGCAATCCGGAATGGCCTCTCGTGGTCCCGGTGACACTCGAATCTCATCCTCCCAACTCATGGATGCTTTCATAGACACGCTTTTCGACAAGATCCAATTCCCTTCGCTCGAGACTGTTGTGATGGCAGGTCACTCATTTGGAGCACAAATGGCTCAACGCTAAAGGTGCCAACCACTTGGAGAGGGGATGCAAGTTCATAGAGTTGCTAGCGCGGATGAATGGCGGCAAGCTGCCAGCTACTCGATGTTGTCCTACAACATCTCGTTGTATAGATTGTTCGAGGAGACGCCGAGTGGTGCTACCGCTGCTTCGAGTGCAAAGATGGGGTCTAGCACGACGAACAAGGCTCAGCATCGATGGTGATGGCTAACAATGCATTGACAGCGAGCTTTGGATTGGGTGCAGTTGTTTCATTTGGCCTCCCCCAAAGCAGACGATATGCCATCTCTGACAGATTCAGACTCGGCTTCTTGTCATGGACACTAGGACCAATCAATCTTCTCAATCATGATAGACGCAATACCACATTCATGTGTCATTTTGCATAGCCCTTCCTCCTCGAGTGTCAAGTGCATAGGAGAGTGGTCTCAAGTGAATGGACTGCATTGAAACCAAGGCCAAGGCAGGCTGGAGTCCAGATCGGTCAATAGTGACGTTTCCGTAGCAACCTCCACGCCTCACTCGGCCCTCAAGGAAGGCCGCTTTTCCATTAGTAGCAGTTGGGCGTTGGCATGTTTTGGAGAGGAATGTAACATACAACGCTTACTAATGATGAGTTACCCTCTCTCGAACCCCAGGGTTGGTGAGCTCATGCTTATTAAGCGCACAGACGCGTCACGTGGATAGTTTTGTTTTTTTTCCCCCGAAATTAAGCAGTCCGAAACCCGAGTTGGACGTCAACACCCGTCGTTGCTTCCGAACCACCACCACCTTCTCCTCTCTGACGTACTCGCTTACGAGTTTGCCGTTGGTTTCGTAAGTAAGTAACCGAAACCTCTCTAATTGGACCGTGGGTTGTTGCTGACCTGAGTTTTGCGGTGTTGTTGTTGTACAATGAATGCGAAAAGGCCGATTTACCCCGCAAATTGCAGTCAAGCTTCACACGCACGACATCGGCACTGCTGCTGGTCAACTGCCGTTTTCCTTTGGTGCTGGCCCATGCCTATACCCCGCGTGTGACCCTTCGAACCCTAAGCCTGGCGATGCACCGTGCGCTCCCCTCTTCCACTCCACCATCATCCCTAACCCGAAAGACCATCGCTGTTTCCACTCCACCCTGTCCCACAACATACTCTACCAAACCTCTACCCTAACTCAAGGAGTAACGTTGCCCAAAATGCCGAAACCTGGCCCAGCCTCCCGTTCAACGATCACCAATCTAATGCGTCTAGCGCACAACCCCGCCTGTCCCTGCCATGGATGTGCTTCCGCTCGTTCCAACACTGCCTCCTTCGCCCGCGCCGGCCTTAACATGATTTCCAAGCACAATTCTCAACCCGGCGCTACCTCCCGCGGTTACGCTACTCCCGTCGACCATCTCGTCGAGAAAGAGTACGCCTTTGAACTAGCCGCTTCCAACGTACGTTTCGGCGAAGGAGTAACCAAAGAAGTCGGAATGGATTTCGCCAATATGAAAGCACGCAAAGTTGGCGTCTTCACCGATGCCACCGTGCGCAACCTAACTGCTATGAAGCAGTCCATTGCTGGACTAGAAGCTGCTGGAATCAAATACGAGATCTTTGATAGAGTCAGGGTGGAGCCTAATGAGAAGTCTTGGCAAGACGCGATTGGCTTTGCTAGGAAGAATGATTTCTCTCACTTCTTGGCGGTGGGAGGGGGGAGTGTTATGGATACCTGTAAGGTGGCCAACCTTTTTACGTGTTATCCCGAGGCGGATCTGCTGGAGTTTGTAAATGCGCCGATTGGAAGGGGTACTCCGATCGATAAGGTGCTTAGGCCGTTGCTCTGTGTGCCGACAACGGCGGGGACGGGCAGCGAGACGACGGGAACGGCGATTTTTGACCATACTGCGACCGAGAGTAAGACGGGGATCGCGAGCAGGGCTCTAAGGCCGTTGTTGGGCATCGTGGATCCCTTGAACACGGAAACTTGTCCAACGGCGGTTCACGTTAGTGCGGGATTGGATGTGCTTTTCCACGCCTTGGAGTCGTACACGGCGATTCCATATACAGAGAGGATGCCGCGCCCTGCCAACCCGATCCAGAGGCCTGCATACCAGGGTAGGAACCCGATTAGCGATGTTTTCTCACTCTGGGCGCTCAAGCAGACTGTCAAGTATCTCCCCAGGGTCGCGAAAGACCGCACGGATGCCGAAGCTCGAGGCCAAATGCTTCTCGCAGCCACCTTCGCAGGCATCGGCTTCGGCAACGCAGGTGTCCATCTTTGCCATGGTATGTCCTACCCCATTTCCGGCCTGAACAAGAAGTTCGGTAAATACCAACACCCGGGCTACCAAGTCAACCATCCTATCATACCCCACGGCGTCTCGGTTGCGCTGACTGGACCAGCTGTGTTCGAGTTCACCGCTCCCAGTGCGCCGGAGAGGCACAGAGAGGTTGCGGCGATCTTCGAAGGTGAGAGGAGTAGTGGGGATATTGAAAGGTTGCCGGATGCCGAGGTTGGTGGCTTGGTGTATGATAGAATTGCCAAGTTTTTGGCTGATTTGCATGTACCCAGGGGTTTGGAGAAGGTGGGGTATGAGAAGCAACATGTGGAGGCTTTGGTAAAGGGTACCATTCCCCAGAGGAGGGTGTTAGATTTGGCTCCGGGCATCGGTGATGTCAAGGGTGCGGACGGGCATGAGCATCTCAGTAGGATTCTGGAGAAGAGTCGTAAGTACAAAACAGCGCCAGCTTGCCAAGCGAGAAGATAGAGAACTGACATTGACCTTGTATTCCCTATGATGCCTGACGAACAGTGTCGTACTAAGTTCTTTCTCTCTCGCGACAAGTCTCGAAGAAAAACTCAATCGATCTCGGAGGCACTTGTGCCGTGGATTGCAATGAACACCGAATGGATGCTTCCAGCTGTCATTGTGCGAGGGGAGAGGATGTGAGAGCTAGAAATAGTATCTGCGGTAATGCTGGCCTATCCTTAACGAGAGCGGGTTAGGTGAGTGGAGCCGCGCTAAACGAGATCGACTGGCACGTGAAATAACGACTTTCCGCTTGTTTCCTACCAAAAGCCGCATCCGCTTTTCTTGTCGAGGCTCGTAACCAAGTTTTTAAGCGGTAAAGCCTCTCTCCTCGCCCTTTCTTGCTTGCTCGCTCCTCACATTTTGTTTGCTTCTTATACCCCATCTTGACATCTCCATTGGCACCTATTCCCTCCAAGTCCTCCCCGACCGAAGTTCTGTGCAAGATGTCTCTCAGCAACAACCTCCCCTCCTTCCTTAAGGACCTAATCTCACCCTTCACCGGCGGCAAAGATCCATTTCACAACCTTACCGCTTTGTCGGTCCCTGCTTCCCTTCTATTGGCAGCCTGGCCACACTGGTACACAATCTACCTGGCTCAGTCCAACGGCATCCAAGGAGGCTGGAGCAACATCAACCCGCGTGCATTCGTGGTTAAGCTTGCACAAAAACCCAAGCCTACCCCTCTCGAACTCTTAATCCTCCGAGGACAGGCTTGTCAAGCGAACTCGTTCGAAAACGTCCCTCTGTTTTTGGCAGCCCTCGTCTGGGCCAACTATACAAGGCTGGAGGTAGAGACGATTAATAGCTTTATTTTAGGCTACTTGGCAAGTAGGGTGCTATATACGGTGCTTTATTTGAAGACGTCTACCTATTGGAACAGTTTTGCGAGGACGGTGGTGTTCAACTTTGGTATCCTCTGCATCGTGAGTATTTGGATACGAGGTGGATTGGCTTTGGCGCCTAGCCTCAAGTAGTTATGTTGCAGTAGGTCGAGAGAGATCAGAGAAAGAGGATGCGGGGGGGCGTAGCAGGCAACCGTTACTTCTCATCCATCCCCATACTGTGCAGTGCTTGGATCGATGAGTAGACGATAGCACAACCCAACAAGTAGTACGAACAGAGATCAGCGACTCCAAGCCTCTGTTCTGTGGCAGTGTGTGCCATTTTCAGCGAGCGTATCAAGAAAGCAGCATCGACAAACGCCATGTGCGAGTCTTTCGCCTGTGCGATCCGAATGCCTGGTCCACAATTCACGCCTTTCACTCGTCACCACAAAGAGATGGTAGGCATACAAGAAGAGAGCATATCGAACAACAACTACAATTCCGTTTTCCTTCTAAGTGAATGCTGCTTCTAGAGCTTACTAGCGAACCTCGCCCGAAGCACGTTCTTCTGTACTTTGCCTGTACTAGTCTTAGGCAATGCATCTACGATATCGAACCATTCCGGCACGGCGAAACCTGAGATCCTCTCCTTGCAATGTTTCTTCAGTTCCTCTACGAACGCCTTATTCTCCTTGCTTCCACCTTTCTTTACCTCTTCCATCCAAGCGCAACCTCTGCTTGCCTTCGCCTGTTCGGTGAGGACAACGAAAGCTTGGCCTCGTTCACCCCATTTCTCATGCGGTCTAGCAATGACGCAACACTCGAGTACATCTCTGTGGGCTGCCAATTCTTGCTCTACCATGAGACTCGAGATGTTTTCTCCACCAGAAATAATAATATCCTTGCCACGATCCAAAATTTGAATCTCCCCTCCAGGATGTCGAACGGCGAGATCGCCAGTATGGAACCAACCCTTGAGTACAGCTTTGGATGTGGCCAAGGGATCGTTGTAGTAAGCCATCATAGTCATGTTTCCTCTAATGACGATCTCGCCTGTTTCTTTACCGTTTCTTTCCACATCGATTAGATCGCCATCCTTGCTGTTGCTCGAGTCGGTTCGGACGACCCGCACTTGGTCTGATGTGAGGTAAGAGTGTCCCTGTCTAGCCATCATTCGTGCTCGCGAATCAACGTCGAGTTTCGCCCATTCTGGTTCGAAATATCGTCGGGTAAAGGGACCATATGTTTCGGTCAACCCATAGACGTGCACGGGATGCAGGTTTAGACTTTCCATCTTCGCCAGAAGGTTAGCTGTGGGAGCGGATGCAGCGACGGCTACGTTGACCCGGCGAGGCAGCTTTTTAGCAGAGGGATGATTGGTTAGGCCAATCTGAACTGTCGGTGCACCGCAGTAGTGCGTTACACCATGATCAATCAATGCATCCCAAATCACAGCGTTGTCTACCTTGCGAATCGTATGGTGAGTCGCCAAACATGCGGTGACAGCCCAGGGAAAAGTCCATCCACAAGCATGAAACATGGGAAGAACCCAAAGATATCGCGAATCTTGCGTAATGTTGGCCTCAAAGGCATTTGCTACTGCTGCGAGATAGGCGCCTCGATGGTTGGTTAGAACTCCTTTCGGACGACCGGTTGTGCCAGAAGTGTAGCAGAGTGCGATCGGTTGTTCTTCATCCTGTGGAGCGAGAAGCAGTTTCCAGCCGGTGCGGGGTTCTGCTCGGGGTTTGGGGGCCGAGGCGTATGCGGAAAGCTCTTTCTGTTCTGCTCGCTGCCATTCGAGATAGCCTCGGTCGAGGAAATTTTCGTAGGGGTCATCGGATTCGGCTCCACCAGAGTCTTTGCTGATAACAACGGTGATGTTAGGGCCAGGATTTTCGGGGATCAGATGGGCGAATTCGTGATCGCAGAGAATGATAGTCGATCCAGAGTGCTCGAGGACATAAGCTACTTCTTTAGCAGTGTTTCGAATGTTGATCGGAGTGATAATTCCACCTGAGGCGGGGATGGCCCAGTGTGCATCGGCGATCAAGGGTGCGTTGGGGGAGATAACCGCTACTCGATCACCCGTTTTGAAGTTAGGAGTGGTGAGCAGGGCAAATGCGAGCGAGAGGCATCGTGCTGCCCATTGAGAATAGGTGAAGCTGTAGTTGCGTTCCGGGTGAGAAATGGCGAGTTTGTTCGGTGTGATTAAGGCTGCTCGGAGAAGGAAGGATACGGGAGTGAGGCAAGAGCGGTAATGGGGAGTGTTCGGGTGGGTAGAGAGGCAGAGTTCAAAGGGACGATCGGTGGGAGGTTGGGATGAGCGTGGGGGTTGGTAGACCATCTTTGCGATTCGTTACCGACTGAGGGAGGGTGGCGGTGAGATGGAAAATGCTGGGTCAAGGAAGAAAGGTTGGTGGATACATAGGATCTTAGAGCGGAGAGCGGGGAAGATGGAGAGCTCCGGCTAACTTATACTGTCATCGAGAGGCGCTGGCAGAAGGGTACAGGAACAAGTGCGGGGTAGAGCGATTTGCTACAGTATTTCGAGCGTTGATCTGGAAGTTAGCCTCATTCGTCATGGCTCGAGCTCCTTCATTGCCGACTTGCCGTCTGCTCGCTGTATCGCTTGTGGAGCTGCTCCTCGTGGTCATCATTTGTTCGGCTTGCTGCTTGTCAGCTTGGGCTTGTATGCGGCAACGCAAGGCTGAGGCATTTCAAGGCGCATTCAGAAGGCTGGTGTTATCGCCTCTCAGAGTTCATGTAGGACAAGGTGGATGGCGGTTTGGCGCTTCAAAGGCGCTCACAAGCCAATCCCAAGTTTCCCCGTCTGCGTTCGGCAGTCGCTCTCATTTTGACTCCGGTTAGCCGACTTTTCCTCGCGTTCTGTTAGATCTTCATTTCCCATGTGCTCCCATCCAAACCAACGTGGCATGCAGGAAGCCAGCTCGTCGACTCTACCGTTTACCACCAATCCCTCCCCTAGTTACAACCTCATAGGAATCAATGCAACTGATGCCAAAAAGATCCAACCAACAATGTCGATGCTTGTCTCCTGGTGTGGAGAGAGGATGGAAAAAGTCTCAAAAATTGTGATAGACTAGGTGGGGTTCGAACCCACGAACCCGAAGGACGAGGAATAGAGGTATACACACATACTGCATGTGTCTCGGCGTCCGGAGCTTGTTGACTCGCGCCAAAATTTTTGAAATTTTCTTAAATCTCGCGCGTTTGACCACTCCGCTACTAGTCTCAGTTGGTGCTAGGTTTGGGGATTATGCTTAAATATACTAAAAACAATATCTCGCGTCGCTCACACATTATTGTTTTCACCAACCTCGGGAGAAAGACGAGGCTCGCTCAATGAACACCACATCGCACAGTTAGCTGTGATTCTTGGGCAATGCAATGTATTCGGATGAGTCAATGTAAGAGTGAAAGTCCATGTGTATGTGTATGCGACGGAGCAATGGTGCGATGCGAACAATGGAAGCGAGCCAAAGTAGGTGTCAAAGATGCGCAGCGAGAGAGAGGGACAGATGGAAGATGCAATGATGCTGGAAACAGGGAAAATTCCAAGACGAAGATCAGATACGACGAGGAGGCTGATCAGTCAGCTCATACGACTCGCCTAAGCCAGCAGGTCGACGTTGAACGGGATACGGTGGTGCCGGACCAGCCGACGAAGCGGGCAAGCCAGGGTTCCTCAGTCGACCATGTTCCAGCGCATTCGCTGGCGACAAGGGTCGCGAAGGAGGAGCTGTCCCCGGTGCAGTGCCATGCTCCCCTCCGACCTCGTCGAACACGTCCTGTCCACCGAATGCAGCGCCAGTGTCCATGAACTTGTAGGCACGCTCACCAGCTCCCAACGTGTTCTGCACTCCTACCTCAGCAGGGGTAGCTGTAGCTGACGAGTCAGGAGGTGGGTAAGGAACCATAGTGACGTGGCTCAAAGCAGGAACATTAGGATCACCTTTGGGACCGTAGATCTTGCATTCGGCCAAGAACACCTTGAGCTGGCACAACCATCGGTTTCGTCGCTGTGCCTTCAAGCCACCTTGCTGCCAGTTGGACTTGTATCGGATGCCAGCCGACAAAAGCAGGCTACCCTGATCCTGGAAGTCAATCACATTGATGTCGAGACCAGGCAAGAAGTCACGCTTCTCTCCCTCAAGCCAGTGGACCATCTTGGTTCGCAATGCTTCGATCTGCGCAAACGACGTGTTGTAGGCCACTTCGAACTTGAACGTCTCCTCGATGGCTCCTGATCGACGCAGGTTGACAATGGGCTTAGTAGCCAGCTGGTTGTGGCTGACCATGACGTTCTTACCATTGGTGGTCTTGAAGACGGTGGTGAGCAGTCGCATCTCCTTGACAATGTACTGGTCGTCACCAATGTCAACACGGTCACCGACATCGTAAGGATGCTTGATGAAGAGGAAGATGATGGCGCCCAGCGTCTCCTGTGCCGTGGTACCGATGAGCCAAGAGAGACCAAGGATGAGCGTACCAAAGGAAGTGACGAGCGTGCTGAAAGCAACAGACAACATGGCTGCAATGATGATGGCGGCGATAAGAATGAAAACGCTCATGAAGATTGAGTCAAGTCGTCCAACAGCCGAGTCGACATCGCGCATTGAGAGCTGCAATGCCAGTCGCTCGCGGTGGATGTCGATGCAAGCAGTCTCTAGCTCTTCTTTGGTGACATCGCCGTTGAGATCACGGTCAAAGATCTCAAAAGCAACCTCAGCAGTGATAGCGTCGGGGAAGCAGTGAATGATGTCGTCGACGACCATCTCGGACTTGCCGGGAGGGCAGAAGCTGTACCAAATTCTTCTTGCCAGCGCCTGGGTCTGCTTGCGAGAGTTGAGTGACGATACGACGACAGAGCGAGGGTTTCCAAGCTGAGGCACACCTTGGCCTGCGATCTCGCTGGCGACAGTGCCAAGGACACTGGTGCTCTGCAGTGCCACATCTCGCACCTTCTGACCCGTTTTGCGCAGACGAGCGCGAGTCACGTGAAGGCCAGTCGACTTGCGCTTGGCCTCGTGCTCTGCAGCCATGTAGGTATCCTTGCGATTGAAGTTCTTGGAGTTCTCATAGAGCGTGGTGAGCACCTTGATGTTGAACTTGGATGTCTGAATGCGGTCCTCGTACGAGACGCGGTGGAAGTTGTACGCAATGCCCTGAATGAAGAGCTTCTCACCTAGCAGAATGGCAGCGCTCAAGCAGACACCGAACCAGAGACGGTATCCGGAGAGCATGATGTCGCTGGTAGTTGGCCAAGAGTTCTCGCTCTTGTGCGTCACAACTGTGGTGCTTCCAGAGGAGGAAGAGTCGGCGGAGGAGGTGGAGTTGGTAGGTGTCAAAGAGGCCTGCTCGATAGCAGCCTTGTCGGCGCCCTGGAAGTTGCCGATGACGATTGCAAGCCAGAGCGCAAAGAGGAGGATGGTCCATAGGAAGAAGGCGACGAACTTTTCGGTGACGATGAGGAACTCGGTATAGCGGCGCATCTTTTGGTGGATGTTGCCGACAGTCCATCGAAGAATGCGTGGGATCATGATGGCACCAACACGGCAGACCCACCAGCCTACCCAAATGGAGCTCAGCCAGACTGACCACCAAAAGATGCCGACGTCAAGCACGGTGGGATTCTTGAACTGATTCGCTGGTCTGGCATTATAGACGAGCAGAGCGAGAATACCGGGGATCCAGAAGAGAGCAGTTGGGACAAGAATGTAGAGGAAGAGGCGAACAGAGGGATGGCCGAGCTTGGGACCTTCAGCATGGCGTCCATTGAGACCGACAAAGCTGGCGTTGGCACTGTCATTCGAGTAGCCGGCACCTTTTAAGAGACGCTCCCACGAGTCACTGTCTTGGCGCTTGACGCCAGGTCGCTTGACATTGGGAGCAGAGTTGTTCTTGCCCATGGCTTCGTGAAGGCGCTTTGACACGTCGGTGGACTGCGAGTACTGCTGACAGTGTCGAGGTGGAGTGGTCTGCACTGGTGGATAGGTGTTGGAAAGATCAGGACCGCCGTCGTTGGCCCATTGACCTGAACCGCCATAGTTGGCTGGGTAGTTGTCGTACTCCTTTTCAGATGGATAGTCGCCGACATGGTCGTAGTACGTGGATGAGCTGACACCGTGGCCAGCGAGCGGTGCATCGTAGGTGCGAACAGGGCCATGAAGAGTGGCGTTGTCGTCCGAGCCTCTACCTGGTGAATGGCAAGTTGCACCACCACTTCCGCCGGGCACACGCGTCCACGGCGTCGACATGGTTTGCAAAGATGGGATCAGTCGAAGAGAAGGGGATTCCGAAGCGTTGTGGATTGCAAAGGTGATGGAGAGGTGGAAAAGTGGTGGCAGTGGCGATGGAGTTGGATCAAAGGAAAGTGAGATGGCCTCGCCAAGGCTTCCAACAAAGGGGTGACTGAGCTTCTTATTGTCCGAGTGAGCATTGTTCTTTATTTCTTTATTTCTTTATTTCTTTATTTCTTTATTTCTTTATTTCTTTATTTCTTTCTTTTCTTTTCTTTTCTTTTCTTTTCTTTCTTTCTTTCTCGCTGGCGTTAAAGTTGAGTGGGATGGCCTTCCTCCTGCCAAAAGAGGAATAAGGTTTCAGACTCGAACTTGCGTGTTCATGTGCTGTTCTTTAACAAAGCAACGACAGCTCGTGTGGAGGGGAGGGTACAGCGCAACGGTGGTTTTTTTCTTCTTTTTTTTTTCTTTTCTTTTTTTTCTTTTTTTCTTTTTTTCTTTTTTTCTTTTTTTCTTTTTTTTCTTTTTTTTCTTTTTTTCTTTTTTCCCCCCCCTCTGCCCAGCTAGCAAGATAGTGGAGAACAGCCAGAGGTGAGAAAAGCGTTGAGTTGGGCCCCGGAAAATGGTGAATCTGCGTAAAGACGTCGTTGCGCTGGAAGCCGTAAGCGAGGCTCGCAACTTCTAAACCGAATCGATCGCTCTCATGCAATTTTTCTAAAAAGCCGTCTATTTCGGTCCTCTGTGGTGGTGCTTGTGACCATCTGTGACAGCGATCGAAGACCTTCTCCTAGGCCCAAGTGAGACAAAATAGAATTCGGCTGTCCCGAATGCATGGGAAAGGGCCCCTCTCATAGCAAAGTGAGCCAACCTGATCCTGACTCAATTCGATGGCACAACTCGAACGGAAAGTGAGAAACAGAAAAGGGTCTGTGCGCTAAAGAGGAAGCTGTGATTTTAGAGAGAGAGAGAGAGGGATGTCAGAATTTGACCTGGCGGTGTGGCGTCGAGCACGCGAGTCCTGTTCTCACACTTGGCTGTCAGTACCCTCGAATATTCGGCAGCGCCTTCAGATCTCGCATTCCCAGTGCAAAATGCAAAAGCAGAAGCGCTATTTGGTCCAAGTGTGTCTGACGCCGCCCAGCTAAGACTCGGTTTGAGCCCTGGGCAAAAAGAGATAAGATGTGAGATTCTGCGAATTTTCTGCCAGCATTCTCGATTTGCTTCGGCTTGATGTGCCGTTGCTGCTTGCCTGTCGCAGTAGAGTGCCATTGCAGTCATGCGGACTGCTTTTCTCCGGGAGAAAGCACATGGCTTCAAAAGAATGGAGCGGACCGCGTCGTGCCAAAATTCGTTCACACGCTGTCACATTTCGTTTTCATCGTCTTTGACCACCATCATTGCGATCATCCTCGATTGCACTCGATTCGAAATCATACCATCATCGCTGGCCCCGTTCCTCAACGGCTCTCTTGGTCATCACGTTCAAACCCTTGGCCCTCTGATCGTGCTCACATTCATTTCACCGCAGCGAGCAAAAGAAGCTCGGTCGGCACCTCCGCTTTTCATCGGCTCTTCCATCTCAGCCCAATCAGGCACGTTCAACTTCTTCCCACGCTTCTCAGATCACACGCCCTGCAAGCCACATCATCTAGGTTCATCCCGAGTTCATTCCGACAAGCTCACACGCAACGATGCCCTTGCTCGATTCAGCTCGTGACTGGATCGACTCAGCAATCGCTGCCCCTTCAGAAGTGCACGAGAATGCATCTCAAACCCTCGTCTCGCTGGCATGGACGTTGCTCATCATCCCAAGCATCTTTGTCGTGATCGCATTCGCCTGGATCATGTACACATTCAGTCAGCCATCGGATCTATCGCAATCCAACGGCTTCAGTCACGCTGGCGCTGACGACGAGGATGACGGCCAGGGCCAAGACGAGCAAGAGAAGCTGTTAGACGCTTTCAATGAATCACAATCGCACTCTGCTACAAACGTAACCAGCTCAGCATCAGGCTCATCATGGAAGATCAATAGCAAGTTCAGCACAACGTCGAGGGGCGGCTCTGTCTACACTTCTTATCCGGATCCAAACGGCACACATACGCATTCACCAAAAGGTTCCATCTCTACTTCGTCAAAGTCGAAGCGCTCGAGTCTTACTGCCGATGGCAAACCAAGCAGATCGGTGGGGAGCAAAGCAGCAAAGGTGCTCGCCTTGAATCGTGATAGGATGATGCAGGATTTGGAAAAGTTGGATCCAGTCGATCGTGAGGAGCTGCAAAGGTCTTCTTCACGCGCCAGCGACACTCGCAAGTCCGACTAATTCCGGTTTCTTTGCCAACCCACAGCATCGCCTTACGATACTCGACCATGTATTTCTAGCTTTCTCTCACAATCGCAGTTCATCCTTTGCCAGCACGAATGCGTGCGCATGCATGCCTGCATCACCATCGACACACTTCAGAAAGATAGGAACGAGATCCACCACGGAAAAAACTCGGCAAGAGCAAAAGGCGACTTGGTCCCGAGAGCTGCACGTTCTGCGCAGCGCAATCGATGCCAAAAGGTTTTGGCGAAGATGTCGCTGTCCATCGCTACCTTCTTGCGAACGCATTGCGGACACCACGCCGCAATCCCTTCCGACTTTTCACTGAGATGGGTCCGCAGAACCATCACATCATCTGCTCTGCCCAGAAGATGGTGCGGATCGCCATTGTCAGCCCTCTACTGAAGTGCCCTTCGCTTTTTCAGGAAGGTGGTTGCGCAGGGCCTACTCTCACATGGAAGGTCCAGGTACAAAGCTTTCTTGTGACAGATCAACAATAGATGCGCAAGCTCCAAAGACAGCGCAGTTGAGGGGTTCAGCTCGAGAACTTCTCGTTGAAAGCTCGGAGTATCTTCTATTAACGAACTCGATATAAGATCCTGTGTTCTTGTTGAACCCTCCGCCTGCGTTCCAACTGTCGCCCCTTCGACTCGATCTCCTCGGGGGCCAAATTACCATCGTACCACCATTATCGCACGACGATCACGGCTTCAAACATCATGGGTCTCTCCAAGTTCTTTCGCCGAGCGCTTGTATGCTTTCAGGCTTCGGACGATACCGACAATCGCAGCAATGCCAACTCGAAGACCAGAAGTGCAGACGAGGCAAAGGAGAAGGATCAGTCCAGCGTTGTAGAGGCTCAGACGGCTGTTGGAGCGCAACACGGCGATCAGCAGAAGAAGACCGAAGAAGAGAACGCAACCAAAAATCTAGCAGACGCTCCAGCTCAGCAAACTGCCTCGACTCCAACTGGCCCCGATCAGGCCATCGTCGACGAGACCGCTGTGACCGCCGTGGTCACACAGAGCAGCATCCCCAAGTGCGAGTGCGTCCACTTGAGAAGAAAACTCCTCTCGAGACGCTACGATTTCGATGAGGGTTACATGTTCACCGAACAGCCCATCTCCACTCTCAAGATGACGCACGAAGTCGCACTTAGTCTTCCCTCCGGCGAAAGAGTGACTGCCAGTCAAATCGACCACGCTAATAAAGCTAAGATCATTGAAGACCTCAGCCCATTGGCGCGGGGGTGATCGTTCCTCGCTCCTCCGTTCTTTACGACATCGGCGGTCCTCCGTTTGATACGTACACCGGCACAACCCTCCTCTTGAATTGCCGCAGCGATCTCAAGCTGAACTGTGTGTATAATCGCATCGAAGAGAAGAAGATGCTTGGACCCTATCGCGCCAAGATCACTGCCAAAGGCATGCCCTTTCTACCTGTCTTTTGGCTTTTTGAGGACCTAATCACCAACCAAAGCCTAGATGAGCTCAGGCGCCAGATTCAAAGCTACGTCGATCGCAACATCGGAACCCTTGGTCAATGGCGGGTTGTATTTGCAAGCTGTCGCTATACTGCTTGCATGAATGCATCACAGTCGATCTTCACCGGTAATGTTCTCGTTGTGACCGACGCCGAGACAATGTACTCTGCCCGTATTATTCCTCCTGCCTTCCAGGATATCCAACCTCGCCGCCGCTACACGGCCGAGCTTCCCATTTAGGAGTTTCAGGCACAGAGCCTGACTTTGGGCTCACTCTCGTGCCCACATTGTCAGGTCTGACCTTCTGCCTCTACTGCAATAGTAGACGTCTTTCACACTTTCTTCCTGTAGCGATCAAGCAAGCCTTCAGGAGTGTGCCGTCGAATCCCAAGTCTAACCCTTTGTCAGCGCGTGGCTTGTACAAAGGATCTCGCCGAAGATGTTCCGATCACATTCCCACGATGTGATGCTTCGGAGTTGCGTGTGGGCCTGTTTCGGAGAGGCGCCGAAAGATTGGCGTCTGTCACATTGGATCAAAGCAGCTGTCCCATGCTGCGCAGATAAGAGTCGCAGTCGGAAGCGCCGAACTGCGACGATTTCTTTCAGATTGGCGCAGCGTTTGGGTCACTCAAAGGGTGTCGTTGTGAGACGAATCTCTGCCTACACGGACGTTTATGCCAAGACGACTCTTAGCCTTGCTATGCAGGGGGCTCAGATCTTATTAAGACCCGCTCGTCTGCCATCCCTGTCTTTCCCTTTGGCTCTTCCTCTTCAACCTCCGAGATGCGCAAAAAGGGCCTGGATATTTACAAGCAAGACATCAAAGGTGCAGGCGGACGCAAGATGCGCTACGATCTTGATCTCAACGCCTACAAGGACCGTAAACTAGTTGCACAGCCAAAATCTGGAGGAAAAGCGATTCATTACTCAACTCTGATTAGACAGGGCGAGAAAAAGAGAGTAGATATCGATGCGGAGCGGCTAATGTGCAAGACTCGGAAGGTATTTTGGGCATAAGCCGCCGTTTGAACTTTAGCTTTCATGGCATTCTACCCCGCCTGGTCGCTCGGGGCTATCGATGGGAAGACCTCGTGCGAACAAGGTGGGAGCAGCTGCAGGAGCTCTGGCAATGAAACCAGACACACGCATCGGAAAGATGAGAAGCTGATGAGATGATGTGCCACATCCGCACATCAATCACGGCAACTTTTCTCGATTTGGCCGGCTTGCGCTCTCTGCTTCGATCTCTACTTGCACATTTGCGTGAGAGAGATCAACATCCCCCCAACTCTGCTCAAATTTCCACCCCAGGGGCTCACTTGGAGATCAAAGCAGGTATAAATAAAGACTGTGCTGATCGACACACGCCACCCCACCTCAAGCACCATTGTCCTTTCCCTCACCATGAGATTTCCTCTGACCATATCTTTTTTTGCACTGGTGGTCGCTGCCATGCACTGCTTTGCGTCTGCAATGTCGGCATCCGACCGCCAAACTTGGAATGTGACTAAGAAGGCCTACAGGAAAGGCGAGTTGCTTTCGTACCGAACAAGTCTGTACAGCTTTGCCGACGTCCCTAATCTGCAACATCACGCCTGGGTACATGCTTTGGCTACTGGAGTCATCCCGATTGCCAAGCACGGACTAGCTCCTGCGGCCGCGACTGAGCCTGCAAGATTGCCGTCTTCTTATTTCTCGAGCGTCATCAAGCCAGGACATCAACTTCACAACCAGATGGCGCTGCACCAAGACATGGACGCTTATGCCTTTTGGAAGAAAGAGGGTAGCCAATCTCATTTAGTACAGATCGACAAACAAAAATGGTCCTTGCAACCTCTGCGTGAGGTGCTTCATCTTTCTTGACACTAGATTGGCTTTGTCGAGAAGATCCCCATCCCGATCCCGATCCGCCTATCCTTCAATACTCAAGCATACTTTCTTTGGGGCAGCAGACTGGCACTGCGAATCACCAAAGTTGCCGGCGTTGAGAGGCAAGGGGAAGTGGGCAAAAGAAATCCATGTTTGTTTGTTTGTTTTTATTGCCAAAAAAATCGAATAAATTGAAACCAAAAATATGGACACAAAATTGCCAAGAAAGTTAATCCGGCATCGCCTCGGAGACTGCTGAACATCAACATCTTGTAGGAGGCCAATTCGGCCTATCGGCTCGCATCAGGTAGATTATTGCGATGGGCATCCGATAGTCGATATGCCGATGCCCAAGGAGGAGGAGCTGGGACCATCCAAGTCTGTGTCGCGAGCGACAAGCGAGCACGCTGCTTGTTCTAACACACTCAAGAAAAGGGAAAAAGAGTCGACGCGTCGCGACGAACAAAGGGAACCGCCACCACCATCCCTCATTCTTCCCTTTCATCTCATCCTCGATGAGCCAAGGGACAGATCTGTCAAGCTGCTCATCAATAATTCATGCAGGACTTTCGATCTTCGGCGTGCAGGACATGTCAATTTGCTCATCTGTCACTAAATCTAATCTGTCAGAACTCTCATCTGTCAGAACTCTCATCTGTCAGAACTCTCATCTATCACTCCTCTCGTCACGATCAGCTGTCACTCTCCTCATCACCATCTGCCTTGTTCGAGCGAGGTTGGGATCGATCATGTAGCCTCTGGAAAGGGATATAAGCAGATGGAATTGGGAGAGGAGATTCATCTTTGATCCATCCCATCACTCACTCAGACTACACATCGAACACTCCCTCCGAACGGGAAGAATAGAGAAAGATGATTGCTGCACACTACCCAACTCAATCCCGCAACACCAAGAGCCAAGATTCGATGGTGACTGCTGCTCGAAGCATCATTCATTCCATCCCTATCCTCAGCCATCATGGCAAGCCTTCACTTGCCAGTGCAAGCACCTCTTCGTCGGTCGAGAGCGAGAAATCTCGTCTCATCCCACTCATCCTCACATCTGCCACGACGAACATCGTTCGCAACTACGGCGCAATCACTCACCGCAAACAAGAAGAACGTAAGGAAGAGTTGAAGCGTTTAATCTCTCGTCCTATCTCGCAAGAAGAACGCATCTACCAAACATACTCGCAAAATGCAAGAAGCAGGCAAGAGGTGGAGGAGAGACAAGAGCGAGTCGAAGGAGAGCAAAGCATGGCCAGCGTCTACTCAACCGACACTTGGGCGAACGAGACAGACGACGAGTTGGACCGAGTTGGCGATGCATTCGAATTTGACATCTACTGCCGCGGGGAGAAAGTCAAGGAGGACCGAAGTTCGATTCAGACTTTTGCTTCTAGCGAGAGGAGCTATACTTTCTTCTAATCGCTCTGCTTCTTTCACTGTACTACCATTCGCTGTATTTTATCGCTCTTTCGCTTTGCAAATCCCTTTTCAGATCGCAGCTGGCAAAGTTCGGAGGTGTGAGAACAAGGTATTCATTACACACACGAGTGCAATCGCTCAAGAAGGCTTGAACTTGTCCTTCAACCTCGCAAATCCACCCGGCTCGTCTTCCGTATCCGCTTCTTCCCGCTCATCCGCCTCCTCCTTTCTCGACCCCAAATGCAGTTTCTGCTTGAGTCTACTAGCTAAACTTTGCTTCTCCCCCTTCCCATCCTCGTCTTCTCCTTTCGCCTGCGTCCTATTCTTCTCCTTCTTCCTATCCTCTTTCTTCCCACCTTTCACCTTGCCCATTGCCTTACCGTACTTTTCCATCCCAGCCAGCATCAAGAGACTCTTTGACAATGCCACCCGGTCCAAATCAACACCTGAATCTTGCAGCTTCTTGACAAAGTATCTGAAATGTGCCGTTCCTGCCCTATAGTGTCCTGACAAAGGACTCAGACTGGTCAGTGTACCGTTGTTCACTTTGAGCAATCCTGCTGAGAGCACGCGGCCCCCATAGAGGAACGAGGAGTGTTGAAAGTATCCAGTCAGCTTGAGTCCGACATAGAGCTCATGACGAGAGTTGAAGACGTAGATCCAAGTATTGTTGCCGATGGTTTTGCGCAGGAGCATGTCCGACCAGTTTGATGAGTGGAGCACGTCGAGCTTGCGCGATTTACCGTGCCCCTTGGATTGATAGTGCTTTGCGGCTTTGTCCTTTTCCTCTTTTGACATCTGTTCGCCATCGTTGGACGATGAGGAAGAGGAGGAAGAGGAGGAGGAGGAGCTACCGTCGAGGTAGGAATCAAGCGAGCTTTCGGATACACCACGCTGCAAGGCTCGTCGCTCCCTATCCTTCCGCAACTCGTGCTGCTCCTCTTCATCGATGTCAACAATGCCTCTACCCTTGCCCAGATCCTTGTGCTTGTTGCGCTTTGTGTCAACGGGTTTACGATTCCTGCGCCAAACAAGCTTACCATTCTCAATGTCGACAATGTAGTTTCGCCTCTGCTCTGAGCTGAGATAGATGACGCATTCCGAGTCGAGCCTCTCTCTTGGACAGTCATCCAGACTGACCTTTTTACCATCTCCTTGGTCGAGCCACTTGAAAAAATTGTCGCGGGTATCTGCCTCCTGCCAAGCTTTGTGGTAGTATTTGAGATTGGAACCGTAGCGGTGCTTGCGATCGACCATCTCGAGCCAGTATTGCTCTTCCATCATCTTGCTCAGCTCCTGCGCCTTGCCTGCGCGAGTCCACCACTCGATCAGCTTGAGAGCCTTTTGGTGAGGATCTGCGATGCTGCGAATGTTGTCGACTTTGCCGTTCTCTTGGGCGCCAGGAACATGGCCAACTTTGGTATCACCTTGTGCGAGCTTCTGTTCGCCATCAGTTCGATGAGCAGTCTCGAGCGAAGGTCCGCCTTCCACAGGAGCATCAGCGCCTCCGTCGCCGCCTTGATTTGCTGGTGAAGAGTCCATCTTTTCGCCTCCAGCAATCTGGCCTGCTAGTAGCTGACCTCGTTTCCATCTGGACGTAGCATCGTTTTCGCCATTGTTGGAGGACTTGTTGGCCTGTTCTAGTCGCAAGCGATGGACAGCATCGGACCATCGAGTGTCGGCAGAGATGTTGCATCCATCGAGCTGCCTTCGTGTGCGATAGCCGCGGTAGTTGCGCTGGATTAAAAGGGCAGCTGCCTTGTCGCGGTCATCGTTGTGATCATGCTCGTTTGAAGAGCGGCTCATACAGGCGGAACGTAAGGGAGAGAATCGCGCGGGAAAATGAAGATTGACAAAGGTCGGTCTTGAAGCGACACTTGCCGAAGAGAAGAAGATGAAGGTGAGAAGATGAGAAGGTGGGAAGATGGGAAGGAGGGAAGATGGGAAGGAGGGAAGGAGGGAAGGAGTAAAGGAGTAAAGGAGCAAACAAGGCTAATTGAGTTGGGTCGCGACGCGTGTTAGTCGTGCTGAGATGCGGCACGCCTCGTCACGTGCAAGAATTAATTCAGAATGTTAGACTTTGAGATGGTTATCCGACTTCCGAATTTAGGATGAGAATTTGGTTTGCTGGGCAGCTTGGCTTGGAGTGTTTGACTCTTGACTCTTGACTCTTGTGTACACCACATGGAATCTTTGATTGTCGACTCATAGCAAGATGTCGAGGGAAACAGTCAGCGTCAAGGTGGAATTTGGAGGAGGAACGGAACTGCTATTGGCACCACCGCACGAGAAGAAGCACAAGATCACTTTGCCGCGCAACAATGCTTCAGGCCATCCAACCAACGTCACTGCTCTGATCGAGTACATTCGCAAGAAGCTCATTACTGAGCGAGAAGAGCTGTTTGTTGATCGTGACTCTGTGTAGGTTCCCGCAGTAAGCTGAACAAGTTTTGCACACTTACAAGAGCATCGACGCATTGACCAAGCAACCACTCCCATACTCTCTTTCTTGGGCCACAGTCGAGCGGGTATCCTCGTTCTCATCAACAACGGCGATTGGGAGCTTGAAGGCCAAGGCGACTACGTCTTGCAAGATGGCGATGAGATCGTCTTCATCAGCACTTTGCACGGTGGCTAGACGCCGATTGCTTCTTGAATTAGAACGATGGAGGAATGTGCATTTTACCGATTTGCCGTGCAATGAGTGATCGATTCCGTTTCCGCTGCATCTTTGCTTCTCTGTTTCCTTTGGCACGACGCGATCTTGGTTGTCGGCATTCTTGCTTTATTGCTCTCTGTCCTTCTGATTACCATCACCCTGCTCCGCCCTTGCAGGCGCTCTCTACCAACATGCCCGCCTCGTCTAGTGCTGGTCTTCGAAAGCGATCCAACAAGCAAGATACAGCAACACCTACAAAAGGCTCAGCGGAGAAGGCAGCAAAGTGGAAGCAACTACCATCTCAAGCCAACAAGAGGTCGACGTGGCGAATGCTCTCCTGGACCTGCTCGGCGGCTCTCTTCCTCCTGGCCTACCTCACCTACCAGAACAACGGAGAATTGCCAAGATATCTGCTTGAGCGCACCTCGATCCGACCGCAATCATCGTCTCGATATCAGCATCAGCATCCTTTAGATCAAGAAAAGGCTCCAACAGACAGTCGGGGCAGTCAAGCAGAGACTCTCTTCCCTCGCACCAAACGAGCTCCTTCTCTTCCCTATGCACTACCACCAACACGAGCGCTGCCCGAGCATCCAGTTGACAAAGCCGACCTGAAGAGGCAAGCCGCCATTCTGGAGGCATTCAACCATTCCTGGTCAGCATACAAGCGCGATGCATGGGGCTACGACGAGTATCATCCCATCAGCCAACACGGTTCTAATCTCAATGGCAAGCATGGCCAAGGTATCGGCTACACTATCGTCGACGCGCTCGATACACTCATCCTTTTCGGCCTGAAGCAAGACTACGAGCAGGCCAGAGACTGGGTCAGAGAGGTGCTCGACTGGCATGTTCCCGGACGAATGAACGTGTTTGAGACCACCATCAGAACGCTCGGCGGTTTGCTCTCAGCTGCCGCACTGATCCGCGATCCTCCTCATGCCGCATTTGAGGCCAACGAACAAGATGCGGAGATGTTCATCGCTCGTGCAGTCGAGCTTGCTGAGCGTCTGAAGCCAGCTTTCGATACACCCTCCGGTGTTCCGCTGCGTGAAGTGGACCTAGAGACAGGCCAAGCCTTTGCGGATCTGAACAACAACAACTCGTCCAGTCTAGCAGAAGCAACGACAATCCAACTCGAGTTCAAGTATCTTGCACATCTCACGCGCAATCCCGAGTACTGGCGAATCGCTGAACGACCGATGCAAGTCGTACGGGAAGCCAGTGCTAGACTGCAACACCTCCAAGGATTGCTGCCTATCTTTTTGAACCCGATCAACGGGCATTTTTACAACGGAGAGATTCGACTTGGTTCTCGTGGAGACTCGTACTACGAGTACTTGATCAAGCAGTGGTTGCAGACAGGACGTTCCGAGAAGGTGTATAGGGACATGTACGATAACGCACTGCGCGGTATAAAGCGGCTTCTTACTAAGCCGTCGGTGCATTCCAAACCTCCGCTTATGTTTACTGTCGAGCTTGCACCGAGGATGCGAGCTACGGACGGACGACCGTACATGCAACTCGTACCTAAGCAGGACCACCTTGTGTGCTTCCTGGGTGGAGCCATGATGCTAGGCTCAACTTGCACAAAGGACATCTTTGGCGAGACTACCAAACGGCCTCTCCCACCGATCTCAGATGTTAGCAGAGGCGACGAGACGGATAAAGAAGACTGGAGACTCGGGCACGAACTGGTGCGAACATGCATGGACACCTACAGCAAAACCAAGACTGGACTCTCTCCCGAGATTGCATTCTTCAAGACTCGATCCGAGGTCAACGCCACGGAGGCGCAGAGGATCGCTGCGAACCGTGCACCTCTGCGGCGCAATGTGGATTGGTACATCAAAAAGCCACCTGCTTCCTACTCGGGAAGGCCAAACCCGCTCATCGATGCACGAAACATTCTGCGACCCGAGACGGTGGAATCGCTCTTCATCGCATTCTCGCTCACCGGCGATGAGATCTATCGGGAGTGGGGATGGCAGATCTTTCAAGCCTTCGAAAAGCATTGCAAGGTCGAGAGCGGAGGATACTCAAGTATCGACGACGTCGATGCAAAACATCCGCAAAAGATGGACAAGATGGAAACGTTTTGGCTCAGCGAAACGCTTAAGTATCTCTATCTGCTGTTTTCCGATCGCGATGCTCTGCCATTGAACAAGTGGGTGCTGAATACTGAGGCACATCCTCTGCCTGTTTTCAAGCCTCATTTCCCAACAGGATTCGAGTAAGTGCAATACAGTTTAGCTTGCAATACCAAAGCATTGCGAGTCTGAGGCCTGGTTGGTGCGGATGGTGAGAAGCTCAAGCTAAACCAAGAACAAAGGGGTTTGAGGTTAAAATGAGACTTTTCTCAATATATATTGTAGAAACTCGTTCCGATCGGCGGTTAAGCGAGATGCAATGCAGACGCAAATGCCAACTTCCCCTGAAAACGTTTTTTTTCTTTTTTTTTTTTCTTTTTTTTTTTTTTTTTTTCTTTTTCTTTCCTTTTAGCGGCCTGTCAACGGCCACGGTAACTCTCTCGTGCGAATACTAGCCGCACGAGAATGCTCGATCGATATCCTCTCGCGCGAATAGACGTCGCACAGGAAAGTTGGATACTCTCTTGCAAATCGTTGATCTGCTTGTACGGAAGCAAGTACTTCAACTGGCTTCCATCTAGTTCTCCTCCCTGCTGCAATCCATCTAGATCTCCTCCTTGCTGCAATCCATCTAGTTACACCATTACACCGCGCATACAGCTTGCGCACCTAACAACGTAACACGGCCTAACCCGCAAAATAAATCCAATTAAATCGAATTAAATCGAATTAAATCGAATTAAATTTGACAGTGTTGGCTGAGGTTGGTGGGTTGAGAGCTGTCAAAGAAGAAAGTCAAGTTGTTCTTCGGCTTTGCTTGCCTTGCAGTGGCCAATCCTTGAGGCTCAAGTCTTGGCTCTGGCAAGCCGACCGCCTTTGGATGATGCTCAGCATTCGACTTGCCTTGGTCAAGGGCAAGCTTTGATCTCCTGGCCATTTGCCGGAGTGGGAGGGACACAAACCTTTCTTGACGAAGCCGAGAAGCCAACAAGGGGGATTATGTTTAGGGGCCCCGAAAAGGTTAGCTTCGAGTTGCAGTGTAACTCTTTGTTGTGCCCGTTGCAAGCTTGTCAAGCAGCATTGGCGCGAGGGTTGTGTAGTGCCTGCTAAGCGCTTAGTCTGAGGCTTGTCTCTGATGTGGATAGCATACTAGCTCACCTTCGCTTGCACTAGTTGCAAAGACGAGCATCGGTGCAGTACATATACTGGTCCTCTTTCCTACCCTCCTCGTCATCCTCCTCCTCGTCATCCTCCTCCTCACAAAGCATCAACTTCTTCAGTCCCACTCAGCATACTAGCAAAGAGAAGCAAAGATGCCGATCTCTATCAAGTCTCCCTTTGCTCCGCTCACTTCGGTGGTCTCCAAGTACATCTCAGACCACAAAGCCCGCGTAGCAGCACAAAGGGAAGCTCAGGGCACCACTTCCGGCCCCACTGGAGCTGAGGTCGATGCCCACGTCGCCAGTACTCTCTCTCGCAAACAAGGTGCTGCACTCCTCGCCTTCCAGCTCCAACCCGCCCTCGACCTCCCCTCAGTGCAAGTCGACAACGAGGGTCGAACTCTCGGCTTGGAAGACCCCAACGACGCTTCTCTCAAAGATGACCCAAACACAGCCCTCCGCGCTTCAGCTCGACCCTACGTCGTCCCTGTAACCTCGGTCTCCGATCCTGCCCTCCTCGCAGAGGTAGAGGAGGTCACCTACGGCATTCTAACTTCCATCCCTCTCTTCCCACTTCCCGATCACGCATCAAACGACGTCGAGGGTGTCAATCAGTACGGCTTCACCGATCCCCGCATTTACGGCGGAACGTCATTCGATCTCGTTGGCAATGGAATGCATGAACCGCTCAACATCATCATCTCCTCCCACTCCTCCCCCTCAATCCTCACTCGTAAAGGTTTCCAGTCCTACTGTCGAGCGCTCGACTTTGATCGAGAATGTCTCGCTATTCACGCTGGAGGTTACCAAAAGGCTTTTATTGATCCGAGGGGGTGGAGAGATCAAGAATTCATCTATAGCCAGGTCTATACCCCTTTCGATCACGTTTTTGGTACCTGTATCGAGTCCTTGGTCGGTGGAAACCATATTAGAGCTTGGCAACAGCAGGGTTCACAAGCCTGGTTCTTGGCCACAAGCAGAGAGGAGGATGCAAGTAAGAATCATATGATCATCCCCAACGGTTACAATATCGGTCGTAACCAGCTAGTGCAGATGGCCTTGGGAAAGAACAAGGATGGAATGACCAGTTTCATGTTGACAAAGTACAGCACCAAGGTGGAGTTTGTCGCTGGCTTGATGCCCCAAGGTATGCAAGGCGTCAATCATGATATAGCTGTAGATGGCTTGACTGCCGTCTTGACTGTGACCGTGGTGGAGGCGGACAAGTCGCGTTGGTTTGGAGCCAAGGAGGTCGGCACGGATTCCGCTGAGCAGGTCGTGGATGAAGAGAAGGAAGGAGGATGGGAGCAGAGCGCTGATGTGGTCGACCCTGCTGCACCTGCCCAAGAGGCGCATGACAGCCGAGAGAAGAGCAGCAGACCTATCTCGTTGGCAAAGAGGTACAGGTTCGGCAGTAAGCCTCGCCAGAGCACCGACCAGCCGCAGCAGCCGGTGACAGAGAAAAACACCGGCGTCTGGACAAAGTTGACGAGGTTGTCCGCTGCTCCTAAGCATCAGCCTACTGCCACAACCATTGCTGCTGAAGGCGGTACTAGTGCTGAAGCAGGCAGCTTGCCCGCCTCTGTCGGACAGGCAACTGGCGCCGTCGCTGCACCCGCCATCGCCGCCTAGTTCATCTCTCCTCACCCATAACTACATGATCACAAGAAAGTAACGAGCAATATAGCATCTCTACGAACAATATCTCCACCGCCCACCTTTCCCTTCTCATCTCCTTTTCAAGACCTAGTTCTTGTAACACAGCAGTCCATACCCCACGCAATACCCAACTATCATATCTTTTTACATGTTTCAGTGTCTTCTATTGCATCTATGTTTACTTACTTGGTCAGTGCCTCCTTACCGACCTGCTTGCTCCTCTGTACCTCGGCATTATCCTTTCCCTCCACCTCGCCCTTTACTTTCTCGGTACAGAACCAGAGATCTCGCAACCTGGGTGTGCAGTTCTTCTCCAACTCTGCATCTCCTTTGTTTGTAAACTGCTCCAGACACTTATCGTAAGCGACCACTTGAGTTACGCATCGATTCTTAACCTCCTTCAGCAGCGGCACTGCAGCCGCGGCGCAACGTGAGAGTTCGGTTTTGTAAGGCTCGCAAGCTCCTGGGTTTTCTTGATTGGCTAGGATGCAACGCTGGAATGTGTCTGTGGCCGTACAAAGCGCAAAGAGAGGGGGGTTAGGTTTAGCTTGAGATGGGCAATAGAGCCGAGGGAAAGGGTCAAGAAGCGTCACTTACCCAGCTGCTTACCGCATTTGGCAGCTACTTGATCTATTGACGATTCCATCTTGCTCTGTGTATACAAGGTGTGAATGAGGTGGAGAAGCAAAGAAGAAGTGCCGGAGAGGTAAGCATCAAGAAGAACGTTGAAATCCCACCTTTTACTCCACAAAATCACCCGATCCCTTAACTCATCCGATCCCTCAACTCACCCGATCCCTCAACTTACCCGATCCCTCAACTCACCCTTAAGAATTGACGGCCCGATCCCTTAACTCACCCTTAAGAATTGACGGCCCGATCCCTTAACTCACCCTTAAGAATTGACGGCCCGATCCCTTAACTCACCCTTAAGAATTAGCGGCCCGATCCGGTGTTTAGAAGATTTCACCTCCACACACCAACACTTTCGCACAGACACCAGAACTCAGCTTTCTTGGCTACCCTTTACCGTTCTAACCACCACACTACGCAACCCTCTGAACGAAGATCACGATGGCGAAAGGCTCATCAATATGGATCGACCAGCTCGTCTCACTGCTCGGTCTCGACAAGGAGACAGTCAAGACTCAAATCCTGCCCTTTCTCGACTCATTCGACGATGAGACTTTGCTTCGCACGCATTTGCAAGACCTTGTTGGAACAGACACGGCGCTCGCAAAGTCATTCCTTCGCGACTTTACACGGTCGAGATTTCCTCAGCAGGCGGGACATGCATCAGGCTCAACAACACCGACTCTGTCATCCGCGCCTATGTCTGCGAACCCGAGTGGAAGTGGGAACAATCATAGTAGCGCGCAAAGAAAGCGCGCAAAGAAGACACTAGCAGAGCGAGCTGCGATCGGACAGACACTCGCACCGAGGAAATTCGAACATCCTGGCCTTGACCAACAAGATCAGATGGCAAAGCTGCAAGAGGCCTTCGGAGGCATGGGTACTGTGTATAGGAAAAAGCAGGATGACCAAGACTTTTTTGCTGGTACGAAGGGCAAGAAGGGCAAACATGGCCGAGCAAAGGCAGAGCCGTCGACAGGACCTCGCGAGAGTCCTCAGCCAGAGGCCGCACCGTTAATCGACTCTCATCCCGCCGAAGCATCATATTCGGCAAACATCGACGAGCCCTCTTCATCCATCTCTCTATCCAAACCATCGCCGCCACCAACAGCCGAAATGCTCGCGATCGATGCCGTCGTCGAAGAACTCACTTCCCCCCTTCCCCCCTCATCCTCAACCTCTTCATTCATAGTCAACCGCAGACTGTGCTTCTGCCAAGGCCGTCGTCATCCCCTCGCACCCTATGCCCCACTCTGCTACTCGTGCGGACTCATCCTCTGTTCAGCCATCCACCCATCCCCACTCTCCCCCCTCTCCTCATGTCCATCATGCTCCGCCTCACCTCTCCTCTCGACCGCAGCACGATCCGATCTAGTCGCCAAACTCACCGCCGAACGAGAAATTCTCTACGAACAGCAACTTCTTCAGATCCAACTTCAACGAGAACAGAAGAAACTCAACAAATCCACCGCCCGCAGTGCTCGGGAAGAAGAAGCTGCACTGTTCCCTCAACTTGGTGCTCAACCCGGTTCCATTTCCACAGCTACGACAACGGCGTATGGACACACAGGACCGGTAATGGGCAAACACGGTGCGCTACAAAAGGCAAGAGCTATTGCAGCTGGCGCACAGAGAACAGCAAAAGTGCTGAGTCTGGATATGAAGACGCACAAGCTGAAACAGCATACCAAGATCACAAGGCCAAAAGCGACGGAAGTAGCAAAGGCAGATGCGGAGAAAGGGAAGGTGGTGGAAGAGGTCGAGCAAGATCCCTTTGTCGGGTTGGATGGATCGGAACTGGTTAGGAACGATGCTGATGATGGGTTGCGTGCGACAGCTGCTGCGGGCGGTGGAAAGGCAAAGGCGGTGGCGAGCGGGACAAAGACGATCCCAAAACGAAGCTGGACCTTTGCGGGCAAAGAGCTTACTTTGCAGGCTACACCAGCTGTCAAGTAGTCTTACACGACAATGCACGTGTTATCCCCATCTTGATGATGACAGTGAATTCGTCCGCCTGGTGAGCAGGGGTGGCGACTCACTGCGTGCTGCTGAGTTCTCGGACGCAAGGATCTGTTCGACGAAAGGCCCAACCACCTACACGAATGCGGCTTGCAATTGCACTGCTCAATCGACCGGCGAGGCAAGCACCCCGCACAGAATGCGAATCTGCTCTTCAGGCTGAAGCAATTCTATCCCAAGCCAACTGTGCAATGCCATAGGTTACAGCAAGATTTACCCAGACCCTGTCAGCTGTCAGCAACGCTCTCACGGGACGGATAAGATCTCAGCTTTCCTCAACATCGCAGAAACAGTTAGCAACACTAGAGTAACAACACTAGAGTAAAAGAAAGCGGAACACGGAACACGGAACACGGAACACGGAACACGGAAATAAGGAACGAATCGGTGGCCTGACAAGACACACTCAGCATTCCAAGCGATACACCAATCGCAACGCTTCAAGCTTCCTCCATCATCCCTTGTCCCTCCCTATCCTGTTCTCAGGCTCCACACAGCATCTCATCTCGGCGTTTCCTGTCACGTTCTGTCTCGATTGATACCCACCCAACACGCCATACCAACGCTTCGTTGTAGCCCCACCCAACACGCCATACCAACGCTTCGTCCCACATTGTAGCCCCACCCCGACTCCGCTCCAGCTCTTCAGCCCACCTCCGTGATTGTTGCTCTCCCCATTGTTGCGCATAATATTTCAGCCCCACACGAACTTCGCAGCAAGCGCACGCCTTTCAACTTGGTCAAAGTCGATCAACAGCTGCCCTATAAAGAGCGTCGGCCTTCAGTCTTGAACTTTGGCACGCGAAACCAGAACCGTTTCCTTTGTACCACAAAGGCTACTTTATTCTCGATACTCGGCTCGGCTGCTCGACTCAACTTGTTGCTACATTAATCATCACCCTTGTTCTCTCATCCAGACCCCAGCCTTCCTTTCGGTCTGGACCGTACGTCACAATTGCTCTCCTCACCATGCGGGCAATCGCCAAGGTTGTTCACTCTTCCTTTCGTAGGGTCGAGCGTGCTGCTGACTGGCTCACAGGCTCTGCAGGTCCCGTGTTCATTGCGATCTGCATTACCCTAGTAGTCGGTGGAGTATGGACCTTCTTCAGCTCCATGTTCCTCGAGATCGCACCTATACCCACCGAGCTCGCCAACCTCTTCCACACCTACTCTCCGGCACACATCGCACTTGGTCTCATCCCAACACTCTTTGATTCGTTAACAAAGGATTCCATCGCGACACTACGCTTCTTTTTCTGGTTGATACTGTGTCTCTTCACCGTTTACAGCATAGGATGGCACTACTATTTGGCATGTACCGTCCCACCAGGTTCAGTCTGCGAGGGTCTCGGCGATGCAGTGCCTGAAAGAAGAACTGGGCCAGGAAGCAACATCTGGTGGGCGCGGTACCGAACAAGAGCGGCAAAAGCGTCGGGCCCGAAAGTGCATGATCTCCACAGTGCCAAAGGCCATGTGATGACACACGAACCGCCTGAGGCTGCAGCTCCGGTTCGAGTATCTTCGGTAGCAGATCTCAAGAAATTGAACAAGGCGTTGGATGGGCTAGATAGCAACAGAGCAAAATCAGCATCAGTGACACCGTCAAGATCGTCATCGGATCGCATGCCTCCTACAGTCAATGCCTCGCTCGCACAATCTCATCAATCTTCGTCCAGCAGCGAACGTGGCACACCACGAATGATACCCAAGAGCGACCTCCCACTCTCCGTTCACGATCTCAATCCTGTCCTTGCTTCGCCTATGTCTTTCGAATTGGAACCGTCCAGCAACCCTCTCTTCCCACCACGCCCACGCCCAAGTCACGACAGTGTCCGCGCTGCCAATGTCACCGCGGCAGCAGCAGAAGAAGAAGACTTGTACACGGGCGAGAGCGAGATCGATGAAGACGACCAAGATCTCTTCCCTCTTGCTGGTATGTGTCGCAAGTGTCCCACCATCCCACTCTCCAAAGCTCTTTCCGTGCTGCCACCTGAGCTCCGCAAGATCGAGAAACAGATCCGCAAGAACGCGCCTTCGCAAACTTTCAGCTCCAAGCTCTCCTCCGAGGACATCGATGAAGGAGAAGCAGAAGTACGAGCATGGCTTGGCGAAAGTGCGGCAGAGAAACTCGTCGCTCCTCCGAAACCCGAGCGTGCTCACCACTGCAGGGTTTGCAAAACGTGCACGCTCAAGTTCGACCATCATTGCCCTTGGCTTAATCAGTGCGTTGGGTTGGGCAACGAGCGGTACTTTGTGCTCTTCATGTCATGGTTGAGTTTTGGATGCGGGATCGTAGTCTACTCGGGTTTCGGAGTCATGAGGAGGTCGTTGAGCTGGAGTGCCGACTGGCCGTATCTGTACACGCCGAGAGTGCTGGTGATGCTGCTGTTCATTCTGGCGCTGGTGATGGGATTGGCGCTGTTCGTGATGGCTGGCTGGCAGGTGAATCTGGTTGGTAGAGGCGAGACTAGCGTCGAGTCGCAGGATCATGGTAAGTGACAGCGAATTACCTTGCAAATGCAAATCGAGGCTGCAAACGCTGCGTAGATGCTAACTTACTACTCTTTCTATTGATCTCCTTTGCATTGCATACACCACGTTCTTACAGCACACTATCGAGACTTGGCCAAGAAGCGTGGTCAAGAGTTCGTCAACGTGTACGACATTGGTTGGCGTCGAAACCTCGAGCTCTTCTTCAATGTTGGGCCTGGATCACCTTAGTAAGTTGCCAGACAGAGCTCTCTAGAGTCCTCATACCTGCTGGTAGACTGACTATGATCATCGCTTCTTTGTTCCTCTACCCACAGCGGCTGGCACACGATCTTGCTTCCCATGCGAGTGCCACCCTACTCAGATGGCTGGCATTTCGCAAAGCGTCGCGGATTCAGCGGCAAACATGCAGGCATTGACATTCAGGAACAGCTCACCGACGAAGAGTTTGACGACGACCACTATGACGCCGTTCCTGCATCCCACTCCTCGGCGAAGACAGGTCAGAAGCTGGCATCGTCTTCTTCCAAATAAACAACATTTGCTTGCTATCATGCAGGCTCATTGATCTCTTTTGACACATTGTATACCCTTATTCCCACCAGTGATCTCTTTCATGAAGATTTTCTGAAGCCAGTGACAGTATGATCCGCCTCGTTAACCGGTCAATTGTGAAAGACCGGGAGCCAGCCTGCCGATGGGCCGAGATTGGTCCGACCTTCGTTCATGCTATCTAATGCAGCAGCTTCCCCTGAAATAGGAGTGAACTGCGGTCTGAGTCGAGAAGATGAGCCTACGGTCTCGGACAAGACGGCGTAGAAGAAGCCCGGTCGGTGTTGGTGTTAGCGAGGTCGCACGTTCTGATAGAGCATCCAGAGAAACGCTTCTTGATTCGCCGCAGAGACCGGTCAACTCTGCGCCGCTTCATGTCCACGTTCAGTATTGCAGCTCTCTGCACTTCCCAGTTTGATACCGTGCTCCTTTCTTCCTGAGCTTACTGATGTCATTTCTTCCCGTAGACCCTGCATGGACTTAACTCGACGACGCAGAGCAGGTACCGAGATGACCGGTGGAGAAGGAAGCAACGTTGTTTCTTTGGGCCGGACAGGGAGAGATCGTCGGGATCGACATCACCGACCAAAGACGATTCGACGTAGTTATGCAGAATGCGAGAAAAGTACATCGCTTAGCCTTTGCAAACATTGCATGAGAGCTGTTCTTGACAAGCACGTTGGTGGTGCTCTTCTTCTCAGGACTCAACGTTGTATGCTGCAGGTACGACAGTTGCACGGGTACTGTAGGTGCAGTGGACACCGCATGCTCATGCTAGAGCCAGCTCAAGAAGGATATATACCGAGATGGTTGTGGTGCAAAGATGTCGGTGATAACGAACATCGTCCACCAACTCTTCAGCGCCTTCTACTTCAACGAAACCTCCGTCAAGATGAGCAACACTAGCGCCGTCACACCTTTCCCTGGTGTCTTCACCTCGAGCAATACCCCTGCTCGCCTTCCTTGGGACACCTACAGTAAGCATTTCCTTCACTCAACGGCTTTTCTGCCCTTTCAATCACTGACAAAGCTCTGAAGCCCCTCCGGCTCTGGTATACTAGATTACTGCAATGCTCCTCACGTCAGCGCCAAGCATTACGAGCTTCCTCCCCAAGCCAAGAAAGACGCCAAGCTCGTCTTTGTCAACGTCGTTCAGCGCCACCACAAGCGCACACCCGACAACCTTTATCCCAAGGAGAACGTCTTCAACCCTCCCGCCGGCTGGGATTGCTCCAACTACCAGCAGATCTCGTACGGTGTCGGTGCTAAGGAAGATGTAAACCTTCAAGGACACGGCATCTATCGCAAGATCGAGAACCCATCATGGCACCCTCTCAACAGCTTGATCTGGAACGGTACCTGCGATCAAGGTATGCTCACTGCTGACGGTCTCAGAGACAGCATTCAGCATGGTCGTGACTTCTGGTCTGTCTACGGTCCTTGGGGTAAGAACGCCCTCCTTCACGATGGCATCAATACGAAGGATGTCTACTTCAGGACCAGTAACAGTGATCGCACCTACCAGGTTTCTGGTGGCCTGATCGCCGGTATGGACGGATGGAAGGTTCCAGGCAACTTCCCTGTCCATAGCCAGCCGGGCAACATGGACGACATTGTTCCCAACTACAGCTGCAATTACGCAAACGATTTCCGTAACGCAGAGCAGTCTCTGCCCGCTTGGACTGACCACCTCAACTCCAAGTCTGACCTCTTCGACTCGCTCAACGCCGTTGTCGGCACTGCTGGCCAGAGCGGCTGGAACAGCTGGATCGACCACCACTTTGATGCTATGGCCTCACGCCAGTGCCACGGTCACGAATTGCCCAAGAACCCTGCTTCGGGTGCAAGCATCTCGCAGGATCTCGCCAACCAGGCTTACAACGAGGGTCACTGGGAGTACGACTACATTTGGAACTCAGGATCCGGAGCTGACAACTACGTTAAGTACGGCTTCGGTGTCTTTATGCAGGAGTTGAGCAGCAACCTGCAGAGGTTCAAGGGTGGAGAAGATAGGTACAAGCTGAAGTACTACGTCGGTCACGATGGTACCATGGTTAGGCTGTACAAGTCTTTGGGTCTTGCCGGTCAGTTCAAGTGGCCTGCGATGGGATCGGAGGTCGTGATTGAGGTCTATAAGCAAAAGAACGAGCACTACGTCCGATTGCTCAAGGACGGAAAGCCTATGCAGACTGTTGTCAAGGACATTGCTGATGAGCAGGGCACGATCTCCTGGGTAAGGATGCTCTTCCTCCAGCGAATGCTCTTGAGTGCAATGCGGAATCATCATACTCACCCCTTTGTTCGCATTTCGGTATCTACTTTCGACGTCCACAGACCCCCATCGACAAGGTCATCACCTACTTCAACTCCCGCGTACCTTCAGACATCTACTCCAAGTGTGTTCTCGGAAAGTAAGCGCTATTCCCACAGCCACTCCCCTTACGCTTTGCGTTCCGCTCAGCACGGTCCTCCTCGTCTCCCGCACCATCCTTGCTTCCTTCTCATGCTTTGTGTTGCTACCGAAGTCGGAGTCGCTTCTATGCGCGCACACTCGGACCGCGCCGCAGGATGCTCCACCAAAATAAGTTATGCGACCTCAGCTTCTCTTTGTCTGTCTTTACGCCGGCTCCCTTCCCTTTTGTTCTCCAGAGCAACTCCGTCTCTGTGTCACCTGCTCATCAACGTCTCAGAGAACATATTATCATGCTTGTGTTGCTTGCTATGAGTTTCAGCTGCCGGTGCCAAGCACTTATCCCTGCAGCAATCCTCATAGCACTATATTGATCCGCTGAGTGCTCGCCACGTCCGGCTTGCTTGGCTCAGCCATCGCCACACCATCCTCGTCGCTATGCCACGGCACGCTACGCCGCGCTTCGATTCGCTTTTCAGCCGCCGATGCAGAGCTGTGTTCGCCGCCGTTTAGTGCATGAGGTCGACCTCAATGGCGCTTGTCTACTGTCTGCTATGCCTTGCGATGTCACTAAGGTCCGGCGGGGACAGTGCTGCAGGAGTGTGGCCAAGAGCGGTAGGAGACCTTGCTGTTTGTGAGGAATAACGGCCAAAGTGCAGTTTTGTCGTCCCTTTCATGGGTCCTGCTGTTTGTTCTTCAGAGGGCCTAAGCTACCCCTTTTGCCCTGTCACTCCTTCTTCCAGGTCAAAGATGCACCGATCGAAGATCACCGGCTGTCAAAGTTGACGAATTAGCCCACTTTCAATGACTACTTCTGAGCCGGCGAAGCTTGCAAGGCCGAGCAGGTCAGACCATCGGTGGCAACGGTTCTGCCTTCACACTAGTGTTTCGGGGCTGGCAGACATCATTGAATCGTTTCCGCTCTCCTCAATCAGAGAACAGCCACAACATGCAGAGCTCGGGCCCCGTCCGAAGCCAGACAGGGTCATCCAGCCGAGGTCGGGAGCGTCGCTAGTCTGCCGACCTGCGACGCTCTGCACAGTGAAGGATGAAGCTCAGCAGATACTGTTGCGTTCTGATGGTCGCGCATGCTATCATGGGTCAAAGCAGCGACTCATACTCAGCTTGACTTGCGTCACAGCCTAGGCAAAAAGGAACAGGGTCTCGATAGCCCCGGGCTGGCTGCATCGAAGACTAGGAGGCTGACAGAGGTGCGTTGCTCACTATGCTGCAAGCCTGCATTTGTCCAAGGGCTCTGCTGGCCATTATGCCTCCATGTCTTTGTCTGCATTCGTGTGGCGAGACCGACAGTTCCCCTATAAACACCCCATGCTCCCTCCTCCAATTGCTCAGCCCCATCACGGTTCCCCTCATCCTCCCCTCCTTTGCCTCTCTCTTGGCACGAACCAGCTTCGAGCTTGGGTTGGCAACTCTACACAAGATGTCTCACGTCCCGATGATGTTGCGGCCCATCAAGCCCGAAGACCTGGTGTTTCCCCACGAGATGAACACGAATCGCGACCTGTTAGCGTTCGCCAACCTGATGATCCGACCGCCACCAAGCAAGCCTGTCGAGATCTTTATGATTTGCGACATCGTGCAGTGCCTCATCACACTTTTTGCCTGCACCAACGTCATGGTCAAAAAGGGTCGCATGCGAGATTTCCGCATCATCACGTTGCGCAAGAGTCCTTACGGCACTTTCATCGTCCCCAACGCTATTTGGATCTTGCTCACAGGCATGGTTGTCTATCTTGTCGAATGGACCGTTTTTTGCACCTGGATAGTGTTCGTGCAGAAGACGAACAGGCCGCTAGCCGAGTGGCTTTGGTACATCCCCTTTCCTTGGTGAGCACGACGCAACACAGACGTGTCGTCTCGGTACTGAATACAGTGTCACTAACTGTGGCCTTGAACGATTCGTTTACTCGTTCGACTTCGTTTCGGCTTATCTCCGCCACTTTTCTCGCGTTGATCGCAACTGCAACTCTCATTGTCATCGTAGGCTTTCGCTAGCATACTCAGCTTGGGCAGCAGGTGAGTTCACACCGGAAGTCAAGGCAGTGCAGTCCTGTCGGATCGCATCCCGTGGCCGACTTAGGATGCCGTCACCACACGTACATTTCCTCCCATCTCGCAAAATTAACATCAAACATTCTGCTACTCCTCCCTCCGTCAATCACACGAAACAGGTTACGGTTTTGTGCTCACATGCAGTCCTCGATCGCCCATCTCGAATCTGCTCGGTAGAAGAAAGCAGGAATTCAGCGGCAGCAGTCTAAGCTGGTACCACTTGCCAATCCCACACTCGGCATGGCTGATGAATACGTTTTTCGTCAGCGTCACCGTGGCCATGTTCGGCTACAACATCGTCGTGACGGCATTCGCTGGCAAGCAGCTGGCGAGTACGCACGAGAGGCCCCGCGACATCATGGCTCTTCTCTTTGGGCAGCCGTTCACACATTCAGAAGCGTGGCTCAACGATGTACCCACGCAAGAAATGCTGGACTTGGTGAAAGTCGGCTGGGCCGCCATGATGAACGTTTTCCGCATCTGCTGCGTAGCACTAGCCTCGTACTTGGTGTTGACCACGATGACCATTGTGGTTGCCTTTCTGTACTCGGTCCCAAACCAGCTGTTCCTGATGGACCATCTGTGTCGTATCTTTCCCGACGTCCCTGCGGAGCAAGGTATGAGAAAGAGGAGCGCTAGTGAAAACATCAAGATGCTGTGGAAGATCGGATTGCCGCGTAACCTGAAGGGCCCATCGTACTCTGCCTTCAAAAAGACATGGATGGTGACCATGATCGGACATTGGCAATCGATTCTGTTGCTCGCAGCCGTGTCAGCATTTATCGTTCCGCCGTGGTTTCTCTTTTTCGTCCCCTGGACCAACGCCTATGAAGGACGAAGCTCGGATCACCAGGTCATGTTCATCGTCGCGTACACGATCTCGGTCGCCTTTTTGTCCGCTGGTTGGGTCACCGGTCTTTCAGCTACGTTGACGTACGATGAAATTTTCAAGGCGATAGCCGGGCTTGGTAATGGCCATATCACGGATCCTTTGTCGAGCTCTAGTCAGGAGAGTTCTATGCCGCGTCATAGTCGAAGCTTCTTGGGCAAGTTCCCTGGCGCCAAACTGATCCTTCCGCCACCATCACTCACTCGCTCCAAGTCGCTTCAAAGCCCAACATCATCGCAGTCGCCTGGGCTGCTTCGCCCTATGCCGAGCTTTACGCCTTCTTCTGCTGACTCGCACATCACCGAAAAGGACGATATCCCGCTTGACGATTATCGATACCCTTCTCCTGTCAATAATGGGAACAAACTGACCATTGTGACGGAGACAACGATCACGGTACATCACGATGATCTGGAGGCCAACATGTCGGGCCCGGAATCGGTCTCAACGTATTCTAACCCTTGCAACGCGGGCAATTCTCCGACACAGGCCACATCGCCATACTCCTTCCTTTCCAGGAAAGCGAACCGCTCAAGCAAGTGAGATTCTTCTCTCTATCTGCAATCCACCCAGTCTTTTCTTTGTTTTCCCATATATCCGTCCAGTCGTTTGTACATCGGTTTTGTCACATGGAAATTCAAAGACGAAGCTTCCGCTTCTTTGCACAGTGGACTCGGCGATGCTGTGAGGTGAACTGATGCTGTAATGAGTGTTCTATTGCTGTCTAGACTATCCCTGAGATCGATGCTGGTTCTGCTCTAAGAGACTGAAGGAGTGTAAGGAGCGTATATTCTGAAATCTATGCTAGGACTTGTTGATGACTTTGGTAACGATGAGCGAATTAGGAACTTGAGCATTGACCAGCTTGAGAATGTTGGCCGATAATGCAACGACAAGCACTAAGCATCCCCATGCGGCAAGAGCTATCGCAGCCTTCCGTAACCTCGAACTGGGCTGATCGGCAAAGAGCGATGCGTAGAGCACACCTGGCAAGATGAAGCTGATTGTCGTGCTGCCAACGGAACCGACAAAGCCAAGGATGATGGAAAGATCGTCGACGAGAAGACTGATGATGAAAGTGGTGCTGAGAATGCCTGCAGTCATGAGACACCACTTGCCTAGTGGGATTTCTTCGTCTGACTCTGTCAAGTCTTGCTGTTGCTGCTGCTGCTGCTGCTGTTGTTGTTGTGGCGGGTTCGGCTGACGAGGTTGTGACGGAACATTCTCATCATCGTGATAAGGCTCGATGACATCTTCTCCTTCGCCTCCATCTTGACTGGCAAGCAAGCTCGCTTCCGCTGCGGCATCATCCAAAATCTGCTGCCTCCTACTTGCTTTCGAAAAGACCTTGTCCAAACTCGCCCTGCACGGATGTACTTGCAGCGGGTAACTGAAGATGGTCAAAATGATAATACTGACCCTTCCAAAGCAGACAAAGAAGCTCGTGCTCGGATACATTGCAATAATGTTATCTCCCACATTACTTCCAAAGCTGAGATAGCCCAAGACTCCAACAATAAGATACACCAGCCCACCCGTCCCAATTGAAGAGCCAATCGCAGTATTCACCCGACCTTCTACGTTATGGAAGAGCTCGTTGTAGACTGGAAGCATGTTCTGCGCGCATGTAAACGCAAAGACGAAAACGGGAAAGATGCTGAGGGTGTGGTAGGAGATAACGATCATTTCGACTTCTCCCTTTGGTGGGAGGGAGGCTTTGGCTTCGGAACTGAAGCTGTAGTGCAAGACGATGATGACGAGGTAAAAGACTGCTAGCAAGCTGAGGTAGCTCGTGTGCCTTAACGAGTCCAACCTCTTAAGGAAGCAGAGCGGGATGAGCAAGATGATAAGAGCGAGAATCCAAAAGCTCCTATCCAAGAACAGTGTCGGAATCTCGTGCACATCCCTGTGAAACGCCCTGAAGAAGCTAACAATCACCTGCGGCATTAACTGCCCACAGATGATCAGATAGGAGATACTGACACCGTAGCACTTCAAAGCGATCGCAAGGTCAAAGTACCATGCTCCCGCAGGCAACGCTTGAGATGCGATTGTGAAGAAACTGTTCTTTCTCCCTCCTGCTCTCGCTGCGCATCTTGTCAGCAGGTATAAACCCAATGCAGCTGTAAAGCTGCAAAAGAAGATGAGAAAGATACCAAGTAGCAAGCCTGTGTATTTGAAAGCGCCGGGTGTCGCTAGCATGCCAGTGCCAATGATGGTGTTGGTGAGGTTGCTGATGCTCGAGACGAGACTGGCTGAACCTTGTCGTTCCATTGAAGCGGTAGATACGATGCGGCTGCTTCGAAGAGATGCATTTCGGATGTTCGAGTTGCGCAGGTGGGAGGGTGCTGGTGGTCTCCGTGGCTCATCTTGAGCATAGGTGAGGGCGACCATCGCTCCGGACGCTCAGGGTCTGTGGGATAGTCGGAGTCAGAGATAATGCTGCGATCGCCGGCGGTAGAGACGGCCGATGGTGCTACGATGAGTCGTTTGGGGTCCTTTGGGCCGTTTGGGTCGATGGCGCACACTTGCTGCTAGGGGCTGAAGCGAGCGGCACCACGACTATCGAGTGGAATGGAATGATGGTCAAATGTTGGTCGAGATGGTGATGAGGGTGGGACAAGGCTTGAAGTGTTTTTGTTTCGACATTACCAGCAACTGGAAATAGGAATGAGAAATACGTGGCGCTGCATGTGACAAACACCGGTCTAACATGATACAGTTTGGTTCACTCAAGGTAGTACAGGAATTGAGCCGCCAATATCGCACAACTCAGCCAACCAGCTTCCTTCTCCTCACCAACGACTACCGTCCTGCAACTAACGATTGACCTGCACTGCACTGGTCGGCAGCCCCTTCATCGCCATGGCTGGAACCTTGAGGTCGAGGCGGACTCACATCGCTCGAAGGAAGACGAACACATGGCAACGACAGCTTCAAAAATGCAGAAGCCTAGTTTTAAACAAGAGGATGGCGATGACAAACCACGTCCTTTGCGCAAGCGCAAGGTGCAGTGGGCCGACGAAGATGAGGACTCGAATGGGCTGGTGACCACTGCTGTCACTGATCTGAGGGTTGAAGATGAGAGGACGCTCGAGGAGCTGCCAAGCACTCACGTGGATGAGCATGGAATGCTTGTCTCCTCTCACTTTGGCGAGCAGAGCGCAAAAGGGGATCTCAGCGACGTGGGTGCCAGCACAGGCAAGGACGATACCAAGCAGTATCTGAGCTTGGCAGCCTACAATCCCATCGAGTACAGAGATATGCGTACCTATCTGGCCGCCAAACGTGCGAAGCTGAAGGTGCAGGAAGCTTCGTTGCTGCAAGAAGAGCAAGCTCTGCTCCGCGTCCAAGATACCCGAGCCAGCACATCTGGCAAGCAGGACAGCGTCGCAGCAGAGATCGAAGCAAACGGTGGAAAACGATCCGACGCTCTCAAAGGGTGCTGCGTCTACATCAATGGGCAGACTCATCCTCCTTACAGCGAATTGCGTCGCCTACTCGTGCTGCACGGCGGAGACCTCATGGCGTACCTTGATCAGAAGACACCTGTCACCCACATCGTCGCATCCAATCTTACTCCAAAGAAGCGCATCGAGTTCAAGGACTACAAGGTAGTCTTGCCGGGGTGGATTCTGGAGAGTATCGAGCTGGGTAGCAAGGCAGACTGGCGCAAGTGGAGATGTGATGCAATCACAGGCACCAACGGCCACACGTCGAATAGTATGGTTGGCAAGCTAGGCGACCAAGATCCCGCTGGACCTAGCAAGGTCGGGCTGGGAGACTGGCGTAATCTGGATAGATCTGCAAAGTTGCCGAGACAGCTGCCATGGATTGGCGACGAGGATGGAAGTCCATGGGGCAAGCCTACTAATCAGACGAACCTGCTGGATCGATTCACTAGGACACATGGGCCGCCTCCAGCTAAATTTCAAACAATGCGAGCTGCCTCTCCCGTCAAAACAGCACCAGAACACGCGCAGGTGAAGTCGGAAGAGCAGCCCAAGAAGCCGGCAAAGGGTAAGGGTGTTCGATTTTGTGAGGAGGAAGTCATTCAGCCTGCTCCGACAGCAAACGAAAGCCAAGTCTCAGCAGAACCCAGTCTGAACCCTATCATACAACCCCGTCAAGATGCTGCAGCGTTAGAAGATCTACTTGACGGAACAGGTTCAAGCAATACAGTCTCAGCCGCAGAGAGCAAAGGTACCCCCATGACCGTGGACGGTCCGGTCACGCCAACCAAACCCAACGAGAAAATCGACTATAGCATCGGCACCGATCCTGCCTCAAAGAGGGCCGCAATTGCAGCAAGCAGAAGTCACTATGCATCGAGACCGTCCAACACCCACGCTGCTCGTCTTCTGGCCAGTCCCAGCTGGCGAGAACGAAACACTGCCACCAGCGAAGGTTTCCTTGCCGGCTACTTTGCCAAGTCGCGTCTTCATCACCTCAGTACCTGGAAGACAAGTCTGCAAGACATGGTCAGCTCCGCTCTGCGCGAGGCTGGGCGTCCACTCAGCAGTTCCGACTTGCCAAAAGGTGTACAACGAGTCATTATGCACATCGACTTCGACAGCTTCTTTGTGGCTGTCGGTCTCAAAAAGCGCCCCGACTTGCAAGATAAGCCTGTTGTCGTCTCTCACGGGACAGGCTTTGGCCTTCCTACAGCCAAGCCGGGGGATGAAAATCGACCAGCAGATCATCAGTCTTCCAGCACCTCCGAAATCGCATCCTGCAGCTACAAAGCACGCGAATTCGGCATCCGCAACGGCATGAGTCTTGGTCAAGCCAAAAGGTTATGTCCTCAAGTCGAGACAATACCCTACGACTTCGAGGCGTACAACTCGATCAGCCTCACGTTCTACACCTTTCTGCTTGAGCACTCTGATGCGTTGCAAGCTGTGTCTGTTGATGAAGCGCTCGTCGACGTGAGCTTGCTGCTGCAAAGCATGCGTGATGGTGATTCGACCTCTGGATCACTCTATGACCGATATCGGCATCATCTTGGCTCACAAGGCGAGATCTGGACTGCAGAGAAGCAGCTGGCTGAAGCTTTCCGAGATGAGATCCGCGAGCTGTGTGGATGTGAAGCAAGTATTGGCATCGGCTCCAACATTCTACTCGCTCGCCTTGCCACCCGCAAAGCCAAGCCTGGCGGATCTTACCATCTCACAGACGATGCGAAGCAACCCTTTCTCGATGCGCTCGATGTTGACGACCTTCACGGTATCGGATGGAGTCTGCGTGATCGCACGCGTGAGCTCTTGGAAACAATCAACATTGGCGAGATCCTCTCCAAGACTAGCCAAAGTAAGCTTGTCGCTGAGTTTGGTCCCAAGAAGGGCAAGATGATCTGGGACAAGATGCATGGAATCGATGCCGATCGACTGGAGGGCAACAAGCTCCGTCAGTCGGTAGGATCGCACGTTAACTACGGAATCCGCTTCCTCACCGAGCAAGAAGCAGAGAACTTTGTGACGGGCATGTGTCAGGAGGTGTCGCAACGCGCAAAAGCAGTGAAGCTGCGCGGAAGGCAAGTATCGGTGCAAGTCATGGTCCGAGCCAAGGACGCTCCGGTAGAAGCGCCCAAGTTTCTCGGTCATGGTGTCTGCGATACGCACCATCGTAGCGTGCAGGTCAGTGGGCCGGGTGGAGTGGCGATCGATGACGAAGTCAGGATCCGGAAAGCTGCTTGGCCTCTGATCAGGGATATGAAGGCGGATCCAAAGGAGCTGAGGGGCATCGCTATCAGTCTCAACAGGTTAGAGCCGGCGGAAGGCAATCCATTGTCTCCGGCTAAGCCCAAAGGAGGACAGTCGGTGCTGAGATTTGGCTCAGCTGCATCACCAGCCAAGCCTGTAGCTGCAAGCGCTGCCAAGCCGGTCGACAAGCAAGCGAGCGACAACGTCGGCGAGAACGACAGTGACACCGAGCAGCCAGACGAACCAGGCCTGGAGGTGCCCGAATCTTTCGAGAAGGGTCCTCAAGCAGCTACGCCAAGGAGGCTGGGTGCTACTGAGATGCCAAAGTACCAGGCAGGGCGATCACCTGGCTCTCCGATGAAGCTGCCACCTTCGACACAGCTCATGTTGCCTTCGAGGTCACAGATTGACCCGGATGTGTTTGACGCTCTTCCCTCACCGTACCGACGCCAAATTGAGGCCAAATTTGGATCTGAAATCCAAGAGAAGCTTCCTGGGCGGCAGACGTTTCCTATAGAAAGCTTGGACCGTACCTCAAAGGCCACTCCATCGATGATGCAAAGTCAGACAGGCTCACAGAGCCGTCCACGAGTCATACTTCGCTCCACGCCAACCACACCGCAGAAAGCCAAGGCTGCCCCCTCGCCTGGTATGGTAGAAGCACTGATGCTCCCTTCCGCTTCGCAGATCGATCCTGCCGTTCTCGCCGAATTACCAGACTCTGTACGGAAAGAGATCGAGCGGCAAGTGGGTTACATCTCTAACGAAGCTTCATCGGGTCCCTCATCTGTCGAGAGCACTCCAACCTCCGCAGCTCGGAAGAAGAGTGCCAACACAGCAACTCTCGCTACCTTTCTGCGTCAAGACAACAAACAGATCGATCGACGATCCGCATTGTTCAGATCTGTCTCTGAATCACCTACGAAGAAGCGAGTCGTCAACAGGCTCTTACAAGCGGCTGATCAGCCCATGGTCGACAAGGATACAATTTTGGCAATGGATCCGAGCAAGATCTCCAATGAGACACTCGAAGAGCTTGGCATTGACCCTGAAGTGTTTCACGCCTTGCCGGTCGAGCTGCAACGCGAGATGTTCAGACATCACTCGGAGCAGAAGAAGTCGGAGAAGGCGCGCTTCAAAGCAGGTAAAACGAACACTTTTGAAGAGCTTACATTGACTGAGCAGAGAAGACGGGCTACCATGCGGGCAGCACAGAATGAGATTCTGGCACAGAAACAGATTCAAGAACGGATGCGTGCACATCGCGGTGGAGCTGAGCCGCCGAAAAGGTCTGTTGTTCTGGGTGGTGCACAAGATGCAGAGCTGGAGGAAGAGGCAAGGCGCAACCCACCAATTTACCTATTGGCTCGACCTAAGCATCGCCTACCGCGCCCTGAGTCGCATGTTTTCGGACCTGCGGACAGTATCACACTGCCCAGCCCTTCCGCTCAGCCTTCGATCAGAGGTCTCACACGGTATGAGGATGTAGAACGGCTGATAGGGCAGTGGGTGTCGGCGTTTGCTAGCAAAGGGCCGAGGAGGGGTGATGTGGATAGAATCGGAGCATATCTGGGCGACCTTGTTCGTGCCTCGCTTGAAGGCGGACGGGTGGAGGACGTAGAGAAAGCGACTGCGTTGATGCAGCTTATAGAAGACAAGGTCGAAGCGGAGCAGGGCAAGAAAGGAACATCTTTTGCTGCCGAGCAATGGAAAGAAGCAAAAGACAGAGTGCGCGAGACGATGCAGCAGCAGGCAAGAGCGGTGTTTCATGGGGCGGAACTATCATAGCCATTGAAGAAGAAAAACTTTGTTCTTGTATATATACAACCAGTCAAATGGTACCCTTCCGAGCCAGAACCAAGGGTGAGGGGTATGCAATTCGGGGAGATGAGGTAACGAGCAGCTGTGAGAGGGTGGTGGTGAAGGTGGTTATGGCTGTCATTATGTGGTACAAAGGGAGACATCAATCAAGTTGTGTGTCAGAGTTGAGGGGAACTCTGCAAACATGTGCCTGGTCCGTGCGGCGAGAAAAAGGAAAAGCATGGGACTTATGAGGATCTAACAAAAGTGGAGGTTTTCTTTTCTGATGCCCGGTCGGATTTGCACCCTGCATCTTCGTTTCTCTCCTTCCATTCTTCTCGCCACCACAAGCAACAGCCAAACATCTGTCACAATGGGTTCCTCATCTCATTCACTTCCTTCGGAGCTTATACCATTGCTCAAGCGCGATCAGGACGACTCGCTATTGCCACTACGACCCCAAAAGCCCTTCTCGCCAGAACTCAAGTCAACAATCTCCTCCCTGAAATCCGATTTGCCGGTACCAGTAGTGGGCATCCTCCACCTGCTCAACGACGACATCGATGCAGCACATACACTCGTTCAAGATGATGACAGCAATCGGGACTCGAACTTGATCCACTCGTTGCTCCATCGCAGAGAGGGAGATTTCTGGAACTCAAAATGGTGGCTCAATCAATTGACCCATCCCTTCTTGAACACGCTGTACGAAGAGAAGAAACTGGACGGAAGGACAGGCGCAAAGCAATTTGTCGATATGGTCGAGCGAGTGACCTCGAAAGGAGCAACGACTGCGTGCGCAGCGCAAAGGGATGTCAAGACGGCGAAAGAATGGCAGTGGAAAGAACACTCGACTCTCGCACATTATCTGTTCGAGCAGTATGATGTTGATGTCCCTTCTGCGTAAAGCAATGTAGCAGAATCTAGTGTACGAGGCCTGACTAGTCTACAGAATTGAGGATATCGGAAATATCACTGCTTCCAGCGTCCGATACTCCAAGACGAGTCAGAGCCGAATTGTCGTGGAACTTGGAAAGATGGCGTGCACCTGAATCGCAGAGCACTGTCACTACGACCGGTGGTGCATCGTCTCCTCTCTCTCGCTTCAGCTTCAGCGCTGTCCTCACAGCAGCGACGCAGTTGACCGCCGACGACGATCCCAAAAACAAGCCATCGTTCAAAATTAAATACCTCCCCATCCTTGCAGCTTCATCATCCGTCACCCTCTCAGCGTCATCAATGCACTGCAGACCCATCTGAAGATTCCTTGTGATTCTATTGATCCCGATCCCTTCCACAACCGAGTCTACCTGATGCCTTCTCCGCTTCCCCTCCGCTTCTGTCGGACTGTACATCACGCCGTACTTGACCTTGTTATACAGCCCGCTTCCCTGCGGATCAGCCAGAACCACACGAACTTCTTGCGCCGAGCCTGCTCTTCTGATAAAGTCACCACCACGACCCGATTCATCCCGATCGCAGCTCACGCGCTTCAGATAAGCTGCGCAGCCAGAAAGCGTTCCACCTGTCCCTGCGCCTGCTACGAATGCATCGATCAAGCCTCCTGTCTGACGCCAGATTTCGGGAGCGGTACCATTGTAGTGCGCCCAGAAGTTGCTTGGATTTTCGAACTGATCTGCAAAGAATCCCCTTGCTTGGGTTTCGGAGATCATCGCTGCTTCGCTGGAGATAGAGCGTTGGGTGGAGACAACAAGATCATCGCGTTGGGTGTAGTCTTCTTCCCCCTGCCCGCCGTCAGATCCTGCATATCCAGAGGCGCCAAATGCAGTAGGATGGGGTCCGACGAGCTCTACATCACCGAAAGCCTCTGCTCGCGCCCGGGCTTCATTGACAAAGTGTCGCGGATCGACGATCCCGCGCGGTCTCACAGCTTGGATCTCTGCACCTAGCTTCTCCAAAATCTCTGTCTTTTCTCTGGCCACGTCGTCAGGGATAACAATTGAGCATCGATATCCTTTTGCCCTTGCGAGAGTTGCTAGTGAGATACCTGTGCTTCCGACGGTTCCTTCAAAAATGCAGCTTCCAGTGTGGGGATATAGCAGTCCTTCTTCTTCAGCGTCCTTGAGGATTTCAAGTGCGACCCGATCCTTAGGTGAACCGGCGGGGTTGAGGAACTCTGCTTTACCTAGGATTTCACATCCCGTAGCATCCGATAGACTGTTGATGCGCATGAGAGGTGTGTTTCCAATCAACCCTTCCACGCCACGTACGACCTGACCTGAGCGGATTTCAATAGGGTCCCGCCCGCGCAGTTCTCGTCGACGTCGCTCTTCTTCATCTTCATCATCGAGACCGTACGAGCGAAGTTTGCGGCGACGACGTCGGCGTTCTCTACGCTCAGCGAAGAAGAAGACGGATGTGATGGAGCCAAGGCCGAGGATGAGACCGGTGAATACGCCGATGAGGAAGGTCGATTTGCGGTGTGAGCGGGAGTAGCGAGAGATGATGGTCCAGCCTGGGATCTGTGCGAGTTTGGAGGACGATGAGGAGGCGATAGTGGACGATGAAGAGGAGGCTGCCCTCGTGCCGAAACTCGACATTGTGATCGGGGTCCTTGTGTTTTTCGAGTCTAGAGAATGGGGGATGATGTTTAAGAGAGTATGACAGCGAGCAGATGTGTCATGTGTGTCGAAGCGGACAAAAAGGGTCCGACATTTCCTCCACCTTGAATAAGATCGGGCGGGATCTGATTTAGTTGAAGAGTCACCGGGATAACCAATATGCGAGAAAGGCGAGTGACCGACAGACCGATCCTCTGCATGCATACTAAATTGAGTGGCAACCAATCAGGAGAAGCATATGAAAGAAAAATGCTGAGATGCTACAAAGTGGGCATGACTTGAAAGAGAATAACAAGCCATCTCATAAACAGGACAAAGGTATATATATATATACAACCCTGTAGCAGTAGTGCACAATTAATCTCAAGCATTACATCTATGATACACTAGTACAAAAGAGCTAGAACGTGACTCAGACGAGGAGGTGTATGGTATAGCTTCAACTGGTTAAAAGTCTGAAACCTCTCCACCAAAGCAAACCAAGGTAGATGACACCGACCCTCAAGCTGGGGCCAGCGAAGCTGCCAAGAGGTCTAAAAGAACCAAGAAGGTGACAATTGTCTGGCAGACACAAACAGCAAACGATGACAATGACATTGACAATGATCCCAAAGACAAATTGGATGATGATGATGTTGGCAAATGATACAGCTTCCATATGTTAAGTAAACTCCTCAAACTGGTGCTGAAGCTCACCACCCAGAACTACTATAGCTGGAATGTGCATGTAAAGTCTTTCCTCCAATCAGTACCATACGCTATGGAACACCTCGAAGGAACATTTGATGCAAACCATCCCAGATGGAGTTGCTCATTTGATGATGCATTAACAAATGCCCTACAAGGGACCATCGACACCATGGGAGAGTATAATGTAAACTATCTTCTTTTGGACATAATAAGAGAGTACCTTACATTTCATCAAGTCTGGAGCAAGATAGAAGCAAGATTAGGTGATGATGCCACCAGAACCTCTTGCTGGCTTGCTCTGATCACTCAACTGGGTGACATCAAGATGTTCAATTCCAACGTTCAAAAACTCATACAGGAAATCAGGACCATCCAGGCTGAAGGAAGCATCCTGGGAAGACCATTTGCAGATAATACTCTCTTCTCTGCTCTCCAGAAATGCATGATTCACCACCCGATGTTCAGGGAGACAGTTGCCACCGTCCACCAACTCAACTTTGAAGTGCTGGCTATGGCACTTAGCATATGTCAATTGGCATTAGAGAGCATTCCCACCCAGAAGCTTGATCCCTGGCAAGGTCATGCTAGGACAGCAGGTGATGGTGACCAGGACGAATCGGCCCACAAAACTGACAATGATGATGACAGCAAAACTGCCAAGACTGGATACAGACACCAAAAAATCCAGTGTTTTGTGTGCAGGCGAATCAGTCATGGTGCAGGCAAATGCGACGCCACTGTCACCATTCCCAAAGATTTGCTGCTCACCAACTCCAAATAGGATGCTTGGTGCTCCCTCACCCCAAGTTGGAAGAAGAACCCAGAAGAAACGACTCATTGGATACTGGATTCAGGAGAATGTCAGGGGTCTCTCGCCTGAAACCCAGGTCGGTTTGTCGAGATGCTCGGTGACTATCAAACTGTGCAACAGCTATTTGTCACAGGGACGGCTGGCCTGCGCAAGAGAGTGCGCCAAATGATCAGCGGCAGTTATGATAATGTCACGTAACGGAGCAGTATATGAAGGGTGCGCAGAAGATCAACATATGAAGGGTGCACCAGATTGATCAGAGTCGACAACCATCAGGGATCAACAAGATTAATCGGGTTGGCAGTGCACATGATTTACGATATCAATCGAACCCCAGGAATCCAGATCGATCTCATGGGATCGGTCAGAGTCAGCTGGACCAGTATGCTTCAACGAGTTGGCCGATCCGAACAAGTACTTGGAGCTATGCCGATGACGGAGGCAGCCGGATCAGCATGCCTCAACTAATTGGCCGATCCGAACAGGTATTCGGAGCTGTGCTGATGTCGGAATCAGTCAGATCAGCATGCTTCAACTAGTTGGCCGATCCGAGCAAGTATTCGGAGCTGTGCCAATGATGGAGTCAGTTGAATCAGCATGCCCCAACTAATCGGCCGATCCGAACAGGTATTCGGAGCTGTGCCAATGTCAGAATCAGTCAGATCAGCACGCTTCAACTAGTCAGCCAATCCAAGCAAGTATTCGAAGCTGTGCCGATGACGGAGTCAGTCGAATCAGCACACTTCAACTAGTCGGCCAATCCAAACAAGTTGAGATGGAACTGAGCCAACATGACCACATGACCAGGGGGTATGGTCACAAGGTTCAAAAGAGGATTCACAAGATTAAGACAAAAGGGGGCTGTGCCAAAAGGGGGGGGGGCATCACACATCAGACAGAAGGAGAGCATGAAGGCGAGAGGGCAGTGTTGCATAACCCTTACGCTGAGCAAAACAGTAGGAGCACAATATCAAAGGGGACAATGCCAGCAGGGCAAGGCAGTGCCTAACAGGGGACAAAGGCCCCTCAAGAGGAGCAGGATAGGTGTCGAGGGAAAACACCGATCGAATGTATAAATACTCTCTTTCTACCATAGCATTCGAGTGGACTGGCATCCACTCTGAAACTCAACTACTTACTCTATACTTACTAGGTTATGTATCTTCGCAATAGCAGTGCTCTTGCAACGACTCTCAACATGTGTGTTGTATCACCATTAGTCGACAACTGTAGGCGGTGTTCTTCACACTAGCAGTCCAGTTCATTACTGTAGGCAGTGTTCTTCACACTAGCAGTCCAGTTCCTTGCTGTAGGTGGTGTTGCTCAACACCAGCAGTCCAGTCGGTTATTGTAGGCAGTGTTTCACACCAGCAGTCCAGTAACTCATGTCCTCTGTAGGCAATTGGCATATCGCAGTCCAGATGACATCCAAGAGCATATCAACAGTACTATGAACACTCGTACTGTAGGGGAGGGTGTATCACGCACTCACCAACAAACAACGTCTGTGCTGCACAACCTCTGAACAGAGTGTTCAAGGTGGTCAGTTGAGACTTACTAGGCGACAACGCTTGGTTACATTTAGGCGAATCAAATCGAGTAGTCCTTACTCAATCAACCTCAGCTAAGTCTCTGGCATGCGACCACTTACATTAGAGTGGATCATTCAAGTTGTGCCCCATGACAACATGATGGAGCCTGACACCAAGGATAGGTTCGAGGAGCTGCAGAGGTTAATGGAAAGGTCCGAGGAAAGAATGGAGAAGCTCCTATCAATGAATTGGACAGTTACCAATCGCTTCATGCAAAGGTTGGAGTCATTGGAAGCCCTCATCAGGAGCAACAGTCAGTCTGAGGAGACTACCAATGAGGAGTCATTTGAACCCAACCCAGCACCCAGACCACACAGGACAGGGTCTTTCCTAGGTCAAAATACGCAATCATATTCAAACTACAAGAAGTATGCAACCCCTACTGGGCCAAGGTACAGTCAGCCCTACGAAGGAATACCTAGGGACACCGAATATGATGTCAAGAACATGGGGGAGCCTTCCCCTGGTCAGTCTAAACCACTTTCCACCCCTTTCCCAAAGTTCAATCCAAGGGATGTGGAGATCTTCCTGATCAAAGCTGAAACATGGTTCACATTCAATCGAGTCTATGACCACAAGAGCATGATCCATCACACAGGGTCCCAGTTGGAAGGGAATGCTCGCGAATGGTGGACATCCAAGATACAAATTGATCGCGACTGACAAGGGAGATTGTTCCATGACTGGCATTATTTCAGACAATGCTTGACTGAACAATACAACCCCTGCAATTCGAGAATCGAAGCTTACAACAAGCTACTCAACATGTGACTCACAACTGACACACCTGGTGCAGCTACTCAACATGTTGAACGGTTCAGAGACCTTGAAGGGCAAGTCAATATGGAGGACAGGGACTTGGTTATTGACTTATTCCAAAGTACCCTCACCCACGGTCTTCAGGAGAAGTTCAAGTGAAACCCACCTACAAGTATTTGGGAATGGTATCGAGAGGTAGAGGACATTGATCATCAATGAATGGTGATGCAACATTCTGCCTCAAGACATCCCAGTGTACTTACGTCTCGCACGAACCCAGTCGCACGAGCAACAACATCAGCGATTCCACAGGCCTGACAACCTGGACCTGTAACTGCAGGTACTTCATACCAATTTGGTAATTGTCCCCTGCCTCCTCACCTGTTACAAGCCCAGAAGCCAAGGGAGGCTAACCCTCAGGACAGCAACACTTGTCACGTGTGCAGAGGCACAGGTCATTGGGCAAGGGATTGTCCTACTAGAAAACCTCCTGTACCAATGACAACCAGACCTAATGGTCCAAAAGTCATGGTTACCTTAGAAGATGCCCCTGAGGGAGAATCAACTCCTGAGGAGGAAAGCACAACTGAAGAAGAACTGCAAGATGCATATTCAGTCAAGCAAGCCAGCCTTGAGCTTGCTCAGTTATCTCTTGCTGACAAGGCAGAGAGTGATTATGAGGAGGACGAGGAGGGAAATGTCAGTGGGACGATGCCCTGATGGTGTGCATCGCCCTACAACCTTGGTCGCCATCCATTTGTACATATCAAGATTGTTCCGTTTTTTTCTCCGCTAATGCAAGCAAGGCAGTGCTTGAGTTAACGGGTATGATCCAAGATCACCTGGCCCGAATACTTGCCAACACAGGTGCAGGCTTATCCATAGTTTCAGAATCTTTTGTCAGCAAGTACCACTTAAACACAAAACCAACAAAAACATGAACTGTACATGGTGTCACCAGACACAAACTCGCCATTAACAGCTCTGCTACGGTGCAGGTAGTTATTGGAAAACATGTACTAGGGGCGGTGGAGGCATCAGTAGCTGACACTGCTGAGTATGACCTCATTCTGGGTTTCTCAGAATTGAAAAGGTTGAGACCAACGATCCAGTGGGATACTGGCCAACTCAAATTCAAGACCCAAGCTCAGAAGGACCAACCAGAAGAGTCGGGAGCCCCACAACAGGCGCCCCCGAAGAAAAACAAAAAAGATCCCCCTGATAAGCACTATAAGTCTATAAAACTTCATGGACACGAGTTCGTATCAGTGGAAAGATTGATCCAAGCAGCTCTGGAGGATGGCCCTATTGGGTTCATGCTGCTAGACACTCTGCCCTCATCCCTTCCGGCATTCGGATTTGTGCCTACTGGAGCCAATCGAGGGGTAGAAATGGAGGTAGAAGCGGATAAACCGGTTATGATCAAGGACATACCAGAACTGTACTGACATCTACAAGAGGTGTTCGACAAGGTGGAAGCAGACAAGCTACCACCACACATGGAGAACGACCTACAGCTTGAGCTGGCTGAAAATAGTAAGCCCCCTCAAGGACCATTATATCTCAAGGGACCAAAGGAAATGGCCGAACTCTGCAAGTACCTTGACAAAAACCTAGCCAAAGGTTTCATATGGCCATCGAAGAGCCCTGCAAGATCACCAGTACTCTTCGTACCTAAAAAAGATGGAGGATTGCAACTCTGCTTCGATTACAGGGGCTTGAATGAAATCACAGTCAAGAATCAAGCACCATTACCACTCATCGATGAACAGTTGTTCCTCCTATGCAAGGCAAGGATATATTCGAAACTGGATCTCAGAGCTGCATATTGTCATGGGCCTGGATGCTCAAGAAGCAGGAGGGTCACTGGTTCATATGGACGGAGCACAGGTATCGAAGACCTAGTCGATACCAGTAGAGAGCATGGTCGTAGTGCAGTCTCCATGGAGACCATGGACTCCTATGGATTCACATGCAAAGGAGCACTGAGCCCATATGCGAGGAGGACCAGGCACAGCCACGAGGAGGACCAAGCTCAAAGAGCAGGCGCAGCCACGAGGAGGACCAAGCTCAGATGGTTACCACTCAGGGGCTCGAGAGACAGGAAGTCGACACAGGTCATGAGGAGGAGGAGCAGTGTCGAAGGAGTCGACACAGGTCATGAGGAGGAGGAGCAGTGTCGAAGGAGTCGACACCACTCAAGAGGCACAGGGATGCCAAGCAGGAGAGGCCCCTGAGCAGTACTCGATGAAGAAGGTACTCTCTGGAGAGAGAGCAGGAGCAGCATCGCTGGCAATGCTGTGAAGAGGTATATAACCATGCTTTCTCATCATCATAGGTCGAGTGGATCCCCATCCACTCTACTCACCATACAACTAGTCAATACTTTAGAAACACAAGTACTCATTAGTTACAGTCAGCATAGCAGCAATCTATCAAGGTTGCTCCTCATCGTAGTGTGTGTGTTGTATCACCACTACCTGACGTCCGAAGGCGCCCATAGCAGGTTAGCGGTCCGGATATAGATAGAACCGAAGGCAGTAGTCCACTGCGGTCCGGGGATCACTTCAAAGCATCAAGTCAACACACTGGACACTCGTGTTGACGCCACCAACCTTATCACCAACACCATCAACCTCATTATCATTGACATCACCAACCTTATCATCAACACCATCAACCTCATTATCATCGACATCACCAATCTCATTACCAACACCATCAACCTCATCACCATCAACACCCACACCAGACCTTGGTGTCATCATAACATTGATATTGATCGTGCCGAGCTACCCCTGAACGGAGTGTCCACAGAGGTCAGCCGAAACCTACGATAGTATATACAACGAACGCCACCTGCTGTCACTGCACAACTTGATAGTCACCGATACCGAGACAATAGCTGTCACACAGTTTAATAGTCACCGAGTATCTCGACAGACCGACCTGGGTTTCAGGCGCGAGACCCCTGACACATATAACCTTATCTGTATTGTGGATGGAGATGAGTGGAAGATGGCATTTGGAACCCAGCTGGGTCTTTATGAGTATTTGGTAATGCCTTTTGGCCTAGCTAACGCTCCTGCCCATTTCCAGTCGTTTATCAACCACATATTCCACAATATCATCGGAATATTCGTGGTGGTGTACCTGGATGACTTCCTAATCTTTAGTGACATGGAAGAGGAACATATCATGCATGTCATCAAGATCCTGTCATGCTTGAAGAAGCATCAACTATTCACCAAGCTGTCGAAATGTGAGTTTCACATGGACACCATCGAATTCTTGGGGTATATCATAAAACCCATGGGGATAGAAATGGATCTGGAGAAGGTGCGAACAGTTACAGAATGGCCAATGCCAGAGTTGATCCATGACATCCAGTGTTTCCTAGGCTTCACAAACTTCTATCGGAGATTCATAGCTCATTTCACACACATCGCAAAACCGCTTACATCATTAGTAAAGCCCACAGAATGATTCAAGAAGTTTGAGTTACCGGAAGATGCCAAGCAGGCTTTTCACAAGCTCATCCAAGCATTCATGACAGCTGGGGTGTTGAAACACTTCGACTATCACTTGCCGACATGGCTAGAAACAGATGCAAGTGACTTCACCATCGCTGGGGTATTAAAGCAAGAACATGAAGGTCGTTGGCACCCAGTAGCTTACTATTCTCGCAAGATGGCATCAGCTGAAAAGAACTACAAGATACATGATAAAGAGCTCCTTGCAGTGGTAGCCTGCCTCACCCAGTGGTGCCATATGTTAGCCGGACTACCCAATCAGCTTGTCATTCTGACAGATCATGAAGCCCTCAAGTATTTTAAGTCTCAATGACATATTACTGGAAGGCAAGCTAGATGGGCAGTATTGTTGGCAGATTTTGATTTTGTGCTGCAATATTGTCCAGGCAACAAGGCTGGAGAACCAGATGCATTAACTCGGAGGAGAGACATGCAACCCATTGGGGAGGAACAGGAACACAATGTGCAACAGTTACTACCATCCAGGGTGTTCGAGAAAGTTCAAGATGAAAACGAACCACAGGACATCCCTGAAACAGCAGGGGTTGCTTCGGTACTGATAGCAGCCACGCCAACAATGGAAGCTATCACTTCTCAAGGATTACTAGGCCTAGTCCGAACGTTCCAGCCCCTAGATCAGGAACTTCAAGAGATGCAAGCCCAGACACCTTTTGAAACCAGGAATGGGCTCTGGCACAAAGACAGATGCCTGGTCATTCCAAAGGTAACCATGCTGGGAAGAACCAACGAACACAGGACACGAGGTGCACAAGAAGTAGATGACCAATCCCTCTCAGTGGAACATCTATGATTCATGGTGATGTCTCAGTGTCATGATGGTGTAACTGCTGGACACATCGGACAGGACACCACTATCCAGTCTGCCCAAAGACACTACTGGTGGCCTAATATGACAGCCTGGATCGCAGACTATGTGGCGAGTTGTCCTGTATGTGCATGATACAAGACACCTTGACACCGACCCTACAGTCTCCTCCAACCATTGTCAACACCAGAAAGGCCATGGGGATCCATATCATTGGACTTCATTGAAGGACTGCTGATGTCAGGAGACTATGACTCCATCTTAGTCATAGTAGACTGTCTGACCAAGTATACAATCATGGTCCTGACGACAAAGACCATAACAGCAGAACAGACAGCTGTACTTCTCAAAATGAACCTCTTTCCACTATTTGGCGCCCCAGACCACATCATCTCAGATCGTGGACGACAATTCATATCCAAGTCTTGGTCCATGTTCATAGACAGCCTAGGTGCAAAACACTTGCCCAGTACGTCCTATCACCCCCAAACTGATGGGCAGACAGAATGAGTAAATCGGGTCATAGAGCAGTACCTCCGGATGTACTGCAACTATGAGCAGGATGATTGGTCTAGCTTAATTCATATGGCGGCATTCATGTACAACAACACTGTGCATGCTAGTATTGGCATATCCCCATTTTTTGCTTGCTATGGTTGGAATCCCAAATCACATCCGGAGATACCTGGAAAACTTGGGGTAAATGACCCAAAGCTTGCTGAATACTTCATGGACAATACTGAACGAATTAAGTATCTTCAAGATCATATCAGACAAGCTCAGAGTCGGGCGGTCAACCAATACAACCACAAACAGAAAGATATTGAATTCAAAGTGGGCAACCTAGTGTACATCAATCAAAGAAACTGGAAGACAAGATGACCAACCCCAAAGTTGGACATGAGGTTCGCAGGCCCATACCCAATCAAAGAAAGGGTTGGTAGAAGGGCATATCGAATTGGTCTACCAGTAAACCTCCAAGTCCACAATGTTTTTCATGTATCAATGTTGGAGCCAGCCAGAACAAGCACACTTCCACACTGCACGCAGATTCCAGTAGAGCCACTGTTACCAGAGGAGGACCTCGAATTCGAGGTCAAGGCCTTACTGGACAAATGAGTTCGTAATCACAAGATCAAATACAGGGTACTCTGGCGAGGGTACCCAGAAGAAGCAGCATCATGGGAGTTGATCGACCTTCTTGATTGCCCAACCCTCATCCAGGAGTATGAGGAATCGGTGGGGGGATGACGACTATAAGTTTCAACAACAAAAAAAAAAGCAACACAAAAACTTCAACAAAAAAGTGACACAAAAACTTTCACAAAAGCGACACAAAACAGAGAAGAGCAAAACGTATCGACGGAAGGCAAAAACTCTGTTCAATTTCATAGCATCTCATGCAAGTCGACAAAAAAAAGAGACACAGGCTTTAGAGAAAAAAGGAGCAAAAGAAAATTCAATTGGGGGCAGATACAAACATGTCGTTACACGTCGCGTTCACAAGTAGGAATGAGAGGAGGACAAACCCAGTGTCCTCGGAAGAGGAAATCAGCATTCTTGCCAGGTACTGTGACAGACTCAGGAGGTCGACGCTCTGAGCACAACTTATCATGACAATCAAGGTACAAGAAGAGAATCCAAATGATTGGGAATGCCATCACTCGGTTAGGCAAGCGCCAGAGAACACTGATGGCAAATATCCATTCATCGGAGGTGTTGGGGTCAGTCACTTGATCATCAGCATGAACAAATCCCAGACCATAACCATTGGTCACAGTCAGATGTGCACGCTCCACCAGGTGAGTGCCCTGAGGCTGCCTGTTGGGGGGACTGTCACCAAGGTACTCCATGTCCAGAGAAATGGGAATTGTCCGTTCGCAATGCAACAAGTTGCCAAGGTGGCAATGAGTGCAGGTGCGAGAAACACAACCATAAGGGATGAAGGGGTTGACAAATGCAGAAGGAAAACAACTAAAAAAAGGGGGTTAGCATCAGCAGTAAGAAAGAGAATGGTGTACAAAAGATTACTTACGGGAGACTAAGACTAGCACACCAGGCGCATTGCCAGCTAGGCCAGGGCATACAACCCTCAGTCATTCGAAGCATGGCCAGACGGTGCAGTCGCTGTTCAGTCGAAGAACCTCTACCTACCTCCCACTCTGGAGGATAGTCCCCAGTAGCGATTTTTACCACCAGCCTAGACACCACCAATCCTTCAGACCAACCAGCTATCTCACTGTTGGTAGGCACATGACAATCAAGGGAAGGAGGGGCTGGAGTACATGCCAAGTCTACTTCCACAGCATCACGATGGTCGGAGGAAGAAGTTGTAGGGCATTCCAGGTCAAGGAATGAAGGATCGGGTCCATACACATGCCCAAGGGAGGAGCAGAGGGAAAGCATGGAAGCAGTTGGGCTCAGGAAGGCCGAGTCATCAGGAAGGGAAGACGTAGGCAACGGGGGAGTCTGGATAGAAGAAGTCAGACTCTGAGGGGTGGGGTCATCGTTAGAAACCTCGACCATTGTAGTAGGAAATGAAGGGGAAGTCCCCGAAGGATGAGAACAACGAAGATGGGGCATACCAAGTAGAGAGATATCGGTTGCATGATATGGTAAGAGGAGAAGAAAGAGGGGACGAAAAGAAAGACGAAGGAGGGCTTATATAACCTCGACGGAGCTCGGCTCTGGAAGGGGGGGTAATGTCACAGGGACGGCTGGCCTGCGCAAGAGAGTGTGCCAAATGATCAGTGGCAGTTATGATAATGTCGCGTAATGGAGCAGTATATGAAGGGTGCACAGAAGATCAACATATGAAGGGTGCACCAGATTGATCAGAGTCGACAACCATCGGGGATCAACAAGATTAATTGGGTTGGCAGTGCACATGATTTACAATATCAATCGAACCCCAGGAATCCAGATCGATCTCATGGGATCGGTCAGAGTCAGCTGGACCAGTATGCTTCAACGAGTTGGCCGATCCGAACAAGTACTTGGAGCTATGCCGATGACAGAGGCAGCTGGATCAGCATGCCTCAACTAATTGGCCGATCCGAACAGGTATTCGGAGCTGTGCCAATGTCAGAATCAGTCAGATCAGCACGCTTCAACTAGTCAGCCAATCCAAGCAAGTATTCGGAGCTGTGCCGATGATGGAGTCAGTCGAATCAGCACACTTCAACTAGTCGGCCAATCCAAACAAGTTGAGATGGAACTGAGCCAACATGACCACATGACCAGGGGGTATGGTCACAAGGTTCAAAAGAGGATTCACAAGATTAAGACAAAAGGGGGCTGTGCCAAAAGGGGGGGGGGCATCACACATCAGACAGAAGGAGAGCATGAAGGCGAGAGGGCAGTGTTGCATAACCCTTACGCCGAGCAAAACAGTAGGAGCACAATATCAAAGGGGACAATGCCAGCAGGGCAAGGCAGTGCCTAACAGGGGACAAAGGCCCCTCAAGAGGAGCAGGATAGGTGTTGAGGGAAAACACCGATCGAACATATAAATACACTCTTTCTACCATAGCATTCGAGTGGACCGGCATCCACTCTGAAACTCAACTACTTACTCTATACTTACTAGGTTACGTATCTTTGCAATAGCAGTGCTCTTGCAACGACCCTCAACGTGTGTGTTGTATCACCATTAGTCGACAACTGTAGGTGGTGTTTGTCATGGGCCTGGATGCTCAAGAAGCAGGAGGGTCATGGGTTCATATGGAAGGAGCACAGGTATCGAAGATCTAGTCGAGATCAGTAGAGAGCATGGTCGTAGTGCAGTCTCCATGGAGACCATGGACTCCTATGGACTCACATGCAAAGGAGGGCCAAGCACAGCCACGAGGAGGACCAAGCTCAAGGAGCAGGCACAGCCACGAAGAGGACCAAGCTCAAGGAGCATGCAGATGGTTACCACTCAGGGGCTCGAGAGACAAGAGCCAAAGGAACTGTCACTGATCAAAGGAGGAGGAGCAGTGTCAAAGGAGTCGACACCAGGTCATGAGGAGGAGGAGCAGTGTCGAAGGAGTCGACACCAGGTCATGAGGAGGAGGACCAGTGTCGAAGGAGTTGACATCAGGTCATGAGGAGGAGGAGCAGTGTCGAAGGAGTCGACACAGCTCAAGAGGCACAGGGGTGTCAAGCAGGAGAGGCCCCTGAGCAGTACTCGATGAAGAAGGTACTCTCTGGAGAGAGAGAGCAGGAGCAGCATCGCTGGCGATGCTGAGTAGAGGTATATAACCATGCTTTCTCATCATCATAGGTCGAGTGGATCCTCATCCACTCTACTCACCATATAACTAGTTATCACTTCAGCATAAGTATACATTAGTTTCAGTCAGCATAGCAGCAATCTATCAAGGTTGCTCCTCATCGTAGTGTGTGTGTTGTATCACCACTACCTGACGTCCGAAGGCACCCATAGCAGGTTAGCAGTCCGGATCAAGATAGAACCGAAGGCAGTAGTCCACTGCAGTCCGGGGATCACTTCAAGCATCAAGTCAACACACTGGACACTCGTGTTGACGCCACCAACCTTATCACCAACACCATCAACCTCATTATCATTGACATCACCAATCTCATCACCAACACCATCAACCTCATCATCATCAACACTCACACCAGACCTTGGTGTCATCATAACATCGATATTGATCGTGCCGAGCTACCCCTGAACGGAGTGTCCACAGAGGTCAGCCGAAACCTACGATAGTATATACAACGAACACCACCTGCTGTCACTGCACAACTTGATAGTCACTGATACTGAGACAATAGCTGTCGCACAGTTTGATAGTCACCGAGTATCTCGACAGACCGACCTGGGTTTCAGGCGCGAGACCCCTGACAGTGTTCTTCACACTAGCGGTCCAGTTCATTACTGTAGGCAGTGTTCTTCACACTAGCAGTCCAGTTCCTTGCTGTAGGCGGTGTTGCTCGACACCAGCAGTCCAGTCGGTTATTGTAGGCAGTGTTTCACACCAGCAGTCCAGTAACTCATGTCCTCTGTAGGCGATTGGCATATTGCAGTCCAGACAATGTCCAAGAGCATATCAACAGTACTACGAACACTCGTACTGTAGGGGAGGGTGTATCATGCACTCACCAACAAACAACGTCCGTGCCATGCAACCTCTGAACGGAGTGTTCAAGGTGGTCAGTCGAGACTTACTAGGCGATGACGCTTGGTTACGTTTAGGCGAATCAAATCGAGTAGTCCTTACTCAATCAACCTCAGCTAAGTCTCTGGCGCGCGACTGCTTACACAAAGCATAACTGCAAGCGCTGGAGGAGAGAGATGTTCACCATCACGAAGCAAAGAATACCAGGAGTTGGTAGGACAGCTCTTATGGGTATCCAACACAGTGTGACCAGATATCTCATTCATGGTAGGAGTTTTAGCATGACACATGATGACTCTGGTCGAAGGAGCATGGCATGCAGCGACCCACACTCTAAAGTACCTAAATCAAACAAGTGAATATCGTCTCCAACTAGGAAAGAGAGCAAACATGGAGAAGGAGACAGTAACAACATATACCAATGCAAATTGGGTGTCAGACCCCACAAATGGTTGGAGGAGTACATTGGGAGCAATCACGTATTTATATGGGAGCCCAGTGAGTTGGCAATCTCATGTGCAAAAATGCATGGCCCTGTCAGCTGTAGAAGCAGAGTTTGTTGCTGCATCAGAAGCAGCACAGGAGGTGCTGTTCTTTTCATATCTGCTGCAAGACCTGGGTATCAATAACATCAGACCAATGCTCTGCACCGACAGCCAAGGATGTATACAGGTGAGTAAGGACCCAACCAAACACTGGAAGCTTAAACACATCAACATGCATTATTACTTTGTCAGGGAACACATGCAGGAGGGAGACATTTTGATCGAACATGTCGGAACAGCAAACAACTTGGTGGACATTCTCACAAAGCCATTGAAAGGAGGAGAGACCACATGCCTAGCTCAAGCAATGGGTTTGGTCATGCTGGCAAGGGGGGGAGTTGAAGAGTCACTGGGATAACCAATATGTGAGAAAGGCGAGTGACCAACAGACCGATCCTCTGCATGCATACTAAATTGAGTGGCAACCAATCAGGAGAAGCATATGAAAGGAAAATGCCAAGATGCTACAAAGTGGGCATGACTCAAAAGAGAATAACAAGCCATCTCATAAACAGGACAAAGGTATATATATATACAATCCTGTAGCAGTAGTGCACAATTAATCTCAAGCATTACATCTATGATACACTAGTACGAAAGAGCTAGAATGTGGCTCAGATGAGGAGGTGTACGGTATAGCTTCAACTGATTTGCATCTGGAATCGGGCTACCGGGCACGATCTAACAAGTGCAAACTTGTGCGATGTCGTGAGGAGTTATGCGGAATTATGGTTCGCATATATGCCTCGCACATATCGGAAAACTCACTTCGGCAACCAAAACATAGCCGATTGCCCGAGGTACTCGGCCATCGTTCTCAGCGTCATTCGCACTTGAACACGATGTGCGGACCTTGTCTGCATCCTTGCGACAATCAGAGAGCCATGTTGGGAAGGGCCAGTGCGAAATGCAAAGCCGACCAAGTCGCAGTTGCCGGCGTTTTGTGCGGCGATCTTCATCCTGCACCGATCCTGTGCTTATGCTTCAATCGTGCTCAGGCTATTGCTCCACCTTCACTACCATCTTCCTCTCCCTCTCCATCAATCGCCCCATCCTCTTCCAGCAGCGGTGCGGTGCTCAACACCGAATATGGCTCGTTCTAATGCTCGTCAAGAGGAGGGCTTGGCCTCCACCCCTCTCCAAATCGACAAGGAATACCTCAATGAGAAGGCACCTTTCACTGAAACTGAGGTCAAGAGCGGAACTCGTATCGACTTCTACAACCCCTTCACAGGAAAGCTCGTCTTGCGTTTGCAAAGATGGCCTCTCGCCCTTGTATTTGTTATGGTCTGCGCCTGGTTCGTCTTGCCCCCTGAACTGCCTGCTTTGCACAAGCTGAATGCTGGCTTTACCAAGCCTTGCCCTCACCACGCAAAACATGTTCAGGCTGTCAAAGGCTACTCGCAGCACTTGAGCAGCTCTGACTTGCTCTCCCCTTCCTCTGCTGCTGTTGCTGAGGCGCAGAAGGAGTCGCCTGAGGCTCGCTGGAAGAAATGGTTTGCCAAGCTCGAATCTGACTACCTCGCCATCCCCTCCGCTCAGAGCGCTCGCGACGCTTTACAGCGCTACACCAACGTCTCTCACTACGCCGGTACTGATGGTGACTACAACTCTGCCCTCCAGATCCTCGAAGAATGGGGCAACCTCGTCGGTGCACCCCTCACCGAGGATCTAAAGGACCTCGTCTTTGACGCAGGCTCCGCCGAAAGCCAGGCCTACATCAAAGGCACTGATGGCAAAGACGATGTTCGTGCATGGACCGATAGCTACGCTGTATGGCTCAATTACCCTATCAACTCCTCTCTTACCCTCGCTAAACCAGACCAGCTGGACAAGCCTTACTGGACAGCCTCGCTTAAGGAGGATGTTCTCGATGCCGATCCTACCAGCTCGCGCGGTGTGCCTCTTTTCCATGGATACTCGGCTTCGGGTAGCGTCTCTGGCCAGGTCGTATTCGCAGGTATGGGCAGAAAGCAAGATTTTGCAGACCTCGCCACAAAAGGTATCGACGTAAAAGGTAAAATCGTCTTGGTCGACTACGGAAGCAACTTCCGCGGGCTCAAAGTTCGTGCTGCCCAGGAAGCTGGTGCTGTGGGAGTCATCATCTACACCGATACAATCGAAGATGGAGAGATCACCGAAGCCAAAGGCCACAAAGCTTACCCTGATGGACCTGCTCGCAACCCCTCTGCTGTTCAACGTGGGTCGGTGCAAGGATTGTCCTTTTACCCTGGTGATCCTTCTACTCCTGGAAAGCCTTCTTACCGCAATGCTACGCGGTTGGAGCCTCAAGATGCCGATTCGCTCCCCAAGATCCCCTCCCTCCCGCTGTCTTACTCCGAGGCAAAGGTATTGTTGGAATCGATGAAAGGCAAAGGTCTCAAAGCCACCGATGTCAACTCTCGTCTCGCTGGAGCGATCAATGGAGTCGAATACTGGACCGGTCCATCAGACGACATTGTTCACCTAGAGAACTTTGTCGATCTTCAAGTCCGCGATATTTGGAACACTTATGCTGTTCTTCCCGGTCATATCCGCGATGAAGTTGTTGTGCTGGGCAATCACCGAGATGCATGGACTTTTGGTGCTGCAGATCCTAACTCAGGCACAGCTGCTTTCCATGAAGCTATCAAAGGTCTAGGCGAGCTCTACAGGAAGGGATGGAAACCGATGCGCACGATCGTATTCGCTTCGTGGGATGCTGAAGAGTATGGCCTCGTTGGATCGACTGAGTTTGGCGAAGATTACGCTGAGTGGATTCGGGAACACGTTGTTGCGTATCATAACGTGGATGTCTCGGTCAGTGGAAGTGTGCTTCAGGCTAGTTCGTCGCCTTCCTTGTCGCGCTTTGTTGAGAAGGCAGCTGCAAAGGTAGACGATCCGAACTCCAAGCGAAACAAGTCTGAGGCCAACCAAAAGATTGCGCTTGATGCATTCAACCCGCTCGGCAGTGGTTCAGATTATACTGTCTTCCTCCAACATCTCGGCATTGCGTCCACCGATGTTGGCTTCAAACGTGCTCCCACCGACCCAGTCTACATGTACCACTCGAACTACGACAGCTTCTACTGGATGGACAACTTCGGCGATCCTGGATTTCACCGTCATGAAGCAGCTGCAAAGATCATTGGTCTGATGGCGATCGAGACTTCCACTGAGCTTTTCTCTCCCATCAATGTCAAGGACTATGCTAGCGAGCTTAGCAAGTATCTCGCCAAGGTTGACAAGCTGGCTGCCAACAAGTTGGGCATTCCGACTAAGGGTGCCGGTGCACGACATCCGCACTGGTTGCAAAGGTTGCGACTGGCGATTCACAAACTCGAGATCAGTGCGAGCAACTTTGAACACCACAAGGAGCATTTTAGAAGGAAGCTCATTCATTTGGCGGAGAAGCACGAGAAGAAGGGTGGAAAGAAGGTGGAGAAGGAGATCTGCAAGGTGTTGGGTGAGATCAGAGGGATGAACAAGAAGTTGCAGACTTTTGAACAGGGATTGATTTCGAAAGAGGGTTTGAAGGGGAGAGAGTGGTATAAGCATTTGGGTACTGCTCCTGGAAGGTGGTTGGGGTATGGAGCGACGACGTTCCCTGGTGTGACCGAGGCGATTACGTTGGATGGAAGTGATGGGTTGGAGGGTGAGGCGAAGAGGTTGACTGTTCATATTGAAGGGCTGGCGAGGCATCTTCGAGGTCATTCAAGGCCCGCTCTCGCAGCCGTTCAGAACTAAGGATCAAAGTTGAAATGCAAACCGTTCAAAGCGACGTTGCTGGTGTCTATGACTGCGATTCGTTGAGTTAATAGAAGTACAAGTGTGGGTATGAGATCAATAGCCTTTGTTAATGAGAAAGTCCTTCGTGACCTCGTAGGTCACAAACAGAACCGCATTGACCGGTAGCGCTCGCAACACCGTCGTCCCGACTCCGACAAAGAAGGCTCTCCAACCTCCGTGAGCAAACGTTCCTCTAGCCGTTGTCCAGAAGAGACTCGCAGTTCTGCCTGTTCTTTTGTCATCAATTCTCGAACTCGCTTGAATTTTAGTCTTGATCACATCGGCCCAAAAGGTGCTCACCCAAGCCACCACCCCGGCTACCGCCCCACTCAGCGCCATATCTACGTTTGTCAAGGGCTTCCCTGTCCATCGCCGAATCTGTGCATTCAGTAGCTCGTAACTGGCAAAGTAGGGTCCATATCCCAAGTCACGCACAGCTGTTGTACACCAACCTCTGTAGAGGCCTCTAGATACTCCTTCTGTGCGGACGATATTCTTGAACACGGTCCAGGTGGAAGGTTTGAGAGTACTTGTGTTCATCTGTTCACGAATCTTTACCAAGTCTATTGGCGAAGTGATGATAGAGCTTGCCAGACCGCTGAACATGCCTGCGATGAAGACTTGGGTGACGTGATAGTCGTTGAGAATGCGATGGGATTGTTCATAGCGGAGAGAGATGTTATAGAGGCCGAAGATGGATGCGTTCATGACAGCTACACCTAGCATGGGGGGTGTAACACCTTTGTAGAGGCCCCATATGTGTCCTTCTTTGATGATGATGCGGAATGCTTCTGTCGCTGAGCGATAGACGGGGGCCGAGATCCGGATTGCTGCGCTTGATGCGGGTGAAGGGTGGGGAAAGGTGAGTGTTGCTGATGATGCACCTGCATGACGGGGTGTTTGCGCTGAAAGATAGTCGAGATTTGCTGTGGAGGCCTTGAGCAGACTTGATGACGATGAAACAGACTTGTGAGCCGTGCCGGGGGAGTCTATTGGCGGTGTGGTATGGGGTATTGTGGTCGACTGTGCTTGCAGTCGAGTCTTGACAGTGTCGAAAGGATGACCTGCGAGCAGAGAAGCGATACCGCCCGCGGTACCTGCTATGAAGTCGACCATGGCAGAAGGCGAGCCCTGAGCAGCAGCCCCGGCTACTGTTGCTGTCTCAGATGCCATGACTCGAGCGCTAATCGAGCCTAGAGTCGAGTACGTGGGAATCTATGTATGATGTTGGTCGAGGTTACACTGTAGGTCGAGGTTACACTGTAGGTCGAGGTTACACTGTTTCGTGCGATAGAGAGAGTGGAGAACAAGACCCTTAGGCCATCGATCGGGCATGGAATGGTCTCCGATTTCCAGATCTGAAGATTGAAATTGTGTGCGCGGACAGCTCAAATGGCGTGCGTCTGTTGGAAGCTGTCAAACATTGCCTGCTCCATCAAACTAGCACGCCATCGCCGCTTGTGTCGATGTCGAAGATTGCTTTCCTCGCACACCGGCAGCCCTTCTATCAAGTGTCAACAATGGCGCGGTCAACAGAGTCTACAGTGACTGCGCGTGAGAATAGCAGTGCAGTAGAATGGTAACCTCTGCCTGGTGGAATCGAGGTCGAGATGGCGCCATCTCCATGGCTGAAGACCCCCCAAGATCCTCGAAGATGCTGACCAGACACCGTGAAGGTCTCGAAAGATATCGCTAGCCGCGCAGAACTCGGCTGACAAGATGCCTTTTCCTCATCAAGCCTTCTGAAAGAAAGTCTGCTGAAGAAGATCTGTGCGCTCCGGAGACTCTTTTCCAGGCCATCTGAAAGCTGTTTCTGGACTCATATAGGCATCTGGCAGCCTTCCCGATCATCTCTCCTTCCCATCACGCTGTCTGTCCACTTGGTGTCCTTTAATTTCAGCAAAGATGTCGCCCCCAACAGCATCCAGCGAAGCCACCAACGGCGTTGACCAGCTTAACCCCAACGGCATTGACAATGGCGCCTCCTCTCAGAGACGTATCATCCTCTACGCTTTCATGATGGGCTGTTCTGGGCACCAATCTCCCGGACTCTGGACTCACCCAGCCGATCGTTCTCGCCACCACAATAAGCTTTCCTACTGGATCGACCATGCCAAGCTCCTCGAATCTGGCCATTTTGACGGTCTTTTCCTCGCTGATGTGCTTGGTGGATACGACGTTTATGCAGGCAATCTTGACGCAGCTCTCTCTTCAGGTGCTCAATTGCCTGTCATCGATCCACTCCTGCTCATCTCTGCTATGGCTGCTGCAACAAGCAATCTGTCCTTCGGTATTACTGCCACCACCTCCTACGTTCACCCCTACGAGCTAGCACGTCGGTTTTCCACCCTGGACCACCTAACCAATGGACGTGTCGGGTGGAACGTTGTCACTGGCTACCTTGACTCGGCAGCACGTCAATTCGGTGCTAAGAACCAAGACCTGCATGCAAAGCGCTACGAAGTTGCAGACGAGTACATGGATGTAGTCTACAAGCTTTGGGAGAGTTCTTGGGCCGACGATGCAGTCGTTCATGACGCCAGCAAGCTAATCTACACTCGCCCTGAGCGTGTGCGTCAAATCAACCACAAGGGCAAATATTTCGAATCTGTACCCGGTCCACACATCTGTGAGCCTTCTCCGCAGCGATCTCCAGTCATCTATCAAGCTGGATCTTCCGGTCCCGGAATGGCTTTTGCCGCCAAACATGCCGAAGTGATCTTCATCGCAGCTCACAAGCCCGATGTAGCCAAAAAGCGCGTTGATGCTGTTCGTTCAGGCGCTGCTGAAGCAGGTCGTGATCCGGCCTCTCTCAAAGTTCTCGCCCTACTCTGCCCTATCATTGGCAAGACAGACGAAGAAGCACAGCAGAAGTACAAAGAGCATCTCGAGCACGGATCTGACGAGGGTGCGCTAGCCCTCTTCGGTGGTTGGACCGGCATTGATCTCTCCATCTATGGTCAAGATGAAGAACTCCGCACAACGGAAAGCAACGCTATCAAATCAGCCGTTGAGAACTTCGCTACCCAAGACCCTAACGTTCCCAATTGGAACAAAGCAGCAGTGGCAAACAAGATCAAACTTGGCGGTCTTGGTCCCACCATTGTCGGCTCTCCCTCTTCAATTGCGGATCAGCTGCAGGAATGGTGGGAGAAGAGTGGTGTGGATGGTTTCAACTTGGCTTACACGCTTGCTCCGGGTACGTTCCAGGACTTTGTCGACTTGGTGGTTCCGATTTTGAAGGAGAGAGGTGTTGTTTGGGCGGATTATCCTCAGGTACAGCAGCCTGAGAAGGCACAGGTTAAGGACGGTCCCAAGCATGGATTCGGTCTCAGTGAGAAGATCGGGATTACATCGAGAGAGAAGCTCTACGGTGTTGGACAGAAGACATTCAGGAAAGATCACTATGCGAGCAAGTTCACTTGGAAGGCTGGCGAGGAGGCTCCCAAGCTCGACTAGAAGCATTCGTCTGCGGGGAAGTTATACTTTGCATCTTTCATTCGTCCTTCTCATCGCAATTCCGAGATCTCACGAACATATGCACATGCTTCATACACGGTCTGTTGGGGTGAATGTAGAAGTACAGTTGAATTGAGTTGTCTAGATGAGAAAGCGCGCAATGTAAAGCAGTCATAATTGCGTTCGTTGATCCTACTACGCAGGTGGAGCCGGGGTGGCAAGCATGTCAGGCTGCCAGAATCGAATGCACTGAAGCACCAGATCGGACGCTTGGTTCGACATGCTCTGTGCTGCTGGCCCCTCGATGGAAGCCTTGTCTGGTCCTTTTTGCTGTGTCGCGGGAAGTGATGTCTCTCGCGCTCCCATCAGGGGCGACCGCGATCCCGGTGTCCCCGGGAAGATACCAGACGAGCTCGACGAACCGGCATCCTCGCTGAAGGAAGGTTGTGAGCTGTGTTCATCCCCGTCGCGCCTAAGGTTCGGTGGCACTGGAAGCGGATCAAGATTCTGACGATACAGAGGCTTGACAGATGAAGATGACGACGAGGCCCGGGCCTGAATGTCAGATCCTTGCGGGAGCTCGAGGCCAGAAGCGATAGGACCAAAGATGGTCTCAAGCTTGGACTTTGCGCTGGAAGCCCGTCGCGGTCCAGTGTAGGAAGAATCGACGGAGCTCTCGGCGCTCCCAGGCTGAGTCGAATGCGCTGGTGCCGTCTTATTGCTGTCAAGCGCTTTACAGATGCTGGGGCTGTTGCTGCTGCTATGAATGCTATTGTGGTCGATGCTGTTGCTGATGCTGTTGCTGTTGTTAGTGCTGGCGCTGTTGTTAGTGCTGGCGCTGTTGCTAGTGCTGGTGCTGTTGCTAGTGCTGGTGCTGTTGCTAGTGCTGGTGCTGGGACTGATGTTGGTGCGGATGCTATTGTTACAAGAAAAGGGCTCCGAGTTGTTGTGAGCGGGTCGCGTCGAAGCCGGAGTGCCCGTTGCGAATGGTGACGAGTCTAGTTGCGAGCCATGGTGGGGTGTTTGAGAAGGGGAAAGATTGGTTTGGAGCGGGTCCTGGCCGCGGGGTTTGCAAAGACCCAGATCGATGGCGCTGCCCACTCGCTGCAGGAAAGGCAGGGCTTTAGCAGCAAGCTTGCAGCGCTTTGCTACATTCTGGAAAGAACAGATGTTCTTGTCAAGGTCGGTACGCATTTGGCTGTGGAAGTGCGATGACGAGCCTGGTCGCTCTGCTGCTGATGCGAATGTGCCGCCTGCAGTAGCTGACGAAGGAGGCGTGGGGCAGGAGAGACGAAGAAGAGCAGTAGCTTGCACAATGGCAGCCGCGAGTGCGTTGTTTGTGAACTGCCACCATGCTAGTGCCTGCGGTGGAGCACAAGCTGCCGCACTGGCAAAGGTCTCTGTTTGCCAGGTGGCTGAGCGCAATACGACGGACAGCGAGAACATGGCAGATGGAGAAGGCTGCTCTAGTGCCAGAGGGGCAGCAGCCTCTGAGACTGCTTGGGATGATTTAGTCGAGGTGGACGATGTTGCTGGTGTCTGCTCTGCTGCCTGATTACCATTGGCCTTGCTGACGGTGTTTGCTCGCACCGAACCTGATCGGCAGGCGAGGGCAGCGAGGAACCAGGGGCGATGAAGAGCCATCAACATTCGATGAACCATAGAGCAGGCCATGTGACGCTGACAGACGATCTGATCCAATTCGTCTGTGTCAACCTTGCCGGCCATGTCGATGGGCAGCGGTCTGTGGAGGAGTAGGAAATCAGGGAGGCTGGCGTGATAGCGCCGAATGCGTTCATCCAGCTTGACAACCTGGCTGTGATCAGGAAGCAGGATCCTCCCTCTTGCTTTGCGTTGATCTGCTTCGCTGTTCTCTGTCAGGGTGCCTGCGCTTTGCGAGGAGGACAAAGGTGCTGCAAGGTTGTCGAAGGGGAGGGCTTGGTTGGTGAGCAATGAGACCTGGTGCATAAGATCGGCCAAGCCAAGCTTCCAGTTATGAAAGATGTTTGGGCTGTAGCGATTTCCGAAAGCGTCAAGGCTGGCATAGAGAGGAGTGCCGTAAGCAGTCCAGATGGCTTGTATGGTAGGCACATCTGGAAAGTTGGCGAGGGAAGGAGGCATGGTTGGTGATGCAGTTTGAGCGGCGGTGGAGGGAAGAGCAAAGGTGAGGACCTGGGAGCGGAGATGAAAGATAATGTCGCCAAGGAGCCTGTTGCAGTGAAGGCGATCGTGGTCAGTGCTGGCCTTGTGAGCCGATAGCAGAGATGAAGCAGATTGTGAAGCAGATTGTGAAGCAGATTGTGAAGCAGATTGCGAAGGAGAGGCGGGCGACGAGTGGGCAGCTTGCGGGGTTTGAGAGGATGCCTCCTGGCGATTGGATGGTGACAGTGTTGCTAAGCGCGATGGCTGAGTTGTAGAGGCAGCTGAAGGAAGGCAAGATGGAACGAGGGCCGCCTTTGCCAAGACAAGTGCAAGCCCAGTGAGCCCTTGGGAACGATTGAAGAGCTCCTCGTCATTGGTGCAGAGGAGGTAGGTGGACATGAGGTAGAGAGCCGAGCATGCGTCTGGAGTGGGTTGGAGTGTCAACTCGTTGCCAGTGCGGGAGCCAGCAAGGCAAGCGGAGGCTACACCTAACCAGATTTTGCCGCGTTTCTGTGAAGGCTGAGCTGGGTGATGAGAGTTGCAAGATGTTGGAAAGCAAGGTGAGAAGAGATGGCCAAGAGCGAGAGCAGCCAGAAGACAGGCGAGTCGATGCGGGTGTATGGAGTCGGCACCATGACGTTCTGCTTGCTCAAGTGTCTCTAGTAGTGTGGTTCGATCAACAGGGGTTTGAATCCAACCGATGCCTTGGTGATAGGCGTGCAAGAGATCGAGGCCATCGCGAATGGGAAGCAAGAGATCAAGATGAGGGATGCCGAGCGAGTACCTCGGCAATGGGACTGACGACGTGCTCGGTAGGGTGGCAGATGAGGATAAAGACGAATCGGAGAAAGAAGATGCTTGCGAGCTGATGCTGTCGCTACGTGCTTTAGTAGAGGCATCGAGGTGGCTGCTCTGATTGCAAGCGACATTTACAGACGATGTTGCGGGCGAGGCAAAGGATGAAGTCGAGGAGGAGGATGCTGAAGCTATTCTAGGATGCTTGGGGATGGTCTGTGATGACGAGCATGGATCTGCACAGGTGCGCTTGCGGACCATACCCTGAGAGCTGGTGGGCATGATGTTGAGTTGCGTATGGTGGAAAGGGATGTTCAAAGGCTAGACATGACGGTTAGAGGAGAGATTGACGGTTAGAGGAGAGGTTGACGGTGTTGTTGAGATGTTGCGTTACGAGGGCGATACGAAGGGGGGGGGGACTGTACGGAGCGAGTAGATGTAGATGGCGTCGACTGTATGATGGCTTTAGTGATAGGAGAGATGACAGAGCGGCAGTGACGTGAGCAAGGCAGGGAAAAGATGTGTGCTCGTCTGAGGTCGGTTGCGATTGCAACTGCGATGGGAGAGAGCGATCGAAAGCGAAGCAACCGGAGAAACAAGTGGGTGAGAGTTGGACGGAGAAAAGCAAAGGTGGGCGAGAGAAGGGAGAGGGAGAGTAAAGGGGGTTTAGGAGGAGGAGGAAGGAGGAAGGCCCCAAACCATCAACTAGTGCGAATTGTGAAGGAGCGGAAGACAGCGTCACTTGCTAACTTGACAGTGTCGGCTGAGCATCGAGGTGACATCAAAACCGGCATAAGGTGACAGTGACCGGAACAGCATTAGCCGACCAAGACTGACTAAAACGAGGCAGCGAGCAAGAGCGTCTGAGTTTGTACCACTCCTATCCTCCCCCTCTTCCATCGTTATACTGTACTGACGGATGCAATTCAACTCAGACTGCACACTCCCATCCGATCTAAGGTGAGCGTTTTGGCCTTTCTCTCGTCCCTCTAGGCTGAACCCTTTCCCATATGCTCGCTCGCACTCCCCTTTCTTCGCCTCAGCCATCCGCACGCCAACGCACGGCAAATCACTTCCGAACAAGACAGGCGAGCAGGAGACTGCAGCCAAGCATTCCCTTTCGAGCACAGATCCGAGCAAGCAGGCCAAGTATCACCACCGTACCTACATCATTATTGCGATTCGACGCCACTCATGCCCTCTGGTCTTTTATCCTGCGTGCCTGTCATGATCGGACCTCATCTTCCAGACTATCATATGACCCTCCTGATGTCGGTGCGAGGGCAACCGCAACAGCAAGCGAATCCGCGGATCATACCGCCTCCTCCTCGGAAAACATGGCGTTCAAACCGGTTCGACCTGATAGAGACAATCAGAGCTCAACAAGGATCGCGATTGCCACCTACATCTGAATATCCGTTATCCTCTCATCATAGGTGCTTTCAATTATCTCTGAGTTTTCACCATTTTATTTTCTTCTTCTTCTTCTTCTACTGCTTAAGTAAGCTCTGCCTGGAAAGAAAAACTCACTGCGAAAGGAGGCCATTGATGCATTAAGACTCATGTCTCCTCACCAGATTGAAGGGACAGTCGTAGGCAGCAATGGGGACAAGACGCCTACGGGGAGAGGTATGCAGAGGAGGGTCCCGCCACCCAGATCAAGGCGGGAGAGACCCTTCTGCAACAATCAAGTCACAGGCTTGGCAGTGGTAGAGACCTGCTCACACACAAGGCCAAGAGGAGCATGAGCAGTGTCGAGAAGGTCTCCACATTGCTTATGAGGAAAAGAGCAGTGTTGCAGGCAACACCATCCACACACATATATACCTGCACTTTGTTGCAGTAGAAGAGTGGATCCTCATCCACTCTTAACTATCTTTATCTATACTTTATGCTTTAACGTTGTATGTATTCTGGCCTTAGGCACAGCAATAACAGTATCTACAGTATCATCTCACACAAGTGTGTTGTATCACCGTATCTAGACACTGTCGACACCTCAAATGACACTACAGAACCTCCACCAAAGGCAGAACCTCAACTGCGGTCCTGGAACCACAACCAGCACCATCATACAACTGTCAAAGCATTGCAAACACTTGTGCCAAGACAGGCATCGTTTTACTATCATACTATACAATGGTATAGTCACATCATCAACCAATCTAAGTACTCAAAAACACCAAACATGCTGTGCTACCTCTGAACAGAGTGTTCACAGCAGTCAGTCAAAGTCCATTGGCATACAGTCACTTGATGTATTTCACCAAAATCGGTCAGGAGGAGCTCACTCGACATATCTCGCTGAAATCTACCAGATCAAGCTCTTTCAGTAGATTTCGGATTTCAGGCATGCAACCGCTGACAAGGAGTATCACCCACTTCTTCCAAGTGTTGGGACCCTCCCCTGCATACCTCTTCTGGTATGTCTCCCTTCATCTGACAATGGTGTCACAGGTTCTGTGCAGAAGACCCTAGACAAACATTGGGTGTGTTGTGTGCACAAAATGTGAAAACAGCAAAGTTGTGGGTTTCTGAGCAGTTTCACTGAAATTGATCAAAACAAGCCCATCTGGTAGGTTTCACCAAATGGACTGCAAGAAGACCCCATCAATGCATAGTGGGTCAAGCAATCAGAAGGAGCAGGATAATAGGGTGTCCATGAGGTCAGCAGGATTCACAAGATAGAGGAAGGGTTTGGAAGATGGCAATACCACCTAGGAGGAAAGGGAACAGTGTTGAGGAAACTGACACATTGCTCAAGGGGTAGAGGAGAAGTGTCAAAGAGATCAACACACTACTCAAGAGGAGGAGGAGCAGTTTCGAGGAGACTGACACACTTCTCAGGAGGAGCAGGGGGCAGTGTCGCCAGCAACACTTCACAAAACACATATATACACTCATCTCACCATAGCATACAAGTGGATCCTCATCCACTCTACTCATTACTTATGTTACCCTTTACTTTGTTTTGTATCATTGCAAGTGCAGTGCATTGCAAAGACATCCAAGTGTGTGTGTTGTATCACTGTTGGATGTCAACTGTAGGTGGTGTTCCTCATTGCAGTCCAGTTCTCTACTGTAGGCAGTGTACTTCACTGTGGTCCAGTCCTATCAACTGAAGGCAGTGTCTCCACTGTGGTCTGGCCCTCTCCAACTGTAGGCAATAACTATATTGCAGTCCAGATACCATCAAATATCATCAAGTGACAGTCAGCACTAAGAACACTTGTGCTGCAACAGAAGTCTATATCTTATAGCAAGACAAACTGAGTTCTACAAACATGCTGCATAGCCTCTGAACAGAGTGTTTGCAGTGGTCAGTGAAAAGCCATCTGAAGTAAGCCTTCTGATTGCTTTCACTGAAACAGATTGAAAGGATGCTTACTTGGTTGATCTCACTGATATCAACCAGAACCATCGAAATCAGGTTTCAGGTGGGCGACCGCTGACATATTGCATAGGCCTCTGGGGGTTAAGCATGGGGCAGACAGGTTTTGCATGTCTGATCTGAATCTCTGCGAAAAAGCGGTATGATGTCGTTCTGCAGGGCCGTTTGTGCTGCACATAGAGCGCAACGCCTCCATGCTCATGAGAAAGCTCTTGATCCGAAAGTTTTCAGCAACGTCCTCGCTAAAATTGGGGCCCCAAACTTTCACTGTGTGCACATTGCCTGTCGCTGTGTCTTGACCTTTCGGCCCTTTGGATCTGTCCCTGAAGAGGTGTCTTGCTGAGGAGCACAGAAGCAGCTCAACTTCTACTGAGACACCAGCTGTGACGAAACTATTTGTGTAGACAAGGGACGACAAATGAGCCTGGCACAGTACTGGGCACTGGAGTTACAATATCAAGGCTCATCCATCCTCGTGCTCGTTCCTGCTCACCAGTCCATTCATGCGTTCAACCATGGTTCAAGGTCTTGGTCATCCAGCCATCACTTGACATTGCTCGTGTCTCAGTTTCTCGTCTGTGCAGTATATAGTGCCTTGTCCTCTTAGGGCTCCGGACATGTAGTAATACAACAATCCTGCCAAACAGATCTCGCTGTCAAGGGCGATAAGTCGGCGTTGATTCTGAGACATCAAACTGTGCGCTCCACATCAAAAGTGACGTTGGTCTGGCTTGTAAGCTTGCTTGGCGCCGCCTTGTGCCTCACTTGACAACGCTTCCTCTCACTGTGCCTCGTGGTTGAACAGGGTGACAATCCATATATAGCCTGCCCTGAAGTCTCGTGAGCGCCGTTTCCTTGAGATCCAACAAGCGCATCGCCTTCCAAGTCTTTTCGTAGCAGCGATCTCCTGGCACCCACCAATATGCGTCTCCCAGTCATCCGCACACTGGTTGCGCTGCTGCCTGCAGTAGCAGCAGTCGCGACTCAAGATGCTTCTTCTACCGCCTCTGCCAGCGCTGTCAATCCTATGACAGAGAAGCCCCCTGCAGCTGTTCCTTCCGCAACTGGCGCTCCCTCTGCCCTCATCCCATCTGGACCTTTGCCTCCTTCCCAGGAGCTCTGCACTTCCCCAATCTACTGTCCCGGTCCCCTCCTTCAAGCTGTACAGCTAGCCGGCATCTTCGAGGACAGCAAGACCTTTGTCGACAAGGCCACTTCTAGGCCCGAATCGGAAGTCCTGGACAACTTTAACAAGCTCGGTGGCGGCAACGTCAGCAACATCACCTACCAGGAGATTGTTCAATTCGTCGACGACAACTTCGTAGCTGAAGGTGTCGAGCTTGTTCCCGCCGTTCTTGGCAGCGAGTTTGTCCAAGATCCGGAGTTTCTCCAAGGCGTCGAGGATCAAGTGGTGCGCGACTGGCTCAAGCAGGTCCACAGCTACTGGGAGTTGCTTGCACGCACCACCAACTCGTCCAGTCCCTCTGGTGTCCAGTGTGACGGCTGTGTGAGCTCCTTCATCCCCTTCAACGAGAGCCGAGTCTTTGTGGTACCCGGTGGTCGTTTCCGCGAGCTCTACTACTGGGACACTTACTTTGTCATCGAGGGTCTGATCACCTCGCAGCTGCAGTCGGTTGTCAAGGCGATTCTTGAGAACTTTGGCGACTTGATCGACCGTCTTGGCTTCATCCCCAACGGCAACCGTGTCTACTACCAGAACCGATCTCAGCCTCCCTTCTTCACCCTGATGATCGGCAAGTACATCGAGGCTTACAACGACACTTCGGTCCTGCAGCGCTTTCTTCCCTTGCTTGAGCGAGAGATGTCGTTCTGGAAAAACAACCGAACTATCGAGTTCACTTCTCCCTTCACCAACAAGACTCACAACATCACCCACTACCATGTCAACACTTCGGCACCGCGGCCCGAGAGCTACCGAGAGGATTACAAGACGGTCGAGGAAGCCTCGCAATCCGGTCTTGAGCTCAACGAAACATTCAAGGCGCAGCTCTACTCGGACCTTGCTTCTGGTGCCGAAAGTGGATCCGACTACTCGGCTGCTCGCTGGTCCAAGCGTGCTACCATGAACTTGACCGACATGATCCCTGCTCAGCGCTTCCTCAACACTGATGCTCAGCTTCCTGTTGACCTCAACGCTATTCTCTTTGCTTGTGAACAGAAGCTGTCTGCCTTCTACAGGATCAACGGTAACGGTACTCAGCCTAACACCACGCGCGCCAACTACTGGGCTCAGCAGGCTCAAGCTCGTAAGGAGGCTGTGCTTGACGTCTTCTGGGACCCAAGCAAGAAGTTCTTCTATGACTTCAACACTACTTTGGGCGACCGTGCACCTTTCTTCACTCCTTCAGGCTACTTTCCTCTATGGGCGCAGATCTTGCCGCAAGAGTTTGTCAATGAGTCAATCAGCATTGACGAGCGCAGGCAGAATATGCAGAGTGTCTTCTCCGGTCTTCGATACTTGATCGACCGCTTCAACGGCACCATTCCCGCCTCGCTCGTCACTACCGGTCAGCAGTGGGACTTTGCCAATGCTTGGCCTCCTCACACCTACATCGCCCTCGAGGCTCTTCGCACCTTGCCGGACATGCTCGCTGCTGGGCCAGAGCTGCCTGCTGAGAACGGCACTTTTGTTCTGATCCCCATGGTCAACGGCACGAACCAGCTTGGTCAGTCGCTCGACAGCCTGCCTATTCAGCCACTCGAGAACGAGCCTGGTAGCATGATCAACGAGACTCTTGCCGGTGCCACTGACCCGAACAACCCTTCGGTCGAGCTGGAGCCTGCTATCAACGTCGGTAACGACACAAGCGGCGAGAGCTGGCGCGACGAACTGGTTCGCCAACTTGCCAACCGTTTCGTCGCTTCTGCTCTCTGCTCCTGGAGGGCTACGGGAGGAAAGCTCAACACAACCGACCCCAACTTCCAGCCCGTACCTGAGAGCGTCTTGAGCGCCAACGGACTCAACCCATCCACCTCGATCGGCAACATGTTTGAGAAGTTCAACGCTTCCGATGTCAATGCAGCGGGCGGTGGAGGTGAATATGCTGTCCAAATAGGCTTTGGTTGGACCAATGGTGTTGCTATCTGGCTTGGTGGTCAGTTGGGAGCCAACTTGACCAGACCTGAATGTCCTCCTGTCGTTGTTCAAGAGAAGACGATGGCGGAAGAGTAAAAGATTGCCTTTTTTTTTTTTTTTTTTTTTTTTTTTTTTTTTTTTTTTTTTTTTTTTTTTTTTTTTTTTTTTTTTTTTGGTTTTTCATCCCAGCCTGACTCACACGGCCGAACAGATGAGGCTCAGTCGGACGATACAGAAAATGATACGGAAGTCCCGTTAGATTGCGGGTCAACGAGCCGACAGATGCACACGCCATGTCACGTGCAGCGTCGACATTTTTGAGGCACAATTTTGCTGAAAATGACGATCCAATGAGACGGTAATAAGAACGACGCGGAGCCGATCTGATCGAAGATCAGATAGGGCCGATCCGGTTGAGCTACCGATTCGATCGTAGATTAGGTCAAGTCGATCTCAGGAGAAATTGGGTGCAACACAGTCCCACTCATTGTCATGATAGACCATGAAGTAGTAGTACCCCCACATCAGGCAAGTGCCACTCACATGTATATATAACTCACAGAGAGCACTAGGCTCTCGCCACATTCCCTCAGTCAATCGAGTATATTTGTTTCTGTCTATAAATTAGCAGTGACATCGTACTTAGACTCTCCCCGATCGCCAGTATCGGGACCTAAACGACGTTTATATTCCACAAATTTTGCTCAATTTCTAACACGGCAGAAATGTAAATTCAAGGGTCTTGCCACGGACCAACTCGACACTTGAGTTGTCTTCCGACCCTTGCTTTCCACCATGATCTCTTCACCCAAGCCTCTGCTCTGCTCTTGCACTCACCGACAGTATTCGCGACTTCAATCATTCCAACGCGTCCTCCCTAGGTATATAGCTGCTGCGCTGCTGCGCTGCTGCGCTGCGACGGTGTTCTTGCTACGAGGTGCTCGAATAGCTAGCGCTCGAGGCGCAGTGCCGATTGCAAGTGGAGTCAGATCGTTTCGTCTGACACCGGCGATGAAGCGCACGCTCGCAGCAGACAGCGGCACCACCAAAACCAAGAAGTCCAGGTCCGCGTCTGACGATGAAGAGCCGATTCTGCCAACACGAGCACCTGGCTCCTCAGCCGTAGCGCTCAAGTCAACACAGAAACTTGCTTCCATCTTTCAACCCCGCTCAGCATCATCGTCCTCCAACGGCACCGCATCCTCATCTTCTTCCAAGACGCTCAAATGGCTTGACCCCATCGGTCCATCCAAGTCATGTCTTCACGGCGTCTACGGCGACCCACTTCCCAACTCAAAGGTGGCATTCTACGATCTCGATGGTACCATCGTTCGTCCAAAAGGCGGCAAGACTTTCCCCAGCAAGACAGACGAATACGACTATGACTTTCTCTTCTCCACTCAGCCAGCTGGCTCTGGCACACTCTCCGTCATCTCGCGCATCCAAAAGCAGCAACTGCAGCATGGTTTTGCCATTGTCATCATCACGAATCAGAAGCAGACCGCATACTCAGCTAGGTCGGGTCTCGCAACGTGGAAGAAGAAGATGGCGCATATTGCTGCTGCGATCGATGTGCCGATGCGAGTCTTTGCTGCCTTAGGAGATGATGTCTATCGCAAGCCGAGGCTGGGCATGTGGGAGGAGTTTGTTGGCAAGTGGAACGGAGGGGTTCAAGTAGATCTGGCCCAGAGCTTCTTCGTTGGTGATGCGGCAGGGAGGAAGAAATATAGGGATCATCAAGATACCGATCTCAAATGGGCAATGAATGCAGGAATAGGCTTCTACACGCCAGAAGAGTACTTCTTGGCCAAGTCCAAGGAGTACGAGACGCCAACTCGACCATGGAGTCCTTCTGCCTTACCACCGCCAACAACTACGCTCAAAGGGCTCATAGCCGAGCCAGAAGACGAGATGGTCACCGTCAACCTTTCTGATATCGACAATGACGAATCGGCCGCACGCACAATCCTTGGTGATGCTAAGAGCGACGATCCAGAGATCGTACTCTTCGTCGGCGCCCCTGCTTCCGGCAAGACCTATCTCTTCAACCGTATCTTTGCACCACAAAACTACGTCCACGTCAATCAAGACACGCTACGCACCCGCGACAAATGCCTCCGTGTCGTGGCGGACACCATCACTTCCTCGCAATCTTGCGTGGTTGACAACACGAATCGAGACCGTGCGACGAGGAAACACTACATTGATCTCGCCCGCAACATCAATGCTCGTATTCGCTGCATCTACTTTGACGTGCCTAAGCACGTTTGTGTTCATAACAACCATTTCAGGGCACATTATGGGCCGACAAATGAGAGCGAGGTGAAGAGGACAATACTGCCATTCACGGCGATAGAGAGCTGGTTCAAGGATAGCCAACCACCAAAACAGGCGGAGGGTTTCGATGCGAAGGTGGTGAGCCTCAAGTGGGGGTGGATTGGGGATGAAGAGTTGGAGGAGAAGTACAAGATGTACTATCACTGATCGGTAGATGTCTTCTCATGAACATCCTCGTGTCACCAGCAAACGCTGTACTCACAGTCTGGTCAAACTTGTCATTTCTGGTGCAAGGGGAGCTGGCATTGCCTATTTATGAACAACTGGTGTTTTCTGGAGCCGCCTTGAGCTCAGATCTGAGCAATTGCTTGTCCATCAGCGCGAGGATCAGATCCGGCAGCCCAAACGAGCCTGCCTTGCTTGTTCTCAACCTTCTGAATCACCTGTCCTCTTCCAAACTGGAACCTTGCCCAACCGTCAAGAACCTTAACCTTGTGACCCATCTTTTCGAGCTCATCCACCACCTTCTGATCAACACCCTGCTCAAAGTACACTTCCGACGTGGCTCCCTCAGGCCCAGCCATACCAGCACCGATACAGAACCTAGGAGCGTCTAAAGCATCCTGGACCGAAAAGCCGTGGTGAAGAATGTTCATCAGCACCTGCACCTGTCCTTGGGGCTGCATGAAACCACCCATCACTCCAAAGCTGAGGAAGAGCTCGTCTGCGCGAGTTGCCATAGCGGGGATAATGGTGTGGTAAGGACGCTTGCCTGGAGCGACACAATTCGGATGACCCTCACTGAGCGTAAAGCCTGCGCCGCGGTTCTGCAAAGTGAAACCGCAACCGGCAGGAACGGCACCAGTACCAAAACCAGCGTAGTTGGAGTTGATGAAACTGCAAGCGTTACCGTATTCGTCGCTCACTGAGAAGTAAACTGTGTCGCAAGTGTTGGCCGGGCTACCTTTTTCAAGGTCGACGGAAGCTTTGGTGCGGTCGAACAGCTTGGCTCGCTGAGCAAGGTACTTTTGGTTGAGCAGGAGCTCGGCGAAGTCCTGTTTGGAGTGGGCGGGGTCGGAAACGTGGTATCTAGTGTCGGCAAACGCCAGACGGAGGGCTTCAATGAGAGCGTGCAGGTACTCGACACTGTTGTGTTTGAGCTTGGCGAGGTCGCCTACCTTAGCCTGATTCTGAAGCTCGTCAAGGATGGCCAATGCAACTAGCGTCGTGAGACCTTGACCGTTGGGAGGACACTCGTACATCGTGACACCCTGCTTGCCTTGCAGATCGCCAGCTTGAGCAGGGTGGTTGTAAGTGTACTGGATCGGAGTGACCTCTTCAGTTCCGCGGTCGAGATGGTCTTTCAAGTCCTCGAGCTCGAGAACACCGCCTTGAGATTTGACGAGATCGACGATGGCCTCTGCAATACGGCCAGTGTAGAAGCCTTGCTTGCCTTTGGTGGCCAGCTCGCGGAAGGTGCGCGCGAGGGTTGGCATGCGCATTAGCTCTCCCGTCCTGGGCGCTCTGCCCTCGAACAGCATCTCCTCGGCGTTAGAGGATGCAGCCTTGATCAGCTTCTCACTACGACTCCACAGGAAAGCGGTGCTTTCATGCACAGGGTATCCCTGCTCAGCAAGTCGAATAGCAGGAGCAAGGATCTCTTGCATCGTCAGCTTGCCACTGCCGAGCTTTTCAACCGTGTCAACCCATGTAGCGGCAGCACCTGGAACAGTGACACTATGAATGCTGTTACCTGGGATCTCGATACCGTTTATACCTTTCTGACGCAGAACATCAAGGGTCATTGCTTGAGGAGCACGGCCCGAACCATTAAAGGCGCGCACTTTCCGCTTCTCTGCATCGTAGAAGAGACAGAACGCGTCACCGCCAATACCCGTGTTGCATGGCTCGGTGACGTTGAGCGCAGCAGCAACTGCCACAGCAGCATCAGCTGCATTCCCACCTGCATTCAGGATCTCGATACCGGCAGAAGAGGCAAGAGGCTGAGAAGACGCGACGACGCCTTTCGTAGAAAGCACGGTAGAACGGCGAGAGGCGAATCGCATGTACTCGTTCTTGTAGTGAGGCTCGGTCACCGACCAGTCCAAGGGAGAGCGAGGAGCTGCCATCTTGATCGCAGTTCTGATGAAAGCGGTGCGGATGATGGCGAGGATGATGGTGGCCGTAAGGGAGCGACAGGCAGGTGGTTGGCCTGGTCTGGTCTGGGTGTGATTGAAGAGGATGTTCGGGCAACACGGAACTATGCACACCGACGTTCGGCTACTATTCGAGTTGAGCAGGACCAAAGTACAGTGTGGAGGCAGAAATGATATTGCAAGCACACTCGGATGCGGGCAAGATCATGTAGGTTGCTGTGAAAGGTTGAAGCTTGCGAGGAAGGGACATCGTCCGTTCGAGCGAATGCTCTCGGTGAACAAACCGGAAGAAAAAGAGAGCGATTCGGATACATTGGCGAATTCCAAAGCCGCTTTATTTGCTGTGCAACAACCTATCGGCAATGCAAATCTTCAAGAGCCTACCACTCTTGATTCAACACTGCTGTCGCCGCCTGCAGAATGTAATATCACTAGCAAGGCTCACTGTTCAACTCGTTCACGTGGTACACCAGTGTGAGACATGCTTCCAGGCGGTCGACTGATGATAAATAGTACAGGTGTACAATTCTATGACACTGTTCTTATGCGAGGGAATTGAAGCTTATTTACAGTACAGAGGTTTCTACTTGATGTCAGGTTTCTAGAGCTTGGCACGAGGCAAGTCCGAGTCAAAGTCGGTAGTGTTCATGTCGTGCACATCAACATTCCACTTTGCTGAGTTGAGAGGCTCGCGGAGGGCGAAGTCGAAGAGAGCCTCGTAAACGTTGCCGTCCGAGCGACCAAGGGCCGAGTTGAGGAGGTAGTCAGGCACGGCGAACGAGTCGACGAGAGCGACAGCGTTGGGTCGGAGCTCAGCCATGATCTCCTGGATCTTGCTACCCAAGAGGTGGAACTGCTTGCCGTCAATGTAGCCGGAAGCAAGGAAGTCGGCCGACTCTTGCTCCATGGTGTGGCAGGCCCAGAGGAGGAAGATCTTTTGAACAATCTGTCGGAGAGCGGGTTGCGAGTTGAGCCTGTCATCCTTGAGGATGGCCATGCCGAAGTTGCGGACGAGCAAGTACTGCGAGTGTGCCTTGGAGCATCGGTAGAGCTCGACGAGCAATGAGTTCCACGAACGCTTGGCATCGTCACGAAGCGCTAAGGTCTGCTCGGTGAGGTAAGCAGCGCGGTGGCCGAAGGCACGCATGAAGAAGAGAGGGTCGTAGAGGTCACCAGAGAACTGGATGTTGGCCTTTTCATTCTTGTTGTCGAGGTAGCGGATCATGTAGTGAGTGGTGATGTTCTTGTCGACCTTGCCACGAGCACTCTTGATGGCGCGCATAGTCTTGAAGAGGTATCGGGTGCACTGCTGCGAAAGCATGTACGAGTCACCCTCCCAAGTAGCGTTGGGGAGGTAGTTGGCGTAGAAGTCGGGCAGACCGGAAGCCATGCTGTAACCGTGACCACCGCAGGCCTTTCGGCAGACCTCGATGGCATCACTGGCGTAGAGGGTGGTGAGCGACTTGAGACCGGAACTGGAGGCGTGAGTGTCAGCGAGCAAGGAAAGATCGCCGGACTCGATGTTGGCCTGGTTCTGCTCGTAGAGCTCGAACATGAAGCGCGATGTGTAGTGGAAAGCAAAAGCCTGGGCAAGGATGGGCAAGAGACGGATCTGGACCATGGTGTAGTCGAGAACCTGAGTCTCCAAAGGCTTGCCGTCCTGGCCGAACTTGGGAGCATCGCGGTCGGCAAACTGTCTTCGAACAGCACAGTATCGGATAGCGACGGTCACGGCGCGCATAAGCACCGTGGAGGCGTCACGAACAATGTTGGCACGAACCCATGTGAGTGTACCGTAAGCAAGCTTGGCGTTGGGTGGTGGGAGATACTTGCCGGTCTCGGGCTCGACCTTGGAGAAACGGGCGAGCAAGTTAAAGTGAGGGACTCGAACGTGCTCAAAGAGCATGAAACCGTTGTCGGTGGTGTTGTAACCGGCCTTGGGACCAATGTCACCGATAGTACGGCCAGGAAGCATCTCTCGGGACTTGACATCACGGATGGGGACGACAAAAGGGTGAGGGCCGTAGCTCTTGTTCTTGATGATAAGCTGAGCCATGACGACGGCATGATCGGCGGACCTTCCAAGACCGCCAATCCACCACTTGCTTGCAGTGAGGGTAGGGCTGTGAATCTCCCACTCCTGAGACTCGGGGATCCAAGTGGCGGTGGTCTCGATACCCTGAACGTTGGAACCGTGGCCGAGCTCGGTCTGAGCGTAACAGCCAATGATCTCGTACTTGGCGGCAGGCTCGTAGAAGGCCTTTCGCTGCTCGTCGTTACCCTGGTTGTACAAGGTGGTCAAGAACATGCTCTTGTGGAGACCCATGGGACCTGGAAGATCGGCGAGCTTCTCGGCCACAGAGATCTCGGTCTGACCCCAGTGATGCTCTGCTGCGAGCTGTGCAAGACGCTTGTCCTTGAGCATGGCACGACGGAACTTGTCAGCCCGGCCGTAGTAGTGATCGGAGGTCTTGTCAAAGACAGGGTCCGAGCTTAGAATCTCTACGAGACGCTCCTGAAGTTCGAGATACTGCTTGCCGTGAATGTACTCGGCCATGGCCTTGATGTCGAAAGAAGCCTTGGAACGCTCGTAAGCGAGGAGCTCGCTGCCGTGTACACCGGCGGGCTTGAGACCGGCAGGAAGCTCGATGTAACGTGGCGGTGCCATGTTTTGATCGTGAAAGGCTAGTGTGTGGGGATGGTGTGAAATAGAGGACGACTGGTTGGATCTGTAGATGGAAGCAGCAAACAAGAACGGTGGGAGCCAGGATTTATGGGGTGGGTGCGGAGTGTGGGCAAGATAGCAGGATGTGCTAGAGTATATATCAAAACTTGCCACTGCCGAGAGGCAGCAAGATGCAATCGAGCCGACCCAAAGAGAGCACCGGCTGAAGTGGGAGCAATTGGCGAGGTCTGAGCCGGCAAATAGTAATTTCAGGCGACACCAGCACAATGGCATGGAGGTAGAGGGGGAAAGGATGGAAGCCAACCAAACAGCATCGGCCCTCAACACGCAACTTAACCGGAGTGCTGCCACAAGACACACTCTCTGGCTGTGTCAGAAGAAAAGTCAATCCGTCTACTCTGTTTTACCGGCTAGGTGGGAAAAGTGGAGAGCCGGCCGGTTGGATTATGGAATAAGCTGTTAGATCATGTAGCCTCCCACAAAAGACAACGTGGGATCCCACAATCGGTCGGATCGGGTCCTGATCGAAAGATAGATCTGATCGAGAGATCGACCGCCGTCGTCGAGGCCGACACTCGTACGACACGTTTGAATAAGGATGGCTTTCCGATGGAACACGTGCTCAGTCTGATTGCCCCGCCAAATTGCATCTCCGTCAAGTCCTCGGAGCAAAGCCATTCGCGACCTCACCCCCCCCCGCTGCTTTCCTCTCAGGCCACGCCAATCGCATCTCCGCTTTCCAACACCGCTCTGTTCACCTCGCAAGCACATCCACATCCATCCCATCATCATCAAACCTCGAAGCCAAGAGGCGAGAGCCAAAGGAAACGCTCATTGTTCGACGGTAAGAGATCAGCGTGTACGAGGTGCTCTCTCCACAAGAGCGTCCCATGCATTCTCCATTCGGTTATCGCTTGCACCTTCAATCCCCTACAGCCGAAAGGACATGCTTGTGCTTCCCATTGGCATTTTGACGTTACCACAGACCTTGATTTGTTTGCTTGTCTGCAAAGCGGTTCAAAGACGCATTCATCCGACTCCCGCTAGCTGCACACGTCGACTCTCTGACTTCCCCCTTGTCCTCGCCTTTGTCTCATCGCTCTCCTCGGCTTCTGCTTTCCTTTGTCGAACTCAATCACACTATTCCACGCTATTCCCCCACGCCGTTGTGCAGCTGATCCGAGAGGCTCAGTTCGACATTGCTTCACAGCCTCCTTTCCTCTGCCTCTTCGCGATCTAGACAACTCCACGGAGCATACTTTTCCGACCTCCTCCCCAGCCTATCCTCCACCTCTCCTCGCCTTGGATCCTATCCCTCGTCTCTGGTTATGCTCAAGCGTCCTGCTGCAGCGCAGCAATCTTCATCATCATCATCTTCTTCTTCTTCTTCTTCTTCTTCTTCTTCTTCGTCCAGCACCCGTACCAACGGCAACGGCAACGGCAACGACAAGGTCAGAGCTTCGCCCAACACCGGCAACCCGATCACGTCTACTACCTACTCCAACGACGACTACAACGTCAAACCTCGCCGATCTTCGTCTTCTTCCCACGTTGTTCTACCGCCGCTTCGTACCGCTTTGGCTTCGGGAACTCCTCTTCCAACAGGCTCTGCTCTTCCACCACCTCTGCTGCCTCCAACATTGTCGGCGCAACAATTCGAGTCACCCAGCTATACCCACAATCGACCTTCGCCATCGTCTTCTTATAAACACTTTGTATCTACGAACAGTATCATTCACGGCGCCCGCCTTACGGCTCCTGCTCCGATCACATCACGCTCGTTTCAACCGCCGCCGCCTGCCAACAACCGTCGATCAGCCAGCATGACTTCCAATTCGGAGGACTCAACGGCTGCTGCCAACCCTGCAGCAGACAACTCGAACCAGAACAACGAAGCTGGCAAGAAGAAATCCACCAAGAAGGCAGTCTCTTGCGAATCATGTCGTCGACGTAAGCTCAAATGCGATCGAGGTTGGCCATGCGGCGCTTGTCGAGATCGCGGTGAGTCCAGCAAGTGCGAATGGGCAGAGGGTGTCAGACCTCAAAGCACAGGCCGTGATAGTGGCGACTCTTCGCAAGTCAATCAGCGTCTCGATCGTCTGGAAGCCATGATGGGTGCCATTGCGACCTCCCTCGGCGTTCAACTTCCCGGCACCAAGTCCACCACTGCTTCATCCGCCAACGGCGCTCAAAGAAACTTGTCCTCCACCAGCACTACCTCGACCAATGCTCCTTCTACTTCCAAGCTCTCGACATTGGCTGAGCTTGGTGCCTCCGAGGCCAACAGGGCTGCAGCTGCTGCTACCACTTCCAAGAATGACACCCCGCGTCCCGCCTATGCTTCCGGTCCGGTTTCATGGGGCTTCGGTTTTGGCTTCTCCCAGATCAATCAGGTTTCGTCTGAAGAAGTGACGCGCCGCACTCTCTTCGAGCTTCTCAAACTTCTACCGGACAACAGCATTCTTCGCAGTCTCACCGATTTCTACTTCCGCGAGCTCTCCTGGATGGCACATCTCATTCCGGAAGAGCCCTTCCGCAAGAGGCAACGCACGGTGGAAGAGGTGCGCATCTTTTGGGACGGTCGCCCTGACGCTTACCGCTACAGAGAGATGCGCGACAACCTTCGCCTAGTCGCCACCATTCATGCTTTGTGTGGCGCTGCACTGGTGTTCGGAGAGCCGATCGAAGGCGAGCACCTCTTGGAAAAATACGGCAAGCAGGCCTTTACCGTCTTCCTTGACGCTGCTCAACACGCACTCTCTGTGCTCGACATCTACGAAGAGCTTCACCTTGACAACGTGCGTACCATGGTGCTCCTCAGTTCTTGCATGAGTGCGCTCAAAGGTCCTGCTGTTGGATCCGCCATGATGGCTAATATTTGCTTCATGGCCTACGCGCTCCAACTCGATGTTGAACCATCCGAGTCGCTCCCCTTGGAAGAGCGCAAAGATCGTCTCGGTCTGTTTGCTACCATTTGCGTACAGGATTGGTTCTCGGCGGGCAACGTGAAGCGCAGCTACATTATCGATCCAGCCAACACGAGTCTTCCGTCGCTGTTCGGCCGTGATGCTCAGAAGAATGAGTTGGTTTCAGTGCATATGCGATACAAGCTCAAGTTGAGTGACGTCGCTCGTCGAGCCAGTCACCGTATTCGGATGAGCGAAGACGAGGCGTACGAGTTCACAAAGCAACTGCATCAAGAGGTCGTGGCCATCGAAGCCGCTATCCCCGAACATCTGCGCTTCGACGACTCGCTCATCGACTCGAACGAATCGGACAGCCCAGAGCGATGGCATCGGTCTGCCATGGCGCTTGCGGTGCAGATGCAGCTGTTGACTTTGCACAAGCGCTTCTATGTGCAGTCCTGGACGAATGCCAAGTACAAGGAATCGAGAGAGATCAGCTTTGCCGCGTCGATGCTGATCATCAAGGTCTTCCGCAACGCGTTCAAGTGGTTCACCCCGAGTGAGACGGCCACGCTGGACGAGCAACGAGCCATGATTGGCGAAGGTTTGCGTACGCAGCACAAGTCGGTCTCGCGACTCTGGTTCTTTGCGCAGATGTCGATCATCGCATCGCTCGTGCTGATCCACTTTGTCTCGATGCTCGACACACATCCGCAAGAGGCCTGCGACTGGGACAGTTGCGAGTTGCGAGCCCAGATTACAGACGATCTCAAGTTTGTACGTCTGCTGCTGCATGCTCTGTCGAGCAAATCAAAGCTGGCCATGGATGGTGCTCGCGCAATTCAACCTCCGGAATCGAATCGCAACAAGCGCAAGGCTGATGATGCTCTTCTTGGACCTGGATCGACACGCGGGGGAGGAGCGCTGAGCAGTCGATCGATGGACAGCATACCGATCCGCAATCCGAGCTGGTGCTCGACTTGGTCTGGCTATTCGAACGGATCTACGCCAGCTTTGACAAGCACGCATCGCACACCGCCTGCGTACAACTCGCCTGGCTCAAGTAGCAACAGTTCGCACAGCCTCGCGCACTCTGCCTCTGCCTCTGAGATTGCACGTCCCAAGCTGCCGTTCGATGGACAAGTGGCACCGGGCAACGCCAACTCGTTTGAAGACATTGAGGCCTTGTGGCAAAAGCAACCGTGGCAGACAGCTTCACTCCGAATGGGTACTTCGCCATCCGTCTCTCCAAACAATTCGTTTTCAGGCCAAGGAAAGGGTCGAGAAGCTTCGATGGTGGCTAGCTCTTCGCTCAATCCATCCTCTGCCAACAATGCAAGTTGTTTGGCAGCTGCGTCTGGTAAGCCGGCTCAGAAGCGGCAGTCGTCGAATGCAGGAATGGCTGGCATGGCAAATGCAACGCAGAGAGCAGGCAGCGATGGCGGTAGCACGAACCCTGAGTGCCCATACATTTGCGCTAGCTTCTTTGGTCCTGACGCAAGCTCCAACGACATTGCTCGAGCCGAAGCAGCAATTGGACGACAAGACGCAAGTTTTGGATACCCCGTTGCGCCCTTGAGTCCATTCACTGCATCGTTCATCAACAGTCTGGATCAGTACGTGTCCAGTCTGGAAGAGCCACTGCCATCGAACAGTGCGGCTTCTGTTCCGATCCCAGTGACAGGAACGAGTATGTCGGTGCCTCAAAGCCATGCTATGGTCCAAGCGACGGCTGCGGCGGCTGCAAGGGATCCCACAGCCGGGGCGAGGTGATAAGGGCGTCAGAGTTGATGAAAGCAACACGAAAGCAACACGAAAGCAACACGCTGTTTATGTTCAGATAGGAAAGGAAAAAAGGGGAAAAGTGTAACACAAAACCCATGCTCAGTCTATGCAGCCATCTCATCATTCTCATCGGGCTCGAATCTTGTATGAAGCCTGGAAGAGCATCGGGCAGTCTGAGGGGTGCTTCTTTTGGCAAGTGAATGCCTATGCTGCTCGTGGCACTGAATTGAATGGCAAGCGAGAGGGTCTAGGAGAAAGGCCCACAGGCCCGAGCGGATCGATTTGGCCGTCAGACTGTTCCTTCCGAGATTTGACGTGGATGAGAAAGAGGCGTTGAAGTGCAATTGAAAAATCAATGATCGCTTGGCATGAAATCAGGCGTTCGGAATGCCCGACAAAAAGGACTGCTCAGTGCCGTGGTGAAGAAACTGGCACTGTTATACAGTCTGCAAGCACGCCAGCCAAGATAAATGCCGAGATGTGAGGCAAAGAGGAAAAGGGAGAGAGGGAGAGAGGGAGAGAGGGAGAGAGGGAGAGAGGGAGAGAGAGAGAGAGCTTTGACCGATGCCTTCTCTTGGCAGCAGCGGTATCTGCCTTTTCTGGTCGGTCTTGGCGAATGCACGTTGAGCCGACGCGCTCGCTGCTGCAACTCTGTGTAGCTTCGGACCATCCGCTTCCTCATGCTGATAGCCATATGATCTCTTCGGTCCGTCCGATCGATCAGAAGACGGCATCGAGACTCTCCTTGCGCGGCCTGGTGTGATGTAAGGATTCGACGTCACCGTCGGCACGCGACCGAATGTCTTTGCAAAACCTCTGTCCTCGCCAACATCAAAACGAGGTGCAAAGCGGGGGGGAAAAGGAAAAGCTATGTGGGCACTTGGAAGTGGGGAAAAGGGCAGACCCGGTGTGTACCTTATGCGGAGCAGAGAGAGTGTCAAACAGCTGAGTGACATCAAGAGGAAAGCATTTAAAGTGAACCTGCAGCTCGGGGGCAGCCTCGGAGCAAAGATGCACCTGTTCAAATTTTGTTGACCGGCACGGAACGCCCTTTTGCGACGCTCATTCCCTTGGGTTTCCCTCCTTTCAAAGGAAGCGAGCTCACTAAAACCAAGCTTTGGGCCATATTAATCTCGCATCCTAACCTTTGAATCGGATCAACCGATATCTCCTGTGCCAATTTGACTTGGGGAATTTTAAAGAAGAAGAAGAGGTCCAAGACCAATACGGAAATGCCGAAAGAAGGCTTGAGTGTTGCAAAAACGCGCCAAGTCACACAGCATTCGAGATAGCAGCAGCAGCAGCAACCAAAAAACAAAAAAAAACAAATATAAAATAAATAAAATAAATAAAATAAATAAAATAAATAAAATAAATAAAATAAATAAAATAAATAAAATAAATAAAATAAATAAAATAAATAAAATAAATAAAATAAATAAAATAAATAAAATAAATAAAATAAAATGGAAAAACAAAAATAAAAATAAAATAAAAAATGAAATCTAAAATTGAGCTGCTTTCTTGCTGCAACTACAACTGTAACTGTTCATGCCATTCTTTTGTGTGCCCCGAGGCGGCGAGGACGGCACATCGGAGAGCCAAGCTGCCAAGCCAACTCTGTCTCCTTTTCCTTTCTTCTTGCAGTCAGCAACTCTCTCTCTCTCTTCGTAGCTGTAACTGCCTGCAATCAGTGACGATACCAGAATGTGCTCTTTCCGTCTCGCTTTTCGCCGATAGTGACTGATGCTACTGCTACTGCTACTGCTATTGCTAACTATCGCTGACCTCTTTAAACCTCAAACAGTATCGATTGGTGGCCTTTGCTAGCGTTTTTGTTCTCTGAGCGGAAGAGCTCCTTGAGCTGTCGCCTCTTCCGCTCACTCTCTGCTATCAGCTTCCACTATACTACTCTCGACGCAGCTCGCTTCCTTCCTCACCACCACCTCCGTCTATCCTCTTCATCACTGCTTGGTTCGCATCTCGACCTTGACGTCCATCCTTCAGCGGGTTACTTGAGCAACTTCTGAATGTTGTCAATCTGATCACCACGTCTCTCCCTGACACATTCCAAACGTCCATCGCGTTCCAAGTAGGCTTCCTTCTCGCCGGCTGGCGGATTCGAAGATCCTTCAACCGCCAAGATGGTGCTTTCACTGGTGATCGACGATACCTCGCTGGTGCTCCTGCTTGTCCTCGTTGCAGCATTGTCCGTCTCGATCTACGTTTCACGGTCATATCAGCCTCTCATTCACCCACTCATCCTCACACGCCAGGCCGATCTCTCGCAAACACGGCAGCCCAACGAGTCGGCCATCTATCGCAATGCCAACTCCCCTTCCGGTTTTGACCTCGCATTGAGACCACGAAAGGAGATCAACCATGTCTCGGATCTTATCAAGCACGGCGCAAATGGCTCAGAGCGCAACGCCAAGAGGCCCATCTATGGCAACACAAAGTCGAATCAAGATGTTGCTGGCGACGCTACCGCCTTTGCGACCGGCTTCATCAAGTTTTCCTCGGCTCCTGTCTCACAGACCGTCTTTGCTGTCGTGTCCGAATCCGACACCTACCAGAGTTTCTTAGCTTTGCTCGCAAACTCGCACACTTCCGTGAGCTCTCGCTTTCATACTCTCGTCATCTCGCCTGACCAATTGAGCAAGCAGGCTATCAACTCGCTGCCCAATGCTCTGTCCACCACCGGTGCTCGATCTGTCATCGGCGTCTACACGACTGCAAAGAGCATCAACACCGTCTTGCAGCTTACCTTTCTCGACTCTTCCGCGCTCATCATCGTTCCGTCTGTAGACCTCGATGAAGCTAGGAAGCACGCCGACGCCCACTTTGGCGGCTCTCATCGCCTTCGCATCTACGACTACGACACTGTTCTTGACGCTGGCAGTCGTGGCTCCTTGGACGCTTCCGAGACCACTAACCGCGAACTCATCAACCAGACGCAGTCCTACTATTGGAATGCTCCTTCGTCTCAATGGATTGCCGTCAGACACGCCAATCTTGTTGCTGGTGTCACTTCACTGCTCGCCAGCTTCCCAGCTGACAAGATCCCCACTACTGTTGACCACTTCTTCGTTGAAGCCGACGCTACTTTCAACACTCCCGCATCTCCGCTCATGGCCACACGCACTCCAGTTGGCTTTGCACTCGCATTAACAGCGCTCTACACCGGCGCCGCCATCACTGCCGATCTTCTCACCTCGAGCTACAACGACCCCAACCCTGCCACTTCAACTGCCTTCGCCCGGAACAAGCCCACTCTCGTCTACGCTTCTGCAGAGGGCGCTTCATCTCTCGCCTGCGCTCTTGCTACCTGCAGTCGCAGAACGCCACTCGCCTCCTGGGCAGCCAAGAACAAGCTCTTCACACTCCGCAACGGCTCTTTCTCTCGGAAAGGATTTGCAGACCGTCTCGTCTACAAGCTAGCTCGTCAGGTCACCGGATCTAGCGGCGTTCGTAACCTTCTCATTGCAGGTCGCGGTGATACCGTCCCGCAGGCTTTGCTTGACTCGCTCCGCTCTCATCTCGGTTGTGCCGTCCTCAATGCCTACCTTCCACAGCTGGCCTCCGCAGCCGTGACCGCCCCGATCAGCGCCACGCACGCTTTCGACCTTCAAGCCTTTGCCGAGCACGAGTCGGGTGGTATGCAGGTGCCAGCCCACGTTGGTCCTCCCTCCGTCTCTGCCGAGATCAAACTGATCCAGTCCAAGATCGCAGCTGACGCTCGCTTCACCATCGCTGGCGACCGCGAACCAGGCCACAACGGCGATCCTATGGGCGAAGTGCTTGTTCGCGGCAACATAGTAGCCCACAATTCCGAGAACCAGCAAGAGTGGTCTGCAACAGGCGATCTCGCTGCTTTCCGCTCCAATGGCACTCTTGTTGTCCTCCGCGATGCCGACGAATCCGAAGTAGCTGCAGTGCCCACGCTCAGCGCTCGCAAGCCCGTCTTGCGACAGCGTCGCAAACGCTCTCTCGCTTCTGCTTCAGCAAAGACAGTCCTCGCTGCAGCTCTGTTCGTGGCCACAGTTGTTCCAACTGTATCGTCTCGATCGCTCTACAAGCGTGCTGGCTCCATCAACAACACCATGAGCGAGATGGCAAGGATGGGCATGTACGCCGGGCAACGTGCTTCGTGGGAGCAAGGCGTTTCTCAAACCGCTCTTCTCGAACTCGACTACCCTGGCTGGTCTGTCTTTTCTTCTTCCGGTGGTGGCCCTCCTTTCCGCCCCGGCCATGAACGAAGCGCGTCAGGCCCTCCGAACAGTGTCATCTCAATGGCATATCACTCGGCTTCGCGACAAGACATGATTGGTCGACTTGCCTTCCGCATCACTGGTGACGAGCAGCCCGGCGTGGGTAGTTCACTTGACGGTGCCTCTCCGGGTACTGAGGTCCTTCTTGCTGCTTGGTTGGATGGTGAGATTGACCGCAAGACCGGTGTCATGGGTGACGGCTTTTACAGTAACTCCGCTCGCATCACGCTCAACATGCTCACTCGTCGCACACCCAGATCTCGCACTGGAGCCATCAGCCATCGCTACACCACCGTTGCCCTCTGGAGCGATGCCATCTACATGATGCCTCCCTTCCTCTCGTACTACGGCATGATCACTCGCAACAACTCTCTGTTGCAACTCGCCTACGACCAGATTCGTCTTCACCGCGACGGCATGCAATTGACCACAGGCGCTTCCAACAACCTTTGGGGTCACATTCTCCTTCCCGACAACGGCACTTGGTCAGATGGCGGAGCTTGGGCCACGGGTAACGGCTGGGTTCTAGCCGGTATGGCAAGGACACTAGCCACCATCGAGCAGAGTCAAGCCTCGATGCAGATGATGCAGCAGAAGAATGACATTGTCAACTGGATGCAGGAGATCCTCGACGCTGCTTGGCCTTTACTAGACGAACGCGCTCTTCTGTTCCACAATTACATCAACGACACTTCCACTTTCTACGATACTGCTGGTACTGCCTTGATTGCATACGCAACCTACCGATTGGCTTCCATGTCTCCGAAGAACAACAGGTGGATCTCACAAGCTGACACGGTCTACCGCTCCATTGCGACATCTTTGAATCCCATCGGTCAATTCCGAGAAGGCTATCCTGTCGTTGACGTTCTCTCCTTTGTTCGTCAGGGTGAAACTTCATCTGAATCGCTCGCGTTCATGATGCTCATGAATGCAGCAAAGCGCGATTACCAGAACAACGACGTCGTCCGCATCAGCACTCTCGAGAGCGCAGCAAACGCCGCTCTATGCTCGTTCACAACACCATCACTTGTTGTTCTTGCTGTCGCATCTGCATCCCTTCTCTTCTCGCTTCTCTAAGCTTCACTTCGATTCTACAAGATAGATTGTTCTGTTCATCACGAGTCGGGCAGCAGGAGGATAGGATGAAAGGAAAGGAGGCGAGTCAGTCTCGTTTAGATTATGGACTGATTCATTCTTCCTCTCTCTTAGTCCTCGCTTACCCACCATCACGCTTTTAGGTTGTGCATCTTTCGGTAGGATCCTGCATGTTTTGTTTCTTAACTTATAGATCGCTTTACGGATCTCTCATATTCGGTGCGTGCGAAAAAGCCTGTCATCGTAGTTGGTCTAGACCTTCGCTTGATCTGCATCTTCAGGCAGACACTTAGAAGCAGCGTGCATCTCAGACGATCAAAATCGAAATGCGTCTCGAGAACGTCGTGTGAACGAGAGGAAAAGGATAGAAGAAAGTGTGCAAACGGGAGTCGAACGCTGTGGATTCTATACCGGTAGGTCATCATCATGGCATTCCATCTGACAGTATTGCTTTGATAGTTTGCCTTTGCAGGACGGTGCAAAAGCGGTGTGATAACCACAAAGAACGAAAGGTTTTCTAACAAGCCGAAAACATTGCTTTACAGAAGCCCCAGCGGCAAGAAGGTGACTCTTGGGAAAGTCTGGATACCGTGAAGGGCAAAGTTTTGTCCGGGGAGGACCATGGCTTAACCACACTGCGGTCTACAGAAGGAAAGCAGAGATCACATCTTTCCGCATCAGAACAAGTTTCCACGTCGAGAGCTGGCCGCTATCACCTCGTATCGCTTCTACTTATTGTCTTCTGGTATTGCAGCAGATGAAGCGCAGAATGATTAGGGAGCATGGATGACAAAAGATGCTCATTGCTTGTTCCTGAATTTCTGGCTCGTTACATGCTGCTTGACAGCGGCAAATGCAGCTTTGCGTTCTTCTGAGAATGTGCGGATGGGTGCTTCTGGAGGACTGAGACTCTCATAAATCCTCCGACCGCCCAGCGTACCCCTTCATCGTCGTCGTCCAAAATAGTGTAGCGCTCGTACTTATTTGAAGTCATGATGGCGACATCAAGAGGTCTCAGTTTGACCTTGACACCAATCTCAAGCAACGCAAGCCATGCTTCACCACCGAAGTTGAATAGGATCGATGGATCATCGTCGTTGTTGTCAGTGTGAGGCTTGCTGGTAGCATCTTTGAATAGAAACAACGTCGATCAGACTGAATGGAGCAAGCTGGTATCTGTGCCAAACATTCTACGAAGGTGCTGTCGGATGTTGCGGCGCAGTCATAACTTTGTCTTGAATGCTGGATGAATCTTTCGCTCTCGCCAAGCTGCATATGTGTACTGTTACCCCCAATGCAAGATGATTACAAGAAGGCCGCTTCGTTCGGGTCTACAACTATCGCAACGCTGTGGGTCAAATGAAAGTGCACCGCTTTTCACGCTGAAAGCAGTAGAACAATGACAGTGATAGGGAGAGCTCTAACTACAACAGTTGCCCGGCGGGCTCGAAGCTCTAAGCTGCAGGAGGGTCTTTGCAGTAATTGTGCGCTTTGAAGCTTGCAACCCTCTTACCAATCCAACCGCTCGTCCTGAGACCAGTACCTTCGTACGACTTACCAATCTTTACAGCTCCATGCATGAGGTAGCAATCACCATCGGGGTCTTGTTCGGTCACTTTGATCCAGAACCAAGACGTGCATCCTTTGCTGTCGAGACACTGCTTCTTGCAGTCCTTGACATCCTCTGTTCTGCGCCCCTGTTTCACTCCTTTGTCCGCACTCCCGAAGGCCTCCCAGTCATCCTGTGTCGGATTCAGCTCCACGGTGTCGGTCTCGTTGCTTTCCTTTGACAGGCCCTCCAGAGCGACAGTAAGAATGTGAGGTAGAATATGATCGAAAATGTCAGAATACAGAATGGTCTGATTGGCCGACTTTTGCTCGCGAATACTTTTCTCAACCTGTGAGAGCCAGGATACTTCTTCGGTCTTAAGGTGATGAAAGTTCAAGACGGGTTGACACCAGTTGTCTTTATCAAACAGAATCTCTCGTGGACGTTCTCCTTGGAACCTCGCTCCGGCATTGGCCAGATTCCTGATGACTGCAGATCCGGAGTGACGCAAGGCGATACTCAACTCTGCATCACCGCAGCAAGACACTTTGACCTCTTTGTCGAACTTGGAAGCGAAATGCGGATCTTTACCATACGTAGCTCGCATCAGTGCTCCGGAAATAACATATGGACAGCCGCCATTTGCGAACAGTTCCTGATTTCTGACAAGTATTGAGGGACAGCCGTACAGCTGCTCTTTACCTGCATCTTGGGTCAAGAGAAACTTGAAGAGCGAGTCCCAGAGGACGTAGGTGTCGGCTTCGTATCCAATATACCAATCAGCGTCGGGGTTGCGGTGGAATGCATCTTCCCACATGTAGAGGAATTTCCACTTGTCAAGAGTCCAACCATCTCGGAACGAGCTAGCTTTAAAATCGTCTCCGCTCGATAAAAGAGTGTGCAGCTGTTTGTATTGAGTCGAAAAAGCCTTATCGTTCCGAACGAATGACGACACGTTGGTGAGAGCATCTCGCACAGCAAAGAGACCGACTTGGATATCTGCATCTGAATAAATCAAGTACGTCGGTCCGCTGTAATTCAGTTGCCCGGTGAGGTGGACTTGAGGGTGAATCACTTGCTGCGCTTGCAAAAGCTGAATGGGAAGACGATCGAACAAGACCGAAGCTCCAGTTTTGAGAACGATTACAGACTTGCTTTTGATCGTGTCAAGCTCTGCTTCGCCTTCTTTCGTTTGGGTCTTTCCAGCTTCTCCCTTGGGAGAAGGGGTAGTGGGAAGCTGAGAGATGGTGGCCATCATCTTGCCATAGCTGCTTTTGACTTTCTGTCCGAGTTCTTGTTGGAGTTCGACGACCTTTTGCTTTGCCACTTGAAGCGATTCTGCTTCTTTGCCGTGGAAGGCAAGCTCGAAGATGCCAATACCCATAGCGATCATGGCGATGAATAATACGATGCGGCGAAAGCATGATCTTCGCTTCGCTGGGACAGCAGGCTGGGAGGCTGAGATGGTGGAGGAAAGAAGGTGTGTGTGAGGGTGGACATTTTTGTCATCGTCCTCGTCGTCTCTGTAGGAGATTGTGACGTGTGGCGATTCGCGGCGCTCTCCATTGTAGTCGCTCATGCTGTGCAGAATTTCTACAGTATGAATCTAAGAGTATGAGCGGGATGAATGATGTTGTCGTGAAGCAAGCGTTATCCTTCCGGCTGTCAGCGGAGGTGACTTCTTCCCTGATCACCCCTGTGACCGTCAAAGGGGGGGGGGGGGGGGCCATCCCACCAAAGCGACAAAATGAAGTCACACAATTGACATGCTGTGACGAGCGCGCCGTTTTACTGAAATGAGGCCGGTGGGGAAGGACCCCCTTTGACCTCAACGCCACACACAGTACTAGGAATGATTGTCACAAGGGACAAGGATGTCCTTCGAACGATCTCTGTATGCTGTTGTCGTTACCATGCGCGCTTTTCGACACGCTGTCAAGCACAAACTCCGTCCCGTCCAAGCAGTCCTGACGTGTCCAGAGCCTCGACTGACAGATAATACTTGGAATGGAGGCAGTGCACGTGCATCCTGATGGGAGGCTAGTCGATGTCGACGCCAAAGCAGACTGCTCGAAATTGGACGCTCGAACCTCTCCATAGGTGAGAAAGATAGGCCCGTCCCCTGTTGCAATCTCTCGTCTGGTTTTAGTAGACGTTAAGGAACATTGTAACGCTTACTGGAGTAGAATCATTGGCCTGCCGTGCTCGATGGTGTTCCGGCTTTAAACGGAGGACGCTGAATGGACTCGCTCTCCGACGCCGTCCAGAGACGGGACAACTGACTTCTGCATGGATACGATCTGGCCGGCGAGCCTTTCATGATATAAGGTTACTTGAGGAACAAGCCGGGGCGACAAGGTGCCCTATACCAGAGTTGTCTTGAGTGTGGCATGTTAAGGACATGGCCTTCCGGATCCAACAGCCACGATAGGCTCAGTACGAGCTTCTTGCTACCAACCTCTCCCAGCAAGACAGGGACAGTTTCTGAAAGGCCACCGGTACTATCTCGCACTGGTGTGCTCTTCAGAAGAAGCAGAAACTCGACAGCGAGTCGTTCAACAAGATTCCCGCTCAATTGATGCCGGTTGTGTCTGCTTGGACAGGGGCTAGGGTCCAGCTCCCAGCTTCTTCTGTCCAGCAGGATACGGGCTTTTCGCTGCAACGTAGTCCGAAAAGGAGATCTGGGGGTTGACCTTTCTTTGCTCTTCGAGTCTTCTTTTAGATTACAGTCTCAAACTTGCCAGGAGTACATGACAGGGATGTCAGCTTCGGCACAGAGATGACTACTCAAGCGAGAAAATCTGCGAGTGTAAGTATCTTGGTTCTGCGTCGAGGTCAATAAGTGATAAAAAGTGAAGACGTTTTGGTCCCGATACTGGCGATCGGGTAGAGTCTGAGTACGATGTCACTGCTAGTTTGTAGACAGAAACAAATATACTCAATTGACTAAGAAGAGAACATGGCGAGAGCCTCGAGCACTCTGCCTGGCATATATACAAAGTACTGGTATATCCCATAGGTGGCAGTATCACCCTCAATGACAGAGTACAACAAGGGCCGGGACCCAATAGCGTCCATCCTCTCTCTCTGATCGTCTCTGTCTGATTTCCGATTAAATCAGATCTATTCTCTCTCCGATTAGCTTGGATCCATCCGCTCCCCGATTAGATCTGCTGGATCGCCGCTAGTACTTGAACTCGCTCTAGATCCTCCTTGCCGCAATCCACTTGGTTACTCCATTACAACGTGCATATAGCCTGTGTATGTAACAGCGGGGCACCGCATATTCTCACATGACCGGTCAGCTTGAAAGACATAGACGGCGTTTTCGGCGAGACAGTCGCAGGAGGCACATGTACGGGGAAGGCGGAGTCGAACGTTAGCGTAGAGGCGCTTCGGACTTGGTCGCTGTGTTCGAGAAAGCAGCAGCAAATGTGTTCGGTATTCCTTCGGAGATCTTGTGCCTCGTTGCCAAGTTGTCAGTCGCTAAGCACCTTCCGCCTGACCCCTTTAGCTCGCCTCGGTGTTCTCGTTGCGGCAGAGCAAACGCACATCAGCATCGAATGGGAAGGAGCTCAAGGATGTGAGATGACCGATGTGTGAGAATTGGCCGATCTTTCTTGAAGGCAAGAGGACTTCAGACATCATCGTATGACAATCGTAAAATACTTAGTCTTTACTCTTTTTCTTTTGCATCACAATGCAGTAGCCTCGAAGCGGACATCGGCTTTGACGGGAGGTTAATGCTTGATGATCGGGACCAGCTTGAAGCTTGGATCGAGAGGAGATCCGCGTTGCAAGACCGGCGAAGGGGGCCGAACCAAGCCGCTTGGCGAATGCTTGTCCAGAAACAACTGCAGTCGAGCAAACATCTGCAGTCGAGCAAACATTCTCCGCTGCACCTGGCACCTGGTGAAGTAGCAAACATAAGCCAACTCACGTTTGGTGTGTCTTGTTCTAGCTTCGCAAAGACCCTCGTGGCTCTCGTCAGTCAAGCACTCTGTTGCACCCTCTCGACAGCATCTCCAAGACGTTCAGGCGACAGAAAGCCGAACCTCCGCACATGGATGGCTTGCACCGGTATGTGACACTGCATGTTTTAGCATCAAAGAGGAGCTGAAAGAAGGCGGGGCTCCGACATGGCAACGTGCGAGATGAAAGGCTGCTGACATACAAGCACATGCCCGGCCAATGGGGAAGACGACAACACAGGGTTGAGGTGAGAGGCTTCAGGTTGCCGATCTGAGAATGCCGGTGAGCCAGAACTACGTCAGCTCTTCATGCTGCTTGGCCGCTATCGCCGGCATCTCTTTGCTCTTGGAGCGCTGCTCGCTTCATCTTGAGCCCAACTTTGGAATACAGTCGCTAACACTTGAATCACAGACATGTGCCTATGATATCTCAATTGTGCCTATGATATCTCAATTGGATGACATGCTCTCCTTTCGAACATGGAGTGGGTGCTCAAAGGCGGATCGAAGGCCCTGTCGGCTCGGAAGGCCGTTGTTCTGCAGAGCCGGCAGAGCGGAGTGTAAGGAGAATTAGGGAGGCAGGTCAGAGCTTCTTTGCTTTGCCAGACAAAGGCATCTTGAAAGAGAAGGACCGATAGAAGCGTCTATTTCCTGCTACTTCTCTACTGAAGAAGAGCACGATGATGTTTCGATTCCAAGTCCGCTGTGCAATTCTTTCCAACGCATCCATCCATCCGCCTCTGTCGTGCTGTGGAGCGGATTGCATCTCGGCTCCATGCAAGATGGACACCCCATGTTCATCCGTCCCGTAGGACTCATGGGAGACCAGGAGCGTCTCAAGGCTGTAAAGTGCTCAGCCGGTAGGACCAAGCTGACAGGGGACAGGCACATGGTAAGAAGCCATCACCGCGCTAAAGCCTATCAACGGGTCCTTTCCAAAAGCAAAGGTGCGACTAAAGCAGATCTCCGTGTCAAGCGCATTGAGCTACTGTGGTGATATGAATGCAGCCAAATAAGGCAAAGAGGCCCAGCAGCGTCATTCGTTCGACTTGAGTTGCTAACTTATATCGCTTCGCTGAGACCGCTGTGCGCGACTGGCACAACTTGGTTGCTAGCCGACGTCGCTTAGAGCTCCTCTCCATCCAGACCATCCTGGACACCGGTCAATCGCTGTGGATGCTTCAAGTTGACCTTGACACCCAAACGAGATTCCCGAGACTCTGATTCTGCCCCATCAGAAAGAGCCCTCTTGTCAATGACTGCTGATGTAGGACAAATTCAAGATGAACCCGGCAGTATGGGGGGATAGTGAAACAAGTTGTTGTTTGCCACAGCGTCGCAGCAGTCAATATGGCGCAGAACATTCGTTGGTGTGTGTGTGTGTGGAAAGATCATAACTTTGCAGCCGCTTTTGGAGTTCACCGACGTTCCCTTGCCCAACCTAAGCTTCTGTTGAGCGCAGCTGCGCAACGGCAACCTTGTCTTGCTCCTTGCTCCCAGCCTCGAATGGAGCGCAGGCTTGGACAGTCGATCCCCACTAAAGCCGCTGCTTTTGAGCTTTCGGAAATCTAACCTTGTTCGGCATCGTTGTGTACTGGCGCTGATGAGTAAGTACCGCCATTGTCTCATCTCGTCGTTCGGCTTTCTCTCGTCCTCACCGTCAGACGAACTCGGTCGAAACAGCTGCACCCCATACAGTACTGCAGCAACAGTCGTGCTGCATCAATCTCCACGTCTTCATCTCCCCACACATTTACAGTGACTTGTGACTGGCGACACTTTGTCTACCGGTCCCTCATCTGAGTTCTCTCCAGCCTGAGGAAAGTATATAGCCTCGACTGCTCAGCCTCACACCATCCCAAGTCGTACCTTCTCGTCAGGAAAGGAATCTCTTCTCAGCAACCCGATCCGGTCTCCACTCTCTACTTCGACACGGCAGCACCGCAGAGACTTGTCTAGACCTTTGACGACTGCCAGTCCTACATTCGCCGCATCCATCACCCCTTCCCTCCGTCTACGGTGCACGCACGAGTGCTTTCGCCAACATGCAGAGTCCTCCCTCCGTTTCGTCCAACGAGGATGTCTACAAGAATGAAAAGAGCGAGCTTAACGTCGTCCACGCCCGTGATGTCGACATGACCCAGGTCCCCGGCTACGACGCCACTGCCCCTTCCAAGATGACCCGCAGGGCACAGATGCTTGCCCTCACCATCTGCATTGGTGGTTTCCTCTTCGGCTACGACATCGGTGTCATCTCTGGATGCTTTATCATGAAGCCATTCGTTCTTGCCTTTGGCAGTCCCGAGGACTGTGGCCCCAACGGATGCGCCCTTCCAGACGGGCGAACCTCGCTCATCAACTCGTCTCTCTCCATCGGCACCTTCGTCGGTGCTCTGCTTCAGGCTCCTGTCTCGGACTTCTTTGGTCGTAAGCCCTCCATGATCACCTGGGCAACCATGTTCACCGTCGGAGCTATCATTCAGACTGCCACCATCAACTCCTGGCACCAGTTCTGCGTCGGCCGTGCCTTTGCTGGTCTTGGTGTCGGTGCTCTTTCTGGTCTCTGCCCTCTTTACCTTGGTGAAACTGCGCCCAAGCACATTCGTGGCGCTATGGTTACTGGCTACCAGCTTCTCATCATCTTCGGTATCTTCATCTCATACGGTATCTCTTGGGCGACCCAGAACTTCAACGAGTCGGACGCGTCTTGGAAGATCCCTGTCGGTCTTCAGCTCCTCTGGGGTGTTGTGATGCTTGCGCTCATGTTCACCCTTCCTGAGTCGCCTCGATGGCTCCTCAAGAACAACGAGGTTGGCCGTGCTCGCGCCATCATGGCCGACATGCGCGACATCACTCTCCAGGACCTCAACGGTGAGGCCCGTGGTGACAAGTGGATGGAGGCTGAGCTCCTCGAGATGAAGCAGGGTATCGATGAGGAGAACCGCCTGTTCGCCGGCCGCAGCTACATCGGCTCCTACCTCGTCTGCTTCTCATCAAAGAACCAGATGTGGAAGCGTACTTTCAACGGTATGATGCTTCAGACCCTTCAGCAACTCAACGGTCAGAACTTCTACTATTACTACCTTCCCCTTCTTAGTTCCACCCTTGCACTTCCTCTCAACCCCTTCCAGATTCAGTTCATCCTTGGTTCCGCCTCGCTCATCGCTACCGTCCCAGCCCTGATCGCCATCGAAAAGCTTGGTCGTAGACCCTTGCTCCTCATCGGTGCTGCCGCTGAAGCTGCTTGCGCCTTCATCGTCGCCTTTGTCGGACACTACAAGACCGCGCCCAAAGGTACACCTGCCGACCAGATCACCGACTCTCAGAGTCAGGCTGGCGCCGTCTTCATCACCTTTGCCATCATCCACCTCCTCTTTTACAGCTGCTGTTGGGGTCCAGGTCCGTGGTTATACCTCTCTGAATCCTTCAACTCACCCACTCGTGCCAAGGCTATCTCGCTCGGATCGGCAAGTAACTGGATCTGGAACTTTTTGCTCTCGTACTTTTCGAACCAGATCGCTTCGCAGTTGGGTCCCTTCATCATGCTCATCTTCGGTGGTGTTCTCTGCTTCGCCTTTGTCTATGTCTACTTGATGATCCCAGAGACCAAAGGTCTTTCTCTTGAGGATGTCGAGCTCCTCTACTCTAAACACATCGCTCCTTGGAACTCGGCCAAGTGGGTTAAGGAACGCGGCCTCGACAAGCGTATCGAGGAACGTGTCGTCAAGGCTTAAAATCCCTTGACACCTATGTACTTTACTGTCACGATAGCAACGCCGATACCATCAGAGCATTTAGCTCCAAGTCAATAATGTCTCTAGAGACAATCAGTTTCGTCTGTGCTGAGTCATGTTTGTGAACCACCATCTTCGAGGAGACAGCAACAACTTGCAGATTGACGGTTGGTCGCAACTCAGGCTTCGTCCCAACGATTGATTGGGTCGGTTGACAAAGCCTCGGTCAGAGAGCGCAGGTACTTTCCGGTATCGCAAGGATCGCAGCCGTGAGCAGTGAGCGTCACATCAAACGCAAATGGGAAACTCTTTCGTCGTGTTGGTCCATAGGTCCGTCCAACGTCGGAGCACTTGGTGGAAATGCGATGTCCTTCTGCTGTCTTGGATCCATAGGCAGAGCTTGCGATGCTCCTTACGCATGCATCTTTTCCATAACTCGGTCCACTGAGCACCGGTCTGTCCACCGCTCCGCTCACTGACGGTCTATGAATCAACCCACGAGGGGGTGTCACTGGTTTGCTTCACATGCCGATCACTTGGTCGCGCTCAGATGCTCGCATCAATCTCGATGATTGCAAAGATCGAAAGACAACACAGACGCACACAGTCGGAGCCAAATAATACTATCGAGACATATTTGATTCATTTGGGTATCATATGAAGTGCTGCTAGAGCATCAGGCGTGTTCCGTTCAAACACGGAGTTGCACAGAGGAGCGTGCAGTGAGCTTGAGAGTTGCAGGAAATCTTGCAGATCTCCGGATCACTTGACCGGATGGGGAGAGAAGCCGGCGGCAGGTCTGGTGCGAAAGATTCAGCTTCCATGAGGGAGCGGTGGCTAGACGACTTGTTTGCCTCATCGTCGTGATAGGTTTTGTTGCTTAAGGGTGAACGCTGACACGGCCGCTCCTGCCGAAGGCAAAGGACCATCTCTTCATACCCCATCTTCTGAGATAAAGCACGCGAGGAATGAGCGTGTACTGGTGCATACGGTGGTTGATGTGAACGCTTGGCATCTTGAAGGTGATGAGAGTGTGGTGAGATGTTTTGACCAAGGAGCCTCTCGAGCTGAAGAATGTCTTATAGGGGGTATCAATTTTCGACTGTTTTTAGAAATGCCTCTTTCTCGATTTTGACCTGTTTTTATTTCGCACAAATATCTTATGTAAGCCCACCCAAAATTGGGAAAAAAACACGTGTTTCTGAAAACATGCCACGGGACGAGGTAAAATGAGTTGGAGGTTAAGTTAGACGGCCTGCGCCCGAGTGGTACGTCATCACGCTTTTGGCACCTGATTAATTCTGCAGCGTTGTTGCTGATAGCGATATAACATCTTTGTTGCTCTTCCGAATTGACCCTTGACGGGTTGGTCGCTTTTTGCTGGCGTTTGCTCTCAACGCGCCCCCACGCTGTCCTGTCAAAAAAGGCAAGCTTGGATCGGTGTGGGGATCCATAGCCTGCTTCGAAGGGTCTAGCAACTCACTCAACAAACTCAACAGCAACACTCAAAAAAAAAAGAAGAAAAAAAAAAAAAAAAAAAGACTAAATGTCTTGCTCGGTCAGAGTAAGTGATTTAGTTGAAGATGCATCAGCAACTCAAGCAAGATGCATGTGTCATGGCCAAGACACTGAGGCACAGGAGGCTTACTTAAGCAAGAAGCACAATGAGATACATGATGGTTGTCATGGTGACAGCTCAGTGGCACTCAGTATCATAGCAACATAGGAGTATGAATGAAGTGACATGTCCCATCTTGGATAGGACTAGAGCAGTGAATGGAGTATATATATGTGTTTGTCATTTAGGTTCACACTATGAAAACTCAGCATTACATAGAACATATGGCTGTTGTAAAGGGAGTCTGATCATGACCCTGATAATGCCATGTATTAATTGTTATCTTCAATTGATTAAGAGTCTGAAGAAGCTATCACCGAGCCAACTGAAACTCATTGACAACAATGGTAGAAGACACCGAAATAAGGATCAAAGGAAGCAGAAAAGGCAAGAACACCCAGGTTTGGGTAGACAACAATGCCACAAATGAGAATGAGCTGGAGGTCATCGACAATGAAGCTGACAAAGACACCAATTCCAACTCTGACTTCGATGATGGTGACAAGCAATATAACTTTTGCACCCTAGCAAAGCTCCTCGAACCCATGCCAAAGCTAATGTCATGCAGCTATTATAGCTGGAGTGCTCACGTGAAATCTTTCCTCTGATCTGTGCCCCATGCAATGAAACATCTCAAGGGAACATATGACAAGAAGCACCCAAAATGGAGCCACTCCCTTGATGATGCTTTAATTAATGCCCTGCATGGAACAATTGACACTACCAGAGAACATAATGTAAATTACCTCATTCTAGATGTAATCAAGGAGTACCTTACTTTCAATCAAGTATGGAGAAAGATCAAAAATGGTCTCACGAATGAAGCCACCAAGACATCTCACAGACTTGTGCTCATCTTGCAGCTCAATGATACAAAGATGTTTCACTTGGATGCCAGAAAGCTAATTCAAAAGATCCAGTCCATACAGACTGAAAGCAGCCTCCTCAGCAAACCATTTGCCAATGATACATTATTCTTGGCTCTGCAGAAATGCACGATCCAGCATCCAGTGTATAAGGAGACAGTCACCACCATCCATCAAATTGATTTCAACACCCTCGTCACCACACTAAGCATCCAGCAGACCACTGTCGAGAGCATCCTGTCATGGGCCTGGATGCTCAAGAAGCAGGAGGGTCATGGGTTCATATGGAAGGAGCACAGGTATCGAAGACCTAGTCGAGATCAGTAGAGAGCAGGGTTGTAGTGCAGTCTCCATGGAGACCATGGACTCCTATGGACTCACATGCAAAGAAGGGCCAAGCACAGCCACGAGGAGGACCAAGCTCAAGGAGCAGGCACAGCCACAAAGAGGACCAAGCTCAAGGAGTATGCAGATAGTTACCACTCAGGGGCTCGAGAGACAAGAGCCAAAGGAACTGTCACTGCTCAAAGGAGAAGGAGCAGTGTCAAAGGAGTCGACACCAGGTCATGAGGAGGAGGAGCAGTGTCGAAGGAGTTGACACCAGGTCATGAGGAGGAGGAGCAGTGTCGAAGGAGTTGACACCAGGTCATGAGGAGGAGGAGCAGTGTCGAAGGAGTCGACACAGCTCAAGAGGCACAGGGGTGCCAAGCAGGAGAGGCCCCTGAGCAGTACTCGATGAAGAAGGTACTCTCTGGAGAGAGAGCAGGAGCAGCATCGCTGGCAATGCTGAGTAGAGGTATATAACCATGCTTTCTCATCATCATAGGTCGAGTGGATCCTCATCCACTCTACTCACCATAACTAGTTATCACTTCAGCATAAGTATATATTAGTTTCAGTCAGCTTAGCAGCAATCCATCAAAGGTTGCTCCTCATCATAGTGTGTGTGTTGTATCACCACTACCTGACGTCCGAAGGCACCCATAGCAGGTTAGCAGTCCAGATCAAGATAGAACCGAAGGCAGTAGTCCACTGCGGTCCGGGGATCACTTCAAGCATCAAGTCAACACACTGGACACTCGTGTTGATGCCACCAACCTTATCACCAACACCATCAACCTCATTATCATCGACATCACCAATCTCATCACCAACACCATCAACCTCATCATCATCAACACTCACACCAGACCTTGGTGTCTTCATAACCTTGATATTGATCATGCCGAGCTACCCCTGAACGGAGTGTCCACAGAGGTCAGCCGAAACCTACGATAGTATATACAACAAACGCCACCTGCTGTCACTGCACAACTTGATAGTCACCAATACTGAGACAATAGCTGTCGCACAGTTTGATAGTCACCGAGTATCTCGACAGACCAACCTGGGTTTCAGGCGCGAGACCCCTGACACATCCCTGCACAAAAGATTGACCCCTGACAAGCCAGCACTAGAACTGCTGGCAACAACGATCAAAACAAATGGACTGGAGTGACCGAAGCTGAAGCCAACAACAGCCACGTGAGCTTGAGGAATGCAGGCAGACCATGCCGAATCTGATGCTGGATCTGCAAGTGACCTGGACATGGTATTAGCCAATGCAATGCCTCGGTCACCATCCCCAAAGACTCCTGCCTTGCTAAACCTAAATAGGAAGCATGGTGCTCCCTCACCCTCCCATTGAAGTAACAAGACCCCCTGAACACAAAAGAGACAGCTCATTGGATCTTGGACTTGGGGGCAAGTTATCATATGGTGAATGACTATAGCATGCTCATCCATCCGAGAACTTGCCAAAAGCGGATAATTACCACTGGAAGCAAGGTCTTGGAAGCGGCAGCTATGGGAGATGCAAGCATATCAACAGATTATGGGGAAATCTCCCTACAAAATGTATTATATGTGAAGCACCTTAATGTTAACCTTCTGTCAATGAATTCATTAACAGATGAAGGAGCATGAGTGATATTGGACACAACCAGCAGTCAACTTCTTCTAACAAATGGCATGACACTCAAGATTGCAAAGAATTGCAAGTGAGGACTTTTGGAGTTCCGAGGTGACACATGGCAAGAAAGTGTGATGGCCACATCAACACCATTGTTTGAAGGCATTGATGAGGAGTTTGAGCATATTGAGAATGAGCCAAAAGTTTCAAAGCAACAACTATGGCATGAGTGTCTCAGACACCCAGGGAGGGATAAAGCTAAGGTGATCACAAGCAAGTTAAAGGATAAGCATACCATGGAATTGGATCCAAACACCACTCTGACATGTGAGCAGTGCATATGATCTAAGAGCACAAGCACTCGAATGGGGCAAGGTAGCAGCGAAAGAGCTGTAGGGCCCCTGGATCTTATCCATGTCAATCTAATAATAGATTTGTCCCATGTGACGGAGTACACATGCACATTAGTGCTGGTCAACGATCATAGCAAGTATGTGTATGCACAGCCATTGACATGAAAGAGTCATGCATTTACACAACTCAAAAGGATTGTTTTGTTCCTGGAAACACAGAAGGATCAGAAGCTAAAAGCGATCCAATCTGATCAAGGAACCGAATGGAGAAGCAATGATGCATTGGAATGGTCGCTAGAAAAGGGCATAAAGTGGCAAACCACTGTAGGGTACAACAGTAAACAAAATGGACGGGTAGAGAGAATGAACAGGACCCTTGGAGAGAAGATGAGAATGTTGCTAATGCAGAGGAGACTACTGAAGAAGTTCTGGCTGTACGTGATCAGAGCTGTGGCATTCAAAATAAACCTCACTCCAAGCATTGATAATGAGTTCCCTTATCAAGCAATGTTCAGCAAGTCACTGGAATGAGCTTTAAAACTCCTATGAGTGTTTGGTTGTCTGGCATGGGTAAACATATCCAAAGTCAAATGGGACAACAAGAAACTGGACCAGCAAGCCATCGCATCCATTTTCTTGGGATACAGTCTAGAGAGAAAGGGCTGGCTCTTCTACAGTCCAGACTATAATCTGAACATGTTCTGGAGCAATTTGTCAGGGGTCTCGCGCCTGAAACCCAGGTCGGTCTGTCGAGATACTCGGTGACTATCAAGTTGTGCGACAGCTATTGTCTCGGTATCGGTGACTATCAAGTTGTGCAGTGACAGCAGGTGGCGTTCGTTGTATATACTATCGTAGGTTTCGGCTGACCTCTGTGGACACTCCGTTCAGGGGTAGCTCGGCACGATCAATATCAATGTTATGATGACACCAAGGTCTGGTGTGAGTGTTGATGATGATGAGGTTGAGGGTGTTGGTGATGAGATTGGTGATGTCGATGATAATGAGGTTGATGGTGTTGGTGACGAGATTGGTGATGTCGATGATAATGAGGTTGATAGTGTTGGTGATAAGGTTAAGGTTGGTGGCATCAACACGAGTGTCCAGTGTGTTGACTTGATGCTTGAAGTGATCCCCGGACCGCAGTGGACTACTGCCTTCGGTTCTATCTTGATCCGGACCGCTAACCTGCTATGGGCGCCTTTGGACGTCAGGTAGTGGTGATACAACACACACACTACGATGAGGAGCAACCTTGATAGATTGCTGCTATGCTGACTGTAACTAATGAGTACTTGTGTTTCTAAAGTATTGACTAGTTGTATGGTGAGTAGAGTGGATGAGGATCCACTCGACCTATTGATGATGAGAAAGCATGGTTATATACCTCTTCTCAGCATCGCCAGCGATGCTGCTCCTGCTCTCTCTCCAGAGAGTACCTTCTTCATCGAGTACTGCTCAGGGGCCTCTCCTGCTTGGCACCCCTGTGCCTCTTGAGCTGTGTCGACTCCTTCGACACTGCTCCTCCTCCTCATGACCTGATGTCAACCCTTTGACACTGCTCCTCCTCCTCATGACCTGGTGTCGACTCCTTTGACACTGCTCCTCCTCCTCATGACCTGGTGTCGACTCCTTCGACACTGCTCCTCCTCCTTTGATCAGTGACAGTTCCTTTGGCTCTTGTCTCTCGAGCCCCTGAGTGGTAACCATCTGCATGCTCCTTGAGCTTGGTCCTCTTCGTGGCTGTGCCTGCTCCTTGAGCTTGGTCCTCCTCGTGGCTGTGCTTGGCCCTTCTTTGCATGTGAGTCCATAGGAGTCCATGGTCTCCATGGAGACTGCACTACAACCATGCTCTCTACTGATCTCGACTAGATCTTCGATACCTGTGCTCCTTCCATATGAACCCGTGACCCTCCTGCTTCTTGAGCATCCAGGCCCATGACACAATTCAGCAAAATTCATGGAATCAAAGTGCTGGTCAGACAGAATGGAGTGGCAACTGGTCAACACAAAGGCACCTCCAGTGATGATGACAGAAGAGAATTTTGAAGATCTAGGATACAACAAAGAAAATATATTCGACAAAACAGATGAAGGGCCACTACAAGAATACATGGATATGGAGACAGATTTGGAAGAAAGGTTAAGTAGAGGAACAGTGGAGGTGATGGAACAAGGACCAATCACTGAAGCCCAGATTGACAGTAAATCCTTTGGACTCATAGCAACATGACCGGAACAGAGAAAGAACCTGGACCCAACCATACATGAAGCAATGAATGGAGAAGACAGAAAGCACTGGGAGGAAGCCATGCAAAAGGAGCTGGATGGATTAGAAGCAAAGGGCACATGGGAGATCACTGACCTCCCAAAGGGTGCAAACACCATCAACATGCATTGGGTACTCAAGATCAAAACCGATGCGAACCTTGTGCTGACAAAGTTCAAAGCCCAGCTCATGGCATGAGGTTTCACCCAACATGAGGGCATCAACTACACAGAGGTCTTTGCACCAGTAGCGCCCATCCAATCCATTTGAGGGGTGATTGCCATTGCAGCAATATGAGACTGGGAAATAGACTCTATTGATGTAAAACAAGTGTACCTGAACTCTACTATACACCATGATGTATATCTAAAGCCCCCAGTAGGAATCAAAGTACCACCTGGAAAAGCGTTGAAGGTAGTGAAAGGACTGTATGGTCTGAAGCAATCAGGCCAAGAATGGAACATTGAGTTAGACTCACATCTCCAGACGATTGGATTTCATTGCATGCCAAGCACACCATGCCTATACTCAAGAGGGACAGGTGACAAGATCACGATCATTACAGCATACATGGATGACATGCTGATAACATCACCCAGTCATGATGAAGTAGACCGCACTAAGCAAGAGATCATGGACAAATGGGAGACACAAGACAATGGAAGAATCAAAGAATTTCTGGGTATCAAGATCACATGTGATAGAAGATGGAGGAAGATATCTCTGGGTCTAATGGCATACATCAAAGAAATGGTGAACAAATGGTTAGGAGGAGCAAACGAGAAATCTTGGGTACCTATGCTGAGTGTAGTGAACATTGCCAGAGGTGAGAGATGTGATCCTCAGCAAGCAAAGAAGTATCAAGAGTTGGTCAGCCAACTATTATGGGTCTCCAACACAGCCTGACCAGATATTGCCTTTGCCGTTGGTGTATTATCACAATACATGTCAATCCCAATTGACAGTGCATGGAAGGCAGCCATTCACATGGTAAAGTACCTGAACCAGACAAATGGATATCAGTTACACTTAGGAGGGGAGGCAAACAAGCACTTGGATACACTGGTAACAACATATACCAATGCAAACTGGGCATCTGACCCCACAAATGGACAAAGGAGCACCTCAGGGTCAATAACATATGTGTATGGATGTCCAGTGAGTTGGAAGTCTCATGTTCAAAAATGTGTAGCATTGTCAGCAGTCAAAGCAGAGTTCATTGCCACTTCCGAAGCAGTGCAAGAAGCATTGTTCTTCTCATATTTGCTCCAGGATTTGGAGATCACAGATGTTCAGCCCATACTATACACTGATAGCCAGGGGTGCATGCAGGTGAGTAAAGACCCAGCCAAACATTGGAAGTTAAAACACATTGACACATGGTATCACTTTGTCCATGATCATGTGCAAGAGGGCAATGTGGCAATCAAACATGTCAGGACAGCAAACAATGTTGCAGATGTCTTGACAAAACCTTTACAGGGTCTCAATACCTCATGATTGGCTAGGATGATAGGGCTGGAGATCCTGCCAAAGGGGGGAGTTGAAGATGCATTGGCAACTCAAGCAAGATGCACATGTCATGGCCAAGACACTGAGGCACAGGAGGCTTACTTAAGCAAGAAGCACAATGAGATACATGATTGTTGTCATGGTGACAGCTCAGTGGCACTCAGTATCATAGCAACATAGGAGTATGAATGAAGTGACATGTCCCATCTTGGATAGGACTAGAGCAGTGAATGGAGTATATATATGTGTTTGTCATTTAGGTTCACACTATGAAAACTCAGCATTACATAGAACATATGGCTGTTGTAAAGGGAGTCTGATCGTGACCCCGATAACGCCATGTATTAATTGTTATCTTCAATTGATTTCCTGGATCTCCGCCGGCACGCTCTAATCTTTGTCTCCGTTGGCAAATCAATCATCTCAGTGGCTCTTCCAGACCAATTTTGTGCTGCCTTCGAGACGATCAGATCATCCTTGTCTTCTCTCATTCGACGTTGACCGCTTTCTCCGCCCGGCACAAGCTAGCTTCACACACATATATATACCACCCTTCAAGTGAAGCAAGGGCACATGAAGACAACAACGACGGCTGTACGACAAATCTTCCAAGCACTCCCCACCTTGTCCTCCGCGAGACCTTCTTGCATACGAGCCTCTAGAGCCAAACCCTTCAATATCACGTCCATACATCTAGCCAACATGTCCAGCGCAGCGCAATCCCAAACGACTGGCAGTGGCTCGGCCATGCACAAGATTGCACGCAATGGCTTCGACTCTTCAGGTGGATCCGGACTCTATGACCGCGCACGACCCTCCTACCCTCTGGCAGCGATCTCAACTATCATTGCCGAAGCGACCAACGCTGACTCTCCAGCACCGCTCCGCATTGTCGAGCTGGGTGCTGGCACTGGTATCGCAACACGCATGCTGCTTGCAACCGCAACCTCGCCATCTGCTGATGGCACACCACCTCCCGGAGTCGAATCTCTCACTGCCATCGAGCCTTCTGCTGGTATGCGCTCGCATTTCGAGACTGCAATCGCCTCTGCTACCAACTCGCTTAAGCAACAGATGCAAGACAAAGGCCTTCTCTCACCCTCTGCTAGCATCTCCGTCCAGGACGGCGCTTTCGAGTCTTTCGACGCTGGTGAGGCAAATGACGCAGTAGTCGTCGCGCAAGCTTGGCATTGGTGCCAAGACTGGAACGCTGCGCTGCAGCAGGTCGCTAAAGCTCTCCGACCCAACGGTATCCTTGCTCTGGTTTGGAACTTGGAAGACAGGCAAGCAGCTCCATGGGTCGCTCAGATCCGCGACTTGTATGAACAGTACGAAGACGGCACACCTCAATACAGACACATGTACTGGCATGCCATGTACAAGGCTCCCACCTGCACCAGCCATTTCAAAGCAGACGAGCCAAGGCACTACCACCGCACCATCCCAACTACCTTGCAGGCCGTTATCGACCGTGTCCTGTCAAAGTCATACATCTCGGTCTTGCCTCAGGACAAGCAGGTCAAGTTGGTCAAAGATATCTCTGACTACCTCAACAACACTCCAGACGAACAGCTTGGAAGGAAGTGGATTGACAAGGAGCAGGGTGTTTGGGAGTACCCCTACCGAACTGATCTCTTCATCTTCCGTCGCAAGTAGACTCACTATTTCTAAATACCAGTCAGCAACAAAGACTTTTCAACAGGCTTGTCAATCATTCCTTTGCAATTCAGTGTCACGGTTCTAGATTACATTGCTGAGCTTTGTGTCTGTGTGTGCCTTCACTCGAGGCTCCAGACAGCAACGCCAGTAGGACCGATCTTGCCCTTCTCACCACCGAGCAGCAACTTGGCACCCTGAGGAGCAGCACGAAGCTCGATCTCATCCGGACCGTAGTTGAAAGCCCAGAGGGCGTTACCATTCCTCCTGTAACGCAGGTCAGCACCCAAATCCGTCTTGCTTCCCTGTGGTGTCTCATCCAAGAGCGTCTTGACATCGGCCTTGCCCGCCAAGTCGCCAAGGTACGAGACGAGGAACTCGACAGGAGTGTAGGCTGAAACGTAGTGAGTCTCCTTGTCGCCCTCCTTGTTGCCGCAAGTAGCCGGGGTGCCGTTGCGGTAGCCGTAGTAGGTTGCCGACTGCTCGATCGAGACGGAAGAGTTCTTTCCGTCGCGCTCGCATTCGATCCACTCGACCCAACCAGAAACGTTGTATTGCTGACCAGCGTATGAGATCATGTCACCGAAGCCTTCTTTGATGGTCTCGACACGAGTGACCATCATGGGAAGAACATCGCCGACGGCACCGTTGCTGGGTGGCAGACCGTCAGGGATGGAGAGAGCAGCAACCTTTGATGCGGAACGAGGACCGAACACAGTAAGACCCTTGTAGTCGGACCATGTCTCAACGAATTCCTTGCTGATGACGGGCATCGATGGCACAACAACCATCTTGTAACCCTCGAGCTTGCTAGTTGGACCAACGACGTCAATGTTGAGACCAAGCCTGCGAAGCGCAGTGTACCAGTTGAAGACAAGAGGCAAGTACTGCATCGAAGGGTCCGAAAATCCTTCCATGTCAACGTCCCATGTACCGGACTGTGGTTCTGCCTCCATCAACCACTGTGCGGCGTAGTCGAAGACCAGTGCGACCTCAGCCTGACCTTCAGTCTTGGTCTGGACGGGTGCGTTGTCTGCAACATTGCGCTTCTGGTTCTCACTGCCAGACTTGAAAAGGCTCACCATCTTGGGCAAGTCTTCGTTGACGACCTGCTGTTGCTCGAGGTAAGCGTGGTCAGGAACATTGTCGCGACGAAGCATAGCGGCGTGCATCTGCTCCTGTCCGAAGGCAACTTGGCGCCATCGGAAGATATTGGACATGCTGCCTCCGTGCGCAAACGTTTCGTGCTGCCAAAGCCTCACCATCCCGATTTTTGGACTAGGATTGAAAGGTGCCCAATTGACTGGCCCAGGTTGCTGCTCCATGATCCCGAAAGGACCGGCAGTCTTGTTGTAAGCAGCACCAGCAACTCCTCGATATAAGTCATGGTGAAGAGCCTGGAAGTCGGGAGTGCCAGTGCGACCATATTTAATTTTGTTTATGTCGGATATCCACGGGAATTGCTCCGCGTTTCCAAGAGGGTATGAATCCCATGTGGTAAGATCGAGGCCGGTCTCTCGGGCAAGCTTAAAGTGGTCAAAGTCAAGGAAGGCGCCCATGAAGTTGGTGGTGATGGCTTTGTCCGAGTATTTGCGGATGGTGTTGACCTGATCCTTGGCGTACTCAATGGTCATGTCCGAAGAGAAGTGGTAGAAGTCGAGTCGTCCAGCAGGGCTGCTCTCGGTAACTTCGAGCATGGGCAAGTCGATCTGGTCGAATGACTGGTACGTTGACGACCAGAAAACGCGGCCCTCCATCTGGTTGTAGAGAGTGATATTATTGTTGTACTTGTCAGCGAGCCAACCCTGGTATCGCTTGCCAGCGTTTCGGTCGTAGGTGCGAACAGTGCTGTGGCAGCCGAGCTCGTTGTCAATCTGCCATGCAATGACAGCCTCGTGGCTTCCGTATCGTTTAGCCATAGCTTCGACGAAGCGTTTTGAGAGCTTGCGGAAGTCGGGGGACGAGGTCGAGTAGTGACGACGAGAGCCGAATCTTCGTTGACGACCCTGAGCATCAGCGCCGAGTATATCGTAGTCCTTGACGGCCCAGATGGGAGGGGTAGCAGTTGGGGTTCCGAGGATGACCTTGACACCCTCGCTGTGAAGCGCCTCGATGGACCGGTCGAGAAGCGACCAGTCATAGTTGCCATCAGTAGGTTCGAGGATTGCCCAGTCGAACTCGCTAATTCGAGCGTAGGAGAGAGTAGCGTTTGCCATTTTGGCTGCATCATCTTCCCAGAGGAACTCGGGCCATTGTGAAGGGTAGTAGTCAACGGCAAAGTGGAGACCTTCTGGCCAGCGTGATGAGTCCGGCTTTGGGCTTAGGGAAAAGGGATATTCTTTCGAGTTGTCTACATCTGGCTGAATGTAGTCTCGAATGAAGAGGGAGGAAGAATCGAGGTTGAAGTCTCGCGAGCTGGGCAAGGCGACAGCGAGGCTTGGGAGAAGAGCCACAAAGGAGGCGAGCTTGGCCCAGTTACCTGCCAACATTCTTGCGGCTCAGTATAGGGGCGAGAGAGGCACGAGGTAGGAGAAGAGGGAGACGTTGGGTTCAGTTCTGAAGTAAGGAAGCAAAGTCGTCGCTAAAGGGTTATATATGATTCCACGGCTAGAAGCTGTCCATCCAACTTCAACGATCTGGTCTTCAGACGGTCTCGCGCTACGAGCGCTACGATGCTTCATCGTAGAGTGGCCGAGCAACCTCAGGTAGGAACGGGCGATTCAGAAGAGTGGTGACCCCGCATTTGGCGCACAATCAAAGCGGAGAGAAAAGTCTGGAGATCTCGGTGTTTGTTGAGCTGGAAAGAAATTGACCGTTCGAAGCGTTGCATCGAAGCGAGACCAGAGTGGGGGCAAGATCGATCTCGGACTCTGTATAGCGGCTTGCAGAAGCGGTTAAGAGGAGCAAGCTTGGTGCGGGGACAGCAGGAAGCCCTGCCATAATGGCAAGCAAAAGGAATAAAGAGATCTCCGAACTCCTGGCAGCCTTCCAGGAGTCGTCCAAGTGCAAGGTGATGAGCAACCGCATATGATTGCCGTAATGTTCGAGCGGATTGCTTCTTTTGCCACCTGAGTCGGCTAATTATACTCTTGTCCTCGCAAGCCTTGTTCTTCTTCAACTTTTCGATGCTAAGCGAGTTGCATACGACGGACACGGTCGCATGGTCTGGATCGGTGTTCGGCAGTCGCTTCCATGCTCGCGGCTTGAGCTTCCAAAGTAGTTGACCGGCACACTCGACCCCGCATCGACTCCTAGCAACAAAAGCGTGAGTCTGTGGTGAGCAAGCATGCGTTTATACATGCATCAGCTGACCATGTTTTGCATCGCTCTTGGCGTCTGAGTCAGGATAGACAGATGTTCGAGTACATCAACAACAAAGGGGTTCGCCATCTGGCTGAACGATGTGAAATGGCGACGAGGACTAGGTGATCAAGGTTGGAATGACCAGGTCGTCAGGCCTGTTGCAGTGCTCTCGTTTGAGCGCATACAAATCTTGCGGCAGACCTTTTGAGTAGCATCGGTTCTGCATGGTCTCTTGAAACCTGAAGCGATACACAAGTGCTCTTCTCATAGTAGACTCGACCAGGATCTGTCGTATGTGAAAGATCCGTTGAAGATGATGAGCTCTTCACTCCAGCTTCTCTGCCCTTTTTTGGTCCACAATTTCGATTCGCATTTTTGTTCTCAACCTTTTTTTTTATTGCTTGAAATTGAAATTGAACCTTTTTCTGCTGACAGCTGCAAGAGTCATGTCATATGACGTGATCTAACATGGAATTTTTCCAAGCAGCAAACCCTGAACCCTCTTTTTACGCTATCTGCAGCTCCCTATGGAAACGCACAAGCCCCTCATCTTCTCTCAACGCTTGACTGCAACCATTGCTTGGCAGCATCCACTCTTCCTACTTGATGTCCCTCGCTGTCATCGAGCGGCTTCTCTCCTACTTTCTGGACGACAAACAGACTGCGAGGCAACACCGCGGGCCTTGAGGACCAGACTTAGAAGCGAATAGCATCCAACCCCGTCAATACGACAACTCAAAGACGATCAATACGGTCTGCAGATTCACCACCGGCCATTACTTGCTGTCAATCATTGGCAAGATGAGGCTCGACCTCGAGATCACCGCTCTCAACCTACTCTGCACATCCTTCGGTCTCTTCTTTATCGCGTACGGCACCTTCTCCTATCTCATTAAGGAGAGGCTCTTTCTCGGCGAAGCACCTCTTGCTGTCGTCATTGGCATCGGACTTGGTCCCTACGGGCTCGGAGGCATCTTCAATTGGGCATCAAAAGAGACCGACATCGATGAGGTATCTCTAGGATTATGTAGGGTGGTTATTGGCATCCAGCTCACGCTGGTGGGTGTGCAGCTTCCGTACAAGTATCCATGGATCGAGATCCGCAGCTTGGCCGTGCTGCTTCTGCCAATTATGACTGTCATGTGGCTCTCGACTACGCTTTGCATCTGGCTTGTCATACCCTCCTTGCCGGTGCTAGCTGGACTTGTTATTGCGACATCAGCCACACCTACTGATCCAGTGCTGTCAAATGCCATCGTCAAAGGTGCATTTGCAGATCAGTACGTCTCTCCTCGCATCCGCAACCTCATCTCGGGGGAGAGTGGCGCCAACGACGGGTTCGGTTACCCATTCCTCTTCCTTGCCGTCCATCTTCTCAAGCTAGAGACAACCACTGAAGCCCTTACAGCCTGGCTCCTCGAAACGTGCCTCTATACTGTCGGAGGTGCCGTCATCTACGGTATCGTTGTCGGCTACCTTTGCCGCAAGTTCATCGAGTTCTCAACTGATCACAATTTCATCGACAAGGAAAGCTTCTTATTGTACGGTGCAGCCATGGGAGTCTTCATCATCGGATCAGGTGGAGTCATGCAGATTGATGACCTACTAGCAGCTTTTGTCGCCGGCAATGCGCTGTCATGGACCGACTTCTATCGCGAGCAATGCGAGGAGTCTGAGGTCGATAACTGTCTTGACTTGCTCCTCAACCTCGTCTTCTTCAGCTTCCTCGGCGCCACCATTCCATGGGACTCGTTCAATGATCCCGAGAACGGCGTCACACCAGGCAAGCTTGCGCTGATGTGCATTCTCGTTCTGCTCTTCCGTCGGCTGCCAGCGATGTTGGCATTCTACCGCTTCGTACCAACGCTGCACGACGTTTCAGAGGCTTGCTTCATCGGTTACTTTGCCCCGATTGGTGCCGGTGCGCTGTTCTACCTTGGCGTCATCTTGGACGAGTTTAAGCCAGACGACCCTTCACCGGTCGCAAAACGCATTCGAGTACTAGCCAAGCCGGTCACCTACGCACTCATCCTTTCATCCATCATCGGTCACTCGCTCGCCATTCCACTCGTCAAGGCCGCGTTCGAGTATTTCAACGTCAAATCCATCAAGCTCGACGGCGAGTCGGACATCAGCGCTGACGAGGACAACAAGCAGCAAGACCAAGATGACGATGACCAAGAAGAGGAAGGCGGAGCAGCCGGAGAGGAAAATGACATTCTTCGAGCACGCGGTTACGCTCGACCCATTCGAAACCGTCGCGAGGAGATGTCGGTTGAAGACGAGTACGAGCATGGCGAGCACCGCGATCGAGACAGACGCTACTCTCAACAGTCTACTGACTCGCGACGCAGTTCGCGTGCTGCTGACAGCAGCGAGCATTCCGAATCGTACCACCACTCGACGATTCATCGTCCCGAGAACAAGCAGCGTCGTGCTAGCCATAGAGAAGATCCGGAATCCGGTGGTGCTTATCACCGTGATGGATCTTGGGATAAGCGTGCATCATGGCGCGTGTCGAGCGGCCACAAACTGGGCCCACACCATCGACTTAGGAGGAACGAACAGACAGGTCAGCTCGAGCTCGACCCAAGAATGTACACAGTCGAGCATGGGGCACCCGTCCACGGGCATGCGAGAAGAAGAGGTAGACGCGACGGAAGAAGTACGAGTCGAGGTCAGCGTAGGACAAGCACTGCTGAAGAGGACCAGCAGAATCTGTTGGAGCAAGGTCGAAGCAACGCGAATGGTCAGGGTGGATCGTATGGCAGCATCAGCCATCATTGATGGAAAGAATGCTTTGTAGACATTTGAAGCATCGCTCATCCTAGTCGTTTCACGTCACACCAGTCGCATTCCTCTTGTGAGTCAAAGTCTGCTGAGTTTTCTTTCTTCCTGCGGCTACAAAGGGAGCAAATGACAGCCGAGCAGTCCTCTTCCACCCCAGCCTGCCCTAGGAATCAACGTCAAGACGACAGTATCCGCTACACCTTCTCTCTGCACCAGCAGCTCTATTCCTGCGCCGTCTACAACCACTCCTGGTGCAGCCAATGCAGCCAATGCACCCAAGCCCTCCGGGTCCTCCGCCGTCACCCGACCGAACTTAAGGATCTGATCGCCTGCTTCCAATCCTGCTGTCTGAGCCGGACTATTGTCTGCTACGCTGTTTACGATGGCAAACGCTCTGAGCTCTTGCTGTGATCCTGTTGTGCCCCTTGTTGAAGCCGTTGCGGCCACTGATGATGATGGTGGAAGAGCATCACCGTTGATCGCCAGCTCTAGGAGCTTGGAGATACGGTCGCGCAGCGCTTTCGAGTCGTTACGGAGCACGTTGATGCGTTGCCTCGCAGATCGGATTGCCATCAGGTCTTTGTTGCCAAGCGGAAAGCCGTGCGGATCTATCAGAGGTGTTGCCATATTGACGCCATTGTATGTGAGAACCGCCATGTGCCGCGAAATGTCGGCGTCGAGTTGCTTTTGAAGTTCGAGTAGCGACATTGCTTCCGTTCGTGCAGGCGCTGGCTCCGTTGGCAGCGGTTGTGACAGTACGGAGCTGACATCGACGTCGTCAACCCCTGACGAGGTATTGTGAATGTCAACGTTGAGATCTCTTGACATTGTTGCTGTTCGTGCGTGCAGAGGCGAAGAGGAATGCGGGAATAAGGTGGAGAAGTGGTTGCAAGAAAAAAGCTGAGTTGGAGGCGTTATGGATCGTTGGACCCTGAGCTCCACCTTTAGAAGGAAAATTCGGGTCCCGGCACTCGGAAGTCGGGTTCTCTGCAAAATGGTCAGTCCGGATGACAATTCTGACGGGGATCGACAATTCGCACAAACAGTTCCGAGAAGGTTACACCAGCTTCATATCACCGGCCCGGTTCTTGGTACAGCAAAGCGTTACGCTGCTGCTTACCCGACGGAACGTTTTCGTTGTTTCATGCCGAAGCCTCCACTCCATTGGACACTCATTCACGAAGCCTCTGCTATGGTGGGTTTGATAGCATAGCCACGCCCTTGTCCTCCTCATTGACATGGTACAAAAGTAGAGCCGTTCTCCATCCCTCCTCTCCACCATCTTACCTCCCCGAACATAGACTTGGAAGCGTCACGGTGACCATCGGAAGGATTTCGAATACGATGTCAGGATTTCTATCTTCCACAGCGACGCTGCTGGGACGTACGATCCTCTCGCCAGTCGCACCACACTCTCTGTTCGCAGTCAACGTCGAATACTACAAACCGCCTACAACCGCTGCTGCCTCATCCACCGAGAACTCACCTAGCATCGAGACCCTTCTCGCCGCAACAGAAACACTCAACCCTGCCAAGAACCCTAGCTTCAAGCCTACGCCTTGGCTGTCCACGGGTCACCTCCAGACAATCTACTCCGCTGTCGGAAACTTCAGTCACATCGATGCGGTTGAATACAAGCGTCGCGTCTTCGTCACTCCCGACGGCGGCACTGTCGGTCTCGACATCTCTCCTCCGTCCCTGGCGGATAGCGAAGAGCAGCTCAAAGCGCAGCAACACCCAGCAGCCGATGGACTTCCCACAGTGGTCTGTTTGCACGGCTTGACAGGTGGCTCGCACGAAAGCTATGTCCGCAACTGCTTCTCGCACCTCACCAAGTCTGCAGACCAAGGTGGGCTAGGCTACCGCGGAATTGTAGTCAACTTCCGTGGCTGTGCCAATGTGCCCGTCACCTCACCGCAGCTCTACTCTGCACTGAAGATCGCCGATATTCGCTCAGCCCTACTTCTCATCACCAAGCTCTACCCCAACTCACCACTTGTCGGGATCGGCTTTTCTCTCGGTGCCAACGTTCTCGGTCGCTACTTAGCCGAGGAAGGAAACTCTACCCCTCTCCTCGGTGGGATCATCGTCGGCACACCATTCGATCTCAAAGCTGGCGCCGACGAGCTTGACTATGGCGGCTTCCTCTCTCAGAAGTACTCCATTGCTATGGGCCACAACCTTCAACGAATGGCTCGCAAACACAAGGACACCCTTGCACTCCACCCTCCCTTCCGTGCTCCCCTCGACGACGTTTACGATCCTGCACCGCAGTTTAAAACTGAACTCGAGCTTTACAAGCAACAGGTAAAGAACCATGGACCTGCACCTGGCGAGAGAGCAGTCATCAAGAACGGCACTCTCAAGGCAGCGGACCAATCCATGACGCGTTTCGTTGGTGGTCTGCCGAAACCATACGGAGAGTTCCCATTCGACAGTGCGGAGGACTACTACAACTACGGAGGATGTGCCAAGGTGATTGGTAAGGTGGAGCGGCCGATGTTGTGTTTATCGGCGGAGGACGATCCCATCGTGCCGAGTAAGATCTGGGAGAAGATCCGTGCTGCTATTGGTCGAGAGGCTGATGGAACACCAGTGGAGGAAGCAAAGGAGGGAGAGTACAACGAGAACGTCGTGCTGGCTTGGACGAAGGGTGGAGGCCATTTGGGTTGGTTTGAAGGACTTAGGCCGCGAAGATGGCTGTACAGGCCAACGTCAGAGTTCATCAAAGCCTTGTTCGAGAAAACGACCGACGAGCAGAAGGCAAGAATCAAAGCAAAGAGCAGGTGGGCATTAGAAAAGGTAGAGATGACGGAAGTAGAGATCGAGTTGATTCCCAAGGAAGCGCTGCCGGTTTACATACTGCCTGGCGAAGGTGGCAGGTCGTCTCGCTGGTCTGACTTGCCATCCTCCCCATCTCCCGAGCAGGATGGAAAGAGCGCTCCTAGTGGCGCGGACTCGCCGGGTCGCGTCACAGACTTGGATCGAGACCTCCAGAGCAACAAAGCTGGCGCAGAGGACAGTTTGCTCAATCCCTCCGATACCGGCTTCTCCGCCAACTCGCCCCCTTCCGCCACATCTGAGATCAACAATGCCACGACTGGACACTCCACCCTCCGAATGCCATGGTTACTAACCCACGTTCTTAAGGAAGCACCTCTCGTCCACCCTCGCCAAGCCTCTTACGCTCCTTACCACGAGCCTTGCTCCTCTGCCACTCTCGAAGAGCGCAAAAGGCTCGGATGGGAGAAGGTCAAGCTCACAATGTACACGGATGTGGATCACCCCGAAGTGGGATTTTGCGAGCTTTCACCCGACTCAAGGGTCGCTGGTGTTGGCGAGACTTTCAAAGGAGGAGTCGAGACACCGGGTGGAAAGAGGGAGCCGAAAGAAGCATCTGCGCAGGGAAGTAAGAATGTCATCGCTGGTCTCTAGAGCCTCTTAGTATAAAAAAGGAATAGATCATAGATGCGATGTATGAGTGTGATGGCGTGTGGGTATCATTGGGTATATTGTCGAGCAGATTGAAAATGATGAGCTAGCGGAGAGGTCTCTCACATCGTGTTTCGTCGTGTACATCCCTGCACTTTCGCGAGCAGTATCTGTGTCCACATCGTATGCATGAGAGATCACCGTGAAAACCGCAAATACTGCAATACTTTCTCCCTGGCTTTTCTGATAATCCTGATCTCGCAGTCCTCCAATTCGGCTTACCGCCTCGTAATGGAAGCCTTGCCTGATCCACCAACTCCTCTACCATCGAATGCAGGTTCCGTCTGCCACTGACCAAGATACGCCTCAATTCGGCTTGGTTTCGCCTTCGTTGCGCCAGACTGACACCTGCTGCTCCTGTTGCTGCGCTGTCTGTCTCTGCTGAAAATGCCGCTGCTGTTTCATTGGCATTGGACGTTGCGGGATCGGAGGTGGAAGTGGTGACGGCAGAGGCGGTAGGAGCGTCGCGGTAGTTGATCCGTTCGAGTTCGTCCAAGCGACGTCGAGCTCGTCTCCTTCGGGCATCGAGCTCCTTTGCTTGTCGCTCACGCTCCTGTTCTTCGTTGAGAAGTTTGTTCTGTTGTCCAGTGATGGTTTGGGGTCGATTGGTGATGGGCCGTGATGTGACGGAGCGTCGTTTGCGGAGTGATACTGATGCTGGCATTGTGTTGTGATCGGGCCGCGTGCCAGCGCCGAGATAAGCCGAGCAAACGAGGGGAGACAAAGGCAGCCGAGGATGTCTTGGAGCGAAAAAATAAGCAGTGATCTCGGACTTGTGAGCGACACAGTGCGAAACAAGATGAACGTCCGCTCAAAGACGGAGGAGAAGGTGTGGAAGATAGGTGAGAATGCGTTCAGGGTTCAGAAGAAAGCTTAAGATTGAATTCCGGCTTCCGAAATACTCGTGACGTGTCAGTGCTGAAAATAACAATCCAGCGGAGAGCAAAAGCGACGAAGAATCAGGCCAGATCAATCTAGAGTATGATCAGGAAAGGAGATCTGATCATGAATCAAATGGGGCCGATACAACAAGAGATTGGATACAACACAGTCCCACTTGTTGTCAGGCTAGGTCATGAAACAGCATACTCCCACAATAGGTATCAGCCTCATGAATGTATATACAGCTTGTGTGTAAACTGTCCCACAAATTTACATGTCACCATACATCACTCTAATGCTCAATAGCCATAAGTTGTATTGCCACACTGTCTGATATTGTCTGAAAGCCCAGCTTCTTCTCTCCAAGACTGTGTAAATGATATTGACATTGACTGAGAAAATTGTGCTATGAAGAAGAGCTGAGAATTTTTTTTATTGTGGGACAGTTTATGGAGCATGCTCCCAAATAGCAACACCACTCCATTCTGGACCTTGTGGGCTTTTGACTACAATGAAACTTGCAATGTAACCTGGTGGGCACCTTCATACACATCAAAAGTAGTGATGTGGAAAGTTTCAGCTCAATCAGATGACTGTGAGTGATCTGGTGGTGCTTCCAGTCTGACACCATCATATCTATACCATCATGCCAAAAACCACCCCAGAGAAATGCCAATTGGCAATCTTTCACCTCCAAAATGGGGAATCTACCTGTTCAGTTGCCAAGCAACTTGGTTTGAGCAAGTCTACTGTGAATCACATCAGCAAAAGTGCCTCCACTGAAGTTCCAAAGTCAAAGGGGGGCCAGCCAAGAAAACTCCAGCCTTGTCATGTTTGCTTCCTGGACCACTATTTCAAGCTCAATTCCACCTCCACAGTCAGGAAAGCATGTCATGCACTGCAGGAGACGTTTCAAGTCAAAGCATGCCCAATCACAGTAAGAAAAGCACTGTCATGGGTCTGGCTGTGCAGGAAGCAGGAAGATCCATCAACTCATATGAAGGGAGCGCAGGAATCGAGGAATCAGGCAGATCATAGGACTTGCAGAAGAGTTTGCCAAGATCTGCATAAGAAGCAGCTCTATGGCAGATCTCACACAAATCAGCATGAGAGAAGATGGTATCACAAATCCTGCCAGGATCAGTAGCAAACAAGACTGTATGGCATATTCTGTGGAGATTAAGTGGCAAGGGTGATCATATGACAGAACCAGTAGGGACTAGTGACATGGACCTTTGAGGTTGCCACTGGATGAGGTAGGGACCCTGCATGATGATGAAGTCAGTGCATGGGATGGGTGCCAACATCAGGAGGTGGATGGGAGAGGGGGCAAGCATTGTCATTGGGATGAAGTGGGGCGACCCCTATCAATGATGAGGTGACATGGCTCTCCTCGATCCAGGAGCAGGAGAAGCAGGGGCCGGCCAGGAGGGGACGCCTCCGTAGAGACCTCTACCACGGTGCTCGACAAGAAGGTACTTGTCACAGGGTCAGCGGGTCAGCATATGAAGGGTGCGCCAAATTGATTGGCAGCAATCATGGTAATGTCACAGGGTCAGCAGATCAGCATATGAAGGGTGTGCCAAATTGATCAGTGGCAAATCATCAGGAATCGATGAAGCTAATTGGGTTGATAGTGTCATGGGCCTGGATGCTCAAGAAGCAGGAGGGTCACGGGTTCATATGGAAGGAGCACAGGTATCGAAGATCTAGTCGAGATCAGTAGAGAGCATAGTGCAGTCTCCATGGAGACCATGGACTCCTATGGACTCACATGCAAAGGAGGGCCAAGCACAGCCACGAGGAGGACCAAGCTCAAGGAGCAGGCACAGCCACGAAGAGGACCAAGCTCAAGGAGCATGCAGATGGTTACCACTCAGGGGCTCGAGAGACAAGAGCCAAAGGAACTGTCACTGATCAAAGGAGGAGGAGCAGTGTTGAAGGAGTCGACACCAGGTCATGAGGAGGAGGAGCAGTGTCGAAGGGTTGACATCAGGTCATGAGGAGGAGGAGCAGTGTCGAAGGAGTCGACGCAGCTCAAGAGGCACAGGGGTGCCAAGCAGGAGAGGCCCCTGAGCAGTACTCGATGAAGAAGGTACTCTCTGGAGAGAGAGCAGGAGCAGCATCGCTGGCGATGCTGAGAAGAGGTATATAACCATGCTTTCTCATCATCAATAGGTCGAGTGGATCCTCATCCACTCTACTCACCATACAACTAGTCAATACTTTAGAAACACAAGTACTCATTAGTTACAGTCAGCATAGCAGCAATCTATCAAGGTTGCTCCTCATTGTAGTGTGTGTGTTGTATCACCACTACCTGATGTCCGAAGGCGCCCATAGCAGGTTAGCGGTCCGGATATAGATAGAACCGAAGGCAGTAGTCCACTGCGGTCCGGGGATCACTTCAAGCATCAAGTCAACACACTGGACACTTGTGTTGACGCCACCAACCTTATCACCAACACCATCAACCTCATTATCATCGACATCACCAATCTCATCACCAACACCATCAACCTCATTATCATCGACATCACCAATCTCATCACCAACACCATCAACCTCATCATCATCAACACTCACACCAGACCTTGGTGTCATCATAACATTGATATTGATCGTGCTGAGCTACCCCTGAATGGAGTGTCCACAGAGGTCAGCCGAAACCTACGATAGTATATACAATGAATGCCACCTGCTGTCACTGCACAATTTGATAGTCACCGAGTATCTCGACAGACCGACCTGGGTTTCAGGCACGAGACCCCTGACATTAGAGTGGATCATTCAAGCAGCTCCTCACGATCACCATGACGGACCCAGACCTCAACAATAAGCTCGATAGACTACTCACTCTATTGGAAGCACAGCTAGAGCTTACCAGACAGGGTCATCGAGAGGAACGATTACAACGAGCTCAACTGAGCAGGGAGGAGACAATGGACCTCTCTCACTCAGAAGACCAAGCAGGAGGAGGAGATGAGTCTATGATAGGAGACCCACATACTCCTACTCCAGCACCACGACCAAGACGATCAGTCTCATTCAACCTGGATGAGCAGGAGGACATCAACTACGAGAAGTATGCTTCACCTACTGGGCCAAGATATGTCAAGACTAAGCTGGACCCCTACAGCAGGACTAGGACGGACCCTTACCCCCTGGACCACGAGGAGGACACCAGCATCATGGCAGAGCTTAACCGGTCAAAGCCCATCGCCACCCCCTTTCCAAAGTTCAATCCCCGAGACATGGAGATCTTCATTCTAGAAGCTGAAGCATGGTTTAAGTTCAACCAGGTGTATGAGCAGTCTAGGATGATCAATCACATGGGTGCTCAACTGGAAGGGACAGCAAGAGAGTGGTGGACCTCCAAGCTCCGTATTGATAGAGCTAGAGAAGGAAGGTTGTTCAATGATTGGCACTACTTCACAGAGCGACTGTCAGAACAGTTCAACCCACGCAATGCTAGGATGGAGGCATACAACAAGCTGTTGGCTCTCAGACTCACAAGTGATGCTCCTGGTGCCGCCACACGTCATGTAGAGCGGTTCAGAGACTTGGAGGGACAGGTCAACCTAGATGACAACGAGCTAGTAATTGATCTCTTCAGAGGAAGTCTCACCTGCAGCATACAGGAGAAGTTCGAGAGGAATCCACCTGGGAAGAGATGGGAGTGGTACCGAGAGGTTGAGGAGATCGATCGACAGAGGATGCTACTACAGCAGTCCTCGGCTAGACACTCACTCCCAAACGCCACGTCACCTCCACTAAGAACTGGGTCTCGGCCAATTCAAAGTTCAATCCCCATATGTCAACCCACTCAACCTTATCCAGCTCGATCACCAGCACAAGCAACTACACAAGCAACTACACAAAACCTAAACAGACCAATTAACTGACCCCTTCCTCATCAACCCACCCAACCCTCGAAGCAAGGAAGCCCTGCTCCATCAGGTATCAACACCTGTCATGTATGCAAAGGTATCGGCCATTGGGCCAGAGACTGCCCCAGCAGGGTAAACCCTCTTAGCTCTCGACCCATGGGACCAAAGGTTATGGTCACCACAGCAGACCCCTTCGAGGAGGCCACCGACTCAGGAGATGGCCCCACAGGCAGCACTGAGACGGGTGACCCCGAGGCCATGGACCTCAGCTCATACCAGCAACCCATGGACCTCGATCACGAGGAGGAGCACGATGATGATGATGACGAGGGAAACGTCAGTGGGGTGATGCACTGATGGCATGCATTGCTCTACAAACCTCCTCGCCATCACTCTGTATATATCAAGATTGTCAAGTATGTTTCTCTACCAGTGGAGGCAAAGCAGTACTGGAGCTCTCTGGAATGGTTCAAGACCATCCTGCTCGGATACTAGCTGATACCGGTGCTGGTTTGTCCATAGTCTCAGATTCTTTCATTAGTAAGTACCAAATACCCACAAAACCCATAAAAACAAGATCGATCCATGGTGTCACTGGGCACCAACTCTCCATCAATAGTTCTGCGAGCATGCAGGTATCTATTGGTACACACAATCTGGGTGTGGTCGAAGCTTCAGTGGCCGACACTGCAGACTATGACCTCATCCTGGGGTTCACTGAGCTACGGAGGCTCAAACCCACCATACAATGGGATACGGGCCAGCTGGAGTTCAAGACTCAGGAGCAGGACCGACCCCCTAGGAGACCCCCTGAAGCAGCAAGAGCAGGGGACCTAACCATGAGGAGACCAACCCTTCATGGTAACGAGTTTGTCTCAGCAGAGCGCATACTACGAGCAGCTCTGGAAGATGGACCCATAGGGTTCATGCTGTTAGAGGAGCCACCATCATCACTCCCAGCCTTTGGTTTTGTACCTACAGGCGCAGACAAAGGAGTCGAGATGGAGGTGGAGGTAGATAAGGTGGTGACGGCTGCAGACATACCAAAGCCATACCAACACCTGCGAGATGTGTTTGATGAGGTGGAAGCAGACAAGCTGCCCCATCATACCGAGCATGATCTCCACCTCGAGTTGATAGAAGGAGGGAAGCCACCTCAAGGGCCCCTATACCTTAAGGGACCCAAGGAGATGTCCGAGTTGAGGAGGTACTTGGATGAGAACCTCGAGAAGGGGTTCATAAGACCATCGAAGAGCCCGGCACGATCACCGGTGCTCTTCGTACCAAAGAAGGATGGAGGTCTCAGACTCTGTGTGGACTACAGAGGTCTCAACGAGATCACTGTCAAGAACAGGGCACCATTGCCCCTCATCGAGGAGCAGCTGTTCTTACTCAGGAAGGCAAGGATCTATACCAAGCTAGACCTTAGAGCAGCATACAACCTCATCCGGATTGCTAAAGGAGATGAATGGAAGACAGCTTTTGGCACTCAGTTGGGACTCTATGAGTACCTAGTGATGCCCTTTGGCCTAGCCAATGCTCCGGCTCACTTCCAGTCATTCATCAATGACATCTTCCGAGACATCATTGGGATATATGTGGTAGTATACCTAGATGACTTCCTGATCTTCAGTGACACTGAAGAAGCACATGTGAAGCATGTCACTGAGGTCCTCACTCACTTAAGGAGCAACAGGCTCTTTGCTAAGCTGTCAAAGTGTGAGTTCCACACCAAGACAGTTGAGTTCCTGGGGTACATCATCAAGCCAATGGGCATAGAGATGGACCCAGAAAAGGTGCGCACTGTCAAGGAGTGGCCAATGCCGGAGTCAATCCATGACATCCAGAGGTTCCTGGGTTTTGCCAACTTCTATCGAAGGTTCATAGCCCACTTTGCTCGCATAGCCAAGCCCTTGACAGCACTGGTAAAGCCTATAGAACGGTTCAAGAAGTTTGAGCTACCAGAGGAGGCCCAACAGGCCTTCCACAAGCTCATCCAGGCCTTCACATCAGCAGGAGTGCTTCAGCACTTCGACTACCACCTTCCAACAAGGTTGGAGACTGATGCAAGTGACTTTGCTATAGCAGGAGTACTCAAGCAGGAGCATGAAGGACGATGGCATCCAGTGGCCTTCTACTCTAGGAAGATGTCTTCTGCCGAGAAGAACTATGAGATCCATGATAAGGAGCTCCTAGCTGTGGTCGCCTGCCTCACTCAGTGGCAACACATGCTAGCTGGACTACCGAACCAACTGGTCATCCTCACTGACCATGAAGCCCTCAAGTACTTCAAGTCACAGAGACGCATCACAGGTCGACAAGCTCGATGGGCAATACTACTAGCAGACTTCGACTTCATATTGCAGTATCGACCAGGAGACAAAGGTGGTGAACCCGATGCTCTCACCAGAAGGACAGACATGCAACCAGCCGGTGAAGAGCAGGATCACAATGTGAGGCAACTACTGCCTCCTCGAGTGTTCAAGGAGACAGCAGACCATGACTCGCTCCTAGTGGCCCCCATGATCTCGATGGAGTCCATAGCATCAAAAGGTCTCAAAGACCTGGTCAAGATCTTCCAGCCTTTAGACCAAGAGCTACAGGAGATACATAGGAAGAAGCCTTTCGAACTCAAGGATGACCTATGGTACAGTGGAGGAAGGTTGGTTATCCCCAAGGTGATCATGCCAGGGAGGACCAACAACCGACACTCAAGGAGTGCCAAAGAGGTAGATGGACAGTCTCTCTCTGTAGAGCATCTGCGATTCATGGTGATGACCCAATGCCATGATGGTATCACTGCTGGACACGTAGGAAGAGATGCTACCATCAAGGCAGCTCAACGACATTACTGGTGGCCAAACATGACAGCTTGGATTGCAGACTATGTAGCAAGTTGTCCTGTATGTGCTAGGTACAAAGCTCCTCGTCATCGTCCATATGGTTTGCTACAGCCACTAGCAACCCCAGACAGGCCCTGGGGCTCCATATCCCTCGACTTCATTGAAGGACTACCACCATCAAAGAAGTATGACTCCAAGACCTATGACTCTATCCTAGTCATCGTCGACAGGTTAACCAAGTTTGCCATACTAGCTCCAACCCATAAGACAGTCACAGCCAAACAGACTGCAGTATTGCTATATGGACACATGGTTAGACTCTTCAGATATCCAGATCACATGGTCTCGGACCGAGGCAGGCAGTTCATATCAGGAGCATGGAAGGCATTTGCAGAGCAAATGGGTGTGAAGCACTCACTTAGCACGGCCTACCATCCTCAAACTGATGGTCAGACAGAGAGAGTCAATCAGGTCATAGAGCAATATCTCAGGATGTACTGCAACTATGAGCAGAATGACTGGGCCAACCTGCTGGACACTGCGGCCTTTGTATACAACAACACGGTCCACAACAGCATTGGTGTCTCACCATTCTTTGCATGCTATGGATGGAACCCCAAAGCTCATCCTGACATCCCTCAACGACTAGGAGTCAATGATCCAGGTCGCTTCGAGTACCTCATGGATGGAAAGGAGCGTTGCAAGTACCTCCAGGAGCAGATCAGAGAGGCACAACGTAGATCAGTAAACCAGTATAACAGGAAGCACAAGGACATCGAGTTTAAGGTGGGTGATATGGTCTATATCAACCGACGAAACTGGAAGACAAGGAGACCCACACCCAAGTTAGACACCCGGTTTGCAGGACCCTACCCAGTTCAGGAACGGGTAGGACGCCGAGCTTATCGAATCATATTGCCAGCAAACCTTAGGGTGCATGATGTGTTCCATGTCTCCATGCTCGAGCCAGCAAGAACAAGTTCTCTTCCTCAACGTGCTGAACAGCCCACCATACCATCACTTCCAGATGAGGACCTTGACTTCGAAGTCGAAGCACTCATCGACAAGCGTTCACACAATGGGACTACGGAGTACAAGGTGTTGTGGAGAGGGTACTCAGAGGAATCTGCTTCATGGGAACCAGTAGAGAACCTCAACGGTCCCGACCTCATCCAGGAGTATGAGGTGTCGGAGGGGGGACGAGTGAGTAGACAGAGTGGAGAGAGGAGGAGAGAACAGGAGGAGTAGAGAGAGGAAGAGGAAGGAGGATGACGTTGAGAGAAGGAGGAAGGATGATGTTGGCGATGTTGTCAAGGAGGAGGAGTCAGCATGGACCAGACCAGAGCATGCCTCGACGGAGCTCGGCTCTTAAGAGGGGGGTAGTGTCATGGGCCTGGATGCTCAAGAAGCAGGAGGGTCATGGGTTCATATGGAAGGAGCACAGGTATCGAAGACCTAGTCGACACCAGTAGAGAGCATGGTCGTAGTGCAGTCTCCATGGAGACCATGGACTCCTATGGACTCACATGCAAAGGAGGGCCAAGCACAGCCACGAGGAGGACCAAGCTCAAGGAGCAGGCACAGCCACGAGGAGGACCAAGCTCAAGGAGCAGGCACAGCCACGAGGAGGACCAAGCTCAAGGAGCAGGCACAGCCATGAAGAGGACCAAGCTCAAGGAGCATGCAGATGGTTACCACTCAGGGGCTCGAGAGACAAGAGCCAAAGGAACTGTCACTGATCAAAGGAGGAGGAGCAGTGTCGAAGGAGTCGACACCAGGTCATGAGGAGGAGGAGCAGTGTCGAAGGAGTCGACACAGCTCAAGAGGCACAGGGGTGCCAAGCAGGAGAGGCCCCTGAGCAGTACTCGATGAAGAAGGTACTCTCTGGAGAGAGAGCAGGAGCAGCATCGCTGGCGATGCTGAGAAGAGGTATATAACCATGCTTTCTCATCAATAGGTCGAGTGGATCCTCATCCACTCTACTCACCATACAACTAGTCAATACTTTAGAAACACAAGTACTCATTAGTTACAGTCAGCATAGCAGCAATCTATCAAGGTTGCTCCTCATCGTAGTGTGTGTGTTGTATCACCACTACCTGACGTCCGAAGGCGCCCATAGCAGGTTAGCGGTCCGGATATAGATAGAACCGAAGGCAGTAGCCCACTGCGGTCCGGGGATCACTTCAAAGCATCAAGTCAACACACTGGACACTCGTGTTGACGCCACCAACCTTATCACCAACACCATCAACCTCATTATCATTGACATCACCAATCTTATCATCAACACCATCAACCTCATTATCATCGACATCACCAATCTCATCACCAACACCATCAACCTCATCATCATCAACACCCACACCAGACCTTGGTGTCATCATAACATTGATATTGATCGTGCCGAGCTACCCCTGAACGGAGTGTCCACAGAGGTCAGCCGAAACCTACGATAGTATATACAACGAACGCCACCTGCTGTCACTGCACAACTTGATAGTCACCGATACCGAGACAATAGCTGTCACACAGTTTAATAGTCACCGAGTATCTCGACAGACCGACCTGGGTTTCAGGCGCGAGACCCCTGACACTGGGTACAATGAATTCAGACCAATACATTGATATCTTGAATGACAATCTTGTGAAAACAATCTCAGATTTGTGGCTTCAGCATGCATACACTGACATCACTTTTCAGCAAGACAATGACCCAAAACACACATCAAAGAAGACAACAATGTGGTTGGAAAGCAATAGCATTAAGGTTATGCAATGGCCAGTGCAGTCACTGGACTTAAACCCAATTGAACACCTCTGGCACCATCTCAAAATGTGACTTTCATGGTATAGTACAATTGCAAAGTCCAGGGATGAACTGCTCAAGAGATGCAAAGCTGAATGGACAGTGATCACTCCAGAGACATGTAGGACCCTAATAGAGAGTATGCCAGACTGCATCAAGGCAGTTCTGAAGGCCAAAGGAGGGAATACAAAGTACTAAGGTGTTGTTGAGGAGCACTCCATAAACTGTCCCACAATAAAAAAAATTCTCAGCTCTTCTTCATAGCACAATTTTCTCAGTCAATGTCAATATCATTTACACAGTCTTGGAGAGAAGAAGCTGGGCTTTCAGACAATATCAGACAGTGTGGTGATACAACTTATGGCTATAGAGCATTAGAGTGATGTATGGTGACATGTAAATTCATGGGACAATTTATGCATGAGCTGTATATCTCACAGAGAGCACTAGGCTCTCGCCACATTTATCTAGTCAATTTAGTATATGTTTCTGCCTTAAAAGAGTAGTGACATCGTACTTAGACTATCCCCGATCGCTAGTATCGGGACCCAAACGACGTCAAACTTTCAACAGTCAGGTGCTTCGCGCTCACATCGATGTCGGTACCATGAAGCAGCACCGCCTCCTGTCCCCTACCCTGTGTGGTCGTGGATAGGTCCATTCCTTCAACGGGAGGAGCTAAAACGGAAAACCCGTCTAAGCAACAAGATGCTGTCAATTGGGCACCATGCAACCCTGCTCCACAGCGCGGACTAAGGCCGCACAATGCATTCAAGGTTCAGGGTACATGAAAGGGCTGAACAGCCTCAGTACCACAGCTTGAACATTAGACGTGATCATTCAAGCCCTGCCCAGCCTACTCGTGTGTGCCATTGAAGGCTTCTGTAGGGATATCTTTTCTCCAGAATTGCATGCAGCTCACTCAACGGATCTATCAACCACTTCTGCGGCGTAGTATATGTGTTGAACCGTAGATATTTCCGTTTTCGAAACAGTGCTCACGGGTCCTAGAGTATCAATAGGAGCCCACATTCGCACCATTTCATACAACAGGCATGGCGACGAATAGCCTCGTCTACGAGCCAACAACGGCTTTCTCCATGGCGCAAGGTGAGGCTCGATACAGTATTGTTCAAACATGTTCTGAAATGGAAGACTGCGTCACCAAACATCTACCACTGCGCCCAATCCCTGTGAAGCTTCACGTTGGCACCGAGGGCTCCTCTACGTGGCCCCTGTCCTCTGCGGACAGAACTCGGCTGTGTTGTCAATCAGAAGCGCCGTCTCTCGCTTGATAGATGAGATTAATACAGCGAAAAAGATCATCTGCAGCTGCTCGAACGAATGACATTAAATCTAGCTAGGTTTATAAGTGCTCGGACGAGGCGGTATGGGCGACTGACTTGCATTATATCCTCCTACCGCAGGAGAGCCAATCGCCGGTACTGCTGTATCACTGCTTCCTCTTCTCGTTGCCAGTACCTCAGGATGAGCCGGCGGCGGTGGTGGCAAACCGCTCGTTCCTGCATCACTTTGTACGTTCCTAAATTGTTCCCTCATATGTTGCAATTGCTCTCCAACACCTTTTCCACCTTTCACAACCACAAGTGAACAAGATATCGCCAGCCCTTGTTCAACCAGGAACATCGTGTTTGTACCACCCATACTAGCTTCAGAGCTGTTCACAGGGTCTGAAAGCACAGTGAGAGTAGCAGTGTCCTCAATAGAATTCGTGCCTGATTGCCAGTCGTTTGTGTTGATTGGAGCGTGATTCGTGATTTGAACTTCTTGCTCAGCATCGCTGCAACTGCTTTCGGTTTCTGTAGAATGCAGCTGTAGGGATGCAACGCTTTGTTCAAGCGATGTAAGCTCGGCTCTACTCGTCACTGATTGCGGTCCCATGGTCGAAGTTGCACTAGCGACCAGCCTTACAATCCCTCCACTTTCACTCCTCAGCATCTCCTGCTGCCTTTTCCTCACAACCTCGTTGCGTTCTCGCTTTAGTTCTTCCTTGATCTGTTTTCTCTCCTCCTTCTCTCTCTTCTTCTGGTCCTTCTTCTCCTTATCTTCAGCCTTCTTCCTCTCTCTTTCCTCCTTGAGACTCTTCGTCCAGCCACTGAGGGCTTTAGTTGTGGAACTCTGCGCAGTCTTTGCACCTGACAATGTCCTCTTCTGCAATGTAGGATCGGTGATCTTCTGAGCTACGCCCTTCTGCGAGTACTCTACTAATTCAACAGTCGCATCTTTTTGATCGTCTGACAGAAGTGGCCCGGCAAGAAGGGATAGAGCTATTTCGACAGTGGTGGGTAGAAAAGATGTCTCGGAGAGTGTCTTGCGAAGCCAAGCGTTTTTCTTGCCCAGCTCCTCCTGACTTTCGGCAGAGCGCATGGTTGTGCTGGAAGATGTGAGGTGGTCGGGATTCGGGGTGATAGCGCCCCTGATGAGCAGTCCGTGAATCTGACGATGAATCAAGGCATCGAAGAGACCTACTTCGGATAAATATCGGAGAGTAGCACGAACTTGTGAGAGAAGAAAATCTGACTGCGTTGGTGGAGGCTGGGCTGAGCGAGTTAGAGGTAATGGAGGAGGTGGAGAAGCTGAGACTCCTGGAACGGCGCTCATAGCTTCTTGCTTCGTATAGCGAGCTGTAGCAATGTCTGGTATGGCGTGTGGTTGGAAAGTTCCATCGTCTGCATAAGTTAGCGCATGCATAGGCGTTGCGCTCATCAGGAGTGGAGGTTTCCGAGCCAAGGTATATATCGTGTCAAGCGCCTGACAGCTTCGATCATTGGTACTCACCTCTTATCCTCAAATGTGTCAAGGTCTCAAGCAAAGACACATTCGCATCCTCTCCAATGTGTCAATTCGCATGCATTTCCGAAAAGTGTTAGTTATGAAGTTGCTCTAGAAGAAAGCCTGCTGCCTCTCAGTGCCAGCAGCGCCTACAACGCCGAACCAAGCCAACCCCGCTACGGCTCCTGCAACAATCGTCACAGCAGGCGGGCTCTTGAACCACTGAGTAGCAACAAAAGCGGAACTGGCCACAACACCCCAGAAAGGATCCGAAGTCAAGGGACCACTCTGACTTGTTGCTTCCACTACTGCTCCTCGCGCTGGTGTGTAGATGTAGCCCACTGTTGTCAACAGAAAAACAGATCCTAGTGTGTCAGTACTGGAACTCGTGTTTCTCACATTGAGTATGGGAAAGAGCACTTACCAAGGAACAGTTGCCACACAGCAGTATAGACAAGCCCTGTGGCTGAGGCATTCAGACCCCTCAATACTGACTTGGCCACCTCATGCTTCCTCCAAGTGTTGTAAATTGGCAGCAGGGAAAGCTTGAGCAAGATACCGGGCGAAAAGATGCCGAGCCAACCAATGAAGGCGCCAAGAGCTGGGTTGGAGGGAACTGAAAGAACGCCGAGATAGGCAGCAAAGTTGAAGTTGGGCCCAGGGAAAGCTTGCAAGATGGCAAAGCCGAGAAGAAAGTCTCTCGAGTCGACCCAGCCATTCTCGACTGTGTACCCGCGCAAAAGAGGGATGACGACAGGTCCACCACCAAAGATGATGACACCGGCGATCATCATGTTGGTGAAGAAGTCGAAGGCTCGAGGTAGGTTGTTGAGCTGAGAGCGTGTAAGAACGATAGCCACGACGAAAGTGAGAAAGAATGCACCAAGGCCAATAGCAAAGTATCGGTTAAGGACCATGATTGGGGTGCGACGATCAACAATGGCAGCATCGATACCTTCTGTGCTCTGATTGGTACCCGTTCTGGTGCGGTCGACTGTTTGCGCGTTTCTCTGTCGAAGACTGCCTTGTGCTAAACTGGACCCGACCTGGAATGGGAGCTCTTGGACAGAGGCAGGAGTCTGCGCTTTGTCGAGAGAGGCACGCTGAGCGGTGTTGACTTGTTCAAGTTCGATGTCCTGGGTCGATTGGTTTTGTGCACCATCGACTGCGTTGTTGCTCCTTGTTCTGGCTTCGCGAATGTTGAGCTTTGCCGAGAGGCCTGCAATGATGCCAAGTCGGAAATCGTACAGTAGTGTTGTAAAGCCACCACCGAAGACGAGGACGGGGTACATCCACGGGGCATGGTAGCAGATACCGAACGAAGCCGATCCAAGCACCAACAATCTCGAAACACCATCTGTGATCGACGACTTGCTCAGCTGGAAGGCAGCTAAAGCGACCAATCCCACTGCCGCAGCGTTCAGGCCGGTCAACAAGGCCAGCACAGTGGGTGGTAGCCTCTCTGGGAACTTGCGCACAACTGCACCTAATGCTGCCATCCCAGCAGCCCCGGGAATCGACCAGAAAAGGAAAGCAACCAGCCCAGCAAGTGTACCATTACGAGCAACTGCGATAGAGAAGGCAAGCTGCGTTGAACCTGGACCAGGAAGCGCGTTACCGAGAGAGAAGAGGTCGGCAAAGGTAGTTTCGTCCAACCAAGCAAGCTTTTCGACAAAGCGTTTGCGAAGGATGACGACGTGAACGCCAGGCCCGCCAAACGCTGTGAAGCCAAGATGCCAATAGTGTCGGATGGTGTCAGCAAGTCGAAAGCTAAGCTTTAATTTGCGACGGTCTTGGTATTCGTCCTCCAACAGAGGCGCCCCAGAGGTAGTAGGATTTGGTGCTGCAGAGATGCCAGGGGTCGATGAGCGCCGTTCAGATCCGGCTTCACGGAGATCGTTGGATGCGCGAGAACGCGATTGTGTAAGCACCTGTCTGGCTGACATGATGGTGTCCAAAACAGATCTAGATAGCCGGCTGTTGGCAAACAAGACGTGCGGCAAGTGTCGACTTGTGGATATGTGCCGAGCAGCTAAGGTTGATTTGATGCTAGAAGATATTTGCTCTTCTACGTCTGCTCTTTGGCGGGCACCTCGTGCAAGATAGCAGGGACAACAATGAAGCAAGAAGAAAGTCAACTTGATGTCGGACAGAGCAGAGTCCAAGCGGGAAGCAAGCATGACAATCGCACATGGACTTGCGCTTACACAAGTTGATATTAGATACACCACTTGAACGGGGCCACAGACAGACGCCCTTCAGACAGGTATATCTCTACAAAAGGTCTTAGTATTTCGAGGGAAGAGAGGCTACAGAACATGAGTATATATACCTTCACAGCTGCCTATACTCGACCTCCCTGCATACCTCATATCTTGGTGTCAATCCTCGAGAATAAGCTGCATGTGCTCCCACGAGCTTTGCCTTTATTTCATCTCCGTTGACACCCGCTTTTATCTCGGCCTCCCGGCCCCGAATACTACAATCTAACATGCTTGCCTCTGGAAATACCGACGTATGTTCAGTGAAATCACATGACTGCTTAGTAATGTTCTAACATTCCCGCAAACCTCGCTCAGCGTCGCCACCTGTCAACTCCCACCAACGCTCGTCGCCACCCACCAACAACCCCTATCTCACTCAACAACAGCACGCAGCCACACGTGTCATCTCATCTATTTACGTACACATAGACCGACGTAGAAGCATATATCATCTACGGTATCACTTTGTACTTAGCTCTCTAAAATACTAACGATTTAGGATTCGCCTCATTGCCCCTGGCCGTGCTTTCCTCAACATGTTCAACTACCTTCAAATTGCGCTGCCAGATGAGCTGTTAGACCGCCTTCCAGTTTCAGCTGTTAGACCTACGTCATTTTTGTCTTGAAGAAATCAGTATAGGGATGCCGATCGAATGACGTAAATGGCTGACTGCTTTTGCTCATTTGCCGACTCTGATCCTATTGTGCCACCCTGACAACCAAGCCTTCCACCATTCATGCTTGAGCAGCGAATATAGAACATGGTGATAGCAATGCATATGCTATTCAATTGTAGTTAGTCTATCGCTTGTTGGGAGATCGCCTATTTGCATTTGCAGGCATTCGCTCGTCGCCGAGCTATAGTAGAACACTGCAGGACGACAGTAATGATATCGATTTCTGATTTCTCCAGATTTCCTTCCCACATCCCACCTAACCCTCTTTTCCCCGCGCTTTTTCTGTCCCACCTTGGCCGCACTGTCCAACCATCTTTCTTCTTGGCTCTATGACGACAAAGTGTTGCCGGCAACTATTGCCGCCGCGGACTTTTCGACGTCGTCTGTACGTTTCGCTCGACCGCCTCTGCCGTACTGTACAGTATGTACTTTGTGGATAACTTAGCTAGAGACAAGACCCCTTGCTACGATACCCGAGCTTTGCTTTTTGTCACTGCCTCGACTCGCTCCACAATCACTCTATCGTCTTTGTCGTCTTTGTGGTCCTACATCCTGCTCAGGTTGTCACTCCTACTTCGCTCCAACTTCGTCTTGAACCATACCTTTCTTGCCATCACCAAACACAATGCCTATGTTCTACACCTAGACGGCTTCCCATTTCTGCATCTCACGTTGCAGCCATCCAGGCATCGTCAGCCTGGATCCTAGCTTAGCCTGAACACTGTCAAGATATCCAGCCTGCAGCCATGTCGATCGCATCCCAATCACAGCAGCAACAGCAACAGCAACAGCAACAGCCACGACCTATCCTGACCGATTCACCAACCAGGCAAGACCACTCTTTTGTCTCGGTCGTATCCACACCAGAAGCTTCTTCTCCAGTCGAGCTTGTCTCTGATTCTTCCGTTAGCCAAGCCATCCTCTCCGACGCCTCGAGTCAACCCAAGCCCAAGAGCATCCTCGAAAACGCTCACGGAGCTCTTCCACGCAAACCATTTCGGTCAGGCAGCGAATCAGGCTTTAAGGCTGCTCTCAAAGCTACTTTCTTACCTCCTCCAACACCAGGTCGCCAAATCAAGGTTAAAGATGGCAAGAAACTAGGCAAGACCTTCCAACGTACAGACCCTCTACCCGAAAGATTTCAAGGTGGACAGGTGCTCGAATATGATCCTCGAGGCAAGGATGCCACAGCAGGTGATGGCATCTTGCCATCAGGCTGCACCAAGCCTCCATCCTTCGATCGACGCGACAGCGCCAGCGGGTCAGGCTATGGAAGTGACAAGGAGAGCAGTGTCGGCACTCCAAGTGAAATGGGTGATGCGAGCCAGTTCTCTCGATCCTACACGTCAGAAGCTAGCTCTGCGCGGGGCCCGAGCATGAACGACCAGTCCGAGCGGGGACGGCCAACGTCGTCGGTCCCAAGTAGAGCCAGACAAGGCTCCGTGGCGTCAACAACATCAAGCAGCAGTAGTGCAGCGGCGATCAAGTTTGCTCCTCTCCCCATGTCAGGACGATTGAAACGTGCCAACTCGATTACCATCGGCGTTGCTGCTCGATCGCATCTTCTTCAGTCACAAGGTACCGCTGCCCCACCACGATCATCCTGCACACCACAGCACGTGCACGGTTCACAAGCATGGTACACCAACAATGCCGGCAACGTTCATCCTCGTCACGAAGGCGTCGTCGATGTGGGCCAAGAGATTAAGAAAGGCGCTACCAAGGCGTGGAAACTCCTTCGCGGCACTGGTGGAGTCAACGCAAGCGATCGCTCCAACAGCTCCAACAACAACACACCCGCGACTGAATCTGCTCCAGCTGTCAAGACAACGGCACAAGCTGCTTTGCTGGAGAAAGCTAAAAAGACATTCCCCAAGGAGGGTGCACCTGTGGCAGATCATGAAACAGGCCAACTCAAGATGGCCAACGGATCCTTACCTGTCAACACCACACCCAAGATCTCCCAGGGTCAAGTCTCGGACCAAGCCAAGGAAGCAGCTGTTCCGGCTGGCAGCGGAGATCAAACGCCACGCAGAGCAGCCAGCCCAACACAATATCTTCGCAGTATGTCCATTTCAGAGGAGCCAGAAGCGGAAGAAGCAGCAGCAGCAGCAATCGAAGCAGCACATGCAAAGAATGCTGCTAAAGCAGCTCACCTTTCCAACGGTCATCATCCACATGACCTTCAAGATGGGCCTCAGCACAATACCTACCATCTTTCTGATGATCATGACGCAGCACACCTTGACTCAGGGACGGTAACACCGAGAAGTGCGATGCAGAGAAGGTTGTCGACCGGTGCATTCTTGCGTGGCTTGTCGTTGCGAGGTATTCAAGAGGACAGGAGAAGAGATCTCTTGGGTTTGGATGCGGATGATGATGAACAGAAGAGACTGGATAGCGGCGAGAAGGGTCTAGGCGATGAGAGGAAGATGTCAGCTGAAGGTGGAAGACACGGCATTGCCGTCAGGACACCAGCAGGGACGGAAGAGGAGCTCGGCTTGGAAGGATATGGTCATTCGTAAGGTACACAAGCATGCGGACGATATGTTACGAGTTCTGCCTCTATATATTTACATGCGAAGCCAGTCGGCTCATTCTGATTCCAATCCTGTGAAGCGTACAATGGTGTGCTATGCGTCATCCGAGTCGTGGTCGTTTGAACAACGCCTTTGGATCGATTGTCAGATTTATGACCGGTGCAGTCCAAAGTGGATGCTCTTGCTGAAGTGGCGGTGGCGGTTGCTGCTGCTGTCGCTTCGACGGCGGTATTGGTGGCAGCTTGAATTCAAAGGTGACAAGATCTCTCCAATCGCCTTTTCTGGGGCCGTCGATCATCTTGACCACTTTACTCCTCGTCGAGACGCTCTGAAATTCGCACCGCTCCAACAGTTTCCGACAAGCCTCGTTCTCGGGGAAGCAGCTTGCCTGCACCGTCGAGTATCGCCAGTCTGTCTCGAGTGAAGCCAGCACTGCCTTGACCAGGAAGGTACCTACGCCTCTGCCCCTTTCCGTCTCCGCTACCATGACTTGCAGCTCTACCATCCGTCCTTGCCTGACATCTTCTTCCTCCGCCAGTCCCACATCAGAGACAGCCTCGTCTTCACTGTAGAATGGCTCCAGCTGCGGATAGGGGTAAAAGCAGGCAATCCATCCCATGGTCCTGTTATCTCTTGGATCAACTGCAATGAAGCGATGACGCTTGATCATCACTGCATCGAATTGCTTCCAAGTCGGAACGCGGCTTGTCGTGATGTCTGCATCGCCTGTGCTCAGTCCGCTAGCGTAGATTCGTGCCCATGTTGCCTTTCGCAGCTCTGTGAGAGCTAGCAGATTCGCTACCCTGGTGCTCTTTCGCTTGCTTTCGGCCGCCAACGGGGATCTAGGAGACGAGATTGAAAGGTTGGCTGAGTGTGATGCATTGCTGTTCGTGCCAACGAGTGGGATACCTGGAGACGAGTTGCTGGGAAGGACAAAGCTAGGCCAATCCTGGCCGTCGGCCTCGGCGTCGATCGAGAGCGAGGCTGGGTCTGTACTCATTCGAGAGTCTCTAGCAACGATCTTGCTATCCTTGATGGGCGCTATGACGAGCGATCCAGGTCAAGGTCATGCAAAATTGGGCCAAGTCCGGCTCCTGTCCTCATGACGTGGGGGAAAAGGACAAGAAAATCACACTTTCGCCGATTAGCTCTGTTCGACCTTCTCCGTTTTAGCCACGGCTTGTTGGTTGTCCTACGCAAAGTGTATACGGAAAGAACAAGCACAATGACGCCTGCCCAACCCTTGCCCAAGACGTACAACTCCACTCAGCTCGGCTAGCAAACTGAGTGATGTCGAAAGTGTCCATTTGCCTAGCTTCTCCTGGCTCGGTAGCTTCCTACAGCGTCCTTACCTTGCTAGTTGCGCTCCTCACAACCACCAACACCGCCAACTCTCATCCTATGAAACTTCAGCCGCATCAACAGTAAGCGCATAGACTTTGACTTTTCAAGTGTGCCACTATAGACCATCGCCAGGAAGCCCAAATCATAGACATACACCCTCAACCTAAACCAACGTCGGAAAGGATGCAGCCCAACGATCACTCTCCCGACCGCCTCACAAGGTCGCGCTCCCGAGGTCGTGCTGGCTTCGTTGGCTCCAACGCAGAACAACTACCGAGGCATAACAATCGATCCTCATCTCGCGCGAGCTTTCTCGGTAGGCCTCGACAACGCGTCTACCAGATCTACGAAGGTGAAAATGCGGCCGACAATGGTGGAACACACAGATGGAGAAGCGAGTCGAGAACAGTAAGGGGAAGCTTGGAGGAAGATGATGGTTTCATATTCACCGACGACGAGGAGGCCGAAGGTGATCGACGGGCGACTTCAAGTCGATCAAAGCGCGGTAGTGCAAGCAAGAAGCTGGCTTCGACAGCAGAAGAAGACTCGACCTCGCGATCCGAAGAAACTGCTACCACTCTGACTGGAAATTCCGGCGTAGCTGCTGCTGCTCCTATCGGTACCGAAAAGTTGCCCCACCAAACCAAAATCCCGACATCGAACAGTCAAGGAGTTCAAAACAAAGAGAAGGACGTCGAATCGCAACAGAAGCCGAAGTCAGTACCTCGTCTCTCTCGCCTTCCTTATCCCATCGCACATTTCCTAGGTTACCGGAAGGAGTCGACTGAGAACCGAGCGCTCTTTCGACCAGTGGAAAAGTTGCCACGCAAGATCGAAACTCTTGTCTGGGCTTGGATCGGTGCCATGCTAGGTCTCGGCTTCGTCATGATCACGTTCTCTCGATGGGATCAATTTGCCATGTCTTCAAATGACCCAGTCACGCCATGGACAACACCCATCATCATCGGCTCCTTCGGTGCATCCAGTGTCATCCTCTACGGCGCTCCAGCATCGCCCCTCGGTCAACCCAAAGCCTTCGTCGGCGGCCAATTCATTTGTGCCCTCACCTCCGTATGCATCACCAAACTCTTTCAACTCAATCGTCACTACAACCCAAATTTGATAGATGACTCACACAGTCTGGTTTGGGTTGCTGGAGGCATTGCTACAGGAACAGCACTGTGTCTCATGATCTTGACCGACACCGTACATCCACCTGGTGGAGCGACGGCACTGTTGGCTGCAACCAGTCCTCCGGTAGTCGAGTTGGGTTGGAGGTATCTGCCGGTAGTGCTGCTCTCCAGTGTCATCATGGAAGTGTGGGCGCTGCTATGGATGAACTTGGGCAGGGCAAAATATCCTCATTATTGGTTGTGGCCGGCAGGGCATCCGAATGATCAGAGAAACTTCAGGGTCAAGTTTGCAGGTTTCGCAAAGAATAAGAACGGCAAAGAGGAACGACAAAAGTCTAGATGACCACTTCCTTCGTTGGAGTTTGGAGAACACATGGCTCTTCCATAATAAGGGCTGCACATATGTGTACTTGCTATGGTCATCAACCAATACCAATGTGCATGTATGTTCTGCTGCATGTGAGGAGTCAACTATCAAGTTGATGTGGATGAGGTCAAGTGGGGAGACAGATTTCTCACCACTACCTTGTCCCATTTGAGCCATTGTACTCTTGGATCGGATGCATTGCTCACATGTTTGGGTCATATCCAGATCCAATTCAGCCATGTTCTTATCCTTTAAAAGGTTGGTAATGGCCCTTGTCTTATCTTGACCTGGGTGCCCTAGGTGCTCATGCCATAGTTGTTGCTTAGATATCCTGGTTTTGCTTTCTATCTGCTCAAAATCTTCATTAACACCCTCAAATAATGATGTTGATGTGATCATTGCATTCTCTTGCCATGCATCACCTCAGAACTCTAAAAGTCCTCACTCATGATTCTTGGTCATCTTGAGTAGCATACCATTTGCTAAGTGTATTTGCCCACTGGTGGAATCCAATATCACTCGTGCTCCTTCGTCTGTTAATGAGTTGGTTGACAAAAGGTTAATATTGAGATGCCTAACATATAGTACATGATGGAGTAGTACATCTCTGTTACTTGTTGATATGCTGGCATCTCCAATAGCTGTTGCTTCTAAAACTTCGCTTCTGGCTGTGAATACACATTTTTGGCAAGTTTTAGGATTGATGAGCATACTGTAGACATTAACCATATGATAACTGGCCCCTGAGTCTAAGAACCAGTGAGGGGTTCTTTTAAAGCCTGGGGGCCTCTGCCAACTTGGTGCAAAGGAGCACCATGGTTCCTATTTGGTTTTGGCTAAGGGAGAATTCTCCAGGATGGTTACTGTAGTGTCACACTGGCTAATCCCATGTCCCAGTCACTTGCAGACCCAGCACCAGAGCTTTTGAGGTTGAACACTAACTTTGGTGTTGGTGTTGTCTTCATCCTTCTCATCCTTCACAGCTGGTTCCTCTTGGTCATCGCTGCCAGTGACTCTGGCACTAGCCTGGCAAGGGTCAATCTTTTGGGCAGGATAATTCTCAACCACTGATTGTCAGATGGTTAGGGTTGTAGCAAGTGCATTGAAAGTGAGTTGACTGATGGTGGCAACTGTTTCTTTATACACAGGGTGGCAGATAGTGCACTTCTGTAGGGTCGAAAACAAGGTGTCATCTGCAAATGGTTTTCCCAGTAAACTGCTCTCTGTCTGGATTGTCCTAATCTCCTGGATGAGCTTCCAGACGTCGGAATTGTACATTCTGAGCTCACCTAGCTGGGCTATGAGGGCGATTCGATGTGAGGTTATGATGGCTTCATTGGTCAATCCATTTTCAATCTTCTTCCAGATCTGGTGGAAAGTGTGGTATTCCCTAATGATGTCAAGGATTAGGTAGTTGATGTTGTATTCCCCAGTGGTGTTGATAGTGCCATGTACTGCATTTGTGAGGGCATCATCGAATACATGATTCCACTTGGGGTGGTTCTTGTCATATGTTCCCTCAAGGTGTTTCATGGCATGGGGAACAGATTGAAGGAAGGACTTGATGTGGACATTCCAACTATAGTAACTTTGTGACATTAACTTGGGCACTGGCTCAAGGAGCTTTGCCAGAGTGCAAAAGTTGTATCATTTGCTGCTGCTGTTTTGATCAGAATCAGAATCAGTTTCTTCATCGGTTGCTTCGATTTCAGTTTCATTGGTGGTGTCATTATTGGGAACTCGCAGTTGAGGAGCTTTACCCTTTCTACCTCCTTTGGCTTTACTTGCACCTATTTTGGTGTTGTCTGTCATGGCGACGAAGGGTTCCCTGTTACCTCAGTCAGTAGGGCTTCAGACTCTTAATCAGTTGAAGATGGCAAGTGAAATGTGACAGATCGGAGCTACTTGCAAGCTCAACTGCACAGTTGTATAACTTCTTGAATGCTTAAATTGTATGCTACTGTGTGCATGAACATATGTATATATATATCTGATGGTCGCTTCCAATCCCACATTTATCCATGATGAGTCATCACTCTTGGTCACCCCTGAGTTGTTATCCAATGTGTGTCATCATGGCAATGCATGTGCATCCCACATGAATTTCTGACTGTGTGCAGCCTTTCCCATTAGACATTCATTTAGGTCTCGCTTATGCTCCATGGACCCCGTTATCCCGTTGTGGTGCCGATGCATCTTCAACTCATAGTGTGGGGTATAATTGAAGATTGCAAGTAAAACGCCGCCGATTGGAGCTACTAGCAAGCTCAACTTCACGGGTGTATAACTTCTTGAAAAATGCTTATATTTTCTATTTGTGAGTGCTACAACATGAGCATGTATATATACTTGATTGTCATCCTTAACACCTGCTATGTCGTAATGAACTCTTCTTTCATATGGCCCCTGTGTTGTCACTTTCTGGTTGTTGCTTCTCCCTGAGTGTTATGGTTGTATCGTTTATACATCCCACATGCATGTCAATGCATGTCGATATGCAACTCTGACTCACCATTATCTCACTTGTGCTCTGCGGACCCCATGGTTCATGTTAGGATGCCGACGCATCTTCAACTGGTATATAGAGCTGCATCTGTCAAGAGTTGCCGACATTTCCATTTCTTGGCGTTCCTGACTTTGTTCTCTCTCGTCCGACAAGTGCTTTCCCGGCGACAAGGCTTAGCGTCGTCCTTGCTGACAGCATTGCAGCCTCTCGCGCGGTAGCGATGTTAATTTCCAGGATTTTGTGTGCTGGATAGATCGAACATCAACTCGAAAAATTAGACTCGTTCTGCTCGACATGTTGACGGTCACCTTCCATCCTTGTTTATATGAAGCTGCGTTGAGGCGTGCAGAAGAGCCACCGTGGTCCATCCTCATCTTTCATTTCATGTGACGAACCAGAAATGCCCAGCTCCTTCTTTACTGTTCGACCTCCAGTAGACGGCCGTTTATGAAGGAGGGAGTACACTCTCTCATTGTCTCTCGTAACCGATCACGAGCATGGGACGTCTGCAGACTTTCGGGCATGAGTAGCTAAAGGCTCTCATTAGTGACCACAATTCCAGGAAGGAAGGCGACGAGGTGAAGCTTATCCTATATAAAACATCCGCCACGTTCAACCACAATGTCTCTTGTTGCTCATTGACACCTTGCTTTCCCTCATTTCCCTTCAAATTCTCACGCCATAACGATGAAGCTGGGCATCCTCACTCACCTACTCTTCCTCGTTCTCGGATGTTCATGTTGAAAGTTTGACGTCGTTTGGGTCCCGATACTGGCGATCGGGTAGAGTCTAAGTACGATGTCACTGCTAGTTTTTAGACAGAAACAAATATACTCAATTGACTAAAGGAATGTGGCGAGAGCCTAGTGCTCTCTGTGAGATATATATACAAGTGAGCGGCACATGCCGAAGGTGGGAGTACTCCAACTTAATGATCTTCCATGACAACAGGCGGGACTATGTTGCACCCGATCTCTGATCAGATCGGTCATCTAACCGGATCGGCTCTGCCTGATCTCCGATCAGATCGGCCCCGTGTCATCCTTTGGCGTCGCACTGGATCGCAATCTCCAGCAGTTCAGCGGTCAACTCAGCGAGTCCGCCTGCCGACAGCTTTGAAAAAGTTTTGAAGGAGGCAGACGAAAGTCTCAGAACCCAGCTCAAGCTGCTACCCCCCATCAGGACAAAGCCAAAAGTGGTTGGCACAGGGGCCTCTTCTTCGTTCACAAGCGCTCGGCCTGCAGAGCTGATCAAGGCCAGACCTGGTATAATAAGAAGCCGACAAAAGTCTGAAGCTCAACGCAAGCTCTCTTTCGATCCTCCAAGCGAAGATCGAGTCAAAAAAGACACTCTGGATCTCTGATGGGATGGCATCCAATACTGGTAGGCATGCCTAAACCCCTTGCTCGCAGCTCTCGTCACATTTGTGTTCACGTCACTCTGATATTGTAGCCACATTCTTGCTGCACTGAATGCCTGATGACTCTCGCTCTTTGACCAACCCGATTGTGATTTTCCAGCCCACACAAACGGCTGCGAGTGAGTTGAGCAACCGTCTTAGGAGCCAATAACAGTGCTTCACCTGAGAACACGTTTTGGCAACAGAAGGAAGTATGAGATGGGATCGAGCAGGCTCACCTAGTCTTGGACGAGGTCACTCGTCGGTCAGGTAGAGGACGCCCTCTCGGCTTTCGGGAAAAAAAAGTTCAGAAGCAACTGTGGGAGGCTCTTGCATGTCGATGGTGGGAGCAAATCATTGGTCGGACCATTGCAACGGATTTCGCCCTATGACCATAGCGCTGTTACTGCCACAACATATCTATTTGAACACTATGATGTTTAGACGGCAAGCGCAGCAGCATTTGGTCTTCATGATACAGGCATCGATGATTGGATAGTATTCAGTTCACACAGGAGGAGTGGAACCAGCCTTGTTCTGTCCTTATTTCATCAGCCACGATGGCGACGACCTAGCCCACCTGCCAGAACTTCAACCCATTCGGGCTCAATCATTATGGTGACTCTTGCCCACTCAGGAATGATCGGCCCAGCCAAAAACTGGGTTAGGTTTGCAGATCATCTGGCAAGAAAGACTTTCAGCAAAGAATCCCAAGCAGTTGCAGTTGAAGCCTCACTGCATGGTCCAGCAACGCCGTAGCATATATATTCTCTCGAATATTGGCCCTCTAGTTCACTCTACCACCCCGAAACAAGCCCCCTCATTGCCTTCAACTTCTTCACAGACCATGAAGATTATATCGGCCACCCTCCTCCTCGCCGCTTTCATCAGCGCGGCTGTTGTCAAATCTGCTCCCCTCTCCTCAAACTTGCTCGAAAAAGGGGCCGCAAAAGCAGCGTCCGAGTCTTCTCGTCTTGAAGCGCCTTTAAAGACTACCAAAACAGAGCTTGACGACTTAACCGAATTCACGGAAAGATTGGCACGCCTCCGGGTCGGACGTGCTAACATAGCCTCTGAGGCTGAAGAAAAGTTGCCTTCTGCTCCACGCTATTCCACCAGGCAACCTGGGAGGAACCCTATGGCGGACATGGCAGCAGCGGGAAAGCGAGGACGCAACGCCGAAACTCCTTCCGCCCAAGGCTCCCACAAGATCTTTAGGAGCTTTGAATGATCGTATCAAGGCAACCGGGATATCTTCTGTAGCAAAGTTGCTTCTCGATCCACGCATTACACTCACTTCGGCAATGAAAGCGTAGCGCTTGTCGTACCTTCGTACCTCACGACCTTTTACTCAGAGTCTCTATAGATTGTCTCATACTCTTCCTTCAATCTTACCTTTTTTACGCTTTTGTCGTCGAGATCCTGTCACTCGTACTTCGCTTGAGCTCGTACCTACACTTGTCAGCGACGACGACCTGTGACTGAACACAATACCAGGCGTTCCTGAACCAAGAAGTGTGCAGACTCGGGAGTAGGGTCTTGATATGAATGCTGAACTTGAGTGGATGACGGATGAGAACGTTCAGGCTTGCGGCGTCGGTGCTTTTAATATCTGCCGCCGGCAACAACCTAGCTCCTTCCGAGGTCACTGTATGGAGGAGCTCATCATAGACGCTCGAGACATGTGTCTCCCCCTACGACTACTTCATCTGCGTCACTATCATCCGCACACAGAGTCAGCCTCTTTCTCTCTATCTTTACAGTCAGTCAGAGTTGTCAAAAATCATTCAAACAGTCGTCAAGAACGGTTTGCTTCCCTCCAACTCCCGAGTCTTCCACCTGAAAACTGGCCTCCGTTCACCCTAATTAGTCACCCTCACCCTGTATTCTAGATACGTCTGCATCCAGACGACACTCTCAGCACATTCAAACGATGAAATGCCCCTCGTTGCTTTTCTCACTCTCTTGGTCTGCGTGGCATACCCAGCCACCTTTCCGAACCCGAATGTAATTGGCAGCTTCTCCAAGCTCACAAAAGCCGACGTTGCATCTAAACTCGAAGGTCTGACAGAAACATTTGCCAAGCTCACAACGATCAATACAAGACCCGAATGCAGCAAGATACTGCTTGGACACGAAGCTCCACCCACTTCACCCCGTATTGAGACATTGCAGTCAGAAGTGAGAGTCTTGCCAGAGATGACAGCTTCTAGTTAAAATTAGATACACCGCTCTAGAGGCCACTATCAGGCGCTCTTTACAGTCGGGTGTGTCTAAGTGAGAAGACTTGTTATTTCGAGATGAGAGAAGCTACAGAACATGAGTATATACAGTATACCTTAACAGCTGACTATGCTCGCCCTCCGAGTCACATCCTTGAGCTGTCGTGCAGTGGATTGCCTTCATAACCGTTGCCTTGTCAACGCTTCATACCTGTTGCCATGACAACACTTCATAACCATTGTCATACTGACGTCCCTCCTCCTGCATGCCCTGGTGTCAAACCTCGAGCGTAGGCTTCATAAGCTTCCACGTGCTTCGCATCCACCTCATCTCTGTTTACACTTGGCATCGCTCTGGCCTCCAGGCCCTTAATGCTCCGATCTAACATGTCGACCCTTGGAAATACCGACGTATCTTAGTTGAAATTAGATACACCACTCAGGAGGCCACAGTCAGGCACTCCTTTTAGTCTGATGCTCTATATGTAAAAGGCATATAATTATGTAAGGAGGTAACGACTAAGCTAAGAACATATATACATATTCTCTGCACCTGACTGTGCTCACTTTGTTGAGTCATGCCCATGTGCCATGTATCTTCTTTCATAAGCATTGTCATATCAACATGTCCCCTCCATACCATGGTGTCAATCCTTTTGCATAGGCTGCATTAGCTCCCACTAGCCTTACATTTTGCTTGTCCTCCTCATTGCCTGATGCCTTCCCGAATCCCCAATCCTGTGAGCTCCCATTTACTATGTCATGCATTGGCAATGCTGGTGCCCCTTCAACTCCCCCCCTCAATGGCATATCCAATCCTATCATTCTTGATATCCTTGTCATGTTGAGTCCCTTGAGTGGTTTTGTGAGTATGTCAGCCACATTGTTGGCCATTCTGACAAACTTGATTGATATGTCACCATCTTGCACATGATCCCTAATGAAATAGTATCTGGTATCAATGTGTTTGAGTTTCCAGTGTTTGGCCGGATCCTTACTGACTTGTATACACCCTTGGCTATCAGTGTGTAGTGTCAGCTTGACTCTGAATACTCCTAGATCCCTAAGTAGGTATGAGAAGAAGAGTGCTTCTCTTGCTGCTTCAGAGGCTGCGACCAGTTCTGCTTCCACTGCTGATAGTGCCATGCATTTTTGTACATGTGATTTCCAACTAACCGGGCATCCATACACATATGTGATTGCTCTGGATGTACTCCTACATCCATTCATGGGGTCAGAAGCCCAATTCGCATTGGTATATGTAACCGCCAGTTGGTCTGCATGACTCCTGTGCATTCCTCCTAAATTCAAATGGTAATCGCTCGTCTGATTCAGGTACTTCAACAAATGCATCACAGCACTCCAAGCATTGTCAATTGGTCCTGACATGTATTGTGCTAAGACTCCTACTGCAAATGAGATGTCTGGTCTCACTGTGTTGGATACCCACAAAAGTTGCCCCACTAGCTCTTGATATTGTTTGGCCTGATCTGGGTTGCATTTATTTCCTCCAGTGGTTCCTGCTACGCTCTGCATTGGGATCCAGGTTCGTTCGCTTGTTATTTCTAGCCACTTATTTACCATGCCTTTGATGTATGCAGTCAGGTTGAGTGTGATCTTGCCTTGTCTTCTCTCTCAAGTGATTTTGATTCCTAGAAATTCTCTTACAGGTCCATTGTCTTCTGTTCCCCACTTGTCCATGATCTCGGCTTTAGTGTGGTCAACCTCCCTTCTGCTAGGCAATGCGATCAGCATGTCATCCACATATGCTGTGATGACCATGAGTTGGTTGCCCACTCCCCTTGAGTAAAGGCATGGGGCACTTGGCATGCAGTGGAAGCTGATATTTCAGAGGTGGGTGTCCAGTTCGATGTTCCATTCCCAACCTGATTGCTTCAGACTGTAAAGCCCCTTTATGAGTTTCAATACCTTTCCTGGAGGTACCCTGGTTCCTACTGGTGGCTTTAGGTAGACATCATGATGCAGGTTTGAATTGAGGTAAGCCTGTTTGACATCGATGGAATCAACCTCCCAGTCCTGTACAGCTGCGATGGCCAGCACTCCCCTTATCACCTGGATGGGTGCCACTGGCACGAATATCTCTGTGTAGTCTAGGCCCTCTCTCTGGGTAAACCCCCGCACTACCAATCTTGCCTTGTATTTTGTGGGGATCAGGTTTGCATCAGTCTTGTTCTTGAGCACCCATCATGTGTCGACCACATTCATACCTTGCAGTAGATCAGTCATTTCCCATGTTCCCATCGCTTCGAGTCCATCCAATTCCTTGCACATTGCTTCTTCCCAGAACCTCCTATCCTTTCTGGCCAGCGCCTCATGAACAGTTGGGTTCAGGCTGTCCTTTCCCTCCTTGACCTTGGCTACCATCAGCCTGAAGTAACTCTTCTTTACCCAGGTCTCCAGGTTGCACTTGTTTCTAGCTGGCTTCCAGTTCAGCCATGGGCCTCTATCCTCTGGTGGCACTGGTGCATACTCTTCCCTCTCCTCTGTTGTTCTCCCTTCCTCCTCGAGGGCTAATTCCATGTCCACATACTCTTCCAAAGGCTCTCACTCTCTCTCATCAAATAGGTTCTCTTCTGTGTATCCCAGATCATCAAGGTCCTCTTCAATAGTTGGAACTGGTGGAGGTCAAATACTTATTGGTTGCCATTCTGATTGGTCTGACCAACACTGTGTCTCCATGAACCTTGCTGAGTTGCTCCAGAAAATGTTTGGAGTGTAATCAGGGCTATAGAATAGCCATCCCTTTCTTTCCAAGCTGTACCCTATGAATATGGCTGCAACCACTCACTGGTCCAGCTTCTTGTTGTTTTGTTTGGCTTTTGGAATGTTTACCCAAGCTAGACATCTGAATACATGCATGAGGTGGATGAATTGTTCCAGTGATCTATTGAACATGAGCTGGTATGGAAACTCTCCATCAATGTTGGGAGTAAGATTGATCTTGAATGCTGCTGCTTGTATGGCATGCAGCCAAAATCTCTTTGGTAAACTCCTTTGCATCAACAGCATTCACATCTTTTCACCCAGGCTCCTGTTCATCCATTCTACTTGTCTGTTTTGCCTGCTGTTGTAACCAACAGTAGTCTGCCACTCTATGCCCTTTTCTAATAACCATTCTAACACTTTGTTACTCTTCCATTCAGTTCCTTGATCAGATCAGATTGCTTTTAGCTTTCTGCCCATCTGTGTCTCTAGGAATGAAACTATTCTTTTGAGTTGTGTGAATGCATGGCTCTTTCATAAGAGTGGTTGTGCATGCACATACTTGCTATGATCATCAACCAGCACTAATGTGCACATGTATTCTGTCACACAGGATGAGTCTATGACCAGATCGATGTGGATAAGATCTAGGGGCCCTGTGGCTGTTTCACCACTACCTCGCCCCATCCAGGCAGCCATACTTTTGGACTGTATGCACTGCTCACATGTCAGAGCTGTATCTGGGTCCAATGCTGCTAAAGGTTTGCCTTTCAATTTATCAGCAATTGCTCTGGACTTGTCTCAACCTGGGTGTCCTAGATGTTCATGCCAGAGCTGTCTTGTGGAGATCTTTGGTCTCTGGTTGGCCAGCTCAAACTCTTCATCAACTCCTTCAAACAGCAGTGTTGATGTAGTCATCGCACTTTGTCACCATGTGTCACCTCAGAACTCTAATAGTCCATCCTCACAATCTTTCACTATTCTCAATAGCATACTGTTTGCCAAGTGTATTTGTCTGCCTGTCATGTCTAAAGTCACATGTGCTCCCTCATCCATCAGTGAGTTGGTTGACAACAGGTTAATATTGAGTCTTTTAACATACAACACATTTTGGAGATAAACATCTCCATATTCTGTTGCTATGTTGGTATCTCCCACAGCAGTTGCCTCCAGCACTTTGCTTCCAGCAGTATACATGCACTTTCTGCAATTTCTTGGATGGATGAGCATGCTGTGGTCATTAACCATGTGGTAGCTTGCTCCCAAATCCAAGATCCAATGTGTGGTTCCTTCTGACTTTGGGAGCTGCTGCCAACTTGGGGTGAAAGAGCACCAGACCTCCTAGTTGGTCTTGGTGAGTGTAGAATTTTTGGGAATGACAATGGAAGCATCACATTTGCTGGCACCATGCCCATAGTGCTTGCATACCCAGCAACAAATCCTCTTTGGTTTGGTTGTGGTTTTCATGCTGCCCATGTCTGACTCAGTGTCATCAGCCTGCTCTTCATTGCCCCCAGCAATTCTAGTGCTTGCTTGGCGTGGGTCCACTTTCTGACCAGGTATGCTCTCCATTGCAGACTGGTGTGTAGTCAAAGCTGTTGCTAGAGCATCAAAGCTAACCTGATGAACTGTGGTGACTGTCTCCTTGTAGACCAGGTGTTGAATCATGCACCTCTGGAGCATGGCATATATTGCACCATTACTAAATGGGGCACCTAGGAGGCTAGTTTTGGTCTGCATGACCCTGATCTCTTGGATCAGCTTACAGGCATCAGCATGAAACATCTTTGCCTCATTGAGCTCAGCAAGTAATGCTATTCATCATGAGGTTCTAGCTGCTTCGCTGGTAAGACTCCTTTCGATTTTCTTCCAAGCTTGATGGCAGGTCAGGTGATTCTTACTGATGTCGAGTAGGAGGTAAAGGATGTTATACTCTCCTTCAGTGTCTAAGGTGCTTTGTAGGACACCCACTAGGGTGTTATCAAAGGTTTTATTCCATTTCAGGTGGTCTTTATCATATGTGCCCTCTAAGTGTCGTGTGGCATGGGGAACTACTCATAGGTTGGCCTTGATGAGTGTGCTCCAACTATAATAGTTGTGTGACATTGTCATGGGCCTGGATGCTCAAGAAGCAGGAGGGTCACGGGTTCATATGGAAGGAGCACAGGTATCGAAGATCTAGTCGAGATCAGTAGAGAGCATGGTTGTAGTGCAGTCTCCATGGAGACCATGGACTCCTACGGACTCACATGCAAAGAAGGGCCAAGCACAGCCACGAGGAGGACCAAGCTCAAGGAGCAGGCACAGCCATGAAGAGGACCAAGCTCAAGGAGCAGGCACAGCCACAAAGAGGACCAAGCTCAAGGAGCATGCAGATGGTTACCACTCAGGGGCTCGAGAGACAAGAGCCAAAGGAACTGTCACTGATCAAAGGAGAAGGAGCAGTGTCGAAGGAGTCAACACCAGGTCATGAGGAGGAGGAGCAGTGTCGAAGGAGTCGACACAGCTCAAGAGGCACAGGGGTGCCAAGCAGGAGAGGCCCCTGAGCAGTACTCGATGAAGAAGGTACTCTCTGGAGAGAGAGCAGGAGCAGCATTGCTGGCGATGCTGAGAAGAGGTATATAACCATGCTTTCTCATCATCAATAGGTCGAGTGGATCCTCATCCACTCTACTCACCATAACTAGTTATCACTTCAGCATAAGTATATATTAGTTTCAGTCAGCATAGCAGCAATCCATCAAAGGTTGCTCCTCATCATAGTGTGTGTGTTGTATCACCACTACCTGACATCCGAAGGCGCCCATAGCAGGTTAGCGGTCTGGATCAAGATAGAACTGAAGGCAGTAGTCCACTGCGGTCTGGTGATCACTTCAAGCATCAAGTCAACACACTGGACACTTGTGTTGACGCCACCAACCTTATCACCAACACCATCAACCTCATTATTGTCAGGGGTCTCGCGCCTGAAACCCAGGTCGGTCTGTCGAGATACTCGGTGACTATCAAACTGTGCGACAGCTATTGTCTCGAGATACTCGGTGACTATCAAGTTGTGCAGTGACAGCAGGTGGCGTTTGTTGTATATACTATCGTAGGTTTCGGCTGACCTCTGTGGACACTCCGTTCAGGGGTAGCTCGGCACGATCAATATCAATGTTATGATGACACCAAGGTCTGGTGTGGGTGTTGATGATGATGAGGTTGATGGTGTTGGTGATGAGATTGGTGATGTCGATGATAATGAGGTTGATGGTGTTGATGATAAGGTTGGTGATGTCAATGATAATGAGGTTGATGGTGTTGGTGATAAGGTTGGTGGCGTCAACACAAGTGTCCAGTGTGTTGACTTGATGCTTTGAAGTGATCCCCGGACCGCAGTGGACTACTGCCTTCGGTTCTATCTATATCCAGACCGCTAACCTGCTATGGGCGCCTTCGGACGTCAGGTAGTGGTGATACAACACACACACTACGATGAGGAGCAACCTTGATAGATTGCTGCTATGCTGACTGAAACTAATGTATACTTATGCTGAAGTGATAACTAGTTATGGTGAGTAGAGTGGATGGGGATCCACTCGACCTATGATGATGAGAAAGCATGGTTATATACCTCTTCACAGCATTGCCAGCGATGCTGCTCCTGCTCTCTCTCCAGAGAGTACCTTCTTCATCGAGTACTGCTCAGGGGCCTCTCCTGCTTGGCACCCCTGTGCCTCTTGAGTGGTGTCGACTCCTTCGACACTGCTCCTCCTCCTCATGACCTGTGTCGACTCCTTCGACACTGCTCCTCCTCCTCATGACCTGTGTCGACTTCCTGTCTCTCGAGCCCCTGAGTGGTAACCATCTGAGCTTGGTCCTCCTCGTGGCTGCGCCTGCTCTTTGAGCTTGGTCCTCCTCGTGGCTGTGCCTGGTCCTCCTCGCATATGGGCTCAGTGCTCCTTTGCATGTGAATCCATAGGAGTCCATGGTCTCCATGGAGACTGCACTACGACCATGCTCTCTACTGGTATCGACTAGGTCTTCGATACCTGTGCTCCGTCCATATGAACCAGTGGCCCTCCTGCTTCTTGAGCATCCAGGCCCATGACAATTATCATCGACATCACCAATCTCATCACCAACACCATCAACCTCATCATCATCAACACTCACACCAGACCTTGGTGTCATCATAACATTGATATTGATTGTGCCGAGCTACCCCTGAATGGAGTGTCCACAGAGGTCAGCCGAAACCTATGATAGTATATACAACGAATGCCATCTGCTGTCACTGCACAACTTGATAGTCACTGATACTGAGACAATAGCTGTCGCACAGTTTGATAGTCACCGAGTATCTCGACAGACCGACCTGGGTTTCAGGCGCGAGACCCCTGACAGACATGAGCTTGGGAACCATCTCCAAGATTTTAGCCAAGGTGCAGTAATTGTATCAGTCATCATCATTGTCCAATTCTGATCCTCCTTCATCCTCATTGTCAAAATACTCAGTCTTGTTACTGTCAGTGGCCTCTTCGTCGATTTGTACTCATTGTGGCATTTTACCTTTTCTTGTCCTCCTGGCTGCTTCACCTGTGCTGGCTTGGCAGTTGTTGTTGTCAGGGGTCTCGCGCCTGAAACCCAGGTCGGTCTGTCGAGATACTCGGTGACTATCAAACTGTGCGACAGATATTGTCTCAGTATCAGTGACTATCAAGTTGTGCAGTGACAGCAGACGGCATTCGTTGTATATACTATCATAGGTTTTGGCTGACCTCTGTGGACACTCCGTTCAGGGGTAGCTCGGCACAATCAATATCAATGTTATGATGACACCAAGGTCTGGTGTGAGTGTTGATGATGATGAGGTTGATGGTGTTGGTGATGAGATTGGTGATGTCGATGATAATGAGGTTGATGGTGTTGGTGATAAGGTTGGTGGCGTCAACACAAGTGTCCAGTGTGTTGACTTGATGCTTGAAGTGATCCCCAGACCGCAGTGGACTACTGCCTTCAGTTCTATCTTGATCCAGACCGCTAACCTGCTATGGGCGCCTTCGGATGTCAGGTAGTGGTGATACAACACACACACTATGATGAGGAGCAACCTTTGATGGATTGCTGCTATGCTGACTGAAACTAATATATACTTATGCTGAAGTGATAACTAGTTATGGTGAGTAGAGTGGATGAGGATCCACTCGACCTATTGATGATGAGAAAGCATGGTTATATACCTCTTCTCAGCATCGCCAGCAATGCTGCTCCTGCTCTCTCTCCAGAGAGTACCTTCTTCATCGAGTACTGCTCAGGGGCCTCTCCTGCTTGGCACCCCTGTGCCTCTTGAGCTGTGTCGACTCCTTCGACACTGCTCCTCCTCCTCATGACCTGGTGTTGACTCCTTCGACACTGCTCCTTCTCCTTTGATCAGTGACAGTTCCTTTGGCTCTTGTCTCTCGAGCCCCTGAGTGGTAACCATCTGCATGCTCCTTGAGCTTGGTCCTCTTTGTGGCTGTGCCTGCTCCTTGAGCTTGGTCCTCTTCATGGCTGTGCCTGCTCCTTGAGCTTGGTCCTCCTCGTGGCTGTGCTTGGCCCTTCTTTGCATGTGAGTCCGTAGGAGTCCATGGTCTCCATGGAGACTGCACTACAACCATGCTCTCTACTGATCTCGACTAGATCTTCGATACCTGTGCTCCTTCCATATGAACCCATGACCCTCCTGCTTCTTGAGCATCCAGGCCCATGACAGTTGTCTCCTGCCATATTTGAATGTTGTGGGTTCGAGCCCCATGTTGGGAGCCAGTTGAAATTAGATACACCACTCAGGAGGCCACAGTCAGGCACTCCTTTTAGTCTGATGCTCTATATGTAAAAGGCATATAATTATGTAAGGAGGTAACAACTAAGCTAAGAACATATATACATATTCTCTGCACCTGACTGTGCTCACTTTGTCAAGTCATGCCCATGTGCCACATAACTTCTTTCATAAGTGTTGTCATATCAACATGTCCCCTCCATACCATGGTGTCAATCCTTATGCATATGCTGCATTAGCTCCCACTAGCCTTGCATTTTGCTTGTCCTCCTCATCACCCAATGCCTTCCCAATTCCCCAATCCTGTGAGCTCCCATTTACTATGTCATGCATTGGCGATGCTGGTGCCCCTTCAACTATCTTCAACTCTACTCGAAAGCGTGGTCGCAATCGCTCCGTTTTCAGAACTCCGAAGACCTTCTCAATTAAGCGGTCCTGAGCAGTCGAATATCGTCACCCACAATGATTGGAAGATGCCTCGCAATTCCGGCCCTGTCAATGCATGGGTTTGTCCTCGACTCGACGTTTTCAGAACATTGTGCTGTTTGATTGATGACCTGGTCTTGTCCTCTTTATTCGATCTCAGGCACTACTTATTCATGTCTTTTTGCCTTCAGAAATATACTTTGCCGTGCCATGCTGCGGTCAGCTCGACATTTCGACGATTTGTGAGTGAGCTTTGTCTCACCAAAGATCGCAACGCATGGCATCCATGCACTACCAAGACCCGATCCAGAGGAACCAGCAGGGGTCAACCTCTGATAACTTTCGCCATTGTCGAGGCTGCACAAGCACTGTGGTGACTTCATACATTTCACGATACAATTGTTGTTCCCATTGTAGCAATCAGCTTGATGGGAGAACCAATAAGGCTCGTTCCCAGCTTGAGGGATTCAATTCTTAGGGTGTCTTTGGTTTTACTCAGCTTTGCGACACCTTTAGGGCCAATGCGGTGGAAGAGATATAAAGCAGATCAAAGTCGCCCGTCCTGTCTATCAGATCTCAAGCAAACAGCTTTCTACATTTTGCACGCACATTTTCTCCTCCTTGCCCTACTTCTTGCTGTACTAACTCACCATGAAGTTCTCTCTCCCGCAAGTCACGGTCTTCTTCCTCGTACTTTTCAGTGTGACTGCCGTCATCGAGGCATCCACTCCTCCGGGCAGGTTCGAGGAAGCCCTCGAAGGTCTTCTCAGCCTTGCCGATGAAACACGTGCTACTCGACCTCCTGCCAACGCCCGTCCTCAGGCTCCTCCTCATCAACCTCATCAGCGAGAGCCTCAGACTGATCAAATGTTGAGGAAACACAGTCGGGGCAGACAAGCAAGTGGCGAAATCATTATTGTTTTAAAGGCTAAGTACAAAGTGACATTGTGAACTATATATGCTTCTATGTTGGTCTCTGTGTGTGTGAATGGGTGACATGGCATGTGTGGCTGCATGCTGCTATTGAGTGGGATGGAGAGTGTTGGTGGGTGGTGTTGAGCATTGGTGGGAGTTGATGGGTGGTGACATGGAGTGAGGTTTGCAGAAGTCGGAAATACATTGAGCGGTCATGTGTTTTCACTGTCCCCCTCGCAAACTGAGTGGGCTGACGATCCAAGGTTAGCAATGCCAAGCATGGCGTGATTGCGGATGAGGTGATATTTCATGTCTATGTGTTTGAGCCTGGAGTGAAGTGCTTGGTCTTTTGCAACCTGGATGCATCTGGTGTTGTCCATTAGGATCACTGGGATATGGTCTCCGAAACTGAGGCCATGTAGCAAATGCTGATGGAAAAGGGCTTCGCATGTGGTGGCTGTCATGGGCCTGGATGCTCAAGAAGCAGGAGGGTCACGGGTTCATATGGAAGGAGCACAGGTATCGAAGATCTAGTCAATACCAGTAGAGAGCATGGTCATAGTGCAGTCTCCATGGAGACCATGGACTCCTACGGACTCACATGCAAAGGAGGACATGAGCCACATGTGAGGAGGGCCAGGCACAGCCACGAGGAGGACCAAGCTCAAGGGGCAGGCACAGCCACGAAGAGGACCAAGCTCAGATGGTTACCACTCAGGGGCTCAAGAGACAAGAGTCAAAGGAACTCTCACTGGTCAAAGGAGAAGGAGCAGTGTATAGGACACTAGCAGGCAGGTCCTGAGGAGGAGGAGCAGTGTCGAAGGAGTCAACACCAGGTCATGAGGAGGAGGAGCAGTGTCGAAGGAGTCAACACCACTCAAGAGGCACAGGGGTGCCAAGCAGGAGAGGCCCCTGAGCAGTACTCGATGAAGAAGGTACTCTCTGGAGAGAGAGCAGGAGCAGCATTGCTGGCAATGCTGTGAAGAGGTATATAACCATGCTTTCTCATCATCATAGGTCAAGTGGATCCTCATCCACTCTACTCACCATACAACTAGTCAATACTTTAGAAACATAAGTACTCATTAGTTACAGTCAGCATAGCAGCAATCTATCAAGGTTGCTCCTCATCATAGTGTGTGTGTTGTATCACCACTACCTGATGTCCATAGGTGCCCCATAGTAGGTTAGCGGTCCGGATATAGATAGAACCAAAGGCAGTAGTCCACTGTGGTCCGGGGATCACTTCAAGTGTCAAAGTCAACACACTGGACACTTGTGTTGACGCCACCAACCTTATCACCAACACCATCAACCTCATTCTCATCAACACCCACCAACCTTATCACCAACACCATCAACCTCATCATCATCAACACTCACACCAGACCTTGGTGTCATCATAACTGAAGCATTGATATTGATCGTGCCTAGCTACCCCTGAATGGAGTGTCCACAGAGGTCAGCCGAAACCTACGATAGTATATACAACGAACGCCACCTGCTGTCACTGCACAACATGATAGTCACCGATACCAAGACAATAGCTGTTGCACAGTTTGATAGTCACCGAGTATCTCGACAGACCGACCTGGGTTTCAGGCGCGAGACCCCTGACAGACTTGTCTTGCAGAAAATGTGCTGAATTCAACCAAAAGATCAGCAGGTTGTGACTTGGTGCCAAAAACCTCCATCCTTTATGTTCTTCATCATATCCCACAAAGATTGCAGGTATGGCCGGTTCATCAAGCTTCTTGCATTTCGCTTTGGGAACATTGACCCATGCAAGGCAACCAAAAGTCTGAAGCATGTTGAAAGGTTTGTGTGGGTCCTTGTCATAGAAAATGTGATATGGTATCTGGCTGTCAACATTTGGTAAGAAGTTCTTCGTGAATGCTGCAGCTGTTGTGGCAAATGGCCAGAAAGTTTGCAGTAGGTGATGTGTGTGCATCATGGTGATCATCATCTCCCTGATTGTCCTGATTGTACATTTGGCTCTATCATTCTGCTCACTGGTGTAGGCCGATGTTTTCTGCCAGCAAAACCCTGCCTCATTTTGCCAGCTAATGGCAGCCACTAAGATCCATTTGCCCCCATTGTCTGAGTGAAGTGTTTTAAGTTTGTGGCCTGTCTGCACCTCAGCATAATGAATCCATTCCTTTAATACCTGTAGTGCATCCAACTTGGCCCAGAGTGGCTTCATGTACATGAAGCTTGAGGCATCGTCAATGGCAACTAACAGGCATGTGACCTCAGTCTTTGTGGACCAGTGCATAGCCAGATCGACATGCACCAAATCCAGTGGTTCCTTGGCATGGGCACCACTTCCCCTGCCCATTTGGGCTTTGGTCGACTTGCCAATGATGCAGTCTTGGCATTTGCAGCTTGGGAGTTTGATTTTGTACAGCTTTTCAATCAATTTCAACTTGTTCCGCCCCAAGTGGCTGCATCGCTCATGCATGAAACCTGGGGTGAACTTGTGTCTTTCAGCTTTTGTCTCATCATCAAATGTTTTGGGTAATCCAGATAATCCATTGTCTGGGTATGTTAACATTGCTTCTTGCTGTGGTTGAGAGATTTCATAATGTCTTGTGTGGGAGTTGAGATCACTGGTAATGGTCATACCATCTTGTAGTTCCAGAATCACATGCTTAGAGTCAAAGGTCACACATGCACCATTGTTTGCTAATGCTTTTACCAATATCAGGTTTGTGTCCAAATCTGGAACATAAAGTATGTTATCAAGCAGTACTTCATGACCATTTACATTGAGCATAGCTTGACTGATTGCCATGATGCGAATCTTCATTCCACTTGCAGTCTTCACAAAACCAGTGCAAGGAGTGGAGGAAATAAGATTTGATTTCTTGTTTATGACATGATTGGTGGCACCTGAGTCTACAATCCAGTTCATGGGTTGCCAATCCAGGGAGGCATGGTAGGCAGAGGTGATGTTGCACCAATCATCCTAGGTGGACATTTGGTTTGAGACCTGGGTCTGTGCAGGTACTTCTCTATGAGTCTTCTTTTGACAATACTTGGATATATGGTTCTCCATGTTGCAATGGTAGCAATGTCAGATGCCATCAGATCCAGGCTTGCCATGTCAATAGGCCTTCTTGTTTAGGACTTGCCCATTGGCTAAGTTTGCCTGAGCAGTCTTGAGGTCGCCAGCCCTGTGGTCCATTTGAGCAGTCATGCTGTCTTGGCATCTAGACAGTGCAGCACATAGTATCTCATAATTTGATGCCATTCCAGTGTCTTCAAGAGTGACAATACAGTGATGGTAAGAAGTGACATACTGAGCCTGGTCTATGAGCATCTTGACCTTGAGGATCTCAGGGAGCACATGGCCCATGGATTTGGCTTTGGCCCAGTGCTCATTGATGTCAGCCATAAGCTTGCAGATGTTCACTTGGAACATGCAAATCTTTCCAACTTCATTGAGCAAAGTTGATTCAGCAATCTTCTCCATCTTCATGAGGTCCTTCTTCAGTCTGCAATAGAGATTGTGCAACTTCCAAGGCTCCAAGTTGGCTGGGCATACAAATAGATAGTTGACATTATTGGTTCCAGTGAGCAGAGCACTACTCTGGAGGATGGTGCATAATTCACCATTGAGAGCACAGTTGTACTTCTTGTCCTCTGGGGCTATGGTACCATTGAGGTGTTTCACGGCTGTGGGCCAGTTGGATAGGATGCCCTGGAAATGGGGGTTCCAAGCATACCAGTTCCTGGTTGTGAGCTTGGGTGCTTCTTTGAGGGTGCCATGAATCTGAGAGAGTCATTGATGAAAGTCAGAGTGGCACAATGGTTTCTTGTATGCATTGGAGTTCCTTGCTTTGTTGCACTTTGTAAGCTCGATAAGTATGCTGTCATGGGCCTGAATGCTCAGGAAGCAGGAGGGTCACTGGTTCATATGGAAGGAGCACAGGTATCAGAGATCTAGTCGATACCAGTAGAGAGCATGGTCATAGTGCAGTCTCCATGGAGACCATGGACTCCTATGGACTCACATGCAAAGGAGCACTGAGCCATATGCGAGGAGGGCCAGGCACAGCCACGAGGAGGACCAAGCTCAAGGAGCAGGCACAGCCACGAAGAGGACCAAGCTCAAGGAGCATGCAGATGGTTACCACTCAGGGGCTCGAGAGACAAGAGTCAAAGGAACCATCACTGGTCAAAGGAGAAGGAGCAGTGTATAGGGAACCAGCAAGCAGGTCCTGAGGAGGAGGAGCAGTGTTGAAGGAGTCGACACCACTCAGGAGGCACAGGGGTGCCAAACAAGCAGGATAGCAAGGAGGAGGAGCAGTGCTAGAGGGGCCCCTGTACAGTACTCGATGAAGAAGGTACTCTCTGGAGAGAGAGCAGGAGCAGTGTCGCTGGCGACACTGTGAAGAGGTATATAACCATATTTCTCATCATCAAAGGTCAAGTGGATCCTCATCCACTCTACACCATCATAACTAGTTATCACTTCAGCATAAGTATATATTAGTTTCAGTCAGCATAGTAGCAATCTATCAAGGTTGCTCCTCATCATAGTGCATGTGTTGTATCACCACTACCTGATGTCCAAAGGTGGCCCATAGCAGGTCAGTGGTCTGGATATAGATAGAACCAAAGGCAGTAGTCCACTGTGGTCTGGGGATCACTTCAAGCATCAGTCAACACACTGGACACTTGTGTTGATGCCACCAACCTTATCACCAACACCATCAACCTTATCACCAACACCATCAACCTCATCATCATCAACACTCACACCAGACCTTGGTGTCATCATAACCTACATATTGATATTGATTGTGCCAAGCTACCCCTGAACAGAGTGTCCACAGAGGTCAGCCGAAACCTATGATAGTATATACAACAAACACCACCCACTGTCATTGCACAACTTGATAGTCACCGAGCAACTAACTTGTTGAGACCAATACTGAGACAATAGCTGTCACACAGTTTGATAGTCACCAGGTACCTCGACAGACCGACCTGGGTTTCAGGCGCGAGACCCCTGACATATGCCTCTGAGTGTTTTGGGGTTTAAGTTGTTAATGGTGTTGATGTTGTAATGCATGTTGTCCCCCTCGTCATCATTGTTGTCAGAGTCATAGCATGAGGGGGTGTCTGTGCCAAGCACCATTTGCCAGTGTGGTGCCTTGGGAGCCCTCTCTTTGGGCAGGGGATCAGATAGTTTGCTGCTCTTGGCATCGGAGTTGTGGATGCATGGGGGCATGCTGAATTGTTGGGCTTGGCGAAGGCAGGCCCTTTCTTTGGGCAGTGGAGGCAGGTGAGGATATGGGTCAGACAGTGTGGCGAAGTGGGGCAGCGTTCCCACAGTAGAGCTTCAGACTCTTAATCTGTTGAGGAAACACAGTTGGGGTGGACAAGCAAGTGGCAAAATTGTTATTGTTTTAAAGGCTAAGTACAAAGTGACATCATGAACTATATATGCTTCTACATTGGTCTCTGTGTGTGTGAATGGGTGATGTGGCATGTGTGGCTGCATGCTGCTATTGAGTGGGATGGAGAGCATTGGTGGGTGGTGTTGAGTGTTGGTGGGAGTTGACAGGTGGTGACATGGAGTGAGGTTTGCAGAAGTCAGAAATACATTGAGCAGTCATGTGTTTTCACTTCAAAACCAGCCTCCTTCGCACAGAGGAAGTGGATTGTTCGGCAACAAAAGGGTCCAGGCTCCAGACCATGATGATCAGCGCTTCTACAGGGCCTTTAGCAAGTAGTCATACTGCTTCAAACTAGCCATCTGCTCGAGACACTACGGGTTAGTCTTTTTCTACCGCAACGACATTGTTTGCCCTTCCAATGTCTCTTCCTTAACGCTTACGAGCAATGCCTCAAGTTTATCTGTTCATTCATAATGATTCTGCAATGTCGATTACCTTCCTCCACCGTCTTCACTGCGTCTAAACTGTGTCGCTTCATGCAATACGCCTGCTCGTGAGCCGCGGCTTCGATGACTCACCCAAGCAACCTCTCGAATAATGATCAATCTGCTTTGCCAAGCTTTAGGATTGATTCACGGAGCTGTGAGCAAAATTTAATCGGCCAACCCACTGGTATGGATGTACATGTAGTAGCTGTCAATTGAGTCGCAGCAGCAATTTAGTGATATGAAGTATATAAAACAAAAAAAAAATTCGACCCCACCACAATTTGAAAGGTGTGGGCGGAAATTTGGCAAAAAATTGACCAGCCTGGGGCTCGAACCCAGAATCTCCTGATAACTTATCACTCGATTAAGATCGTAGTCAGACGCCTTACCATTGGGCCAACCGGCCATTTTACGTTGCTTTATTATAGCATTGTATAAAACAAAATGCCGGCTACCGCACGACAACACAGTTGAAGATGGCAAGTGAAACACGACTGATCGGAGCTACTTGCAAGCTCAACTGCACAGGCATATAACTTCTTGAATACTTGTCATCTAAAATTGTATGCTACTGTATGCATGAACATATGTATATATATCTGATGGTCACTTCCAATCCCACATTTATCCATGATGAGTCACCACTCTTGGTCACCCCTGAGTTGTTATCCAATGTGTGTCATCATGGCAACACATGTGCATCCCACATGAATTTCCGACTGTGTGCAGCTTTTCCCATTAGACATTCATTTAGGTCTTGCTTATGCTCCACAGACCCCATTATCCCATTGTGGTGCCAATGCATCTTCAACTCCCCCCTTTGACAGCATCTCAAGTCCCAACGACTGTGCTAGCTGAGATGTTGTCAACCCTTTTAGTGGCTTTGTTAAGATGTCTGCCACGTTGTTCACTGTTCCAACAAATTTGATTGCTATTTCCCCATCCTGTATGTGGTCCCTAACAAAGTGATACCTGGTATCTATGTGTTTCAGTTTCCAATGTTTTGCTGGGTCCTTACTCACTTGAATACATCCTTGACTGTCAGTATGTAAGGTTGGCTGGATCGTTCCTGCCTCTAGATCCCTGAGGAGATAGGAGAAGAATAGTGCTTCTCTTGCTGCCTCTGAGGCAGCAACGAATTCAGCTTCCATGGCTGATAATGCCACACACTTTTGGATGTGCAATTTCCAGCTGATGGGACACCCATGCACATATGTTACAGCTCCTGAGGTGCTCCTTTGTCTGTTTGTTGGGTCTGATGCCCAATTTGCATCCATGTATGTAATGATTGCATGTCCTGAATGCTTGTTCAATTGGTCTCCAAATATGAGTTTATACTCACTGGTTTGGTTCAGGTACTTAAGCAGATGGATGGCTGCCCTCCATGCCCCATTGGTTGGGTTTGACATGTATCTTGCCAGTATCCCTACTGTGAATGATATATCCAGGCATGTGGTATTCGAAACCCATAGTAGTTGTCCAACTAACTCCTGGTATCGCTTGGCTTCTACTGGGTTACATTTATCTTCTCCAGTCAAACTCACTGTTCCTTGCATTGGTACCCAGGACTTCTGACTGGTCGTTTGTAACCACTTGTTCACCATGGCTCTTATGTAGGCTGATAAGTCAAGTGACATCCTCCTTTCTGCCCTGTTTCAGTTTATGCATACACCCAGAAACTCTCTCACTGGCCCATTATCTTCTGTTCCCCATTTAGCCATTATCTCCTTCTTAGTTTGATCTATCTCCTTTCAGCTGGGGGATGCTATAAGCATGTCATCCACATATGCTGTAATAATAGTTAGATTATTCCTGGTCCCTCTTGAGTACAGACAAGGTGCACTTGGCATGCAGTAAAAACCCATACTTCACAAATGTGAGTCCAATTCCAAGTTCCATTCTCTGCCTGATTGTTTTAGCCCATACAGTCCCTTGATTAGCTTTAGGTGCTTTCCTGGAGGGATCTTGGTCCCAATCAGTGGCTTCAAGAACATGTCATGGTGTAGCATCAAATTCAGATATGCTTGTTTGACATCAATGCAGTCTACCTCCCAATCTTGCACAGTTGCTATGGCTAGGACTCCTCGGATAGATTGGATAGGTGCCACAGGTGCAAACACCTCTGTATAATCAATTCCTTGTCTTTGCATGAACCCTCGAGCTACCAGCCTTGCTTTGAATTTTGTCAGGATCAGATCTACATCCATCTTGATTTTTAAAACCCAACATGTGTTGATGGCATTCATCCCCTTTGGAAGGTTGGTGATTTCCCATGTGCCCATGGCTCTAAGTCCATCCAACTCCTTATGCATTGCTTCTTTCCAATGTTGCTTGTCTTCTCCAGATAAAGCTTCACTTACAGTCAGATCCAGGTTCCTCTGTCTATCATGGCTCATTGCTGTGAGTCCAAGAATTGGGTCACCAGCCTGTATTCCAGAGTCAGTCTCATTCTTTGTATATTTTGCCATATCCTCAATGGAGTCCTTTTCATCATTTGGTTCATTGATTGCATTCATATCCAAATGCTCATCATGGGGCTCTCTTTCCCTTTCATTGAATAGATTTTCGTTTGTGTACCCTAAGTCACTGAGGTCTGCCTTGTCTGCTAGCACTGGTGGTGACTGCATTCTTGTTGGGCACCATTCTGTTCTGTCAGACCAGCACTTGACTTCCATGAACTTCACAGAGTTGCTCCAGAATATGTTTGGGTTATAGTCTGGACTATAGAAGAGCCACCCTCTTCTTTCCAAACTGTATCCCAGGAATATGGTTGCCACTGCTTGTTGGTCCAACCTCTTGCTGTCTCTTTTAACTTTAGGGATGTTAACCCATGCTAAACATCCAAAAACCCATAAGAACTTTATGAGCTGCTCCAGTGACTTCCCGAACATGACTTGGTATGGGAACTCACCATCAACATTGGGTGTGAGATTTATTTTGAATGCTGCAGCCTGGATTGCATACAGCCAGAAGCTTCTTGGCAGTTTCCTCTGCATGAGTAGCATTCTCATCTTTTCTCCTAGACTTCTGTTCATTCTTTCCACACATCCATTTTGCTTGCTGTTGTACCCAACTCTCATCTGCCATTCTATACCTTTATCATATGCCCAGTCAAGTGCATCATTGCTTCACCACTCCATTCCTTGGTCTGATCATATGGCTTTCAGTCTCTTTCCCATCTGTGTTTCGAGGTATGATACTATGGCTTGGAGTTTGGAGAACACATGGCTCTTCTGTAATAAGGGCTGCACATACATGTACTTGCTATGGTCATCAACCAATACCAGTGTGCATGTATATTCTGCTGCATGCGAGGAGTCAACTATCAAGTTGATATGGATGAGGTCAAGTGGGGAGACAGATTTCTCACCACTACCTTGTCCCATTCAAGCTGTCATACTCTGGGATTGGATGCATTGCTCACATGTTTGGGTCATATCCAGATCCAATTCAGCCATGTTCTTATCCTTTAAAAGGTTGGTAATGGCCCTTGTCTTATCTTGACCTGGGTGCCCTAGGTGCTCATGCCATAGTTGTTGCTTAGATATCCTGGTTTTGCTTTCTATCTGCTCAAAATCTTCATTAACATCCTCAAATAATGATGTTGATGTGATCATTGCATTCTCTTGCCATGCATCACCTTGGAACTCTAAAAGTCCTTGCTCATGATTCTTGGTCATCTTGAGTAGTGTACTGTTCACTAAGTGTATTTGCCCACTGGTGGAATCCAATTTCACTCATGCTCCTTCATCTGTTAATGAGTTGGTTGACAAAAGGTTAATATTGAGATGCCTAACATATAGTACATGATGGAGTAGTACATCTCCATTACTTGTTGATATGCTGGCATCTCCAATAGCTGTTGCTTCTAAAACTTTACTTCCAGCTGTGAATACATGTTTTCGGCAAGTTTTAGGATTGATGAGCATACTGTAAATATTAACCATATGATAACTGGCCCCTGAGTCTAAGATCCAGTGAGGGGTTCTTTTAGAGCCAGGGGGTCTCTGCCAACTCGGTGCAAAGGAGCACCATGGTTCCTATTTGGTCTTGGCTAGGGGAGAATTCTCCAGGATGGTTACTGTAGTGTCACACTGGCTAATCCTGTGTCCCAGTCACTTGCAGACCCAGCACCAGAGCTTTCGAGGTTGAACACTAACTTTGGTGTTGGCATTGTCTTCATCCTTCTTGTCCTTTGCAGCTGGTTCCTCTTGGTTGTTGCTGCCAGCGACTCTGGCACTAGCCTGGTGAGGGTCAATCTTTTGGGTGGGATAATTCTCAACCACTGATTGTCGGATAGTTAGGGTTGTAGCAAGTGCATTGAAAGTGAGTTGACTGATGGTGGCAACTGTTTTTTTATACACAGGGTGGCGGATAGTGCACTTCTGTAGGGTCAAAAACAAGGTGTCATCTGCAAATGGTTTTCCCAGTAAACTGCTCTCTGTCTGGATTGTCCTAATCTCCTGGATGAGCTTCTGGACATCGGAATTGTACATTCTGAGCTCACCTAGCTGGGCTATGAGGGCAATTCAATGTGAGGTTATGATGGCTTCATTGGTCAATCCATTTTCAATCTTCTTCCAGATCTGGTGGAAAGTGTGGTGTTCCCTAATGATGTCAAGGATTAGACAGTTGATGTTGTATTCCCCAGTGGTGTCAATAGTGCCACATACTGCATTTGTGAGGGCATCATCGAATGCATGATTCCACTTGGGGTAGTTCTTGTCATATGTTCCCTCAAGGTGTTTCATGGCATGGGGGACAGATTGAAGAAAAGACTTGATGTGGACATTCCAACTATAGTAGCTTTGTGATGTCAACTTGGGCACTGGCTCGAGGAGCTTCACCAGAGTGTGAAAGTTGTATCATTTGCTGCTGCTGTTTTGATCAGAATCAGAATCAGTTTCTTCATCGGTCACTTCAATTTCAGTTTCGTTGGTGGCATCATTATTGGGAACTTGTGGTTGAGGAGCTTTACCCTTTCTACCTCCTTTGGCTTTACTTGCACCTGCTTGTATTTCAGTGTTGTCTGTCATGGCGACAAAGGGTTCCCAGTTACCTCAGTCAGGAGAGCTTCAGACTCTTAATCAGTTGAAGATGGCAAGTGAAATGTGACTGATCGGAGCTACTTGCAAGCTCAACTGCACAGGCATATAACTTCTTGAATACTTGTCATCTAAAATTGTATGCTACTGTATGCATGAACATATGTATATATATCTGATGGTTGCTTCCAATCCCATGTTTATCCATGATGAGTCACCACTCTTGGTCACCCCTGAGTTGTTATCCAATGTGTGTCATCATGGCAATGCATGTGCATCCCACATGAATTTCTGACTGTGTGCAGCTTTTCCCATTAGACATTCATTTAGGTCTTGCTTACGCTCCGCGGACCCCGTTATCCCGTTGTGGTGCCGACGCATCTTCAACTAACACACAGAGGACATCGACAAACGACAGCAATTATGCACAAGCTCCAATGTCAAGCATCAGCCATCTCAATTCACAAGATTGTAACACTATCGATCTTGCATGCAGCTCAGGATGACTTTTCGACGGACCTTCAGCTTGCATCGCTACGATGGTGGTAAGCTCGAGGTGTGGATTGAATGTGTACAGCATCGACGATCGAGTTCGTACAGCTGAGGAGGTCTACCCGTCCTGGCCCGCGCCAATTTGCAACTTGATCCCGCATCGAGCTAGTTTTGCCAGCGTATCAGCTTCATCTCTCGGCAGTACTGATGTGAGCCATTACTGATCTTTACTGACCGAACCTCGGTAGGGGTTCGCCGCAATCGCGCGCTCGTTCATACCACGCTCCGGTCCTGGTAATGGAAGGTGACGGGTGTCCGAGGATTGTTGGGCCAGCCCCGTTCCTATCATCTCCTGCATGCTATATATAGACCAGCTAGGATGTCTTTACTTCCCGTTGTCTGCACAACAATATTTTCATTATCTTTCGCAATGAGACTTCTTCATCTCTTCTTCCTCCTCCTCGCCCCCCTTACCTTGGCCTCAGCCGTCAGAACGGGCCGCTTTTCATCATCAACTGTTGAAGAGCTCTCTTCTCACCCACCCAAATTTCTCGATGCAAGCGGCTGGGGTAAAGGTCTGAGAGCAGTCCTCCGACGACTGCGCTCCAAGTTCCTCTCTACTAACCTTTCCGAGACAGCGTCTCGTACTTCGACATCGGCTCGTGCTGGAAGTGAAAGATTCTCTGTTCCTCAAGAAGACGGGTTTATCTTGTATACTGGATTCAATACTCCCCCTTCTGCTTCTACTTCCCCGCTCCGCATAGACGAGGGGAAGAGAAGAGATCTGGGCCTATGGACAAAAGCTAAATTCACCGCCGAAGCTGCACGAAAATCGGCGGGAGGTGAGGATCTGTTCTCGCTCAGGTTGAAAAAATACTTGGATGTGAGTATCGATGTCAACACGCCGAGAGGAAGGATGAGAGGTGGTGATGGGTTGTCTCCTTGACTGAAGAAGCCTAATGGTGCGGCGGCGAAGGTTTAGAGGGGAAAAGAGACAGAGGTCTTGCCTAATTGTCCAAGATTGAGCCGAGCTGGAATCGAAGAAAGCAGAGTGGCGGGAGATGGAGGGGACAGTCCGAGTATGCGCAGTTTCACTTTCACTCATAATTTCGAAGGAGAGAGGGGGGACGAGTTCAGGTTTCCCACCGACACCCGGAGACTTTCCAACGTAAGAGAGGAGGCTAGATATCGTGTAGGGTGGAGACCTTCTCCTTGGTCTCCTTTGAGACTTCCGTGTAAGCACTTTCATTGATTCATAAAAAGCTCGTTCATGAAGATGAAATCAATGCAATACATACACAGTACAACCAAATGAATCGGATGCTAGAATGAGAATCAGGGCGGAGAAGAGCGCTTATCACCAGGCCTCCAGGGACAAGGACAAGGCTGTTCCTCTTTCGCACTACTTGATCTTGGCTGAGCTGCCGTACCAGCATCCAGCAACGCCAACGCTTCCTGCACTGCTTCTCGATCGATGACGATCCTTCTCCTCTTTTCTTCCCTCTCCTCTTCCTCTCCTTCCTCCTGCTTCGCCCTTGTAGGCAAAGCATGAACGATTCCCTCGCTAGCTGTGTGAAGGAGAACAGGTTTGGAAGTGGCTCTATCGTTACTCGTCGCAACTGCAGCACCGTTCCTACTTGGCTCGATCTCTACACTTGCTTCCCTGCCTCTCTTCTCTCCCACGGCGACATGAGGAAGCATGGGGGATTTGACGTTGCCGCTCCTCTTGCTGACCACCTCTGCCAGCAGGTCTAGCCCGCCTTGCCACTGTGAGAAGCGTGGGTGCGATCGTATCTGGCGCCAGGCCGAGGGGATGGTCTCGCCTCTGAGGGAGGCTGTGGAGTACGGAGAGGTGGAAGAGATGGGAAGGGTGCCAGAAGGCATCATGACAGGTCGCGTTGGTGAAGTGGCTGGAGTGGTAGAAGTGGCTGTGGTGGTAGAAGTGGCTGTGGTGACGGCTTCGCAGAAAGCAGCTAGACCGGGGTCGGTCGAACATGCGCCACATGTGCTTGGATCACCTGTACAGACTGGTTCGTCGGGAAAGGGAGCGGGTTCGGTGAGAGACCAGAGTTTCTTCCCACCTGTGCTCTTTGACCTGATCGAAAGAGAGAGGGAACGAGGCGGCGAAGGAGGAGAGGGTTGAGCGACGGTGTACCAGAGCTTGCTGGACCGTTTACGGTGGGAAAGAGCAATGTCGTTTGCGTGGGTAAGAGAGCCGATTGACATTCGGCGGGAGGATTCTGATGTGCTTGAGGATGAGGAAGCAGCGGAGGTGCGCTTGGGGAGAGGGAGTGCGGAAGGGACATCGCTAGGCACGGCAATGTGAGATGGTTGAGAAGAGGTGGCTGTGGAAGGAAAATCGAGAAAGTCATCTGCACAGACGCATGGTGAGGCTTCAGTGCAGAACCCACATCCGCCGCCGATGGAGAGGTGACCACCATCCGGCAGGAGCGATGGTGAAAGCAGAGAAGCTGGTTTGTCTGCTACAGACGCAGTAGTAGTAGTGATGGAAGGAGGTGCAGGTGGTGAGGACGTTTTTGGAGTCTCGAAGGACCACAGAGGAGGCTTGGGCTCTTTGCGCGCTGTGAGTGGCTTCGCAACAGCGGGAACAGGAGCATCGGCGACAGGCTCGACAGGCGGTGTCGCATCGATGGGTGTCGTCGGGTTAGAGTGCAATGGTCTGCGTCGCAACGGCAGCGAAACAGCCGCCGAAGACTGCTTGCTCTCCATCACAGCATCCTCCTGTATCTTCGTGCTAGGCTGCACAGCATCAGCAAACCTAACCGCGCCGCTGCTCTTCTCCTTCGCCTTGCCATCCTTTCCACCTGGCACCACAAGTACGCCCTTCTTTGGTGCAGCTCGTTCATGTGCAGGTGCTTTGCATCCGGGTCCACTCTTCACACTAGGAGTAAGGACCATACCGGGCAGCTTACTGCCGTTCGCCTTTGCTTGTAACAAGAACCTCTCCAACTGCATGAACTTCTCCTTCCAGCTGCCGACTTCTTTGCGCAAAGCCTCATTCTCGACTCTCAGCTTCTGCGCAACTCTCTGGATCTCGACACTGCGATCGATCTCAGCTGCCTCGTAAGCAGCAACTTTGGCTTCAAGATCAGCGAGATACGACTGTTTGCGCTCGCGGAAGGCCCGTTGAGAGGCACGGTTCTGAGCTTTACGTTTGGTGAGAGGCTCCGTTTCGGATGGCTTGCGACCGGGTTTGGCTCGTGCGGGAAGGACCCATTCTTTGGAAGGCTGGACAAGAGGACCGGTGCTGTCCTTTTTGGCGATGGAAGCGGTGCTGGTGGGGGATGATGACGAGGCAGATGGAGATGCGGACAGGACAGGTGCAAGAGGTGCTGGCTTCACATTCGATGGAGAGGGTGGTGCTGGTGCGGTGGGCGCAAGTCGTGATGATTGCGACTTGGAGGTGGAAGGAGCTGGCTTGAGATTGGATGAGGAAGCTGCTAGGGGACGTTGGGCAATGTTGCGTTGTCCAGCTAGCGAGGAGCTGGAAGGCCCTGGGGAGGGGAGTATCGATGCCATGGCTGGCGACGACGTGGCGATACGCTAGTCGCTGATACTTAAAGTGATGTGTTTGGAGAAATGAGCATCAGCAGATCAGCAGGTAGATGAGGTTGGATGTAGCCTGAGATCTAGTAGCCAGAGCGATTTGCTCTATTAACGCCAATGATACTGTCGAAGGATTGGTTCTTCCGCGATAGATGTCAGGACGAGTGAAAGCTGTCGCTGATGTTAGTGATGGCGGGCAGAGTGTGTGATGGTGGGCAGAGTATGTGATGGTGGTAGCTTCAGCAGATTGCTAGGTGATGATGGAAGATAGCAGCTGCTAAGGATGCAAAGGAAAAGTGAGATAGGGCTGAGCAATCCTCGTGCCTCCTCGCGTGCTAGTCAGCCGTGTGGACTTAAGAGACCGGCCAAGTGCCTCGATCCACGATCTCGAGAGGCTTCTCTGGCAGTTCGGCTGTGGAATTCTGGTTATCAGATTAGAATTTGCACTCTGTTAGCTGAAGCGACGGTCATTCTGAATGAACTTATCTGATTGGCCCCCTCCTCGCTTGCCTGAAGAACATAGACTTGTCACCCCTCTCTGGCGGCACTCTTTTCTCACGCTCTCTCTCTCCAAGCTCGAGCAGCCTGCAAGCGCGGGGAAGGGGTGGATAGGCTTTTGTCTGATGCCGCAGTCCGTGTTGAAAAGCTCCGATGAGTCACGCGGTATCATGACAGCCATTCTTATCTGATTAGCGCAAACGATACCTTGTCGAGCAAGAGCCGAAGACTCCGCTAAGCTGCCGTGAATGCACGCTTCTGAATGGTTCTCTGCCTTCCTTTCACTACGGTGCCATCCTCTGCGCTGATTATGCTGAGTTGAGATGCCGGCTATCCGCCTTGTAGAAGCATGTGCTTGGCTTTGGTCCCCTGATTCTGCTCTTCGCTTTCAATCAGTCGCAAGGGATAGCAGCCTCTATAGCCAGACAGAGCTGACCTGATACTGCTCAAAGAACGAGGATGTAAGTGTGTGACAGATCAAGCAGCGAGGCACACCATGGTGTGAGCAAAGGCTGGGGCAGAAGGACAAGCATGCAATGGATGTGGACGCTCAGCAACATCCGGTAGATCTGCTCGAAGCATTTGCATATTTCCAGCAGAGATTTCTGGCGCAATTTTGTTGTTTGAGCGCACACTTGCTAACACTCGACCCAAAAAACGTAACACTAGGGTGCCTGAGCCCCCTTAGTTTGGAGTATCCCAATATGAGATTGTAGTTGGCGGTGTCAGCCACCGAGACTTCTACGGCTCCAAGTCGGTGCTTGCCAATAGCAACTTGTATTGTTGCTGAACTGTTGATGGCAAGTTGGTGTCTGGTGACACCATGTATCAATCTTGTTTTTGTGGGTTTTGTGGGTATTTGGTACTTACTGACAAACAAATCTGAAACTATACACAAACCAGTGCCAGTGTCAGCAAGTATGTGAGCTGGATGGTCTTGAACTGTTCCAGTTAGCTCCAATACTGCTTTTCCTCTGCTGGTGGAGAAACATCAGGGGCACTCTTGGTATATACATAAGGATGGTGATGAGGTTTGTAGGGCCATGCACACCATTAGTGCATTGTGTCATGGGCCTGGATGCGCAAGAAGTAAGAAGATCTGTCAGCTCATATGAAGGGAGCACAGGAATCAAGGAATCGGGCAGATCATGGAATTTGCAGCAGAGTTCAGTAAGATCTGTAGCAGAAATGGCTCTATGACAGATCTCACCAAGATTGGCATGAGCAAGGATGGTACCACAAACCCCACCGAGATCAGTAGTAGAAGAGATCTTATAGCAGATTCCACAGAGATCAGTGGCAAGGATGATCATATGACAAACTCACATGCGAGGAGGACCAAGTGTCACAGGGTCAGAAGGATAGCGCAAGAGAGTGCGCCAAATTGATCAACAGCAGTCATGGGAATGTCGTGCAACAGAGCAGTATATGAAGGGTGCACAATGGATCAATATATGAAGGGAGTGCCAGATTGATCAGTGCTGAACCATCAGGAATCAATGAGATTAATCGGGTTGGCAGTGCATATGAATTACAAGATCAATCAAACCCCAGGGTTCCAGATTAATCTCATGGGGATCAGTTGGAATCAGTCAGATCAGCATGCCTCAACAAGTCAGCTGATACAAGCAAGTACTAGTGGACTCAGGAAGGAAGGTACTGGCATCGGAAGGAGAGGCACTTGGAGATAACCATAGGAGGTGGCAGGGAACCGAGCTCAGTATCATGTGGATGGTTACCACTTGAGGGGTGCATGCATAAAGTCACACAGGCCCAAGCACAGGGGTGACCACATGACCAAGGGGTTTGGTCATGAGGTTCAACAAGTGGCTAAAGGGATTCACAAGATAAGGTTGAGAAAGAGCTGTGTTGAAGTGACCACATGACCAAGGGGTTTGGTCATGAGGTTCAACAAGAGGCTAAAGGGATTCACAAGACAAGGTCAAGAAGGAGCTGTGTCAAAAGGGGTCATCACACATCATCAGGCAGAAGGAGAGCATGAAGGTGAGAGGGCAGTGTTGCATAACCCTTACACCATGCAAATGGTAGGGGCACAGTATCAATGGGATTGATGCCAGCAGGACAATAGTGTCAAAAAGGGGATGAAGGCCCCTCAGGAGGAGCAGGATAGGTGTCACAGGCAACACCAATCAAATGCATAAATACTCTCATTCTACCATAGCATATGAGTGGATCCTCATCCACTCTACTTACTCTATCTACTTTACTTACTTGACTCTTAAGTTTCATACCATTGCAATAGCAGTGCTCTTGCAATGACCCTCAAACATGTGTGTTGTATCACCATTAGGTGTCAACTGTAGGCAGTGTCTTTCAGACACTTGCAGTCCAGTTCTCAACTGTAGGCAGTGTTCTTCAACACTTGCAGTCCAGTCCCTTACTGTAGGTGGTGTTCTTCAACACTTGTGGTCCAGTCCCTTGCTGTAGGTGGTGTTGCTCGACACCTGCAGTCCAGTCAGTTATTGTAGGCAGTGACTCACACCTGCAGTCCAGTAACTCACATCCTCTGTAGGCGATTAGCATATTGTGGTCCAGACGATGTCCAAGAGCATTATCAACAGTACTATGAACACTCATGCTGTAGGAGAGGGTGTTTCACTCACTCACCAATGACCAGTGTCCATGCCATGCAACCTCTGAATGGAGTGTTCAAGGTGGTCAGTTGAGACTTACCAGATGGCAACGTTTGGTTATGTTTAGGCAAAACATACTGAGTAGACCTTACTCAATCAAACTCAATATAACACCCCAAAACTAAGTCTCTGGCGCGCAACCGCTTACACCAAGCTCTGCCAATACGGGGACCGAGCTCAGAAGCATGCAGCTGGTCACCACTCAGGGGTTCACAAGACAGGAGTTGGGAAAACAGTTGCCAGTTAGGAGGAAGGAGAGCTGTGTAACAGACACCAGCATATAGGTCATGAGGAGGAAGAGCAGTGTCGAAGAGGTTGGCACCCAGCTCAGAAAAGACAGAAGCGATGTCACAGGACAAGTAGGACTTGACAAAGAGGGTACTCTCTGGAGAGAGAGCTGGAGCAGTGTTGCAGGTGACACTGTAAAGATGTATATAATCATACCTTCTTGTCATAGGTGGACAAGTGGATCTCCATCCACTCTACACCTTATATTACTAGTTATAGCTTACACATAAGTATACATTAGTATTCAGTCAGCCAGTTGCAATCTCAGTAGATTGCTTCCATCATAGTGCATGTGTTGTATCACTGCTCACTGATGTCCGAAGGTGGTTCATAGAAACCTGCAGTCCAGATAATGATAGAACCGAAGGCAGTCATCCACTGCGGTCCAGGGATCACCTTGTAAGCGGTCGCGTGCCAGAGACTAGTTTGGGGTGTTATTTGTTCAGTATAGATGGGGTTGATTGAGTAAGGTCTACTCAGTATGTTTCAACTTAAAACATAACCAGACATCTTCAACTGGTAAGTCTCAGCTGACCACCTTGAACACTCTGTTCAGAGGTTGCATGGCATGTACACTGTTTGTTGGAGAGTGAGTGATACCCTCTCCCTACAGTATGAGTGTTTGCAGTACTGTTGATAATGCTCTTGGATGTCATCTGGACCACAATATGCTAATTGCCTACAGAGGATGTGAGTTACTGGACTGCAGGTGTGAGTCACCACCCACAATAACTAACTGGACTGCAGGTGTTGAGCAACACTGCCTACAGCAAGGGACTGGACTGCAAGTGTTGAAGAACACTGCCTACAGTTGACACCTAATGGTGATACAACACACATGTTTGAGGGTCATTGCAAGAGCACTGCTATTGCAATGGTACAAAACTAAGAGTCAAGTAAGTAAGTAAGTAAGTAGCATGTAGAGTGGATGAGGATCCACTCATATGCTATGGTGAAATGAGGGTATTTCTGCATTTGATTGGTGTCACCTGTGACACCTATCCCATTCCTCTTGAGGGGCCTTTGTCCCCTGTTTGACACTGTCTCTCCTACTGGTATCAATCCCATTGATGCTGCACCCCTACCATCTGCACAGCATACTGGTTATGCAACACTGTCCTTTCACCTCCATACTCCCTTTCCACTTGATGATGTGTGACAACCCCTTTGACACAGCTCCTCCTCTTTGTTTAACCAATCTGTTCACTGTTTCCTTCTCTCTTCACCAGCAACCACCTTCCCATCCTTATCTTGTGAATCCCCTTAGCCACCTGTTGGACCTTGTGACCAAACCCCTTGGTCATGTGGTCACCCCCTGTGCTTGGTCCTGTGTGGCTATACACATGCACCCCTCAAGCAGTAACCATCTGTGTGATGCTAAGCTTGGTCCCCTGCTCCTACATGTGGTTATCTCTGTATGCTTCTCCTTCTCATGCCAGTACCTTCCTTCCTGAATCTCCTGGTACTTGCTCATATCAGCCAACTTGCTGAGGCATGCTGATCCAGCTGATTCCAATTGATCCTTGTGAGATT